CCCACAAAAAATGTTCCACTCTTTGTGTCGCGGGGGGGTTTTTATTTTGGGAAAAAATAAATTTTTTTTTTGGGGGCGAATTTGGGGGTTTTTTTTTTTTTGGTTTTCTCTTTTTAAGAAAAAAAAAAACACCCTTTCTTGTTTATATAAACAAAGGAACCGGCCCCCAGGGCCCGCCCCCGCGCCCCCCCCCCCCCCCAAAAACCCCAAACCCGGCCCGCCCGGGGGGGACCGGGGGGGGGGGGGAAGAAACGGGGCAAACCGGGCCCCAAAACCCTAATTTTTATCCCCCATAATCAAAAACCCGGCAGAAAAACCCAAAACCCCCGGAAATAATAACCCCCCCCCCGCCCCCGGCCCCCCCCCCTAGTTTGCTTACCCACCCCCCCCCCCGCCCTTCGCCCAACCCGGGGGCCCCCCCGGGTCGTAAATCTGTGTATTAAGGAAATATTCATTTTATCCCCCCCCCCCCCCTTTGCCCCGGGGGCCCTCCCCAAAGTTGGGGGCGGCCCCAAAATGGGGCAGGGGCCCCCCACAAAGGGGGAGGGGGTTCCCCCCAAAAAACCCAGGGGGCCCCCCCCCAACCCAGGGGGGGGGGGCCCAACCCAAGGGGGGGGGGGGGGGGCCCAAATTAAAAAAAAAAAAGGGGGCCCCGGGGGCCCCCTTTTCCCCCCCCGGGAAAAAAACAACCCCTTCCATTTGCCCCTACAGCGGGGAAAAAAAATTTTTTAAAAAAATTTGGTGAAGCCCCCGGCGGGGCCCAAATTTCCCTTTCAAAGGGGTTTCGCCTTTTTTTTTTGGGGGTTTTAAAATTTGAAAAAAAAATTTCCTTTTTGGAACCAAAAGGGGGGGTTTTTTTTTGCTTTTAACCTTAAAAAAAAAAACCCCCCCGGGTTTGGTTAAATTGGGGGGGGGCGGGGCCGGGGCCGGAAAAGGGGGCAAAAAAACAGGGGCAAAGGGCAAAAGGACCCCCTTTTTTTTTTTTTCGGGGGGGGGGGGGGGGGGGAGGGGTGGGGGAATGTGTCAGCCGCGCCCCTGAGTCTTAGTCATCATCATAAAGGGGGCGTCAGTATTAGCGATCGTGGGGGCAAGTACTAACGCTCCGACTATATTCGCACTGTTCCATTGGTCTGCTTACCAAGCACCAACTGCGACTTTCCCACGTGCCGCCGAAACGCCGGGGTCGTCGATTTGTGTCTCAAAAAATTATCCATTTTATCCGAATATCCGGGTTTTTTATTGGCGTTTTTTTAATTGTTATTAATTGCGCTCGCTTGCACCGTCCATTCTGATGCACCCTGCTGATAGTGACGTCAGACACGTGACCGAGTTAAACAGCAAGCTGACCAGACAATGAAAGCGTAGTCAGAATATTATGTGGCCAAATAATATCGAGCCGTTTGGTAGGTCTTTGTGTTTTTCGTTTTGCGTTTGGCTTTGGCTTTGGCTTTTTTCGTTTTGCGTTTATCCACTTTTCGCTTTTCGTTTCCTATTTCCATCTTGCATGTGTGCACAAACCCTAAATTAAGATTGACCCTATATCGTCACATCCGTCTGTGCCCGTGTGGTGTGTGCATGCACCTGTCATGTGGGTTGGCTGGTGTAAGGGGGCGAATACTTTGGGGGCAGTTTCGAGGGGGTCATAGAGGGTATTTTAACTGGCTAACTAAAGCAACGAGATAACCAAACTCGAGGCTATCTAATGAGCGTGTTTCTGACTCTGTGGCGCTATTATTGGCAGAATTAGGGATGTAATGCGGACTTTGGACTTAGAAATGAACTTGGAAAAATATTCAGAAATGTCAGCGAGATACAGAGAGCCGTGAAAGATACAGAATACGACGTAGAGCACGCTTGCACTTCCACCTTGTCTCTATGACCAATATTCATCAAGCTACGCCCATTCGAAAATCCCCAACCAAAAATAAAGTTGAAGAGCAAAAATTAATATTGCTGACTACTCACGCGAAAATTACCCCATTGCGAATCAGAAAAGAGCTGAGTCATCACCACGACGGTGCCAGCCCCATAACTAAGTCAGACCCTGTATTACTGTATTAGTCAGCACTTCCGCCAGAGGTTCTCCTCCTGCCACATGCTGCAGCTGCACGGGATGCACAAGGCAAATATTATCGTGGGTCGCAAAACACAAAGTCTAAACTCTAATCCTAGTCTATATATCAACTCCCTTTACCTGGACGCTGGTACCGACTGACTACAAGTACGACCTTGTACCCACAACATTGACTCTGTCAGCCCATCACATTCGCCCAGATTTGCCACCACATTGCCCGTATCTCCCCCACCACACCGCCCCTGTAGTGCCCACCACGCCGCCTCTGTCGTGCCCACCACTCCACCTCTGTCACCACCACCACCACCCCCTCCAGCGCCACAATGGACAAGAAACGATCAAAGAAGTCGACGCTGACACAGCAACAACGCAACAACAAGCGCCAGAGAGCTAACGCACAGCAATTGGACGTGCTCCGCCACGAGTATCGTCTGTGTGCCACTCCCGACGCTGCCACACGACGTCGAATAAGTGCTCTTATCGATATGACTGAGCGTAGCGTTCAGATTTGGTTCCAGAACACGCGTGCCAAGCAGAAGAAGGCTATGCGCGGTCGGGAATCTCGCGAGGACGACTTTGACGACGGTCTTGCTGATGTCAGCGTGGATGACGTCAGCGTGGATGACGTAAGCATGACGGCTGACGTAATCAACAGTCCTGTTGACGTAATCCACCATCGCACCGACGTTAGCAGTTCCGCAGACATGCTCCACCACTTTGGCGCCGACCTCGTCACAACCCCCATCCAAACTCATTTCAACCACTTGCTCGCAACCCCACCAACCTCTTCCTCGTCGTCGCACGTGACCACGGTTGACTCACCCGCCTCGTCCATCACCGACTTCTCCACCCTCGGACACATGACTCCTAACCTGACCCCCACCACACCGCATCACGTGACCCTCCCGCCCATCTTCTTCCCCACCCTTTCGCTGACTATTGGAAATTGGCGCCGACTTTCGCCCCAACTTTCTCTTGCTTACTACCCCAGCACAGACACCATGCTGTATCACATGACCTCGGAGAAGACGCAGTTTCGCATGCAGTTTCCCTTTTCGGCGATTGAGGAAATCCACGTGAGCAGAAACCCCAACGATACTCTCGGAGCTCTTAATCTGACGCTCAATTGCTCACCCAGCTTTTCGATCCAGACCCCAAAGGCTCCAGGAAGATGGGTCGGCTGTCACGACTTTTCCGAGGGCAAACAAGCGAGTAACGTGACTACTCACGTGTGCAACGGTCCCGCAACGGTGTTGCAACAGCAGCTTTCGCGGGTGTTTGCCCTGCGCAGCAACCATGTGAACGGTCACGTGTCACGACGACGGCTCGCGGACGTCATTGGGTCTTCTGACATAATCGGATCTGCTGACGTAATGGGGACTGTCGCCGTCGACACCTCCAACCACATGATCTCCAGTCATGTGGGCGACTTTGAGCTGAGCGTGACCAGCCACTGTGAGCCGTCCCACATGATCGAACCGACGCCGACGCCGACGCCGGTGGCCAACCACCACCATCATCGATCTGCTGACTCAGTCGCTCACGTGACAAACCCTAGTGGCCACGTGACCAACCATAACCACCTGTCCGACCCCGCCGCCAACCTCACATCCACGATTCTCGGAAACGTGACGCCAGGACACACGACACCGGTTCTGGACGACGGGTTCGAGCTCGGTCACGTGACTGACATCAACGACCTCGTCAGTGTTGCGCAATTGTTGCCAAACCACGTGACCGAGGCCGAGCTCGCGAGCAACTGTCACATGATTGCCAACAATGCCTTTACTTTGGATCCGTCTACTCCTCTGAGTCCGTTTTCGGGCACGTTGGATTATCTGGAGTATTACTAATGTCTAACCCGGACGCTTACTAATCTACATTGGTCAACTGACCGTGGTCTCCTGACCGTTTAATTTATTGCCCTAGGCCTATATATCTATATACATTCTTTACTTGATAGTTGGTTGTAGTGTAACAGGTGTGTAGTCTTTATGATCAAAGACAGGTATGTAGTCTTTATGATCAAAGACAGGTATGTTAGTCGTTATTATTATCCAGATTGTTGTTTTGTGGCGGTCAAAAATAGTTATAAACCACTGTACCCTCAAATTTATAACTATTTTCAACATTTTATTCATGTTTTTTTTTTTTTTGCTATTGGCCATTTTTGAATCTCCGTATCCGCAGCGGATAGGCGGGCTACATGTACGATCGATGCACATGCATCTGATCTGCACATGCACGTTACCTGTACATGCACGTTGGCTGCGGGTCGTTAGTTGGTGCGTTTTCCCTCTTTACCAACTCCCAACAGATATAGTTGTAAATGTAGCGGATTTTGTTCTTGATTTCTTACATGTCACTAAAGGGAAAAATAGGGGAAAAGAATGGGAAAAGAATGGGAAAAGAATGGGAAAAGAATGGGAAAAGAATGGGAAAAGAATGGGAAAAGAATGGGAAAAGAATGGGAAAAGAATGGGAAAAAAGAAGAAGAAAAAAAAGAGAGGGATGAACTATTGAAGAGATGAATTGCGCAAGGATTGAGGAGACGTGAGTATGGAGATGGGATTGGCGGAGTATGGAGATGGGATTGGCGGAGTATGGAGATGGGATTGGCGGAGACCGGAGATGGGGTATGGTTTGGGAGGTGGTAACACAAACACAGAGAGATTGGAACTAGACAAGAACAGCTCTCCTGATGTCCGAGATTGACTGTGATTGAGACGTTTTAGGCGACGAGAGTGGCGGTCATGGGCAGATCCTGGGGAGTTGTTTCTGGGTGATTTTTGCAGTCTGTCTCATTCGGTGTGTTGGGTATGGTTACAGGGATCATGTCAGAGAATAACACAGAAGAAAATGGACTGAATAGGTGAGTCTGAGTGTACACGCCTGAGTGGACAAGCCTGAGTGGACAAGACTGAGTGGGTGAATGGTATGTCGTTTTCTATACTGCTAATCACAAGAAATGTTTTGACCACCAATTAGAGGCCGTCAATGACATGGTTCAGTGAGGACTGAAGTCTGTGTCGTTGTGGTCTAGCTTGTGTCAGTTTCAGGGCTGTTTTGGGCAACTGTGACACGGTGTTGCTCTAGTTGTGACATGGCAGGTAGTGTTACCGAAGTTGTGATGGCAGTTGGCTATTCAAATGAAACTCACCAGACCGTGGATGCCGTCAATGCCTGTGCCCAGATACGTTAGTATGTTCACGTTAAACAATCGACTTGGTCTTTTCTACTGAGCCACATGACGACGAGTCGATTCATACGACCTCTTTGTCGAGTCAATTCGCATGTTAAGAGTCCGTGATTATGCCACGTCAGCCCCAAGACACCTCTACACTACTTTCACATGCTCTCACGCTTTTGCTCACATGCTCTGACTCCCTTTACCTAGGTGGTGGCGCGACATGGTTCGATTTCGAGCCTCGTGTCTTCGGCTGGACCCCCACTCTGCTCACATGCTCACAGATGCATGGCGGACGGACTTCATGTTGCAGATCGACTTGGTACCAGTCTCAGTTTAGGGTTGTTTTTGGTTTTGGGCGCGTATCGTGCACCCCAGAGCCATACGGCTGCAGCTGCGGTATGATATTGTACGACTGCTCAAGCATATACGGCTGCTCGTATGCCCATTCTGCAATCCTGCGCGAGTCGTATTCTGTTGGTGCGAGGTTATGCGTCGACGGTTGATATTGGCTGTATGGCTCCCGAGCTGCACCCCAGACTGCCGGCTCGGTGGAGATTTGAGATGCGAGAAGGTTGGAGGATGGAGATTGGGGTTCCGGGCTCTAAAGAGCTCCAGAGTCGGGAAAGAGTGAGCCTGCTGGTCGATGCGGTGGTTGTCAATGCGGTGGTGGCCGATGCGATGGTGGTCGATGCGATGGTCTACGTTGACCTTGGCTACTGCGATTGTTTTCACTAATTCCTTGTTTCGACAAAGTTGGTGGTCCTCCGATAACCCAATTTTTGTGGGGTAGAGGTGCGTTGGACCCGACCTGGTACCGAGGCAGATACGAGGAATCTCTGCCAACCAGCGGGTGACGATACTCCAAGGCGGTTGATTTCAAGTTTTCACAATATGTTTTTAGCATTTCTTACCGACAATGGATTGTGTCGCGTCCACTACACACAATGACTTGTTGAAAATAATGTCACGAATTTAAAACATTCTTTATTGCAAACCTTGTGCAACATGCAAGGTTGGATGTTATCAGTTTGGATATTTTGGCCGATTTTCTTGTTGATAGTTTTTGTCGATATTTTCGTGCAAATATTTCACACAATATTTCGGACATTATTTTGGTCTCACATTTCGGCCCAATATTCTCGGAAAGGGGTCGGTCGGGAAATTATTGCGGGGAAGGCATAAGAAAAAAAATCGCGTGATCATCGGGTCACGTGATAGTGGGATCGGGAGGCGCTGGATAGGACTGCACTGGGGTCCTACAGTTGAATTGGTTCGGCTAGAACTTTTGCACACGGTTGTTATTATGGGATGTGGCGGTTGGATTCAAGGAGGGGTTTTTTAAATTTTTTTTTAAAAAATAGAAGAAAAAGAAAGAAAGAAAAAAAAAGAAAGAAAAAAAAAGAAAGAAAAAAAAGAAAGGAAAAAAAACATATCGATCCGCATCAAAAAGTTGCAATATGAGAACGTGGCTGAGTGACTGGGGACCTCAAGGGTTCTTTTCTTGTTGAATAACGGCAGTTTTGTGTTCGATTTGGGGGTGGAATGATGAGAACGGCTGGATTCTGCTCAAAAAACAGAGTTATTTTAGAGATACGATTCTAAAGGGATAGAAGTTGACAGATATTCACGCCAACGGCTTCAATCGGACATTTTGGCCAAGTTCTAGACATTCTGTCTGACTTTTGGATTCATTTGGAGTCACTTTGAGTCATGTCTGGAGTATCGTACATACCTACAGGATGTACATACTGTACCAGTAATACGATTGGGTTGAGGTGTAAAGTGTATGAAAAATAGGACCATTTGTTTATATATTTGAAATATCAGGAGAAAGACAATGACGAGAATAGTTCTTTTTTTCCCACGATGTCTCTATCGTTCACAATTTGCAGTTATTTTCATTTTTTTCCATACTAATTCTTTTGGGTATGGAACTTTAAAAAGGTGATTGTTGTTTTTTTGTCCTCTTTTTCTTTTCTTTTCTTTTTTTTTTTTTTTTTTTTTTTTTTTTCGTTTTTACTCATTTCCCCAACTGCTCTGGAAATGCACACAATACGCCTCCCGCAACTCTCGTAAACATGACTCGTGCACGTCTGGATGCTGGTGTCACAGATCTGCGGCGGCGGAAAATTGCCAGCTTTCGGGGCTTTTGGTGGTTGCTGATTGGCTCATGGTTTAGAGATTTATTTTCGAATTGGAGAAAAGAAAAAAGAGCAAAATCAGGCAAAAGACAGCAAAAATCAGACAAAAATCAGACGAAACAGAACAAAAATTAGACAAAACAGAACAAAAATTAGACAAAACAGAACAAAAATTAGACAAAAATCAGACAAAAAAAAAAGGGTGCTGACGGACTTCAAACATGGATCTAAAACCCCATGGGGATACAGTATTATCGTAAACTACCGGTAATATGGAAATTACACCCGACAGGAATAAAGACATTTCAACGGGAGTAAATATACTCGTTCAATACAATGTTAAATATAATATTCAATCACACAGATAGGGATGACGATAAAACAAGTCACATGACCCTCATACACCTCTCAGGACCCGTGTGGCACGTGATCCGGCCCAATTGACCGTTCTGATGTGTTGTGAATACGGCGAAAATGTGTCGACAAAAAAATGTCGTTTGCCACATAACGATTTCGCTCAGCTGATGCTCATGCAGGGACGCAATGCGGTGCATCTGGTCAAGGTTTAATTTGAATAGAGAGTGGGAGGGATATTGAGGTCTTGGGGTTCTCGTATGAAGGTGATATTGGTGCCCGTAAACTCCCCATCACGTGACGATTCCAATGCTTCTACTTTTGTTTCTGTAGCACCAAAACTCGTCAAAGTAGACGCGCTTTTTCTCTCACGCGCGTCAGCCAAAATACAGCTGTACGCACACCCCCACTCCAATATTGAGAGCACTAAACGTGATACCCCGCACTGGAGAAGCGGAGATGGTAAGTTGTGCGATGGAATGGGTCACGGGAATTCGAGGAGATCACGTGATTTTTGGGTGGGTCAGGATAGGGTGAAATTTGTGGTTGATTTTCCTTAGAATTAATTTTTTTTAAAAACAACTGAAAAAGTTTTAAAAAAGGTGAAATTGTATTTGAAAAAAAAAATAATTGAGAATAGTAGTAATAGAATAATAATAATAAAAAAAAATTAAAAAAGGGTGAAATGGATTTCCTTACAAGTAGAACCAATTTTTTGTCTCCGTATATCCAATCATGAGCGTCTCCGGTTCTGGAGTGAAAATTCGTCTGGACTTCTCCAGGACTGCTCCAGGACTGCTCTAGGACTGCTTCAACTTCAACTTCAGCAATCCCGGTCAGGCTGGTCTTTCCTCTGATCTGATGAGCCACCGTCAACCTGAGTCCTATCTACGTACAGTCCATTGATGTGTCTGATGAGCTAGCGGCTGTTGTCAGGAAATACCTCTCCGTCTTCTGACCACCTTCCGACCTTTGCCGACATGTTTATCATTCTTGCACGTGGTGTCTTGACGCGGTGTCTGGACGCGGTGTCTGGACCGCATCTCACCTGGGGGTAATGAGGGCTGACAACTGTTTTCGCGACAAACACTTACTAACTTGCTTGGAGGACTCATCTCAGCATTTGACCATCGCCTTCACCGCTGTCTCCATCAATTCCATTCCACCAAATAGCAGCTGATTGCACTTTTGAGCGTTGAAGTGGACCCAGTCTAGTCCCGGGGTCAAGAAGTCTGGTTGAGCAACTATACTTTTGTGACTTTTCGCAATAATTACTTTTCGCAATTGTTCTCGCAATTGTCGCTTTGCGCAGCAGGTTCAATCTCAATAGATCCATACTGTGCCTTCACTACCCCGTTTCCAAACGGCTAGAATGGATTCACAAGGTAGGCCATTCAACACTGGTTCCGCCGAGTTGACTGGAATGGAACTGGTTCTGTGACGATCAGAGGAGACCAAGTGTTTTTCACAATATAATGGTGTGCAGTAACCATCAGCCATCTCTTCCTCTTCCAAACAAGAGCCCAATCGCTCTATAGAAGTGCGTGGTTGTTTTTCCGTCAGTTGAATCCTTTGGTGGCATCCTAGGGGACCCCCTGTCGGTCTGCTCACCGTACAGTCACAGTGGCCGGCCCTGTTGATCTGGTCGGCAGCAGCGAGACCGGCGGGACCAGGGCCAATCGTGGCAACGGTCCTACAAGTTGACTGTCGCTCGACAAACTCGATGGATATGGGCTGTTCTGGGCAGCGTCGAACCTCCTCGGAGTATGTTCAGATCACCAGTTGGTTCGGAAGAAAGACGAGGTTCGATTTTAGATCATTTTACTGGCACCATTATTACTCGAACCATCATACCGTTCTCGAGTTGGATGCCGAGTACAGCTGTCTTCCTCCGAATGCGGACTAGCCCGAATGGCCAGACAAATTGGAGGTTGAGAGACGTGAGTTGAGCGTCGTGAGATTGATCGAGAGAGACCTGCTCGAAGAACAAGCGCAGCCCGGTGCCTAGAAGGTCTATGCAGTGTCGATAGAACCAGAGAATGTCGATAGAATGTTGATGGAACAATGCCACAAGATGATACAACTTTGAAGCTAGATGGAATATCCATTGTTTCCGTGTTGTCTACTGGCTATTCTCCTTACTTGGGCCCCAGCTAGTTTCCGACCGAGACTCCAACTGACTTAATAACACTGACCATCTTGTCGAGTCCGAAACCACCTGAGAACAGAAACGCTTCAGAAAAAAACACCTCCGAACAGAAACACCTCCGAACAGAAACACCTCCGAACAGAAACACCTCCGAAAAGAAACAACTCCGAACAGAAACATCCCAGAACAGAAACCACCCGGAGGTTGGCAACACCACACCACGCAATTTGGTCATGTCAGTGCGAAATCCGAGTGGAGTGGTGTTTGCAGAAATGAGAAGTAAGCCATCCCAACTAACTCCCAACTACCAATTCCCACAGTCAAACTACCTTCTCAGGCTTTCCAACACACGCAACTAACGCTCAACTAACTCCCAACTATTACTATATTGGCGGATACCGTCTGTGGACCAGCCACACTCGCCACGGCCACAATCGCCACAGCCAACCGCCCACAATCTCGTCGACGTAACTTTCCGGACTCTTGTGAACCCTTTTTGAGGTGCCAATAATATCTGCAACATTGACCCTGGCAAATAATAAGTGTCGATAATATTGTTGATATTGAGATGAGTGGGCTGGTGGTGGAGATGGCGGTGGGCCAGATCACGTGAAGGGCGGAGGAGCCGTTCTTGGAGTTGAGGTGGTCATTATCCGAATGATTTGAGTCATATCACAATGGCAACAAGCACTTGACGATCAGACACTTGACATCCACCCAAACTACTTGATAACCAAAACCATCGTAGTCCCCAGCCCTGATAACGCCAGTGCTGATAAGGATGGGACTGTGCGGTTATCATCCCGAGATTAGCCGCCTCTATCGCTGATCTGTGGCTGCATCGTTGGCTTCTCGTCGTTCTTCTTTCCGGCAATGACCACGTATAGAAGCAGAGGCAGCCAAAAGAGACACATTGTTGCCAAAGACACACTATTCAAGCACACACGTGAACAACCACATGTGAGAGACAGGAGTCACGTGTGGATGTGGTTTCTCGAGCCTGGGGTGGGTCCGTTAGACCGGTAGTTCTCCATTGGTCCGTAGATTAGTAGAGCAAGATGGTGGCCCTGATGGTGCTCGCACAGTACTCCTGGTGGTCCGATTATGTGCTTGCCCAGTTGTCCTGGTGCTCCTGGTGCAGTGCTTCGAAGCTCATCTTGATCAACTCCTCCATCATCGTCGATCAGAGGCTGTGTGGAAGGGAGATTTATTGAGCAGAAAGCAACCCGAAAGCGGCGCAGATGTACCGGCATTGTTTGAGTGTCACCGACGAAAAGAGCGATTAGAATCTGGACTTGAACTGGAGATGAATCGCGATACAAAAGTCTGTCTTTTTCTCCACTCGAGATTCCCTAGTCCACCTCTCTCCAGCTGCCAAAATCACCATTCCAACCCAGATTTGAGAAGCTCTGTTGATGGCGTTTCCTGTTCAGACATCAGCCTGGGTACCGCTTCAAGGCCCCGTCTTGCAATGAGGGAGAGAGTGAGAAGATGGAGGAGTGGATGAGTGGATGAGGTCGTCGTCATCAACTACACCAAAGAAACCACCCAAGCTCTCTGGAGTTGTCAAGTTGCAGTAGCAGAGTGACAACACACGAAACTGAGAGTGATCAACACCGACTCAAGTAGAATCGAATAGAGTCCAGTAGAAAATAGCTGGATTGAAAGTCTACTGGAACGAACCCGAAACCGGAATTGAAGACCCGGAACGTCCATTTGGCAATCTACCCATCCCAAAACAAAACACAAGATGGACAAAGGTCGAGCTAGGCACTATTTGGGTCGGTGCGATGCTTGGAATCCTTGAATTGAAGTCAGCGGCGGTCATTGCCGCTGTCAGTGGCTTTCACCTACAATCTACCGCCTTCAATCTTCCGCCTTCAATCTACTGCCTTCGATCTACCACCCTTCATCCTAGTCAGCAAGTCTGCTAATATCCACTCACTTCACTCAATTCACTTTACGATAATGTCAAGCCAACACCAACTAACGTCACATTATCTCCACTGTCATTTTTGTCTTGTTTTCGCTATTCTTCATCTCCAGTTGGGTTTTTGTCAACGCTCTATCTGCTCCTCAAGTCCAAGAGTGCAAACTCCTGATAAATCTCTGCGACTGGTGCGAACAACCCCTGAGCAACCTCTGTGGACAACCCCTGAGCACCCCCTGCGACTGGAGTAGGGACATAGGGTCAGACCAACTCCGAAAGTACGATACTGTAGCAAGTTCTCTCCCGTCTATGTCGACGGGTGATGAGATGGTGTGGCGTTAGAGCACTGATATCTACTGTCTATGGTCTAGTCCATAGCCTACACTCAACTACAACAGAAACTAGAATACGCCCGACGCCCTATTTCCATAAGAGCCAATGGAACTACATTGTCATTGGCCTGGACCAGGTTCAGCTGAAACGAGAGTTTGTCGGGGTCCTTAGCTATCCTGTTCTGAAATCGGTGATTCTGAGAACGGAGACTTCTAAGAATGGTTCAGTCGGTCGAATTACTAGCATTCAACAGTCTCAACAATGTTTAACCGATTATCTACAATCATTACATTACATACTGTACAGTATTTCACATTCACCAGCATCGTTTGACCAGATGACTACACCACCAGATTCCGACTCCTCACCAAATCACGGCAACTTGGCACCTCGAAATGATGACGTTAAGATTCATTTGAAGGTCACTCCACCAAAGATCAGTCCAAGTTCCCGTCACCAATCTGTCCCCAGACTAGTTTCAACCAGCTACCTGTGACATGACTTCTACTGCCACAACCTTCTCAACGGCCACATCCACTGCCACATCTTCTTAACTGCCAATTGTCTCCGCCCTGCTTCCTCATCCGGCCACCTTCGGAGTCCGTTGCACAAACTCAGTGTTCGCAAGCGTTTGAGAAGCGGTGATTTACAGCGGAAGAGCGACCTGGCAAGAGCCGGTCTTGCTGATTCCGACAACCACTTGCTGTCCATATCACGAAGGCTATACCCTGTGTTGGTCACTCCTTACACTCCCATCCACCTCTTTACACTTCCCAAACCCCTGTCAGCACCCTGTTTCATGTCGCTCCGGATCGGCGCCAACGTCACAGATCGGCTATCTGCGCATGCTCCACACGAGCAGGTTTCACGCCAGTGTCAGAGCTTGAGCCGGATTTGCACCTGCTCAACGCAGGGAAGCGTGGGGCTGTCCAAACCTCTCTCCATTGGCGGTGTGGCGGTCATCTCGTCCCACCTCCTCCATTGGCTACGGCTACTGTGGTTCCCTGATTACCTATACAATCTCCATTCTCCATCCAAAGCCAGCCACCATCCCGCTCTCCACCTCCATCCTGCCGATCATACCCCGGATCAACATTAGCTCGAGAGCCGCGTGCTAGTGCGAGACGTACATATCGACAGATGTCGTGGATGCAACGGGGAGACAAGAGACAGACATGTGGCCGGAATCGGAACCTGCAGCTATGCAACTAGAGACCCTGGCTGGAGGAGCTTCTCAGACCCTGTGAAGCTTTGTTGGGACCGGGGGCATGAGACTGGTGGAACGTCGCCGGGTATCCCTGGATGGGGCTACGCTGGCTCCGAATGCAATCTGAGATTGGCTCTCGGAATGACTCGTCTCAGATCGGCCAAGGCATATCTCGGAGATGGCCGACATTGGTCAGCCGTGGGTCATGGTGCGGGATACGGGATACGGGATACGGGGGGATGTGGTGGAATCGAACTAGCGGTAGGAGCACGACTGTATTGGAGGAACTGGACTGCTGGGGTACTGCTTGTACTACTGGACTACGGTGCTGTATTGTACTGGATGTTGTACCATGTACTGAACTACCGGTAGGGCTGCTTCTTGATGCCGCTATTAGTGCGGACATTGGTGCCTTGAACGCTAGTCAGTGAGGATCTTCCCCATGTTGGCGAACTGGTGCTACGAGAAACAACGTACCAGCTAGGGACCGGGGATTATTCAGGGGCTTTATTGATGGGGGTTGCGGCAAAGGTAGAGACTCCTAATAAGTGTTACTACTGAGTAGTTGGTACGGGTTTGCGAGACGGGTTCGAGTCAGAAAAGACGAGATGAAGGTCTGGTCTGAGGATCTGGATTCTGACAACAAAAAGATCAGCCGACTCGAGAATCTGATTCTAGAGATGTAATTCCCCCAGCACCATGGCTAAACATCCAGAAGTGGCCAATAATTCGAGTGTGAGAGGTTCGGGTCGTAATCTGACATTCGGGTCATAAATCTGGGCTAGGAGGCTCGTTCTTATCTCAACAGAATCACCACAGCGGCTCTAGCGGCTGAAATTTTCTTCAATATCAACCACCTCCCCACAGCACAGTAACCGCGCGGCAACATCGCGCCTACTCTCTGCCCTCAACTCCGCAATCACCCCACCTCTGTCCACATTATGTCACCCGATAATATGTCCCGGACCCTCGTCCCAGACAATACAAGTATGTAGGGGAAAGGGTTTGGTTGCGGCCGATATTACGGTCACGCACCGACGGCTCCCTACAGTTGCCATGTGAGACAGCGCAAGATGGAAGGACCTGGCGAGATAGCAGATACCACAAAGGTGGAATAATTATCAAGCTTGTGAGACAGTCATAGACTGAGACTGACTCGAACTATGGCTGTCAGACTCGACTGGCTTAATTCTCACTGGCTTTTATTGTTCGTTGGTGTCTTGTCTGCGCCCAGCTGTCAAAGTCAGATGAGAGTTGGTCTGGCGTATCTATGAGCCGCGGTGAGTCTGGGCAGTGAGTATGTGGGTAGGGATTCATCAATTGCACTGTCTGACAAGATTTCATTACAGGCCCAAGCTCGAGAAGGTACCCAAGCTCGAGCAGGTACCCAAGCACGAGCAGGTACCCAAGCACGAACAGTACCCAAGCACGAACAGTACCCAAGCACGAACAGTACATACCCAAGCATGAACAGGTACCAAGTTCGAACATTGCTCTTCACTCACTCCACTCTCAATGATCGTCTCCCGCTCCACCACCTCAGGGTTACAGTTTGATTGCCTATCGGCAACTTTGACGAGTTTCTCTCCACTGACAGGGTTGTTATCGTCGACGAGATACGAGGATAACGGGTGTTGCGAAGCGGTAGTTTTGGAGCAAGTCCGACCGGTCCGGTTATTCCCAGTCTCAGTTGGGTGGGAAAACTGCCCGTTTTCAGCCATAATTCCCGCATTTCTCCGCCAAACTCCGATTGGCTGTTATCTTGCATGGATAACGCAGTCATGGGGCGGGACAACGGAAGTAGGGCGAGACAGAACGATTGAATGAGACAATGGAAAAAAACATAAACACCAGCCAAGAGAGGACAAAAGAGAAGACGGAGAGGACAAAATATCTTTTTTCTTGTTCCAAGGCTTTATATCCTCGATCTACAGACGTACCGTACACTCCTCGTCCCTACACTGCTTGTATCTGCACTACTGTACTTGTCAATCTACTCAGACGATTCAGACAACTCAGACAGTTATCAGCCAAACGTGAGAGATTCGGTAGTTGCAACTGATGAAAAGTTCGCACAGTGGTTCAACTCCCCCTGACAGTTCTGCCAGTCAGACAACTTCGTCAGCTCCTTCACCCAGACAAACTCCGTTCAACACCGTTCAACACCGTTCAACACTGTTCAACACCGTCCGCCAGTCAATTCCATGCGCCTCCTCCAGTCAATTCCATTCACCTCCTCCATCTCCACACCCATCCATAAAGACGAACCCTTGCACGCTGTTTCACCTTGTTCTTATACCCCGAGCCAAATGTGAAACCTCATGTAATTTCGCCAATGTGCATTAGGAGGGCTGGAGGGGTCACGTGATTGAGTGTAATGTGAGACACCACGTGGGTCGATGCGGAGGTGGAGATGGTGGGGTTATGAGTGGGTTGTAGTGGTGGGATGTGATGGTAGAAGTGATGGTAGAAGTGATGGTAGAAGTGATGATGTACTTTGTTGGGAGCATTAACCAAGTTTGGATATAGTTAGGAGTATAGAGGGATGAAAGTGGTACCTCATTAAAATTTCAAAGTAAAGTCAAGTGTGTGTAGTTGAAAGATTTTGAATGCTGAAGGAGAGCCATTTTTGTTCGATTGTGACCACTTGTGACTTGGCCAAACCGCGAAAAGGAACATGCTCTTCCAACCATGTGTACTTATAGTATCGCTATTTCAGGGGGATTAGCTAATCACTGACAAAACTGACGTTAACACCATGACCCACAAACGAGACAAACTCCAATTCAATGAGTAGTGGTCAGATTTGGACAGAAGAAGCGGCAAGCTATTACAATCTCGACATTGATTACTATTTTCAACTCTTTACTTCTTTCACTACGTTCCAATGGCTTCATTTTAGTCCATACAGCATCCATATTGTCTCCTCCTCCCCTTTCTTCCCTCTCTGTCTGTTAGTAGCAACGCCTGAAACATACACTCTTCAACATTCTCTCGGAAATACCCTCCATGAACTGTCAAAAAAATAGGGACTTAATTCTGATACCAGTCGCAGAGTATTGGCGTTCGTCTCGCTGAGACTGGCGAGCCCTAAGATTTTTTGAGACCTTTTTTTAATATGACGACATTGACTACGATACTTGTAAAGATATATGGAGTAATATTGAATACTGATATCTCCTCAATAATCGCACAGGTCCCTTTTAGTTTGTTCAATGGCAGGATTGACAATGTTATTGGATAATAGAAATATTGAGAAGTCAGTGGTAAGTTACAGAGTCTGAATCCACAAAACCACCTATGGAAACGGCTATCTGAAACTACCCCATCAGGGAAAGATAAAAGAAGCCCTGGCTTGATACATTCAACCAAGTTCCATCAACAGATTGAATCAAATCCATACTTCACATCCACTTTATCAATCTATGATCCACCAAAGTCACCCAGTGTCATCATCAGTCATGTTCCAGCATCCTCTCTCACAGCAGAGGGTAGGTGAGAGGTGTGTAGCAACCCAAGCAGGATAAAGAAAGCAGGAGTTCATCAACCACGGATTGAAAATTTGACATCAAGCCTGTCTCATATTGCCAACACAGCTTATTACTCCATCCACCGCCCCCCCTACCGAGCCCAGCAAACGTCTGTTGAAAATGGGTTGTCAATGATGAACCTCAAATCACCAAGGAATACCCAAAAGTCTTCAGTTCCCCAGACCTTTACCATCACCACACCCAAGCATAACATCTTGTTCCTGAATAGCTAGAATCTCGGCGTAGAGGTACGGCGGTAATCAGAAGAGCCTTGGCTGGAACAAACACGTGATGCTAGAGTGCAGTAGGAAGGTCTGATCACATGATTCGCCAACACCAGCCACATTGCGCCATCCATCTCTGGTTTCACTCCCCTCAGTCATGACGTGATAATAGCCTTTGAAAAAAGTGTGGCTGAAGTGTGGCTGGGATAGCCTGAGATGGTGATCTGGACAATAGACAAGTCTTCATCTGATTCATGGACATCATTTCTCAAAAAGGAGTTGAGAACGGCAAAGTCGCCGTTTCTGCACCGGTCAAGCATCCGGAAAAGAAAAAAATCATTCTCAATGCCTTTGTCATGAACACCCCCAATCATCTTAACGCTGGACTCTGGAGACACCCTGAGAACCGGCAGAAGAACTGGAACGACCTTGACCACTGGGTCGAGCTCGCCCAGCTGCTCGAAAAAGGCAAATTCCACGCCATATTTGTGGCCGACACTGCAGGAGTTTACGACGTTTACAAGTCCGAAAAGGATACAGCGATCAAGACTGGTACCCAGTTTCCCGTCAATGACCCGCTTTATCTCGTCCCTGCTCTATCGATGGCCACCAATAACATTGGCTTTGGAATCACCGTATCAACCACCTACGATGTGCCCTATGGTTTGGCCCGTCGTTTTGCCACTGTCGATCATCTGTCCAAGGGCCGAGTCGCCTGGAACATTGTCACGTCGTATCTCGAGTCTGGTGCCATCAACCACGGTCTGGACTGTCAGATTGCTCATGATGAGCGGTATAACATTGCCAACGAGTATCTGGACGTGACTTACAAACTGTGGGAATCGTCATGGCGAGAAGATGCGCTCAAGAAGGACGTAGAGGCCAATGTTCTGGTCGACCCGGAGCTCGTCCGATACATCAACCATGAGGGCAAGTATTTCAAGGTACCGGGCCCTGCAATCACTTCTCCCTCGCCCCAGAGAACTCCGTTTCTGTTCCAGGCTGGCATGTCGAAAGCTGGACGTGGGTTTGCATGCAAGCATGCTGAGGCTGCGTTTGTGGCTGGTCCTACCCCACAGTTCATTCGTAAGTCGGTCGACGATCTCAGAGAACAGGCCGCAAAGATCGGGAGAGACCCCCAGAGCCTCAAAACCCTTGCCGTGATGTTTGTAATTGTGGCGGAGACCGACGAGTTAGCACGGGAAAAGTACGACGAATACAACTCGTATGTAGATCCCGAGGGTGCCTTGACTCTGTTTGGAGGGTGGTTTGATCTGGACATTAGCAAATACCCTGACGACCTAGATCTGCGAGAGGTGACAGACAATGATACACTTGCAAAGATCATTGCGCAGTGGGCTACTTCTTGTAGTGAAACTGACGGAATGTGGAACAAGTCGCGAGTGGCAAAGGAGTATGTCATTGGTGGACGAGGAGAGGTCATTGTCGGCTCTCCCACCACTGTGGCTGATAGACTGGAGGAGTGGGTGGAAATCGGAGACGTGGATGGCTTCAATCTGGCCAGTGCCACCATTCCAGGCACCTATGAGTCCATCGTTAAACTTCTGGTTCCCGAGCTACAGAAACGAGGTCGATTCTGGGAGGACTATGCTGTTCCGGGCGGTACTCTCAGAGAGAATATTTATTCCTCGCCCGGCCAGTCTCATCTCCGAGACGATCATCCTGCCAAAAGATTCACCTGGAAGAAAGACCAGCCTTTTCCTCTTGGAAAAGATGGCAACCTAGTGACTGAGGAGGACAGTGAGCGGGAAGAGAAGGAAGGAGAGACAGTGACAGAGGAAAATAGGGCCACTTCTGAAGGGCCTGTTCCAAAGCGAGTAAAGACTTCAGCTTGAGATTAGCACATAGCAAGAAGATGATGACATCGATTAGATCAGCGTTATGTGCAAATGCCAATGTGTTTGTGTGGAGTACTGTAATGGCATTTGCGGCTCGTTTGTAATTCGGTATTGTATTGAATGATCCAAGTTGGGTAATCGTTCTTCATCAAAATACTACTGTTGCCTCACAACGTTGTGCACATATGAAACTGCTCGCTTGGTGAGAGTGTGACAGCTTGAGATTGTACTTGTGGCAGCTTGAGTACTCATGGTCTTGTCGAATGGGTTTGTTCTGAGACAGCGCCGGTCACCTCAAACACCTATAACAAAAGAACCTCTTGCCTCACTCATACTCCTCCTACTGGCACGCAAAAACCCACTCTGATTTGGAGACAGAACATGATTGCGTCCTCGGCTTTGTGGGGTTTGTGACAGCGAGGAGGAGGGTGAGTGTGTTGAGAGCTCCGTTCGTTGCGTTTGTGCCATGGCCTGTGTGTCACTGCGTTTGTGTCATTGTGTTTGAGTGATGTGGAAGAAGAAGAGTCGGAAACGAAAAAGTTGTGTTGGCAAATTGTGGTGGGGTGTCTTTCAACTACAGTACTGAATTTACTTAGGAATAATTCAATGTCACTTGATATTAAACAAAATACCATCTGTAAATGTACGATTATCGTAACTAATACTGTAGTGACGATATATACTGCAATCTCCTGTACATAAACACCTTTCACCTTCACGCTCCATAAATAATCAATATATTTGCAGCCAATCAATCCGTTCGTGGATTCAAATAGCCGCTCTTAAATATTTAAATACATCCCATCCCCAGCCCACTAGATTTACTACCCTTTGATCAAAACTGTATCAATCCAACTCTTACGACGCTGAACACGGTACTGGGGATAGTGCACGGCCAGCACGGCTCGAAACTCCTGCTCGCAAAACGTCTCCATGGCAACCACCAACTCCTGGTTCGAAGCATTCCTCAGAGAATCACACAGCGTCGTCCACTCGTACACATGCTTATGTGGCCATGCACGAGACAAATCCGTGGCCGGAGACTTGGAAGACGCCATTGTCTTGAGGATCAACAGGCGCTCCAAAGTAGCCAGACTTCGCGGAAGCTCTTCGGTGTTCAACGGAGGAGTGAGAGGGAACGCCAGAGCAGGGGAAGGCGGAGGAATATGCTCCAGACGAGGAGGCATGGTGTGCATGATCTGCGGAGTGGGCATTATCGGACTCTCGACCTTAACGATGGCCTCCACGGGCTCGCTCTTGATCTCCCGGTATACCCACGGAAACCGCTGCCGAAAGTGCCGCATGACATTTTCATGAGAATACGACGTCTTGGCATGCTCGATGGCGTTGGCGTCCACTTTGTTCTGGACGTGCAGTGTCCGCTGTCTCCAGGCCTGCTGGGTGCGGTGGGGGAATAGCTCGTGTAACTTGGTGGCCGTCGTGGTGGGGGACAAGGACAGGTGCACGAGCACCACATGGTCTTCGAACTCGTCGAATCTGGCCTTGCGCAGGAACGACTCATCCGCGCGCGTTGCCATGCTCTCGTTTTCGGGTCTGTACGTCTCAGCGTTGTATACCTGAGGGAATCGCGCCTGCAAATGTTCGATCGTTGCCTCGTAGCTGTACTGGGAGCAGCTTACCTGCGCTGTTTGCTGCCATCCAGGTACTGCGCGCAGCACCCGCATACGTTTGTCCCAAGCACGCACCGATCTGTGGGGGAACAGGTGGGCCATCTGTCGGGCAGCAGCCTGAACCGTCTGGCACAACGCGATATGAGCGTATGTGGCTGTGTTCTCGACATCTGTGAACCGAATTTTCTTATTCTCCTTGACTAGTCGGTGTGATGTGGCCGAGGTGGTAGGTTTGTTCTGTGTCCATGATGGCAACGGTCCTGTGGAGACAGGAACCTTGTAAACTTCTGGGAAGCGTTTTTCGAGTTGCTTTAGGGCGTGCTCGTGGTCGTAGCCAGCCTTGGCCTCTGCAGCCATCTTGGAGAACTCCATCGAACTCATTTGGATCATCATACGACACCGGTTATTCCACGCACACAGCGTGCGGTGAGGAAACTGTGTGTGCAGCTCTCGTGCGGCCTCGATGATGGTGGGTGTGGCGCCCTGGTTTGACAGACACAGCACAATGGCCCAGTCCTCGAACACTGCAAACGAATACCACTTGCGGTCGGGTTTGTCATGTGAGAGCGACGACGATTTGGCGAGCACTCGATCAGTGTAGACGTCTGGGAATCGGGTTTTGAAGTGAGTACGGAACACTTCTTCGGGAATCTCCTCCTCGCCATTGGCTCTGCCTTGGCTCTCCTCTGCTCCCTCCAGGTCTTCTCCTCCGGCCTCCTTGAGGTTCTTGTACCGGTACAGCCACTGGTTGTAGCTTCTGTGGGGGAACTTCTCGAAAAGCAGCTTGCAGGCGGCCGAGGTGGAGTTGCCGTTCCAAATGTGGATGACGAGACACATGTCCTCGAGCTGGTCGAACGGCTGTCGCTGGGCCTCGAGCGTGCGCAGGATCTCGTTCCAGTTGTGGTTGGTTTTGGGCTGGGCAATGTACTCGCGACACTCCATGTTTCGGGCTGTTTCCAGCAGCTTGACCGCGGTGGCAAAGCAGATGTTGGTTGGAAACATATGGGGTGTTGGGGCCGACTGGACTTGTGTTTGTGTCGACTGCGGCGTCTGTGTCGTTTGGAGTTGTGTTTGTGTCGACTGCGGAGTTACTACCTTCATCTGCTCCGCACTTACTCTTTCTCTCCCACTACGGGTCCGACTTTGGGAGTCTGTTTGTGTCTCTGTGTCTCTGTCATTTGGCTGAGACGGCAGCGCGGTCTGGTGCTGGTAGGCCGCCAGCGCGCGGTCGGCGTCGGCCATGGCGATGCCCTCGCGCTGAGCGATGGCATAAAGAGTGCTTCTGAGGTGGTCCATGGCGAAATCATTACTCTGCTACCGTGGGTATCACCTTGTATATGAGGTGCAAGGGATTTAGGTGCCAGTGGTGCATGACACCATGCATGTGGGGTATCAGCCGGACACTCAACGGGCAAACATGTTTGCGGGTTGCATGGGGCGAGCGCCAAGCAGGCAGAGCGGGGACGGTGGGTTTTGTGGCTCTGGGGAGCTGGGGGAAATGGTTGCTGCGTTGGCTGGAGTTGCGCTCGCTCAATAATCCCAGCCAGGCCGCCATGAGTCGTGCTCGGATCCCGTATCACTGTGCGGCTGACTCTCCTATTATTGCCTTTTTGGACCGGTTGTGAAACCTAAAAAGTCGTTTTAACCGAACCCAAAGGTAGCATTAGCCGGCAACTTGGATAGGGTGAGATTAAGCGATGATTTGGAGGACCACCACTGGACATACGTCAACAATCACCACAAATCGTCGACCACAAATCGCCAACATTATCAGCATTATCAGCATTATCAGCATTATCAGCATTATCATCATTGTCAACATTGTCAACATTGCCAACATGCTCAACATCGCCAACAAACGACCTTGCGTTCCTCTCCTTTTCTCCAGCCACCTGCGCTCTCTGTCTCCAGGCTCCCTCCTCACCAATAACAACCACGATAAGGAGATATGCAGCAAAATCCATGTCCATACGCATGCACAATGGCCTCTCTCTTTCCCCATCCACATTGTTCGCTTATGTTACCTTGAGGTATCTTGGCATGATGCATCTCAGCCGTGTCGTTGAATGCCGGACGATGGGAGATTGACACCCGTGACTATCGGGGGATACGGAAGTTCAATCGAAACGAAAATTGCACCAATCGAATCTCCTGACGTTGGCGATCACAACGAAACCGCCATATCCGTGGTGGAGACCACAAAACCCACTCTTTTGCCCATCCTCTCCCAAAAACAACCTTTCAACCCGGCATTTGCTTCCCCACACAACCATGTCACAGTCCTACTCGGGAAGGCCCAAGAAGCGGCTTTTTGGCGCATGCTGTGATTAGTGATCGTCTTGTGGATATATCTCCAAGCCACAGTTATCAAATCGGGCACTGTGCGATTCTGGAGATAGTGTCAGTCAGTCCTCAACCAGCACCTAAAACTATGGTCTGTTTTTTTTTTCACTCCCCGGCTGTCAAATCGTATTTGAGACACTAACAAGTGTCAGCCGTATAGCCGACGTGTGGACTAGGCTATAGTCCGATAATGCCAACGTTACTTGCACTTAGTGCGAACGGCTAGATGGTGTTTTGGTGGTAGTGGATGTGAGGTGATATGGCAAAACAAATAAAAGGCCCCATTGCTTTTGATGTGGTTTTGGAGACACTGTGGAGACACTGTGGAGACACTGTGGAGATACTGAGGAGATACCGTTTGGAGGTAGCAGCCTATGACCGTCAACTTGGTCTACAAACAACATTCATGAGTCTACCAGGTCTACAAAGACCCATGAGTCAACCTACCTTGTAGTCTACAATTTTGATGAGTCCACCTGGTCTACAACATCCATCAGTCAACCTGGTCTACAACATCCATCAGTCAACCTGGTCTACAACATCTGTCAGTCAACAGATCTATAAATCTCAGAACGCCTGCTCAACGACGTCATTGCAATACGCTCACGTTTAAAAAAGGGCTTAACTTTGGACCCGGCCTATGGCCTACTTTTGGGATCTGCCGGCTTTGTCTGCCTTTTAACTTTAGGGTCCATTTTAGCCGTTTAGCCTTTTGGCTTTGTCGAAAAAACCACTTGCGGGCTTTAAGGCTTTTATCATGTGAGATGCACTCACGCAGGAGGTGGACACATGGACATGGGGCGATAGCGGTGTATTGTAGATAAGCCGATACAATGGGGCAATGAGAGGGAGAAGAGGGTTAAGGCAGCGAGAGTATGGTCCAACCGTCTCACGGAGGGCGTTTTATTGATGGTATCAACACCAGAGAGAGATTGTCTACCATCCACCTTCACAAATGGTTGATTTCGTTTCAGAAAAGATTCATTTCGTTTCATTTTAGTCATATTTGCATTTACATATTTACATGGTGGGACTTTGAATCCTGAGTCGCATTTTACGGTATGAGTATGGTGAGTATGGCACAAGTACTGTACGGATTGAATGAGTATTGCACAAATTTTGTATAAGTATTATACAAGTATTATACAAGTATTATACAAAATTGCACGAGTATTATACAAGTGTTGTACAAGTACGAGTAGCTGCTGTAAGTAGATACTGTACCAAACCACTATACCGTCCTAGCTACTGTATCGTACATCTACAGTATATAGTCGATTGTACGTATCGCACTCGTATGTGCTACATTGTACTTGTACAGCACCGACTTGTTGTTGCTGTCCAGTTCTCTTCTCTCCCGAAAAATCACCACCTTGTACTCGTACTCCCCGGCCGACTTTCAGCCGACTAGTGAGGGGACCTTCCCCAAGCCCGATTAAAACAAAAATCATCATTAATTTGCCACAAACCGGACAAACCGGACACAAGAAAATAAATCTCCACATCTCCACATCCCGGTCTAGACCGCCCGCACCAACAATCGATGACAAATCCTCAACAGCCGGCTAAACTTGACGCTCACCACCCAACACGTCATTCGCTGTCATTCGTTGTCATTCACTCTAGTGTTGGGGTGAGGTCAATGTCATTACCAGTGAGTATTTGACATAATTGTCGATACGATAATAGTATATGACTGCTGCAATTTGTATGTCCAGAATGTACAAGTATATGTTATTATAAAATATATAAAAAACAAAAAACAAAAAAACAATGCACTTCACTGAAATTATAGTCGAGCTACAATATATATCTATATATTGTGAATGTGCAACCCGAAATGGCAAAATGGCAAAATATATTTAAAAGGACCAAATATTATACCACCATCGGAATCGTCACTCAATCTCGAGTCGTTTGATGTATTTTATGACCCAAGACGGATTGAAGGGGTCAGGTCGGCTGTTTACCAGTTTGATACAGTAACCGAAATTGACCGACATTGACCAACATCGACTGACATCGACCAAAATTGTACTCCTGGGCACTATTGTACATTCCGTCTTATCCCATCTTATCTTTTGCATCAGTCAGTCAACTTGAGTACAGACCAGATAGTAGATAGTAGATAGTAGATAGACAGACGATAGACAGACAGACAGACAGACATACAGACGGACGTTTAGATCAGGCATTTTAGATCAAAACAAATTCACCTCGATCCACCTCGATCCACCTCAATCCACCTCAATCCACCTCAATCCACCTCGAAGTGCAGACCCAACAAGTAAAAAAACCGCACTGTCAGACCTTTGCAAGCCGTGATTGGCGAACTCTCGTCTTTTCGTCGCCACCTCTCCTCCTACTAGCCTCTTGGCATGGCTACAGACAGACATTGGTCCAACCGTCACATCACCCATCGTAGACACTGGCGGGTAAATCTGCCACCTGAATTAATCACCAGTGTATGAGTCATACAGTCTGGTCATACCAGGGTTCTGGTTTGGACATACCCCCCGGATACTGGTTTGATCATACCCGGGTCTGGTCTGATCACGTGACGTTGTCATTATGGGCTATCGTCGATTGGTCTGTTTCTGATACTGCCTCTGCCTGTATCTGTTTGTCCTGCGCACGGACGCCCTACCAATCTCATTTCAAATCCCGGGACGACAATAGTCGGTGAGATCTGCGACAGACCCACTGCCGCTTCCGGACAGACGCTAATGTTTGGAGCTACTGACGGAGCCACGCATGGAGCTACCTGGGATAGACCCTTGCAGAAGTTTATCAACAGTGGGTCGGTCGGTGATAGACAGGGTTCGAGGCAGGTACTTGTAGTGGTTTCGAGCGTGATTTTGGCTGGGTGCATGTGTAAATCTGTGCGGATGGATTAGTTTCTAACCCTGGTCTGGGTTGTTTCACATGTTTCATGGTCTAGCGTGGTCTAGGGAGCATGTTGAAGGAGGGCGGATTTTCAGACGATATATCAGGACTTTCAAGTTTTAGAGATGATGGCACACTTGCGAGTATATTCCACCTCCTCCCGAAGGGTAGATTCCGTGTCTAAATGTGCCGAAATGTGCCTAAATGTGCCAAAAAAAAAAGGTGATTGGAAGAACTTATTTCAACGGTATACTTGGATTTCATGTCTTCCATCTTCCCAAGTTGATTCTTGTTCTCATTATATTACTGTGGAATTGTACTGTACGTACTGGTCAGGCTCTGGGCGGGATATTTGTATACTTAACTGTCCAACGATATCATCGATTGCACTTTGGTGTTTGGCGGAGTTTTCGGTAGCTATGATTCGATATTGACGTCAATTCTTCCACTAAACGTAACAATATAGTTGGCGAACTACTTGCCGACTATCACCAAACTTCTAGTCTAGTGTACCCAGGACCTTTCCAAGCAGGCACGGTTCCAGAGAGAGAGTTATCAGTTCACCTGAGTCAGCAGTCTGGAGTCTGGAGTCAGAGTCACGAGTAGTTTGCGGGCAGTCTGTCCACACCAGAAGCAATGATACGCTGATAAGTTGGTAGAAAGAAGCATGAGTATACTACCAGAGAAAGGGTCAGTGAAATATGTTACTCTTAAGCGTATGGTACAGTGGTGAAACAGATCGTCACAGTCACTTGTACAGTGTGTACAAGTCACCCATCTCTTCTACACTATCAGACATGAACCAAGCGTGTACTGTTCAACTTCTCTTTGAGAACCTCACTTACACAACCCGGATGTGCTCTCGGACACTAGCAACTTCTCTCTTGAACCAGTAGATCTTACCTTGTAGCGGCAAAGACGCGATTGCACACTTCTGGAGCACATCGGAATCTTCAATGACCTATATCCTACTATTAACACCAGCGGAGCCACTATCATTGTTGTACTGTGGCTGTTTATGAGGTGAGTATTGTGATGCAACGAGACCAACTTGCTAAAGCACTTCAAATCATCAATAGCTACAGCTGACTGTTTTTCCGAAACACACTTTCAACAGACCTACGAGTTGATCCCCATGCTGTACGTACTGCACTAAATACAGACAATCATCCTCTTCACACGGAACAATCTAGTGGAATAAGTGGACGGGCTGCAAAAGTGCAACTTTTTCGACGGCCGAGTGAATCTAGACGTCGAATGCGAGCAGTTTCTCAACCCAAAGCCTCAGAAGCTGAGGTATTCAGGAGGACGAGTGGTCAGTGAGCCTGCGGGCTAGTTTTTGACCTCGAACGTTTAGAACAGTGCGAGTGTGGTACTGTACTAAAAGTGTGTGCAAGTCTTTCAGAGAGCAATAACATATCCTACTAGTGCCTGGTATATATTCACATCAATTCCTTACATCTTCGCAGGCATGGACGGTCTGCACGTAGAGTCTGGGTATATCATAGAGACGCGGACCCCCTCGTCAGTTCTAGGGCCATTAGTCTGTATGCGTTCACGGCTTCGGAATACCTCTATCGATGCCTCTGAAACTCCAGGAAAGATGTTTGATTGGTGGTCTCGTATCGCTCCTCAAACTTGCTTCTCTTAGGTGAAGGGCAAGTCGATCAATTAGTCAGAAAGTAGAAAATAAAAGAAATAGAAGACTAGAAAGGATCCATAAAGGATTCCACCAGATTTAGACAAGACCAAACGAGTTTTTCTTGTTATTGCACTCCTGTCGCTGATTCGGATATCATTTTTGGTGGAGCCATAAACACATAATTCCGTCACCTTCTCTAAGACCACTTTGACAGGAAAATACATTCAGAAACATCAAAATTGAACTTCTACATGTTCAAATTACTTGTTGGATCACGAATATGAACTTCATGAGTCACATTTCCCTTCACATTGTCCCGCTATGTCCAGTCATAGTACTGAGACAGACTCAGGAATGAAGGGGTAATATTCCAGCATTAGAACAGCTTCAGACATGTAAAGTTGCAATTGATTCTGAAAATCAGCAATAAATAATCTCTAATCTACTCTGATTAAGTCTCTTGCTGTTTTCATCTTACTGTTGCCATCTTGCTGTTGTCTTGGATAGTAACATATTTCTGACGCTAAATTGACGAGTTTTGATGTCAGAATGAGGCGAATACCATCATTATATTAACCGTTCTTACTTCATAATTTTATTTACTATCCTGAATCATTTCAATCTATCTATCCTGAATCATTTCGATCTATCTATCCGGTAGCTACCCTGAATGGTCTCAGAAGAGATTCCGCCAACTCCCTGAACACTTTCAACTTATCCAAGTTCTCGTTTGTCTTTGAAAAATACTGGCGTAAGTGTAAATCAACTCTCCACACATCATATACCAACTTTGGTTGTATTTTCTTCTGTTTTTGACTCCAACGGAGCCCATCAGATCACCGAGTACAATACGTCCAATTCTCATCCAATTAAAAAGATTTCAATTGGAAATGATTATATTTACCGCGTATAATACAATTCTTCACGTAAATAACTCACCATCAGTCTGCGTGAATGCTTTAAATACTGCTTTTCTCAACATGAGTGCATCTGGACCATCAACCAACACTTCAGATATTGCTGAGAGAGACGAAACCAAGACCCCTTTTTATTGCACAGTCGCCATGAAAAATCCAATGGTGTGCTTTATTTTCTTCCACAGCTACAATAAGCTGCCTTTCAGCAGCTCTGTGAGAGACTAAAAAAATAAAAAAAAATAAAAAAAATCCTGATCTGGAACTTGGTCAACTGAGCATTAGTCAGACTGTTGAAGGAATGATTACTCAGTAGTTGGAATAATACTGTATAGAATTATATTTCTAATCCAATTCATGAATCAGCTCTGTTGCGAAATTTAACGCTGTGTAAAAAAAACACCTTGCTTCAGTCAAAATCCAAGTATAATACCAACTGTAGTTTGTTGCAAGAAAAATTTCAGGACGAGATTTGAAAATTAAAAATACAGCTGAATTGGTTACGGACAATTTCATAGTAGGTAACGTTGGTATTTTGAATAAGTTCATCTACCCCAATTTTCCTCACCATTTCTGGAACGTCTAATAAGGACCCCCAGCGTACTTTTTTCCAACAAATCCCAAGTAATTTTCTTAACTAATAAGAAGATGTACGTGTAAAATGCAGATGGAACATTCTCTCTGGCGATCTGATGATCAAATGCACATTAATAGAGAAAAACAGTAATGGTAAGGAAGATTGAGAGTAGGGGTATCTTAATTGTAAGCGGAAGTTGAACTTCAGCTTCAATTGGTAGACTGTTGTCGACCAGCAGACTGCATAGTCCGCTTCCGGGAACTGACCAAGTTGTCTGAGAGATACGGGTAGCTAAAGATAGTTTTTGTCTTCTTTTTTGCCATTAGTCGAGTATAATGACATAGATTGGGGGTGGAGGGGGTTGTAGAGGGTTGTAGAGGGTTGTAGAGGGTTGTAGAGTTGTAGAGGGTTGTAGAGAGTAATGGAAGGAAAAGAGGTAAGAGAAGGACGAAGAAGGATCACAAAGGGTTGTGGGTCCTAGAAGAGACACCCGGTCTTTGGTAGACTTATCTTGAAGCGGTCTCCAAAAGAGCGTCGACAATTCTCTCAGGACCCATACTGTAGTTGAAAAAAACTGAGGAGCCTTTGCTCTCTCGACTCTGGTTTGTGATAGAAAAATCGAGCCGAGTCGGTATTCATAATGTACAGTAGTCATACAGTCAGCTACAGTCGTGGATGGCGGCCATAGCTACGATATACATCATCTACAGATCCGCGAGACTGAGTCAATCAGATGAGACTGGGTTATACGATTGGTGGTATTGGATAACACGAGTTGAACCCTTGATCCCCCATTCAATCGACTCCAACTGTCAACGTTAGTATAACGACTTGTCATGGACATTTCTAATCGAGTAGACGACCTCCGAATCACGAATAATGCTCTTCAGAAGTCCTATATCTTCTCTGAATATAACCAATCTACAACCAATATCACATCAATGCAATTAATTGTGGTACAGTGAGTACTCGGACTAAAGTGAGTCGATAAGTACCCAAGACAATGTCTAGACGTCACAATACCCTAGTTCGCCAAACTTCCTCCTCTCACCTGCTTCTCCACTCACTGCCAGGCATACCGCTTCACCTTCTTCACCTGGCACTTTTCACATAAAACAACACCCTCATTGGTCAATGTAAACTCCTCCTTCAAACCAACTCCACACTCCTCACACGAGTAACAGGCCTCACACCAAAGACGATCCAAAACCTCAATTATCGGATCATTGACATTAAACACGTGACTGCATCGCCAACACTTTTCGGCCGTCTTCACATCATAGCATGGACTGCAATAGGCATGGCCCTCAATGATATGATGCTGCTGGCCCTCCTGAAACGGCTTACCACACTGAGCACAAAAGAAATGGTCCACGTGATACGTTTTTCCCATAGCCTGCACATAATCGCCCTCAATACACGAACTGCATTGAGCACACTTGGGACTAAAAGTCTCGTGATAGTCCACGTGACAAAATAACATGTCTGAATGAGGATCAATGTAATGCTCCATATGCTCAAGAGAAGAGTCACAGATACAACACCGGAAACACCGCAAATGGTAAATGTCACGTGAGCCCGACAAGGATTCGGTCTGCACGATTCGCTCGTTCATGGCCACGTGATCATCGCACACAATGCATCTAGGCCGGGTGCTAGACACGGACTGAGACATGTATGAGGGCTGCGGAGGCGCGCATGGGGTCACGTGATGAGGCAGACTCTTCACGTGAGTCGAGTCGTGGGTGGGGCTCTGGGGGTCACGCAACTTGTGGGGGTCTCCTGTGGGGAGGTTGATGCTGGGGTCGTCGAGCACGTCCGGTCGGGACGGGTCACGTGTGTAATCACGTGAGTGGGGGAAAGCCGTCATCCTTAAATCACGGATCTGATCGTGTGACATGTCACCCTCCTGGAACGACCTCTCGCTCTCTTCTCTCACAGTCTCCACTGTGACATTGCCAAAATCCTCATCGTAACAACTGACACGTGACCCGGGTCGAGCAGCACACATGTCGTATCTGAACGAGCCACGTGACACATTGGAGCCCACGGAGTCGTAGCCAAAGGTGGAAATTGAGGAGGTGGACGAGCTGAGCCCGTTGGAAGTGTTTAGTCGATCTTTAAAGGAGAAACTGGAGGAGTTCAAGTCTCTAGAACTGCTGTAGACACTCTCATCGTGGCTTTTCTCAGACATTCTGGAACTGGGGCGCTCCTGTCTCATAGAGTCTCTTCTCTCGGCCAGACTAAATCTAGAAGTGTTGGCCCAGGTTCGGTTAGCTCGAGAGGTAGGAGTGGAAGCTGAAACTGGAGTGGAGCTTCGACTGGAGGAGGTGGTGCTCACCGAACTGACACTTCCTCTGGTTCTAAAGTCAGATACAGGACCGTTGTAGGAAGTGCTGGAGACAGAACCATTTTGAGAACCACTGTGAGCACTGTGAGTTGGCGTACCAGATCTGCTGGAATGGTTGCTTCTCAGTTCTCCAACAGTCGGTAGTGCAGCCTCCTCTCTAGCCATGGCAGACTTGATCTCTCCAATCGTCATCATCTCCTCGTCGTCAGAAGATAGAGCCAACTGAGGAGACAACGGAGGTCTGAAACTGGGGGACGAAGATTGAATAGGAGAGTACTCGTCGTCAGAAGACAAGTCGAAGGAGGTGTTGATGGGGGGGGCAGGTGCCCTCATCACGTGAGGAACACGCGATCTCGAGGGACTGACGTAATCGGGGATGGGGGATTGAGACCGATATTCAGATGCAAATCCAGACCCAGACGTAATATCATAGCCAGGGTTAGGAGACATTGATCTGGTTTCGTAACCAAGGTGAGGAGAAACAGATCGATAGTCAGCCGGAACCGGAGACCGAGGCATGACAGGGTTAGGAGATGTCGATCTGTCCATATGAGCCATGTAACCAGCCCCAGGAGATCTGCCCATGCTCACGTGACCAGGGGATCTAGACATGTTCATTGGGTTAGGAGACCGGGACATGTGATCGAGGCCGGGTGATTGAGACATCATGTGGCTGGCAGCAGGCGATCTCGACATGCCCCTGTTCTCCATAGTTCTCTCCATGCTCCTGTCCATTTGCTCATAGGAATGAGCCACCGGTACAATGTCCACGGGGACATGTCTGGTCACGTGGTCGTCATATGTCACGTGGTCGTCGTAAGTCACGGGGTCGAAATCTCTGTTGTAGTCTCTGTTGTAGTCTCTGTTGTAGTCGCTAGTGTATGTATCACGTGGAGTTTCTCTAGGATGAATGATATGTCCTCCATGACCATGATCATAGCCAGATGGGGGGAGGGTCGATTTGTGGTCGTCATAACCGGTTCTTGAGACATAACCGGAGTGTCTGTACTCATCATCACTGCCGTCGTCTGCCAAAGGGATGCCCAACTCCTCCACCGGGTAGGTCTGTCGAGGTAGATGGTACTCTGGAAAGGAGTCTTCAGAGTGGGTGAAATTGCGCGCGGTATTTTCAAAGTCCGCGTAGGTAGGTGAATTGTGGCTGCCATGGTGACTGTAACGGTTCATGTCATTGTTGACACTGCTCATGTCGTTCTTGTTGCCCATGAACCCTTGATGCTCAACCTGACCCGGCTTCAAAACAGGAATGTGATCGAGATCATCGCCGGCGCCAGGGTTGGTCACGAGACCTCCCGCACCGGCCGCGGGCGGTTTGTTTCGGTTGTATTCTCTCAGAATCATCTCTTTTTCGATCGCCACTTCTGCGGCGTTGACTCTGAAATCGCGGTATCCCGACTCTTCAACCGACGGGCTTTTTCCCCCTAGTTTGTCGCGGTGCCACTTGGGCGGAATGTACACCTTTTGCGACTCGGAAAACGTCTTGTGGGTCGGAATTGACATAATATTGCGCTTTCTGGCGGTGCAGATGACAGAAGTTGTTTGGAGTCTCCCTGAAGACGTTGCTATAATATGTACTGTCTGTATTTCCGATGGCTATTTGGGGGTTTCCTAAAACGGTACAGGAGATATGCACGAGGTTGTCATGGCGATGGTGATAAAGTTTAATTTCGGTGGGGTGATGAGGTTGTGGGTTCGATTTTGGAGGGGGAATATATGGAGTAGTGTTTTATGTGGGTTTGATTTTGGGTGAGAAAATCGGTTTGGAGGGCGAAATTCCACCAGAGGAGCGTTCATTTTTTCAATAAATGCTTTATTTGTCATTTGACAATGTCGGGATTGGTTTTGATTAGATTTTTGGAAAGTGTCGATGTTCCTATGAGAATTGGTTATAGGAGCTGAACTGGAAGAATATGATTAAGTGAAAAGTTGCTGAAAGAATATGTTGATCTGGGAGTGAGTTGCAATTTGGTGACCGAAAGAATTCTGGAATGGTTGGATGGATGGATTGTACTTGTACTCGCACAACTGTCAGAGCACTTGTACTCCAGCGTACTGGTACCCACTCTGTTAACTGCAATGCTGACATTCAACATTCAAACATCACCGGTGGCTCTTTCTTGTAGACATTTCCGTCTGCAACTTCATATACAATAGATCTGTTTTTTCAGTAACTCAGTAACTCACTCATTCCTAGTCAACTTCCCATCCCGGGAAACAGGTCAACATTAGACGCTACTACAGACGCTACAACCCCACAACCCAGACACATCCAAAGAGAGAAGTCACGTGACCAGAAAAGGTCCACTGCTGGGATTTCAGGAGGGAGAAAGGCTTCATATGTCATTTTTGGTGGGTATGACGTTTCAGTTTGAGACCATGTGTTTTGATCCAGACACTGGGGGCGTTCTGGCATGGGGATGTAGGTTCCAGAAAGCGGGATTTGTCTTGAACGGTTCTCCAACAGGGTGATAGTGAGCGACTGGATGAGTCTCGTGTTGTGATCCAAATTAACTGTGACAATAGATGTTTATGTTTTGTTTTTATCTCTCTGAAGATAGACTTGTAAGACTTGCCTAATACAGTAATATGTTTTGTTTTTATAACATAATATGTTGCTGTTAAGGAGAGCAGCTATAGTTAGTTTAATAACCGAAACATAAAGTAACGTCAAGTACAGTACAAGTATTGTTAAAAAAAGATGAAAAGGGAAACAGTCAACCCAATAGGGCCCGTAGTCATCACAATGATGAATTAAATACTCCAGTAGATAGCCCTGGCCTCATTGAATCTTCCCCGATTACCCAAATGTCTCTACTCCGCCCACAACCTGTTCTGGAGACACTTATTCTCCCTCCATAGCTCCAACAGATAACTCCAAAATACCCACTAACGGCAGTCATTTTTGAAATTACAAAAACTGTTAAAACTTGGCCAATTCGGCTCCTATTGGCAAAAAATAAAACAACCACTATATTCTCCGCTCCTCCAGCTACAAAATTCACCTTTTAAAATTCCAATTAACCCCCCGCCTCGTGTTCTGGCTCCTCCTGCTGACTAACTATCGTGTGCCTACAGATGTACATGAAATCTGCACAAGATGAAACCATCTCATCTGGCGATATCGCCATTTTTTTATTTTTGAACCTCACCGCGAGAACCACGCACGTGACCAAGCGTGAAAGAAACCACGTGATCCAAGGACACACAGACGACAACACGTGACTCCAAAGACACAAACCGACAACACGTGACCTACTCAACCGACAGCTGGAACGCCCCCACCCTTACCCCCCCCTCATGTTTCCTATAGACGTGTCCATCAACGGACCTCCAAACGAGGACATTGTGTTCGGGTTCCCGGGCATTGCGGCGTCATGGCCACGATTGGAAGGGTCGGTGGAGATCCGGTCCAAGGACGGCTCGTTGCAGAAGATTTCGCTCGTGTCGATAGCTCTGTACCGAACCGACACGATCCACGCGCCGTCGTCCAAGCCCGGAATCAACGCGCCCAAAAAAGAGCAGTCGTTTCTAATTGGCCAGGAGCAATCGCTGTTTCAGACATCGGCCGGGCGCGCCAGCGAAACCGTCGTCGCCATGGACCTTCCGTTCATCTACGAGATGCCCACCAACCGGCCGTTGCCAGCCAGCATTTCGCTGGGCAAAAACAGCGTCGAAACTACCTACAAGATCTTTGTCACCGTCACATACGGGTCTAACCAGATCATGCACACGTCTCACCCCATTCGAATCAAGCGATACGACACGCTGTCGACTTTTGGCAGCTTCAAGGTACCGGTGGTCAAAAAGGTGCAGTCGGCAGATCACCTAGTTGATGTCGACTACACCTATCCCGTGTCATCGTTTGGACCGCTGGACCCCATTCAGGTGTACATCAAGGTCGCCGCCAACCCCGATATCGGCAGCAAGTCCAAAAGAGTCAAGCTGGTCAAGGTCAGCATCCAGGTTGTGGAGGTGATCACATACAACCCCGAGGGAGACGAGCCGGTGGAAAAGAGACGCAAGGTGGTGAAAAACACCAAGCAGGTGGACCAGAAGCTGGCACGGGACTTCAAGTTTGAGCTCTCCATGGACTATCCTCAATATGAGCCCAAGGACAAGGACTCCATTGTTGCCAAGGAGCGACAGGATGTGCCCACGATAGCCATGAGCGGCTTTACCGCCAAGTCGTCGCTCTACAAGGTCGAGTATTTGCTGGTGATCAAGGCCAAGTTTTCCGGAGCCAAGGATATCGAGTCGGAGGAGAAGATCACTGTGTCCCCGTTTGGGCATGCTACCTGTATGAGTTTCATGGCAAGTATCGGCAAGTGTGTGGAGCAGGCAAAGAGGGTCGATAAGAAGAGCAAGCCGCCGGTGAGGCTTTATAGAGAGACCGATGCGGGGGCCTTGTGGTTTTTGGGGGTTCCTCCGTGGGCTGTAAAGACATGAGCCAGCTCGAGCCAACTCGAGCGAAGCGAGAGTGAGCGGACCAACAGTTGCCAGTGAGCGAACAGCAGTTGTCAGTGAGCGAACAGCAGTTGTCAGTGAGCGAACAGCAGTTGTGAGTGGACCAGCACACGCGCCAGACCGTAGTTACCTTGCTTTCTGCTACATTTACTGAGCTTGCATTACTATCTACTGATTACCCATCTGTAATAGGAGCTACGGTCATGTCAACTTCTGAACCCGGCATAATGCACATATTTATACGAATCAATCGATTTCGAGGAGAAATGTAACGAGGGCCTGGAATTCTGTCTACAGGATGGACCTAGAAGGGTTCCGAAGCGTATGAGTAACACCTGTCCTGCGCAAAAGTTGTTGATGGTCTTGTAAATGCTACCACTGCAACTACTATACTTGTAGGGTGAAGTGGCGTAATGGCCCTTCAGACGGCCCTAGCGTTCAATGGAAGGGTTCGTTGTGGCCCAATATCATGTCTAGTCAGTCTCTAGTTGACATATAATTGTCGCAGTTTATAGTTTAACAAAAATCTAATAATAATAATAATAATCTGTGGGAACTTTTTGTTGAGAAATCGGAAAGCTTATTTGCCTATTGTTGAGATTTGAAATATGAAATGGTGTAGCTATATGACACGGAATACCTTGGAATTCGGTATCATTGTACTCGTATGGACAAAATAAATAGGATTGCGTGATTCATGAGACAATTTGGTCAATATTTATTGTGTTCGATGGACGATAAATATCTGTACTTTGGAGCACGCTAACAGGACCCTAATGGCGGTAGAGGTGGAATGTGAGACAGGGAATGGACGTGGGTGGGGGTGTATATAAAGATCGGTTGAGCGTACATGGCTGTTTTTTGCTAGATATTCGGGGTTTAAGACCCCAGTCGAGTGAGTATGGGGTCCGCATTTTACTCTGCGAGTTACTTGGGGTGAACTAATATGGTAGAGATTATATCCTAATACTTGATGCAATTACTTGGAGTATAAGTTCTGCAGTTGACATTTTGAAAGAAACAACGGAGGGCAACGACGGGACTGAAATTCTTGGAGTGGTTTTGAGTCTGGTTAACCGATGCCCCGTCAGGTTTTCTGGACTTATTAAACGTTTATGGTGCACGTGATGAGCAATCAGGACGCCTTTTTGACGACACCTCCCTCCTATTATACTATGCTTTATTTAGTTGGAGTTAGTTGATGTGTTTTGTTAAAGAATGTCACACAAGGAGGGACTATCATTTGGATACTACTTCTGGCTCAAGAGCTGTATCATCTAATAGATGTGATTGGAGAGATTCTCAGAATGTACAGATTGTCATATTCTGTCCATTATGTCGCATGTCAGGGTCTCCATTAGTGCTCCACCCAATACCACCTATGTACAATGGGAATTAGTGGAGAGTTTCTTGACTACTTGGCAGTTACTTGATTGATACTTGACTACTTGACTACTTGGCTTCAATACTTGACTACACTACTTGAAAGTTACTAGACAGTTACTTGACACTACTAGACACTACTAGACACTACAGACACTACATGACCATGGAGCTTTACTCACCACCCAACTGCCCATTTTGAACCCCGAAAAGTTCCAAACAGTCACTTTTGTCCCCTGATACAGCTCCAAATGCCCTCCATTGTCCTCCTTGCACCTCCTTGCACCTCCTTGCACCTCCTTGCACCTCCTTGCACCAGTGCACCGTGCCCCAAAATACATCACGGTGTTTTTGCTCTCGTTTTTGCTCCCATATTGCAGCTGCGAAAATATAAATACGGGCCCAATTCCGCCTTAAAACGGCACTGTGGCGGTCTAGTCGGTTACAAGACGATTTGCCAACCACAGTCAGTCTCTACGGAGACTTTGTCCGGTCGAGGGATGTCTGGTCGGGTCTGGGGAGGTTTGAAGGAACCAGTCTGTGTGCCAGATTGCGCGTGGCAGACAGACGTGAGCGGTCACGTGAAACACCTTGAAATTGATGCAAATAATGGATATTGAATGAGTGAATGATTATGGTACTTGTAGAATTGTGATGTTTGTCCGTTTCGTACTTTTTTTAAAAGAATAAAATGTTATTTTTTGTTATTTTTTTTGTTAATCTTTTTTGCTTGTGTATTTAAGTTCCACAGCAAAAGAAAGCCGCATGCAGGTTTTATATTTTATATTTTATATTTTATATTTTATATTTTATTTTCTCAGAGTTCGATTCTCGCAGATGTCATTTGGTAGAGATGATAAAGTGCGATATGGAGTACATACTGTACTGTATTGTTTGGTTTGTTCGGTTTTTCGGTGCACATGGGCTTACTTGTACCAATGAGACAGTTGATAGAGCGCCGTACTGCACTTATGTGAGAAAAAGTCGACCGTGCCAGGTACATACGGTACAGTAAGAGTATGTACAGTGTACTTGTACTTGTACTGGTAGATCTAGGAATCTTCTTTACGTCAATGTCAATTGAAACCCTGTGCGTTCCTGCCATTGGGATGTGTATCAGACAATTGCAATGACTGAAACCGGCTTGGATTTAGTTGATCCGTCTTGCTAGGTCCATTACAGCAGCTGAACAGCTTCATTTTGACCTCCAAGGTCTTGTAGGTCAGCGAGTCCAAGATCATGACCAAAATCAACCCCGAGAAGACACCGTCTGGGAGTTTGGTTGTCATGTTATCAGTCGGCGATGACTGCAGGTCGACTTCTGGGTGAGATTGACATCTCTATTGCACCATGGCAGTTGTCAGAAGCGAGAGTCGTGTAGATATAACATGTCTCATCTCGGTTGGAGTACCTTCTGCAATCCGGCAACCTTTGGTATAGACGTAGCTGTCACACAAGTGGCTCGTACAAGTCGCCGCCTGGGCCCATCAAACGTTTCGTGTTAGTCCGAATGGCTGTGCCACTCGCAGTATGTCTTCTCCATCTGGTGCGACGCGATCCGAACTGATTCAGCTGACCGACAACCCCCCTACCAATCAGGCTAGACTCCGCAAACGCCCTCCGCGCGAGTTTATCTCAAGCCACAATAAGCCACAAGTCTGATCCGATCTGTTCTGATCGTCGCTTGTCAACTTTCCGCCCTTTTCCCACCTTTTTCCACCTTTTTCCGCCTTTTTTCCACCCTTTCCACCCGTCCACCCTTCCACCATTTTCCACCTCAATTTCACCTCGCTTAATACTCGGCTAATTACTCGGTTAGAAACAATCCCCGGCCCAAAAGCCAAACGGCCGATCACGTGACCACAGATTGACGATGATTCCATCCTCATCCATCTCCGTCCATCCTCGTCCATCCTGGTACTGGCACATCCGCCCAATTCGTAATTCATAAGCTTCCTCGACGTCCCCACGTCTCCACAATCCAAGTACACTTTCGTATAGCCGTAGTTGAGCATAGAAGGTGGGGGAAGGGGGAGGAAGGGGCATCTGAAACGAGAACGGAGAGGGATAGAAAGACAAGGCCAAATGGGTTGAAATTGCCAGACCGAATTGTGTTGATTTGTGTGTTTTAAAAGGCCCCAAGTAGAGTCATTGAGGTATGGTGGTAGTATCAATCCGGATTATACTGTAGCATATTGGATATATAGTAGCTACGATACATACACTACTGTACATACCACACTACAAGTACGAGATTGCAGATAAGACCTTTTATTAATTTAATTAAGTAATTAATTAATCAAGTAATAATCACACGACAATTCCCACTTGTAGTCGTAGCGGCCGACAGTTGTCATAACCACTGCAAATATCCTACTCCGACCGCACCAAGCACTCCAATGACAAGTCTAAGAATTGCGTTTGTCAGACCCAAGACGGAGTAGACAGGGCGTTAGAGGACATCAGGGGCATTACGACAGAAGCCCGGACTGTTTGGGGTCATGTGCGGTGCTCAAACCAACCCGACTCTCCATTTTCGGCGATATTTGTCCCTTGCTGGTGGTCTCTCGGACCCCCCCTCTCAGTTATCACTCTTTTGCCCCACAAAGTTTATGCAGCGGTTGTCAACACGGTTAGCAAGTGACCACTATCATTACAGTACATTACCACTACACCTCCACTCCACCACCACTCCACCTACACTACACTACACCATGCCTCCCTATCCAGCAGTACGAATCCCCGCCAAAGCGGCGCACACGGCCACGGTGATCTTTCTGCACGGGCTGGGCGACTCGGGAGCCGGATGGATGTTTCTGGCCGAAGAGGCCCGCAAAGCGCAGCGACTCAACCACGTCAAGTTCATCTTCCCTGAGGCGCCGCAGCAGCCCGTGTCGCTCAACTTCGGCATGCGGATGCCGTCGTGGTACGACATCAAGGAATTGGCCAACGTGAACGCGGCGCAGGACCAGGAGGGCATTCTGGAGAGCGTCGGGCGGCTGGAGAGCCTTATCAAGGAAGAGACGGACGCAGGCGTGCCGGCCAACCGAATTGTGATTGGAGGCTTTAGCCAGGGCTGCGCCGTGTCGCTGGCCACGGGGTGTCTGACCCAGACCAAGCTGGGCGGAATTGTGGGGCTGTCGGGCTACGTGCCCATCAAGGACTACATTCTGAGCCAACACAACACCACCAACCAGGACACGCCCATGTTTCTAGCCCACGGCACCGCCGACCAGGTGATCCGCTTTGACTACGGCAAGCTCTCGAGAGACTTCATCATCAACGAGCTCAAGTTCAAGAACGTTGACTGGCACCAGTACGAGGGCCTCACCCATTCGTGCGGCTTTGAGGAGATTTCCGACATTCTCAACTGGCTCGAGGAAAACATCAAGGAGTAAGTGCCACGCACGAACGCATTGTCGCCGAATGACGCCATTTGACGATAATCGTGATACTAGAGTGCGTAGCACATGGGCTGAGGTTCTGCCGTATCGCCATTGCAGTATGGCTAGCTTAGTATTGCCACAGACTCGAGAAGGAAGGTCTTATAGACGAATGGATGGTATAGGAATTGGTGTAGGTTGTACCTGAGATTGTGAAAGACGGTATTGTATGCGGTTTGTTGACTACAGCGAGACTGATGCTACAAATTGGAGGGGTAAATGGAAAGTCCGGCTTCCTTTCTGATTACTTGTATTCCTCCGCGCTGTCTCATGCGAGTGCGAGTACTGTACATACTGTACATCTCTTCCTCTTTCTTGATCATCTTCGGATTCGTTCTACGATGTGCTGTTCACCCTCGCCGTATCGCCATAAGTCGTGCGGCGCCTGCCTCCTACCTCTGGTGAATATGTGAATAAGTGAATAGGTGAATGGTTCTTCTCCGGGGGAATAGATTCTGGAGTGCTAGGACCCATCTATGGAATCGGACGGTGATGAGGAGTCAACAGATCACCGCCATTGACACCACTATCATCTCAAATCTCCACCAGATGAGTGATGGAAATCCTTGGAGAAAGCCTCGGCATGTCAGTACAAGTGGTCGACTCAATCTTGGTGGGAATCAACAGACAAGACACCAAGGTCTACGGCCATTCACGAACCGAGGTCCTGATGGGAAAAGACCGTAGACGTATTTCAGGCGGTAGGTGAAACGGAATGTCAGACACGGAAAGATATTATCAACCTGTGGAGTTGAGTCTGAAAAAGACTGGTAGGTCAACAACCCGCAAACTTTGTAAGTGAACTATTTGTTGTGGAGATCTGCCATAGTCGGCATGTGCTTGAAGTGGAGTGTGGAAGAGGTGTCTATGTGACCTGTGAGGTACCGATGAGTGGAATAGTCCGTTCGAACTAAGTAAAAATGCCAATAGATGGTCAGTGTGTCGTGGCCAGAGCTCGACTCCTTTTCCACAAGCAGGAGTGTCCAATTAAGTCGGATTCGAAGCATGAGTAGATCAGGCCAACTCGTAGACTTCAATCCGCCAGATCATAGAGGGAGTAGGACTGGAGTTTGGACAGCATAAATGCAAGTTGAAGCACTTTGTAGATGCGGAAATGCCCCTTTCGTGGTAGTTGTGAGGCCGCTAGACAGCTAGGTTGACGAGTAACAGACTCATGTCATGACCTGCACTGGGATTGTGCTGCAGTCTTTGGTCCCTAGACCGCTGTTCATAGATGTAAGTCTAGAGCTGACAGACAGGTATGTTCCGAAGTCTTCAAAGCTTGTCTGATACGGCGGATTACGCCCTCAAATTTCCTCCTGCAGTGGTGATCCGGTCGGTGACATTCGGACCACGTCCTCATATCACCTCCTGATGGACTCACGTTCGGTCCAAAAATTTGCTCACCTGCGTACTCTTCCGGTCTCCATCACTCAATCTTCTCTTTTTCACCATCCCCTCTCCTCCTCCCGTGCCCTGTCTCTTTCCTCTCTTCACCCCGGGTGAAGCAGTCCGCACCCGATCTGGGCTTGTGGAACCGGCGGGAGAAGCGGTTTCCGAGTAGTTGGATGACGTGGCGGCACGAGAGCCCCGGCCACTCCGCCCCCCACCGCTCAAACACCGCTCGATATGAGCACAGAACCGGGCTCCGGCCACCTTGCGCATACATTTGGGGCACTCAAAGTACTGACTATCGGCCGCCGATTCTCGCCCAAAAATGTCTCTGCCCGGAATCTGGGCCGGCAAAAGCCGCTGGCTCTGCAGATCCACCCGTTTTGTGTCCGCCGCTTTTTTCTTGTTGGTGTTGGAAGGCCCCGACGCCTGGGCCCCCGTCACCTCGGCCTTGCCACACCCGTACGTCTGTCGGATCCGGGTTTCCTTCAAAAACGCGCCGACTGCGATTTCCTCGGTCAGCGGGGTCACCAGACTCAGCAGAATGCTGGCGCCCAGCGCTCCTATCGAGTTTTGCGAGTCGTTGCCGTTGGTAGTCATGTGTTGCAGAGGTGGAGATTTCGGCGATTTCGGTGATTTGGGTGATTTCGGTGATTTTGGAGATTTGGGTGAACAAGTAAAAATGCAAACTACAGTTAAGATATTTTCAGATACTGAAAAACACAAAATAGATAATGACAGAACCCGCGGCAATGACTGGAGTCACGTGAAAAGGTCATATTCGGGTCCCCGCGTCTTTCTGGAATATTCTCGAGATTTTTCAGACTCGAACAGTCCTCCAATTTTCCCATTCATTCCAATTACGTCATAGTACAGAATTCTATGTACTGTAGCGATGGTATACTATATATACTATATATATAATAGGTGGTAAGATGTTGTCAGATGCAAAGAATAGATGAGTATATTTTGATATATGTGATTGTTTTTGGAATAGCTATTTCCCTCCGGCGATTATTCACCCAAAATCCCCGGAAATGATGCGAAAAGGACCAAAGTTGGATGCAAATGAAGCGAGAGGGACCAAAATTGAATACAAAATGATGCTTGAAATATCCACGCTTTCAACGGTGTACTTTCACGTCTCTGGCGTTGGTATTTGAGCCGATGTCAAGATTAGGGTGATGTGAGGAAGAACTAGTGAGGGTCATTTGTGGGCTTCTAAACGAATTTAAAAGTGCTAATCGGTGTCTGAACGGTGTCTGAGAGGTAATACTACAGTACTTTAGTCAACTTGATGGCTCCTTGAGATATAATCTGATTTCGGGTGCACTCTTGGAGTGTCGTTTTTTTGTTGACAATTGTTGATAAACTCTACGTTTAGTTGGGAGTAGTCAACTACGGGGAGGATCACTACGGAGAGTGACTACGGAGAGTGACTACGGAGAGTGTGACTACGGAGAGTGTGACAAAAGTGATCATTGATGGATTATTTGAGCGTAAAAACACTTAGAGGGGGGTTGGGAGTGTATCTGAAATATACATATCAGATTTGAACCTCGTTTTATTTCAGTTTTTTCTTCATCTTTTATCCGAATGTTCTCCCCAACCTGTCCAATTTTCACCAAAGACGTTCCAGAAAAGTCTCAGAATACTCAGGAGAAAACAAACTACTATTTGGTACCAATATTCTTTCAGTAATAACCCCCAATCCCTCCCTAATTTGCAAATTTCCCTTGCTCCGCCCTCATGATGATTCCACTTTGAAGTTTATCTCAAAATATTCATGCAGCCGGAATTTCACCTTTCACAACCACCATGGAAGACGACACCATAGATCTCGCCGACGAGCAGCAGGATTGGAGTTTTCTGGACGCGATCTCCGGCACCAAGACAACCTCTCCCCACGACAACAACCAGAGCTTGCCCAAACGCGGCGAAAAGGACTTTGAACAGGATGATACAGACTACCAGCAAAAGGTGCTCCAGAGCTCGCTAGACGCCATGTACGGCGCGCTGGGGGGCGAGAGACGACATAATGCCAAGAACCACGTGCGCGCCGTGTGGTTCGACGAGCTGCAAAAAGCACAGGTCGACGTGGCCCGTGGTCCTCATTTCAAGACGATCGGAACCTCGGATTCCCAGGGAAAGGTCTGGCTGTACCCGGAAGAGACCATTTACCTGCTTGAGCGAGGCAGCATGGAGCTGTTCTGGCCCAACGGAGTGCAAATCTCGCTGCAGGGAGCATACGCGGTCTGCGCGGGCAAAATGGGTGAAGATGGAATCGATAAGATCCACACTTATTCGCATCTGAAAAGAGCCGGTTTCGTGGTGCAAAGAGCATACCAACAGAGCCCGCCGTCGGTTTCTGTATCACGTGACCGACCCCTGGGCTCCTCTTCGTTTTCCTTGTTTTCGTATTCGTGGATCTACAGGTTCAATGTTCACAACATCCCGTTTCTGTGGACCCATCCCAGACAGCTCATTTTCGGCGTGTATAACGACAGAGACCAGATCTACCGGGATCTACAGTTGGTTCAGGCCTATAGACATGGTGGACCTCGAATGAGTCTCGAAACTGCGGCAGAAAACCCCTTCAAGGTCACGTACTTTGTGTGGAAGCCCCGAGCGGCAGATTTCAAGAAAAGCAGCCCTCCTCCGCCGGATTTCAAGATTGTCGTTGTCAACACGGAGCGACAAAATATGCCCACGCTGGAGCAGACGGAACAGCTGTTTGAAGAAGCCGTGAGACGGCATGAGAATGGCGACGTGTTGGACCAGAGACATATCATGCAGAAGCTCAAGTTTGGCAAACGGGAGATCATTCTGGCCATGTTGGACTACGGAGTGATCAATTTCGTGACGCTGGCCGACGTTTCGTTTGCTTCAAATCCCCTTTATGAAGACAAACCCAAGCCGAGAAGGAATAATGGTAAAACGAGAGGTGGGGCGAAGAAGAGGGGTGGAAAGAGGTAGAAGAGCCAGGAAGCCAGGAATCCACGGGCGTAGCGCGTGGCTTCTGCTCTCGTTCTCGTTTCTCGTGACTTACGCGTAGTTTCTGCTCTCGTTTCCGGTTTCCCAAGGCTAGCGCGTGGCTTCTTCGTTCGTTTCGCGTTTCTCAAGACTTCTACGGTCGTCTACAACTCGTCTACAGACACAGACATGTACAATATATGGTAATTGCATCGATGATAATGGTTGGAATGTGATCATGTGACTGATATGGAGGCTACCTTGCAAGATTTGGCCCAAGTATCTGCCTACTGTTACAGCCGAGATTGTGGTCTCCCCAACTGCTCAATACAACTATTATATATATTGTTTTGATAAGCAAACTCTGAGCTTTCTGACGAACCCATTGTCTGTCCCGTAAAGTGTCTAACGAGGGCTCAATGAGGAATTGTGAACGGAAATAAAGGTTCGCTATCAGAACCCTATAGCCGAATACGAGCAAGATAGTGTATAAGTTGCTGTTTGCCAAAGCTCGGCTAATATGTTCAAGATGGGATTCCTGTAAATATCTTCCTTGTCTTAATGATGCTCTGACTTCATCGGACCTCAAATCTCACCAAAAGCCTATCGTTTTGTAGTCTCCCCAGCCAATTGTCGTTTTGACTTGCCGGTTCTTCTCCATTAGTTGAAAATTATTTAAGGAAAAAAGTACGCTGGGGGTTCAAATTCGGTGTCCCAGAAATGGCAGAAAGGTGATATTTGTACGGATAAATAGCTCCACTGAATCTCTTCAAATTTATCAATGAAAATAACACCATTTTTTTTTCTGCGTATTTTTTTTTTTTCTGCATATACATTCATTTAATTATAACTTTGTATACATTCATTAATGTACAAAATTCCGAGTAATTTCAATTATTGTGAATTCTTACCTATTCCATTTACTTAGATTTAGTTGGGAGTTTGCGACACAATCTCACTTCCAAAATATATTCTTTCAAAGTTATAATTAAATGAATGTATATGCAGGAAAATATATATATATACTGTATATATATTTTGTTGCATCATGTGCCAACAACATGACATATTCGACCATGATTGTATCAGATAACACACGACTCCAGCTTCTACCAGTCACGTGACGTTCAGATGAGGCACAATTATGACATTTACCTAGTCCTGATAGCCCGAATCACATCAACATTCTTTATTTTCGTCCCCAATAAATACATATTTTCCCTCCTCTTACGGCCGTCTGTCCACTACTCAGCCACTTGCTCAGTGACTGATGTTGAACCCCTCGATGCTCGGCAGCAACTTGCCTGCATTCTTTGGCCGTCCTCTCTGCCGAATCTCAAACCAAGGAGGCACCTGGAACTTGGTCTGAGACCGCTCCGCAATGGCTCTCTTGCAACACAGCACACCTCGCATCAAGGTCGAGAAGGCCGCCCGCGTGCAATCACTCTGCTTGAGCCACAGCTTGCAATTGTGCCGGTAATAGTGCGGTCCAATGAACTCAAACACCGAGTAGCCCTTGGCCAGAATAGCTGTGTAGGCGTGAGAACACGGCATGAACGCGTTTTGGAACAGCCCGCACGTGCAGGTTCGCTCCACCAAGTCGACTCGAAAGTCACTGTCCTGCATGATGAAGCCCGCTCTTCGCAGCTGCGCAGCCGTCAAAGAGCCCACCACAAACGCCTCCAGATGCGCCTGTGCAAACTCACCAAACTGCGACGGCGGAATATACATCTTGTGTACGGCCACCGTGTCTCCGTTGATGGCCGACACCTCGTAGTACTTTGAGCACGTGGCGATCGCCATGAGCCGCGCATGGGGCGCCGGCAGAAGAACGTTGCCCAGTGGATCGCCATCCACAGGATCGGCCTCGCCCGTGGTTTTGCTCTCCATCAGAGAAGCGTCCACGATTCTATGTGCGCAGAAGACAAACACGAAAATTGGATACGTCATGAGACTGCGCACATCGTTGACTGACAGACCGCAAAAGAGATCGACAGTGCCAAACTTGCGCTGCTTGGCAAACGCGTCGGTCCAGCACGGCAGCTCGTGCAGCTTGCGGACCAACTCCAGATACTCGGGGTCGTTGTTAGAGGGCAACAACTCGAGCATCTGATGGTACACCGTGAGCACCCGGTCGGGATTGTAGTCTGTGGCCGCTGCCCAGAACTTGAGGTTGAAGTCCGACCGAGACTCCACGGGAATGTACTCTGCGACCCGCGCACAGAGATCTCGAGGACCCACACAGAGCTGGGCCTCGGGAAAGACCTCGGATGCAGCCTGTTCCAGTGCAGAGTTGAAGGTGCACATGAACGTGACCGCCCGATGTGACAGGAAATAGTCACTGAAACACTCCTTCATGTTGGACAGGAAATACTTCCAGTGCTTGTACCCGTCGGTCTGCACAATAGCAAACGCTACCGTGAGAACGACATCGTCGCCGTCGATCATTCGCGCAGACAAGAGTGTGTACTTGGAGCCGTCCAACAGACAATTGAGACGCATAGACGCCAAGACAAAGACGGATTTCGACGCAAAAATGTAGTTTTTGACGCTTCCCGTCGAACAAAAGAGTCCCTCAACCGTCAGCTTCTCGTCCTCCGTCTTACTGGTGTTACCGAGATACGACTCGATCACTTGTTGTAGTCTGGCAATGTCGAACGACTCCTCAATGGTTGTTTCGGACGCGGTTTCGTCCAGTCTCCCCGCACGCGAGCTGTAGACGTGGTTCAGATGCTTCTCCTTGTCGCCTGAGAAAGACTCGGCGAGAAACTTTTCAAAGAAGTCCTCGTCAAACTGCGTGTTGGCCCGCTTGCCCTTTTCCTCCTCCCAGGACTGGAAGTTTTTGAGATTGAGGGTCGGAGTGCCGCCCGTGGGCTCGTACATTTCCTCGCCGTCCTTTACGGACGTGTTTTTGAACTGGTAAGTGCGCGGGTTGCAGCCGTAGAAGCGGCACAGCTCCGCGTCCGAATGCAACGGGCCCATCTGGCTCTCCCAATACGCTCGCACCTTGGGGTCCAGGTGGTAGTAGGGTTTGGGAGGCCCGCGCACGACTGGTGGGTTGAGCACAAACGCCTCTTTGGGGGTCTCGTGACCAATCTGGTAGACTCCGCGTTCGGGGGACGAGACCAAGACGGAGGAGTACGAGTCGCGGTTCACGTACTGCAGATAGACGAGCAGGGGAATGAGCAGGTCGAACATTTCGGAAGAGTTTCGGATGCCCAGTTTCTGGTAGAGATGGAAAATGTCGCCGGCGGATCTGTCCAATCGGGAGTTCATGCCGGGGTCGTCGTCCAGCACCTCTTTGCCGTAGAAGGCCATTTTGAGCACCTTTGCTCCCTCCTGGGTTTTTGTGCTGACGACCTTGCCTTCCTTGTCTCTGACTGCGTATATGAAAAAGTACATTGGGTAGAGCACCGAGAAGCGCGGCAGGCGTTCGGGGCGCTTGGCCTTGGAGGGCGGAGCTGTAGTGTTGTTCTCGCGGGCCTTGTTGACGGTCTTGCTGCTCGCTTCCATGTCCACCGGCGGATGGCGCGGGGCGGTGCAGTCCGGGTCGTGTGGGGAGTACTGGGTGACGGTGCACTTATTGTAGAGTTCTTTGGGGAACATGTGGATGCGGATTTTGTAGCCCTTGCAGTGGCGGCACAGGTAGTTGATTCCGTTGGCGGTGCCCTTGTTTCTGTATTCGACCCATTTTTTGAGCACAAACTGATTGAAGCACCAGATATCCAGCAGCGCCGCGTCCAGCGACGTCCACGCCACGCCGGTGGTGATGTTGAGTTTCATGGCGGTGCTGAGAAACGACTTGTAGCCCTCTTTGAGCGACAGGTCTTCCCAGTTGTTGACTGTCTTGGAGTCCTCCATGGCCCGACATCGCCGTCGTTTGACCACCTTGGGTGGCGACACCGAGTGGGCCGGTGGGGGCGACGGCGGCTTGGGGTAGTCGAACAGCCCTGGCTTGTCCTGGTACAGGTCCTGCAGGCTTTGGCCGTTGATGCTGGGGTCGAAGAGCAGCGACTGTTGCGGGTCGAACGGCGGGTACACGTTAGGGGTCTGCTGGAGCGGCTGTTGTGGGAGTGGTTGCAGCGGCACCTGGGTCTGCGTGTGGTCGTAGATGTAGCGGTCGTCCGGAGCCGGTCGTTTGGCTCCTTCGAAATATATTGGATAGTCGTTGTTCATGGTAGCGGTGAGGGTGGTGTAGTTGGAGTTGGAGTTGGAGTTGGAGTTGGAGTTGGAGTTGGAGTTGGAGTTGGAGTTGTGGTTGTGGTGTTGGAATGTTCAAGTTGGAATGTTCAAGTTGGAATGTTGGAGTGTGTACTTGGTGTACTGTATGTACTGTTCTTGGTGTAGTTATCTTGTATAGGTTCTGTACTCCTGCCGTCGCAAACGTCTCCAGCCACTCTGAAAATACTCCAAGACTCAATACGGTCGATTGCAAGTGTGACTGAGATTCGCTTCTCTTTTTCCTGCTCACTCGCTTTTTCTTTTCCTCTTTGCCCGTGCTCTACCTATACCTATACTCCAGATATGCACTGACAGACCTAAAGCGAAAGTAGTATGGCAAAAAGCTCCGCAACCTAGTTCAATTGTCCTCGAAAAACAAAAAAAAACAAAAAGATGGGTATGGATAATGCTGGAAAATGCTGGAGAATCGTCGGAGAATCGTCGGAGAATAGTGGAGAACGGTCGGAAAATCATTGGACAATCATTGGACAATCATTTGCGGTCGAATTAGTCCGTATATCTCCTTTCTATGGACTGGTGGATATCTCGGATATCTCCAGATTATACTATTGTATCTTTCTTTTTTTCTCATCATGCTTAATCTTGGTCCAACCTAGTTTTAGTGTATAGTTGCTGAGTCAGGTGGTGGCGGTGGTTGCAGGAGGAGTTGGGTGGTAATACTGTTTATGTTTCTGTCTACATTTTTTTCTCCTCATTTCCATCTTTTTTCCCCTTTTTTCCGCCTTTTTCTCCCTTTTTTCCCGGTTTTTTTCTGTTGTTTTTTTTTTTTCCTTTTTTTCCCATTTCTCCTTTTTCCTTTTTCCTTTTCCTTTTTCCTTTTCCCTTTTCCCTTTTCCCTTTTCCCAAATTTCCTTTTCCCTTTTCACTTTCCGTTGTGCTTATTTTCCGCATTGTTCTTTTTTTTTTTTGTGGCAACTGCGATAATAATATCCACCAAACACCCGGCACAAAACCGCCAAAAAAGCCCCGATTTGAGATCAAAAAAAAATCACATGCTCGCTCCATCGCCAGCTCTCTATTCCGACCCCAAAATCCGCCTCACCGCCGCCCCTCGCCCCAAAACACCCGCCCAAACTCCCGCCCCTCCACCCCAAACCCAATGCAAAACTACCTCCACCGTTTCCTGGAGAAAGGCCGATATTAAAGCCGCACAAATGCGCTGGGATGTAGACCGTTTGCAGAGCGCTGGTAGCAGGATTAACCGAGTCCGACGGAAGTGACATGCCCCAGACGACGGCCCCGTATCTCAGGCGGCGACCCCGTATCTCGATTCCGTATCTCAGACGGCCACTGCGCGCGCTCAGGCGGCTGTTTTAGCCCTTCTCGGTCCACCGCATTCTGCGCCAAACTCCGCCTAACGCAATGTCAACCCAGCCCGTTGAAAGAACCCGCTGTCAAACGAACATTATGTGTCTAATATACAGATGGTCGTACCCCGATCGATGCAAAAAGGTTTGTCTTTCCACCTCTTGTTGTCTGCTTCTTTTCTCCTTTTGTTTTGACATCTCATCATCACTATCTCCGAACGAACGCTTCTGGCAACCTTCGGGCCCATCCGTAGTATCGCACAATCGACCTCAACCTCAACATACCGCCACCGCCAATTGCCCCAAATCGAACGACAAACGCACACCAAACGCCGAACCGGCCCTCGGCATTCAACCGCAGTCGGCAATGCACCGTACACCGTCGTAGAGCAGGTTTGAACCTCATTTTCGGCCCAAAGTAGTGATGCGCCCAAAGATGCGATGCGGTGTGGTGCGGTGATCCGGTAGACCGAACATTGTAGAGTAGAGGACAGTACGCACGGGGTGGGAGTTGGTCACGTGATGGAGGGAGCTAGTGACGGGACTTTAGTGGGCAATTGGCAATTGGCAATTGCCCGACACGACTCGATAGGCTGGTTATGCACATGCAAGACGACGATAGTCAACATCGAATGCACGGTCCGAAAAGCCGAGTCGTGGAGAGAATTGGTCACGTGAGGTGATATAGGACGGTCACGACATTTCTAGCACGTTACGACGTTTCTAGAAGTCTTTCTAGAAGGTCAGAAGTCTTCCTACAAGTCATTCCTAGCAAGCATCCCTAGAGGTCTTCCTACAAGTCATTCCTAGAAGCATCCCTAGAAGCACACTACCCAAAGTCGCTCTAGAAATCTGATTTCGTTCCGTCTCCACACTCCACATCCACGTGACCAAATCCGGCTTCGTTCTTTTCACCTCACTCACTCACTCACTCACTCCGACTTGCTCGGACTTGTTAAACCTGATTTCCATCAACCCAAAAGAACGCTAGCCAAAGGTTGAGTTTGGTGACGGTTGAAGGGGTCATTGGGGACTGGTGACTCGGCGAATGGACTAGTTTTCCAGACTCAGACTCAGACTCAGATTCCAGACCTCCCGGCTCCAGACCTCTCACGTCTGGCTCCTCCGACGTCAGATTATGAGTACTCCAAGCACTCATACAGCACTGGTACCGTGCAATGCCTCATCCACGGACCTCCGTCGTATCGCTCAAACTCCGGTGGGTCCATAGATACAGAGTTGGCGGATGTCGATCGCCATTTAGGCTCAGCAAAGTGGTGGAGAGAGGAGTGAAGGGTCCGGGATGTGGACGATTGGGTGGATATGTGGGGATTCTGAAACCACCGTTGGAATCAGTGAGACGAGGCGATTCCAATGGTATGTTTCTTGTCTGACAAAATCCTTTCGGCTCTCCCCCCCAAACCGACCTCTCGTCGAAACTACCTCAAAAGACCCGTTCTAGATCATCTCCTTCATCTACGCCGCGGAAAAACAAATACCGCGTCACACCATGCCGTGCCATAGAGCCATACGAGCTCCAGCCTTGCTCCGGGCGCCCTTTCGATCTACAAGTGCACCGTACACACGACCAAACAGGTGGTTATTAATGTCCATATCCGCTGTCTGCAGTCGACAGTCTATTGTATGATATGTCGGAGATGAGAGCCACTAAGGAGAATGCAATATCTATCGCCATATTGTCTCCTTCTATCATAGAGCTGTTTCTAGAGCTGTTCTGTGGGTCTTCGGTATAGATTAGAGGCGGTCGAGCACCCGTCCCCACATGTCGACTCTGTGGACGTTCGAGGGCTCCGATTCCAATTCTGAAAGAGACAACTGGGGTTCATTTTGCCGGCAGAAGCTCGTTTGGAACAGTCTCCGGCGATATCTCCATTCCCCATCGAGATGACGACTCCTCCTTCCACCACTAAAGTTCAAAAGTAATACCGCGACAATTAACCGCAAATAGCCTCGGCATATTTAATCGTATAGCGTCGTATATTCCGGCAGCCAGGGGTGGAGTCGGAGCTTTTCCGGACCACTAGTAAAGGGTGGTATCTCAAGTATTTGTCAACTAAGTTTTTTCGAAATTCAAGTAGAAGGTCAAGTAAAATTATGACATATCAAGTATCACCGTTGGTTAAAATAAAACCCAAGTAATACCCAACTATTTCAAACCATCAATCTAGAAAGTCCCTCAATATAGCCCCGAAAGACCTCCGACAACCCTCTGACAATCTTCCAACCGCTATCCGACCGTTATCCAACCCAAACTTGTCTTCTATGATTACTATAGCTCGGCCAAAGTTGAGATAAGAGCCATGTGAAAACGGTCTGATTAGTAATCAACAGCGGGGTTGAATGGTGGTTTTTGATTGGCAGTAGGAGTGGTAGAGTACACGAGTACTGTACTTTACTGTACTTTACTGTACTTTTACTTCTTGTACTACTTGTACTGACGTATTACGTAATCGTTTGACGGATTAGTAATCAGTCATTGGAACTACAGAACGGCGGTCCCACGTGGCTGGAGATGTCTAGGGGAGTAGGGGACAAGATCTATTGTAAGTAGCCATGGATTGTGACGGTCTGTTTTTAAAAAAGTCAACTTTTCCCGCTGTTACAGTCCTACTGGGGTTCTCTTGATGTAGATGTAGGTCTTGATAGAGGAGACGGGGAGCGATGAGAGGAGATGTGGGAACGTGGAGAGGAGATATGGAGAGATGAAAAAAAGCGGTGTGGAATTTTGCTCTGGTGAAGGGCTCAGTTGTCCTACTTTTTGTCATACAAGTCAGAGTATTCCCGTAGAACCTGTTCTAAGAATTCTCCAGAACCTGTGCTAAGAATTCTCCAGAACCTGTTCTAAGAATTCCCCAGAACCTGTTCTGCAAGAGATATCAGATTGATATTAGTTTGATTGAGATATTTCAGTCGATTTTTATCACTTTATCAAATAAAATATGAGAAATTGCTTTTCCAAGTGGACTTTCGGGACATGGATTCAGTGTGAGTGTTTCAAGTGTCACCAGCATTACTCCAAGTTCGGATATGAGACATTTTCGTCTGGAAAAGAAGTTGTACTGCTATCACCTTTTGTTCCGCGACTTTCATATACAATATGGACCTGATTATGTCCATATATCCTTGTTTTAGCCCAACTAACGGCGGCACTAATCATCCACTCAATCAAAGTGCTCTACAACAAATCTCTAAGTAAACGTCAACAAATGTCCGAGTACGTCAACAAATCTCTAAGTAAATGTCAACAAATCTCCGTGAAAATGTCAACAAATCCCTCCACAAACTAGTCTCAACTCGATTTTTAGTACTGCTCAAAAGTCCACCAACAATTCCTTGGTAAGAATATATCCATTTTGCACCCTCTCATATATATATCATCTCGATTCCATCTTCCAGCACCGAAATAGGACCCCCCAGTCCAGTATTTTCTTAACAAATGATGCAACAAATTACAAGTAGAACAAAAATACTCCTCCAAACCGTACGATAATCATGGCACAGGTCTGGAGGTTCAAAAATGGTGATTAACTGACATAAAATTGACATTAAACATACATTAAAAACGTTTCTGAAAAGTCCGACCAGACACGTGACTCGATGGTGTCTCTAGAATGAACTTTCAATGGCGCCGTTCTTACCACTGTCCATCTTGGCTACAACGGGACGAGAAGGATCTTTTGAAAGACCAAAACTTGAATTCCAGCTGCAATTATCTGCATTTAATGAGACAGAAAAGTGTCTGTATTCTTTCTCCCTTTATTGACGACACCAACCCGTTTTGCTCAATGGCCAATCGAGATAAGAGGTTCCAACCACTCCTCTCCTCAATGAATACAAGTCACCGTTGAAGTCAAACACCAGGCTCATATTTGTCTCCAGATTGGCTCCATTCACAAGCGACATGAATTGGCAGGTTGCACTAAGGTCCATTAGTGTCTCAATGTTGCACTAGATGGAGAAGGTGGATTCGCATCTAACTTGGCGAATAATGGACCAATCGGGGATACGAAAGAAGATTTGGATTACTCGGATCGGTATCTTTCCAAATATGTCTTCAAAATCCGTATTTGGGCCCAAACAGCCACCTTTTCCCCACCTATAAAACCGCACTAATGCACCACTAGTTGGGGTCGTACTTTTGGCTGCATACTTCAACTGGTGAATTTGGTCTCATCTCGACGAGATGACGACTTGGTGGTTCGACGTCCGACGTTGTTCGAAGTCGACGTGGTTCCACGTTCGACGTTCGACGATCGACATTCGAGGTGGTTCGAGACGGACGAACCGAACGACAAGCTGCACATCGACTCACGTGACGGAGTTGAACGGGTCACGTGGAATCCCCGAGTGTCTGGACAGGAGGAAAAGTTCATCTTGTGAGTTGGAATCTTTTGGAGCAGTTTTGGAGCAGTTTTGAAGCAGTTTTGGGGGGATTTGAGAAAGACCGTATTACTTGGATTTTGTTGGCAAGTAGCATTTTTTGTTGCCGAGTTAGTTGAAAAGTGACAAGATGATGTCGACGTCGGCGAAAATCGACAGTCGGCGAAAATCGACAGTCGGAAATCAGCAATTTCGTTCTGAAAGTCTGCGCAAATCAACAAAAATCAACAAACAACCGCTTCCCACATTTCCTCCTCCATCACGTGACCCTTCGCTTCCACTCATAACCTCTTTTTACGCCGAATTAAAGGTGCAGTGCAGTGCATGAGTTGTGAAGTTAAAGTCGACGATGGTGAGAAAGGTGGAGCATGTCAGTTTCTGTGGGAGGGGGTTTTTTTGGATGTTAAAAGCGGTTTTGGAATCCTTGGCGTTCTGCGGTTCTAGTGATATCTTTTAATTTCCAATTGGACCACTTTTGGACCCTTGTCGTGGTCTTTCCCTCCCCGGCAATGCACGATGATGCAACACGTGCCTTGATTGGTGACTCTGGGGTGGGGACGTGACAGGGCGGGCTGAGGGTTGTGGGAGGCGGATTCGGGAGTGTCGCGGGTGACTCGGGGCGGGTTGCGTTTCTCCGGCGGTTTTTGGCGTCGTTTTGGGGTCTTTTTGGAGGCTCAAAGACACTGAGAAAGAGACAGTTGCGCTGAGGCATCACGCTAAAGTGAGACATGCGTTATTGGCGGGGCGGTGGTGATCAATGTTCTAAGCTCTTTCAATGGCGTCAAGGACGATTTGGTGCGGTTGAAATCCGCAATGACAAGTTGAGGAGGAGTTTGTCCTGTTGATATCATTGAGGACCGACGAGCGGGGCAATTGGTGTTTGCAATTGGTGTTGGAGGCAAGGGCCATGAGGATCATTTGATGTTCCTGAACGTCTTTGAAAACCATTGAAGACGCCTCACTACATCAATTCACCTCATCTACCCATCTACATCAACTCACCTCATCTACATCAACTCACCTCATCTACATCAACTCACCTCATCTACCCATCTACATCAACTCACCTCATCTACATCAACTCACCTCTACAACATTGAAAAGACCATCTTCGACGTGGCCAGTACTCAGACTGGAGTAATTGAATGGTGGATTGCCAAGGACCCTTTCCAGTTGTCGACCAGTTGTCCATTGGCTGTCTACAACTCTCTACACCGTTCATGGTCTGAGCAATGGTGGAGTGATAGTCTGGTTAAGACATGTTGGTTAAGATGTTGGTTAAGACATGTTGGTTAAAACATGTTGGTTATGGGACCTCTTGATGATACCCGCTGGTCATAGCTTGGCTGATGGTAACCTGCTCTCTTCGGTCTCCACTCTGGAGATGTCATTGGACAGATCTGCGGACCTGGCTCGAAATGAGACTGCTACTGTCGCTGGATACCAAATGTATGGTATAGAGCGGACTGACGATGATTCAACTCATGTGAAGAGTTCCGATAAACCCAGCTCGAAGATACCGTCGAGAATACCGCTGACTATTCAGTGATACTGACGTTTCTATCTCTAAGACCTCTGACTACCCCACGCTACTCTAGGACACTCAATACGCCGCTACAACTCTCAACAACAGTACTCCAGAGCGAAACACTCACTTACCTTGTCGCAGCCTGATACCTGATCTGCACGGTCTAACATTGAATACTGATTCGCGTCATGTTGGTCCACGATTCCATGCTGATAGTCCGTGGTTCCGCGATTCCATGACTCACGTGATTCCATGACTTACGTGAATTCCATGACTGATAGTCACGTGTTTCGCTCCTTCTGGCCACGTGACTCATCTTCTGGTCACGTTATTGGCTCTTGACGACTCTTGTAGATGACTCAGCCGTGGGCCGTTGGTGAACCCTGAAACCTCTGACGCCGTGGTTGACACCACCATCATTCGCTCTACTCAATGAGTCTGTCGGATTCTGTGACTACTGCCACTCCGCCCGCTCCACTTCTGACGTCTCATACACTCATTAAAATATGTGGTTTATATATGCATTGTTTCGCGACCATCACGGGACGTGGCAGGCGGCGCTGATGAAGGGCTAGAGGGATGAGTTCACGGGAGAAGCAGGCAACGAGAGTTCTTCGTCTTCTCATAAACGAGCGTAGCGAGTTGACGAGTTCGTTGAGGCATCGTGAGTTGAAGAGTGTGTTGGTGAGCTCGTTGAGAGGCTCATTGATGAATTGATCGATTCACTCTTGATAGACTCTCGATTGACTCTCGATTGACTCTCGATTGACTCTCGATAAATCATCCAGATGAACCAAAAACCGCACCACTCGCTGCGCTCGTGCTCGTGCGCTCATCAGTCCATCTCACCAAAAACTCCATCATCATCATCCTTCTCATCGCCATACTTCTCCGGACTGCTGGCGCTCTTGGTCGGACTTGGAACCTCCTCCATTCTCTCTCGATCCTCCTCCTTGACACTGGAGCCATACAGACTCGACGAGAACCTTGGAGGTAGAGGAGCAGACGCCCGGGGACTCTTGGACGTGCCGAAATCGTCGTCGTCCTCGGCCACCGTGCTCATGCCAAATTGCAGCGAGTTCCGTCGACCTGGCGTGGGAGTAAACGTCGAAAACCCTGCCGGAGAAAACGCCGCCGCCGGAGATTGGGCAAACACCGCGCCGTGGGGATTGTGTGGCACGTGGTGTGACGGGGTGGGCACGTGGCCCGATCCGTGACTTGCGCCCGGACCATGGCCAGTCACGTGTCCACTAGGGCCTGGAGAAGGCGACAACGTGTAGCTTCCCGGGGAGTGCAAATGCATCATGGGCTCGCCACGCTGTTGCTGCTGGGCTTGCAGCTGCTGTAGCTGGTTCTGTGCAATCTGATGCTGCTGCTGTTGCTGCTGTTGCTGCTGCTGCTGCTCGCGCTCTCGCTGTTGCTGGGCAGCAAGAGAACCCAGAGGCTGCAGCTGAGGCATGGGTTCGAGCTCGTCTTCGTCGCCCTCGTTCATGCTGACGAGAATCGAAGCCGCCTCCAGAAGCTGCACTTGCTGGTGTTTGCTGATGAGCAGCTTACTGGTCACGTTCCATTCGGGCGTATGTTCCCACAGGTGTTTCGCCAGCGACGAAATGTGCTTGTATCCCTTGCCACAGGCCTCGCACTTTAGCTCCTCCTTGAGCCGGCCACTCTCGCCCTCGGAGATGCGCCGCGCCACCATCTTTCGACTGAGCACGGGGACGCCACCGGTCGGGACGCTTTGTGCCACCGCCACACCGGGCCGGTTGCCGTAGTAGTGGAGGTTGGTGGCATGGTGGGCCCGCTGGTGGATGGGGAAGGGCCCTTGGGTCGTGGCTATGGACGAGCGTCGTCGGGGACTCTCGTAGGACATGCTGAGTGCAGTAGTGTCACGGAGCTGGTGTAATGGGTCACGGAGCTGGAGTAATAGGGTCACACGGGCTCTGTAGGGGGTCACAGAGGTGGTGTAGTGGGGTCACAGAGGGAATGTCGGGGGGGACAGACGCAGTGTGGTGGGTCTTGTGATGTGGTGGTTGTTTTTTTGGTTGTGGTGGTGATTTCGGTCTCGCAACTGATGTCGTCTCGCAACTAGTGTCGATGACTGCTTTACTAAGCCTCTGCTATCGCTCTTCTTCTGTGTGAGTAATGCACTTGAGCTCCCATCCTAGCCCAGCCTGATACTTACAGTAATCACGGAGGAATTACGGGAATTACGCGGACTCGGTGGTGGTTACACGGGGTCGGTAATGGGCAACACGAGCTCGGTAATGGGCAACACGGGCTCTGTAATGGGGGCAACAGTCGGTCTGTCGTGGTCACACTCGGGAGGTGTAGGTCTGGTTTCGGGGTGCCAAAGTGCGAGATATGTGTCCTTTCAAGTGGCGAAAAGAGCGGTTTGGGACGGTCGGAGGTCAGGGGGGCGTAGAAAGTCGGTTTTTGGACGCGCAAATAGGGTCGCACAGAGGTTCAACGATGCTGAGGTGGTGACACAAAATGTATCTGTGGATAAGCGATTTTTTTTTAGTCTTTGTCCGGATTTTTTTTTTTTGATTTTTTTACCCTTTGGGAACCTGAGTCGCGACAGATTCGGGGTTAGGGTATATTTGCCGAATACGGTAAGGTTAGGGTTTGGAGCTAACAGGGCGAGTGAACAATTTGGCATAATGGCAAAATGGCAAAAATGGCAAAAGTGGTAAATACAGAACAATTTGGAGAAAATGAGAAGAATTGGAAAATGACGGAAATTGGAAATAGCATGAAATAAATATATGTTCAGTTTTTTCTCTCCAGCAAGATTAGCGCTCTATCAATTTTTTTCCATTTTTCCCGATTTTTCGGAGCAATTATTCCGCCAAAAAAAAGTCCAATTTCTCCTGCATCCCCGCCACCCCCGCACGGAGAAATTGCGGTGCATATATTTGTAGAAAAACACATCTGGACTTAGAGAAGTAGAAATGGGCGGTGGAATGAACAATGGGATGTTAATTGTTAGATGAAATGTTTTTTACAATATTTTTCCAGCTTTTTTTGTGCATTTTTGTAATTTTTCTGCGTTTTTCTTTAATTATCTTTTTTTTTTTCTGATTTTTGAAAATCCACAAAACTCTCAAAAACAAGCCACATATACATGCACAGAAAATGCCAACCAGGTTGCTCTCGCGCAGCATGAAAGTGCAGCAGCAAGTTTCCACCGCAGGAAAACGCATCTCTGCACGAGATTCCGCATTGGTTTTTTTTCCCCCGATTTTTTTCGACTTTTCCGGAATATTTCTTTTGGGTTTTTTTGGTATTTTTTCAATTTTTTATTTATTCATTTATTTTCACTCTAATTTTAATCCCCCCAAACCAGCTCTAAATACCTCATCTATAGTAGCCAGAATAATAGCCGCCAAAGGCAGCCACAAAAATCATAAACTTACCCAAAAAAGGAATAGAAAGAGAAGCAAAACATCGACGCGACTTCTGGAGCAAATCACGTGACCAGGAGCGTGCTGCGCAGGCGCCGGTTACCCGGACTGTGCCTGCCGAATCAGTCTGCTTTTTTGTCGAGTTTATTTTAAAAAAAAACATTGTGCATGTTTTATGCATGATATATGCGGGATATAGTTTTGTCTGAGTTAAAAAATATTTTATCTTCTCACGTGATCACTCTGTTTACCCGGAAGTCGCGGGGGATCGGATTAAATCGGGAGGGGTGGTCACGTGGTAAGATCACGTGGTAAGATCACGTGACACGGGGAAAAATGGGGCGATAGTTGCAGGTGATGGGGATTCAAAGAACGGGTACAAGGAATGTGTTTTATTGGTGGGGTGAGTTTTTTAAATTAATTAATTATATTTTAAATTAATTTATTTGTTTCATTAATCATTTCGAAAATATCTATTAATTTCTTTTTTATATACTTTTTTTTATACTTTTTCTTCTGAACTACAGTTGACCATATCAAGTAAAGTCAAGTAAATCACGTCTTAAGCCGAAATCAAATGTTATTGTAAAATATATATATATATATTTATAAATATGTTTCGCTCAAAATGCATCGATTGACAAGAGATTAGATGGAAATAAATATTTCGAGAAGAATCTGAAACACTTCCTAATGAAATAATTTCTAAAAGGACAGCAATATTATCAGATCACTCGTTTGATCACATATGGAGACTTTAAGAACGGTCTCCAGAACGACGAAGAAAGGAGATAGTGAGATGGATTCAACAGGGATGGATTATTTGTACAATTTCTATCTATAATTGTATCTTTATTTGGTTCTGAGACCCCCTAAAGTCCAGAAAACCATTCTTGTGTGTTCAGAGAGATTCATATCTAAACGTGAGTCCATAGAGCTGAGTAATGCTCCTATTGGGAAGAAATTAACGGCAGTCTGTTTTGATATTGATGATAACCGTGATTTGTTATATTACTTGAGCCGTGGTTATTACCAGGGTTTCTTCATATTGGCGTATTGGTTGAAGGCTGTTTAGATGGTGAACATGGCGTCTAAAACATTGAATATTGGTTATAAAAGGTCCTACTCTTCGAATCCAGAAATAAATAGTTGTGAAAAACAGTTCCTCTCTTATTGGTTAAGTTCTAGAGTCTCTCCATGGAACTACACATTGCTCTGTGTCTTTGGAAATACATTGATACTCTACAGCTCTTGCTCGAGTATTCCGATCGGTTCAGACTAAACGGGAATATATTCTTCGTCTCATTTTAACCAATATTATTCAATAAAATACCAACTTGGCATTTCTGTCAAGACTCTACAAAGTACAGTACATGTTCTACGTAGATACAGTACATCACCAAACCAGATACAAGGCTTGTAGATAAGTCAAAGACTTGATAGTAAGGAAGAGTAATGTTCTAGAAGAATCGAATCGAAGTCCCGATGTTGATATCTCTTCTCAATCCTCTGGAGACCTCCATTAAGGCAATTTGAATCAGTATATATCAATAAAACAGGATCGAATGAGTCCAATATAGCTCCGATTGACTCTGGCTCAACAGGATTGAACTACATGGACAAATATAACCCACTTTTTCACCCATATCTTGTGTCCCGTCTGTTCTTCGACATTTTGTTCTGACACCTTTTGTAGAAGCAATCAGGTTCACACAAGGGAGTCTCCAAGTCTGTGGATATTCCATCGATTGGGGTGGTTTAAAATTCATTTTGTTCTCCACGTGATTGGGAACAAATTAACAGTATTTTTGGGGGGCCCGAATCTACACATTGAGCCCATCTCTTGTTCCATCTCCGTCTGTCAGATTCCATTTAGAGATGATATCATTTCGATTCCCCTGGAAACCAATCCAAATGCAATTTTCATGATATCATTGGAATCTCCCAATTTTCAGGTTTCCAAAGATACCCTTTAATCCCGAATCACGTGGATATTCAGCGATTTTCCCCCTAGTCATAATCTGTGGGGCCAAAAAAATCCAACTCCCTAAATTTGGCTGAAAAATCGTCTCCCATCGTCGGTTTTCCGCTAGCATCATTCCCCCGTCCTTCGGCGTTGTCGGCGGGTCGTCTCAAGGGCCCTCTTTTCGTACGCGTTTTAAGGTTTGTATATAAGGTTTGGTGTCGCCCCGGCAACCACACGAAAACACCACCTCTTCTCACTGGAGTGACACGACATTGCACCGTACAGTACACAAACCAGACGCCAAAAAAAAAGCCAGCTGGTAATATTACAGACTCCATTCAACGACATGTCGCGACAAGAACTGGTACAGTGGGTCAACGAGCTGTTGCAGACGGAAATCTCCAAGGTGGAGGAGTGCGGCAAGGGCGCCATCTACTGCCAGATTATGGACTCCATCTACGGCGATGTGCCCATGAGCAAGGTGAAGTTCAACGTCAAGGCGGAGTACGAGTTTCTCAACAATTACAAGGTGTTGCAGGGGGTGTTTAATCGGCACAAAATCGACCGGCAGATTCCGGTGGAAAAGTTGGTCAAGTGCCGGTTCCAGGACAATCTGGAGTTTTTGCAGTATTGCAAGAAGCATTGGGACGCCAATTGGAGCGGTCAGGAGTACGATGCGGTGGGTCGGAGAGCTGGACGGGTCGCCACGGTGCCGTCGACAGCCCCAGGCTCCACTCCTAATGCCACGTCAGGAAGAACCTCGGTACAGTCTCAGACCAGTGGTCGGAGCAGTGTTGTGAGAAGTCGACCGAGTGTGGCTTCGGGGGCCGCGGGCTCGGTTGGTGTTGGCGCTGGAGCCGGAGCCGGAACCGGAGCTGGAAGTTTGTCGGGGGCTTCGGGTCGAGCCAGTGTCAGTCGGCGTCCTGGTGCCTCCGGGTCGTCTCAAGCATCGTCGGCCGCTCTAGCCAAAGCACAGCAACAGATTGCCACTCTGGAGGCAGACGCGGTGGAGTATCAGCAGGTGTTGGAGGGTCTCGAGACGGAACGCAACTTTTACTTCAACAAGCTGCGCGAAATCGAGGTGTTGGTGCAGGAGAATGCCGAGCAGATGGACACGGTGCAGGTGGAGGGCATGATTCGGGAAATTCAGACGATTCTGTACTCGACCGAGGAGGGATTTCAGGTGCCTGAGGAGGAGGAGGTTTTTTAGGCGAAGAACGACTTGAACTGATCGATTTGGACAAAATGATCGAATTGGACAGAATGATCGATTTGAATTGGACAAAGTGATCGATTTGAATTGGACAAAGTGATCGATTTGAACAAACCGAGCAAACCGAACAAACCAAACTAACCAAACTAACCGACTTTGGAAAAAACAGACTGAAGAGAAGTCGCACCTTAATGTGCTTAGTTAGCTGTTGAACCTGTTCAACTCTGCTCCACTCCCAGCGCCAGATGCTCCTTTTGCCCTTTTCCTCAGTCCACACCCGTTTTCTGGTTCTATTGCCGGCTTGTTTGATCTTCCCGTTCTCACCTCGTTTTGCTGCTCGTCTGGTTCTCATGTCTGGTTCTCTTTGGTTGAATAGTGGCTGGCTTCTGCTCGACGCCCGCGTCCCAGACCTTGTACATCTACAGTAATACATGTTATTGTTATGCGTAGAGAAGGGACAGACGAGTGACTGTTGCTGTCGGAGTGATAGGTCTGTTGTCGTTTGGTCTTTTCTTGTAGGTCTCGTCCCTTAACTGACTCCATCGACGTGAGCTTTTCAAATCCTGGCGGTTTTATCTGCCTTTTTTCTTGGAATATAGGAGCGGATTTGGAAGTCGAACAGGCTACATCGGTCCTGAGGGATGGAGCTATCGGTGTCAGACCCCTTCAATGGAAACCACAATGGGTAAATATCATTGGCATGGCGAATTATACGCTACTCGTACTCGTACGGTATGTACTGTACTTGTAGTGGAACCCGCTTTTCTGTGTCGCCTGACTTGTCGCAGTCGGGTTTCGAACTGTCATTTCTTTTGTTATTAGTCCAAGAAATTACTTAGTGGTAAACGCCACTCTAAGTAAAGTCAACAATATCAATAGCCAATTACTCACCAGAAAAATACGACAACTGGAGAATTTGTAAGGCGACGTAGTTGTTTTTGTTCTGAATAATACTCTGTCAATCTTGGGCTTAAAAAATGCTACAATTTTTGTATTTCCAGCACATCTGGAACGGGATGAACTTCAAGGAAGACTCGGAAGATTTCGTTCAACAAAAGTTCAAGTAATTGGGAGCAGACGCAATGATGAAACAATTGCATGAAACAAAACCCGAGATTCGACTCTTGGTGGTATCCGTAGAAGGAGGTAATAGACAATATTAAGCCGATTCTGAGGCGGAGGTCGTCACTGTCTCTTGGTCGCTGGACCACTTGCACAAGTACAAGCAGTTCTTCCACTTAATAATAAGTCAGAGGTTTCGAGATGAAGAGATGATTCAGAATAAATCACCTACATCTTGTACAAGTACAAGTACTGTGTTTTGTATGGCTCGGTCGTCTCCGTACTTCTGTGGCCAACTGTGGCCAACTGTACTTGTACCCTCAGCTCTCAAAATCGTGTCTATAGAAACACTCAGAGTCAAGACATAAAGATAAGACAGTTGAAAAAAGTCTTCTTTCGGTCTTGGACTAACTCCGCCACTTTCCGTTGCTCAGTCTGAGCCCCCTCTGACTCGAGGTAGTTACTTGTAGTAGGAGTTAGTTTCGAAAACTAGTTCGCAAGCTCCAAGAAGTCGGAGAAAGACTGTGCCAGATCATCTCTGGAGAGGGCCCATGGAAGTCTTTTTAATGTTCTGATCTTCTGCATCATAGCACACACCCCCGACTCCAATACTGGTAGACCAACAAAGGAGAAGTTTTGAAAAGCTCATTGCAAAGTTCTCTGAAGAGCCCTCTGAAGTCCACGGTAGCAGAAGTTGTTCCACAAAGCAGCCAAGTCCAACAGCAGTACCATTGACAAGTTCCATAAAACTCCTTCGCTATTGAATAAGTCTTGACTTTATAATGAGATGGACCGAGTGTCGGATGGGACTCTTGGTGACACTTCCCCGATATGGTAATCGAAAATCACCACTTCTGGCTGAGAATCGTCGACAATTGTGGATAGCAGGTTCTCCAACAGTGAAACAATCAAGGAGAACTCATGTGGACCTCTTCCTCCTTTTCCGATTAAAATCCACTCATAGTGGAAATAACTCCCGCTGGATCTGTCCGCTGGTTGACTTTGACTCCAACTGACTGACTCTAGAAGTGCCTGTCGAGTATGAGCTTCGTTGTTGCAGCTTCGTTGTTGCAGCTTCTGCCTGAGGCCATAAATCATGGGTGTCTTCTTAAAAAGCCTCCGAGAGAATGGCACCAGCCAAGGAAGCAGCGAAGCAGAGGCCCAGGAGGTCAAGAAACGAGCGCTTGGTGCTGCTGAAGCCGAGTCCATGAGAGCGATGGATGTTGACTTTGACTCTGACTGTTGCCCAAATGCAAGATCGAGTCAACCAAGAAGAGCACACAGATGCACCCAACCTCCTTTAAAGAGAATCAGGGAACACTCAAATATTTTCAGCCTACTTCTTCCAGTGAAGGAGAAGTCCGATTGTGAGTCTGATTCTGATTCCAATTATTACGCTTCCGATAGCGACTCTGATGACAGTGACTGTGCCAGTGCCTCTGACGGGGCCTCCAAAGAGAGCCATTCTAAAGACTCCTGCCAAGAGGGCGTAAGACTGCAGCGAAGGCCGAGTCCAGAGCGGCCGCCAAGACCAAGACTGTTCCCAAGGCGTCTGCCAGGATTTGTACTAGGGCAAAGTCTGAGCAGGCACTCCCAAGAATTCTCCTTTCTCCATCTTCAAGTGTCTCCCTTGGGTGTTCCTGAGGTGAACGACTCTGTTCCATCCAGACAACCAAGAAGACCGAGAAGGAGGCGGAGTCGGACTCCGTTGATGACTCAGTGACTCCGAGGACGACTCTTCCGATGATTTGGACAACTCTGGTAACTCTGATGACTCCGGTGATTCAGACTAGCAGGGTACCGTCAAGAAGCGTACTATAACTGAGAAGAATAAAGCACTGGATTTGTTACAAGTAGCCAATGTCATCTTGTCGTAGAGGACTTTTGTGCTGAAGGGAGTGAGAAGGATGGGCTAAGGAAGTGGGTATCAATAGTATTGCTCTTAAAGAGTAACACTCGTGAAATGCGGTCCCAGAACACATTCCATACTCGCTGAAGAAAGTGTGTGTCCGAAGTCTCTCAATGATATAGTGGTGACTTGAAGAGCCTGTGGTAATCCCTGGAGAGTACACGGTGCGATTGTGAAACATCAATGTCTGTGTCTGATTGCCTCTGGCCATCCACCACTCCACCATTTTCCACAGACAACACTGGCTCTAGGCGACCGTACGGAGACCATTTGGCTGGACGACTGTGGAGGTTGGTGAGGAAGCGGGAAACGACAGATCCAAGGCAGACCCAAGGCAGACCCAAGGCAGACCCAAGGCAGACCCAAGGCAGACCCAAGGCAGACCCAAGGCAGACCCAAGGCAGACCCAAGACAGACCTCAAAAGATGTTTCAGAAGGTCGCAATACAAAAGACACAGAGATGTCCCAACAAATGTCATGTGATCAACAAGAGAGCTCTCACCCCACCGCACCCGACGCGGGGTCCCTCGTGACACAAACACATGTCTTAGTCAGAAACAGAACATGTTACGGAGCAGGTTTGTGTTTGTGACGGTTGTGAGGGAAGAGCGGAGTGGTATGTAGAAGATTGAGATGGTCATTTTCACAGTGTGGGGATTTATGTTTGTGTTTTGTTTCTGTGGCTATTTTTATTTATAGATGTTTTTCAAACAATTCTACAAAGGTGTCTAATATAAAATTGCAACGGGGAATTGAACTGTGGTCACTGGGGGCCGACGACCATGGCTCGAGAACAATTACTAAATAAAATAAAATATAATAAAATATTATAATAAAATATTATTATAAAATAAAATAAAATAAAAAATAAAAAATAAAATAAAATAAAAAACCTGCCGAGAATGGCTATACTCATCGGGTGAACGGCCGATGACGTCCATCCATCTGGTTGAATCTATGTCTACGAGAATATCATGGAACATCTACAGATATCCATTCTATTTATCACTCAACTGTCGGAAAAGTACACTCGGACAGTTTGTGTTGGGTGTGTTTTTTTTTCAATAAATTTTATTACGCAATGCGCATTTTACTCGCCTTTTAAATTATTTTACAACCCCCAAAAACAAGGTGCAAATTTAAGCAGCAACGGGGGCGGGGGCAGACTCGGACCAGTCGTCAGTGGCAGCCCAGTCGGCAGCACCGGCTCCGGCATCGGGAGCAACGTCCCAGTTGTCGGCGTTGGTGGCGGCAGCAGCCTCAGCGGCGGCGGTCTCGACAACCTCCTCGGTGGCAGCCTCCTCAGCAGCCTCCTCAGTGTTCTCGGGCTCTTCGGGATCTCGGTAGAAGTAGAGATCGGGCATGACGGACCACTCGGTGTTTCGATCCTCAAGGGCACCTCGGAGTCGCAGAACCTCTCGAGAGATCATCCACCACACAAGACCGACGGAGTGTCGGCCCTTGTTGTTGCAGGGAATGGCAACGTCGACAAACTCGACGGGAGAGTCGGTGTCAACCAGAGCAATGACGGGGATGTTGACGTAAGAAGCCTCCTTGATGGCCTGGTGGTCGGTTCGGGGATCGGTGACAATCAGAAGTCGGGGCTCCTTGAAAGATCGGGTGATGTAGTTGGTGAAAGAACCGGGGGTGAATCGGCCGGCAATGGCGGTGGCGCCACAGTGGTTGGCGAACTTGAGAACGGCTCGCTGTCCGTAGGTTCGGGCGGAGATGGCAACGACATCGGCGGGGTTGGGGACGGCGGCGATGATTCGGGCAGCCAGCTGGATCTTCTCCCAGGTCTTGCCAACGTTGATGATGTTGACACCGTCGGCTCGCTGCTTGAAAACGTAAGGGATGTTTTGGACCTGTGTTAGTGGATGTTGTGCGGTTTGACAAGCGGTGTGAGGAGAACTGCATGAGGCTAGCAATCCAATCGACGACCAATCCGTCTACGAGCGAATAATAGTAATGTATCGGCGAGTCGCAACCGATGAGTTACCAAATCAGTCATCAAATGAGCCCATCAGCAGACCATGGTTAACAGTCACCAAACACTCGGTATGGTCTTGGCTCTCGTGATTGAGCCCATGATGCCAGTGGTCGAGTTGTGGTGAACCGCTTGACGTGGTCTGACCAGACATGAGGGACAATAAACTTGACCTCACATACCGCTTTAGACGCAGACACAAGTGACACAAAACGACCAACGAGATAAAAACAACGTAAAAACGACGAAACAACGTCTTCAGAGGCACTAGAGTGGCAGGCTTATGCTGATGGAGATGATGGAGATGGCCGCGAACTGAACAAATCACTGCTCATTGCTCTCGTCATGTCGTTTGATGGCAGTACACTTGTCATGTCATGTCACATTCAACTATCCAGCCCATCAATCCAACGAATCTAAAACCAGCTATCATTCCATCAAACCAAACCACCCATGTTGTCGCTGTCGTCGTCATCGTCATCATCGCTATCGCCATCGCCTCAGGTATCCCCGTCTCTCGTTTCCGTCTCTCTGTTTCGGCCTCGTTGATTGGTCCATCTCTCAAAATCCATCGCTTGTTGGCTACCACGGATTACTCACCTGAACGTTCTTGGAACCAATGTGGGTCTGGGCAGCCAGGAGGTTCTGAATGTCCTCAGGGGTGGGGTCGAAAATAGGAGCAGACATGTTGATCTAGGCTGTGTTACAGTGTATCGACAGAGCTGGCGTGTGAAGGGAGAATTTGGAAAATCGACACACTAGAGTTTGGGTGTGCTGTGCAGCTGAGTCGGGAGTTCCAGTTTGGGAGTACGTCACGTGTCGCGCAACTCCTAGGGTTTAGCCCTAGTTGGGAGATGAAAATTTTGACCCACGACACGTGACAGAAATGGGATTATGGAAAAAGTGGGCAAAGTAAAAATGGGAAAATTTGGGAAAAAGGAATATATTCAGGAAAATTGAGAAAATTGTGAAGTAGGGGGAGAATATATATGCAGGAAATTTGAGAAAATTGCAAATTGGGGGGGGGAATGAAAATATTCAGAAAGAAATACATCCATAAGAAACAGTATATTAGATCAGTTCAAGACATATAAATTACTGTGCAGCAAGTACTTATTTTTACAAAATTTATTTATTTCTTTATTTTTTTTCTTTTTTAAAAAAAAAATCTTTTCTTTTCTTTTCTCTATTCTGATAATTCAATCGGTTCACAAAAATCAGAAAAATTTGCAAAAATAAAGTACACATCTCATTACACTCAAAATGGTACATTAAACCGCTTCAGACGCATCCGAACCTCCATACTGCCATTTGAATCTAGTTTCTGTAATTTTCTGTAATATGACACGATTCTATCACGTCACTTGTACGGTATGATCATGATCGTCTTTCGGAGAAGAAAAAGAGAATTTCAGACAGCGCAAAGATAGTAGATACTCGTCAATTGAGCTCATATCAATTGGTTGGTAAGCATTATCGTTTAAAATGTGTCTCTTTTTAAGCGCTACGTAATCTTGGAGAATAGGGAAACAGAAGGATCAGATAAATACATCAAATAATGAGATATGGTGGATAAAGAGTCTACCATTTGAATCTACTTAGTACGAGAAATCCTCTGATGTCACTCCTGAGCTAGTAGGATTACTCAGCAGTCCATTCTGAGACATTCAATGTTTCTATCAAGAGTGTCTGTAGAACGTCTCGGGAAAGAGATGATAGGTTTTTAGACATATCATTATACTTGTAAGGATGAAAGGAATATGTTTTTGAAGTCTGTATCTCTCCAGCATTAATACTGGGTCATTTGGGGTGGTGTATTGGTACAACCAATACTTGATGTCCGACAGGAGCTTTTGTCATTGTAACAGGATTGAAAAGTAGCGGCGATAGGAGAAGACTTGTATTTGTACCATATAATTGGCATTTCAGCAGTTTTCTCCATTTTCTGATCATTACAAAGACCCTGTTATGGAGCCACATTGGTTTTGTAATCTCGTTACATAGGTCTGGTAATCCCGTTCCATATGACATGATTGATGTCAGTCTTTATACAAGACCAGATTAATATGTATATGGACAGATTCACTGAAAGACGAGATAGGGATTTGAAATCGATATCAATCGAATAATCAGTACTAGGGGAGAAGAATTGTATAATTTTTTGAGGTGTTTATCACACAATAATTTCGAGTAATGAGTTAGTCAGATTATTTAGTATTACTTAGTATTACTTAGCATTACTTGAAATAGTTGGCGTTTTGTTGAAGAATTCCTCAATCATCAATTGTCTCTGAAATGTCAGAAATAAGACCATTTCACCAGAAATTTCCCGCACCTGTTCTACCGGCCCATATCAACCTCCGTACACCCCCAAATCTCACAGAAATCCTTTGCTGTCGCTTCCGCACGCCCATCCAAACACATTACAAATACCCAAGCGCAATAACACCAAACCAACCCTTTGACACTCTCCACCCACGTAAGAACCACATATACACCCTCCCCGTATCAGCTTCCCGTTCGTACAGTATCTCCTAAGATGGCTTATCTCTGTCACTTCAGTTTTAACTCAACCTTGAAATAACCATGCCCACACTAATCCCCACCAAAAACAGTCTAAAAACGTCTTTATTTGGTCTCGTTCGGGCCGTCTTCTTCTCCCGAATACATCTGCAGTATCTAAATGTATCCGACATTCCCCATGTCGTCATTACATTCCTCATGTCGTCACTACATTCACCATGTTGTCCCATCGCCCTCGCCATGTCGTCCCATCGCACTCGCCATGTCGTCCCATCGCACTCGCCTTGTCGTCCCATCGCACTCGCCTTGTCGTCCCACCACACGACGCCACACATAACCCCTGCCCCCGCCGTTTTAATATGTCTGCGTCTATCACACTAAACTTCTGTCGCGTGAGGGGTCACACGAGACATGTGGTTAGTAGCGGCATGTGAAAACCCCGGCTCAACATGCGCACTCAACAAGGAACTTTTTACCGCTTGCGGAAGCATGATTAAGGAATACATATGTATCTATCTGTGCGGTCAGGTATCACAAACTAACCACGACACGGTTTGTGTGGTTCACAATATGCCAACACACTCCGTCGAAAAGGTTTACTGCCACTTCCCAAAGGGGACTCAACAGGGTTTCCGCGGTTTAGGGCGGGGGCGGAGGCGGAGGAGGAGGCTAATAGGGTGGTGTTGCTACTAGGGTTAATGTAGGGTTAGGGTTATCAGCCACAACCTACCTGTACCCCAAAAAAAAAGGGTGCATTTTGCTGTAATACCCGGATCTCCAGTTGCGTTTCGGCTCCGACTGAGTGCCGAGGAGAGAGGAAATTGGAGTTGGAAAAAAATGAAAAAAATTATGGAACGGAAAAAAAGACTGAAAATATATGAAAATGGCTGAAAATGACTGAAAATGGTGGGGAAATAAGAGAAAATAAGAAATAACAACCTCCTATTATTTGTCGTATTTGTCATTCATTTAATTATCTCATTCCAGTGACATTTTGACATGGGTTGATGGAACTTTATTGTGACGTGTCAGGGGGAAAATTTGAGATTATCGACAAAAAGAAAATCATGGAAAAAGCTGGGAAAATCATAGAAAAATAATAATTTGGTAGGTACGATTGTAATTTTTTTCTCGTTCGATTCAAAAAATAAATCATCTGATTTCGTCCAGAGCTGGCGAGTTCACGTGACTACTTTGGTCTTTCAAAATAAACTTTTCCACGAGCCAATAAAAAGCGACGATAATGGCATCGGCTATAAGAGCAAATTATGATCGGAAAAAGGGAGCGGAAAAAAGAGACGGAAAAAAAAGGAGGGAAAAAGCTGCGGATTTGGGTTAGGATGAGAAAAAATGTCTCGCTTCGTGGAGAATATTTTAACGGCTTTCCAAAGTTTATTGCAATTTTTTTAGAATTTCCACAGCCCAGCAAAGATTTTCAATCAGGATGGAGTACATAGCAACTGTACATAATCGTGCATGATAAGAATTAAAATGTGAGAAAAATAAAAAAAAGAATTGAAGAATTGGAAAAAAAAAATCACTAGAAACACATTGGATAAAGAGGGCACAGGTGGGTAGGAAAGTCACAAAAAATTGCACATGATTATATAAATGTATTGTGTATTTACAGGATTTCCAGATTTATCCTTTTTTATTTTTTATTTTTTACTTTTCTTTAAAATAAGGTGTAGAAAATTAAAAGTAAAGAAAACATGGGTGGTGAACTCGGCGGGCGAAATTGGGCATATGAATCGACTCGGAAAAAGTCGAGAAATACTCTGGAATTTCCATATTTCCAATAACGACAATATTCGGCGTTTTAGATAGAGATCTGTCAGTATGTTCTTCCGTCCGAGTTAAAAAAAAATTGTACTTTTTTTTTTCAGATAACACGGCTGAATAATAATGCTAAAATGGAGTGTAAAAAAAAAACAGGAGAAGCTTTTTGGCCAATCAAAGGCGATTCGACAAGAAAAGAAGCATTTTAGAGTATATTCGATGTGTAGCGGGGGACTCAAGATGATTTACTGGGGTTTGTTGGTGTTTTGGATATGTTCAATTTTTTGGGGGTTGTTTTTGAATTTTTATATTTTTTAAAAATAAATAAGAAATTTAAAAAAAATCAGCAAATAATTAGAATTGTAAATTGCACCAAGTGACTGGACTCATTTATTCGGGTCAACAATCACCCAGTTTTACAATTCTCATGATTCTTATTTTTTATTATTCTAATATTCATTTTATATTTTATTTTTGTAATTATTTTACATTTTATTTATTGAATCGTACAACAACCAGCAATGCAGCACTGCGCAGCACTAGCCACATGCAGTAAACTGCGTTTGGAACGCACCACACCTAAACCTAAACCCTAATCCCTATTAAACTCTGCAAAATCTGCATATATAGAAACACCACGATAACCACATTTGACCTCTCCAACTGTCATCACATGTCTTCTTCGGTGCATTCTGCAGAGCTGACCCAGCGACATTCGTCGGCGTCGTACCAGATCGAGTCCGGAACGTCGGACTCGGACAATGCCAAACTGGAACAGATGGGATACAAGGCCGAACTCCAGCGGTCGTTTTCCATCTGGTCGGTTTTGGGAGTGGGATTTGGGCTGACTAATTCGTGGTTTGGAATTTCCGCGGCGCTGATCACGGGAATTTCGTCCGGTGGCCCTCTTCTGATTGTCTATGGAATCATCATCATTGCCTCGGTCTCCACCTGTATTGCCATCACTCTGTCGGAGCTGTCTTCGGCCATGCCCAATTCCGGCGGTCAATACTACTGGACTCTCCAGCTGGCGCCCAAAAAGTACGCCAACTTCCTGGCGTATGCGTGCGGCTCTTTTGCGTGGGCCGGCTCCATTTTTTCGTCGTCTTCTGTCACCCTTTCCATTGCCCAGGGAATTGTAGGAATGTACGCGCTTGATCACGACGGATTTGAGGTGAAAAAATGGCAGATTCTGGTTGCATACCAGCTGCTCAACTTCTTCATGTTCTGGTTCAACTGCTACGGCCGAGCGCTTCCCTACGTTGCCAAAACAGCCCTCTACGTCAGCATCTTTTCCTTCATCACCATCACCATTACCGTGCTGGCATGTTCGTCAGGAAAGTACCAGAGCGCGCACTTTGTGTTTGTGCAATTCAACAACAACACAGGCTGGAAACAGGCCGGAATGGCGTTCATCGTCGGTCTCATCAACCCCAACTGGTGCTTCTCCTGTCTCGATTGCGCTACTCACATGGCTGAAGAGGTGCCCAAGCCCGAACGGGTCATTCCCATCGCCATCATGTCGACCGTGGCCATCGGGTTCGGAACCTCCTTCTGCTACGTCATCTCCATGTTCTTCTCCATCCAGAACCTCGAGGCCATTTTCGCCTCCACCACCGGATCGCCAATCCTCGACATTTACTACCAGGCCCTCAACAACAAGGCCGGAGCCCTCTGTCTCATGTCGCTGCTCATGATCACCGCGTTCGGATGCAACATTTCGTCCCACACGTGGCAGGCGCGACTCACATGGTCGTTTGCACGTGACCGAGGAATGCCTGGCTCCAAATATTGGTCCCAAGTCGACCCCAAGCTCGGAGTGCCCCTGTACGCCCACCTGATGAGCTGTACTTGGTGTGCCATTCTCGGATGTCTTTACATGGCCTCCGAGACCGCATTCAACTCCATGGTTGTTGGTTGCATCTCCTTTTTGCTGCTTTCGTACTGCGTTCCCGTCATCTGTCTGCTCCGAGTTGGCCGAAACAACATCCAGCGCGGCCCCTTCTGGCTCGGCAAAATCGGCCTTGTGGCCAACATTGTCGTCATTGCCTGGACTGTCTTTGCCTGCGTCGTCTACTCGCTGCCCTTCACCAAGCCCGTGACCCAGGAGAACATGAATTATGTCTCTGTCGTGCTGGTGGGATACTTTTTGTACATGGTCCTTTACTGGAAGTTGCGGGGCAACCGAACGTTCCGAAGCCATGAGGAGCGTGAAGGATTGGTTGAGGAAGACCGGGATGAGAAGGATGAGCGGCACCCGGACCATTTGCCTGAAAAGCTGAAGGATGTGGTTGGTGTTGTGCAGTAGAAGAATGAGGCGTGAATGAGAAAAGAACGAGACTGAATAACTCGGACGACTCGAACTACTCGAAAGACTCGAACTACTCGAACGACTCGAACTACTCGAACGACTCGAACTACTCGAACGACTCGAACGACTCGAACTACTCGAACGACTCGAACTACTCGAACGACTCGAATGAGACTAACAAGTGCCATCATCCAAATGTCTTCAAAAACATTCAAATGTCATCAGACATCATGTCTTCAAAGACATTCACTTTGCTGACCCCTCAAAAGTACTAATTTAATTTGCATGTTTGAATTTGAATCACGTAGCTGGAGAAGTTCAGAAGAGTCCCTGGGTACAGTACAAGTTCAAGTACGAGTACCAGGAGTAACAAGTACTCGTTCGAGTACAGTATGTACTCGTTCGAGTACAGTATGTACTCGTTCGGGGACATTGCAAGCTCCAGGTCCCAATAGTACCTGACGTAAACCACTACAATTGTAGTTTCCACCCTCAGTCGAATCCTCCACTAGGGTGTGGAGACTCTCCTGATGAGTCTCTCTGATCCAGAAAGAGTCTGGTTATGGTAACACCTTCCGGCAAGTGATATCTAAGTCATTAATGTGTTTTGTTAGATAAAATTTCATTTTATTCAGCACGAGTACACGTACACAGTATTTACATGGGTCTTGTACATACAGCATTCGGTGCTTGATCCACTGTCATACAAATTCCAAAAGCTCTTCAGAGTGAGGATGTCTGCCAGTCGGTTGCCAGTAGGAATGTATGTACTGAACAGTAATTGTACTACGCTCAACCTCTTCTCTGGTATAGTGGAATCGTCTAGCAATGTGCTTTGTTTGAGGATGATACGCTGGATGAATACTGATTTGTAGAGCTGTCTGATTGTCAGTGAAAATGACGAGAGCTTTGTCATCTGGCACTGGAACAACTTGGCTACTGACACTTCCGAGTACAGTATGTACATATTGAACGTCAAGCGTTGCGCCTCCTGTCTGAACCACATGCCTGTTCTGGCTCCCTCAACGATGTCCATATACTCTGCTTCAGCTGTTGACAGAGAAACGGATTTCTGTTTGGCTGATCAGATCCACCACACATTATCATCACCATGCTTTGGTAGTCACAATGCTCCAGTTAGCACCTGTGTAAATTGTAGGAACTGGTTCTGGAGTATGTCAAACCAAACTGTTCGGTCTAGGACTCGGTTGGGAGCCTTCATGTGCACCTCCTTTGGCTCTTGGTTGAAGGTAGCCAGGAGGTTGACTGCAAAGGCCATGTCCAGTCGGACAGTGATCCAAAGAGCCCAGTTTTCTAATGTGTTTATAAATAAATTTCATTTATTCAATATTCACAAGTACACATGTATAAAGTGTAATTTACAACCTTATAGACGAATACGAGTACGAATACGAGTACGATTGAGACTACAATACGACTAAACCGACTAAAACGACTAAAACGACTAAAACGACTAAAACGACTAAAACGACTAAAACGACTAAACGACTAAAACGACCACTCCCCGATTACTCCCCGATTACTCCCCAACTACTCTTCCTGCCCAACAGTACCGTCAATCCTTCAGTCCACCTTCGCTCCAGTTTGTAGACCTGAATTTCTACTGCTCACTATAACCACCAAAACGCTCCTCCTAATCGTGCTTCTAGAATTGCCCACGTGACCTGATTCGGGTTAAAAAGGTACAATAATCAAGTCGACTCAGTGTCGCTCTTTGGCAGTGTATGCTGGGACAGATTGCCATGAGTTCCGTGTTCCACAAGCACCTTTGGGTCGCCTCAGCTTCACAAGAAACCCCGACCCTTTCAGATGTGTCTCTCGTTGTCAAACTGATGGCTACAGCAGTCATTTTTGTCGGTCTACGTCTCTATGTGGACAAGGAAGCTCTCAAACTCGTGTCTTCCTTCTTCAAGATGTGGATGTTTGCAGCCATTCTTATGACCCCTCTTGTTAATACTGTATTCATCCGGCAAGTGAGGATCAGCTGGATCCCTTATCAGTCACTGGTCGCCCCACTGGACACCAGACTACAAACAGCCGTTCCCCGCCAGATGAATCCACAATTCAGCTGTGCTCAAACATGTATTCACAAATGGTGTGGCCTCCCTCCGCCTCCATATTGTATAAAGAGCTCTTCCAATGACTAGTTACAAGTGTACGATACTATCGCCTTGTACTTGAACTCTCTCTCCGATCGATTGACATCTCCTTGCTACAGTACGCTACTTAACATGACGAAACACGAAACTCATGGTTAGTTGACTGTTCCTTGAGCAGCCCTCAATGTGCCTTTTACTTGCAATCCGAGGTCAGGCTCTTTTGTAGCCCACCGTGTCGAGTTCTTTTTGCCCACAAGAGGTTACTGGAGCGTGTCTTAGTGAGACTGACAATGAAATTCTCACTCTCTTCGATAATGTCCGTTCGGAGTTTGGTTTGATTCCACCAAAACTTTTGAGGAAAGCCACAAGTCTGATTCTGCCACGGGGAACATATCCATCTAGATCAACTCAATGAAGAACCGCGTTTGCGCTTCTCTGCACCCACAGTTTGAAACACCACCAACGCCGACTTGTACTGGCAGCTCCATCAACACCATAATAAGCAAGTGTTGGCCAGAAACGAGCTGGGTATCCGATGATCCAACCTCCTAGGTGTGGTGGCCATATCTCTCGACAGCAGCACAGTTCTATCTGTGAGACATGACATTTTATCACCTTTAAATCGACTGGGTTCCAACTGTTGAGTAAAGCTGTACTGGCTGGTGTAGGGTATCCCGGCAACTTCATCACAGTATTGAACTTGTAGGAATCACGGAGGTGGAGGAAATGCTAAGACCAGAGACTATAAGCACACAATGTTATGGTGTAGTGGAGCGTTTTCCAAGTGCAAGGATTGAACTCACAGTATGAACTTCCGTGCCATGGCCCAGTCCGGGCATTGGCTGAACCAGTGAGGTCTGGACTCAAGACAGATAGGATGGGTGAGTCATGTGGTAGAAGTCACCCGAAACAATGCTTCAGAGCTCATAGACCCCATGCCCAATAATGGGTTACTGGAGACTCGGAGCAAGCTGCTGTAGCAAAACCCCAACTCTGACCACCAAGACCAGCTCACTCCGCATGTCTGTACATGGAATTGCTTCTGTCACCGATAATCCCGCAAAAGCACCCTGAGACGGTGAGCCCATGTTTCAGCATCTCGCCGTCTCACCATATCGACCAACAACACGGACTCCTGGCGGGCAGTTCTGACAGCTGAGCACATGGATAACGCATGTCAGGCTGAGCCACGTCCAAGTCAACCAGACTCTCTCACAATTCGAAGAATTCCTTTTTCCATAAATCTTCGACTTGCGAAATTGCTCTATCCCTTGTATCTCCTCCAGAATCACCTTCTAGGCTCGCCACTACCTGCTGTGTTTAAAAACAACACATGACTGGATCTACGGCACAGATTCTTTGTCTGCCGTTCAAAACAGTGTCGAAGTCTGGAGACCACCAAACTCAACCAAGGCACAGATGAGCGCAGCGAGCTTAGTGGGCATGACGAATGGAAGACTGCATCATCTTGGTCCCCAACACTCGTTCCCCAATGCTCTGGCACATCCTCGGTCCACGGCTAACGTTTCTCAGTCCCAGATTTGCTTCTTCTCGTACGTACTCACTCTCTCATTCTCTGTCTTGGCATCTCCTTCCACCTAATTCTCCGATGATCTACCAAGATTGACAGATGTTCCATGCTTTCTTTTTGCAGCACGAACTGAATAACTGGATTAGTCTCCAGATCATCGTAGAAGGCCAAGGCGCAGCGTCAAATGGTGCTCAAGTGTTTGGCTGAAAGTACGAAACCATCAAAACCAAACCGCCAAACCACCAACCACCAAACCACCAACCACCAAACCAATCCACCAAGCAGTCATACACCAAAAGAATCCACCAAGCAACCAATCCATCAAACCCCAAAACCAAACCACCGCCAAACCACCGCCAAACCAACTCCTCCACCACCACCACTCACCTTGTTCACAGCTAAACCTTTTCTGGTTCATCTCTTGTACTGTAACTCTGTCATTGGCTGCTGTTAGGGGGCTACTTTAACGAAAAGTAGCATAACGTGCTGATTCATACCACCAATAGCTCCTGTCTGGTGCCAAATTGTTGATAACGGGATCCCATCTCTGTCGCCAACCCCCTCACCATCTGCACCTCCTCTCCGGCCGGGATCAGACACCTCTTCGGTGTCTTTCTTCTAGAAGCCGTAATCTTGCGAATCATAACACAGAGTTATAGCTGAGTGGAGCTTGAACTGCTTTTCGGTCCGATCGTCGAAAGTAACGTTGCTGCCAAGAGGTGCAAAAAGACAGAGACATCGCTGAAGAGACCTCTGATACAGACCCACAGACAAGACCAGACATAAAAGCAAGTCACGTGGAGAAGAGGAGAAGCGGAGAACGAAGACGAAGTCGAAGACGAAGACGAAGACGAAAGAAAGAAGAAAACGAAGGAGAAGGGGAAGAATAAGAAGAGAGGGAGGAAAGGGGAAAGAGAAAGAAAAGAAAAAAATCCACACGTCCCCCGCTAATACACGGTCCTTACTCGTACCGTATTCTTGGAGCAACTGCAATGTCTCGGAAGAAATGTCTCAGCTCAACGTGGAGGACGTACCATGGTTAAGGTGCACAAACACTCACCATGGTATGGTCCTTGTGGAGGCCATCGGATGTCGTATGGCTTGTTTTCCGGCTCTCGTCCAATCACAGTCGCCCGGCTCATTCCCTTCCCCTTTCTCCCCTGCTTCCTCTCCGCTCCATCCTCTTATCCATGTCTCACATGTCTCAGACAGTCAGATCGGGTCGTATGTAGTGGCTATCATAGATACAGGGTTAGTCGGAGACAGATCAGGTACGGCGGTGGCATGCGGAGATCAGAGGACGGAGATCAGAGTGACTACCAGACGAGCATTTTCAATGCCACCTCTCCGTCTCTCAGCCCGCCGCCGCTTCCTTGGATGTCACTGCTGGCACCGCCACTGTGTACCACTGGCACCTCGCATAAACTCCGATCTCCGGTAGCAAAGGCGGAGATTTGAGTGCGGAGTCTGTGTGTGACACCCCGTCTGGCTGCGACTGTGACTCCGGCCACCCACGTCTGGACACCGATTGGTCCCTCCAGGTACGCCGCATCGCTAGCGGGAAACTAAAAGTAGTGTCGCTTTTAGCGCCACCTAGTGCCGTGGTGGTGGGTGGACTGCTGCGGCGGTCTGCATTGTGGTTGTAGCAGAGTAGTGGTGGTGTAGAGTAGTAGTAGTACGAGAGTAGAGTAAGTACCCTACCTCGTTGTTGCCTACTGTGTGACCAACCCAAGCAACCAGTCCAACAAGACTCAGACGTCACACCACACAACTCACCACCACTCACACTCAGCGTATAAGTACTCGTACCGTACCCTCCATCTCGTGGCACCCAAAAATTAGCACATGCCACAAAACAAACAAAGTACAAGTAGTAGAGTGTAAGAAGAAGAAATGAAGTGGCAGAAAACAACGTCGGGGGCACCCCCCTTACATATATATATATATATATACATAATTAAAAACGAGGTCCCAAAATCTGGCTTTTGTGTCACTTGTGCCACAACACAACACAACACAACACGTCAACTCAACTCTACCTCTCCCTCACCACTCTTTCAGCACAACACCTTCTTCAACCTCTCCACCAGACGTGGCAGGACGTAGGCAGCCCCCAGAACTCCCCCCCTCGAGCTGCTTACATCCCCCCTCCCCCCAGCAACCACTCTGTGATCAGGTAACACGCCCGTTCCACTCCTCTGTCGGCCCCGTACAACTTGGGCCACATCGTAGAGGACGAGAAGCCGTTCCATACCCGCAGATTCCAACAAGCAATGTTCGTCCGAGACGAAAGCGTCGCTGACTCCAACGAAAACAGCGTCGCCAACCACCTCAACATGACCCACGACTTTGGCCATGTCCATGTCGACCACGACCACGACCATGACAACGTCGACCCCGCTGGCAACTTCGCCAGCTTCGCCAACGACCCCATTGGCAACCCCGCCACGCTCGGCGACGACACAACTCAGCTCGTGCTGCGGGCCCTAGTGTCGACGAAAGAGGCGGGCGTCATCATTGGCAAAGATGGCGCCACCGTGGCCGGACTTCGGGACGCCGCCAAAGTCAAGGCCGGCGTCACAAAGTCCGTCGCCGGCATCCCCGACCGCATCCTGTCGGTTGCCGGCACCGCCGCCGGTGTGTCACGTGCCATTGGCCTGGCGGCTGCGGCACTCGTGGCACACCCGCCGTCGGGCTACGTGCTCAATCTGGTGCCTCCAGGCCCACAGGGCACCACCACCGTGCGCTTGCTCATCCCGCACCAGCGCATGGGCTCGATTCTGGGCAAGGGCGGCGTGCGCATCAAGGCCATCCAAGCCAAGTACGGCGTGCGCATTGTGGCGTCCAAACACCGGCTGCCCCACTCGTCCGAGCGCATCGTCGAGATCCAGGGCGAGCCGCTGGCGCTGCAGACCGCCGTCTACACGGTGGTCCAGTGTCTGCTTGAAGAAAAGGACAAATCAATCCTCGTGGCCTACTACAACCCGCGCAGCCTGGAGGGCAGTATGACCCTACGCGAGGACCCGGAAGATAAAGAATATGTGTCTTTCGCCGGCTACCGGGGCCGCCATCAGGATGGAGGAAGTGACACAGACACAGATAGGGAGGCTACCGTGTCGGATCATGGTGGAGACGCAGAAGCGCTGTCCAGCTCAGACGCATGTGTCCAATCCACAATTATCCCCGCGTCGTTCGCTGGCTACATCATTGGCCGGCGCGGCGACAACATCCGGGAGCTGCGCAAACGGTCTGGCGCGGCCATCTCCATCTCGTCCGAGTACGAGAGGGAGCGCACGCTGTTAATGCGGGGCTCGGAGGCTGCAGTGGCGCTGGCCATGAGCATGTTGCAGCAGCAGATGGACGAGGAGCGCGAGCGAAGGGCTCAGGTGGGCTCCGAGGAAGGAAACAACGGCTTCTGCTCCGACGTTTGACGTTGACAAGGCTGGTCTTGTCGTCTAGAATGGGCTTTCCCGATTACCATATTGGTACAACACTGGACATTCCGTCTACTTTTTGCGATTTGTGACTAACTTTTTTTTGCAGCTCTTATTTCTTCTTTTTTTTACAACACAGGTTTTTTTTTAGCAGGCTTGTTGCCTGTTTTGCGGTCCAGATGGTGTTCTTTTTGCTGTCTGGAACAACGGCGGCAGCAGCCAGTTTGTTTTTTGTCCCATGTTACCTAATGTGGGCCTGTTTTGATATTCTGAGGCGTGTGGCACGGCTTGTGGGGTGGTACTTGTACTTTTTGCCTCATTGGTGTGTCTCTGTCTCGGGGTGGTTTTTTCTACTAACTTCTAGGTCTTTGTATATATAGAACGACTTGGTTGGGGCCATGAGAGAGGGTCGGCCTGGTTTTATAGTAATGAAATGCGAGTAGATTGGAGAGAGAAGGGGGAGGGGGTTGTGTACAGAACTGTACCATACAAGTAATGTAGGTGGTAATTATAGATGATTGCAATATCAATGAAATTGGTCAGGTGTGTGGCATTATTTGGGGCTACAAGTAGTTGGGGCTGTTTGAGAAACGGCAAATTTTCTTTTATATTTTTTTCTTTTTTTTCTTTTTTTTCTTTTTTCTTTTTTCTTTTTTCTTTTTTCTTTTTTAATTAAAAATGGATTGGGGCTGTCACAGACGAGGTTCGAACTGGCGTGTGGCAGAGTTGGAGATTGGTGGTAGATTTGATGTCCTAATATGAGCTGTTTTGTAGGATTAATTGTCGATTTGAGGGTATATATTTGTTCTTTGGATCACGCTCATTCCAATGGTATGCGTTAATCGCCTATATCTCCACTTTTCACGTGGTTTATTTGGCCCTGATGTTGTGTCTTTGTCCGTAGCGGTGTGTGTGGGGGTGTACATGGGGGGGGTTAAGTTTGTGGGGGTTGTGGGGGTTGTCTGGGGGTGTTTGGGGTATCATTTTGATCGTGATGGTGTGCTGGTTCATATTTTCTTTTCCAAGTTGTCCTATCTCTTCTGCACCCCGTTTTATCCCACAATGTGTGTTTTGTTCACATCTAGACAAACGCGAAAACGCGGAACTTTATTTGGTGCATGCATCACAACAACAGACTACCAGTGCACATTTCAAACAACCTCACCAGCTCGTGGGCTCGATTATAAAGGAGAGACAGCCGGCTACAAATGCCCAAGACATTGCTAACGACACAATCGACTCTCACACATCGCCATGACTACCACAGACAGCCCCTCCGTGCTCCAGGACAAGGACATTGACCGGCTCGTCAACGCTCAGAAAAAGCCCCAGGAAGAGCCCACCATGAAGGACAAGGCGCTGCTGTTCGAGAAGCAGAGACAGGAGAAGAAGATGAAGCATACAGAGGCCAAGATGGAGACCAATCCGCTTACTTCCGCCAAGACGTTTCGCAAGGCCCCAACTGAGGCTTCGACTGCTACCACCAAGGACTCTACCAAGAACGTCAATAACGCTACAAGTACCAATAACGCTACAAGTACCAAGAACAACACCAAGAACACTCCCAAGAACACCCCCAAGAACATCCCCAAGAACACTACTGCCAAACCCCCGATTCCCAAGTCAGCAATGAAGCCATCCGTTCCTGCTGCAGCTGCTGCTGTTTCAACGTCTGCTGCTACTGCGCCTGCTGCTACTGCTTCAGTGTCCGTCTCTGAGCCTGCTGCGGCGTTTTCTCCCGCTTCTCACGACATGGCTTCGTTCATGACGGGCGATACCTCTGCTGCAATCGAGTGTCTCATGAACGGCACGTCGACCTCGACTCCGCAGAAGAGCGCCAGCGGAATCAGCACAAACAAACATGTCAACGCAGCCGCCAGCCAGGTCAACAACCGCAGCAACACCTCCAACTCGTTCGACAGCCACACGACACAAAAGGCCGGCTCGTACAACCCCAACATTACCAACATTTTATCTGAACGAGAGCTCGATTCGACCGATTGCTATGCGGATTCGGAGTCCAGGTCCCAGCCACACAAGCCGTCTGTTCTTCTTCCCACCACGGTTTTGACCGACAACAAGACCCCCACTTACCCTCCTTCGCCGGAGTTCTTTTCGGACCACACCGACGCCCGTGACGTGCGGGTGGGCGCCTCGTTTGTCAACCACAAGCAGCCCTACAACTTTGCCCGAAACAACCATGGCAGCGACGTGTCCAGTGCGATGGATAATGCGAGACGTCAGGCGTCTGAGACCCGTCGTTCGAACCTCAGCTCCTACAACGACAGGAACCAGCCTGCGGCCCATTCGTATCTCCGAACCGCGCCCAATCACATGGAGAAGATCCGCACGGAGGTTGACAAGGAGCAGACAAGAGAGAAGAAGCTGGCTCGTGAGCGTTTGGCCAGAAAGCAGCAACGCGACAAGTTTGACTTGCTGCAGACCCCACAGACCAAGAACAAGTTCAACATGCAGGTGCCGCTGGATATGAGCGAGGAGCAGCTGTTTGAGGTCATTTGCAAGCTCACCACACAGCTGGATCAGAGCCAGGCAAGGGTTCGGGAGGTGGAGGAGCTCGTTCAGCAGTGTTCTGAGCAGCTCAACGAGCGATCTGTGGAGATTGACTCGTTGAAGAGCCAGTATGAGGAGGGCCAAGGGGAAAAGGAGATGCTCGTGGGCCAATTGGAGGAACAGTTGAAACGTGTGAGTGAAGAAAAAGATGTGGAATTGAGACAGGCGACGGAGAGGATGGAGAAAGAACTGAACGACGTGACCGCGACCAAGGATCACGAGATTCAGCAGCTCAAGCAACAGGTTCAGGATCTCACCATTCAGCTCTCCAGTGCCACGGTGTCTGATGTCAAAACTCTGCGAACAGACTATGAACATTACAAGAGCCAATGTTACCGCAAGGACGTTATGATTTCTGAGCTGGAGGCCAGACTCCAGCGAGAGGAGAACTTGGAGAAATTTGAAACAGAACTCAAGGACAAGGAGAAACGTCTCATCAAGACAGAGCTTCGACTAGGACAGCAGGCACTGGAACAGGATCATGAGAGACAAAAGCTGGAGGTGGAGAAGAAGGTGTTGGGCGAGAAGGATGAAGAGGAGCGGCTGAGAGAGCGACTGAGAGAGTTGGGCTCACGAGACAGATCATATAATCGGTCGTCCCGTGACAGATCACATGACCGATTATACGAGCGGTCGCCTCGATCTCGTGATCGCTCTTCACGTGACAGGTCCCGTGATCGATACTCCCGTAGCCGATCCCGCTCCCGATATCGTCGTAGGAGTGACTCAGTAAAGGACTACTCTGTCGGACCACGTGACAAGGGCGATCTTCGCTCTCTGGCTCTGGAGAAGATTATCGACTTTCTGTTGGCTCGTCAAAAGGCTGGAGCTCAGAGAGCCCATATGGATGCGTGTTACAATGTGTCTGGCCCTGGAGTGCGGTATGGAGATGGGTTGAGTGATGCCACCGTGGAGAAGGTGCTCAAGGAGTTTCTCAACAAGGATGAGGGGTATCTGATGGATTTGCTCGAGGGAGATGGCAAGAGGTTGGACGAGTATTTGGGTACCATATACTCGGGAGTGGGTGTGTGAGAGCAAGTCAGGAGGAGAACACTATTTAACAGTATAATTGATTATTTGTATTTTACTGTACTACAAGTAGTACTAGGGCGCCTACTTGTAGTCTTGATGATGTGTTACCGCCATCGCGTTTTTTTTCAGAGACATATCTGATATCGTCTATGTTAACCGCTGTCCATCTACTTGTTGCTGACTGACTAAACATCAAGAATTGTGGAGAAAGGAATTGAAAAATAGATAGATTCGGGGCACCTCTATCTGGATTTCAAGTCCCCGTTTCGCCTGTTTTTCTCTATCGAGTTCTATGGGCTTTGGTAGTTTCGACATACTCTGACTATGTGTACACTGTACACACGAGAGAGTATGTCAATATGAATATCAGGAGACTATAGAGCATTTTTACTTGTAATAGTACATGTTTAAGACTTGATGAATGTCTCTGAAGTAACTGTCTAATTGGTATCTGTTATGACATGAGAAAAAGGGTCAAATGATGATGGCGACTTGTGAATATGGTTCATAAAACAGTGGAAAACATTGGTAACATGTTATTGCTTCTGTTTTGGTCCGGTGAGGTATATTACTATGTAGGGAGAGGGCCCTGAGTACGGTCTCTGACACTGGCAGCTAGAAGGACAAATCATGGGACTCCACTAACTAAATGACAGACTTTTTGCTTCTCTAACAGTGAGTCGTCTCAATGCCAGCTGTCTGGAGGGTCCATTTGTCCATGTCGTCAGGGGACTTTTGAATCAACAGTTACTACTCTTCCGAATAGTTCTCTACACCTTCTAACACACATTAAACGTCTTTACCTGAGTCCATACTCCTTCTGACCATTTCCTGATCATCACAGAATCAAGCCAAATTTGTCATGATTTCAAGCGCTTATATTTCCACCAATATGAAACCTACTGTTCATGAACAGCATTAATGGACTCTCCATGACAAGGCCAATCTTCTCGTACCCATAACCTCAGTAATATTGCCTGCATTACGAGGTTTTTTCATTTTTTCATTTATTTATTTTTATTCTAATGATTCATTACAGCTATATACCTACTTGTAGTAAGCCGGGTTATTGGCGTTCGATAAATCATACACTTCTGAATCTTTGCGATGTGCGCTGCGAGGCGCTGTCGGTTGGTTTGTCGACGCTTCGTCTAGTTGATTTTTTTTTTTTTATTATTCTAATGATTCATTACAGCTTTTTCGAAAAGTCAAACGTCGCATAATAAAGTACATTGTCTCCAAAAATTCAAAAATCCGATATAGTGTAGGGGCTATCACATCACGCTCTCATGTTGAGAACCGTGGAGACCGGGGTTCGATTCCCCGTATCGGAGGTTTGGTCCAGGCCATATCCTGGTGAAAATACGGCTTCCCGTCCGATCAGCCATAGTCAAGCACCAGAGAGCCTAGTTAGTATTGTAGTGGGAGACCATACGAGAATCCTGGGTGCTGTAATCTTTTTGGAACCGATGGAATTTAATGGGGTTGATGTGTGTCGAGATCTTGTTGTTTTTTTTTTTTTGGAACAACCACTCTAGTCACGTGACATATATTGCTCACCACTTCTCGCCCTCGCCCACTAATTCTCGCTCATAACCTCTCACCATATACACGTCCCAACCAGGATGTCTAAGTACTTGGACTTATTCCTCTCAATAATACACTCCCAAACCTCGCTTGGCTCGCTAAATAGACCTCCAACTTTGGAGACCCCGAAAGTGTACGACCGCAGCGTTTGGGAGCAACAACCAGGGGGAGATCACGTGCCCGAGTAATATACTGGTCACGTGCCCCTACTTTCCTCGCGACCAACATCCTCCAACCTCCTCCAATCACCAACCAACTAACTATATTGCACCCTGGTAGAACATGCAGCGCGTCAATCAATTAAGCATGCATCGGACACTCAACTAAACCGATATTGGCGCCCACTAAACGAACTCTGATGACGCTATCAGGAATATTTGGGTGCGAAATAGGGCGGAAAGACACTTTGAGAGGAGACCGGCTTGTGGTTTTTTTTCCTGTCTCACCATAACCCTTGCCAATCTGCGACTAAGCTGTGTGGGTGGTGTGGTAGGGTAGGGGAGGGGAGTACGTCGTAATACAGTACGCTATTTTCAGCATATACAGTATTTGCACGACAAGTAGATTTATTGCAACTCATGTCGTAGTGTGCTCTCAACTGCGTCGTATTTCTACCTCGGCTGCAACGTGATAACCGCACGGATTTTTTTTCACCGCATGGAATTTTTCACCGTGCGTTTTTCCAGCATGTTTTTTTTCTGGGTGTTTTTTTTCTGGGTGTTTTTTTTTTGGGTGGTGTTTTTTTTGTCTAGTTTTTGTTTTGTCTTGGTTTTCGCCGTTGGCTGCATTTTGCGATTTCCAACCGGCACAAATTCCGGTCCGGAACCTAACCCTTAACGCCGATGAGGAGGAGGAGATAATCACAAGTTTCCAACCACAGCACAGGACGGTCACGCGGTCACGTGAGATGCACACCGGAGACGCCCGGCGCGCTCCGCCCCGCCCCCGCCGCCATCGTGGTCACGTGACACGCCCCCCACCTCCTCCCCCCACCACACGTCACGCCCAAACACCAACGGGACACGGCGTTGTGTCTGCTCGTCCTACTGCATTTGTCAGCTCATTTCTCGGACAAGAAATATATTTGACTTTGGCGTCACGCCAGATTAGGCTGCATGAGATTTCTAGTGTGAGTCTAATGGCCCAAGGCTTTACGACCGGAACGACGAGAGACGAGCACAACAGGGTGTCTTGACGCGGACATATAGAAGAGATGGGGCGATAATAACAATATATTCGAGTTCCTCTGACTCACACGATCAAAATAGTACCAAAAACCTTCCCACAAACCTCCTCCAAACCCCCACAAAAGCCGACGTTTGGTTCCCTCATCAACATCCTTCAGGCAACTTTCCAAACACTATTTGTCATGGGGATAATAATACTTCATTACGCTGACAGTTTGAAAAAAAAGTAATCACCAAAAACATGCCGGTATTGTATAACATGGTATGATTGTGTCGGGGATAGACGGGGGTAAGGGTATATAGATTGCACTGGAAACGGCGGAGAGTAGCCCAAACCCCATCACAAGTCGCAAAAACCCCATTGACCGACTCAGGCACACGCCTCGTATACCGTTTTACCCCTCATTCATTTCCCATTCATGCTCCCGTTTGGTCCCACACTGTATGGTGATAATCCAGCACCAGTGAGAAGCACGAGAAGTTAGTACAGGTAGTCGGATACCATGAGCCAAGAAATCGCGTGACGTTATCAGTGGACGAGTCACGTGAGCAAGGGAGAGGGGGGGGGGACCAAGGCTGTCACGTGACCCCTACTATCCACCCCATGGTCGGCTATCCAATACATCTCTGTCTGTTTGACTCTCGAATCCATCTTGAGCCGCCGCAAGCCGCTCGCTCCAAGTCGCCAAATCACCAAACCGCCAAACTCCAAAACCGCCGCAAGCCGCCGATTCACCAGCCGCCGATTCACCAGCCGCCGATTCACCAGCCGCCGATTCACCAGCCGCCGATTCACCAGCCGCCGATTCACCTATTCACCTATAAATTGCTGGGTTATTGTGTTTATTGTAGTTGGCAGCAAAAACGAAAAATATATTCGCTAGAACGAAAAACGAAAAACGAAATAGGAAAACCCAAGACGCGTGGCTGAACCGTCTAAAAGTAATCACATGATGGGCCAGAGGAGCAAATAGCGAGTAGATTGCAAAAAGAAACACACCATTACAACCGCACGCACGAGACGAAGCCAATGGTACAACCATTTTCGAGATATAACCACCACACCATCCACAGACCAAATGTGGTCCAATGGTGCCCCAGTAGAAATTGCTCTCATACTCGGAGGCCGAAAATGAAGATATTGGAAATCCGAAAAATGCAAACTACTCCGGACACTGTTCCGAACACCTTCAACTTGCTCTCGTGCTCATACAACCCATATTGCCACCACCAGATCTTCTCGGAGATTGAAGTGATTAATTTATAACCGCTTTTAGATTCCCGTCCCTGTAGAGTTTTGTGTGTACATGCCTCTGTGACGGAAAAAAGGTTATTTCTCTTGTGTCGTTTACGTCGTTTCCGTATTGGGTTCAAGGGATATGGACGAGGGGGAGACTATATCTCGTGATGGAGACGAGCTACGGAGACCGGGACACCACCGCTGGATTCTTCGTCACGTGACGAACAAAATGGTATCCCTTTGAGTCCCAATCCCCGGCCTAGATCCGGCAAAATACGGCCCTATCCGACCCCCCTCAATTTTAGGCGGGAACCTAAAACGCACCTCTGTAAAAAAGATATACCATCTCCAGCCCATTCTAAAATCTCACCATAAACACAACTTCTCTCTCTCACACCACCACCACAACACAACTCCGCCCACCATGAACGCTACCCAACCGGAGTCGCACATTGTGCAATGGCTGACGTGGACCCAGGACACGATTGGGTTCGGCACACTGGCCGCAACGGTGCTGTTAATCGCTCTACTTTACGACCAGTTTTCCTACGTCAAGTCCAAGGGGTCCATTGCCGGCCCGCCTCTGAAAATGTGGCCAATCATCGGCCCATTTCTGGACTCCATCAACCCGGACTTTGAGAAATACAAGGCCCAGTGGGCGTCGGGGGCGCTCAGCTGCGTGTCTGTGTTCCACAAGTTTGTGGTGCTCGCATCTGATCGGGACCTGACCCGTAAGATCTTCAACTCCAGCGCATACGTCAAGCCCTGTGTGGTGGACGTGGCCATTAAAATCCTGCGGCCCACCAACTGGGTCTTTCTGGACGGTAAGGCCCATGTCGACTACCGACGAGGTCTCAACGGCCTCTTCACCAACAGAGCCCTCAGCATGTACCTGCCCATCCAGGAGGGCATCTACGACACCTACTTTGACAAGTTTGTTGAAATGAGCAAGGACGGCCACGTGCCCTACATGCCCATTTTCCGAGAAATCAACTGCGCGCTCTCTCTGCGAACCTTCTGCGGCAACTACATCACCGAGGAGCAGATCAAGGAAATTGCCCACGACTACTACCTGGTGACTGCCGCCCTCGAGCTCGTCAACTTCCCCATCATTCTGCCCTTCACCAAGGCCTGGTACGGCAAAAAGGCCGCCGACAAGGTGATGGACATTTTCGCAAAGTGCGCCCAGATGGCCAAGGACCACATCAAGGCCGGAGGAGATGTCACCTGCACTATGGACGCCTGGATCGCCATCATGAACGGCCGGGACTTTGACAGCGACCACGGCACCGTGCCCAACAAGAAGATTCGAAAGTTCACCAACAAGGAGATTTCAGAGACCATCTTCACATTTCTGTTTGCCTCTCAGGACGCGTCCTCTTCCGCCACCACCTGGCTCTTCCAGATTGTTGCCGACCGACCAGACGTGTACGCCAAGATTCGAGAGGAGCAGCTGGCGGTGCGAGGAGGTGACCCCAACGTACCCCTGTCGCTGGAGCTCACCGAGAAAATGACTTACACCAACATGGTGGTCAAGGAGTGTCTGCGGCTGCGACCCCCTGTCATTATGGTTCCCTACGTGGCCAAGAAGGACTTCCCCATCTCGGACACCTACACAGTGCCCAAGGGCTCCATGATCATCCCCACGGTCTACCCCTCGCTGCATGACCCCGAGGTGTACGAGCGGCCGGACGAGTTTGTGCCCGAGCGATGGCTGCCTGACGGAGACGGCACCAAAAACGCAAAGAACTGGCTCGTGTTCGGCACCGGGCCCCACTACTGTCTGGGACAGAAGTACGCGCTCATGAACTTCACCAACATGATTGGAAAGGCCTGCATGAACCTCGACTTTACACACAAGGTGACGCCTCTCAGTGAAAAGGTGCGTGTGTTTGCCACAATCTTCCCCGATGACGATTGTCTGTTGCAGTTTAAGAAGAGGGAGTAGGGTATATAGGTTTGGTAATGTATTAATATTAATGATGGGGCGAGGGGATGGTCCGTATCGTGAAATGGCGACAAACATCCTTACAACCACACTGGTGAAGACTTCTAATCAACAAGTCCCCACGCTGCGAGACGGATTTTCAAACCAGGGGTACAGTACATACTGTACATGCCACTGCTCGCACGCAGGCACCCAACAGGATCATCTGCAGTCCCAGATGTTGTGCAGCAGCAGCAGCAGTGACAGCAGCAGCAGTTGCCGCACAAAGAGCGCCAAGATCCGGCCGCATCTCGGAAATTGGCAGTGCTCGTAATCTGTCGCCGGATAAGACTTCAGACTACATTGGAGTAGGGCCAGCAGTTCTGGATGAAGAGGGATTTCCGGATGAAGAGGGGTACCGGAATGAAGCAGGATTCATTACCGGTAGTTCTAGTGAAGACGGATGAACATACAACTTGAGTGACGGGGTACATACTGTGGAGAGCAAAAGGCTACCAAGTAAGATATCATCACCATTGACAGCCAATTGCACTTGTCAATGTTGTCTGTGGTGTTGTCTGTGGTGTTGTCTGTGGTGTTGTCTGTGGTGTTATCTGTGGTGCTACTGTTATGAACTTGTGGTACCAGAGCCAGAAGTACTTCAACTTGTCATAAAGAGCATCTTCCAATCCCCAACCCTCCATACCACATTCGAGTCCATCTCTCAAGTCAGAGCTGGTCCTGGTGAGCGTATAGCTTTCTCTGGTGACCGTATTGAGGTCGCAGGAGTAGGATTGCGAGACTAGAGTAGGAGTGTTGACTGCGGCGTCTGTGTCTGTGTCTGGCTGTGTCTCTCTGTGCCCGTCTGTGACTGTTCCAGTAACATTGGTGCAGTGATTGTGAGTTGTGTCATTGCGCAGTTGTAGTACTTGTAGCTGGAATTCAACTGGGCTCCAACTGGGCTCCAACTGGCCTAGCTGAGTCCAACTGGACTTCAAGTGTTCAGATTGGTCCGTGAAGCTATTCCGAGAGTCCAACAACAGATTGACAGTTGGGACAGACTGCTTTGACCAGCTGCCGCAAATAACTGCTGCAACAAACCGAGTACGGAACCGGTGAGATGCTGTACAATACTTTCGTGCAATCCACATTGCAATATAGCCATATTGGAGACCAACTCTATTTGCGGGAGGTGATGTTCTATATATAGGAGCGCAAAGGTGTCTAGAAATTCGTGTTTCTGGACCCAGAATCAGCCCAAATGTTGCAGACGGATATAAAACGACACAAGGAGATTCATTGCCAGTTTTGATCGTTTTATCACCCCTACAGCAGTTTCTACGAACCCATTAAATTCAGCTCACTATACAATAGTAACTCAAAATTACCTTCACCAGTCGCATCTCCAACATGCCACTTCTGTCACCTCCACACATTCACACACAACAAACATGAACGGCATACAAGAACAACAAATGACGCAGCTTTACCTGCCGCAAACTGAGGACCTGATGCAGCTGCACACCATGCTTAGTCAGCTCCAGATTGCGCTCAAGGACAACGAAGAGGTGGTGGAGAAGTTGATTCGACAGGCCGACAAGTACACGCTTTCAGATGTCATGGAGGAGGTTGAAGCGACCAAAGACAGCGACAGCGACGAGTATTTGCCGTCGACCGGCGACTCGGACGCCTTGCTCGACTCACAGCTGTCGAAAAACGCGTTTTTGAGGACCCAGGTGGCTCAGCAGACAAAAACCAACTCAGAGACATTACAGCTTGTGTCGGAGTACAGAAAAGGCCTGGGATCTTGTCTGGATGTGGTGCGGCAGCTGGCATGGGAAAAGACGGTTCGAAATATCAATTTGCATCGAGATTTGCAACCAGGATATTTCGAGAGGAATCAGCAGGTGGATGCCATGCAGGTGGAGAATGCGGAGATTAGAAGAGAGATTGAGTTGGAGGTGAATCTGTTGAGAAAGTTGGTTAGGGAAGGGTGTTAGCGAACAAAAAAAGTGAGCGGAAGCTGGCTGGTTGAACAGAAGCTGGCTAGCAGAAGCTGAGCAGAACTTGCCAGGCATTGGAACCCCTTCTGTACGCACATGATACGAGGAGATGTAAGCACCTATCCAGAGTATCCACAGTACGAGTATGAGTACCTGCTCCTCCCATGAAACTCTCTCATACAATATTTATAACACACCAAAGTGTGTATTTATTCTAATATACGGATTGTAGATTGTGACCCTTGAACACTGTAAGACCAGGGTCACAAATCATCTACAAGTAGACGAAAGAAAATTGCTCAGAATGGAAATATAGATACACAATTGTGTGGCTCTCAGCACAAGCATCATTTTGGTGTATATATATTTACAACTTTCTATACAAAAAGTTGAACTAATCGAGTACAACGGAGCCAAATGAAACATACTACAAGTACAGTACTTGTAGAGATAATCCTTGATCCAGAATCCAAATTAGGTCACGTGACCACATAAAAATGTGTCTAGGATCGCTTCACTTGCCTATCTACAACTACTCACACATGTTCACACCAAAGATTGTTTCAATTGATCAATAAATTACTTTTACATGTTTGGCAGGATATGCTCATTCATTTCAAATTAACTACATGCTTGTGAGAGCGTAGTGTATGCGGTAATACATACGGTACTCTGTTTGCTGTCTCATAATGCACACACGAATGCCTCCTGTCTCCTGTACGGTTGGGCCCCGGTTAAGACATAAACGCATCTGGGGGCAACGAGCCTCCCTCCTGGGCCTGTTTGAACAATGCCATGGTCTGTTCCGGAACAAATCCGGCCTGCTCAGCACACATTCGCGCGTACCTTGCATTTAGACGGGTGGCTTCCATGAGCTGTCTGACAATGAGAGCCTGATCGGGGTTGAGACCGGCAAAGTCGTCCCCAGGAGCTCCACCAGTTGCTCCAGTCATGGCTGCACTGGTCCATCCGTCTTTTCCGGCGTAGGATCTGACCATGAGAGTATCGGAGGCGATGATCATACTTCCGTTGGGGCCAGGGAGAAGCACAAACGTTCTGTCGAACGACCGGGTGTCGCTCTTGTTGCCAATCATGTTTTCCTCGTACTCGCCGTGCACAGACGCAAAAATGGCTGTGTCTTGCGGCTCTCGCACACCATTGAGAGTCCATGCGTCAATGGCAAACTTTGAGGGGTCTCCGAGATCGTGTTTCGTCTTAGGCAGGCGAGTAAAGGCTCTTCCAATCTGTTCAGGACCCACATAGAGTCGGTTGGTTCGAGCCGAGGCTGTGGTCACCTTGGTCATGTTTCGTGACAGCGGAATGTATTGGCCCCAGGGAGGCTGACCGAGACCCTTGACCATTGTTCGGGGTGTGTTTGAGCAGATGGCGACCGAGAAAGTCGATTGTGGGTCGTACAGCTGCAACAGCTGCTGTCGGTCTGTGTCGTAGAGCTGGAAGTAGTTGGCGAGAAAGCCGCCGACCATTTGCTGGATGTTGTCATTTTCAAAAAACGTTTGCCGTAGAGGGATGGGGTACTTGACTTTTCCAATCTGCGACTCGTCTCGAATCACATGGCTGTCCAGAACAATGAGCCTGGGGAACAGCTGCGCCACCTGCTGCTGGTAGTCGGGTTGGTTGGTGATGGGGTTGCCCACAAGGACCAATTCTCGCAGCGACTTGAACTTGTGTCTCCACGACTCGAGGTCGGTGATGCGGGCAATCTGGTTGTTGGCTAGCGACAGGTTCTTAAGCTCCGGATACGTCTGAGACAGCGTCGTGATGCCGGCAATGTCGCTGATGCTGTTGTGGCCCAGATCCACCGAGTCCACCACGGGGTAGGTGTCGCCTGCAATCTTGAGCAGCGCCAGAAACATCTTTGATCCTCGCTCAGTGGTGGCCAAAAGGCCATTCTCAATCAGATACTGGTCCTGGCCCATGCCTGCAAGGTTCAGCAGCTTGTCCTCGGCGCTGTATCTGCTTTCAAGGAACCGTTTGAGCGTTTCGATCGTGGACTGCGCAGCAGCCGAGGGTCCATCTTTGACTGTGATTTGCAGAGCCTGGCCTGCAAACCGGCGCCCGGACCATTGTCCAATCGCACGGGCGTCCGTGTTTTTGACTCGGGCCTTGATCACGTCGCCATCCACGTACGGGTTCTGCAACCGGAACCCGCCCTTGTCCTGGAGAAACCGTACAAGATCGTCCTTAGGCGCGTTCGTCCACCCTCGGACCTCAATGTCCGTCAGATTGCTGTTGTTGCTGTTGTTGTTGTTGTCGCGGCCGCCGCTATTGTTGTAGCCGCCTCGGCCTCGTCCGCGTCCTCGATAACTCATTGTTTGTGGTGGTACTGGTGAAACGAAAATGAAAATGCACGCCAATTTAAAAAAGTGTAGTTTTTGCTTGTGCATGAGAATCGAGACCTGCGCCAAATGTCCTTGTAGAAGCAGTGGGACGTGTCTAGAGTCAAAAGAGGGATAATAATTCAGCTATTTGACGCTTGAATATCAAGGGTATCAATTTTCACGCCCAAAAACAAACATTTCCCCAAGTAAAAGATCAGTTTCAGTTTCAGTCTCCACTAGATTTAAACTCGTAGTTGATATATTGTCAGGGTTAACCAGAAAAAGAAAAATAAAAGAAAAATAAATAAAAATAAAAACAAAAAAGTCGAGAGAGAAAAAAGCGAGAAAAAAGCGAGAAAAAAAGCGTGAAAAAAGAAAAGAATGCAAGTTGAAATATGGCTGATAACTCGACGAGCTGATAAATGTCCTGCTCTGAATTAATTGAAGAGAATACCAAATGGGTGGTATAACTCGAAGACTTCATTATATAGCCATACGTCAACCATAGTAAATGTAAATACAGTACAAACCTACATACAGTTGTAGGGTTCACACTGTACTATACACCCACCATCAAGACTGCACAAACTCCGTCAAAGTTGATCCGGTTTCAATAAAAAACTCATAAGGAGAATAAGTTGGCCATTTCAAACAATAAGATACCATATAACCCTGGAAAAGTTCGCTCTCCAGGTCTCCATCACTCTCCCTATACACACTCACATACTCGTACTAATCCAAATTCAAACCTCCTCGGAAAAGTCAATCAATCACGCTGGAAAAACACCTTATGAGATGTGATTCCTACGTCAAAAACACAGGTTAGGACTGTTTCGTCGTATTCCATCCCCGCTGCATGACTCGCAAATTCGTCCTGCTCTCGTCTTTTCTTCAGACAGCAAAAACTTGCCCATCTACAAGTACAGTACAGTACAGTACAGTACATACATACATACGCGCGCGCCGCCATTGCAAGCAGGATGAAGAAGAGGAGGACGAGGAGGACGGAACGGCGTGGAGATGTGGGACACCTGGTCTACAAGTGCGGCCGTAATGTGATATACATTTGGTCACACGACTTCCCAGACCCGGTCATGTCACAATTGATTCTCAGGAACTCGTGTTTTCGCCTTCTGTCCCCAGCTCCATGTCCATCTGAGCTACAGTGAGTAATAAACTGAACTATATAAATTCACACTTTTTTATATTTTATATTTTTATTCCACCCTGTTCTTGATCTACGATGCAACCCTTACCCTTGAAAAGTAGTGTGCGATTGACCACAGAAGGGGGAAGGAGGGAGCCTCAGAAACAAACAGTCACGTGAAATCAAGTCACGTGACAATACACATGACCAAAAAAACAACAACACCGCCTATTCCCATAAAATTACTCCAGTCTGTTCGCCATTTCTACTCCTCCTCCACCTACTGTATCTACTTTGCCAAACCTTACTTTAACTACACGTCACACTCCCAACCACAGTTGTCATCTACAGACTGTACATCACACATTTTTGGTTCTTTCCACAACACAGACTCAAAAATGCCTTCGTACTCTTATGATGAAGAGTCGGACGTGTGGCCATACTTTGCGGTCACGTTGGGCTCACTGGTGCTAGTCCCCTGGACTCTCAGTGCCGTCTATCCGGTTCTGTGTCCCCCCAAGACCCAGGCGACTCTTCCCGAGGGCGTGACTCCATTCCGTCCCCCCCATGCGGCGGACATTGACTCGTTCCAGAGCAAGCAACGGCGCGGAAAGCTGCTGTCCAAGCGCAACGTGGCTCTGGTTGCGGGGTGGGCGGCTCTGATTGGAGCGCTGGTGTTCATTTCACAACAGGAGGTCAAGGTCAAGGCCGACACGTTTGATCCGTACGAGATTCTGGGCGTGTCCTTCTCGGCCACAGAGAAGCAAATCAAGAGCCACTACAAAAAGCTGTCGGTCAAGCTGCATCCCGACAAGATCAAGCTGGTGGCTAACCAGACCATGGAGCAGGTGGAGGACGCGTGGGTCCAGATCACAAAGGCCTACAAGGCGCTGACAGACGAAGTCACCCGAAACAACTTTCTGGAGTTTGGCCATCCTGACGGCCCCCAGCAGACCGACCACGGTATTGCTCTGCCCAAGTGGCTCGTGGAGGGCCAGGGCTCTCCCTTGCTCATTGGTGTCTACGCCATTGTCGTGGGAGTCATCCTCCCCTACACCATTGGCAAGTGGTGGACCGGAGTCAAGTCCTACACTCGTCGTGGAATCCACAACAAGACCGCAGCCCGGTTCTTCTCCATCATGGCCAAGGAGCAGCCAGACTACATCACTCACAAGCGAATCCTGGAGGCCGTGTCCGAGGCCGAGGAGTACCGAATCAACTTCCCCGAGCTCACCAGCAAGCAGGTCTACGAGCTTCTAGACGACTACCTCCACAGAAAGGCTTCTTCCAAGCCCGCCGCTATGCTGGGCGTGGCTGCTTTGGCCCCCAAGCTGCTGGATGGCTTTGCCGACATTGCCATCGAGTTCAAGCCTCTGGAGGTGGTTCAGCGAATTATTGAGGTTCAGCGAGCCATGGTTCAGGCCGTTTCTCTCGACCATCTTCCTCTTGGAGAGATGCTGCAGCTCCCTCACGTGGACTACGAGCAGGTGACCAAGAATGCCAAGGGCTACGGTACCGGCTCCATCCTGGGCTTCAAGGATGCCCAATTCAAGGAGATTCTGGGCGTCGACAAATCTGATATTACATCGGTCAAGAACACCGCCAACGCTGTGCCCAAGATTGATATTGTGGATGCCTACTTCAAGGTGCCTGGTGAAGACGTGGTGACCCCCCAGTCTGCTGCCCATCTTGTTCTACGAATCCGGGTGCGGCCATTTGGAACCAAGCGACCTCTCAACATTGATACCGCCAAGCTCAAGCATGATCTGCATCTCGACGAGCCTATCGAGGTGCTCAAGGAGCCCACAATCACCAACAGCAACGCTCCTCTGCTGCCTCACACCTACGCACCCTACTTCCCTGCTCTCCATCAGGGCAAGTGGGTTGTGTTTATCACCTCTGACAAGGACAACAAGATTGTCGAGGGTCCCGGCGAGATCACCCGGCTCGACGTATCCAACCTGAGCAATCTCAAGCCTGGCAAGGACGTGGAGGATGGCGTTATCGGCACCTTCAAGATCCAGCTCAAGAACCCCACTCCCATGTTCCCCGGCAAGTTTTCGTACAAGGTTAACGTGCTCAACACGGCTTACTTTGGCGTCGATGCTGTAGAGAAGCTGAACGTGGAGGTCAAGAACCCGGAGATTCCCGCTGATGACGACGACGAGGACGACATTTCCGAGCCTGAGGAGGACTCCATTGCTGGCGCTCTGGCTTCTGCCCGGGGCCAGAGCACCAAGAAGGCCGCCGTAGTGGACGACGATGAGGAGGACTCCGAGGAGGAGGAGGATCTTTCGGATATCGACACCGACACCGAGGACGAGGCTGAGGATCCCAAGAAGAAGTAATTAGAGGAGGAGAAGATGGTAAAAGCAATATAGTGCAATGTATGTTTAGAGGTAGAGAAGGGTGGATGAAGCGGGTGTAGATCCAGTACATCAAGTGATGTGATATAGCAGTGCCTCATGTAATGCGGAGTGCCACTAGGTGCAACTGAGGTCTGGAAAGATACTTCTATAGTACATCCATACAGTGTACTTACTAATAGCAAACCGCCTTTGGAGTTACTACACGACTCGGTATTCCATTGATTTGTACTTCAAGGAGATTGGTTCATTCAGCGCGTGTCTCGGAATACGCTCACCATTTCTTCTTTCTTCACGGACAACTCGAAGCCTTCCTCATGTCTCCTTTTTCTCCACAAAAATTAATGTATTTCGCGTTTCGTGTTGGAAAAAAAAAAGTCAAAACGACGCGTCGTATGATTACAAGTCCGACTCCTGCTTATCTCCACCACCATCACCAGCCACTGGGCGAGTGATGAAGTCCCTGAGTCACTCGACTCGTCAGCAGGAGTAGCTTTGAAGTACCTGAGTGATTACTAACATAGCGACCAACATGAGTCTAGTTTTGATGTTTGAAACTTGTGCGTCGCAGTCACTGGATTGAACCCGCTCTGTGGTTTGAGATTGGTCCTGCCTTGCTAGAATTAGGCGGAAATGCCTATACGGAAAGCGGAGATTCAGCGGTAGATCTCGATCAGCTTCAAGACAAGCCTGTCAGGTTCACGTTGTGTGTGACAACTCCAAGTTAATGATGGCGAGACCAAGCTGATGCACGATCAGGTGTTGCCCAGCAAGATGATGAGGCATGCAGAAGTGACGAGGAGTTCAAACATGTCATCTCTAGCCCTTGGAAATCAATTGCTCTGGGGAAAGCCGATGCTCACATCTTGCCAAACGGCCGCCGCATCGGCAAGAGCGGTAAAGAAGAGGTAGATCTCTGGGTCTCGACTGGCGTTGCTACGTCCGAGAGCGATACATTCCCTTTAGAACATCTGAACAGCCCTGCTGCATCTTGCCCGCCAGAATCGAAGATGAAGACTACACTAAAGACTCCCTTAACGATGGTGACGACGACTCGACACACAGGCTGGTGATGCTGTTGTTGCCTGCCACGATAAGGACTTACATATGCAAGGACTGGTTGATGATAACGAGTTTGACGAGGGTTTTGTCGACGTCTTGTCTGATTCTGAAATGGATCTTTTTTGAGACGATGGGAAAGATGGCCTTGATTTAGACGACAATCAAGAGAGACGAATGAGAACGGCTCCAATGACACTGGCATTCTCGGTTCCTCCAAGAGTGATACTTTAATCCATCACCACCCAGTACGTTTGGTCTACGAGCATCCCAAGGTGTGTATTGTGCCCAGTGTTCCTTTTGAAAGCGTTTCTCACGAGGGCGTGTTTGTTGATTTTCCCTCGGCGTTGGAGCACATCTAAATGGTTGGGGAGGAGCTTGGAATCTGCTGGGTACAATACCCTTCGTGCAAGTCCGTCGAGCAGGAGTTAACGAACGAGCTATCAATGAAGAATCATAACGACACCTACTACAACAGATGCAGCAGACCTTCTCCCGATGTCAAGAAAGATCGGGTTATCGATAAAAAGTGTCAAGGGACCGGATGTGGAGTGAAAATCACGTCGAAGAAATTAGCCGACCTCCAATGAGCTGTTCTTCGCCTGTCAGATGACAAGTCTCTAGTCCATAACCACGAGCTTACGCCTTGAGTCGAGACAATATTTATAAGTGAGGATAATCACCTCCTTATATCAACTCCTCAACCGCTCCTTGGACTGATGCTTATACTTGACCGTCTTCTTGGACATCATCTTTGGTGAAACCAGCTCTTGACGTAGCCCGGAAAGATATGTTGGATCTGGTAATTGACCTGGTTGCCAGCTTCGACCAACTACAGACCTTTGGTGCTTCTCATAGCTGGGTATGATGACTTCTACTGCACCGATGGAAGTCTTCAGTTCGGGGTGTCTTCCTATGTACCAGTCTCACAAGGGTTTCAGGAAAATCGATGATGTGCGTTTTTCAGATGAGACATGGGTGCTGGAGATCAATGACGATGGGGTTAACGATAACGATACGTCTTTTCGCCAAAAATGGGCCCGTTGAAGCTGGCAGGGTCCGAAACGATACTTCACAAACTGCTTCGGTTTGGCTCAACTTGATGTCCGACGTATCCTTCTTCTGAGACTTGAGGATGTAGTGGCTCATTGGGGAGTATCTTACAATTGTCCACGTATCATGGGCAGTAGCCCGGCAAGTGCATTTTGGACAGGAACCTCTGACAGTCTCCTAGGTGAAGGGTCCAGCCTCTCGAACCATCCATGGAAACCGTTGTTTGACGTTAGAGATCAGTAGAAGACTGGTACAGTAGCCCTAGATAGCATACTTGGACTTCCTCTCTCTATATTTATCGCAGGATAGCTTCAGGATAAATTCAAATTTTATCTAATTTTTCCAAAAAAATCACCGCATCTTCCAAAAAAACTCGCAAAAAGATTGCAGCACCCAGGATTCTCGTATGGTCTCCCACTACAATACTAACTAGGCTCTCTGGTGCTTGACTATGGCTGATCGGACGGGAAGCCGTATTTTCACCAGGATATGGCCGCAACCGATGGGTCTGTAACGGATCGGTGATGGGTCAATCCTCAAGATATCCCTAGGTACGAGCGGGAACCGCTCGTCCTACTCTACAGAACAGTACACCAATAGTACGAGCTCCGGAAGTCGTATAAACATAACTTAACTTACATACTTGTGAGTGGTGGCTATATATACAGGCATCTCAACCCTAACTCTGTAAAGCACGTCACTATCCACGTGACCTAGCCACGCGATACCAAGTATTCATCCATAATGACACACTCATGACGTCCGGAGGACGTCATCATCGTCCAGTCACGTGCCAAGGCACATGACTAATCATAACACCTTATGACTAGCTTCTGAATCGTTACAGGGTCTAACAAACCATTAGGCATATATATTGGACCAAAAAAGTCACGTGTATGCGAAGCGTCGACAAACCAACCGACAGCGCCCCGCAGCGCACATCGCAAAGATTCAGAAGTGTATGATTTATTGAACGTCAATAACCCGGCTTACTACAATGTAGGTATATAGCTGTAATGAATCATTAGAATAAAAAAAATGCTGTAATGAATCTTTTTTCTTTCTGCATATACATTCATTTAATTATATGAATCATCTCGTACTTGCCGCCAGTCTTGACATAGACAACCTGGGGAGTGGAGAGGGCCGAGGAACTTGTTGGCGCAAGAGTAGAACTCCTGGGAGCCGTCGAACTCAAGATCCTGGACGTCACCGTCACCCGTAAAGGTGAAGCCCTACTTGGGCTCGGAAGGGGACTTGAAGGCGAGCTCACCGTTCTGGGAAACGTCAAGAGAGAGACCGGGGTAGCCCTCAGCAAACAGCTTGATAATGTCGCTTTCGTCCTCGGCTCGGAAGTCGGAGTAGCCCTGGGTCAGGCCGTAGACAATGTTGTTGCCGTAGAGCTGGAGAGACTTGAGGTCCGTGGCGCCGAGGCCAATGGAGGCCTGGATGGAGTACTGATGAGGGGCGGCAAGAGCGGTAGAAGCGGCGGCGAGGATGGAAAGAGTCTTGAACTGCATTGTGAGTGTCGGAGGGAAATATCCGAGCTTTATATATTGTTGTTTGGTGTAGTCTACGTCATTCTATGGTCTTTGATGGACATTTCCATGATTCTGTGCTCAAAATAGAATACTGGCCGATCTCTGAAGAGACATCTTGAACTCTGAGGGTAGCATCCGACCTGCGTTTGCCATGTATGGAGGGATGAGGCACGTCCCGCACGCCCACGGCAGCGTGGATGTGGCGAAGGACAACTGGGAAGAGTTGCTATGAGCCGATACAGTCGCAATTCAGCCCGTTTTACTCGTTTCACCTCTTCTCGGAGTCCCTAGGACCATTATATTCCCTTCCAGCCGAGGAGTTTTGAGTTCAGAAATAAATCGGCATGAGAAAAAAAATTGTGAAAAAAATGAAAAAAATGAAAAAAATGAAAAAAAGGGGGAAAAAAAGGAGAGAGTGACGTCAGTCTTTTTTTTAGACGCCGTTGACAATTGACTCCAGAGGGAGAGGAGGCTTCACCGGCAACAAATGTCGTTATACAGACATTAATGGCGGTTTCTCAACTCCAAAATGGACAATTCTCGTCTCCGATACCTCCCCACCCTCCACTCTTTCACCAGAAACCACGTATTCGCGCCCATAACACCCATGATAATCACATTTTGCACTCATGTCGATCTATGGAGAAGATTACACCCTGCCATTGCCTGAAAGAACGGTTTATATGCAGAAAACCGCAGTGGCGCAGTGATCAGATGTCTATGCTGGACTACGGTCTCGTTTTTATCAGCAACAAGGGTCTGCTGTACGGTGTGTATAGGTACATCAAACGCCCCATGGTACATCATTGGTAAGCTGACAACCGAAAGGAGTTGACGCTTCGCTAGTTGACACACAACTCTGGATCTTTGGGGGAGAAAATCAATGGACAATCGAAAGTATTGCGTGTCTGGACTACAGACGGGTCCAGTAGTGGATCAATTGGGCTGTACTCTTGTTTTAAATCAGAACAGCGTTCCTGGTCCCTTCATCTTAGCCCCCAGCATCTCTACTGAATGTGAGTCTGCAACAAGGCTGCATCTTCCTGTACCGGCCCCAGGAGCTTGAGTCTCTGGTGTTCTGGATCATCTTTTCGCGTGGATCTAAAGCATTTTGAGTCGTTCAGATTCGGCATCCGCAGACCCTCAAACCGGCCGGCAATGGGCGAAATCCGAAAGTACCGCACGAACAACGCAGATGTTCATTGTTTGATGTCCTTCTGTTTGAGCTCTTTCGTCGAGCGGACATGTGTTTGATGAGCTTGGTATGGGCCGTAGTCAGCTGGTCGACGGCTTTAGACACTGTGCCTTCGTCGGTGGAACGGCAGTGCCGGACGAGCAGCCTCCATTCCCGCCTCCATATTAGCCATCAGCATCAACTGTTGCCATTCTTCCACCAGAGCGGCTTTGAGTCAGCCGCTCGTGGGTCTCCTAAAGTAAGAGTCCAAATGTCATTGTAAGGAAGCGTCTAGATGAATATCTGTGGAAGTTTGTGGGCTTCAGACGGAACGCGGAAAATGGAAAATGGTAGTGCCATATCGTTGAGTAATTTAGTTGGTATTAGTTGGGAATGGGTGGGATTAGTTGGGACGTCAAAAGGACTAAGGATGGGAGATATTCCGGGACATGAATAATGTGAACTTCAAATTAAAACATTAAGCAGCCATTCGCACTCATTTCAGAATTCGGCGCTCTTTCCTGGAGTTCAATGGAGTCATCAGAGTCAGTTGCAGTGTTACCATATAAAGTGAAGCTTGTACTGAAAGAGTATATACCGTATATCTTCAATCTCTAAGCTCAAACTGAAGTCACTGTAGATCAACCTGTCTCATCATTGAACAAACGAGAATGTCTCAGAAGATACACAATGTGATACTGCCCAACTTCCGAATCTTCGTCTAATACGAGTGCTGTTCATGTACATACTGTACATACTGTACTCGTGGTGTATCGCACCCTATCGCAGTCGTCTGAAAGCTGTGTAGCACAATATGAGTAGTTGGTCGTGGCGAATGAACGGGACCGGTTCCTCGGGGTCAATTCCTCCCCTCTAACAAACATCTACCCTTTCGCAGACCCCGTTATCGTCGACAATGACGTTAAGTCTGTTGGGACGGAAGTCCATGGTGCAAGGTGACATAGGCCCAAGAACCCGGTTGGGCTGAGGAAGGTCTTCCTTGTAGAATTCCGAAGATGAGAGCTCCGAGACGTCGTTCTTAGACACGATTTTCTTCCCCACGAGGTGTTGCCATTGGTCTAGCAGTTGGGTGTCTTGTGTGAAGTTCATGATAGAGTTGATGAAGAGGAAGAGAAGCAAATACATGTGATACGATACAAGTAATTCTCACACTTGCACGTGTTTGAGTTGATGTGAGACCACTATGATGAGCCAATCAGTCTGAGGTCACATTGTTCTAAGGTCATCGCAGAGATCAGCATTATGTAATCCGATAAATACAAGTCCATCACTACACGATAATATCGGACTAGTTGTACGAGTGCAAGTATGAGTACGAGTATGAGTACAACCCGGTCACTGTCCTTTTTTGTGCATCTCTTTTGTGGGTCTCTTTTTGCACTGTCCTCCTCACTCCGCTACAGCTCAGCAAATGGTACAGTACCATTCACATCTATCAAACATGCATAAATAACTACTTACTTGGAAGGATCGTTTCGCTGGTAACCAAGGTATCCCTGAAGTCGGTGGGTGGGGAGCATGTCCAGGTACTGCTCGGCCAGGTTCTTGCAGTCCTCAAAGTGGTTGGGGCCAGACTCCTCGTAGCACTTCTCCAGAGCCTTTCGCACGGTCTTGAGAGCCTCCAGTCGGATGAACTGCTCTCGTGTGTAGCTCTCCTGGGCCTCTCGGACCTTCTTGTGGTCGTTGTAGTTGATGTCGTCAAAAGACACGAGCTCGGGTCGCTGATGTTCTGTGTTAGTTTCTGTCTCGCGCGCGGTAAAATCACGTCGGCGACGTTGTGGAGCAACGGAACGGCGATTCCGCGCATTTTCGCATCCGGATCATTCCTCAATGAGCGCCTATTGGCGTTTTCGTACTCACCAGACATTTTCGTATTCGAGGTGCGTAGTCTAACTTGGTGATAAATCTGTGTTGTGGTTGGTTGGTTCCAGGATGATTCCAAACCTTATATTATTAGTAAGGCGAAATGAATAATCTGAATTTATGCAGGATGGGAAATGGGAATAATTCGTATAAAAAATGGGAAAAAAATTGCAGCCGAAAAATAACCGCAGCCTATACAAATACAGCCTCTGTGGGGTTTTATGTAATTGTTTCAACCCTACTAATTCTCTCTCTCTCTCACTTATCCAATCATTTTCATTCCGCACATCTATTAGAATGCCTGTAACTATCCTAGTTATTTTGCTACTCGTTGCCAATTTTCGTTGTTGAATCCTCCATTCGATTTCCATCTTTCGCTTAAGCCTCCGCAGTGTCGAGGAAAAAGTAGTTGCCGTGAGCCTTCTGCTCCTTGTCCATCTGCGAGTCCTTCTTGTTAATTCGGGGTCGGAACGAGGTGGGGTCTCGTCGGAAGGTGACGTTGAGAGACTTGAGGAACCGGTTGCATCCGGTAAGCAGAGACTCGGGTCGTCGGGCAAAGGCCTCGACGGAGGGCTGTCCGTCAAAGACAATGACTCGGTCGGCCAGGTAGGTGGCCATGATGAAATCGTGCTCAACGATAAAGGCGGTCTTCTTGGAATGCAGAATGAACCGTCGAATGACCTTGGCACAGATGATTCGCTGCTCGGAATCGAGGTAAGCGGAAGGCTCATCGATAAGGTAGATATCTGCGGGCTGACCCAGAGCGAGCACAATGGCGACTCGCTGCAACTCACCACCAGACAGGTTCTGGACCTCCTGGTCGATAATGTCGTCAATTCGCAGAGGCTTGTAGACATCGGTCTGGAACTGGGGGTGATGCATGGAGGATCGGATCTTCTTGAGGAAGAGCTGTCGCACGGTACCAGTGAACTTGGGGGCAATCTTCTGGGGCTTCATGGACACGTTGAGCTTGGGGGCCTTCTGTCCCTCATCAGGAGCCACGGCGCCGGCCAGAAGTCGACAAAGTGTGGTCTTTCCGGTACCGTTCTCGCCCATCATGACAATGATTTCCGAGTCAGTGAACTCTCCAGACTCGACGTTAAGCTTGAAGTCGCCCTGAGTTCGGCTCATGGTGGGGTACTTGAAAGATCGCGACTGGTCAAGGGGGATGATCTCAGTGGCATCGGCGAGTCGGAACTGCAGAGACTCGGTTCGGAACCGCAGGTTTTCGGTGGGGATGTGACCGTCCAGGAAAATGTTGATACCTTCTCGCACAGACGAGGGCAGAGTCACCACTCCGTAGACGGAGGGGACACCGTAGAGAATGCAGACGAAATCGGACAGATAATCCAGCACTGACAGATCGTGCTCGACAACAATAATATAACCGGTGGAGTCGATGAGCGACCGAATCATGGCAGCAGCATGCAGACGCTGCTTGACATCCAGGTATGAGGAAGGCTCGTCAAACATGTAGACCTGGGCCAGCTGGACACAGGACATACCGATGGCGAATCGCTGCAGCTCTCCTCCGGACAGCAGAGACACCTCTCGCTTCCACACACCCTTGAGCTCCAGGGTGTTGACAATGTTCTCAAAGTCGTCCTTTCGCTCCAGCTTGGCCTTGAGCAGCTCGCCAACCTTCTGCAGGGGTCCCTTGATGGCTCGGGGCAGGTTGTCGACGTACTGGGGCTTGATGATGGCCTTGAGGTTGTCTTCCAGCACCCGAGTAAAGTAGTTTTGCAGCTCGGAGCCTCGGAAATGTGTCAGAATCTCCTGCCACGTGGGAGGGTCCTCGTACCGGCCCAGGTTGGGCTTTTGCTTGCCTGCAAGAATCTTGAGCGCGGTACTCTTGCCGATACCGTTGGTTCCCACCAGTCCAAGAACCTGGCCTGGTCGGGGAGTGGGGAGTCGATGCAGCTTGAAGGAGTTGGCCGAGTATCGATGGGTGACCTCAGAGTCCAGGTTTGTGGGCAGGTTGATAATCTGCAGCGCGCCAAAGGGGCACTTTTTGGGGCAAATACCACATCCGATACACAGCGTCTCGGAAATGAAGGCAATCTTGGAGTCGGGCGTCACCTCGATACACAGCTTGCCGGTTCGCACCACAGGACACGACTTTTTGCACTCCTGTCGACACTTCTTGGGCTTGCACTTGTCCACGTTGACAATAGCAATACGCGTGTTCTTGTCTCCGTCCTTGACTTCGTTTTTGTTCTTGGGCGGCATTATGATGTTGGAGTTCCGTAGTTCTGTGGTTCGTGGTGTGCCAAATTTTTGCACCCTTTGAAAAATTACCCAACCTTATTTCCGCACCCCTTCCAGTTTGGTCGGTTCCAAAAGGGGAAATAAATTAGGGCTGGCAGAAGGAGCCGTAAGCAGCAAGAAGACGCCGCTGATTGGCCAGCTGCACATTTGAAGTGTGTGTGGATCACGTGATCGGCAACCGTGGAAACGTGTGTAGGGTAATACAAACTGCCACAATAGCCTAGTGGCTCTTATCCCCCGCTCTATTGGTCTACTGCTTGGAATCGCACCGTAGCAACCTCCAGTAACCCTACTTATAGTAAGCAGATGAGACATGGCTTGAACCTCTGCAAATACGGTAGCAATGAGATACCAGAGGTAACCAGAGATAAGCAAGAGACACGTGGTGGTTGCGGAATTATATGACGGTCTCGGTGGCAATATTTCTGCTTCAGTCTCTGCTTCTATCTTCACCGTGCGAGTTCTCGTACTCTCACCAGAGTAGATCTGCTAGACACCCCATATTTTTATTTGTCAGAACTTGAATCTACGTACATTACTTGTATTTACGTACATCCGTGTTTGTACCTACAAAAAATAAAAAATGATAAAAAAGTGCATTAATCCCTACCTTCAGCCCTCATAATACATATATATATTTTTCGGTCGATGTATCTGGATGCGACGAATAACGAATGAAAATCTCATGTCGAAATTAATATTTCAACGATGTACTAACTCGTGCCCCCACCCCTTTTTTTTTCTTTTTTTTTCTGTTTTTCTTTGTTTTTTTGGATAATTCGGCTTTTCTTAAAAAAAAAAAAAGGGACTTGAAAATGCCAATCTAGCGTCTCATCAAAATGCTCTATGTTCTCCAAAACCGTTTTGGTGCTACTGCAGACATTCTGGACCCAAGCAACATTCAAACCGTTGCAACGGTGCCAGAACTTTGTTGTACGTCCTTGGAACGCCTGTCTTCTTTTTTTTGTCCTCCATCTTGCCTCTTGGTTCTCCTGTCAAGTAATTACTCGTACATACTCGTACATATCATATCATACATACCATGGCAGTAATTACCGGAACACAGCCGCACGCACAATGTAGCCCACCACCAATTCTCTACAAACTGCTCCGGTTCCATGTTCCATGCACGCGGCCCTGATTTCCACTGTACGACCGTTGAAACTGATATGTCCACAGCTCATCGCATCGGCGGCTGCATACGTACATGACGAGAAGCAGACCAGTCCTACACACCCCCAGCTCTATACATCAAAAAGTTATTTATTGGTTATATATAAAAAAAGCCCTACCTCGATCTGTCTAATACGTCGTTGGAGACACTTAGGAGTTGATCTTGACAAAGGCAGCAGCCTGCTGCTTTCCAATCCACTGCTGGACCTGATCGGCGTTGAGACCGGAAGCAAAGTCGGTCGAGTCGTCAAGCTGGACAATCTTGATCTCAGAGTTGTCGCCGGAGAAGATGACAGCAGCCTTGAGGGTACCGGAAGTGGGTCGAGTGAAGTAATCAGCAGATCCTCCACCGCCATACTGGGTACCGGTTCCCTGCCAGGTGTGCAGGTGGTTGGTGAGTCTGTCGTTACCGGAGTTGAGAACCTCAAAGAGATCGAGCTCGCCACATCCGGTGGTCCAGCACGAACAAGAGGCCTGGCCGTACTGCAGAGTTCGGGGAATCTGGGCGTTGAGCATCCAGATGGCGGGCATATCAGCGTTGAAGCCCTGGGAGTTATCCTTGGGCATGGAGAACTCGAAAAGGAAGATTTTGTTGGTTCCACCAAAGCCATGGTAGGCAGGAGAGCCCTCTCGGACGTAGCCACAGTCGTTGCCGCCGCACTGCTTGTCGGACATGATCAGGAACTCCTTGTTGGAGGGGATGGTGACATCGCCAAGAACCTGAGGAGATCCGGCACCGGAAACTCCGTCAGTGCCGCAGAAGGACAGGGAGTTTCCGAAACAAGAGTCCCAAGTACCGGAACCAGCGGTTCCTCCCTGGTGGTTCAGGAAAGTGAGACCGTCAGACTGGCCAGAAGAAGAGCTGTAGAAAGCAGATCGCTTCCAGTCAGAGTTGCCAACGGGAGCCTGAGAAGGCACGTTGGAGGGAACGGCAATGGTGGAAGAGGGGATAGACTGGGTCTGAGAAGACAGAGACTCCCATCCCTGAGGGGGGCCAACATAAGAGGGGCCAGCGGTGGGGGCACCGGTCTGGGTGGCATAGGTGAGAGCGTCGGAGGGCTGGATGGCGAAACCGTTCTGGTCAGCGTAGACAACCTGGGTGACCTGCACAATCTCGGTGACAACACCTCGCTTATGAGCGTGGTGGGCGTGGAACTCACGCTTGGCGGTCTCGCCGCAGTCCTTGTCCTCCTCCTCGACAGCATCACGCTTGGCGTTACCGCTGTTGGGGTAGTAGACAGCAAACTGCTTCAGAGACACGGGGCCTCGGAAGGAGATGGAGAGCTCCTCGTTCAGAGGGGCCAGAGGGCCAGAAAAGGCCTTGACGGCGGAAGAACAGGTACAAGAGCTGGAGTCCATGCCGGTGATGGCGTTGTAGGAACCAGCGAAACCAATGTTCTGGTAGGTGACTTCGGACACCTCGTTACAGTAGGTGTTGCCAGCAATCTGCTGGCATCCGGAAGCATAGGCAAAGGAGAGAAATGCCGAGATTACGGCAGATGAGAATTTCACTGGGTTAGTATGACGTTTTGGATGGCCGGATTTTTTCTCGCATCATTTCCTCGCATCTTTCTCGCATCTCCCATCCACAGAGTTGGCTCCACTGTGCAGCAAGGCTTTGGGTTTGAGATCCCGGGATCCCAATCTAGAAAAGGGATATCTCGTTCGGGGAGAGTTCAGGAACCGTAAGCAGTGCAAGGTTGGTGTGGGACAACAAAGTGTAACTGTGATAGTGGTTGCAAGGCCGCAAACGCCTCAGAAAAGATACTCGAGAGCAATGTAGCATCAAGCCACAGAGTAATAGCTCGAGGCAATAGCCCAAGGGCTCGGAAATGGTTGGTCTAGACCACCAACTATGCACCCTGCCACAGGGACTATGCACATGTAACATGCATAGGTCATAAGTGGACGGTGAGCTGCGGGAAAAAGAGAAAAAAGGGAGCCATGCAGAGCCAGGAATATATCTTGAAACGGACAGAGAGCGTGAAAATCTTTTCACTTGGCGCAGTATGGGCGTGTGTCACAGAGTGGGTCGTGGTGGGTCGTGGTGTGGGTGTCGTATCTGTAACAGCCCCACGTTGTGCATATGTATAGTGTTTGGAACAAGGGGTCAGGGTCCAGGGTATCATATGTGATAGGGGTCGATGGAGGAGGGGTATAGGGGTTGTTTGTTCAGCTGACGTTTTACATGGGTTGTGGGTGGCTATTGGTGTGGGCTGGTGTGTCTTGGTGTTGGTGTGTTGTGTAAGTGGTAGTGGTAGTGGTTGTGGTGATGCGTGATTATTAAGCAGGGGGCTCGGAATGTGTGTGACAGGACATGTAACAGAATGAACTGTACAAGACATGTCAGACTCGAACTCCCAGGAGTGGGAAGTGACAAGCTACACTCGTAGCGTGAGCCATTGTGTGCTACACCATTCACCTCACCACCACACCACACACCACCACCGCTTGTCGTCGAATATGGATGGTATATAACAGAATGTGTCCCTTCTGTCGATGCATTCGTGTCTGTCTGTATCTGTGTCGATGTCGATACGTTCGTGTCTCTGTGTCTGTGTCCAACTTGTCGTGTGTTTGGTTTGGTATCGCGTGAATTCTCTCTGTTGTTTCTCTGTCCGTGTTGCTGTATTCTCTGTCTGTCTGTGTTGGTAAGTCCTGGCGCTACGGCCCCAGCCGGTTGATACTCACTAAGGAATGACTGAGGTGAGAAAACGGAACGACCGTGGAAAAGAGCGAAAATCTGAGATGATGATGAGGAAGCAGAGACGATAAAAATAGGAGATGAAGGGGAAGTGTGTAGCGAAACACAGATTAAGGTTTCTATAAAAGGTTCATCAAGGAGATACTAGCTTTTGGGTTGGATGCTTTGGAATGTGGTTTAGGAGTGCTAGACATTGGAGCTGTAACACTGTCAAGTGGAGTCCGTCGGTTGGCGTTTTGGGGCGCATTTTGAGTCATTTGATAACATAGCGCCGGGAAACATCATCCGCTCTCTATTGGGCACCCCTTTGTAAGCCCAGGTGGCCAGACATCGATAATCGAGATATCCCTCTAAACTCAAAGGGATAATAGAGGTGGCTCAATTCGGACTAGTGTCGACAACAAAGATGCGCGCGACGTGCCAGGTAGGAAAAGGCTAATTAAAGTTGGTGCAAAGCTGCGCACACAAGCTGATTTAGGTTCCCTTCTCAGCCACGCGTATTTTCGAGTCTAGCATTTATAGCATCCTATCATAGGTGTAGGGGTGGGTAATATTGCTCGGGGGGGGCGGTGGGGGGGGTGAGACAGGCTCCGCCGTGGTGAATCCGGCCTCTTTTTGCTACCTTTGGGGCGAAAAGCCGAGTGCGGGGCTGTTTGTCGTGAGGCTGGCTGTCTCTCCGTACTGGCTCATCGTGGTTAGAACCAGGCTGGGCGTGACAAAGAAACAAACTCTATTTTTCCAACGCGCACTATGCAGCGGGGGTGAAAAAGTTGGTGGATGAAACAGCAGTGCAATTGTCCAGTACATGTACTGGCAGACAGAAGGCAGAGGCACGACGTGTATGAGCCATGTAAGGGGTTGACCAGATGCATTGCATTCAAAGGGGTATGCGTTTGGACGAGTCCAGCCAGGCCAGCGCTATAGTGAAGAGCGAGTAGGGGACGTGTTCTAGTAGGAGTTGGAGTACCTTGTATCGGACTCGGGAAAAGAGCACACGACTGGAATTGCCACTTGTATTCTGGTGAGTTTGGTCTCTAAAGAATGGTTGATATGCACAAGAGCTTGGTATGCTTTACCGTTGTTTTAGCCACTCTTTGGCCGCTCTACTTACAGTTCTGGAACGTTCAACCAGTAGTCACAGGTTTGGTCAAATGTGGTGTGGTTGAATATGGGCTAGTGTCGGGGATAACGAGCGAGTGCCGGGACAACTGGCGAGTGTCGGGATAATTGGACATTGTGAGATTTCATAATGGTGCTTGTACCAATATTGGACCGTGCAGTCTGTTGTCCTGTACACCTCATTCAAATGCACTCCAGTCGTTTCTTTTCTTGATCTTCGGAGATCTGGAACTGCCATCAGGGCCGCGGAGAAAATGCACCAAAAGAACGGGGAAATTGGTGTTTTGTTTCATCGGGTTATTATTGGGTATTATGAGGACACCGGCGAAATATTTTCTGTTCTTTGGCCACAAGACTCTGTCACAGATTCTGTCCTGACTGCATAGTGCATGGTAATAATATCCCCTGAGCGGAGAAGAGGAGAGGAGACGGGTGACTTGGTCAGATGACGTTGACATATTTGTGGCGACCACCTTTGGGATATTCGTACAAGTATCAACATGGTACGATACAGGACTTGTACGGTACTCGTACGGGCATTGTACTTGACACACTTCTTACCCCATCTTCATCCATCTCTGTCATTGGATCTACCAGACATGAACTATCCCAACGGAGTATCTGCCGAAAGCCCTACGAAGAACTCATATCTTTAATATGTTGTCAACTCCCTATTATCGTCGACTCCTATTATGGGACTCCTTTCTCCTGAAAACAGTGCATTCTGCGTGGGCTCTTGGCGTCGACTTTTGAATATCACCGTGGCATGCTGTATCCTTGGCCAAACAAAATGAAACCAGCCGTGTCAATGCCAAGTAACCGCCCACTGGGGAGTAGACCTTCCATTTTAGGTGAATGAGAGAGTCATTGGCTGATTCCACAAGTACAATTAGTACGGGTGCAGTACATTCTTGTACTTTTTTTTGCACTTGGTCTTGCACTTGTTGCACTTGTTGCACTTGCACTTGCACTTGCACTCGTACGTATTGCAGCGTCGTATCGGACGCCCTCGCCCACTGCTTGCTGTGGGAATTGAGTGTGGTCCCCTGCTTAAGGCAGTAACATGACGATCTGTCGATCTGTCGATCTGTCGATCGGTTGATCGACTTTTCTCAGCACAAGTTTGGGCTCCACACAGCTAAAACCGCAGTAGCCTCCAAGACAATAAAAACATGTCAATATTACCAGATAGGCTCTGGACCTGAAACCTGGGACTTGTTGACGAGAAAGAGACAAGTTTGGATATTTTGGATGTTTATACTTGGTGGACAACAACCAATGAATCCGCGGGTCCGAAAGACCATAATATCATCGTACGTCCCCCTACTTTTGGCGGGAACGTATCGCTGGACTCTCCGGGGCGTCCACGCCCATCTTATAGGAGATCAGTTGATCGAGGAATGATGGCAAATGCAGCCCCGATGGTTGCCGTTGTTTACCATTGTTTACCGTCTGCGATGTCCATGTCTCGAAAATAAATAAGCACAAAAGACGGCAAAGAACCCGTTCGGAATGTGTTTGATCGCGTTGTAAATAAAAGTCCTGAGTGCGCGATTTACAAGGGTTCTCGGTGCGAGTGCGAGTGCGAGCGCGAGCGAGTAGTACAAGTAGTGTGCTCGTAATACTCTTGATTACTCGTACGCTTCTCATGCTACCAGATACTATCCTCCATCCCAACATTACTCACATCTGACGCTTGGGCATTGTACAAGTACATACTGTACCCGTAAAACGCACGATACTAACGCTTGAGTGAGTATCACGCTTGGATCTTGGACGTTGTATCTTACGACTTGGACAATGGTTGGGCCTTTTGGTTTGGTTTGGTCTTGTACATTCCGATCCCGCATAATATACGTGTGTGCGTGTACATGATGGGAGGGATGAGGGATGAGATGAGGTGAGGCGGATATGTCACATTGGAGGTCAGTTATGCATCGATGTTCCATAGCCCACCCCGCACCTATTGTTGCCTTGTGGTTTGTCTATGAACCCCTTGTGTTTTGGGCCCGTTGTCTTGTAGTCGTGGAATGAGCTTTTGGGCTTGTTTTCGGACTTGTTCTCGGGCTTGTTCTAGGGCTTGTTCCAGGGCTTTGTTTTTCGCTCGGAAACTCTAAGCCGGCGCGTCGTCATAACAAACGAAAACGAACAGTCCACGGAAACGAACAATACATAGACACTAGAGCACACGACACGACATGGACATTGGTGCGACTTGCAGTTGGTACACGTACACCACTCGTGCAATATGTGTTAGTGCGGGCGTCCACGTCCTGTTTTACGTGGCGCATACGTGTCGCGAAAAGGGCAGTGTGGGGGTTGTACCAATGACGTAATGCACCAAATACTCACAACACCTTGATACAAAAATGTACAGAAACTTGTATCAATAAATGTGGTATGACGTCGGTTTTAACAACAGCAAGCTATTGTCGGACATTGAACTCAGCTTGTCTTACCGACACGAAGATTCAGGTCGGAGTTCGGAGTTATAACCTAGTATATGTTTGTCAGACTGCGTTCGAGTGGGCCGTGTTTGCGGGTGGCTCTCTACTGTACTTGTAGGAGCGTTGGTGTACCAAGGCAGGGGTGGGGACTGGTGTTAGTGAGAATACTCATGGCCATATGTACAAGTGGACCTGTTCTGTGGACATTTTCAAGCGGCCAATACTTGTACAGAACAGGTCAACCTATTCTCACCTCTTCTTTTTCACATCTTCTATTTTCATCTTCAGCTCGCCAAACTCTGACCCTGCACTCCCGTTAGTCTTCACATGACAGTATGCACTTCCCGTTTATTGTGCACAAGAATAGACGTGAGAATGTGGGGACTGTAGTTCTTTTAGGGCCAGTCTTTCGGATGCACTGTCATGTCGGGTGACATCACCTATCCTTGGTTCAACCGACGATATGGGATTCCTCATCCGCCTGACGAAGCGTGATTTTCTCTGCTTCCGTGTTTCCTTTGATGATGCGCAAGCGTGATGCGCGAGGGTGATGCGCGATGAGCGTACACAACGGGAAGTGCAGCACAGCTGGTGCTATTAATAGACGCGTTATCGAGGAGGAAGTATGAACCGTGCGCCATGCTGTGAGTAGGAGTACGAACATGTACTGGTATCGCAGAGTACGTGCCGTAACTGAAGCATCCCAGGTGAAAGCGATCTCAAGTTCGGAGTGATGCTACGTGCCCTGGACGCTCCGTTGGAGTTGATAGGACCGAGGACCGCTACCGATAATGACGATGCTGGGGTTGGTGGCTGAGTGACGTTCGACCAGAAGACCACAATTCGAATGAGTAATACAGGTTGATGTGGATATCACACTTGATGGCTCTACCATCAAGGTGAACAATCGTCACAACCAGATCAACGGCTCGGTCCTATCGTGGCTGAACCACGAGTAATCCAGAAACAGAGCATCGTCCATAAACCGTAGAGCGAGTGTAAGGGAAGTACAATACAAGTCACACTCGTAGATGTACAACAAGTTCCGTTCCGGTTCGTAATCGTACCGCACTCACATCCCACGTGAATTCCCCACCTCCGTAAGACGAAAAACCAACAGCCACATCGCGACATTGAAGTAGTTACATACATGCCGCGATATATAACCAAAGGAGGAGCCGCGATTCTCCCTCCCTCATCAATACTCCTTTGCAACATGTTCATCGAGTCCTCCTGGGAACAGTACCTGCAGCCACTCAAGGACCTCGTCCAGAAGGAACTTGAACTCGAAAGAGCCGGGTTCGAAGCCGTCAAAAACCAACTTCAATCGGAAAACGCACAGTTGCAACAGCGCCTCGTTGCTGCTCTGGGCGAGTTGGACGACCTCAAACGACAGCTAGAAGCACAGAAGAAGTTGACAGCTGCCAACAAGCCCACTGGCTGGGGAGCTGCTCTCACTAATACCAGTCCCAACGAACTCGCCAAGGACATCACTCGAATGTCAACGTTGCGTGCCGGTGCAACCTCCCTCCAGAAACTGAAGACCATTGTGGGTAGACAGGTGCCTCTTGGACCCGAAGACTGTCCCGACCACAAGAAGAACATACCCGACGAGCAAAAGGCGTGGAATCGGCTGGGAATGAAAGTTCTCGACGACTTTACCTACTTTGGCATGCGCAACATCATTTTTTGGATCATCATTGTCTCTGGACAGCCTATTGACAAGGTTGCGGTTGAGTTCAGACGTCTTCGCACTTTGGAGAGAGATCTGGTCAAGGGGTGAAAAACTAGGGGTAGAAAGTTGCATCCAGAAGTGAAGTGCTATATTATATTTATTGGATTATTCGCGTAGTTGGCATTGGATCGATCACCTTTTCTACTATTCACTATTATTCACCATTATTCACCATTTTGTTAAACCTCCAACTAGAACCCGGCACTTAATCTCCAACTACAACTCAGGGTCGCGTGTTCGAATCCTCCGCCCCACATTCTCGAAACTCTAATTCATACCCAGTCGTCGGCTCAACTTTTGGACTGAGAGTAATCAAAAAAGTGATTTTGGGAGAGCCAAATACGACAAATCAATAACTAGCCATGCACTGGGGCAAAGTACGGGGAAATGCACACGAGGGACAACAGGCCGATAGAACAGTCATCTGCGGAGAAATCGACGAATCCAAAGAAAGCAGCCGACCTACAACCAATAGTCAATCTCTTCTCTACTAGATATGCCCCACCAAGGGCCTAGTTCCTGTCTGAGACCCGACCCCACAACCCCACATTACCTGCAAAAAAAAGGCATGGTGTGCTCAAGGTTTTTATCTGGCGGCAGATATCAGGACATGTGCATGGTTGACATTGATGTTTCTGGGCACTTGAAGAGACGATAAAGAGTGTCTAGCGACTCAATGGAGCGTCAAGACAGCAATTGTTGGCCACTAAATGTCCAGCTTCTCGACAGACCCCCTCCACCTGAAGAAAACATGTCTCGCCACTAACCCTTAAGCTGGAGCCTATGGCTATTAGCCTCTACCCCTCGTCCTCGTGAAATCGAATAGGCGCTAGTATAAGACAGTGAGAGAGACCGGAAATGTTGGGTGTACAACTTCCGCCACAATGTCCTGGGAAACAATCACTCCTCCTACGCCAATCGATACGTTTGACAGCAACTTGCAACGTCTTCGAGACTCTTTCGAGACCGGCAAGCTCGACTCTGTCGACTACCGTCTCGAGCAGCTGCGAACCCTGTGGTTCAAGTTCTACGACAACCTCGACAACATCTACGAGGCGGTCACCAAGGATCTCCATCGACCCAGGTTCGAAACCGAGCTCACCGAGGTACTGTTTGTTCGAGACGAGTTCTCCACCGTCATCAAGAACCTGCGAAAGTGGGTCAAGGAAGAAAAGGTGGAGAACCCCGGAGGCCCCTTCCAGTTTGCCAACCCCCGAATCCGACCCGTTCCTCTGGGAGTGGTGCTGGTCATCACTCCCTGGAACTACCCCGTCATGCTCAACATCTCACCTGTGATTGCCGCCATTGCTGCCGGCTGTCCCATCGTGCTCAAGATGTCCGAGCTGTCTCCCCACACTTCCGCTGTTCTTGGCCGAATCTTCAAGGAGGCCCTGGACCCCGGTATCATCCAGGTTGTTTACGGAGGTGTCCCCGAGACCACCGCCCTTCTTACCCAGCATTGGGACAAGATCATGTACACCGGAAACGGAGCCGTTGGTCGAATCATCGCCCAGGCCGCGGTCAAGAACCTGACTCCTCTAGCTCTTGAGCTTGGTGGCAAGTCACCCGTGTTCATCACTTCCAACTGCAAGAGCGTTATGACGGCCGCTCGGCGAATCGTGTGGGGCAAGTTTGTCAACGCCGGCCAGATCTGTGTCGCTCCAGACTACATTCTGGTTGCTCCCGAAAAGGAGGCCGAGCTCGTCGCTTGTATCAAGGAGGTGCTCCAAGAACGATACGGCTCCAAGAGAGACGCCCACCACCCCGATCTGTCCCATATCATTTCCAAGCCCCATTGGAAGCGTATTCACAACATGATCGCCCAGACCAAGGGAGACATCCAGGTGGGTGGACTCGAGAACGCCGACGAAGACCAAAAGTTCATCCAGCCCACAATCGTCTCCAACGTTCCAGATGACGACATTCTCATGCAGGACGAGATTTTCGGACCCATCATCCCCATCATCAAGCCCCGAACCCTCGGCCAGCAGGTTGATTACGTCACAAGAAACCATGACACCCCCCTGGCCATGTACATCTTCTCTGACGACCCCAAGGAGGTGGACTGGCTACAGACCCGAATCCGAGCTGGTTCTGTAAACATCAACGAGGTCATTGAGCAGGTCGGACTGGCCTCTCTGCCTCTCAGTGGAGTTGGAGCTTCCGGAACCGGAGCATACCATGGAAAATTCTCCTTCGATGTCTTCACCCACAAGCAGGCCGTTATGGGACAGCCCACCTGGCCCTTCTTTGAATACCTCATGTATTACCGGTACCCTCCTTACTCCGAGTACAAGATGAAGGTGCTCCGAACCCTGTTCCCACCGGTTCTGATTCCTCGAACCGGCCGACCCGACGCTACTGTTCTTCAGCGAGTTCTCGGCAACAAGCTGCTTTGGATCATTATTGCCGCCCTTGTTGCGTACGCCAAACGAAATGAGCTGCTCATCACCATTGCTCAGATTATGTCGGTGTTTATTAAGTAGATATGATTTATTATGAATGATAAAGAGATAACAGCGGGGTATGTATGTACGAGAACAGTATATACCAGTATAATATTGTACTTCAAGTACAGTACATACAGTACATACTGTACGAGTACATAAAGTACATCCCAGTACAATTCTGTATGTACATCACTACAAGTATATACATCACTACAAGTATATACATCACTACAAGTATATACAGCATTCAAGTACTTACTATACTCGTACTCGTACAATATTCGTTCTTGTCAGAACACAAGTAGGTGGAATGTCATGAGTTGTGTCCATACCAAGCTGATTTGGATCGCATATAGCTACTAGCGCAAGTATGTATCGGCGTACAGTACAGTACATACCAGTATAGCACTATAAGCAATACCACCACTATTATACAACTATGATACAACTACGATACAAGTAATCTACATACTGTAGTACAAGTATTCGCACTGTACAATAGAAATACTTGTACATCACTTCATTGACACATTACCATTGAATTGCACCGATTCTGCCCAGGTTCCACGCATCATGTTGGTTTTCTTTTTTCTTCTTTTTCTTTCCCTTCTTTTTCTCCCATTTTTCCTTCTTGCTTTTGTTAAGCATGATTTGTTATAATTAAACTTTAGTTGACTCTATGTAACAACTCTGACCAAACTCAAGTACACCAAAGTACAATACTTCAGCTTCTCACATTGTCATCTACAACATCCCAAAAACCCAAGCACAAATAGTCGCTGAAAACACCTCAAATCGCACTCAACACAAGAACTCTCAGCTCAATCGCCCCTTCCAATGCCCTAACCCCATCTACGCGAGCCACAAACGCCGTCTATCTGGTTGGTAACGAACTCAAACCACCTTGGGCGACTCCATCAAGCATGGGCAAGAAAATTGCATGCGCCCTAACCCTAAAGGCACATTGAACAGGCGTGGGCGGTTTTTTAAATTTTACAACGCCCAATTTCAATTACCACACACGCGCGCTTCTGACTAAGGCTCACCCATGTTGCGACTCCAAGTGTACGCAATTTCGCCCTGTCTGGAGTCCGAGACCGTTACTACATGGGCTCCGGACCGGTCCATGCAGACGCGATCTATCGACGAAGCAGGCATGCGGGTGGAGAAAAAGTTCTTGCATTTCACGGACCCGCGATCTTCCTTGCTGGAGCTGTGCCACGAGATTGCCGAGCGGTTCAAGTCCATCTACCCTGACAACTTTGAGCCCCGGATCGACTTCCTGCAGAGCGACACTGGCCTCGACCTGTCGCCCAGCTTTGTGTCTGGAGACGTGTTCAAGTCCGGAGATGTGGTGAGAGCGATTCTGCGGCTGCCCACAGACATTGAGGAGTTCCGCAAGTTTCAGGGCGAGGCTCCTGGCATCCGATTTCTAGAGGAGGATGTGGGAGAGGCAGGAGAGGTGTCTAAGATCGAAGCACAGGTCGATGATAGCACCATGAGCAGAGATGGCCGCAAGCGAAGACGATACACACTGCCCAAAGAGATCACCAAGCGACTCAAGCGGGACTCGTCCGTCTACTCCGACGGGTTTGGCGTGCGTGATCCCGAGTCGTTCGACCACACCATGGAAGAGGAGGCTATCTACGCCCACACAGTGACTGTTCGACGTCCTCGTTCCCGATACAGCCAGGGAGGCACCGGAACCGGCCACAACTCCATTCTGGAGAGTTCTACTACCTCGCTGATCCCCCCTCCCCGGCCAGATTTCGCCTCGTCCTCGACGACTGGACCTTCTCCTCCTGCTTCCAACAACCATTATCCTCAGTTGGAGAGCAGCCAGGTTGCTGCCGGATCATCTACACCCATCCGTCTTTCTTCCAAGCTCGGATCCACTGTTGTTGATAAGGGAAATGTGTCAAACCCCACCCCTGTTCGAGGCAGCACTTCTCTCGATACCATTCAGACACCCGTTCTGTCGCCGCAGCCCAAGGCAGCTATCCAGGGTTCCCCCATGAAGAGCCCTCCCCACGCACAGAAGGCAATTTCCTTGCCTCCTGTGAAGAAGGAGCCCACCTCAAAGGAGTCTAAAGACAAGGAGCCTGTTGCCAAGCGTGCCAAGATTGAGCCAAGGGTCGAGCGCAAGCCCGAGCCTGAGAGCGACACTTCTTTCTTGGCTGAGTTTAGTGACGATGGCAAGTTTCCCACAGCTCTCATGCAGGCCCGTGCTCAACAAAAGGCTGCCATCGAGGAGAGCCGGCTCACTCAGCAGGCTCTTCGGCTTCACATTAAGAGCCCCCAGTACCATATTCCTTCTGAGTTGGGCGACCACATTTCTCCTGCCAAAGCAAAGGCTTCTCTGAACGCGTGGTTGGGGTGGAAGCATGCCCAGGAGAGTAACTCTCCCGATATTGAGTTAGCTCGACACCGACTGGTTCATTGCACTTTTTCCGCACTGGCTGAGGCCGCCAACAAGCAGCTCGACATTGCCAACAACAAGGTGCAGAAGGGGCAGTTGATGGCCTACCGTGAGACTTTCAGCGTGCGGGCTGATAACAGCTACAAGTGTCTGACGGCGGAGCAAGTTGCTGCTGAGAAGCTGGCTGCTGATGAGGAGGTCGCCAAGGAGGTTGCTCGAATTAAGGCTAGACAGGTGAGCAAGGATGCCCGGGATACCAAGCGTCGTGTCCGTCGGGAGTCCACAGCTGCTGCTAATGCCCATGAGGCGGCCGTGATGGCTGCCAAGGAAGAGCATGACCGTGCAGAGGCGATGCGTGCAAGAGAGGCAAAGGTTCGAGAGCAGGAGGGTGCCGAGGCGCGCAAGGAGATGATCGAGGACGAGAAGGCACGTCAGCTGAAGTTGAAGAAGGAGGAGGAGGCCAAGAAGAGGAAGGAGGAGGAGGCCAAGAAGAGGAAGGAGGAGGAGGCCAAGAAGAAGAAGGAGGAGGAGGCCAAGAAGAAGGAGGAGGAGGAGGCTAAGAAGAAGAAGGAGGAGGAGGAGGCTAAGAAGAAGGAGGAGGAGGCCAAGAAGAAGAAGGAGGAGGAGGCTAAGAAGAAGGAGGAGGCTAAGAAGAAGGAGGAGGCTAAGAAGAAGGAGGAAGAGGCTAAACTGCTCGAGCTGAAGAAGAAGGAGGAGGCTAAGAAGAAGGAGGAGGCTAAGAAGAAGGAGGAAGAGGCTAAACTGCTCGAGCTGAAGAAGAAGGAGGAGGCTGTCCGGGCAGCTGAGGAAGCCAAGCGCAAGGAGGAGGCTAAACTCAAGGACGCTGAGGCCAAGGAAAAGGCTGCCAAAGAGGCTGCCAAAAAGCTGGAGGTGGAGATCAAGGAAAAAGCTGCTCAAGCGGCTAAGGGGTCCGCCAAAGCTGAGGCGGACAAGAAGAAGATTGAGGAGGCAGAGAAGGCCAAGCAACTTGAGGCTGAAGAAGCGCGAGAGGCTCGAGCCCGACTAGCTCAGGAGCAACGAGAAGCCAAAGCCAAGGCCGCTCAGGAGGCAAAGGAGGCCAGGGAAGCGAAGAAGGCCGAGCAGCAAGCCGCTCGGGAGGCTAAGCTCCGAGCAGCCGCAGAGGCTAAAGAGGCGAGAGCGCGAGCAGCCGCAGAAGCTAAAGAAGCCAAGCTCCGGGCTGCAGCAGAGGCCAAAGAAGCCAAGGCCCGAGCAGCAGCAGAAGCACGTGAGGCAAAGAAGATGGCTGAAGAAGCAAAGGCCAAGAAAAACGCCGAAGCTGAGGCGAAGCAGAAAGCTGCTGAGTCAAAGACTGAGGTCAAGAAACGAACCCTTGGTGCTGCTAAAGCCGCGCCTATTTCTTCCCAGGACACGCATGTTTCCGACTCTCAGGCTGAGGACAAGATGGATGTCGACTCTGATTCCGACTCTGATTCTGATTCTGATTCTGACTCCGACTCTGATTCTGATTCCGATTCTGACTCTGACTCTGACTCTGACTCTGACTCTGACTCTGACTCTGACTCTGACTCTGACTCTGACTCTGACAACGGGCCCAAACCCGAGATCAAGGCGAAGCCGGCAGCCAAGAAGAGTTCACAGATGCCTCCTTCCACCCAACCTCCTCCCAAAGTGAAGCAGACTGCTCCCAAGTCTTCCCAGCCTACTCCTGCCAAGAAGGCAATGAAGGAGGAGTCTGAGTCTGAGTCTGATTCCGATTCGGATGATGATGACTCTGATGACAGTGACTCTGACAGCGAGGACACCTCCAAGAAGAGAACCATTGTCAAGACTCCTGCCAAGAACGCGAAGGCTACTACCAAGCCTGAGCCGAAGACTGCTGCGAAGCCTGCTTCTAAGACTGAGGCTAAGCCTGCTTCTAAGACTGAGGCTAAGCCTGCTTCTAAGACTGGGGCCAAGCCCGCTTCTAAGGCTGAGACCAAGCCCACTGTCAAGACTGAACCAAAGACGGCTGTCATGTCTGAGCCAGCAAAGACTGCTCCCAAGGCTACTGCTTCCAAGTCTTCCACTACAGTGAAGCCCGAGGCCAACGGCTCTGCTATCAAAAAGGAAGGCGAGGCTCCCAAGAAGTCTCCTTTCTCCAATCTCAAGTCTCTCCAGTCTTTGGCCAAGATGGGTGTTCCTGAGGTGAAGGACTCCATTCCTTCCAGCCAGCCCCGATTCTCTCAAGCCTCCCAGAAGAAGACCGAAAAGGAGGAGGAGTCCGACTCCGATGATGACTCCGACGACTCCGACGACTCCGACGACTCTTCTGACGATTCTGATGATTCGGACGATTCTGATGACTCTGATGACTCTGACGAGCAGCCTGCCGCCAAGACTAAGCGTGCTGGAGCTGGGCTCAAGAAAAAGAAGAAGAACAGTGGGTTTGCCAGCCTCATGAACAAGTTTATGTAAGAATAAGTTAATGTATTATTATTATTACTATTATTATGGTGTGTATCCGTGGTGGTGATGATCTTGACCCCATGTGTGTTTCAGCTTGACTCGAAAATGAGGTGATATTCGGATGGACATGTAGCTCTCTACGAGAGATCCCTTTGAGATCATCCGTTACGGAGATGTTGATAGCATCACACATTCTCAAAAAGCCGAATACTAGAAGAGGAAGGTCCTCCTTCGGAACCCGGACGTTCTTGTTGCTTAAACGACTGCTGCAATACGCCCTGAACCAATGTTGAAGAGATTCACCGTACTGGTATCAAAAGACTCCATTGATGGAACATTCGATGAACATTCGTTGAACATTCGATGAACACGGTGAACATTTGGTGAACATTCGATGAACATCCAGTGAGCAAAGAGGTGACACACCCTGTGCAGGTCGAATCACTGTGCTTGTACCGTAGCACAGTATGTACATACCAGAGTGAGTACAGGAGTACAGTCTGTAAGGCCTATCATCTGTGACCAACTGATCCTGGTTCTCTTATCGTCTGGCCTCACTTGAGGTAATAGTAGAACCAGACTCATAACTTGTCCACATCACAAGATCCACCGAGATCGAGCAAGTAACTATTGTCAACCAGCAAGTGACTATGTCAGCCAGAAAGGGAGCCAACAGCCTTCACTTTCTCCGTCCATCGATCACGTGGATCAACATAATCTACATCTATTGAAGTGAGGGCTTTGAAAAATAATACCAAATACTACACTTCTGGTCGCGTAACTATCCTGCCATAGTTCTATATGCTGTCTCAACCCCTTCTACTTGCACCACTACCCCTGCTCAACCGGATATTCTGCTTGGAATTTATCAGAAATGCGATCTTGAATTGTACATTTGGCTACGACAGGTCTGTTCCGAGAGTCGTGCTCTTTTCAACAGCTTGGATGAGACGTTGTTACGCGACATGGTGTTGGCACGCGTTCCATGGTTTGATTTACGTGATTCGGACACATCCACATGAAGAGAGAGTATCAGGCTGCTTGTTTCGCGGACCAAAAAGGCTCTGGATGACAAAAACATCCATATTTACCTGCTCAAAGATCACAAGGTGGCTGCTTCTCTGAGCTGCAACGAGGTGCTCCAGATTGACAAGATTGACAAGAGTGACGAGGGCGTGAAGACACTTTTTGAACCGCTCAAAGAGACCTCAGACATGGAGACCACACATGAAGCTGATTCTAATGGTGTCGAAACAACCACTGGCTGAGAGAAGGAAGCTGACGAGGGTTGTACTGCCACGTCTTCCCCAGGAACCAGGGTCTGCAACGATCGCGGGTCTGTTAGAAACTTGGGTGAGAACAAAAAGCTGATTCACGTGCGGTTTGAATCTTGCAAGGGAAGGGCAGACTTTCTGCTTCACACAGAGACGTCTCTTAGATACAGCGACGGAAAGTATCTAGTGGCCCAAACCACGAGCCGTTGTTTCTGCTCGCACCTGATTCAGAAAACGAGGAAAAGGCTGTCGGTAGCACTGTTCATCTACTTACTAGAACGGCCGGAGCTCTGGTTATCACCTCCAAGATCGAAGAACTAGCCCACAAGCAGACGCTGTGCTACGTATCCAGAGGTTTCCGAATCCAGCACGCTACTAGAGAAGGTATGAACCGGTCTGTGGCTGTTGGAGGGATGGAGGAGGACGGAAATAAGTTCAAGAATGTGTATTGACTTCTGGACCTGAAGTACCCTTGGGAACGGACTGCGGGAGATATAAAAGAGGAGTGGCTCGAGATGAAGAAGAGGGAGCTTTAGGAGAAGATTGAGGCCGAGCAGAAGAAGAAGAAGCAACGAAAAATGCGACGAAGAAGACGACTCTATTGATGTTCTCTGCCAGCGAGAATTTGGAAGCGATGCTGATGACTCGAAAGAACGAGTGTACCGAGACCGCCAGGACGAATGGTACAGATATTACCGTGATGATTCGTCGTCATCTCAAGACGACGACATCACCGACGCTCGACAAAAATACCACTACATAGACGAGACGAAGCTTGCAAACAAGCGGTCGTCTACGCCAATCTTTTCGGGGATATACCTAATGTCAATCTCAACCCCAGCTCCATGAATGCTGCCAGAGCTTTCAGACCGGTCTACCATCCACGAAATGGCAAACACCTCACTCTGAAGCCAAGAGAGAACGTCTGAGATAGAACATGTGTGCGTAGGTAACCTGTAACTTACTGCACACTCTTCCGTACAAGCACTAATTACTCATAAAACATAACATACACCCATCTACTCTGGTTCATTGTCTAGAGTTTCGCTGCGTGCCCTAACATCTGTGTCATCACCAGTCGTAACTGCACTTGCCTACATCTCCTGTTTACTATTTCCTGATCTGCATAAAGTTTTACCGACAGTTCCCAACGGCGCATCTCTTGGCGGGTCTTGGCGGTCTTGGCTCCTGTGCATGATGCGCAGTTCCGTGTCAGTTCTCATGAGTTTCTTTACTTGCTATTATCACCTCCTGTCCTGCCCATCCAGTTTGCGAGCTCAAAAAATCAGATTTAGACCTATTTAGGGGCAGAACCGAGCGTGTGAGTGCATTGTAGACTTGGGTCCCATCCCGTACAAGAACATACTGTACAAACATGAATCAAAATGTCCCTGAAAGTTTACTGTAATCGCGTACCTATTGGTCTGTAAGACCCACTCTCGATTTCTCGGATCAGCAGAAGTACTAAGTTTGGTTTCTGACAGGGTGGACATTTTTGAGCTATTGGTAAGCAGTGACTTTTAGTGTGAAAAGTAAGGAACCGACAGTCGGGAAAAAAATAGCAAACAAGTATATTGAAGGGCACAATTCATTCTGAGATTCGCGACTCACGAGATTCGGTCGTTTAGCTAGCTACGATACCGGGAAAACGTCTGCAGAAGGCGTTCCTGTCGTCAAATTAGCTACATACCGGAAATAGCGCTTTGTTTTACACCCTCCAATGGAATGGGTTGAATTCAAGCTCTGAAACTGTGGCAATTCTGATCTGAAGAGAGACTGGAGAACGTATAGCTCTGTAGCAATTGTATATACAATACCTCTGTCAGATAACAACATGCCGTTACTGCGACAATACTCGTATGCTGAGTCATCGTACTTGTACATCCACCTCTCCTATCGCACGTCAACAACCAATACAACCGCAGTATATGAACCTCCAAATCCAAAGTAACTCTGAGTCCTGGGTTATATCTGTAATACGAAGTGTGCTGAACCTACGATATCCAGAACAAGTCTGTCTCGCACACTGGAAGGTGATTCATCAACCAACTTGTGGGGTATGAAAACAGTGCCAAAGAGGAACCCGATCCAACAGACTTACGCCGAGCTCTGACTGAAGACAATCTTGCTCTAGTTGTTGCGGTCTCATAATACCACCTTCCAACAAGACTAAACCCTACTGACCTCCCCGCAGGAGATCTAGAGCTTGTATTGAAGCACTCGGTGGTTTTCTAATCAAATCAAATCATCGTTAAACCCTATATAATACTGTACTTGTTGGAGATGGGAGTCTACCATCGGTTGTCGTTACCGCCGCCGTAACCGCCCTGGTTGCCGCCGTAGTTGCCTCCCTGGTTGCCGCCGTAACCGCCCTGGTTACCGCCGTAGCCGCCCTGGTTACCGCCGAAGCCACCCTGGTTGCCTCCAAAGTTGTCGTTGTTGCCGCCGTAGTTGTCTCGTCGGTCGTTGCCACCAAAGTTGTTGTTGTTGTCATCGTTGCCGGCCTCTCGAGAGAAGAAACCGCCGCCGTTGTGGTGGTGGTGGTGGCCTCCCTGGGGAGGGCCGCCGTAGCCCTGCTGCTGCTGCTCCCATCGCTTCTCGTCCTTTCGGTCCTCGTACTTGTCCTTGGCCCAGTTGGCTCCGATGGCTCCAATGATGGCTCCACCAATGGTCTCGAGCTTGCTGTGGTTGCCGTTCTTGCCAATCTCGTGGCCGGCAAAGCCTCCGGCAGCGGCTCCCAGAATGGAGGTACCGAGACCTCGCTCACCGTCGTGGTTAGGGGGCAGCTCGTTGCCGTAGCCACCTCCCTGCTGGTTGTAGCCGCCCTGGTTGTAGTTGTTGTCGTTAAAACCCCGATCGGAGTTGTTGTTGTTGTTGTAGTAGTCGTTGCTGGACATTTTATGTGTGGATTGGTTGTGCGAGGGGCAACCTGGGGGATTGGACACGTCTTTATATAAACCGGAAGCCTGTTATGTGACGTAACTCTGCGTTAGGTGGTTATAGATTCAGTCCAAAGGCTATAGAGAGACAGAAAGAAGGCCGAAAGAGCTGGAAAAAAATGCCCTGGATTCCGGACAGTCTGGAGACTCGGTCTAAATCACCGACGTCGCAAAATAACCGCCCCATTCGCCCCATAGACCGCTATTTGGGCCACACAGACCCACCTCCGTTATTCAAAAAAAGACTGAAAGTGCCCAACTCTACGTACGATACGTACATACAAGGATCACACAAGGAGGCCGTGCATCTAACAACAATGGGTCATGTGCATCGACGATATGCAGGTTCAAGAAGACGATTAGTGACTCTTCCAGAGCTCAGATCGTCACCGGGACAATCGGAAACACTTGCTCGAGTCCAAAAGACCCCAATTGGATTTTCACCAAGACGCTCGGGTGGGAAACGGAAAAGTTACACACGAAAAACTAAAGCCCGACCGCTGGATTGCGCACACAAGGAACTCTATCGATGTGCTCAGCTCCGCACTGCTACGATATGATGCCGTACAAGAAGCACACAAGGCGGCGACCACACATGTCGTGGATCAACAGAGAATGGCGCCTTTCCGGTCACGTGAGACCAAATGGGGGGATGTTACAACTAACAGCGTTTTGCTATTTTGCTTTCGACCTAAAAATAGACGGCGAGCTACGAGAACTGTACGGTGGAGAACCCAGAACCACGTGGGAACCTCGTGTTGAGACCTCCAGAGAGAGTATGTCACGTGATCAGATAATATACCACCACTCCTGACTTACTTACTGTACTCAGCCACAATGATGTCAGCTGTGACACCCCCCAAGCCACTCTGAAGGAAGTTCTAGACCTTATCGCCGTGAGTTGATGCGAAGAAGGCCGAGGAAGGTTTGGAGGGGAAGAAGTTTGGAGGCAGGGGAAAACCGCTGGAGTCACATGATTCGACGATGGGACTGGTACAGGGAGTGAGCAGGAGATTTTGACAGTAGCAAAGTGTTTTTCCCCGCTTCTTTGGAGCATTTCCACCGTTTCTACGCTTCTCCCGAGGTTCGCTCTCTGGACATTGCTCCCCCACTTTTGGTGGGCACGCTGAAGTTGGAATTGAGGCTGTTTGAAGGTGGTTCCGGACAGGAGATTTTGATTGGATGGCCAAGACGGGCTTGATATTATTGTTTCCGGTTTCTTGCCCAATTTTTGCGGTTTTCCAGTGCATTTTTCACGAGTTGTTCAGCCCCTCTAACACACATGATACAGGCAGTGTTACAGAGCATAGCCGAGCTATTAATAGATACGGGCTGAGATGACGCTACATGGTTCTGGAAGACGGGAATGCAGGTTGTTGTGTGGCTGTGAAACACGAGATCAGGGATTGGGTCACGTGGGTGGGTGTTGTGGATGGAATATGACATTTCAGGTCTTTGTCACGTGTTATCGCGTAGGAGTGGGATTTAGTTCAGAGTATGTACTGGAAAACAAGACTGTGCACTTTATGCTCTGAACTATTTTACGACAGAAATAGTTGAGTGAAATATGCACTGGAAAAAAAAAAGGTCGGTATATCGGAAACCAAGACCGTTAATGTGTAATCCATATTCGAATCTTTGACAATTGAGTATATAATGTCTGCCTTTTTTTTTCTCCCTCCTTGGAGTTGAAAAAGGACGAGCACAGTACTCATACTTGTCCTGGTGGTTTGTTGAGTTTAGTTGGCTTTTACGTACAGTACTTACAAGACATCCATATATGTAGAGTAACGTAACCCAGACAAATCAACAAGTCCGGACCACTCCCGCTACAATACGATACACTGAAAGCAATAATATACAAGTAGAAACAGTACATGCCCTATACTCGTTACCTTGACTCAACGGCCACGAACCGGTATGTACACTTCCTCGACTTTCCCTATTAGGTTGTGTGGGGGCATGTTAGTCTGTTTCAAAGTGGCAATCTATGTTTGTCGTCGAATTTGAGAAATCCGAAAAAGTCGGATAAAAACGGGAAAATAAAAGAAATTTTTGCCAAACGTGTATTTTTCTACCGTTTGTTTGATTACCAGAAAATTTCGTCCTATTTCGACTGTTTTCCCCTTCAAATGAAGACATTTAATCTCAAAATGCACTGTATCACGCGATACACCCCAATATTCGACATTGCGGACCCAAACCTCATGATAACATGTTTGAGAGAAATATCACAATCTCTGACACCATCGGAGAGCAATTAAACCCCCAATTGTAGCTCTTACAGCTCATATATCGACTCTACGCGACTGTTACATAACTATTTCAGTAATACAGCATATACCGATGTCTTGCAGTATTTACATACGACTACGACCACACAGAGACCCGAAATTGCCTCTATAGCAACCGCAATGGACCACTAACAAGCTAAATATAACCCAAACACTGACCAAAATTAACTGTGCCACTTGTCGGCTCCCTGACGCTACTCCTTCTTCATGATTACATAATCAAACATCCCCCGGTTGTCCTAGCAACGTCGGGGACTGTGACGATTGTCGGTCAATACAAGGCAAAAAAAACACAATCGACAAGTAGAAAATGCAACTCGGACCCACATTGCCCCACGTCACTCGACGTATCATCATTTTTCCCTTCATTACATCACTTATATTCGATGTTCGTTCCTGACATAAAACAAACTTCCAAAACCCTAACCCTCGCCTTCTAAATATATCCCAGTATACACGAGACGGTTCCATAGTGTTAGTAATAACGGGAGAAGAAGACGTGAGCTGGACAAGATACACGACGTGAGATTTGCTCACATTGACGACGACGAACCGACAAACTATTTCATCACGTGACCCCACCCCGCCATCTGCCACGCACGTCTGTTCTACTACTAAATGGAGACGCCCACCCGACCGCACCGTGTCAAGGTGTATGAGCTGGATTCCGGCCAATGGGTCGACAAGGGCACCGGCTACTGCACGGGCGAGACTCGAGGTCCGTCCAAGCAGCCGTATCTGGTGGTACAAAACGAGGACTGTTTCGGGTTCATTCTAGACACCCATGTGACGGGATCCATTCAGTACCAGAAGCAGCAGGATACGTTGATTGTGTGGAGCGAGAGTGGCCGCAACGATCTGGCGCTGTCGTTCCAGGAGGCCAAGGGCTGTAAGATCATCTGCGATTTCTTGCTCAGCATGATTCAGAAGAAGTATGCTCCAGACATCAGTCTTGTGGCGGTCATCAACACCGCCGATGGAGGAGAGGTCCATGAACCCATCAGCGTGCCTCTAACCATGCCGCCACCCCCGGATCTGCAAAACCTGCTTACTGTTGAGGAGTGCTTGACGGCTGCTGTTGTTTGTGCCTCTCAATCGACCCGCGACCAAATGATCGGCTTTGTGATCGACCACGACTACATTGGCCTGTTACATCCGCTGCTACAGCAGGCCGAGGACCAGCATCTGTTGCAGCAATTGCACCATTTGTGCTGCGCAGTGAAACGGCTCATCCAGCTCAACGACTCTCAGATCCTTGAACAGCTCCTTTCCGACGACCACATCATGTTCACGGTTGGCTGCCTGGAGTATGACCCCGAGTACCCGCGACTAAAGGCCAACCACCGGCAGTATCTACAGAACGAGTCGCGGTTCAAGCAGGTGATTCCCATTTCCAACGCTGCGATTTGCGACAAGATTCGCCAGACGTTCCGCATCCAATTTCTCAAAGATGTGGTGTTGGCACGGCTGCTGGACGACCAAACCTTTACGATTCTCACCAACATGATTTACTTCTCACAAACGGAAATCATTGGCTGGATTTCCGGCGATGAAAACTACCTGGAGGCGTTGTTTGGGCTGTTTGAGCATGAGGACGAAGATAGAGACTTCACTCTGGACGCCCGCAACGCAGCCAATGCACCGGACACGGAGGAGATCAACTTTTGCAGTGAAGACCTCAACCCACATACGGGCGTTGACCTCCAAGAACCTGCCACAGAACCAGATACCCCGAACCGCAAGAACAAAAGAGATGAGGAGGATGTCGACGTAAACCACGAGGCAGAAACGAGCCCAAAGAAGCTCAAGGTGGAGGTTTCGGAGGTGGAGGTAGAAGGAGATCTTGAAAACAGCTCACCAATCACTCCCACTCTACCGCAGGAGTTTTCGACGCTTCCGCAGCCTACTCTGTCTTATTTGACGCCAAAGTTTCTTGTATCGGACGAAAAACGACGAGAGGCAGTGCGGTTCATTCACACATGCTGTTTAACGGCCAAAAACCTGCAAACTCAGCAGAGATCTGTGCTTTTTGGACAGTTTATCAAACACGGACTGTTTCGTCTGGTGGCGTTTGCGCTCAAAGACGACAGTATTCTGATCCGAAGTCTCGGGACGGAGCTGGTGGTGACCCTAGTGGACCATGATGCCAATCTGGTCCGAGGAATCGGGCAAACTGCAGAGATGGCTGCCGCCGCTGGAGGACCAGGAGATACCACCCCCGACGTGTCCATGATGGACGTGACTAACATCGTTGAAGAGGCAGTGGATCAGCCGGCACTACACAATATTCTGATTGATTTGCTGATAGCGGAGCGCGACATGGGGCTTCGAACGCAGGCTGTGGAGACGTTGAAGGCGCTGTTTGACCCCGAAACCGGCGAGCGTGCGGAAACGTATATTCGACAGCTTTACAATGGCCCGATGCTGAGACTGTTTGGGCCACTGGTTGAGGAGTCGGGCTCGGATTTCACGCTTTACGAGCACCTGTGTGACCTGCTGAGCTTTTGTTCAATCTCGCACGGCTTCATCGCACGGGATTTCTTCATCCATAACAAAATCTGGGTCGCCATGTCGCGCTTGGTGTTGGTTTCCAACAAGCAGATGCAGCTGGCGGCGATCCGGAGTCTCAAGGGCGCGCTGGTGGGCGGCGACGAGTTGGTTCTATCGCACTTGATTGAAAATAAGGTGTTTGGACCCATTTTGACGCTTCTGGTGCAGCTTGGAAACCGCAACAATCTCATGCACTCAGCGTGTCTCGACTTTTTGCATATCGTGCGAGTTGGTGTCACCAAACCTGAGACCCGTGCTTCGATGGCACGTGTCCAAGCCCATCTTGTCGACGAGTACACTCTGGAGTTACAGCAGCTTGCATACACTGGTGTGGCCACTACCCTGTTAGAGATACCGCCTCCGGTACCTGGCTCAGACGACACAGAGCCTAACTCGCCGACACAGGCCAAGGCCCAGGATTCGCTGCGATCGCGCAACTGTCTGGTCAAAAATCCGACCTCGTCCACTACGCCCAAGCGACGGCTAGTGGCACGCACCGCTGAAGAGCAGAGAGAGGCAATTGAGGCCGTGAGAAGGAAAAATATTCTGGAGCATCAGATGAGGGAGGAGCGAGAGCGCGGGGCTCAAGGGGACAGGGAGCAGGGCTCGGAGGCTCCGCAGACACAGGAAGGTGTGGGGGAAGAGACCCAGGAAGGGGTGACTTCGAGTGTAGAGATGGCGCCTGCAGTAGGTAACCTCAGTTAGTGCAGTTAGGCGCAGTGTATAATATATTTTATTAGGTAATGGTCATAAGTACATGGAAAGGGGCTAATATCGAATACACCAAGGCATTTGTCACTTGTGTATATTAGATTTATTAGACGTGTTGATGTTCTCAGTGTGTAAAGGAAATGACACTGTCAGCAGCTCCAAAAGAACCACATTTCAAAATCCTCAGCAGAGAGGGTGAAATTTATACTTCCGTTAGATGAGACCCTTTCAGTTCTGTAGACTTGTACTTGTAGCGCGCGTTGGTATCTAGACGCTTCTGACTTCCCAGTATTTGAGAAAGGGCGTCAATACCACTTTTTTATCCACAGTGGTACTCTGGCTCGTAACCATCGCTAATGTCTGTGCCAGTACTTGAGCCCTGGGTTGAGGCCTCACCGCGATGGATTCTGAGAGTAGCAACCTCATCTTTGAGACAATTGTTCTCAGTGAGAAGGGCGAGAAGACCGGACTTGAGGTCACAGATCTCGACGTAAGTAATGGACTGAAGATGGTTGTAGTTGGCTCTGAGCTGAGACAGTTCCGCGTTGAGGGTGTTGTTCTCCTGCTGAAGACGAGGGAGCTCTGTTGTGAGCATATCGAGCACATGGTTCAATTTGTCGACTATTCCATCGACTTTGGAAACGCTCTCACTGGACATTAGAAGGTATGGGTGATGTTTTGGGGTATCCGGACGATTGTGGGTATCAGTGATTGTGGTGGTTAAGAAGAAGTGTTTAAGTGGAGTAAAATATGACCATGATATAAGCGCCGTTTTGTTACAAGTAGTCGTCGTACAAGTAGGAGACTGTTTCTTGAGCATTTACTATACCGTGACCATTAGAGAGAGATCAGTGAACAGATACTTTACATTCTTGTAGTCACTCTAACAGCTCAAGTTCAAATATACAAGTACAGTACAATTAATTTACAATAATTTATTCCTTATGCCTACAGTATATAATTCCTTACAGTATATAGTTACAGTATTTTTTTTCTTTCTGCATATACATTCATTTAATTATAACTTTGCTGTGAAAGAATAACCTTTGAAATGAATGTACACTTACACGAATATTACTAATTAAACACGTTTAGTGTCATGGTCCAACTTGGCACGTACCTATTTCCAGTAAAAAAATCATAAAAAAACCTGGTTCAGTCCGTGTTGTATGTAGGTCCACATAACTTCGCGTGTTTTTTTTTTCTGCATATACATTCATTTAATTATAACTTTGCTGTGAAAGAATAACCTTTGCATTTCAAAGGTTATTCTAAAAAAAAAAATGAATGTACGCTTACACGAATATTACTAATTAAACACGTTTAGTGTCATGGTCCAACTTGGCACGTACCTATTTCCAGTAAAAAAATCATAAAAAAACCTGGTTCAGTCCGTGTTGTATGTTGGTCCACATAGCTTCGCGTGTTTGTTCGTTCATCGGGAAAACGCCACTCCAGTCTCCAGTTCTCTAATCTCAATCCTTCCATTGCCCTCTTCGTTTGCATTGCCTTTGAAAACGTCTCCTTGTGGTTCTTCTTCGTCATTGGTTTGGTTCTGCGTCCCCTGTGGTGACTACGCGCCCTGCTACGCTGTTCTGTCGGTGGCCTCGGCCGCCTTTTACGCTTGCTACTGTCGCTACTCTCGCTCATCGTGAAGTGCTGGCGGTTGTCCATCGTAGAAACACATCTGGGCTTCCTTCAGGAATTGAAGCAAACCCTGTTGGACATGTCCCAGGGTGGCGTCGTCCCCTGAGTACCGGAGGGATCTCTCCATCTTCCAGATCCCATAAGCCAATTCCCGCAGATATTTGCGTGTCTTGACTTGTTGATGTTTCCGGGGGGCGTCACTGTTCACATGCCCTGGGAAAGAGGGGAATACTCCACATTTCGACTCGGTAAAGATCCAGTCCTTTAGAGAGTCCACTGACGGAATCTTCATCCTGGTCAACATGGAAAGAAGAACTTCGCACTTGCAGAAGATATGCTCGTGCAGATCCTGAATGATGGCCTTATCACAGAGCCCGCATCCTGGATTCTTCTTGGTGAAAACGTGGTCGTCAGGGTATCTCCATTTCACGAGCGGAAGTCGAGATATCCGCATGAGGTGAAGAACTTGTGCTTTGTTGGCGTCGGCGATGTAGTGTTTTCGAAGGTCATGCATTACCTCCTGCCAGACCATGTCGTCAGCGATGCCCCCGTAGTCGCTTCGTTGAGTCCACTTCTTCGGTCGTGCAAGTGTGTGTGGGAAGTTTGGCAAGTCGGGAGACGAGGTCTTGTGAAACATGAAGTTCTTTAGAGTAAGTGGTCCCATGCTCCACCGGAGGTGGTCGATTTCCGCTGTGGACACCATTCTGACCGGATGGTATCGTCTCGCGGCTGCGATGTCGACGTGCGCTTCCCGGAAGGATTCTGCTGCTCTCACGTTCACCTGGTTTCGTTCCCAGATTCTGTGATTAACTGTGTCTGTTGTAGAGGGCTCGTGATCTTCTCGAGGGTTGGCATGTTCCGCGGTGAGGGGCTTGTTGAGCTCGAAAGAAGCTCTGATTGCGTCTCGCATGGTGGGGGAGGCTGCGTAGCCCCAAGCTTGGCCTGTCGGAAAGCGGCAGTCGACGCGCTGGTGTGGCTTTTCCTGTGTGAGACTGTGAGTTCTGCTGTAGAACTGGAAGGTGCAGTCCCAAAGGGCCGGCGATGAGCCATGGAAGAACCTGTAAGCCCGAGCGGCCTTCAGGCACACCATGAAACGTCCCATGTCCCGCAGGTTCAGTCCTCCCCTGCCTACCGGAGTTTGGATGAAACCATTGCTGAAGGTTTTGCGTGTTTTGTCGGGTGATAATTTGTTGATCTTGTCGCACGCTAGTTCGTTCAGCTCTCGGATGAAGGTGTTGTCGATCTGGCTGACGTAGGGTCCAAGGAAATTCAGTTTCGAGAAGAAGTAGATGTTGATCATCCACGCCTTGCTGTAATAGGGGAGACCCCATAGTGAAAGGCGTCGCAGCGACTCCTTGAGGTCCTCCTTGATCTGAGCGTAGTGCGTGTCCAACCTTTCGCGATTTCCGAAGTGTACTCCGAGGTACCGGAAAATGTTGTCAGATGTCCGGAGCGTCGGGGCCTGTCGTGTGTTGTTGTCGGTTGGCCAGGTGGCGTCAATTGTTCGCTGCCATTCTGCGTCAATAAAGGTTAGTGGAACAAAACAATCGGGGGGGCCGATCTTCTGAAGCACCGTCTTTGACGGGTTTAGTGTGAGGCCTGAGACCCGTTGGAAGAGGCAGAGCACTCTACCAACCGTGGCCACGTCCTGGATGTTGTTGAGGAACACCGCTATGTCGTCCGCGAAAGCCGACACCTTCATGTGTCCAGCTGCCACTGCCTCCGGGTGAGTAGGGGGTTGTGGCGGCCTGTGCCCAGTGGTGTGGTGGTGGGATAGTGGCAGGCCTGGGGCCAGTCCAAACATCTCTCGGTCCAGACGACGCACAAGTGCGTCTACTGCGATGATGAAGAGGGTTGGAGAGAGAGGGCATCCTTGTCTCACTCCGATCTTGATGCGGACTGGGCGAGATAGGACACCTCTGATGTTGATTCTCGTTACTGCGTTCTGTTGTACAGCTAGGATACGGTTGATCATCAGTTCCGAGACACCCACATTTCGAAGCGTCTTTATCACCCAACTCTGGCTGATAGTGTCGTAGGCTTTCCGGAAGTCCAGTGATCCTACGACCCAACCCATGTTCAGCTGGGAGTAGGCGTTGCAAAAATGATCCATGGTGTCGAGATTGTTAGTGATGTGTCGACCCGGTACGAAACCGTTTTGGGCGCCGTGAATGCTGTCCGGAAGAATGTTCTGGATGGCTTTGTTAATGAGCTGTGTGTAGATCTTCACCTCTGTGTTGATCAAAGAAATAGGCCTGTAGTTGGAGATGTCGGCCTGATCTCCCGACTTGTACAGTAGTTTGATGATAGCGGTGTTGCGTTCGGTGCTGATGGGCGAGTCGGCTCCAGCTTCGTTGTAGACGTCCGTCATCAAGTCCCCCAGCTCATCCCAGCAGTCGCGGTAGAACCTGTACGGGATGCCGTCTGGCCCTGGCGCGCTGTTGTGCGTAGACGCCTTGATGGTATCGAAGATCTCCTCCTTGGTAAAAGACGAGTCCAGGCTTGGGTTAGCTGTATTCACCCTCCGGGTTTCTTCGGGGAAGAGGTCTAAAAAGGCGCTGTCGTCGGTGTCGTTGATATCGGCAGCTCTGTCGAAGATGTTGTCAAAGTATCGAGCTGAGATGTCGCAGAGAGAGGAGGTGTCGGTCTTCACTCGGCCTTGGTGGTTCCGTAGGGAGTGGATCTCCATCTGTTGCTTGGATTGTTCGACCCGAGCATGGAGCATCGGGTATGGCTCGTTAGCTGGGTAGGCTTGCCAGTCTGAGGCTGTTGCCATGAGGGCCTCGCGGCGTCTGTTGTCTGGGTGGTTGGAATCTCGAAGTGCGCGGTTTTTGGCTTCCTGTTGGATGGTGACCTTAATGTTTTCTTTCAGGCATTGCAGCTTCAGGCTGGGCTTCAAAGGACCATATCGCTTCAGAATGGATTTGACGTGGAACTTGAGCCAAGCAATGTACTCTGTATCAAAAACCCACCAGGGCATCCTCCAGGTGCCTGGGCCTCTGTCTTGTCGCTGGGTGAGGTTGCCAAAGTTAAAGACGAATTGGACCGCGTGGTGAGAGGACTTCGTGATGTTGTGACCCTGCTTGTTGGTTACCAGTTGTGTGGATTTGATCCACTGTGAGAGTGTCGAAGAGATGTGCAGCTGATCCAGGCGCCTGCCAGCTCCGCGGCTGTTGTTGGTGTGAGTGTAAAGGCCTTTTCTGTGTTTGCTGATTAGAGTGTAGGTGTCTAGTAAGTCCCAGTTAGCTAAGAAGTCCTTAAGGTGAGTCGTCACTTTTTCGCCAATCTTGCCGTCGTTGGAGGCGACCGCGTTCCAATCGCCTGCCGCTATCAGGGGGTATTGGCAGGGATGGAGGCGTAGATAGTCGTCTAGTGACTGGTAGAACTGCCGGTTAGTGAAGGGGGAGGCTCCCTGCTCGTTTGGTGCGTATACGTTGATCAGCGATAGGTGTCTGTCGGTGCCTTTGATGTGCACGTCGGCCAAACACAGTCTGTTGTCTAGGGCTGGGAAGTATTCAAAAACTGTTGTTGTATATAGTTACAGTATATAGTTACAGTATATAGTTACAGTATATAGTTACAGTATATAGTTACAATATATAATTACAGTATGTACAGACTGTAGGTGTAAGTAGATAACAAAGAACGGAAGAGTACTTGTACTCGTACTCGTACTTCAGCACATTCAACCACACACTGTCAATCTCTCGACACGCATGCTAAAAGAACCCCTCTTTGAAACGTCAGTCTTATATGTACCCTGAAGCACTTTCAGGAACAGCATATATAATAATGTGCTAGGACTGCACCTTATGGGGAATCCACTAAACCCTAAACACCCGCTGTTACCTCGGTAATTTGCACGTGAATGGTATAAGTGCTACTTCTACTGTCCCCGAAGTGCTCATAAAGGCACAAATTTGTGTCGTGATTGCCCCTAACTCCCGCCAGGACCTCGTAATATCCGGTTCACTTTGGCGCTGACTAAGCTTATCATGGAGACCTAAATCCTAAGTTATTAGCATCAGACAACTATTTTGTCCAAGTCATTGGAACAGGCCGTCTTTGCTCTCAGCCATGGCGATGCGCAAAAACATTGTGTTTCACGAGCCGAAACGCGTATCCGAAACAGAATGGCAGTACCCCGAGACTGGCAGCATATGGGTACATGTCCCCACCGGATGGCGAAGTCCCGATGAATTTTTGGACTGGTGCAAGCAGCTCAACGCCAAGTTAGACACTACTAAGCGATATCGCGTGTCGCAATCAGGGCTAACGCGCACATTTTCCGTGCTATCAATCTGCGGTCTAACAAGTCAGAGCCAGGCGTTCATGCGGTCTGAAAGCCTGCGAGTCATTGAGATTCCCGACGAGATGATTGTGGATGTGCGGGGCAATCTTCTGGAGCCCCTGGGAATCCGCAATCGCGATGGCATCACCTATTTGAACGCCGATACCAGCACGGAAAGCATCACAAATACAACTACCACAGAGCCAACCACAGCCGATACCACAGATACAACCGCGGCCTCAAAACCAGAAACCACTGCAGATGGCAGTTCAACGACAAGAAGCACAGCTCGCGACAATGCTGTGTCGACCGCTGGAAGCACTACAGAGCCGCCCAACACGACGACTGCGGAACCGGCCACCAGCTTCTCCAACAATCCAAGCCCGCCAGTGTCCCTGCTCAGTCCGATTCCTCCAGCTGTAGAGACGATCGCATCGTCTACGCCCCAACAGAGTGAAAGTCCCATTGTGCGGTCGCCTGTTGTGCGGCCCAGTGACAGTGCACCAGCTGCTTCTACAGCCGCCACTATGGCCGAAATAGTTGCTCCTCAGCCTGTAACAACGGAATCCTCATATTCTAAACCAACAGAAGCCATCCAGGCGGGATTCCAGGCCATCAATGGCATTGGAAACTCGCTGTTGACGTTTCAGGCCAACCCCCAAGTCAGCCAGCCTCAGCAGACACAGCAGACACAGCAGCCTCAGCAGACACAGCAGACACAGCAGATACAGCAGCCACAGCAGCCACAGCAGCCACAGCAGCCACAGCAGCCACAGCAGCCACAGCAGACACAGCCGCCAAAGCAGACGCCACCGACACAACAGACTCAGTCGATACAGCCGGCACAGCCGACACAGCCGGCACAGCCGACACAACAGTTCCAAACGACGTCAAATGCGAGCAACAATTGCGGCTACAAGACGCTTTTTCTCTGCATTCCGTATCTAAGGGCCGATCGAAAGCTGGGCCTATCGAAAATTACCCAATCGCAGCAGGTGGTTCCCTATTTCCAATCGGTTTCGCAATTTCGAGAATGGGTCCAGAGGCTCTTCCCCACTCACTACATGCCTGCTGACATGTATGGCATCACTCTCGATCCCTCGCAGTTGTCGGGCTCGGTTGATTCCATCTCCACCAATCTTATCCCTATCACGCCTGCGTTCCAGGGTTCTCCCCACTGGTTTATTTACAGCTATTCACCTAATTCGATTGCGTCACCCCAAAACATTGCCAATAGCACACATTCTCGAACTAATCCTGCGAGACACCTCGCACCTCAGCAACAACAACTGTTTGGAATCACTCAGCAAAACTGGAACCGGATGGTGGACGTGTCGCGAAAGCACACAAATATTTATGGCTTGATGGATAAACGACTGCAGGCGGTAGAGAAGGAGCTCGCTAGTCTCAAATTCAAGCTAGGCGCTTTGGTTTCACTTGAGCCCCGTCAGGAAGCCGCTGATCAGCACTGCATCAAACTCGGCAACCGGATAGATCAGCTCCACAGCATGTTGAACCAGATGGGTGCAGAGGTCACCCATACTGTCAACTCTCTTCAGAATCGAGTTGAATCCGCCCTATCTCTTTCTGGCAACAACAACAACAACAACAACAACCACGCCACTAACGCTAACAACGCTGTGGTTACTCCAGAAAAGCGCGCCTATCCTTTTGAAGAAGAACACTTGACGAAAAGACGCCGAAGCGAGCATTCTAATAATATTATGTTTAACTCCGAGAACGGGTTTGTTCCTCCGCCCATCTCGCGTATGTTGAGCGAGTTGAGAAAGTTTCCCACATTGACGTGTGTAAATCCCAACTCCAAGATCACTGCTCGGTTTGCAGTCATGGATGGCAAGTGTGTCTTGTTGGCAGGCTCCGAGGACAAGTGGGAGTTTGGGTTTGACGACGACGATGTGGGAGGCAGTGAGCCAGTCCACACGTGTGACAACGCAAACAGTTCTGCCAAGGCTTCTCCCGAAATTACCACTCAAACGAGTATCTCAAATCCGAGCGCAATAATCGACGCTGGTAACTCTGCTCAGGCTTCACCCGTGGTTCAGACCTTCTCAGTCGCACAGTCCTCGCCTGTTAATCCTGTTACCCAGTTGCATCCTTCGGTACATGCCCCACAACTACGAGGCCCTGTGAGCCCTGCAGCACGGGGTTCATCGCCTCTGCTTGTCTACACTCATACTCATCAGTCTCCGACCGTGTCTTCTCCTTTAGTTCAGTGTGTGCACCCCCAGTCTCCCTCGGCTCCTGCCCCTACCTTGACGTCCGCTGCTGCTGAAAACGTGACAGTCCCTGCTTCCACTCCGGCAATTCCTTCAGTCCCTGTGGGTGCCCTTTCTCAAGCAAATGCCACTGGTGGGTACGTGGAAGTACCCTCTCCCGTTGAGAAGGCCGCGCCCACTCTTCCTGCAGCTGCGAACCAGGAGTTGAACAACCTGTCACCTGAACCCGCCCTGGCTCCCGTCACTGTGGAGACCCCCACAGCTGACCGTGCTAGAAGCGGCTCTGAGCCTGTCTCTGGGGCCAAGCAAGTGACAGCATCCGATCAAGCCTCTACAGCTGCTGCACATGGTCGTGTTTCTGAGCCGGCTGCTTCCGATCCTGCCTCTCAAGCAGCTGCTTCTGACCGTACTTCTAAGGTATCTGCCTCACCAGTGGTGACTTCCGCCTCAGACATGCATATGCGACGAAACGAGGCCCGTAAACAGCGCCAGCAGCTTTTGGAGCAGGAGAAGCGTATCTCTGACTCTATCACGGCGTCGTTCGCTACCACAGAGAACTCTCCCGCTATCGCTCCTACTGCACCACCTCCTCGTCCTCACTTCTCTCAGTTGGATGAGCGCACTCTCGAAAGGAACAGGGAAAGAGCCGAAGAGGAACATTTGGAGCGAGAAGAACGTGAGCGACGGGAGATGGTACAGCGAGACGTGCAAGGACGTCGTAAGGCTGCTCAGAAAGCTCAGGCCCGTGCCAAGTCCCAACTTGCGGATGAACATGCTGCCCGGGAAGCTGCACACGAACTTATTCACGCCCGAGTTGCTGCTGAAAGGAAGCGTGCTACCGTTGAGGAGGCTGCTAGGAAAGCGCGTCTGCAGGCCGAAGCCGAGAGACAGAGAGAGGAAGAGGCTGAGGCTGAAGCGGCACGGCAGCTGGAGCAGCGGGTGGTAGAACGGCGGAGGAAAGAGGTTGAACAACAAAGGAAGGAGCAGGAGGCCGAGGCTGAGCTTCGGGGAGTTGCTGAGACTGCAAAGTCTGTGCAAGAGGCTAGCAGCAAGCTTTCTAATAGGATCAAGAAGACAAATCAGGCTCGCGATGTTGCCGCAGCCATAATCCATCGTCTGAACGGCAACAAGGACGATGAAGAGAGTGGATCGCAGTCTGGTCGCGAACAAGAAACAACTCCAGTGGCATCTGACGCCTTTTCCCAGTCAGCTTATCCGCAGGCTACTACTGCTGAATATGCTTCCAGTGCTACCGACACTGCTTCGGCTTCTACAGGGTCGTCTATGAAGGAGCGAGCTGAGAAGATGCGCCAGTTGCGAGACAAGCAGAAAACCATGCAGCCTATCAAGACAGAAATGAACTCTGCGACTGACAATGAGGCCAATGATAAGTCTGTCAGATCCAGCAAGCTGTCCGAGAAGTCTACCGAAGGACAAAGGAAGAAGAGGAAGAGTGTGGACGAGAGCAGCGGAAAGCGAGCGGAGACTCTGGGAAGGCATATCGAAGACGCTCAGAAGCGTCCTGACGGCGTCAAAAAGCGACCCGACGTCACTAAGAAGATTGTATCCAAGAAGGGCATCTCCAAACGCGCTCCTTCCACTGCCAAAATGAGTATGTTTGAGCGTCTGAAGAAAGGCATTCCTGGCGAGATCCCGCCACCTCCTCCACCGCCTCCTAGGTCTTCTAAAAAGGGCAACAAGCGTAATTCCAAGGAGAAGAGTAAACTCGCAGTGTCTTCTGATTCTTCGTTGTCAGATGCCATCTGGATCGATATCAGTGATTAACTGGGAACATGTGTGGGTACACTTTACAGCACAAGTATTTATTTCTATCAATGTATTAATTTGGGGAATACCAGGGTAATTAGCTGTCGTTAAACAACAACATAAAGACACGAAACCACTTCTAATGAGTCCCATATAGACTTCAACGCCCAAGTGAACTCCTAATCGCCGTTAATACTCCATTAGTGGCTTCCCTTTGTTACTCTAGTCAAGTTCTTACACATTAGTCATCACAAGGTGCATTCACTGATCTAGGGATTCAGATAAATCCCAGGGTCCGACTCGTATATGCGCATTCAAGAGAATTCGAACATTTAATTTCACTCACGTCGTTACGCCCATTGATCATTGACCTTGGCGGTTTTCGTTTAACAATATAAAGTAAGATTCCAATGGAAGTTGACGAAGTATTCAGGTCAGACGAAAACAGTAACAAGAAAACAAGTGACGGTAGAGAAAACCTGGGTTAACAGAAAAACCGTAAGTCACTAGGCTTTAACAATGAAAATACACAACATTACTCTGTTTCAGCTGGACTTTCTCGCCCTTGTCTAGACTCCTCCATTCTCAGTTTTTCAATTTTTTTTTAATGCAGAAAAAAATATTTTAAGTTTAATTAAGTTTAATTTTATCAAAAACTTTTTTATGCTTAAGTCTGCAGTCGTCAACCTGAAACTCATCTTTGGGCGTCTGGTGTAGTTGGTTATCACATGCGCTTAGCATGCGCGAGGTCCCCGGTTCGATTCCGGTGTCGTCCATTTTTGTCTCTCTTGCTAGAAAATGACACTCTTAGTTCCTTTGCCTGTTTCTACAAGTAGACAATTTGCATGTATGTAGAGTATTCAGGTTATGATGTTGTTAAACTTAAAATCGAACTTTCCAATGCCTGGAGATTCATATTGGTACTGGAATAGAGCTGTCTATGAGTGGAGATATTGTTTTTGGTTCGATTAATTGTAAAAGCGCTCTAAATAAATCTTTTCCACGCAAGTTTTACGACAAATCACCCAACAATACACATTGAAATATTTTATGTTAAGGTTCTTATCAAAGTTGTTATCGCTGAAAAAAATTTGAGCAGCTAAAGACAGACATTAGGTACGAGTATTGACGGTGTTGTGAGCGTGTCATCAAGTGAAACGGCAGCCAGTCGATATACTCAAGTCGGCAGACAAGAAAACCGAAATAAATCATAATAGCTCGAGCGTCACGTCTTTGAACATGTCTTTGCACTGGTCTTAACATTGCCTATTGTACATCTTAGTAAGACAAAAAAAATACCCAGTATATGAACTGCCAAAAAGAAAGCCCGACGTGGGGCTTGAACCCACAGCCTTGAGATTGCTTTGAATAAGAGTCTCACGCTCTACCGATTGAGCTAGCCAGGCCGGTTGTGGAATCTCGGGACGTTTTGACATGGACCATGTGAAGGGTGCTGACTAAAACAGCCTTGTTTAGAATAAAAAATAGATCTCCGAGATCGCCAAAAAGAAACAGGAGTAATACCGGGAGCACAATTTTCATACACTCTTTTGAAAACCCGAATCGGACTCCAATGTGCTTGTTCAACAGTCTCTAAGGTCATTCTAGAGTTTTTCAAGAAGAGGAAGCAATCGGGTAGTCTTCTGAAGGGATCGGGCAGTAATTCTCTTAATGCTGTTCTACGGGTAAGACAGGACAAAATAGTTGTCTAGACCCAAGATAAACAGACGAGAAAGGGATTGGTAAGGTTTAAATGTCGATGAGATATCAGAGACTGATTGTTTTGTTTCCTCAAACTTCTACCTGCGAACGGTGAAATTTCTGATATCGTCGTAGGGAATGACTTTACCATAGATTTTCGTTTAGTTTCCACCACAATGACCGAGCATTCTCACCTCTCCAATCAGTTGCTTGAATTCATGTTCCTGACTCCTGTATCCGTAACTAAATCGGTTTCGGTATAAAGTGAGGAACACATACAAGATGGGCTAGCAGTTGCAAATACTATAGTAAGACAAGCACCGGTTACTCATAAGTACTGGTTACTCATAAGTACCTAGTACCCAGTAGCCCTTAAATTTCAGTTTCAAGGCTATTATCTGACCGTCTGGACTATCTGTCACGTCTGGAGTTATAAGGATCAGTTAGCAGAACAGGTATTTAACGATCATTGGGTATTCTGACTATGTCTATCTTTCAATTTTGAACTGTCGGGGATTATATGAATGTAATCACCTACTGTAACAGCTTGTATTGGCTGAAGTTCCAACGTGTTGTATACATACAAGTGCGGTATATGTATGATAGCTCTACTATGGCTACGAAACATCATTGGGACTTTTGAAGGTGAATTTGAATGAAACAGCTTGGATCAACCAGTAATGATTCAGCATATACCAGTTCGACTTCCAGGCTAAGGAAAGACACCAAGGTTGGAGGTTTGACCAATTGGAATATGGTGTAAACTATAGATTATCAGGGCATACCAGGGTATCTTCAGTAGATATGACTGATAAAATCAACAGTCAAGGTCCGCATCACTGTGGAATTGAGTGAATCGTGGTTTTTTTCGCGGTTTTTTGGTGCGTTTTATTTTTTATTTTTTTTCTAATGATTCATTGCAGCTAATTGTAGTAAGCCGGGTTATTGGCGTTCAATAAATACACTTATACATCGTTTCGGTGTGAGCTACGAGGCGCGTGTAAGTTGGCTCGTCGACGCTTCATCTTGTTCTTGTCCTTGTCGTGGTCTCGTGGTTGTGAATCAAGGCGTTTTTTTGTTTTATTCTAAGGATTTTTTTTATTCTAATGATTCTGGATGACTAAGCAGTCGTGGTGTTAACAAAGATAATTACCTAAAACTTCATATATACGGTCCTATGGCACAGCGGTAGCGCGTGAGATTGCAAATCTTAAGGTCCCGAGTTCGAATCTCGGTGGGACCTCTTTTTTCTTCCATAAATTCAATTTTTGTCACTTTATGGCAAATTAACACGTGACCAGATATTGTTCATGAAATATTTTAATTATACTAACTCTGCTACCTAATAAACATATCTGTATCCCGCAGTGGCGACCACTCCTTCGGGATCCTCCTCGTCCAGTCCGAACTCCTTCATCAGGTTGTATTCACCCTTGTCGAGCTTCTTGTTGATCTTTCTCAGCTTGAGCGACAGCATAACTGCGCATCCAATGGCCACGAGCAAAAAGCCCGAGTTGGCAGCCATGGCAGGAGCGTATCGTGGGGCGGCACTCTTGGGGTACAGGTAGGCGTTCCAGATGGAGGTGGTGTTACTGAGACAGTTCATGAGCGCAATGGCGACTCCTCGCTTAGCGGCCGGTCGAGGAATGGTGTTACTCATCCAGGTGAGAGTGACGACAAATCCCATGTAGATGGACGAGATCATGATGCACATGGCAAAGTACCGGGCTGCGGTGTTGAGGGTGGCAGCGGCAATGACAAAGCTGGCAATGGTGACGGAAAAGGGCACAATGATGTGGTAGAGTCGCTCGCCGGTCTTGTCTGCGTGCCACGAGTTAAGAGGAACCAAAATGGTGGCTAGAAGGTAAGGGGGACAGGTGAGCACCAGGGTCATTGTTCGGGAGAAGTTGAGGGTCTGGACGACCGAAGGGAAGAAGTTGGTGACTCCGGCGGCGGCAACGTTGAAGAAGTTGACTCCAGCTACCAGCCACACCTTGGGGTCCTTGATGACGAGTCCCAAGTTCTTCTTGACAAACTCCAGGCCGCTGAGTTCAGAGTCCACGTCGGCCTTTCCTACCTCTCGTTGCAGTCGGTACATGGCAATGTCCTTCTCCTGCTGGCTGAGCCATCGGGTGGTGCTGGGGAAGTCGGGCAGAATCCACCAGGCAAAGGGCACGACCAAAACGGTGAAGGAGCCCTCGATGATAAAGAGCCATTTCCATCCAGAGATACCTCGCAAGCCATTCATGTTCTCCATGATAGCGGCGCCGAGCAGTCCGGAAAAGGCACCGGAAATGAGCGAGCCGCAGTACAGAATAGAGGTTCGAAGAGCCAGCTCTTTTCGGGTGTACCACGACGACAGCAGGAACAGACAGCCGGGGAAGTACACGGCCTCGATGAAACCCAGGAAGAACCGACACACCACCAGACCGCTGAAGTTATTGACGGTGGCGGTGAGAGCGGAAATGAGACCCCAGATGAACATGCAACTGGTCAGATACAAGCCTGGCTTGCCCAGCTTGGAAACAATCATGTTACTGGGAATCTGCATAAGAATGTAACCAACAAACAGAATGGATACACACGTCTGGTACTGGATGGAAGTGAGACCCAGCTCGGCCTCCAGACCTCCCAGTCGAGCGGTAGCAATGTTGTTTCTGTCCAGGTAGTTGAGAATGTAGATGAGCATGAGCATGGGCAGCATTCGGATGTCGATTCGGCGCACAAACTTCTTCTCAACAGCCAGCATTTCCTCTTCAGTCAACGACGCCAGAGACTCGGGCCGGTCATCCACTGTGTACATGTCCTTTTCCACCTCTTCGTCGGGGGTGTTTGGACTAATGTTCTCCACATGTGTAGTTGCTGTTTCTTTTGGTTTCATGGTGGTCATTATTGTTTGAACTGGGCTGAATCCAAGCTGATTTATATACAAAACTCCGAGATTCCAAGGCTGGGCGTGCCAAGACCACACGTCGTCTGCTAAAGATGACAGAAGAAACACGTTGAACAGTTGATGTAGGAACTTGGACTAGAAAGTAGCTTGCTACGGTGCCCATTTAGGGGCTTTCTTGAGCTCAAACAGCTCTAGATCAACATGCGCCCCGATACACCCTCTATTCCTATCACTCCTAAGCTCCAACTTGCAAGCTCATCATCGTCGGCGGACTCGCAACACGTAGCCGCGCTTGCGGGGTAGTCTTAAACTCAGATTAAACGAAACTATGTGGGGTTGGCATGACAAGACTCCACTGTTGGTGACGTTTGACACCCCTGTGTCGTGTGGTTTTTCCGTTTTTCCGGTTCAAACGAGGGAGCTTGCGTTGAGAGGAGCAGAGCCTGAAATAAAGAACAACTTTTGTCTCCGGGTAGTACGCGAAGCTGTTCAAAAGCTGAAGTCCATTTGCCCACCGTTTTCCCCCCAACTGTCACTTTTTTCTCTGGGGTAAATGACGTCTGATTTACAAAATAGCCGAATGCCAAGAGTATCTAAATGCGCTCGGTTGAGTATCCACTTTGGGTGGGTCGGTACGATGAAATGGCCAAAGCACATGTTGGTTCTCGATGAAAGGGGATTCGATATTTCTTCCACTTCCCCAGTCTTACAGTATCTCCTTGTCATCCTTGTCACTCTCCTTTGAGACCTCCCTAGTGCCTAGCCTTGTACCTGTCGGTTAAGACTAGCCGCGGAAGATTCCGAATTGGCTACAAGTAGCTCAGGCACACCAAGAGACAATTTTTCCGAAACTGACCGAGTTGCCCCGGAGCTGGTCGCCTTTAGCTGACATGGGTCGCCATATCTCCTGACCTTCGCGATATGAAAACTTTTCCTTGTCTTGGCGCTGACAGCTGTCAAACCGTAGCAGCCACCCCAACCAAGGGCAGGGATAGGGATAGGGATGTTGTTGTAGCCGTTGGTCTTGAATATTGTTGAGAAAAGAAAAAGAAATCAGATGTTTCCAAACGAGTTTCATAGACGAGTTTTCGTGGTCAGTTTTCTAGGATTTCGTGAGCATCTTCTCTACTGTCTGAGATGAACGTTGGTATGTACAGAACTTGAACATGCACTATGAGTCCTCTGCGCAAACTGTACCCGGATCACCGAGGACACTTGTCACTGAATTTTGTCAGAAATGCAACGTCAGTGATACTACCATCTTTTTTTTATCAGATTTAGCCGAAAGCAATGCGCTGCTCTCTACCCCACACTCTTAACATCAGACTCTCAACGGCAGCCAAGTGGAGCAAAAAGAAGCCAAAATATCGACTCTAGTCGGCGGGGAATGGCAGGGGTCAGAGAGTTGCTCCGCCTACTGTATCTGTTGCATAGTAGCCATTCTCCTTCTGAACGCCGCTTAGAATGATTGTTTGTGTCTGTAGGAGGAGTGTCAAGTGGGGATATCTGGTGCTCAGGTGTGATTTAAAGTAGATTTTTGACATCTGGGAGGCGTGGGTGAACTGTTGCAGGCCTTTTTACCGTCTCTAGAACGGGTTTTGGACGAGTTTTAGGTTTTTTTTCGCCAGATCGATTTTTCATATTTGACCAGATATTGGAAAAACAAGGTTGGGTGTTAAAAATTCGCGGTCCCTTGGCCCAGTTGGTTAAGGCGTCGTGCTAATAAGAAATTAGCCTCTTTGCAACGCGAAGATCAGCAGTTCGATCCTGCTAGGGACCAATTTTTTTATTGATGGAGAAACCGCGGCACATATCTGTCATTTTTTCCTTTGTTCTTTTTCCTAGATTACGCATTGTACGATACCACCATACCTTACCATACCATGAGTATCGTACGATACATCCGGGTAACTTCTTGTGGCATGTTCGGGGCACCATGACGATACTGTATACAGCAATCTATGATTCAGAACATGGAGATGAAACAGAGAGCTGAATCATGTCGTATCGTCACGGAAGTCCAATTCGGTTCATCTCTGTAAGATCTTTGTTTCTACATATCAAGCCACTTGCTTACTGTACTGTATGTACTATTCGACATTGACACTTGATCTTGTAGCTTCGACGCTTGTTGAGCAACCGCCCCGCACTGGAAATATGTGGCCCAAATGAACGCCTCGGCATGTACGATATGAGGCGAGTATTTGTAATAACTGCTGTTTGACTCTTTTACTTCTTTCTTCTTGCAACACCATCAATATCTACAACCAAAACACACCATGACCGGAGCCGCCTCGACCATCACCTACGAATGTCCCATTTGCCAGAAGAGCTACTCTCCGGACGCCTACACCAAACACGTCCGGGAGTGCGTGTGTTCGTATACACGGGAGAGTCAGAAGTCTGACGATTGATTGGAGGGAAGATGAAGAGAGTTGATTGTTTGTATTTGACACTAACTCGTAGTTGGGCTGTATCGTGATTGTATCGTAGGTCTCTCTCTAGCTGTAGGTGTCTCCACTCAGATTGGTTGTGCTTCGGTTGATCTATCGAGAAGCGTCAACTAATAATTTTAAATTAATCAATAAAAATTGTGCAGTTTTGTCAAATTAGTGGACGGTTTTGTGAGCGTTGCCGTTCGGTTAAGAGGAGGTCAAGGGTCTGTTAAAAACGGGATATTGCGCCGGATAATCAAGAGTATCTTTGGGGCTAGGTTACTTCCTGTTAATACGTCGCTTCCAGAAAAACGCGGACAAATCCTATCCTGGAGTGACAATGTGAAACATTTCACTGCTCTGACATAAACTAAATCATGCATCTGAGAGGCATGTCTATGTAGTGTCAGAGCATATGGCCAAAGCCACCTCATCACTAACAAAACGATCCAGCACCACAACATGTCTGAAAGCTCGACCTTGAGGTCGTTTGACGCGTTTCCAAAAGTCAACACCGCGTACAAGCGACAGTCGACGCGAGGCGGACTCGCCACCCTGGTGATTGGCGTCCTGTGTTTCTACTTTCTCTGCTCCGAGCTGCGAGGATACTCCAACGGCCACGAGGAGCACATTTACACAGTGACCAAGGACCTGGCAGAAACCATCCAGCTCAATGTGGACGTGACAGTGGCAATGCCGTGCAAGAGCATCAAGGTGATTGCTCAAGACTACTCCGAAGACACGTTTTTCGCACACGAGCTGCTCAATATGCAGGGCCTGACATATGACTTTGGCACAGACCGAATGCAACACGAGATCCACAGCCACAAGGCGTACGAGATGAACAGTAAGACGCTGAAAAAGAGCAAATTCAAACACACGCGAGTGGGCTCGCATTCTACCGACCCCCACTGTCGAATCTCCGGCTCGGTGCCCATCAACCACGTCGAAGGAGCGCTCCAGATCTTCAATCTGCCCGACAATCAGTACTTCATCAACCCCATGAAGGCCTCCGATGGTCTCAACTTGACTCATGCCATCCATGAACTGTCGTTCGGAGATTACTTCCCAAAGGTGCTTAATCCTCTGGATGGAGTGAGCACCGTCACCGACGAGCCTCTCATGTCGTACCAGTATTTCCTGTCGGCCGTTCCTGTGGAATACAGCTCCGGCAGAAAGAAGATCCACACCTACCAGTATGCCGTCAAAAAACAAACCACCAATCTGCAGGAGCACTTTGTCACCCGACCGGCCATCTTCTTCCATTACAAGTACGAGCCTGTGACTCTCAAGATCCAGGACTCGCGCGAGACGTTGACCGTGTTTGTCGTCAAACTGCTGTCGATTCTCGGCGGCTTTGTGGTCTGTGGATCGTGGATTGTTCGAGGAGGAGAAAAGGCCTACGAGAAGATTGTGGGCAAAAAGCTGAACTACGCCTCATTGCACACTGGAGGATTGTTGGATCGAAAGAGCTGATCAGGGTAAAATAGAGCACATAGATAGATAGCGGTTTAATGGCATTTATGATGATTTCCGCGTGCATTGACCGAGTTCGATGCTATGAGGAGTATGGTTCGTATGGATGAACACCTCCAGGAATCGTTTCCTTCTCCACAGAGTAGAACATATGTCAACTCTGGACTGTTAGGCCTAATTACACCAGTCAAAACAACTCGTCTATTTCTATAACCACCTAATAAGTATCGATCATGTGCTGCAGGAGCTTTGCAGAACTGATTGGACTCTTCTTCCACACCTTGGACACGCCTCCTTGTTTGGGACTGTCCATCAGCAAAGGTGCAAACACGTCCAGTGCCGTCTTGAGAGTCATGGCCTTTCTGTCTACCAACAGACGGATGAAGGAGCAGATGTAAATCATCACGTTGGCATTCACGTTGGGCACAGCCTCCAGAATATGGGCAGCCACGTCCGCAGTATTGTCCACTCCTCCTCCCATAAACGGAATTCGGCTTCCCGTGCCTGCTGCGATGGTTTTTTCAGGCACAGAGAGATAGGCATACTCTGGAATGATTCTCTGTGACAAAGAAGCCAACAGCAAATGTAGCTGAGAAGCCACAGACTGTGGACCCAGAGGGTTGTCGTTAAGAGTCTCCACGTTAAAGGGAGACCCGGTATCAAGCCAATCTCGAATATCCATCTCCAGATGCGGGTCACCAGGGGACGTGAAGAGGCCAACCAAAGGTGATTTGGGAGACTCTCGAGACACAGCAGCTGTTCCAGGCTTCTCGATACTGGGACGAGCAGATCTGTCTCCGTCGCCTCCTCCTTCTCCGTCCCGATCGACAACAGACCACAGGTAATCCACACACTTCCAAATCTCCTGAGGCATGTTGCTGACCACTTTTCCGCCGTCTGACAGACCGTTTCGAGCTCCGTTAGGCAATCTGGACAGGTAATCGAGGTCTGAGCCGAAACATGAAGGCATCACATCGTAGCCAGTGTCGACAAAAATGTCCTTGGAGTCCTTGACATGCACAATTGCAAACGAGTCGCAAGAGGGCGCTCCAATGGCAGCCGAGAAGGTGACCTCAACAACTTCCTGGTCACCCGGAAGAAGCTGGCCCGTGGTGCTGGAAAGGGTGATACTGGGCGACGAGTCCTTCTTGTCCTTGCTATCATCGTCGAATCCAGAGGTCTGGGAAATCTCCCAGTGAGCTGTAGTGTGACCAGTATTGTGGATCACCAGAGGAACAGTTTGGGTGGTCAACACGGCAAGCTGGACACGGAGGCTCATGGGGGAAACAGTGACGGCAGGCCGGTCGAGGTTCTCCTGAACACCAACAGACTTGAGATAGTTGTTGACAATCTGAGCGCGCTTGTCAAAGTCAATCAGAGGCAGAGATAGCGAAAACTCGGCCGAAACAGGCTTGTGATCACTGACAGTGTACTCCATATGACTGTGGTATCCCTTCTGAACAAGCTCACAGCCTCCCCAGGCTCGCGAGAGAATTCGGTCAGTGTAGGAAGGAGTTCGTAGAGTGTCCAGCTCGGAAACGGTATCCTCAACGTACTTGTATGTGGGAGGGAAGTTGATGGGGTACTCATTGAGACCAGCGAGAACACGGCCGTCTCTGGTATCTTTGAGAAGCTGGTCGTGAGCCAGCAAGCCGGCGAAATCGTTCTTCTCGATCATCTCCAGGGCCTCCTCGTGAGTCTTGTCCACTCGGTAGTTGAGATCTCCGAGGAAGAAGATGATGGTTCGAGGGTCGCCTCGAGGTGAGCTGGCAGAAACAGCTTCACTGACCACACTGAGGTTGGAGTTTTCATGTGGTCGAGCAGGTCGCTGGGCACCGGCGGCAGCGGCATCACTAGACCAGTCAAAGACGCCTCCCGCACGAGAATCAGCTGAAACCACACTTTCGGTATCGTTGAATCCTCGTCCGTTCAGATTGGGAGACATTTCGGTGATAGTGGTAGCTGCACTGAAAGGTCCACGAAGACTTTCATTCTCGTCAGCATCGCTCTCGGAAGACTCTGTGGCATTGCCCAGAAACTCGCTTGATGCATTGTAATCGGCGTACCTGGCATCATCAGTAGCCAGAGAGGCAGTGCTGCTGTTGCTGTCCTTGTTTTCCTTGACCTTGGCATACCATTCGGGACGCCCAGGAAGCTCCAGGCGTCGGTACATCTGGTCAATCTCCCATCGTCGCCGAACAACGTTGTTGTCTCCGGCTGAAAGATGACAGTTGAGGAAACAGACTCGTGTTCCGGGCACAAAGAAGTCGCCCTTGGAAGACTGCGTGCTGGTGGCTTCTCGGCCAATATGCATTTCCACAAGAACAGCTCCCTTGTTTCCCCACACTCCCAGAAGACCTGTTCCAGCTGACTTGACTCGAACGTCGGAAATCTGGCTCATGAGCGACTTGCGGGCAATCACAATGATCAGCAGACCAATCAGCTGGTTGGACGAAACAACATAGTTGGAGTAGGGGTCGTAGTAGGCGTGATTGTTGGAGGCCGACGACTCGTATCCAGAGGCCGACGATTCGTATCCAGATTCTTCTGTGTCGGAGGGTGCGGACTTTTTATGAGTCTCAGTCTTTGGAGCTTTGTCAGTCTTCTCGGACTTGTCTTTCTTGTCTTTCTTGTCAGACTTGTCACTTGACTCCGACTTGTCGCTCTTCTCAGTCTTATCGTTCTCCGTCTTATCATTCTCCGTCTTATCATTATCCGTCTCCTCTTCAACCTCCTCGGCGGTGACTACAGTCTCGTCCTTCTGAAGATTTTCCTCATTGGCCTTTTCGAGGGTCTCCAGCACCGCCGCCTTCCATCCATTGAGAGTCTGAGCAGTACTTACAAGACCACTGACCGGATCAGCCTCCTGCAACGCAAGAACAGTAATGTCGCTCTGGGGCAAAAATAGCGAATCGAGATGCTCGTCCTCAATAACAGGAGGGGCCCGGTTGTGCACATTCCAGGTGACCAGCCGGAAAGACAGCTCCTTCTGCTCCAGAAACGAGTCGATGGAAATGCCGTTGCTGGGTGTGGGCGACTGCGATTGCAGATCGGCAGTGTCCACTCGCACGGTCATCCGAGACCGCGTGCTGTTGGCGGTATTTCGACGTCGGTACACACGCTCGTAGTCCGTGGGGGTTGTCAGGGATGCAGTCGAGTCCATGGTCACATGGGGGCTTCTCTGGCCGCCCCGAGCCACGGGTGTCTGATCTGGATCTTCAGCGTGAGATGTGGTATTGGGAGTGGACGGTCTAGGAGGTTCGGAAACCACCTTGGGGAACTCCATTTCCGAATCTGAAGAGTCCGACTCGCCGGAGGGAACTGTCACCTCCGATCTGTCCTTGATAGACGAGTCCTTGAGAGACGAAGAGCTTTTGGTAGAAGAGCTCTTGATAGAAGAGTCATTGAGAGACGAGCCCTTGTTCTCAGGTTGGGTCTTGACGGGAGACTCGACAGTCTCGACAGGTACAGGGTTGACCGGCTCTGACGGCTCCGACGACTCCGACGGCTCGTCTTCGGAATCGTCTTCGTCAGAAAGAGAAAAGAGATTGGGTTTGTTCGGAACGGTCGATTCAGTCGATTCGGTTGATTCGGTTGATTCGGCGGTTGATTCGGTCTTTTGATCTGTCTTTTCCGAGTTGCGTGAGTCTTGTGATCCCGTCTGGACTGATTTGTCTGATTCATCCAGGTCCGGTTTGTCCGTGTCGTCCGCGTTTTCCACGTTGTCCACCGTGTCTTCCACCTTGTCGCCCGCCGGGTCCTGGATCTCGTCATTTGGGCCCGTGGCTGGGTGCTCCTGATTGTCTGGTTCCGAGTCTTCCGTCTTGTCCACGTGCTGATCTGCAACCGCGTCCTCCGGCTGGTCGTCGGCGGCCCGATCCTGGACCTTGCCGGTCTTGTTCTTTCGTTTTTTCGCCATGATAGTCGGTTGTAGCTGGGACTGTCTGGCTGTCGTGTCAAACCAATCTTGTTTGGCCGTCGTGTCTAACCGTGCCTCTCAAATGCACGAGGTTATCCAGACTCCCTACAATGTAGGTTCACCAGGAGATGGTTTGAATGGAGGTGCCCAAGGGTTGCGGGTGGCTAGAAAATGGAAATTGGCGGCTAAAATTGGAAATTGAACCTGGAAAGTGCGAGTACGTCGTTGGAAATCGGTTTTTTGCAGATTTTTTGACCCAATCGTCGGCAGTATGAATACTTTCAGTACGAGTGATTATCGTACAAGAGTGCAAAGTTCGGTCTGGTGAAACAACGTAAAATAAGTTGCCAAAATCGAAACCAACTGGATAAGAAAAGAAATGGAAAGAAAAGGAAAGGAAAGAAAAGAAAGAAAAGAAAGAAAAGGAAAGAAAAACCATTAAATACTCCGTAGAAACCCTCTCCCGCGACAATCCGGTCAACACTTGTACCGATAGCTGTGGACAGCCCTACGTACTACTTGTACTGGGTACAATACTCACACCCACTCGTACTCGTACCCTAGTCGCACTCCAAAGTACAACGTTAATACTACACGTTCGCTCCACCAGGGGGCTATTTTTAACACGTTAACTTCGGCGGAAGGAGGGTCTACTTGCCACTCAAACGGCCCAATTTGGGCGGATCGCCACCCACAAGTTGCTCACAGAAAGACGCGCAAATTAATTTCGGCCGCAACTCGGCTCGTGTCATACAGCGCACCAGTACACTGTGCTGCTGCCATGCAATCTCGAAGACCCCGACTGCCGTTAAACTTGCACTTTTGGTGAACAACGAAAATGGAGATTTTAGGGAAATGCAATATCCGGAAAACTGGGAAATTTCAGGCAACTCGCAGACAAGTCAGAAAAGGCAGTAGCAGTCAGAAAAACTCGCACAACTAAAAGGAAGATGGTAGCCGAGGGTAGCCATGCAAAAATTGCAACCAGGCTCAATCACGTGCTCTATAACGAGCTTCAACGGGCTAGATGAAGGTGGTCAGATACAATAGCTAGATAACTATCGACATATACAATGAGAGTGGGTCATGCGTTACTTGTACAGCTACGGTACGGTACGTACAGTACTCGCACACGTGTAGTACTGTACTGTCCTCGTACAAGTTGTCGTGCAGTATCGTACAATCCAATCACTCGTGCTCCAAGATAACCCCCAGTACAGTATGTACCGTATTATGTGCCTTGGACAACTCAAAGAGGATACTTGTACAGGGCCGTATGTACTGTATGTACTGCACAGGGCCATATCGTAATTCCAAAATGTGACACTTTGACCCCTCTTACACCTGCTGGCACTCCCATCCATTACATTATCTGCCTGTTTCTACTTCAAGCTACGAACCTGCATCTTTCAGGCGTATCACAAATTGGTCAGAGAAGGACACACGGGGATCTCCGAGGCGGGCTTGCGCGTGCGTTTGCGTTTGTGTACCGGGGTCTGGGACTGGGAGGTGGATGGAGATCCCACTGGAGGCTTTCGATCGGAATCGGGAGTCAGAACCAACTGAGGGTCGGTGTAGTACTGGTTCTCGTTGTTGGTATAGCCGGACACGGAAGACGACGTCAGCAAAAAGTCCTTTTCATTTTGGAGCACTTTCATCAAAGCCACCCAATCGTGGGCCTGGTAGTAGCAACCAAACTTGCTGAAAACGTTGGAGGCATCGCTGCTTTTCGCCAGATTTTCGAGCACGTCGGCAGACAGGTATCGGAGCAGAGCACTGGCCTTTCTGTGGAGCGGCAGATCCAGCTCGGAAAACAGAGTCAGCGCCGTGTTGAGGTGGACTTTGGGGCTAATTGCGCCCTTGTCGAGGTTTCGTCGCGACTTTTCAAGCTGAAGAACCACAGGTGAAGTCGACGTCTCAAAGTACTCTTCTCCCTTTCCGTCCATAGGCAGAAACTTGGAGGGCATTTCGGTCTCGGCCGGTGCCACTGTCGCGGGTATCTTGGTGGGGGTATTGTAATCTAGGAGGTATCCGAAATGGTATCGTGAGTACATGTTGTGGTGATTTTTGGTAGGTATAACTCCTATAAGTATTTGAGGTTGTGGTACTTGTAACAAGCTACAGTACACAGACACACAAGCTCAATACAGGTACGCTCGTACTTGACTCCAAGTTTAATACTGATACTCGTAACTGGAGTACAATCGCCATTACTTCACCTGCAATTGGTGAACTAAAGGGGATTTACAAATAATTTGGGGTTCGTTTTGTTTGCATTTGCAGGAAGAATTCATCTATCGGGTTTTGTCACTATTTCACTCACAAAATTCGAGTTTTGGTCTTATCAACTAGACTCCATGCATTCAGACAGTATATACAATACCGTACAACAGTACATACAGTCAGTCCGAGTACAGTAATGAAATCAACTAGGAGTTATAACTCACTGAATGACTAAGAAAGAATACATATTATATCATGTTGCCGTTACCAGAATCCAGTTCTGTTCCCATCTTACTCACTATTCTCAGTCCGTTCTGAACCTATACTACATCATCAACTGCACTGTCCAATTCTTATCTACAATGATAATTGAACACGAGAGACATGACATATGCCATATCGTATGAATACTTGAAATATATATCACTTGTCGCAAGTCTCGTGTCCCCCTTTCCCCTCTAAAGTGCTCAGACAGTCAACTTACAGAGGATATCTACAACCACTGACCTTACTATCTCCTTTGGCAAGAACAAATATCCATTCGCCTCTTGAGCTTTCCACCAACAGCTCCATTACTCAGCTAAACACGGCCCAGCACTTGTCATTTCAACCCCATTACTGAACATGACCTCATCATGACAAACCGTTATAGTGCGAAATAGCCTTCTCTTATCTTCTCTTATCGTGCAGTGTGCTGTAGATCTGGAAAGTGCTTGTACTAGATGAGATGAGATATGATAAAGTGTAGGAGTACATTCAGGTCATTTCATCACTGGATTTTATGGATCGTAAAAGTCTTGATCTCGTTCTATTCTGCGGGACCTGATTTACTGTACCGTACAGTACAAACAGTAGGTGCAGTCACGGTTTACCGTGTAGCACTCTGACATGACACTATAGAATGACATATGTAGAGCCTTGTATCAAAACGGTCAATAGGATTTTCAATTGGTTTATATTATATCTAGGGACTTGTATCTCCTTTCCCTCTTTTTTTTCTCTCTCTCCCTTCTCTCTCCTCTCTCCTCTCTCCTCTCTCCTCTCTCCTCTCTCCTCTCTCCTCTTCTCAGTCTACAACATGAAAATCCCCGGAACAGTACCCCTGGTCGAATCAACAGAAATTATACTCTCTCCTACCCCTTCGAGTGACCCCGATGATCCTCTCAACTGGTCTCCCCGACGCAAACTATTGTCCATGTTCTGCATGGTCTTGTATTGTGTCGCCTTCTGTGTTCCTTCAGCCTCCATCTTCTCGGTCTTCATTCCCATCTCTCAGAACACAGGTCTTCCTCTGGCCACTTTGAACCAGGGAACCGGCTACATGTTTCTACTCTTTGGACTGGGATGTATCATTGTCCATCCGCTCAGCGTCAAGTATGGAAAGCGGCCTGTCTACCTGATTTCTGTACTAGGCACGGCTTTGATTCAGCTTTGGGGTCCGAAAATCAACTCTTCCGGAACCTGGATTGGATCAAAAGTTATTCAGGGACTTTTGGGGGCCTCTGTGGAGTCTCTTTGCGAAGTCACTGTGTCCGACCTTTGGTTTGAGCACGAGCGAGGACGATGGATAGGTGTCTATGGCTTTGCGTTGATGTTTGCGTCAAATATCGCCCCTGTTTTTGCCGGATTCATCACCCAGAGTATGGGCTGGAGATGGGTTCTCTACTGGGGCTCGATTTTCGATGCCGTTTGTTTCCTTTTCCTATTTCTGTTCTTTGAAGAGACCAACTTCAGACGACAGGGGGAGCAGAGCCTGCAGGCAGATTCTGAGCTCGAGAACGAGACAGAAGCAGGCGAGAAAAAGAAACAAGTTCAATTCATTACAGATGTCGAAGTCGGTCAACTGTTTGAAAAGAAATCCTTCCTTTCCAAACTGTCCCCCTTTTCTGTTTCAAAAGAGACGATTCTACTGCCCATGTTGGTGCGACCCTTCACCCTGGTAAAGTACCCAGTGGTTCTCTTTTCGGGCTTCATGTGTGGAACAGGGCTCATTTGTTTCAATATTTGCAACGCAACCACCTCCTTTGTGCTCTCCAACGCTCCCTACAACTTCCCAGCCTCCAGGGTCGGTCTCTGCTACCTGTCTCCGTGTGTCATGGTGCTCGTCTTTTCATTCTATGGCGGCTACATTTCCGACAAGTTGCGGGTTCTGCTGGCCAGAAGAAACGGAGGACTGTCGGAACCCGAACATCGACTCTGGATTCTCTCAGCATACCTCCTTCTGTGTCCTCCAGCTCTCGTTCTATGGGGCGTGGGAGCCTCCAACGGCATTCACTGGTTCCCCATAGTCTTTGGAATGGGTCTAGTGAAGGGACTAGGGACGCTGACTTCCATTTCTGCCATCAACTATGTGGTGGACTCCTACAGAGACATGACCTCCGACTCAATGGTGCTTGTCATGCTCATTCGCAACACCATGTCTTTCTGTATCTCGTACGGAATCACTCCATGGTTCATGAACGAGGGCCTCACTCGATGTTTTGCGGAGGCGGCAGGACTGGCATTTGCCTGCTGTGCTACCATGTTCATTTTTGTCCGCTGGGGAAAGAAAATGAGAGAAGTGGGCGCCGAACGGTATTGGAGGATGGTCGAGGAAAAGTAGATTTACTTGGGGTTTGTTAGGAGTTTGTTGAACAAATGTTCCCCTAGGGGGTCAACTTTTTGGTGGTTCAGAGGGGTTTCCAACTCTAGAAATGTGTCAGTTTATAATGAAATACTCCGTTTATGAACTAATATCCAAGTATTCACAATTTTGTCCGAAAACATCCGAAAACGTAACCATTTCCCACCACTTGCCTCAACTAACTCCAATTGGCATTTTACTTAGCCCGCCGATCTACGCACCGCATTTGAGTTTGGGGGTACAGTACACGCGTCAGCTCAACGTCACACACCTGAAACCTCGACATTGTGCACATTCCAGGACCATGCCGCTCTCCCTAACGTCGGTCTTTGTGGCAGGCTGTTGTCTGAAGCTGCTGCTGTTCTCGGCGTACCACTCCACGGACTTTGAGGTCCACCGCAACTGGATGGCCATCACCTACCACCTGCCGGTGCGAGAATGGTACACAAACACCGTCAGCGAGTGGACGCTCGACTATCCGCCCTTCTTTGCATACTTTGAATGGGTGCTGTCGCATCTGTGTCCTGCTAGCGTCGTTGAGGACGGCGCGCTGGACCTGGTGGCCAAGGGCTCCTACGGCATGCCCACCATTGCCTACCAACGCATCACCGTCATTGTGTCGGAGATTCTGCTGTTTGTGGCGTGCCAGTGGTACGTCAACTCGTCGGTGGAGGACCGGCAGAACCTCAACACCAAGGGCAGCCACGCCGGAGTCACCCGAAAGCTGTCGACCATCAAGGAGTCTAAGGAGGAAACAGAAGACGCAGACTCGTCGCTATCGGAACACCCCGAGCTGGCCGCCACAAAAACAAAGCCCACTGCCAAGTTGCGGGCCTTTGCCGTCGCCTCCTCGGTCGTGCTCTCTCCCGGACTGCTCATCATCGACCATATCCACTTTCAGTACAACGGCTTCATGTACGGAATCATGATTGCCAGCATGGTGGCAGCTCGAAACGGCCAGCCGCTCCTCTGCGGAGCGCTGTTTGCCATTTTGCTGTGCTTCAAACATATCTACCTCTACCTGGCGCCGGCCTACTTTGTCTATCTTCTTCGTGTCGTGGTCATCCCCGGAAACTCGTTCAAAAGCCTGAGAATCAACTTCAGAGACACCGTGCTGCTCGGTCTCATTGTTGTGGGCACTTTCACTGTCTGTTTCGGGCCGTTTGTGGCATTTGGACAGCTCGAAAATCTCAAGTCGCGCCTATTCCCCTTCTCCCGAGGACTCACCCACGCCTACTGGGCCCCCAACTTCTGGGCGCTGTACTCGTTTGCAGACAAGGTGGCTGTGACGGTCATGAAGGGCCGAGGAGCCGTCTCTGGAGGCACTAGAGGCATTGTGGGAGACGTTGCGTTCGGTGTGTTGCCCAACGTGTCTCCTTCAACCACGTTCTTCCTCACCCTCTTCTACCAGCTCCTGGGTCTGGGGCCCCTTCTGATGAAACCCACGTACGCGCGATTTGTGGGTGCCATCACCTACTGCGCGTACGCGTCATTCTTGTTTGGATGGCATGTCCATGAGAAGGCCATCTTGATGATCATTATTCCCTTCACGTTTGTGGTGCTACGAGACAAGCGGCTGCTGCTGGTGTTCATCCCCCTGACCATCTCCGGCTACATTTCGCTCTTCCCGCTCATCTACACGTCAGCCGAGTTTATGGTCAAGATTCTGTACACGTTTGCGTGGTTCTGTATGTACTTTTTGTGGTTCAACCACCGGCTGGTGTCGGACCACCGCAACAGCATCACCACGCGCGAGTTTCTGCTTGACCGAGCCTCCTTCTTCTACCAGATGGGATTTGTTCCCGTGGTAGCTCTGTCTGTTATTCTGGACGGACGACCCAATATGGAGTTTCTGGGTCTCATGATCATGTCCGTGTACTCTGCCATAGGCGTGTGTGGCAGTTTTGTCGCCTACTCGTGGTTGTACATGTGTGAGCCCGGAATGTGGCAGTAATACCATGTGCTGAGCGAGTAATTGTGCAGCTCGACGTTTTATACAACGCAAATAATCGCACCATACATCGCAGCCCGGCACCTGCGCTCTGCTTATATACACTAATATATTGGATAGATGATTCAATCAAAATTAACTAGACTAATATAACTTATAATGATGGTAATAAATATGTGGGATGCGCGAGCGGTGAGTATTGAAGCAGTTCTCATGGCCAAAACTACTGGTGTGGGCACTCGGTGACACTGAAGTTACCTCTTCCTCGTCCGCCTCGGTCGAGATGCTTCGGTTCCCTCCTCCTGGGCCTTTTTAGCCTGTTTCGACATCTTGTTCTTTGCACCCAGCTCCTTCTTGCGGGCCTTGCGGTCAGCCCGGATCTTGGCGCACGCGTCGCAGTACCAGTCGCCTCGAGGTGGGTGTTTGAGCCCCACGCACTTCATGTGGAACCACTCCGTTTTGCACTTTGGCGAGTCGCACGCAATCATGCGGCCCTGCGAGCCCTTTCGACACGTGCAAAACACGTCTTCCACGGGCGGTGTAGGGGGTGGCAATCGTCTGTTTGCTGTGGATTTCGCCTCTCCAAGACCTTCCTTGTCCTCCTCTTTAGTATCCTCCTCGACCGCCTCTTCAACCACCTCTTTAATAGGGTTTAGAGGCTTTTCCTTGGAAGAGCTCTGGGACCTTGTTCTTCGGCGTTTTGCGGGAGGAGAAGCGACCACATCATCAGCCACAGGTGGGACTTTTGATTGAGAGGGAACCGTTTCATCTTGAGCTTCAGTGTCCACTTCAGGAGTAGTTTCAACCTCGCCTTCTTCGGTGGCCTCCTCTTCTTCCTCATTTTCTTCTTCCTCCTCATTTTCCTCTTCCTCCTTATTTTCCTCTTCCTCCTTATTTTCCTCTTCCTCCTTATTTTCCTCTTCCTCCTCATTTTCCTCTTCCTCCTCGTGTTCCTGCTTATTCTCCCCACCCACACTCTCCTTCTCCTCCACTTCTACCTCTGACCTCCTTCTCTTCCTTCTCTTGGAGGCCTCCTCGTTGACATTGACAATATCCAACGAGCTGAGCTCATGCAAAATGCGGTTGTCGCGCTTGCGGCGTCGAGAATTCTTGCTGTGCTGCTTCTTGTCCTCGTCGTCTGGAGGCGTTGACGGAATCAGAGGAATAGCTTCTTCCGATGCGGTTGTAGCTGACACATCTGCTGGGGGGGGAGAATTCACAGAAAGAGACGCGGGTATGCTGTCTGGCGGAGACTCGGGTAACGCCTCTGACCGTTTCTCCTTCTTCTTTAGCGACTTGCCGGACTTTTTCTTCTTCGGTGACCGCACTTCCTCCGTGATTGGGGTTTCAGTAACCTGTTCAACTGGTTCTTCAACTGGTTCTTCAACTGGTTCTTCAACTGGTTCTTCAACTGGTTCTTCAACTGGCTCCTCGTCAGCCCCAACACCCTCCACAGGCTCATCCACCTCTTGCACACTTCCGTTGGTCTGTTCCGATTGTGCTGCTGCAGTAGCTGTTTCCTCTGCCTCCTCCAACTCCTGTTCCGACGAGGCTTGCAATTCCTTCTCAACATGTCCCCTGTCATCCTCCTCCAACACTCCATTGGTGTCTCCATTCAAAACCTCCGGTGGAAGTTCAAAGGCAACCTGGGGTATAGCTCCTTGTGTATCCTGTCTTTGTGCGCGTACTCCATGTATGTCGTGGTTGTCCCTTGTGTCGCTCGTGTCCGCCTCTCGGACCACCTGGTCTCCATCTTCTCCACTGGCCAAAACGCGTAAAGCTTGGCGGCCCTTAGCCAATTCGCCCTCAACCAAACGGGCCACGTCAGCAGCTTTCACCGCACTATTGTGCTGCAGCATCGTCAGTTGGTTGTAGATGCTCGATATCTCTCGTCGAACCGACAGTGAAGACAGAGGATACGCGTCGGGGTCGGAGGAGCATTTGGACGTCAAATCTTCCAGCTGCCGCGATAACAGATCGGTGCGGTCTCGAAGCGAGTTCAAAAGAGCCAGCGACCGCACGATGGCCGGCGCATTATTGTTCATTTGCCGCAGATACCGTGTTGTGCTGGTTTGAAGGGGGTTCCACAGTCCTGGGATATTATGACAGCTGGATAAACTTTTCCCGAAAATAAGCTTTTGTGGTGACAATGGTAAATGGGGCAGGTGTTCGGGAACACGAGATGGGGCCAAATGAACGGTGCGGCGATGTCGGGGAGAAATGTACGATTCGAACGGTACCAGAAATGTCAAGTTTCGTCATGTTTAAGAAATAGTCTGAAATTATATTTTGTTCTTTTGGGCGACCTGTGCTTGAAAACCAGAAATAGAGTTCAATAAGTCGGCTTAGTAATCGTCCTGAGAACGGGCAATGTTTAAGGAGAGCAACATTGTAATATTGTATATGAAATGTACAATAGTAAATGTCGATGAGGACATGCATGCATGGACTGGGCGGTTGAACCTTTGATTGTACAGATTATGAGCTGTTAATGAACTTTATTGGGGGAGCTGTATAGCACAGGTTAGGACCTGTATAACTCCTCGTTCGTTACAATTCAGATTATGAGTTAGTTTGCTCGACATTGTGTCATTCGGCGTTGCAGTCTCATGTCCCCCTACAATATCCAACGCCTCCAGATCATACCATATTATGGTTTCGAGGCTAAAGTCATATTGGGCAACCGGCGAGCATATGGGTTAGGGTTCTTTTATTATACGCTAATTGTCATTGGTTGGGAGAAAGGCGGTGGAAATTGGCGTGTTTGAGTGGAGTTGAAAAATAGGGTGGAATGGGTGTAGAGGAAGAGGGTGATGGAGTGGGCAATGGCGGCGGTCGATTCGGGGGCGCAAAGAGGGTTTATATAGATAAATTTGTGGGGACACAAAGACCCACGGCCTCCCCATTTGGCCCCGTTTAAACTCCAAAGACCAATGGCAGCACCCTCTTTGCACGACAACACAAGTCCCAAACCACATTTAGAAATCAGCCAATCACAGGTGCGCTTAATCCTGCTCCCGCATTTTTTACCACCCAAGTACGTTAACTCGGCCTGCTACACTCTTCCATCAAAAGGTTTGTCACCACTTTTGTAACCGATATCCAGGGTGAGTATCGGCAATGGGGGCGCTGGGGCGCTGGGGCGCGGACGACGACTGGAGCCATGTCACCGATCAATTGCCAGTGGGTCCAGGTGGTGTTGGCACTGGTGTTGAGGTGGTCATGTTCTGAGTATTACCGCAAGGAGAGACGAGACAAGTGACACGGAGAGGGAGAAAAGGAAAAGAGGACTGGGACGACAAGGCCAGGTGAAACCACGACTCTGGGCATGTGGCGCGATTCCGTGTCGGTGAGGAGGAGAGATGACGACAAGGATCGATCCCAAAGTGCGACACGCCGACCACAATGTGGGACAGCACACCCAACGCAACTGCAGCAGCAACAAGAGCATCGACATTGCGACCGAGAAACTACATTCGCAGCGAAATGCGACGACGGCGAATTGGCGTGTGGCCCGAGAATCGACGTGTGTCACGTCTGTGGGTCTCATTGTCACCCCGGTCTTGCGTCACTTGCCCCGTCCCAACCAATCAAAACCCGCCCATCAACAATCATCACACACCCATACTAACGCAGATGTTCAAAGCAATCCCCCTTCGACAGGCCCTGCTCGGAATCTCCTCCGCCGTGTGTGCCGGTGCCACCACCACCTACTACTACACAACCAAGGCTGAGGCCATGACCGCCGCTGAGCACGGTCTCCACCCAGCGGAGTACCCCTGGCCCCAGAATGGCATGCTCTCCACCTTTGACCACGCCTCTCTGCGACGAGGCTACCAGGTCTACAAGGAGGTCTGCGCCGCCTGCCACTCTCTGGACCGAATCGCCTGGCGAAACCTCGTGGGCGTGACCCACACCACCGATGAGGCCAAGGCTTTCGCTGAGGAGCTCGAGTACGACGACGAGCCCGATGATGAGGGTAACCCCCGAAAGCGACCCGGAAAGCTCGCCGACTACATTCCCGGCCCCTACCCTAACGAGCAGGCTGCCCGAGCCGCCAACCAGGGAGCTCTTCCCCCGGATCTGTCCCTCATTGCCAAGGCCCGACACGGAGGTGCCGACTACATTTTTGCTCTGCTGACCGGCTACCCCGACGAGCCTCCTGCCGGCGTCGTGCTCGCCCCCGGAATGAACTACAACCCCTACTTCCCCGGAGGAGGCATTGGTATGGCCCGAACTCTGTTCGACGGTGTTGTCGAGTACGAGGACGGCACTCCCGCCACCACCTCCCAGATGGCCAAGGATGTCGCTGCCTTCCTGACCTGGGCTGCCGAGCCTGAGCATGACGAGCGAAAGAAGCTTGGTCTCAAGGCCATCATTGTCATTTCCGCCATGCTTGGACTGTCGGTCTACATCAAGAAGTTCAAGTGGTCCCCCATCAAGAACCGAAAGTTTATCTACAACCCCCCCAAGAACTAGATGCATAGTTAATGAACTAAAACAATTGACACGAAGCAGTCCACGCGTGGGCCGACGAGAAAAAAGCCGTCGGCCTGTGAGTGGGCGTATGAGTTTGAGTACGTTGACGAGGAAGTCATTGAGGAGTCACCGAGGTCACCGAGGAAGCCCAAGACTTTCCAGTGAGCTTAGGATGACGACTGAGCTGTAGCTAGGATTGTAGATTGAGATTGAGTTCTCAGTTGCCAGGATTGTAGATTGGTCTGTAGAGGGCGTGACAGGATGTAAAAGAAAGCGAATGATACCTCGGACTGTACGGGTACACCACAGGCAACAAGTGCGCGTGCTGTAGATAGACCAGGACAGTTGGACTGTGTTGTGATCACTGAATAGCACAGTATTCGTTGGAGTGTTCTTGACTCCATCTGCTGCTTTGTAAGCCGCGACTGGCATGGTGTCTTCTGGTGTCCATCTACTGAGGAAGGACTGGAGGAAGGACTGTGAAGCTAAGTACCCTCGTTGAGTCAGCCAGTGACAAGTTGGACTTGGAGGAAGTGGAACCAACCCCGAGGTTGTATAGCACCATTCACAGCTGGGAGCGCCACCTCCTCCGCTGAGACCAATTGAGAGAATCGTCTGGGTCAGTCGAGGGAGTGGGCATCTCGCGGTTTAAATACCAACTCTAACCCCACACAACATGCACATTGTCATGTACAAAAAAAAAAACATTCATCTTAACCCGAAATTTCATTCCCACCTCTTTTCTCCACCCCCTTTTTCTCCACTGATACCACCAAAACCATGGCGACATTCAGGATCAGCAAATACATCTATCTGCACAAAAACGCGCCGACTCCGCAGGGACTGGCTAGCAGCAGCATTGACCGCGACGCGTCCGAATGGACCAAATACCAAAACTCGCCCCTAGAGCTCTCCATTGATACCACGCCCGCCGGGGGCGCGAAAATTTCCCTCAAATACAAAAACACCTCTTTGGAGCATGTTGACACAGACGAGATTGAGGAGCGGTTCGGATCCACCTACGGAAAGAACAACCCGCCGTTTGTGGCCATTTGTAGACCGCCAGGGATTGGTTTCAAGTACTTGGTGAGGAGATTCCATACCATGGTGAGTGTTCCACGAGTCGGTTACGAATGAGCGACGCAAGTGGTTGTCCACATTACAATATTATTGATACCTTCAACGCCAACGCAGCAATACCCTAACATGATACCCTGAGATATCCTTTTCCAGCTAACCAAGACTTATCGCTTTCAAATCAAATTCGCGTACATGGACGAATACGACCGGGCAGTGGAAATGCTATCAAAGGCGGGAGTGTGTATCAAGGGTAGCCCTCCCAAGTCTACCAGGACTGAAGGTGCCACCCTGACCTCCTTCAAAAACTTCAACCCAGAGTCTCAGTGGAACGGAGAAGATGATGATGGCGACCTCACCCAGATTGATCCCTTTCTCCAGTCTCAAACCCTCTCTCCCACCCAACCTCCTGGTCCAGCTACTGAGCCTCCAGTTATGAGCCAGACTTTTGTTGATCCCCCCAGTTCGTCGCAAGCATCTCCCCCATACCAATTCAAGCACTCTCGGTCTGCGAGGCTAGCACCATCGTCGTCGCAGTCCTATCTGCCGGTGAAGCCAACCCCATTGTCGCAGCCAAGGAGATTCTCTGAGACTTCTACGTGGAAACGCACCGTTGACGATATGCCTTCTTTGGGGGCTTCTCCTGTCAGCTCGCCCCCCAACTCTCCGAAAAGAGCCAAGTCGTGGAAGAAGCACTTTACCCCTGCAGATACAGACGTTCGGAGCGGGAATGGGATGGTCAGCAGAGGAACACAGACCGAGGACCCCGAATGGCTGACTGACACGCAAGCTATGGAGAACCACATTGTGGATGTGGTCCAAAATCCTTTGTTCGACGCATATGTTGCACGCATCAAGGAGTTGATGAAAGGCGACCAATTCGAGAAGGACGGATTCTGAGAGAAGGGGGATGTGTATATTAGTTGTAATAAAAGTATTGTGATGTAGTCTTTTGGTTTTTTTCACGATATAGTCCAGTTTAGACTGTTGTCATCTACCTGGTCAAAGGAATAGTGAACAAGTATAGAAATATAGAAATGAGAGGCCGTTTTCTCAATTTCATGAGCTCTAGAAACCCGTCCATATCTTCCAATTGATAGCTTTCAACTACAGTACCGTATGTACTTGGGTTCTGTTAATACCAACTACGATTTCCACTATAGTCGCATCTACCTGTCTCCAATATTGATATAGCAATTGATAGAAAAGAGCCACCAGTCGGTTCTATAGAGGCTTTCTTATTCGATTGGCATTGTTTGTACGACTAATAGTCATTATATTATCCTTCTCTGAATCGGCGATGGTGTGGCCTTCTACATAGCATGTAGTATATACAAGAGTGTAGAGTAACATACAATTCATTAATTAAATGAAAAACAAGTCTTATCATACCATTGGTAGACAGTACTAGACAAGAGATGACTTTGCATGGACGGTCTTTCTTGCCTTATGCTAATTGTGACCATGCCAGACAGAGGACTTTCACTTGAGTGATTGCGCGTGGGCAATTGAGTCACGTCCCACTGTGTTTAGTGCCCCCATCATATCCCATCATATCAGATGCTCGGTGCTGTTGTATCGCCTGTCCATTGTGTCACGTGTTATGGTGTCGTATGCTTCTTATCACGTCCCTCTTTCCGACTATCTAGCAAAACCCGGAATGGAGACCGGCTCGTCATCGGTCACCTCGGGCTGGGCAGTGTTGAAATGCTGAGTAGACACGTGCTCGACACGAGCCATGCCGGCCCGGCTGGTGGCATTGTTGACTCCGGGCAGCGTCTTGACTGAGACGCCTTCCTCCTTGGGTTCGTAGTACTTGTCTCTGAAGGAGGTGGGGTCTCCGGGCCGAGGTCGTGCCCAGAAACGAGTCATTCGGTCGAGACCTCCCGAACAAAGCACGTGGCCTTCGGGGTGGTAGTCCAAAGTAGAAACGCAGTAGTCGTGGGCCGAGGGGATGGTGTTAACAGGCAGAATTCCCGAGTCCGGTCCATACGCTCCTCCGGCGGGAGTTGTGTCGACGTTGAAGGTGTAGATGGAGCCTGTTTTGGTGCCCGAGGTGACCACGTTGGCGTGTGTGGGGTGCCATGTGAGCGAAAACACGTCCGAATCGTGCCCTCGAAGCACGGCCATGGACCGATCTCCTCTGGTGGGCATGTCTGTTCCTGCTGTTGGTCCTGCTTCCGACGAGCCCGAGTTGAGCATTCTCAGATCGAGAATTCGGCATGTTCGGTCCCGGCATCCTGCAGCCAGAAGCCGTTTGGTACCAGTGGGCTGGAAGGTGGTTTTCATGACGGTGTTTTTGAAGCCGTGGAAAGTGTTGACGTTTTTGGCGGATCGAGGGTCCCACAGCTTGATGAGGTTGTCTTTCGATCCAGACACAATGAGGCCCAGCTCCGAGTGCCAATCGACCGACTTGACGTCCCAGCCGTGGCCCTTGAGCACCGACTCGGCGTTACTGCTCTCGTGGAAGTCCCAGATCTTGAGCAGACCGTCGTCCGATCCGGTGACAAACTTGTGGTCACTGGGCGCAAACGCCAGCTCTCTGATCGACTCACGGTGGGCCTTGTCGATCACGTTAACACAGTTGAGCGATGGCTGCCAGAACTTGACGTTGCCTTCATGGTCTCCAGACAAGAGCCATTCTCCAGAGTGCGAGTACTTGAGCGATCGAACTCCGCTCTCGTGCGCCTGCATGATTGACTCGAAATTGAACGTCATACCGTTCCACAGCGTGAACTCGCCGGACATGGAGCCTGTGAGGAGTCGTCGTCCATCAGGCGTCCAGGTGGCTGAGTACACCGGGTGCCGCACTTTGTTGAGAGCCACCTGGATGAACTTGGCCGGAGTGGCCGCCACGGACGTAATGTGCGGGTTGGTCGACCGCAGCGACCCGTTGATGTTGGTGTAGGCCGACGGAGGCAGCAGATCGACGATATACGACTGTTCCGATCGCATGTTGGCCGGTTGGATCGTGCGCCCACTCAGCCGGTCCAAATGCCACTTGCCGAACGCCGAGCCATGGTCAACGGTCCGTCTGTGCGCAGGTCGTCGATCTTCCTCGCCCTGCGGCTGCTGGCGCGGCTGGTACCCTGCTGGTCGCTGATAGGTGCTGTACATGGTGATCGTGACAATGAACTGAGTAAGTTGTGGTGCATAAAACGGTGCATAAAAAAATCCTGAGAAAATGTGAACAGATATTGGAATGGTACGGCGATGGAGAGGCCCAGAATCGGATGACATGTGTCTCGTGTGTCTTTTCGGCATATGTCATGTCAACTTTTCGGGCTTACTAATTCCGTTTAAATACTCAATCATTCACCTCTTGCACCTCTTAATCTGCATACTTATAGACTCGACATATGGCAGATATCTCGACAAAGCAAACGAACCGCCTGGAATCGCTCCAAATTTCCCGTATTTTTACTCGTAAAAATCCCGACCACAAAATATCCACTCCAGTATCCTCATTATTCCAAAAAATCGGCCACGGTCCCTTTCGAGACCAAAAAAGAACCTCCGATACCGGGAATCGAACCCGGGTTCTCCGCGTGAAAGGCGGAAGTGATAACCCCTACACTATATCGGATTTATGCGATGTAAGATCCGATCGTCTCTTATCTGCGGAATAGTTCTCAGTCGGTAGATTGTCGCTGTCTAATCTAACCGTTGCTCGCTGTCTGTAATACGTTCACAGGCTGGTGATAACTTGTCTTCTTAATCATACATAAATGTCCTTCTTATACTCCCATCCTCCGGGTGCGTCCCAGGTGGGAACAACAGTCACCCTTGCACGTGACCGGCACCGTCCCAAGCCCTTAGTAAGCGACTTGGTCCTTACATGCGATTTTCCAGATTCTGAGAGAGGGGCTCAGACGTCCGCTGACTCAGCGCGGCAAAACCTTGTGCACCAAATCTGCATGTTCCATCATCTGGTGCCAACATCCATCATCGGTTGTCTGGATCTTCAAACACACGCCATGTTCAAGAAATTCTCTCACGAAAACATCAACTCCAAGGCCAACGTCAAGTCGTCGTCGCAGCGGGCTCTCAAGGCCAAGCTCGTGGCGCAATTCCCCGATATGGAGCCTGTTGTCGACCAGATTATCCCCAAAAAGGCCCAGCTGGTCCACGTCAAGTGCCAGGACCGGATTTCTCTGTACACCATCGACGGTAAAGTCATGTTTTTCCAGCACTTTGACGACGAGCTGGTCCCCTCGCTACACCTGGTCCACCAGTTCCCCCAGTACTTCCCCTCGATAAAGACAGATCGAGGCGCCATCAAGTTTGTGCTCTCTGGCGCAAACATCATGTGCCGAGGCCTCACATCCAAGGGCGCAGAGCTGCCCGACGAGCCCATGGAGAAGGACCAAATTGTGATTGTCAACGCCGAGGGCAAGGAGCACGCGCTGGCGGTGGGCAAGCTGACCATGTCCACCAAGGAGATTGAGGAGGTCAACAACGGCATTGGAGTGGAACTTTTGCATTATCTGGGCGACGGTCTGTGGTCTCACCATGAGTAGATTGGGAACTTAGGGGACGAGGTTGATATCGAGTGACAAAACTTGTTGGTGTGGACACCGCAGCAAAACTCGTTGGTACTGTACGGGCACCAGCAACAAAATACTTATTACATTTATTCGCACTGTTAACCATTCGAGACGTATACCGATATATTTGGACGCTGTACAGTATGTGTTAGTTATAGGGCGACGTCGCATACTAATCACTGAATTAAAACGTCAACCTTTGTAGAATCCGTGACTCCGTAGAAATCCAACGTCTTGAGCTCGTCATACACCTCAATATCGTCAATGACAATGGTGCAGGAATGCAGAGGCGAAAAACCCTTGTTTCTTAGCACGCCAAACTTCATCTTTTGCACAGAGCTGTGTTTGTTGAGTCTCTGGGTCGTCGTACTCGTTCCACGGTCGACACGAGTGGTATACGTGACCTTCACAAACGCCTGACGGGCAGTAGGAAAGTTTTCAGTCACCCTGGGAGTTGCGTGGGCCTGTGAAATGCCCAGCGACGCTACCAGAGCGTCGAAATGGGTCTTGTTAGCCCCCTTGTCTCGTGGGTAGTCAATCTTGCCTTGTATGACCGAGTTGACAAAGTAGATGAGACTGTCCGAGCGTTCCTGGTCGGCCACAAACCGGCCATTGAGCGTACTCAGCTTCTTGTGCCATCGCGCAATGATCTGCGAGTCGATAGGCGACACAGAAAGATTGTTTGTGGAAAAGTCTTCTTTGGTGAACGGGTTGTCGTTGATCCGTAGGGATGTCAAGGACGGATAAATAATGCATAGCTGATCGAAATCGGACCACTGAAGGGTGTTGTAGGACACATCGAGCTCTGTGAGGGAGTCTGAACGGGGTAGAGTCTCCGCAGTCACGTTCTCCAACCTGTTCTGAGACAGGTTCAAGGACGTCAAAGAAGGGGGGAAGTGGAAGTGTGAGAGGTCATGCAGATTGTTGTAAGACAGATCGAGAAACTGCAGACGGGTATCCCGCAAATCGATCGACTTGATGGTCTTGTTATGGGCCAAAACCAGATGAGTGAGGTTAGGGAAGTGTTTGATGATTAGCAGTACTTCCTTCTCAGACAGCAAGGTGTTGGTCAATGACAAAGAGGTAAGAGAGGGAAACAATGAGTTCGGAGTACCTTCAGCATCCACTCTGAATCTGTTTCCGTTCAAAGACATCCACTCGACATGGGGTGTTGTCTGGAGACATTGGAGCACCGTTTCGAACGATGTAAAGAGATTGAAGGACAGATCAAGATGCACCACGCGAGCCAGAGGCAGACTATCAGTTTCATGGGCCTCTGAAACGCCCTTGTTGGCCAGATTTATGCTCGTCAGATTCTCCAGACCCTTGTTATCGAACCCCAACACCTGGCTCATTTTCGTACCAATCTTGATCTCGTCCACTCGTGATTCCGACGCGTATCGCTCAACCACAGCCTCCACAAACGATGTGCCATAGCGGACCTGCTTTTTGGCCAACGACGCACTTTTCAGGAACGATCCGGCTCCCAGTTGGGTGCATTCGAACAGTTGTGTACCCTTGACTGATCCGTTGTTTTTGCCGCGAGCTGGATCGTCCCACTCCACGCCGATCGCTTCTTCGTCGGGCCACACGGGCACGTCGGTTCCCACGTACCGTACTGTGCAATTGTTTCCATCTATCGACAGCCGTTGGTTGAGCATGTTGGTGTTTCTCATGTATGTCTGGGGTTAAGTTTTGTGGGGTGTTAGAGATGGATATCGAGACAAGGCTATGGTGGTACTGTAACTGTGACAAGTACTTGGATTTTCCCCAGCAAATTGAGAAGTCGTGATCTGATTATTAGTTTTTGTGTTTTTTTTTGAGAAGTACAATGCCATTTTTTGACATTCTGGCTTCCCATACTGGGCTCAATTATCAGCCCACTGATACTTGAAGATTCAAGTACGATACTTGAGGTGAGTCTATCAATACTTTGAAAAATTAAATATAAAAAAAACGTCTCAAAATAAGTACAGGAAATGTTGTGTCCCGATTTTCAGGATTTTCTCAGCTTTCTCTACGAGACAAGTACCCGTAGACACGGTATATTGTGTGATTTATTCGTAGCAAATTCGATTTATTCGTAGCAAATTCGAGTCATTTGATTTATTCGTAGCAAAGTCGACTTCTTCGTTTTATTCGTAGCAAATTCGACTTATTCGTTTTATTCGTATTTTCGACTCTGGTCGTCATTTCTTTTTTCCGGTTGCAACACTAAATATCTTCACCGCTGTAAACCGGTAGAGCTGTTAGCACCCGATGAGCCGACCGAACCGCCGCGGCCCCATCACTCTTTTAGCCCCAAAATTAATCACAAAAAGGACCCCAAAAATTCCCCAAGAAGCCGCCCTTATTTCCCGTGACCAGAGCCGTCCAACCATCGCCACAATTGCCCCATTGACACGGCCGATTAGGTTCAAGCACGCGCACTATTTTTCAAGACAGATCTGTGGGAATACTGTACGAATCTAGATGGAGACACGTCAAGCGATCGTAATAATAGCGACAGTGCTTACTCATCTGGTGTGTCAGGTGAGAGCGGGCGATTTGGGGCCAACAAACACGCGCCAGAGACACAAACAGCCCCGGCTGCCTATATATAGTTCCTCTGTCCCACCCACCAAATGTCTCTTCTTTCTGGGTCTCTGTTGCGGCCCCCCTTACCCCTGGATTGACCACCACACACACAACGTGCAACCTTAATAAATACACGTTCCATCGAGACCAAGGTGCAACCATTTTTAGATCACCACCGCACTACAGCATCGCCATTAGACCCCCAGCACAATCACATACGCAAAAGGGGTGCAACGACAAGCACAGCAAGCACAGACCCCGACACAGACAGACACATTCGGCGATTACACCAACAGGTCCGCATCGTACAGTACAGTACAACACATCGCAGATACACCACAGATACAAGACAGATACAGCCCAATCTACAGACACAGCTACCAACACACATAGACACTCGCCATGTCCTTCTTCAACTCTTTCAGGTGAGTATGAACAAACGCCGCCACGGTGACCTCTTCTAACACAGCCGAGGATTCGGACGAAGCTCCAAGAAATCCAAACCACAGCAGACACAGGCCAACCAGCTGCAGGCGTCGGCGTCGTCGCTGTCAGTGTCGTCGTCGTCATCTCTCTCTAGCATAAGCCGGGCCACCAGCTACACAAACAACTCCAATTCCAACACGGTGGCAAGCTCCAACAATGGCGGCAAGGTGCAGCAGAAGCCGCTGTTCATGTGCCAGCCGTTTGTGCGCCAAGCGCTGGTCACCGGCAACTTCAAGACCATTGTGCAGCAGCCCAACTATGTCGACACCAACGAGTGGCTGGCGCTTTACGCACATGAGTTCTTCGCACTACTCAACTCCTTCTACGACGCCATCTCCGAGTTTGTGACCCCACAGGCCTGTCCCACCATGAACGCCGGTCCCGGCGTGGACTATCTGTGGATAGACGCATCCAAGAAGGCGGTGCGACTGCCAGCAGCCACTTACATTGATTACACGTTTTCGTGGATCACGTCCAAACTCGAAGACAAGACCATTTTCCCCACAAAGGTGGGGGTGCCGTTCCCGCCGCATTTCATCAGCATTCTCAAAAACATTTTCCGCCAAATGTTCCGTGTCTTTGCACACATTTACCACAACCACTTTGACAAAATGTGCCATCTGGGCATCCAGAGCCACTGGAACTCTCTGTTTACCCACTTTATCGGGTTTGTCATCAACTTTGATCTGATTGATGAGAAGGAACGTGAGCCTCTGCAGCCTTTGATTGACTCACTCGAGGCCCAGGGCATGTTTTTGTAAGCATCGATATAGAAAACCGTCGACTGACACAGAGCCAACGCACGACTTTTGAGTGTTGTAGAGTAGAAAAATTGTGCACTACAGCATTCATACTCGTACCCGGACATGCGCATGATTCACCCGTGTCCATTCATGTCACTCGTACTCATACCTAGCCTACTGTAGTGAATCGGACCGAAGCCCGGAGTAACCCTACTTGTAGATACGGCACACCAAAGACTGTAGCCAGTGCCATATTTCATCGGTTGGATTGGATCGGTTGATCTCAAAGTCTGCATGTCAATGGACGACAAGATAGGTGCTACAGTACAAGTGTAGACAGTCGTTCAGTGTCCGTGAACGGTATGGAGTCCTATGGAAGCGATCTCAGTGCTCGATTCTCGTATTGTATCGTATCTGTCGACACTGACGGGTGTGTGGCTTCGGGGACTGTCAACGGCTCCTTTCTGCTGATATTATCCGATATAAGACATGCAAACTCTGGCTACTCGTTTATCGAGCGCATTCACCAGTGTGGTATAGCCCAAGAGGTACAAGTACTTGTTTTTTTATATTTTTTTTTATTTTTATTCTACGGCAAAATGGTGTCCTACAACCGTTATCAGAACCTACGGTACAGTACGTCCATGGCTATACGGGGAGACTAGTGCAAGGGATACAGTGGTGCTAGTGAGGGCTGAAAAACAGTTTGGGCTCGGGTTTGGGCTGTATTGCGGTTTTCCGAGACAGCAAGTGGACAGTCTCGGACACTTTGATGGCAAAGATCGGCCAATTGGTCTCAAGATTTCGAATCGGCGGCTCCAAACAGGTATCACTGGATGCTGTGGCATATCAAGCACGCTTCACAGAGGCCTGATTATACTGTAGCTCCGGTGCTGAGGTTCATTGGGTCAGGCTCCAGTTAGCACCAATGTTAAAGCTCTTATTTCACACGACTGATCTTTCCCGTCTGGGCTCTGCGGCGCGTCTCTCGACTGCAAAGCGTGTCTGGTCCTTGGCCATGTCTACATAGTACGAGTGCCAGTGAACGGTGTTGATACCATTGTGTTCATCCTTGCTACAGTCCCGAGCCACATCTGGCGTGACGTCAATGAGCGTCTCCAGACAAGGATCAGGAGGGTCCAGGAGCGGTGATATGGCGGGATAGTGGACGACTGTCGGTGTACTTGTCCTCCTTGTCTGTACTATTCCGTGGAGAGCACGTGCGGATATGGGTCGTATTCGGCTATGTGGGCTCTTTTGGCCGTTATTTTGTCTCCAGTTTTGCCCCACTCTAGTAATTAAGCGACATAATTTTATACAAAAGCCCCCACTTTTTTTTCTTTTCTTTTTTTTCTTTTCTTCAAAAAATGTTGCTTTAGGTTCAGCTGGTGAATAACCATTTAAATTGCCAAAAGCTGCAGACGGAGATCAGAGAAAGAGAAAGCAGGACCCAGCACCCCCGACTTGACCACGCGCAACCCCTTTTTGTTTGAAAATGTCGGCTTTCGTGTACATGGACTTTGCTGTGGGCGGCGAGCCGGTTGGCCGGGTCGTCTTCGAGCTGTTTGACGACACACCGCTCACCTCGGCCAACTTCCGGGCGCTGTGCAAGGGAGACAAGCCCACCCCCGAGGGCTCGGTGCCCCTCACGTTCAAGGACAGCAATATCCATCGCATTGTGCGAAACTTTGCCATCCAGGGAGGCGACATTGTCTACGGCGACGGGACCGGAGGAACCTCCATCTACGGCGACCAGTTTGACGATGAGAACTTTGTGCACAACCACGCCGAGCCGTTTGTGCTGAGTATGGCCAACGCGGGCCCCAACTCCAACAAGAGCCAGTTTTTCGTCACTCTCAAGGGCTCGCCGCATCTCGACGGCAAGCATGTGGCCTTTGGCAAGGTGGTGGCCGGCAAAAGTGTGCTTCGACAGCTGGAGGAGCTGGACACGGCCCCCGGAGACGTTCCCGTGCTGCCCGTTACCATCACCAACTGCGGGGAGCTGAAACGAGACGCAAAGCTGCTCTTGCCCTTCATCGGCTCCCAGGACGGACTCACAGCCGACAAGTACGAAGAGCACCCGGACGACAACTTCAATGTGGGCAAGGAGGAGGGCGAACTCAACTTTGACGACCCCGAGCAGGCCCTCAGAGTGACCCTGGAGATCAAGGCGTACGCCACCGAGGTGTACAAGATGGCTGGAGACGCCGAGAGCGAGGAGGAGAGGGCCATGGTGCTGCGAGTGGCTCTGCAAAAGTACAAAAAGGCCCTGAGATATGTGTTTGAGCTGTCGCCGGACCCGGACAGCAGCAAAAAGGCTTACGACGAGTTCCAAAAGGCCAAACTGGCGCTGAATCAAAACATGGGTCTGGTGGCTCTGCAGCTGAAAAAGTACGATCAGGTCATCAACTCCACCACCTCGGCCCTGGAAATGGAGTGTGCCACCTCCAGGGACAGGGCCAAGGCTCTTTCGCGACGATCTTCGGCATACCAGGGACTCAAGAAGCAGGAGCGGGCCATCAATGATCTGGAACAGGCCCACGAGCTGTTGCCGAGCGATCCCCAAATCTCCAAGAGTCTGACGGCTCTCAAGCAGGAGAGTGAAATGAAGGAAAAGAAGCAGAAGGCTCAGTACGCAAAGTTCTTCAGTTGAGTGGAGTGATGGGTCACGGGAAGGAAAAAATGGACCACAGGGCAAGTACATATGGAATCTACAAGTATATATTGTAAGGAGCTACTGTACGGCGAGTACGACTGCGGGTATTGTACCGGTATCGTACTTGTACATGTTCAATGTGTGTAGGACTATCAATTCGGCAGTGTACAAGTAGTTTCGCTTGAAGAATTACAAGTTTTCTTTTTTACTCTGAATTAATTGGAATATATACCAAATTTGAGAAAATCAGGAAAATCAGGAAAATCAGGCAAATCGACAAAAATCAGAAAAAATCAGAAAAAAACATCAGGAAAAATATACAAACACACCAGGAGAAAAAACAAGACAAAAAAGTACAACACACACCTAAACATCCCCTTAAACCAACCCGATTCACCTGTGTGATGGCGTACACTCGCTACTTTATAGTCTTGTCCCAAAATAAAGTTCAGGCCATTAGTGGTATGCACAATATTTTTTTTTGAAAATAACGGTACTCACAAAACACTTAACAGCATATACAAAACGACCATGAGTTCCGACGAAGACGTGTCTGACCTGTTCTTCATGGACACAGAGGCCAGTGCGCCTGCATACACCGTTTTAGAAGACTCGGACACGGAAAAACCCAGCAAAACCCCCGTGGAGGCGTTCCAGTCCGTGGGGGTGGACGACGTGGATGATGGGGAAGATCAGCTCATTGAAATGAGAGGCGAGGGCCGGTATTTCGGTAAGGAGGAGGAGCAAGGGCCCACGTGTCGGACGTGTCACAAGCGAGGCCACATTTCGGCGGACTGCAAGGTGATGCGATGTTTCACCTGTGGAGCTCTGGAGGACCATGATACCGCCGACTGCACCATGTTACGCAAATGCTCCAACTGTGGCGAGTCGGGCCATCTACGAGCCGAGTGCACACAAAGCAAGCGCACGATTTTCTGCTGGCGGTGCGATTCACGCATCCACACCGAGGACAAGTGCCATTTGATCTGGCGAGACTATGTCAAGGACCGACGGGGCCCCCACGGCACCAACTGCGTCTTTTGCTACCATTGCGGCGGTCAGGGACATTACGGTGACGAGTGCACAGATACCCGCAACATGACGTTGCGATTCAAGGAGCCGTCGGCGTTTTCCGGCGGCAATTTGCCCAGAAAGGGCCGCTATGATATCCAGAAACGGTACTTTGACGATCTGGAGCGGGAGAAGAACAGGGGACACAACAGCTACGGCGGCAGTTACGGCGGCAGTTACGGCAACAGCTATAACAATCAAGGTAGCCGAGGGAATGAGGGCCAGAACAGCGGGTTTGGTGGTGGACGAGATGCGCGAAGGGAGAAACGGGAGCGGGAACGACAGGAGAGCAAAAAGCGACGCAAGGCCGAAAAGCGAGGTGGAGGACAGGGTGGAGGGTTGCCACGTCCACAGTCGTCGGGATACATTCCGCCCAAGTCGCAGTACGGTCCTGTGGCCAAGAATGACTACAGTTTCCAGCCCAAGCTGAAGCAGGACCACGACCATTCGGACATGTTTAACCGCAACCGGATGGATATGCCCCAGCCCACTAGATCGGGGCATTACAGCAAGTAGTATTTATTGAGAGAGGGATAGATAATGTATTTTTATTGGATGTGAGTACAAGTAGAGCAGTAATTCTGTCAATACGACTAGGAGCAAAAAGTAGGTCAATCAACACAGATATACGTGCTGATTGTAATGATTTAATACTATTCGTCGAACAATTTCTTTATTTTAAAATGTTCATTTTAATTCATTTTTTAATTCATTTTTTTGTCCAATTTTCCAATTTTTTGTTCAATTTTCCAATTTTTTGTTCAATTTTCCAATTTTTTGTTCAATTTTCCAATTTTTTTTTTTCAATTTTTCAATTTTTTGTTCAATTTTCCATCTTATTCCTTGTCCTCAATCAAAGTTTGGATAAGCGACATTATTATGCACGGGCCGCAGACATGTCAAATGATGCCTTGAAAATCGGAGACATGTCCAACAACTGGTACAACCAAGCTCAGCAGAAAATGGCCATCATCGCCCTTCCACCACCGTCGTCTTCGGACGGCGAGGACAGCAAAGTTGTGCAGGAAAAAGTGAGCGTAGCCAACCGCAATGGAGCCGGAATCACCAACGCCGCAATCTTGTTTTTTCCGTCCGATTTCAACAAGACCAACAAGTACACCGCCATAATCATTGCGCATCCCGCCGGAGGCGTCAAGGAGCAGTGTGCCAGCGTGTATGGACGCAAATTGGCCCGAGCCAAGGGGTTTGTGACCGTGGTGTTCGACTCCTCGTACAACGGAGGCAGCACGGGGTCTCCACGGCATCTGGAGGACCCCTATGTTCGTGTGGAAGACGTGTCAGCGGTGGTTGATTATCTGACCACCGTGGACTACGTGGACAAGATCTGTGCTCTGGGCATCTGCACGGCTGGAGGCTACGTCATCAACGCCGCCATGAACGACCATCGAATCAAGGCGGTAGGAGCGGTCAACTGTGTGAATATCGGACAGATGTTTAGAGAGGGATGGGAAGGAGGACGCAAAGACATTGCCCCACATCTGCTGGAGGAAGGAGCCGAGGCCCGCACCGAAGAAGCCAATCACGGAGCCATTCTCATCATGGATTGGTCCCCCGAGACAAAGAACTCGTCGGACACTAAAGAGCAGCAGGACGCATACGAGTACTATCGAACTCTTCGGGGAGCCCATCCGGATGCACCCAGCAAGTTCACTGGACGCAGTTTAACCCAGCTGGCCACCTACGACGCCTTTCATCTCGCAAAAGAGTTTTTGACCCAGCCTACAATGCTGATTGTGGGCACTGAAGCCACCACCAAATGGTACAGTCAGCAGCTGTTGGACCAGGTTGGAGACGATCTCGTCAGTTTGTTCACCATTCGGGATGCTTCTCACTTTGATCTTTACGACAAGGACAAGTATGTGGACGAGGCGGTTGACAAGCTCGGAGTCTTTTTCAAATACAATGTCTAAGACTTGAAATAGATAACCAATAGATTCGAGGCGTTGGTACAGAACTCTGATAACCCTCTCCGACGCTGCGATTGTGCATAAAGACGGATTTTAATAGAGACGGATTTGCACACGATGGTGCACGTCGGCGTTCAGTATGACGATGGTAGTGGATGCTATCTACGGGAGTATCCTCCGTCACAGAACTCCGACCACCAAAATGTATATACACCTATATTCACAAGGAAAAGTCCGGAAATGTCCATTGCTACTCCGAAGTAACCCCACCATTTGCTCTGATTCACACTTTATCCACTCTACCATCGTATCCTGCAGATAATATCTCCCGGCCATATCAAACCTTGAGGTACAGTCAGACGGGTGAGAGGACGTCGAGAATGATCGGGTGGGTGCGTCAGGTCTCTTTTCAATCTCTTTTCAATCTCTTTTCAATCTCCTTTCAATCTCTTTTCGTTCTTTTCTGTCTTTCAACCCGCGTAGTTCGTTCCGATTCAGTAGCTAAGCCTTCTGCCAAGATCTGCCAAGACGGATCCCGCGTTATCGCCGTTATCGAGGTTTCCGACGCTGATTGAGTTTAGTCAAGGTGGAGATGGGTGATCGACGGAAACTCGTCCGATCAGGGTTTGTCTCGGGGAAAGGTGGGCAGTTGGGCAAGCACATATATAAGGGGGTGAATGGGGGCCAGTATGTCTCTCTTCTGTATCACTCAAACATGCAACTTCTTCCCCTTCTTCTCGCTACACTCGTCTCGGCCGAGCACTTCACCGTGACTCTGCTGGACCAGACCCACTCTGCTCTTTCCAAGCATGCCGAGAGCAACAAGTGGAACGCCAAGAAGCTCGGTTTCTCCAAGCACCTGGCCGTGGCTCTGGTGGACCATATTGACCACGATATCAACTATCTTTACGGCGAGACCAAGAAGTTTTCCATTGCTGGCGGCAACTCGCTGGCCAACTATCTGGACGTTTCGTCCGGCTCCACCGGCGAGAACGAGCCCATTCTGATTGTAGTCAACAGCCATGAGACCCCCGAGTTTGACGACGAGGCCATCTACCACGCTCGAACTCTTCGGGAGTCCGTCACCCCTGAAATGCGAGGCCAGAAGCTTGCCAGCGTCGTTCGAGAGATCATGGGAATCGCCTCTCGAAGTGCCCGGGATCTGGAGAAGAGAAACGCTCCCGCCGGCGGAGGATTCTGCAACCATCCCAACTGTCCCGTCTTCTGTCCCGGATGTCTCATTGAAGATCTCGGGGAGGGACATGAGACTGAAGAGAATGTTGAGACTGATGAGTCTCCCGACCAGGAGTAGGACTTTTTGCTTGACAGGCTGGCCCTGGTAGAGTCAAAGTACTTTATCTATTTTATTCGTTGATGATGTATCTAGGGTAGTACAAGTAGAACGGAGCACCCGCTTTTGTAGTATCGACTATGTGCAGCCAGCCCAGTACAGTACAGTAGTGTCAAGAGACGGCGAAGAGCTGGAGAGAGAGGCAGTAATTATATTTAGTTGATAGTTCGTGATGAAAGTACAAGTAAAATACATACATTAGGGATAGTCCGATAGGGGAGCGATTATGAAGAAGATACACTTGTCATAAGTGCTCTCATTGCCGAACCTCGGATGGTTAACCAACTGTGCGGTCTTACATAGTAATGTATGGATTGAAGAGCGGTTCTTAGAGCCATTTCACGGACTTGATGAACATTCATAGAACCAAAGCTCTGTTCATACTGTAGTATACTGTAGAGTAGAGTAATGTCTTTATCTAGTCGAGAAGTAATCAGACGGATATCCATTATCGGAACTGAGTCGTATAGATAAGACAATGCTACCACGAACTGAATGATGAAAAGTTTCAAGCTTCAGCAAACTACCGTCCTCTTGGTCTCATGTTGCGGAATTAATTGCACCTTTTGTAGGTGTACGATACTTGTAGTTGCGAATACGGTATTGTACGGAATTGTTATGACTCAACTAAATTCCATCAATTTAATTGACTTTATGAATTATTTAGTTAGATTACCCATCTGCTCCAAGTACGCTAACTATACAAGAGGACCAGTTCATAGTGACAAAACATGTTTGTCGATCCAACCGTCAATTAAATGGTCACACAATGGCCAATCAAATGGTCAATACAACAGTCTCCAACGGCCTACAAATTCTCATCGCCGGAGTCCGAAAGACAATTATTAACCTATCAAACAAAGATGGCACTAATTAACCAAGCCGTCAAAACCCACACTATCGGAGACCGAAGATTTAGATCTGGGGCCACCCGGTCATGTGATTGAATCATTACGTGAAATATAATCCCCAGATCACGTGATACAGACACTAGGTCACGCGTTCGAGCCATTACGTCACGCGATCGAGTCATTACGTCACGTGACCGATCCACTCGCTCACTTTTGATCGCACAAGACTCTTACATCCTCGGTTACCCAAGTGCATCTACAAATCAGTACTAACCCGTCAGACGACTAGTGTAGCTATAAATACCCCGGCTGTCGCCCGAAAAAGGACCAAACCACTCGGACACAAAAATGGGAACGCATCCGGAAGTCGCCGACTGGCTCGAAAAGTACCCGGAGCCCAAAGGAACGGCTCCACTGGCCTCCAAGGAGCAGGTTCGCCAGTGGCTATTGCTAGATGACAACAAGACCCAGATTCTGGATCTTCGAAAACACGATTTTCAGGGCGGCAACATCAGGGGCGCTCTGTGTGCCCACTACACTGGCGTTTACAGCTCTGTGGAGGATATCTGGCGGCTGCTAAAGGGTGCAGGAAAGACCAGAATCGTGGTGCATTGCTGGTCGTCTCGAAAGAGGGCGGTCAAGACTGCCGGTTGGTTCTATGACAGTTTGGTGGCCCACAATGAGAAGGATATTGAAGTCTATGTGCTTGAGGGAGGCATCAAGGGCTGGGTTGACGGTGGTAAGCAGTACACTGATCTGATGGTTGAGTTTGACCCTAGTGGTTTTAGTTGAACCGAGGTTGTACGAGATGAATATACTGCTGATATACGACCTCCTATTGTGTACTCAATCGAGGCAACATTGCGAAATCGGGTGTCGGTACTTTACTGTAGTCGATTGTCCGTAGACATGGACTGTGACAGGCAGGGACACGAGATCCAACCAGATGTCCGAGTCTCAAGAGCAGCTCCAAGCATCCATTGGGATCAGAATGCTTCAGAAAGGGGACACCAAGTTGATATGGCAGTCAAATATGAACTTCAAACCGACTATGTTGGCACGAAGGTCACCGATACGAGCTTTTAGAACGCATCTTCTAGGTGTCGATTACTGAGCCGGTAGATTTCGGTATGATAACCATTGAGACGAACCGGTAAACCAAAAAATAAAAGAAAAAATGATATATTAACTTGTTAAGCAGCTTCAATTCTGTCCCGTCAAAATCAGGTCCATATTCACCGAGTTTGAACCCATCTATCATGTTATCTCATTGTCAACTAATGTTCCAACTAAACAATATATCCTTTCAACTATATTCAACTAACCCATTCCCTCAACATAAACCGCTTTCCCTAGAACTTCTTCCTATTCAAACACAAGTATTAAACCCCATAATTATCACGTGACTCATCTACTGACTCGCTTTTCTCCATAATCTCTTCTCTTTGGTCCTGATATCGGCTGAAGTATGATTCGAGACATGATCAAGGAGTTGTAGGAGACTGAAGGAGAATGAGGGGACTGGAGAGGATCTTACCATAATAAAAGTCAGCAGATTTCATTTTTGAACTGTTGCAGAATGAAGCCAAGTACCCAAATTACTTGTACAGTACAGTACCATACCTTCCCCAATCAAAATCTATAAACAGTTGACTGAGTCTCTGCAACAGAGACAGTATATAGCACAGGTTCTTGTTCGTGTCAAACACTTGTTTGAATATCTCTTAGATACCCCGGCCACATCCTGATCCAAGACCTTTCCTCTCCCTTTAGCAGTTCTTCCATTGTATGATCAAAACTGCGTTATCACGATGTACTTGTAGATCAGATATGAAGGAACGCTTTGGGAAAGATGGAAACACGAAAAGTTGCATTAATGGCTATTGACATCCATATAGGGTCTCTACTGTTTGATTATATGGGTAAAACTACCCGAAAAGTTACCAGAAGACTTACCCAGTCGTACAGTATGTACATACTCGTATACCTACAAGAACAATTGCACACGCCATCTGATCATGACGTGCAGAATAATAGTACTAAAACAAAAGTACAGTGTACTGTAAGATAGCGACGAACTACTGCTACAAATCAATACCATATATGCCCTCACACGTCTACAAAGAGGCGAGATATTTACCGAATATGCCTATGATTACACATCACGCACCATCAGCCTCCCATTCGGTGTTTTTAGCGCGCAAGTCGACTAGAATGGACTCATTCTCTCAAATTAATACTAAGGAAAAGTGGCGAACCGTATATCGCAATTCAGGTCGATGTTACGGCGTTTGATGCCGTGGTGTGATGTCTTCTTGAAGGTGCGCATACGCCTGCGAAAAACCTTGACAAGACACCATCGTCAGTGTCGACATTTTCAGAGTCGTCAGCGTCGACATTGTCAGCGTCGTCAGCGTCAACATTGTCAGTGTTATCATCATCAGCGTCGACAACGACACCTGGCTGGTCTGTGACTCGTCATCGGGGCGGACAGCCATGGGTGAGGGGAAGCGTCATTACCCTCAGAATTACCCCCAGAAGACAAGGTTGCAGTCTGCTTGGCTGGGGTAATGGTGTTGACATTGAGGACTCCTTCGAAGATGTCATCGAGAGCTCGTTTCCCTTGCGAGCCATTGGTATCGACTAGGGGAGTCTCAGTCAAGTCAGTAATCATCGAATCGGGTTCAGCGAGGTCGACGTTGCTATCCACCGTCGACACCGTAGCATCATCGACTGCCAGGGGATTGTCAATATGGCGGCCACAAGTCCCGGTACGACCGATGTCGTCGATAGCATAGCGCTCGGTTCCGATGACTGTCGTATCCTGATTTCATCATCCACCAGTGGCATACCAGACATTATCGGTCGGAAGCTCGGCCAAAGTCTAGTCACATCTTCTTCTCGGCGAGCCACCCATTTCATACGCCACAAACTTGATAGGAGGGCCAACGTTCTCGTCGCCACGGCGCCGCGCTCGCTGGTCCACAACCTGGACATCATTGACGGGAGTATCGGGCGAGTCATCGACATACACAGCAATCTCATCTGTGGCTTGCATATCGTGCGGGACCAGCTCGGCAGTCGTCTTCTGTCTCTCTCGAAGACGCTCACGCCTCTGCCTCTGGGAAAGCAGATTTCGGAGACGTTCAGGCTCCACTCGGTTGCCCTTGAGTGTCTCAATTTCAGCATCGAAGACCGCCTTTCCTGGGGGAAACAGAACCTCAAATGGGATTGAAGCGATCTGGGCCAAAGCTGCCCGCTTCGTGGGCACCCCTGCCTCATTTAGTCCGATCACCGGCCCTTCAACACGAGGAGATCTATCTTCATAAGGAACCAGAGCCTCAATCTCCATATTGCGCTTCACGTACGCAGGCAAAAGACGATTTTGCTGAGCGTGACAAAAGAAGAGAGGGCTGTGCATTGCACACTTCTTGATAGCCGAAGCAGGAATCTCTTTCCAAGATCTTGCCAACCAATTCAGTCTATGCAGGAATGTCACCAGGGGGTTATCCCCATCCACGCCACTAATGCTGCCATGAAAGATCTTGTCGAACTTCTTCCAGCTCTGCTTCATGGCTGCAATGATACCCAGGTTCATCGGTTGGGTAAAGGAGGCCGAATTGGGCGGCAGGAAGAGGAATTTCACATGGGCCAACTCGGGCCAGTCCTTGACAATGCGGTAGGCCCGTCGATGGAAGCCGACGTTGTCCAGAATGAGAACGACTGGATCTGACGGTGTCCCAGGATTTGCGTTTGCAAAGTTCGCGAGCCACATCACCATCAGGATCGTGTCCATGTAACCGTGTTCCTGTCGGATAACATGGACATTGAGGAGATGCGCGGGGACAGTTTTAGACGCAGTTGAAAAGTAATTTCTCGCCACACTCTAGAACAGCGGTTCCATCTCAGCCGCGAGAGCGTCACGCTTCTCCTGGTCCTTGCAGGGATCTTTTTCCACTCAATGTCGAGTTTTCGCAACTCGGCCAGATCTTTATGAGGAGTCTGGATCTGGGGAAGCTCCAGCCACGTATCGTAGAAGGTCTCGGTCCCATCTGCGCCAGGGGAGGACTCGTCATTGGTATCTGGGAGTTTCTGGACCATCGCCAAGGTGAGCTCAGCAATATGCTCAATCTCCAGTCTCTGCCATCTCAGGTTGAGTTCAAGGATGTCTTCCTCAAGCTTGGCCACGTGCGCGATCCTCTCATTGTGGGAGTCTTGGGCTTCGAGAAGATTCAACAGGGCCTCTGTTTTTCTGGGGTCTTCTGGCTCAGCAACACCTCCAACGGGGGCGAGGGGCTGAGGGGCTAGCTGAGGGGCTGGCTGAGGGGCTGCTGAGGGACGGCTGGCTGAACATCAGATGAAGAACAAGTGGAGGCGGCTGGCAGAACGTTCTCAGATAGAGAACAAATTGCGACTGGCTGAACGTCAGAGAGAGAACAAGTGGCAGAATCGATACCTTGGCCACTCGTAGCAACTTCTTCCCGAACCATCGTCTTTCCCTTTTTCCTGAGTCGCGCCTCAGCCTCTTCTCTCTTCTTGTTGATTTGAGCCAATCGTTTCACTTCCCGGGCCGCAGCTTTGGCCTTCTTTTCTTCCAAAAGTCTCGCCGCCCTCTCCGCCGCCTTCTTCTTTGATTGCGCCTTCTTCTCCGCGTTCTCCCTTGCCTTTTCCTCCCTGTTCTTCACTGCCGCCTCTTTCCCGATCACATTCTCCACGGCTTTCAGCTCATTGGCACGAGCTGTCACAACTTTTTCGGTGGCATTAACTTCCTTTACCGCCTCATTCAGAGCTGCGCGCAGGGTCTTGATTTCATCTCCAAAGTACGCATACTTTGCCTTGGCTTCCTCCTCGAACTTCTTGGATTGAGCTGGAGAGATGACCTCGTTGAGATGAAGCTGAAAGTCTGGAAGGGCTTCACCCATAAGGTCTCTGACATACAGGAAAAAGTCTGATTTCTTGGTGCCGTCCATGTTTGCAACAGAAAATTGCGTGAAAGAGTCTCCGCCTCTCCCGCTGTCCTTGCTGACGCTCCCCTTCTTCGTGAGACATTTGATGTTGAAAGATCCCGTCAACTCGCAGTTCGTCTGGTCGGCATTGAAGATACGGTTGAGCGGAACATTCTTGATTATTGGCCACAAGGCAATGGTGCCTCTCAGAGCAGCCCTCACGTCAACATGATCACGCTCTGCAGCCTGCTGTCGCCACCGGTACCCTGCGTACCTGAATAGGGTGGCGATCCACTTGGAAGAGGGGATGTCAACGAGGTCAACGACCCCCTGATAGGCGCTTCCGCCCAGCCTTTGGATACAGGCCCGGACAATGGCTTCAGCCTGGCGCATGTTCAGCAGGAGGTCCGGGTGCAGCAGCTTCGCCACTCTGAAGAGTGCGATTTCGAGATGGAGGTACTTGGAACGGCCACCATTGGCCCTGGGTGCATTACCAATGCCGGTATTTGGATCAGAGTTGAGCTTCTCTTGACGGGTGAACTTCCTGGTGGTGTCTTGCAAGTACTGCCTCACTCCCACGATGTCATCGTCTTTGAGGCACATTAAAGACTCGGCGTAAGCCATAATATCTGTCCAGTTGCTGTTGCACCGTTTCCCGTTGGTGGCGTAGAGCTCTTCGACTTTGGCGGCAAGCAAGGCCCTGTGAGCATCCAACATCTTTCCTCGACGGTGCGGGTAAGTGCGAGTTCGACCTGTTGTTTTGCTGGACTTTGCAAGTGTCAGCTCCAGATATCGTGTGTAGAAATGCTCCAGCTTATCAATGACCTCCTCGATATTTTCGATGCCCTCGAAAACGTCTCCGGCGCAGTCGCGTACGATATCCATCAACTTTCGTCATCCAGCATCCCAGTGGGGTCCAACACCGCCCCAGTCAGGTCGATCACGTCGTCCAGGCTGTCGTAATATTGCCCATGTCCTTCCTCTTCGTCGCCGTTCGTTTCCTCTTCGTCGCCGTTCGTTTCCTCTTCGTCGCCGTTCGTTTCCTTCGCGGGTGTGTCGTCTGCGTCGCGTTCCTGCGCGTCGCGCCTGTGAAATGCTCCTCCCGGCTGCTCTGGTATACGTTCGAAATAGCCTTCTTCGAAGCTTCGCCTCTATCGTCGCCTAAAGTTGCGTCACGGAACACCTGCGACGACATTTCCATTGTCTCAGTCGTTTTTCGGCCGGGTTTGTGTATGAAGAAGGGTTATTTTGAAATTATCGATGTCATTTACGCGTCGATACGAGTGCTTAATTGAACCTAAATTTAAGTTTGAAAAGTGAAAATTGTGGAGCTCTTAGTAAGCGTTCCAACTCTCCGCTAGATACAAATACACGTCTTTTCTTCATTCGCGTGATCTGGGCTTCGACAGCTTAGATAGTGATATTCCACGATTCGAACTGATGGACGATCCGAACGCTCGACGTAACGAGCTCGCTCAGCAAGCCGCGGAGCGTGATGAGCGTGCTGCACACCGTCCGGACAAGACTGACTCCGAAGGCCGACAAACCACCTGCTCCACATGCGGACGACGCTCGACCACCAACCCCCCGCCAGGGGTTTGTTACTATGGCCCAAATTGCCGAGATAGAGGCACTATTAAAGGCTCAAAGTGCCTAGACAGAGACACTCTTTAAAATACGTCTTTGCCCACTCTTTCCAAGTTGATGCCACAGCTCCCTCAGATGCCCGTCCGACAACTTCAGGTTAACTCCTGGGCGGCTCTCCGGCAGTCTGTTCTGTCACTTGCCAAGACGAAGCAGGGTATGCGACATTGTCCTTCCGAGGTCTTGGACTTCTTCGGGACCTGGGCTCCCGCTTCGGCTCTAACCCTCCTCTCTCAGGACCTTCTCGACTGTAGTGCAGACGTTCCCGCACTGCCCTTCAGAGCGCGGTCGTTAAAAAGTGGGGCCCCTTTTCTGCCTCACGATTCCGGATCGACAAGAAGCTACCCGTGTGGCTGGCAACAGCTATCCCGAGGATGGCTGGCTCGCCCTCTCTGCTACTCGCACTACGGCAGCGGCGATTATCGTGGAAACAGGAACAAGAACAAGAACAAGAAGAAGGACTCTGGCCTCCGGCTATTACTAGACCCCTCCCTTTAAAGCTGTCCAATAACTTACGGTCATGCGACCGCAGTTTGGTAGGAAGTGTATGCCTATGAGCATTTCGCAAGCCCCTGCAGACTTCAGATGAACATGGACTCGGAATTTGATGAATTCACTGACGACTACTCGTTTATTTGGATGACATCAGTATGTACTCTGACACTTGGGAGCAGCATTTGGAACACCTTGACGGTGTTTTTGCTCGAATGGATAAGTATGGCCTTCAGACTAAAAAGTCCAAAATCTCAATTGCTCATGAGGAAACGAAAATCCTTGTCTCTCAAGACCCCTGAGGGTCTCCAAGTGGACCCCTCTCATACTAAGGCTGTGTTTCGTTTCCCTACTCCCAAGGATGTTAGAGATACCCGTTACTTCATGGGTAGAGCTCACGTGCCCATCTTTTCCGCTGTTATTCGGCTCATGAATGAGCTCCTTAAGAAGCATACCCCCTTCGTGTGGTCCAAGGCGCGTGTGAGGACTTTCAAAAGCTGAAAGCTTTGATATCCGCCGCCCAGATCCTGACCGCTTTTAATCCAGAACTGGAGACGCCCCTCCTACGATGGCATTGGCACTGCCCTCACCCATATCCACCAGGTGATAAACTCCGGTTGATTCAGTTTGCGGGCCGTGGTCTTACTGAAGCGGAGCGTAACTATGGCGTTACTGAGACTGAAGCCTTAGCTATTGTGTAGGCATTGATTCCATGCGGGCACTGGCACTCCTGGATTACGACCTTGTGGTGAAGTACATCCCAAGTGAGCCCAGCCTGATGGCTGATGCCATTTCCAGGTCGTACAGTGTCGCATGCGAGTCTCGTCCTTCGAGACATGGATGCTGAGGCTCGTGTCCAGCAGATTTACGAGAAATCTCGGCCAGCTACAGTCTCTGGGTGTTACCAACTCGCAGGGCGATATCACCTCCAGGTTTGAGTATTCATCCCGTGAGCTCCTGAACTTTCCTCTCTACAGGGAGGCTCAGAAAGCTGACAAGATCTGTCTTCCATCTTCTACTCGTACTGTACTCACTGCTAAATGTATTAAAAATGACATACGTGAGATTTGAACTCACGCTAAGAGCCCAGGTTTTTATATATTTTATATATTTTTATATACAGTATATTTATATATATATATTACTTGGGAACTCTCCCAACATCCAAAACTTATCCGGACCTTTAGTCGGCGCAACACGTACGCATGGAACCGTCTCGTAAGTACCTTGGTGGCAGACGATGCCAATAAGTGGTATTAAAAAAGTGTTATGCATATCGCTAGCCAGGGTTTAAAACGTAGTTTGTTTTCCGTCGAGTGCTTTTCAACTAGTTTCGCCTTTGTCGCTCGGCTGTCTCGGGCAGGATTATCTGATGTCCGGATAGCAATCTACGGAGACTTTGTTCCGAAAGGAAGGAGCCATGCTTCGAAGAAGACCATGGATGGTACAAGTTAGTTCAGTAGTGTGAGCATAAGTCGGTGCTAAATCTGGAGTACCAATCACCCATTATGTATTTCTACGATGGCGTTTGTTGGTTTATGGAATAATGTATGTACTGGCAGACAGACTCGGGTACAGCACGAGTACGAGTGAACAGTACTCTACACGTACGTTCTCTACTCGCTATACGGGGTCGACAGCTCGGTGTCCGTTGATAACAGTCAGTTATCAACTTACACTTTGAGACCCCAGACCAATGAAAGGCTGTGGTGACGATCATAGCGTCGTTTTAGCGCCTCTCAGCAGTGGTATCAGATTGATCAGAGAGACGGCGAGACGGAATGGAGACATTTTCGAGGAGAAACAACCCCTTGAACGGCAAAAGAGGCGTCGAATGGACCTTGTAAGTCACTCACTCCGTCGAGCCAAGATCGCCAAGGCTCGCTTGTCGTATCCTGTCAAAAGGGCTAGGCGCCGGGTTAGTGCAAGGGACAAAGACGGGAGTGGTCGGGGTCCGAAAAGACCGTAAGACATGCAACCAGCTGCTACTGAGATAGAGATGAGACACAAAAAAGAAACGGGTCGACGTTCACTTCAGCTTGGGTCCGGTTTGTGGTCCTTTTGGCTGTTGTTTCTCCACCCTTCGGACTCCTTCCTCCACCCCACCAGATGTGCGTGGCTGTCATGGTGCATTAGCTGAGCCGTGCTATAGCTCACCAGGGTCATCTAGGCCCTCTGACGCTGGCTGCAGTGGTCGACTAGCTCAAGGGTCGCATGTATATATAGACCCGTGTTCCCTGGGCCAGACGGCACGCGTCTATCGAATGAGAACAATCCACTGGCTTGCACCCTTTAGCAAAGTCCCCGAAATCCCCTCTGAAAAGCAGCCCAGTGCCGAGCACCAGGCCAATTGGTTTTCCAGAGCAACTTGGACATGGTTAAGTCCTCTTCTTAAGGTGAGTATGAGGAGATATTCACACCAAGCGGGAAACTGGACTGTAGATCGTTATTCAGTGGTTATCAATGAAACAGTATTTCATCGTGGCATTTCTTGCAGGGTCATTATCACCATTCTCCAATTAATCGCAATTCTGAATTAATCGCAGTTTTGAATCATTTACAATGTTCTGATTACCACAATTTTCCTTCAATTTTTTTCATGTTTTTTCAATTTTTTTTCAATTTTTTCAATTTTTTTTCAATTTTTTCAATTTTTTTTTTTTTCAATTTTTTCATCTTTCTTTTACCTTTCATCTCCCAGTTTTTCGTTATCGCTGCCTTATCACAGCAACTAACCCAGACCGGATACCTCCGACATATCGAAAAAAATGACCTGTGGAGCGTGGCTGACAACCAACAGGTGGCAAAACTACAAGCCAGACTCGAAGAGCGTCTCGACTTCCGCTACAACCAGCTTCTCGAGCGCAAGATCGCCAAGCTGAAAAAGTCCAAAAAACCAACCACCACAAAAACGTCCATCTATCCCGGAATCCACTACGACAACGACGACCCGGCCGATCCCGACCACCATGACGACCACATTCGCCAACAGGCCATTGCTGCTCTCAACAAGTCCAGCAGACCCCTAGTGATGGCGCTGAACGACACGTTTCTGGTGCAGTTTTGGTTCGCGGCACTGATGACCATCCTGCGGGAACTCTGCGCTGTGGCAAGCGCCCTCGTCTCCAAAGAACTTATCAACTACATTGAGCGCCGATACTACGACCGAAACTACCCCATGGGAACCGGCATCGGGTCCTCCATCGGCATGTTCCTGCTGGCGGTGGGCGTCACCTTCTTCTTCAACCACTCGTTCTATGCCGCCCAGATGGTCGGCGCCAAATCCCGAGCCGCACTCATTGGCACCATTTTCAAAAAGTCCACCAAACTCAGCATCTCCGCCCGAAAGATCCACCCGCCAGGAAAAATCACCAACCTGGCAGCCCTCGACGCCCACAGAGTCGACTTTGCCTGCCAATTCGTCCACCAGATCACCGCGTTCCCCATCACCACGGCATGCTCAATTGCCGTGCTTTGTGTCAATCTCCACGAATCAGCCCTTGTCGGTGTCGCCACCATGATGCTCTTCATTGTATCCGTGGCTTACATCACAAGCTACACGATGAAAATGAGACGTCGAATCATCAAATGGACCGACAAGCGAGTGACCCTGATCCGTGACGCTCTTCAGAACATTCGAATCATCAAGTACTACGGCTGGGAGATTCCTACTCTGCAGAAAATTCAGGTGGCAAGAAGAGAAGAAGCCAATGGATACATTAGAATGGGCTCTATCCGGGGTATCTCGTTTGGAATGTTTGAAAGCTTGCCCACCATTGCTGGTGCCCTGTCCTTCATCACTTACTCCAGTATTGGCAACGAAACTGACCCTGCCAAGATCTTCTCCTCTCTGACCCTGTTCAACCTGCTTCTACCTGCGCTGATCCAATTGCCCATGGCTATGCAGTATGTAGGAGATGCCAGAATGTCTCTGCGACGTATCCACGAGTTTCTGAACGCCGAAGAGGGTGTCTCGAACATTGCTATCAACACTGAGCAGCCTGAAAGCATTCTTGTTCAAGACGGATGCTTCGAATGGCCCCAGGATGAGCCCATGGAGTTCTTTTCAGAGGAGAAACAGAGTCACAAGCCCACAGAAAAGTCCGAAACCCGCTCAATAAAGTCCATCAAGACTCTGCGGTCCGGAAAGTCGGTTCTTTCAGGCAAGTCGTCGGCCAAGTCCTCTCGAAAGTCTTCCATCTCCTCCAAGTTCTCCTTCTTTGAGTCCAATGACATTCAATCTTCGGACGACGAGCCTGAAGCCGATGTTTCTTTGACTCTGAACAACCTCAATCTTGCCCTCAAACCAGGCTCACTCACTGTTGTTGTCGGTGGTATTGGATCGGGCAAGACGTCTCTTTTGTCTGCACTCACCAACCTCATGCTCATGACCGACGGCTCATTGTCTTTCTCGTCTTCCAACTGGATTGGATGCCTAGAGCCCTGGATTCAGAACGCATCTATTCGTGAAAACATTGTTTTTGGACGAGAATTCGATGCCGACAAGTACAGACACGTTCTGAAAGTCTGTCAGCTGGCTTCTGACCTCGACCATATGGAGCACGGAGACAAGACCATGATTGGAGAGCGAGGAATCACGGTATCGGGCGGCCAAAAGGCCCGAATCAACCTCGCTCGAGCTGTCTATGGCAAACCCGACATTCTCATTATGGACGATGTTCTCTCAGCTGTTGACGCCCGAGTCGGCCAGGCTATGATTGATCAGTGCATTGATGGTTATCTGAAGGATTCTACTCGAGTGCTGGCAACTCACCAAGTTGGAATTGTTGAACGAGCTGATCATGTCATCTTCATGGAGAAACCGGATGCTCAGTCCTATGACAACCATGCCAAGATCCATCAGGGTACAGTTGCAGAGCTGTCTGACCGTCTTCCTCAATTTAGAGCTCTCATTGAAGCCGGTGCTGTTCGCGGTGAGATTGAGATGGAGGACGATAATGAGGTGAAACATGAACTTGTCGAACTTGTCGAGGTCCCTGAGAAAATCGAGTTCGCTCCGGCTACCAAGAGAACATCTAGGGTGTCCATGGAGTCTTCTATTTCGGCAAACATGATGGCCGAAGAGGAACGGGTCCGAGACTCGGTTGGTTTTGGCGTCTACAAGCGATATATTTTGTTCAGCAACAAGAACAAGGCTCTCAGTATTGCCCTGATTGTTCTATGTGCGTTTCTGATGCTTCTTGTGGCATTTCTGACCATCTTTGCCTCGGTTTGGCTCTCTTTCTGGACAGCTGATCGGTTCCTCACTACAAAGGGGTTCTACATGGGAATCTACATCATGCTCGGAATGGTTCTCTTGCTTCTGCTCACGTGTTTCATCATGGCCTCTCAGGTCCTGGGTACTCGCTCGATCGAGAACATGCACAATCTAGCCATCGAGACCATAATTCGAGCCCCCGTTGCCTTTTTCGATACAACTCCCATGGGCCGAATTCTCAACCGGTTCACCAGAGACACAGACAGTTTGGATAACGAGGTGGGTATGCGGTACCGAATGCTCTTCTTCTCTCTGACCGAGTTTGTGGGCTCGTTTGCCATGACCATTGTGTTTGTACCCTACACGGCTCTTGTTCTGGCTCCTATCATTGTTGTTTTTGTCGTCTGTTTGTCCTACTACCGTCAGACTGCTCGGGAGGTAAAACGAATCGACTCGTTGGAGCGATCGGCCATGCTGTCAGTCTTCAGTGAGAGCATTTCCGGCATGTCAGTTATTGTCATGTACGGGGCTCAATCCAAGATTGTTTCTCGGCTCCATGGTACACTAGACATTATGAACTCGGCCTATTTTATTGTGGCTGCCAACCAGCGGTGGTTGTCGCTTCGTCTCGATGCCATGGGATCTCTTGTGGTTCTTATCTGTACGATTCTGTGTGCTGTTGGAGTTTTTCATCTGACACCGTCCAACATGGGTCTGATTGTTTCTCAGGCTGCGTCCATTCCAGAGAACCTCTCCATGATGGCCCAGGGCTTTTCCGAGCTCGAAAACTGCATGAATGCCGCAGAGCGGATCCTCCATTACCACACCATCACGTCCGAGGGCTCTTCCAAGACCGTCACAGCTTCCCCCAGCACTCCTTCGGTGGGAAAGATCGAGTTTGACAATGTGTCTCTGAAATACCGACCCGAGTTGTCGCTGGTTCTCAAGAACCTGACGGTCACGTTTGAGCCTGGACACAAGATTGGGATTTGTGGCCGAACTGGAGCCGGAAAAAGTACCATTTTGCAGTCTCTGTTTCGGATCGTCGAGCTGGAAACCGGCAAGATTTCTATTGATGGAGTGGATATTGCTTCCATGAGTCTCGAGCAGCTCCGAAAGGGACTCTCCATCATCCCCCAGGAGAGTGTCTTGTTTGGTGGAACCGTGCGATCTAATCTGGATCCTCTAGGAGAACACACCGATGCAGAAATGTGGTCTTGTCTGCAGCGAAGTGGGCTGACTGTGGCTCTTGACACCAAGGTGGACTCTGATGGTACCAATTTTTCTCTTGGCGAGCGGCAACTGCTGACTCTGGCTCGTGCTTTGCTTCGCAACTCGCAGATTTTGGTGCTGGACGAAGCTACATCTAATGTCGACTACCAGACAGATGCTCTCGTGCAACAGACTATTTCGCAGGAATTTAGCCACTGCACCATTCTGTGCATTGCTCACCGACTACGGACCATTGTCAACTACGACCGGATTCTGGTGCTGGAAGACGGCGAGATGCTGCAGTACGGCAGTCCCCAGGAGCTGTTCCGACAGGACGGGGGCATGTTCCGCCATCTTTGCGACGCTTCAGGAATCAAAATGTGACAGAGGTATGTGTCCATGCCACTTGTTTCCCTCCACACATGTTTGTAACTCTTAATAATATCACTAACTCTACTTGTATGGCACTACTGCCTGCCAAGGATTCAGTACAGTAGTGTACAGTAGTGTACATATCGGAGCCAGACGCCGTAGTGTCCTCTGCGTAGCATGGCTGTTGCAGTGGCCCTGTGTACCGGCGCCCAGGCTTTTAATCCGGCAAGCCGCAAGTTGCAAGCCGCCCAACAGTTTCAAGGGCGGTTTAGGAGGTTTGCTATACGAGAGTCTAACCATTGTACGAGCAAACCCGCACAGCATGAAGCCCTCCGATCCGGGTCATTGGACAGAAAGAAAGACTACAGTACAGACGTACGGCCGTCCTTTGACGCGGGTTGGGTTCGGCGGTACGTTGCAGCTCTAGATTGGTTTTTAATCTGATCCTGTAATCAATCGCATCTGCAAGTTTTTCATAAATGTCGCATTTCGAGTTTCGGTTGTCTGGGTGGAAAAAACACACACTAATAGCGACGATAATTATGGGCGTGTGAAGGAACCAACGATCGTGGCTCCCACTCCAGTCTGGCCTGGACCATCTACTCCTCACCAAGTTATCATAGATTCGCGTGAAACACAGACCAGTGAGGCATAGCTGGAGCGTGCGTGTGTTGGTGAGCCGTATGAAGCGCCAGGGTTTGTTCTGGACGAAAGATGCTCTAAAAAAAGACCAGTTTAAACCGGGTGGAAGCCAACACCTCTAGCTAGCGTAGCAAGGGTGGGACGTGGAGATTGGTGGAGCTGTGTTCTGGAGATTATCATGCGTTTTTTTTTTCTTATTTAATATTTTTCTAAGAGTTTTTTTAGAGATTGACAAACTCTGATTTGCCAAGCTGCTTAACGCCATGGACATAACTGGCGTTTGGCGGTGCCGAGAGTCCTTGTCTGCTGCTCAAGCCTCCCCTCGTGGGACCAAGCGACTCGTCGGCTCTTGGCAGCGTTCCATCTGTCGATCGGGTGCTTCAGCCAAGCCCTCTCTCCGATTATCGCATCAGATAAGACTGCACAGATGGCAGATCCGCCCGCTGATCAGACGGCTGAGGACTCGCAGGACGGCTGAGGACTCAGAAGCACCGACTACAGTGCGATTCCAGTCGATGCCCGCATTGGGGTCATTGAACGAGAATAAACCTGAGCTAGGCTCCGCGCTATAGATGCTGCTGCCTATCCCCTGTGGGGCTAACCTCAGCGCTTGAAACCCATCTAACGCGCCCTAATGCAAGCCCGGGAGTCGCCTAAATGCAACCTGGGACATGGCGAGGGCACGGGTTGGAGTGTCATTGTGTGTTGATGGAGCGGACGTTGGACGATATATAAAGAACGGACTCGTCCCACCGTTTGCGATGCCAACAACCACCATGAACATCGAGGAGCTCAAGCACAAGAACAAGGACACTCTGGACAAGTTGGACAAACACGCAAAGTATGTGTTCGACTTCAAGGACCGTCAGGCTGAAAAGTTCTTTGGAGCCATGTCCCCCAAAACCCGCTCCATCATGACCTTCTTCTTCTCCCCGGAGTACGACTACAACTCGGCCACCGAGACATTTGACCCCAATGACGAAGTGGAAGATTTGCAGCTGACTCACTCGGAGATTGTGCGAAAGGTGTGGAGTCGAAACCAGCTCATCATGGCCTGGTGCTTCCTCATCTTCATGTCGCTGGCCTCCACCATCATGTCCTCCTCCTTCTCCTCCTACATTGTCTACGCCTCGTCCGAATTCTCCCAGATGGGCGCACTTGCCTCGGTGCAGATTGTACAGTCGTGCATCTTCCTGATTGCCCGAGCTCTCTGTGGTAAGTTGGCCGACAACTTTGGCCGATTCGAGGCCATGACCATCTCGGTCGTCTGTCTGGCGGTGGGCTCCGGTCTCTACATGGGTATCCATAACATTGTCACTTACTTTGCCGCCCTGGCCTTCTACTCGGTGGGCGACATTGGTATCCAGATGATGTACGAGATTTTTGCTGCCGACACGGTGACTCTGCGAGACCGAACATTCTTCCAGACCATCACCCTGATCGCCAACCTCTTCACCCCCTGGGTCTCGGGTCCCATGGTCGCAGCCGTGCTCAAAAACTCCACCTGGCAGTGGGGAATGGGCATGTGGTGCATCATTGTGCCCGGCTGTTCGCTGCCCTTCCTCTTCACCCTGCTCTACTTCCGAATCAAGGCCTACCGAATGGGACTGCGAATCCGACGAGGAGATCCCAACCGAACCTGGTTCAAAAACACCGTCACCGGCATCATCCGAATGGATCTTCCCGGTCTGGTCTTCCTCTGCGCCGGACTCATTCTCTTCTTTGTGCCCATCTCCTTCTGCACTGGTACCGACAACTGGAAGCTGGGCGAGAACATTGCCATGCTGACCGTGGGCACCTTCCTTCTCTACGTGGTGTTCCCTCTGTGGGAGTTCTTCTTCACCAAGCACCCCTTCCTCAAGTACAAGCTCATGTACAACCGATTTGTCACTGTCCCCGGCTGCATCATCGGTCTCTACAATATGGCGTTCGCCATCTACCATCCCTACTTCCAGACCTGGCTGCTGCTGGCCAAGGGTCTTCCTCAGGCCCGAGCCACCAACATCCACATGGCCATGTTTGTTGCTCTCACCGGAACCACGCTGGTCTTCTCTCCTCTCATGAGATGGAGAGCCAAGCTCAAGTCGGTGCTGACCTGGGGCACCATTCTCTACTTCATCGGCATGGGACTGACTTACGAGTTCCGACGGCCTGAAAAGCCCCTCAGCACCATGATTCTGGCTCAGGTGTTTGAGGGAGTGGGTGCTGGTCTGCTGGTCATCCCCGTTATGGTCTACATCCAGGTGGTGTGCAAGCAGTCCGACTCGGCCGCCGCCATCACCATCTACTACTTCTTCACCTCCTCCGGCACCATTCTGGGCAACGTAATCTCCGCCGCCGTCTACCGAAACCACTTCCCCAAGATTCTGCGGGAGACGGGCCTGTTTTCCGAAAAGGAGATCCAGACCATTTTCAGTTCCATCTACGCCGGTCTAGGATACAAGATTGGAACACCCCAGCGAGCCGCCATCGGAGCCTCCCTTAACACCGTCATGCGATCGCTGCTGGTCGGACCGTTTGTTCTCTGTGCCATCATGTTCTGCCTGGCCCTCACCAACGCCGATATCAACCTCAACGTGGCCCAGCGAATCAAGCGGGCGTCCGAGCAGCGAAAGATGGACGAGAACGAGGGATCCACCGAGGAGAACGGCGACGCTGGACTCGTGGTGACCAACAGCTTCGAGGAGAAGTCTGCCGGATCCTCCGACGACAAGAAGCAGGTCAACGAGAAGGTTGTCCAGGCTGTCTAACCATGAAAACCACCAATAACGATCAAACATTTAATGACCTAATTAATACAAAGAATCAACCCAAGGGCCGTACAGTACCAATAGCCAAGCCTTCTCAATCGGAATCCGACTCGTGTATTCTTGTCTAATCAATCACTGTCTCTACAATTAGTCCGTATGTTTGTCTGGACTTACCAGAACTCCTGGCATCTCCACTGGAGTTTGTATCTATAGGCCAAGCCCAAGGCAGAAATTTTCTTCTTGGCAGGGAGTCCCCGCCAAGATGGATACGAGTTCTTGGGGGGTTGTGGAGAGCGGAGATGTGGAGATACGGAAACGAGGTTGCTTAGGACAGACATTTACCACGAATGAGAAGCTGTTCTGTCTTAGGATAGTTGTTAAGTCAACGAACAGTTATTCAATCAATGTTCAATCCATGGCCATTTCACAACATTTTCCCCAACATGGCTAGCAGCTTTTTCGCCGTTTTAGACCATTGCAGCCACTTGCAAATAAAAAACAAAAAACAAAACAAAAACATGTGTAGCGTTGCACTAGTGTCCAGCAGCCATGCCATAGGCTGAGTAGTGTGAATCCGAACTATAGATTACAGTCCCCTCCTTAGCAACGACATTGACAATCAATAATCTGACGATCAGGGACAGCTGAGACGGACAATGGCGCGCGTGTGATTGGGCCTTTTTCAGAGTAATAGAAAAGAAAGAGAAAAGACAGAATCAACATGGGTAGTTCGCCTAATTATGGAGAAATGTTGCAAGAAAAGAAACCATAAGTGATCGTGATAATCTATCGACAGATCTCTAGCAGATAATACGCTGACAGCTGGGGTCTGGACCAACACTCATCCTTGTGCATGGCACCAACTGTTAATAGCTATCTACTATGACTCCGTGCAAAACCATCAATAAATCAACAATTGCAAAACAACAATTGCAAAACAAACAATTGCTCCGGGTCACTCCTGCTCTTTTATCCAATCCCCTACCACGTGCGTGGTTGGCCATTGAATGGTATGTACGGAAGAGTACAATACATACAGTAGTCCAGCGTTCCTTTCATCAAGCCAATGTGATTTGAACGACTACTAGGCTAGTCTAATAGGGCTTGTCGATTTCGGTAAAAATCGGAGAGACCAGTAGTTGCAAGCGAGGATTACTGATCAAGCTACAATGGCATATAGTGGAGTACAGTATCGTAATTACGTCTGTACGACAAACTACCCTGTACAATGGCTTCAATGGCATCTGAATGAAGTCGGCCTTTGCTACAAAGCCCCCAAGTTCTTGCCTTTGTTTGTGGTGCAATGCTTCGATTCAGGACTACGCTATCTCGTCGGTTGGACACCCTACTCCCTGGAGGAAGAACAGAGCGCTCGAATCAATAGCTCTAATTTACAGAAGTGAGCAGCAAGGGTTTTTGAGGTCTGGTAGAACGAGTTTGGAACGCATCTTTCTGATTGTCTTAGAAGCCAGTGTCGACTTTCCGTGAACACCAGTCGTCAATCTGCGAATCAGTTGTGCAAAGTGTTCATATTCGGATGCTACGTATGAGTGGAAAGATGGAATTTGAGCTGGAATTCAACTGAAGCAAAGAATATTCCCAATTGACTGAGTTGGTTCCAAAGTGTTCGGCTTTCGGGGACGACTTATGGACCTCTTTTCTCATCAAACAAAGTAGCGTCTGTTGCCAAGATCGAGTTGGTCTGGAGTTTTTTCAACCGTACCGGTATCAGACAGTAGCAATACGAGTGCCAATACTCGAATAAACGGTACAATATCATATCTAGAGCTCCCCCCTTACTATTCAGGTACAGTACAATACCTTCAAGTGTAGCGGATTCGTACTTCTAACGATTTCATCCAAGATTGCATCAAACCCACACCTTTCCACTCGTACTCACTCATACTCGTACTCACTCATACTCGTACTCACTCATACTCGTACTAATCTCCCCATTTTTCCTTCCACCTCTTTAGCGGAGATCACAACTTTCGAGGTTAACTCCGACCAGATTAACTCCGTAAAACGCAATTTCACTGAAATAATAAAAATAGTCAGAGAGATCACAGCTGGAATACCAAATCTGAAGAAACAGTACGCAATTTCGCAACCAACAAACCGGTACAAGTAAACCTCATACGCTCGTACTTTACTCGCACTCGCACTCGCACTCGCACTCGCACCCTACCCCCGAGACACTTCTGCACATACCTGATGCAAGACTCAGCCCCTCTGAAATTTCAGGGTGAAAAATGCCAAGTACAAGTGCAACTGGGATACTTAGCCGCTCATAGCCCTCGTAGTCAAATGCCCTAACCCATAGCGGTTTGCAACGCCAAAAGCTCTATAAATAAAACCTGTCTGTCCTTACCCAGCTCAATTGCGTCTGCTGGAGCTGCTTCAACTTCCACTTTCCACTTTCACTTTTCCACTTCCACTTTTCGGCACTGGGCTAATAAGATGCGGGCACATATGCCAAGACAATGAACACAACGTGGCAGCATGAGATTGTTTAGATAATTTGACCCGCCAGCGAATAGTGTCAAAGGGCCATTTTCAGCTTCAAAGGTCAGAAAAACGGCGTTTTCTCGTAACGTGGTTTTGTCATAAACCTGTGTCTCTCGTACATTTTCCGTACACATTTTATCATTGCATCCTTATTTTCACCCCTACACTTAATTCAATAGTTATTTTAAAATACTCAGTTAAATTGTCGTTAAATTGGGGTTAAATTGTCGTTCAAATGTCATCAAATGTCGTTAAATTGATCCTGATGGTCGTGAAATTGCCACCTACACACACACGTTCTGAACCCTAACCCCTTGGGCAAGGTGTGCATCGTGCGTTGTGTGTGCCTGTAAACTCCAGGCAAACCCTAACCTTGAGCCGTGGTCCAGCCAACCACAACTCAGTAGGGCTAGCATACGGTATTGTGGAGCGATTTCGAGGCGGATTTCGTGTGGATTGTTGTACTGAGGCTGGGTTGGGCCCATTCTGCCCTTGCCCCCGTTTATCCGTTTCCCTAACCCGCGTTTGCGGTCTCCTGTACTGCGCCATTTAGGACACATCATCAAGGTTGCCTAACTGTACACAAGTGTGCTCCCAACTCTTTCTTTCTTCCACCATCCTCAACATGTCACAGGATTTGCCCATTACGTTTCAGGAGCATCTCCAGCTTCAATCGCTGGGTGTTCCTGAGGCCTCCATTGGTTTCAACACATGTACTTTGCAGAGTGATCGTTTTGTTTGGTGAGTATGGCGAGCGGTGATGATTTGGATAGTCAGAGGCGCGATAGACGACAGTCACGGACAGGCGGGTGACAGATAGACGACCGAGGGTCACAGACGGGGACGGGATACGCAATCAACAAGACGGATGGAATCAATGATTGAAATTGGACGTGGAGTCATCAGGATGCAATGGTGCATGTTTGCGATTGTGGGGGAGGGGGGAGGGGAACACATGTGGTGATGCATCCTGATGTTACAACAATGGTGTCAACATGACGATTCTCCTGATTCGTCTGTCTGTCTGGATTGTGTCCGACTGGTGGATGGATCAGTCCATCGCGATCGGGATCGGTCGCGTCGCACTCGAGTCTCAACACCTACATGTCCTACATGTACTAACTCAGCGTTCGGGAAACAGCCAACACTGGCAACACCGTGGCAATCATCGATCTCCACAACAACAACAATGTCGTGCGACGAAACATCTCCGCTGATTCGGCAATCATGCACCCCACCGACTTTGTGATTGCCGTGCGATCCAAGGAGGGCGCCCTCCAGGCCTTCAACCTCGAGACCAAGCAGCGACTGGGCAGCAGTCAGCTCTCTGTCCCCGTGGTGTTCTGGACCTGGGTTGACGCTGAGACCATTGGCATCATCACCGAGACTGAGATTCTGCACTGGAAGGTTGGCACCACAGACCCCGTCAAGCTCACCGACCGACACCACTCGCTCAACGACTGCCAGGTGATCAACTACATCTCCAACGGCAGCTGGAGTGCTCTGGTCGGCATCACCCAGCGGGACGGCCGAATTGCAGGCCAGATCCAGCTCTACAGCAAGGAGCGAAACGTGTCGCAGGCCATTGAGGGCCACGCTGCCACCTTCACAAAGCTGCAGCTGCAGGATGGAGCCAGCCCATCGGATCTGTTTGTCTTCGCCAACCGAGGCAAGCTGCACGCCGTCGAGATTGACCACAAGGACGAGAATCCCGTCTACCAGAAGAAGCAGGTGGATATCTTCTTCCCCCCCGAGGCCGCCAACGATTTCCCCGTGGCTGTCTTTGCCGCCGAGAAGTACGGCGTTGTCTACGTCGTGACCAAGTACGGTTTTGTTCACGTCTACGACCTGGAGCAGGGTCTGTGCATCTACATGAACCGAATCTCCAGCGAATCCGTCTTCACCGCCGCAAGTTACCAGAAGAAGGGTGTCCTGTGTATCAACCGAAAGGGACAGGTGCTTTCCGTCGAGCTCAACGAGCAGAAAGTTGTCCAGTACATTCTGAGCAGTCTTGGTAACGCCGGTGTCGCTCTGGCTGTCGCCTCTCGTGGAGGCCTCCCCGGCGCCGACGACCTGTACGAGCAGCAGTTCTCCCAGCTGCTCAACCAGGGCGACTACGCCAACGCCGCCAAGGTGGCTGCTTCTTCACCCGGTGGCCGACTGCGAACCCCTGCCACCATCCAGAAGCTCAAAAACGTGCAGGCACCCCCTGGCGGCATCTCGCCCATTCTGCAGTACTTCTCCACTCTGCTCGACAAGGGTTCTTTGAACAAGGTCGAGTCTATTGAGTTGGCGCGACCCGTGCTGCAGCAGGACCGAAAGCAGCTGTTTGAGAAGTGGCTGCAGCAGGACAAGCTCGAGTCCAGCGAGGAGCTTGGAGACATTGTGCGACAGTTCGATCTCAAGCTCGCTCTGCAGGTCTACGTTCGAGCCAACGTGCCTCTCAAGGTTGTGGCTGCTTTTGCCGAGCTCGGTGAGTTTGACAACATTGTGCCCTACTGCGAGAAGGTCGGATACACTCCCGACTATATTGTCCTGCTTCAGAACATTGTGCGGGTTAACCCCGACAAGGGTGCCGAGTTCGCCACCTCGCTTGTAAAGAAGGGCGAGGATCTTAACCTCAACAAGGTGACCGACATTTTCCTGTCTCAGAACCACATTCAGGCCGCCACCGCCTTTTTGCTGGATGCGCTGAACCAGAACCTTCCCGAGCAGGGCAACCTGCAGACACGGCTTCTGGAGGTCAACCTGATCAACGCTCCCCAGGTTGCTGACGCCATTCTGGGCTCCGACATGTTCTCCCACTACGACCGTGCTCGAATTGCCTCTCTGTGTGAGAAGGCTGGTCTGATGAACCGGGCTCTGGAGAACTACGACGACCTCAAGGACATCAAGCGTGTTGTTGTGCACTCCGAGAACTTCCCTCCCGATGCTCTGATTGCCTACTTTGGCAAGCTCACCGTGGACCAGACTCTGGAGTGTCTCAAGGAGATGCTCAAGTTCAACATCCGACAGAACCTGCAGGTTGTTGTGCAGATTGCCACCAAGTACTCTGATCTGGTGGGCTCGCTCAACCTCATCAAGGTGTTTGAGGAGTTCAACTCCCAGGAGGGTCTCTACTACTACCTGCAGTCCATTGTAAACCTGAGCGAGGACCCCGATGTGGTGTTCAAGTACATCACTGCTGCCGCTGCCATTGGCCAGACCAACGAGATCGAGCGAATTGTGCGGGAGAACAACCACTACAACGCCGAGAAGGTGAAGAACTTCCTCATGAAGGATGCCCACCTGCCTGACCAGCTGCCTCTGATCATTGTCTGCGACAAGTACGACTTTGTGCACGACCTGGTGCTCTACCTGTACAAGAACCAGCAGTACAAGTTCATTGAGGTGTACGTGCAGCGAGTCAACCCTGCCCGAACTCCCAAGGTGATTGGTGCTCTTCTCGACGTTGACTGTGACGAGTCCATCATCAAGGATCTGCTCATGTCGGTTGTTGGCCAGGTCCCCGTGTCCGAGCTCGTCGAGGAGGTCGAAAAGCGAAACAAGCTCAAGCTGCTGCTGCCCTTCCTCGAGAAGACTCTCAACGGTGGTTCTCGAGACACCGCTCTGTTTGATGCTCTTGCCAAAATTTACATTGACAGCAACAACAACCCCGAAAAGTTCCTCAAGGAGAACAACGAGTACAACCCCCTGGTTGTCGGAAAGTACTGTGAGAAGCGAGACCCCTACCTGGCTTTCATCTGTTACGAGAAGGGCGGTCTGGACGACGAGCTTGTCAAGATCACCAACGAGAACAGCATGTACAAGCAGCAGGCTCGATACCTGCTGGCCAAGCAGGACGAGGCTCTGTGGAACAAGGTTCTCTCTGGCGACGAGCACAAGCGACAGCTTGTCGACGCTGTTGTCGGCACTGCTGTGCCCGAGTCCGACTCTCCTGAGGCCGTTTCCATCGCCGTCAAGGCCTTCATGGCTGCCGATCTCCCCGCTGAGCTGCTCGAGCTGCTCGAGAAGATCATTCTCGAGCCCTCTCCTTTCAGCGAGAACGCCAACCTGCAGAATCTGATGATTCTGACCGCCGTCAAGGCCGACAAGTCTCGAGTCAGCAACTACATCGAGCGTCTGGACCACTACGATGCCGACGACATTGCTCAGATCTGTATCGACAACGAGCTGTACGAGGAGGCCTACGAGATCCACAAGAAGCACGACAAGCACGGCCAGGTCATGAGCGTCCTGACCGATCACATCATGTCTCTGGATCGAGCCTCCGACTACGCCGAGAAGGTCGACACCCCCGAGGTGTACTCTCTGCTTGGTAAGGCTCAGATCGATGGTCTGCGAGTTGGCGATGCCATCAAGTCTTACATCAAGGCCAAGGATCCCTCCAACTTTGCCCAGGTCATCGAGATTGCCAGTCATGCCGGCAAGGACGAGGAGCTGATTGATTTCCTGAAGATGTCTCGAGACATTTCTCGGGAGCCTGCCATTGACTCTCAGCTGCTCTTCTCTTACGCTGCCACTGATAACCTGCGAGCCATGCAGCAGCTGCTTGACTCGCCCAACGTTGCCAATGTGGAGTCTGTGGGAGACAAGCTGTTTGCCGACAAGAACTACGCCGCCTCCAAGATTCTGTACTCTTCCATCTCCAACTGGGCTAAGCTCGCCGCTGTGCTCGTCTACCTCGGTGACTACCAGGGAGCTGTCGACTCTGCTCGAAAGGCGTCCTCCGTCAAGGTGTGGAAGCAGGTCAACCAGGCTTGTATCGACAACAAGGAATTCCGACTGGCCCAGATCTGTGGTCTCAACCTGATTGTGCACGCCGAGGAGCTGCAGGATCTCGTCACCCAGTACGAGTACCACGGCTACTTCACCGAGCTCATTTCTCTGTTTGAGCAGGGTCTCGGTCTGGAGCGTGCCCACATGGGTATGTTCACCGAGCTGGCCATTCTGTACTCCAAGTACTCCCCTGGCCAGATGATGGAGCACCTCAAGCTCTTCTGGTCTCGTGTCAACATCCCCAAGGTGATCCGAGCCTGCGAGGCTGCCCACCTGTGGCCCGAGCTTGTCTTCCTGTACTGCCACTACGACGAGTGGGACAACGCTGCTCTGGCCATCATGGAGCGATCCACTGATGCGTTTGAGCACTCCTCCTTCAAGGACATTATTGTCAAGGTGGCCAACCTGGAGATCTACTACAAGGCCATTAACTTCTACATGAAGGAGGTTCCCATGCTGGTTACTGACCTGCTGTCTGTGCTTGCTGCCCGAATCGACGTGTCTCGAGTTGTGCGAATGTTTGACAAGTCCGACAACTTGCCCATGATCAAGTCTTTCCTTGTGACTGTGCTTGAGCAGAACCTGGCTGCCGTCAACAACGCCTACCACAACATTCTGATTGAGGAGGAGGACTACGTGACTCTGCGAGATGCCGCTGACGCCTACGACAAGTACGATGCCATCGATCTCGCCCAGCGACTCGAGAAGCACGACCTTATCTTCTTCCGACAGATTGCTGCCCATCTGTACAAGAAGAACAAAAAGTTTGCTAAGTCCATCACTCTGTCCAAGCAGGACAAACTGTGGAAGGACGCTATCGACACTGCTGCCGTGTCGGGCAAGCAGGACGTGTGTGAGGAGCTGCTGCGATACTTTGTCGGTACCGGCAACAAGGAGTGCTACGTCGCAACTCTGTACACCTGTTACGACTGGCTGCGACAGGATGTCGTGGAGGAGGTCGCCTGGAGACACAAGCTGGAGGACTACACCATGCCCTACAAGATCAACGTCACCCGGGAGAGCTCTTCTCTGCTGCATGCGCTCCAGAAGGACAACGAGGAGCGAAAGGCCAAGGAGGCTGCCGCTGCTGCTGCCGAGAGCGAGACCCCCATCATTGGTGGAGGTCAGCGGCTCATGATCACCCAGAGCAACGGAATGTACTAGAGAAGGAAATTTGTGTATGATTGAATGTAATAAATGTCTTGTATGAATATGAATAATGAGAACAGTTTGAGCAGTGAGAGAATATGAACAAAAACATGAATAAACCGTCAGCCCAGATTGCAAGGGTAGATGACTAAGCGACAAGAAATAGGACTGTTGGGGAGCAAAAAGATTGAGCGGTAGGGGAATTGAACCCCTGGCACCTGCTAGCAACTGTTTGGAAGGCAGATATGTTACCACTACACCAACCGCCCGACTCGATGGAAATCGGAGTGCCGAGGTGTAATATAACGAGACAAATCGCGCCGAAAATTCCGATTTACGGGTGTTTGATAATTATGCAAAGATTTGTGAGCTTCAAAGAGTTGATTGTTTTTTTGGTTACGTAATTAGGATGTTTTTTGAGGTCCCCTTTTTTGTATTAACTAATGTGTCAAGTAAATTAGTTGTTTGAATGTTCAAGTAACTTTAATACTCCTAGAACGCGTGCAGAAACACGTTATTTTTTGCCAGAAAAAAAAAACATCAACACTTGTATACACAACACAAACAACATGGTACGACCGCGGGTTTCTCTGGCGCCCAACCGGCTCAATCACGCTGGCAGCGAGCTGGACGAGAAAATTGCGGCCAAGAAAAGAGAGCTGCAGCAGCTGGTTCAGCTTCGACAGTATTCTTCCGACCTCGCAGATGAGTTGGAGGGACTGGTGCAACACGTGTCGTGTCTTGCAGAAGAGACAGATGTGGTGGCGGAGGTAATGGGCAACTGGGCAGCCGTGATTCGCGCCATCAATCTCGCCTCCACGGCTCTGGCAAGATATACTGAGGAGGACTATCGGGAGCCGGTTCTTCCGGAGCAGCTCATTCGAGTGCCTTTGGAGGACGAGCAGGAGGAGTAACGGGCCGGATTGAGACGTAATCACCGCGCAGAAGACGAGCCTGTATCTCATCTATGCTCTGACTGTGTCGCCCAGCAGTTCCAAGCTGTTCACCAGCAGTTCCAAGCTGTTCACCAGCAGTTCCAAGCTGTTTACCAGCAGTTCCAAGCTGTTACGCCACAGAGCAATGTGGTTCACTTGGAAGGCTTGAGTTCGCAGTTAGTGATTCAAAAGGACGAATTACCACATGCTCCAGAACTACGATACATTTACGATCACAACAAGTGTCGTACTCGTACTCGTACTATACTCATACGAACGTCATTGCTCTCGTTGTTACGTATCACGATCATCTGCGCGTGAGCAGTCAGTTTCGAAATGTGCGTCACTATATAAACGCGCGCGAAACGCCCACCCGGAACCTGCCAGATACACACAAACATCCACCATGAAGCTCCGTCTGTTTGTTTCCGTTTCAACGATGATGCTGCTGGCGTCTGCCAAGGAGTTCTGGATGGCTCTTCTAGACCCTCGGTACGCTCTGAATGGTGGACTTCTTGAGACCGACCGAGATGCATTAGCCACGTCCAGATGTCACGATCGGCTCTACATGGACGACTATCGTGTTCCCACTGACACGGCTGAAGCTCCCGTCGAGCAATTGGCCACTAAGAACCTCGTCACGCCCCAGCTGCGCAGAGTACGACCGGAGGGAGTTCCCGTTATCACCATCATCCGCACCATCAAGGATCCCGTCGAGACTGATTCCTAGGGCGTATGAAGTGCGCTTGGCAGTTGATGAAAACTACCAGACGCGCCTTGCGATAAGAGTTTTCCGATGGTTGGTATTGACACATGTGGTTGCTGGTAGCTACAGTCTTCCCCCTGAAGTCCACAGTGCTTCCGAAGTGCCGTGACTGGTACGTTTTGAGATTGAATGAATATGCCTGAATTGATTCCGTTTACCGTACCTAATGGTGAGAATCAGTCTGCATGTGCTGTATTCGCTGCGTGAGCTACCTGAAGCGTCAAGAGAGCATCATGGTAGGCAATTGTATCCACAGGACTGCAACTTTCTGGCCAAGGACATGCGTCGGGTCCATGATCTTCCTTACGGATCATTGACGTTTCTTCAATGGAGGAGAGACACAATCTGCGAATGATCAAACGAAAGCCCAACGAACGGTCAGACACAACTCGCAGCGAGGTGGAAAGAGCTTCTTGGAGCTCCAGTGGATCTTTCCGAAGAGATGAATGAGTCAGCAATGAGTGAGTAGCTTGTGATATGAACAATTAAAACACGACTGCTGTACAATACAACTGTATGTCCTGACTGTCTTTAACTGTAGATGGTAGATCATTTTCCACGATTTTGCACGATTTACCAAGACAAGAGATGTTATAAAGACTGTCAATCGACTCGAAGTTCCAAGCTGATTCGAATGGTATACATATTTACACCACTTGTAGTACAAAAATCCTAGGAGGTGTCCTGTTGTAAGGGTCTGTCCAAGGCGCAGTTGGTGATGAGCAATTGGTGATGAGATTTGGTTGATTCGGATAGAAATTAGGGAGACGCCAATTCGAGACGAAACCTCCAGTCCATGAGTCTCCAACGAGTCTTCAACGAGTCTTCAACGAGTCGTCAACGAGTCTTCAACGAGTCTTCAACGAGTCTTCAACGAGTCCTCAACGAGTTCTTCTGCTCTCATCGCTAACCTCATTCACCCTCACCCTCTCACCTCTCACCCTCCCTCACTCCCGCTTACATAAACATCGTGGGTCATCTTGGAGTTGCCTTGTTGATCATTGAGCCCAAGGTTGCTGCCTGTCAAAATGAGCCAAACTGGTTGCAAGACGGCGGCTCGCTGTATTGTACGGTTCACAAGACAAGACGCTGGTTGACGCCGTTGAGTGCTGTTGACGCCGACCCGTTCCTACCCAGTTGGCTCAAATTCCCGCAATGGTTCCATTATATTCCATCGTGGACCGCAAGGTCTATTTCCACAAGGGCGGAGGTCACACTTTGGGCTGGTCCGACTAGCCGCTGCAGATTATGACGACATGATGCACATGCTCAAACCATGTTGGCTTTTGAAGGCGGGCTGCAAGGCGCATAGCGGCGATGTCGACGCATGATGGCGACTGTCTTGGTGGTAGACATTGCATCGAGGGGTTTGGTCCAAGAAAAGGACGACATTTGTAGCTGCTGAAATCGCCGCAATTTTCCAGAATAAAAACCCCGCAACTGCTTCCTCGTCCCGTGTCCACGCCAATCCCCAAAAGCAAGTGTGGGAAGGCTTTATACGGCGAACAAAGACCTTGTATGGTTACTGTATGTACTGTTGATAGTACGACTATGTACAGTATCACCACTTGGCGATATTATCCGAGACGGTGCATGTTGACCTGTATAATGAAACTCGCTTAAGCATGCGGGACACATGGACAATCCGAGCGGGGGGTTTTGGACACGGTGGAAGGTCGTGGAAGACGGTGGAAGGTCTGCGATAGTCGCCGCCAGATGCTCGTCCGCCTCACCCCAAACGCCACTCCGTCCAGCTGCCCAACTTGAACCTTGGTCTTTTTTACGGTTGGCAATTGAGTTCGCAAGACACTCTATCGCGCCTACTACTGTGGAGTTTAAAGCGGACCTGGGGATTTGGGGCCGGAGTGAAAGCCGGTGTTTGGGGCCTTTTTTTGCCGGAGAAAATGCTCCAGGAGGAAATTGTAGTCTCTGAAAACACTCTGGGCTTTTAATTGGGGCGATTTAGACCCGAAAACAGGCCCTGGGACCCAAGTGGTCCACGCCACGCCTTAACTCATCTCTTTTAGTTGCTGCGTCTATGCATGTCCAGCAACCTGTACAATATAATACCGAGCTCCTCCCTTCTCTTCTTCCTACCTCTCTCTCGAAGTAACCACCACAATTATGTCACAGCAACCACCCCACAATCCCCCCCAAGCCGCCTCGGCCGCGGCCCACGCCCTCAGCTCGCCCAAACACGGCAAGCACGATGTGGTCCCCGAAGAGGTCCAGGCCGCCTACGCCTCGTACGAGTCGTCCCACGGCAAGGCCCTGCCAGCAGGAAGCCGGATCGAAACCAAGGACGCCGTCTACGTTGTCGAGGACGAGGCCAAGCAGCGAAGCAGGACGTCGCCCAGCCATTCGCCCAAACAGTCGTCCGTTTCGCAATCGGTGCAGAACAAGTTCAGCGCCATTGACCGTCAAATCAAGAGCGGTCGAAAGCCCCAGTCGCCAACCCAGTCCCACCATGCCCCTCGTGCTGGCCAGCACCAGACCCAGCACGCCGGCCAGCACCAGACTCAGCACGCCGCTCATGTCGGACAGCATGCCCCCGGAGCTACCGGTCAGCACGCTACTCAACACTCTGGCCACCAGGCTCTTCACCACCCCGTTCAAGGTAAGTACAAGACACGGCGCCAACTCCAGACCCAACTCCAGACCCAACTAACATAGACGCACAAAAATCCCCCTCCAGATCCCTGGCAGGTAACGTGAGAGACCAGTACTCGACTCCCGGCGCCGCCGGCGCTGCGGGCGCCTCGGGAACCCACAACGTGCACCAGATTGGCAAGGACCGATTCCACGACAAATTGGTTGACAAGCACGATGCTCTGCAAAAGCAGCGAGCGGACGTCCTGGCCAGCGATGCCAAGAATGAGAAGATCATCAGCTCTGGAGCAGCCCATGGTGCTACCTCAGCCACCCCCACAACAGGTGTTGCCTCCGCCCCGGCCTCCGCCCCGGCCTCCGCTCCTACTGGTGCTACTGGCGCCGCTACTACCGGCGCTACTACCGGCGCTACTACCGGCGCCACTACTGGTGCTACTACCGGCGCCACTACTGGTGCTACTACCGGTGCTACTGGTGCCGCTCCTGGTACCCCTCCAACCTCCAACCCTACTTCTCGACCCTCGCCCAAGAAGCGAGAGTCCTGGGGCAACAAGTTCAATGCCTTTAAGAACAGAGACAAGGATGTCGCTGAGAAGCTCGAGAAGGAGGAGAAGCCTAGCGGAATCCGAGGCTTCTTTTCCGGTCTCACCAAGCGAAAGGACAAGTACGAGACAAAGGAGGAGAAGGTGCTTGACGACGCCTACCAGAACGAGGAGCAGTCGTTCACCACGCCCGTTGCTGACGGTGCAGGAAACCTCGAGTCCAAGGAGGTGCCCAACTTGGGTGGATTCCGAGACACCACTCTTCCCGATGTGGAGCAGAGCGTCATGGACGGCCGTCCCGACGAGTACGACACCAGCACCTTTGGAGGCAAGGCCAAGGCAGGAATCGCATCTGTTGTCGATGCTGTTGGTCTAGGCCAGGATGGAGCCCAGCCCGAGCCCGCTCACGGCTTTGCTGCTGCTCGAGATGCTGCTTCAGGAGGTCACGAGTTTGCTGGCGAGCGAGTTCTCGCCGAAGCACGAGCCGAGTCTGAGGCCCAGCCTCTCGGTGAGGTCCCCGGTGCCAACTCCAAGGTTGGAGCCACTGGTCTGCCCACCAAGAACGAGCTTGGAGCTGTCGTTGGTGAGGATCACCCTGACCACCCCAAGAACCTAAAGCTTGGTGACGAGGTGGTCAGCAAGCTGCGATCCGGCCAGGCCGGTGTCGGTATTGTTCCCGACTACCATAAGAACGCCGAGAAGGCTCCTGTTGCTGAGAAGGGTGCAGCCGACAACACCACCCGTAACACTTTTGCTAAGGACGCCCAGCTTGATGACACTCTCCCCCACAAGTCTAAACTCGATGCCTCTGGTCTGCCTCTTAAGCAGTACGCTGACCGAGACGTGAGCACTCTGGAAGACTCTACAAAGGTCAAGGAGCCAGACTACTCCCCTAACTTCGCCAAGGACGCCTCTCTCGACCCTACCCTTCCCCATCAGTCCAAGCTGTCTGCTGCTGGTCTCCCCCTGTCTTCTACCCAAGCTTCTACCCAAGGTTCTTCTGACAATGCTGTTTCTGGAGATTTCAACCTCAAGTCCAACCAGATTGCAGGAGACGTGACCAAGGTTGGAAACGACCCCCGATTTGCTCATGCTGCTGGCTCTGAGATCAAGCCCGAACACGAGCTCACCATTGAGGACGGCCCTCGAACTCTGGACCCCGGTTCTGCTGTTTCTGGTGATTTCAACCTGAAGGCTAACCAGATTGTTGACGATAAGACAAAGATTGGCAACGACCCTCGGTTTGCCCACGCTGCTGACGAAGTGATCAAACCCAAGCACGAGCTTGCCATTGGCGACGGTCCTTCTGCTGGTGCTTCTTCTGGCAACCCTGTGTCCGGAGACTTCAACCTCAAGTCTAACCAGATTGCTGGTGATGTTACCAGGGTAGGAAATGATCCTCGATTCACAGAATCCAGCTCTACCATTAAGCCCGCCCACGAGCTCGCTATTGGTGATGGTCCCTCTACTTCCTCTTCTGCTCCCGCTTCTGGTAACGCCGTCTCCGGTGATTTTAACCTCAAGGCCAACCAGATTGTTGGCGACGAGACCAAGGTCGGATCTGACCCCCGATTCGCTTCTGGTGCTTCTTCTTCCAAGCCTGCGCACGAGTTGGAGATCACCGACCCTGGCCACTTCAAGCCTGCTACTGGTGCATTCAACCTTGGATCTAACGAGATTGCTGGTGATGTTACCAAGGTTGGCAACGATCCTCGATTTGCTCATGGTTCCGGTACTGGCTCTTCTGCTCCTGCTTCCGGTAACCCTGTTTCTGGTGATTTCAACCTCAAGGCAAATCAGATTGTCGACGATAAGACCAAAGTTGGTGCTGATCCCCGGTTTGCTGATGGTTCTAGCTCTTCTCATCCTACCCGGGAGCTGGAGATCACCGATGGTCCCTCTTCTACTGGTGCTCCTGTTTCTGGCAACCCTGTGACTGGTGATTTCAACCTGAAGGCCAACCAGATTGTCGACGATAAGACTCAAGTTGGCTCTGATCCCAGATTTGCTTCTTCTACCTCCTCTTCGAAGCCCGCTCACGAACTCGAGATCACTGACCCTGGCCACTTTAAGCCAGCTACTGGTGCTTTCAACCTCGGCTCCAACGAAATTGCTGAAGATGTTACCAAGGTCGGCAAGGATCCTCGATTCGTGAAAACCGAGACTGGTGTGATCCATCCTGAGCACGAACTTGCTATTGGTGATGGTCCTTCCTCCGGCTCTGGAGCCCCTGCTTCTGGTAATGCTGTTGACGGAGACTTCAATCTTAAGGGAAACCAGATTGTTGACGACAAAACCAAGGTTGGCTCGGACCCCCGATTTGCCGGTGACTCTTCCAAGCCTGCTCACGAGCTTGATATTACCGACCCTGGAAATTTCAAGCCGGCTACTGGTGCTTTCAATCTCGACTCCAACGAGATCGCAGGAGATGTTACCAAGGTTGGCAACGATCCTCGATTTGCTCATGGTTCCGGTACTGGCTCCTCTGCTCCTGCTTCCGGCAACCCCGTTTCTGGGGATTTCAACCTCAAGGCTAACCAGATTGTCGATGACAAGACAAAGGTGGGAAATGATCCTCGATTTACCGGCACTTCCTCCTCTGCTAAGCCTGCCCATGAGCTGGATATTACTGATCCTGGTCACTTTCAGCCTGCTACTGGAGATTTTAACCTCAAGTCTGATCAGATTGCCGACGATGTGACCAAGGTCGGAAACGACCCTCGATTTGCCTCTGGCGCCTCTTCTTCCAAGCCTACCCACGAGCTGGATATCACTGATCCTGGCCACTTTCAGCCTGCTACTGGAGATTTTAACCTCAAGTCTGATCAGATTGCCGACGATGTGACCAAGGTCGGAAACGACCCTCGATTTGCCTCTGGCGCCTCTTCTTCCAAGCCTACCCACGAGCTGGATATCACTGATCCTGGCCACTTTCAGCCTGCTACTGGAGATTTTAACCTCAAGTCTGATCAGATTGCCGACGATGTGACCAAGGTCGGAAACGACCCTCGATTTGCCTCTGGCGCCTCTTCTTCCAAGCCTACCCACGAGCTGGATATCACTGATCCTGGCCACTTTAAGCCTGCTACTGGAGATTTTAACCTCAAGTCTGATCAGATTGCCGACGATGTGACAAAGGTTGGAAACGATCCCCGATTCGCCAAGCCTGAGAATGAGCTTGACATCACCGACGGTCCTTCTTCCAAGGTCCCCGGTTCGTTTGGCGCCGTCTCTGGTGACTTCAACCTCAAGGGTGAGCAGATTGCCGAAGAGATCAACAAGGTGACCAACGATCCCCGGTTCTCCAAGAACTAATCGTGATAGGAATGTAAGGGGTTCCTGGTAAAAATCACACTTGCAGCAGTCTGTTACGTGTACTTTATTTTTGTATGTATGTAATGTAATAATGATATTCAATTGAACGGAAACGAATGTATCACTAGCGACTTTGGTATTCCAGGTTATATCGTAAAGGCTCAAAAGATTTCTCAACGCAATTCATCCAAGAAGAGCAGGCCATGCACAACGAATTACCGTAAACCGAATTACTGTATGCCGCGGACCAAAGGACTGTAGCTGTTTGTCTGTTTCTGTTCCACAAGTATTCCCGTTCGCCAGTGGTTTTAAATCGAAAGTTCCTAACAAAATGTCACCATTATAGCCCCTTATACTTGACAAAAAAATCTCACACGCTCCCACCTCTAAACAGGTCTTAATGAGGCCCAAAAGGGATTAAAATGAAACTGGATTGATTCTGAAGCTTTCTGAACTCATTTGGAATTGACTTTACGAGGAAAATCGGTTCGAATTCGCCAACTTTTTGAAATTTTTCACACTTTTCGGATAGCAGGGGTCACCGTCTCAGAGGTTTCAAAAACCGGCAACCTGGCCGAGCGGTCTAAGGCGCCAGGTTAAGGTCACACCTTAACATAATATCCTGGTCTCTTCGGAGGCGAGAGTTCGAATCTCTCGGTTGTCATTTTTGCCAATCTCTGCAAAACTTTTTTAGTTATTATTTTTATGCATTTTTTAGGTTTTGTCATCAGGTGTAAAATATATATTTCAAAAAACTAAAGTGCAAGAATACACACTGAATTAATCGTAGAAAATGCAAAAAGTGATTTCTGGCAGGATCGAACTGCCGACGTTCTGCGTGTTAAGCAGATGCCATGACCAACTAGACCAAGAAACCGATTTCTGAAGACCATATGGAGCAATATCGTTAGTTAGGGTCGTCTGATTACGTCATCACTCATCGCAATGAACGCCAATAACCCGGCTTACTAGGTATATAGCTGTAATGAATCAAAAAAAAACCGGCTTACTAGCTATATAGCTATAATGAATCATTGGAGGACAAAAAACGGAGATCCTACTGAGATCGCTGTGAGGCAATGGACTGATTCCTCGACCCATGGTGTCAGGGGTCAGGAACTTGCAGGATTTTTCTTGGCCTGTATTACTTGTATTCTAATATGTCTTCCTTTACACTTCCGACAGTGACCATACCTTCGGTATAGTCATCGCGGCTGATTCATCAGCCTGCTGAGCTAGGGCCTGGGTTCTATTGAAATGGTTTGATTGTGTTATCTGAATTGTGTCATTTTTTCCGATTTTCGTCTAAACCGTCATTCTAGTGAGCCCTATAACGTCAAAAAAAGCCCTTAATTGTTTTTTCACCCTTTGTTTCTGTATACACCCAGTTTCACATACCTTTCGCCTTGAACACGGTGTGAGCGGATTGGAGAAAAGTTCCACATGAGAGGTTTACGTACACCTAATGATAAAAGCAAGTCTTACAGATGCCTTTGAAGTACCATCGGAGATTCTTACTGCTTATACAAGCTCCCTTTCGTACCATTATTCGTCCTTGAGCTGTGACCGTATACATCTCTGTTTCTACCGTATGTACGTAAGATCTCTTGAAAAGGAGATCCCTTGAAAAAACCATGGAGTCCCACAACTTGTCCAACTTGTCCAACTTGTTATATAAAGGTTAGGCCAACAATTGAATGTTTCTCTCATAATTTTTGTCGAATAGTAGCGTTGTTCACTGCGTTACGGGTTCTCAAGGCGGTGTGCTCTAGTCTAGATGCAATGTACATAGAGATGACAGATGACAGCAATTCCTTGTGAAAACTTGTTACTTTGTATGGCTCATATATGTATGGTGGACTTTTTAAAGGCCATATCCTAGTTGTGAATTAAATGGGACAACATGAGCACGAGCTACGGCCGTCGCACAACGATCGATAGTAGTGCCGCACTTACGAGTCCGCAAACGGTCAAAACTGTCGGAGGAACCTCAAGGACTTGAAAATCTGTACATATCTAGGGTGGCTAGTGTGTCTCTAGGGTTTATTTCCAAAATGCGTGAACCACTTCTGTCGCATACACTACTGAATGTGGTAAAGATTTTGTAGTCAAGTCACAGAACAATAACTAGCTAGTGTGCGGTACAATACAATGTCAACTTCATTCTCCAGCTGCGGAAAAGTTGGAGTCCATAACAAACAAATCATCATCTTCCTAGCGTCTTTGTATTGCACATTGTACTTGTTGAATGGAGTTCGTGGACTACCTTGCAAAAAAGATAGAACATGGTATATGTCAAGAAGATGAGATGGCAGAGAGGCTAGAATGGTGCAAACTCGAATAATTCACCCTGAAGATTCTCTGTTCCGGATATACCACTTTGATCTTACGATAAACGCCGCTTTGAGGAGATGATGCTTCTACGACTGTTTTATCGAAAGCATTATAACACTTCGTTCGCTCCAGGGCAGGAGTTTGTTGCCTATGGGAAGCCTGGTGAATGGAACATGATCATGGAGAACACCAGGATGAGAAAAATCCATATCTAAGACCAACCAAGAGCATCAAAATGTAGAGATCTCAAATAAATGCTTCAAAGCTCAAGCGCGAGCAATTCTTGGCCAACAGCGTCTTGTAATGAAAGAAAGTGCGAGATCATGCCAATGATGAGATATAGTGCTAATGACAAAGTTGGTAGGGGTTCAGGAAATCACAAGTGATGTACGACGGCATATATGTACCGATACCGAGTCATTCAAGCTATAAGTACTGGTACAACTACAAGTACAGTACTAGGTATCTTTCGCTTCATCATTACTCTTCTTTCGCATCATCATTACTCTTGGAAAAAAGTCTCCAAAGGTAGTGGTTGGCCAAATAGCCATCTAATGGTGTATCCACTGCCGACTTCTCCCTCCGAACAGTCCACCGGGAAAAGGTTGATCTCTGGACTTCAAGAGTTGCAAATACTTGTAATCACAACTGTACTCTGTGTAATACCGATAGATACACGACCTGAACGGAACTGTGGGAGAGTGAGGTGGAACGAAAATGGAGAACTAGGAACTGGATGAAAACAACATGAAGGAAAGCGACGAGGAGGACGGAAATAAAAATGGAGCTGTTATTGAAGTGATTATGAATAATGTGGTCAAAAAATCAAGAGAATGGATCGCCTGTGCAAATATATATACTGCAGCTGAATACGTTGAATGAATACACACAATGTTGAAGCGCGCAATAGATGGTCAGTATCTGTACAGTATTTGAAGTTGATTGAGTATACATTCGAGTACAGTCAGTTATAAATAACGGAGTCTTAATGCCAAATGTCTTGTTCCTTTAATATTTTTTCTCCCGTTTTTTTTTTCTAAAAACATATTAAATATATTACAAAGAAATTGGAAAAAAAGGATATTGAAACGAAACTTATTTCCAGAGAAGAACAACTGACGATGATAAACACCAGGACAAAAAAGAGGACGACAGGACTCGAACCCGCAGCCTTTGGAGGACGTCGTTCAGAAGAACCGAAATCCAATGCGCTACCATTACGCCACGTCCTCTGGAATTTTTATTTTTTGGAAAGTTGGGACTAAGATAGTGGGATTTGATGACTAATGGCCGGCTTACTAGGTATATAGTTGTAATGAATCATTAGAATAAAAAAAAAAAAAAAGGTTGCGACTAGAATTAAAAAATAATTCATGTGTTCCTCTAGAACACCAAGAAACGTCATTCCAACAAGCCACCCACAACGATTCCAACTTCTTCGTCTTTCTGTAGCCCTCGACGGTCCAGCTTGAAAGGACTACCAGATTTTTTGCCGTGTTCAAGATTGTATATCTAAAGGAGGAACAAGAGGTAACTGCGAGCTCGACAGCCGTACTTCTACAAGTACGCTCTTCTGTACGAGTACGCTCTTCTGTAAAACCCAATCCGAGTCCGAGTCCGATGGGTTGGTTTAACATTGTTATTGGCCCAAAATGTCCTAGAATATCAACGAATGATTTTTTTTCTTCATTTTTTTCTTCATTTTTTTCTTCATTTGTTTTTCTTAATTTTTTTTTTTTCATTTTTTTAAATTATGTTTTTATGTTTTTTCGGTGAACCGAACATCATGGGGAATCATAATCGAAGTAAACAAAATCAATTACTAAATTAAAAGAACTGCTGACCCCCAGAATAATCTCTCTTTCAGCTTGTAATCGCCATCATTAGACGAAACCCGTCTTTCTTTCATGCCAACAAAAAGAGTAAGTAATAGTGGAGTCAACTTTTGACATTCTAACTAACTTTAACTTTTCATATTCGTGTAAGCGTACATTCATTTCAAAGGTTATTCTTTCACAGCAAAGTTATAATTAAATGAATGTATATGCAGAAAAAAAAAAAAAAAAAAATCACCTCCCTCCCACGTGACTTACCCGGTCGTGCAAAACCCTCAGATATGTGAGAAAATAAAGTGCTTTGTGCGTACCAGGGATAGGGTAGGTAGTGAAATCTGAGTTAGTACATCAACTCTAGACGATGGGCGTCGCCTGTGTAGAAGAACAATAACTCACCCGGTAACTAACACTATTTCTCGGTGGTCAATGCGTCAGAAGATATCAAGACGGTCCGTTTTGCGTTTAAGCCGAGTGAATGTTGCCTGCCGTTAGTAAATTTATTATGAAAAACCCCACTATGAATACATCAGCCTATACTGATATACCAAGAAGTGCAAGGGAGGTGGTCCTGTTCCACCTGAACGCGGTTCCCGACAGGCGGCGGTACTGAAGGGCTTTGTGAGAGAGGTAACGCCGATTCTCTCTGCAGTCGTAAGACCCAGGTGGTGTGTCCGAGGCAGTATCGCTTTCCCAACTCTAGTAACCTCGGTAGTGTGAGACACACTACCCCTAACGGTAGGACAGCCGGACGACGATGGCGCAGCAATTGGCGAACGCTGTTATAAAACAATTCACTTACGTGCAATGAAAGTTGTTTGGGCAATAAACAATAAATGTATTAGAGCCAGACGATAGACAACAATCCAGCAGATGATGAGCAGGAAAATTGAGTAAGATCGACGTGGCAAGAAGAGTTACAGTTACGCAGAGTTAATAAGGTGTTGGGAGATTAGAGTTACCCTGTCGGATGACTAACTCTCCAGAGCGAGTGTTACAGATAGAGCTACACCTCCAGGTGCAGAATCACAACTCCACACGGAACCACACATACAACAATGATCTTCCAGCTTTCCGAAGAGTCCCGAGAACGAATTTCCAAGGTCCTCGATCTTGGCCGAGTTGCCCTCCACTACGGATGGATCCCCTTTGTCATCTATGTCGGTGAGTATGAATCGGAGTATTCAGTCGGTGCAGATACGAGTGTTCTGACTAGTGTCTGACTCGAGTGTGTGATCTCCAGTCACGACTTGTATGTCTCAATCAATTACTAACAATAGGATGGGCCCAGACTCTTCCCCGACCCGGTCTTGTCAAGTGAGTATTACGAGATGTGGCGGCGTTGCGCGCATAGAATGGGAGTTGACAGGATGAGGCTGTTGACCGATACAGGTTGAGATCGTTTGTGATCGTTTTGGGTGTTTTGTCTGAGTGATCTACCTGATGCTTGCCTGGGCTGATTGATACGACTGATGACAGGATTATCCAACAACCGGATATCTAACGATAACGAGAGGATCCAACGACAGGATCCAACGACAGGATCCAACGACAGGATCCAACGACAGGATCCAATGACATTTTTGCCATCCAGTCGAGCCTGAAACACCGAAATGACGCTTCTATGAAAGCGTTCCAGGGCCATCTGCCACAGCGCAGTTTTACCATCAATAATTCCATCAGGAACGAGATAACAACTATTGCTTCAGCCGACGCCATTCTACGCTTTTGGCAACCACTAACCCAGGCTCCTCTCTCCCTTCCCCACCGCCTAATCAGGTCGACTTTTGTATATATGAAAATAAAGTGAGATTGTGATGGTTTTTGTAGGTCGGTTACATGGCAAGCTGTATACTGGTGTCCTCCTCGGAGTCCCATCATCTTCGTATGTCTTGACAAACATATATATAAATTTCCCACTATTTACTGACGATACTGGCAATGATTTCATTTATGTTTTAATGTCCGTTATCTCCGTTATATAACCCTCATTTGTTGGGCCATTTGTTGACTTTTGTTGGATTTTGTTGGCTTTTGTTGGATTTTGTTGGCTTTTGTTGAACTTTGTTGACCTTTGTTGACATTTTGTTGACATTTTGTTGACATTTTGTTAAAACTTCGTCAAACTAATCCAAGCTATATACTCGCCCTATGCATGTTCCCAAACCTTGCAACATTGTTTCAAAAAATTCCGTCTCACACAAAATCCCCACAGATGGATCCCTGGCTGCGAGATCTGGTAGCGGGAACGGTGGCGGGCTCCGTGTCCACCGTGTTCATGCATCCGCTGGACCTGCTGAAAATCCGACTGCAACTGGACGGAAACCTGGGGACGGTGCTGAGATCGCTGCGACAGTCGGACGGACCCTACGCGGGGAAATTTCGGGGCCTGTACAAGGGCCTGTATCGCGGTCTGGGCATCAATTTACTCGGAAACGCCGCGGGATACGGCGTCTACTTTTCTCTCTACGGCATCGTCAAGAAAATGCACCTGTTTGATGGACCCCACGGCTACTTTTTCAACGCTCTCATCACAGGAACAGCCACAAGCATAGCGACCAACCCGCTGTGGGTGCTCAAGACGCGAATCTGCTCGACAAACGCCGGCCATGTGGACGCATACTCCTCCATGCTCGACGGAGTCAAACGGATCTACAGCCAGGAAGGAATCAAGGGCTTCTGGAGAGGCCAGATCCCGTCTCTGCTTGGAGTGGTGCAGGCCGCAGTTCAGTTTGGATTCTATGACTGGGCCAAGGAACAAGTCAAGCTAGCGCGGTCGCGCGACCCCTCCAACAGCTACGACATTTCACTCACAAAAGAAGGGGCTCCCAGTTATTTGTCAACCAAGGAGTACTTATTGCTGTCGTCCACGAGTAAGGCTGTGTCCACTGTTTTGCTGTATCCTTACCAGGTGGTGCGTTCCAAGCTCCAACGATACGATGCCGGAAAGATGTACTCTTCCATTGGTGACTGTATCAGCAAGATATACAGCAATGGCGGCTTCTTTGCCTTCTATCGAGGTCTAGTGCCGAATTTGCTTCGCGTTCTGCCAGCCACCTGCATCACTTTTGTCGTCTATGAAAAGGTCAACGAGCAGTTGGAGGAGGTGAGATGACGAGGTGAGATGACGAGATGATGGGGTAAGATGGTAGGGTGAGAACGTTGTCAGGACGTTCGGGCGACGTTCTGTCGCATATTGGTTGGAAAAAGGCATGTACATATTAAATTATTGACGATACTTGGAGGAGCGGTTCGGTTCTAATTTCCCTTTTTTCCAGATTTATTCCAAAATCGAGTGGAAGTCAGAAAAAATCCGACGATATTCGGTCGAACAAAACGAGTAATCAAAACCCCACGAAGACCATGCGGTTCATCGAGAATTGTGTTGATCGAATCAGTCCGTTCGCCACTTTGAGAGCAAGTCGACTCGGCATCTTGATGATCGCCAGAAACAAAATATCGGACTCCTGCCATAACCAACAAACTACAAGAGCAGTTCTTTTTACGACGATGGACGATCTGCTTGGAATTTCACAGTGCCGTGAATACTCAAGCTTGTCCAATCACCTCCCAGGTTTTCTTTTTTTGCCCTGACAACTTCTCCCCCCCCCCAAAGTCGATCGGAAATGGAGAAGTGCTTTTTCCGCCGGCGGTTGTGCTTTTTCGGCTGACGTTGGTGCTTGTTGAAGCGAGCGTTTGAGCGTTGATAAAAGCAAGCAGGCGGCATCCAAAAGAAACGAACGTCGGGTCAAACAAGAAAACATGGGTCTTGCTTGTTTCAAATCACACGATTGTCAAGGTATGTGTGCCCCCCAACCGAGAGGTTATGTATGGTTATTTTGATCATGAGGTTTGTCTGGCTAGTGCGAGTGCAATGTTTGATGCTTTCTGGGTCTTCCAGAAGGCCGAGTGGTGTAGGATATACACCACGTAGCCACACTCTGGGTTTCCATGTCTCCTTTTGACCTCATTAGTACAGGACAGGAACTATCCAAGCGCGCCCCAGAACCCCCAACCAACGTATGCACGCGCAAATACCTGAAGCTATGAGCAATGTCTTAGCGAGCTTGGAATGGAGCAAGATTCGTCCGGGTTGCGCCACCGACCCGTTTGGTCCTTTTGGGAATAATCACGGGCTTTGTGCTTTTGCTTCCAAGTAGAGGCGGTGCAGATGTCGGGTTGTCCACCGAGATTGGGCCGAGACTGTACGGCTCCGGCGAGTGGAAGCAAAATGAGCTGATTCTGGATCGATATCTGTTCCGAGGAGATCGAAGAACCGAGTTTTGAAGTCGTGGGCCGAGCTGTAGTGAAATTACGAGGCTTGTTGTTCTCCCGGGTTCTACCATGTACTCAAAGCCTTCCCGTGGGGCATTGAGGAGTCCAGATTTCGGATGTGGGCTAGAAAAGGGGTGATTATGAGTGATTAACGTGATAAAGAGTAGCTATGGTCTCGGGTTCGACCTATTCCATGGTTGTGGGTGGTTTTTGCCAGAGCTTTATGTGCAGCTATAGATACAAGCCGTGGTCATAATGTAGAGAATGAAGCCCGGAACGAGGGCATACTGTTCGTCATTGTATATAAGGACATTTGCGTAACCCATGGCAGAAGTTCTCGACTCGATTAGAAGTGTTTTTTTTTTGGGGGGGGGTGGTTCTGGAGGGACGTTCCCTGAAAAGTGTCAATAATAATGTATACAGAGTGAATTTTTGGAGAGTAGGAGTTGGAAAATGGACGATACAACGTCCTAACAGTCATTAGTCTGGTGCTTTGACCATTTTCTGGAACGTCTGGGTGTATACTGACGTGATGGTTGTGCGAGGAGTTGTACGAGTACACACGAGTACACAGTACATACCAACTAAATGGAGAGGAGGTTTGTAGAAAAAGGAAAAGCGAAGTTGAGAAGCTGCCTTAAAACGATTACTGACAGCTCTTGAACTCCGTGTCTCAATACACCTCAGCTCAGTGCCAGAGGAGTCCACCCACAGTGCCACTCAGCTCTGAGTCCAGAGAAGTAGACCTGATGCGGGCTATGGGCGAGATTCTCAACTAGTAGAGCTTGATGGTTGCACAAAGAACATGGATATATTGTGGTGTTTTATCTTTGTATTCCGTTGCTGGACACATCCGATCAGGTCTCCAATCTCTCGAGTCTTCACGACGATACAAGAAGGAATTGTTGGATAAAGTGAAATTTTATTAACAAATACATGTACGACTTACATATCACTTGCCGGGAGGTGTTCCCATAACCAGACTCTTCTCTCTACCAGAGAGGCTCCTCACGAGAGTCTCCGCATCCTAGTGGAGGATTCGTCTGAGACGCCATCAGGTTGACCAAATTCAGCAGCTACTTTTCTAAAGGGGAAATGAATCCCCGCGTGTGAAAGAAGGGGCTAAAAGAAAATCGAAATCTAACTTGTTGCAGCTCGACGTTTTTCTTCAGAGCAAGATAGAACTGCGGCAGGTACTCACTCCCCACTGTCATACACAGCTTTGTCAGATGTGGAGTATGACTTAAAAGGTCAATTGAAAGAGAATGTGAGTGACGACTGTTGGAAGAATAGCATATGAGCACTCTTTCAGAGGCCTTGTGGCTATAAACTGTCTGTGGGACTTTGAGGGATCTGACATGGTGCAACTTTCGGGCGACAGTGTTGACCGATCTATGATCTTTGTTGGATACAGTACATACAGTACATACTCCGAGTACTATGAGTCACTATTTGTTTTTCGATTTTTTGTTCTCGAGTCATGTTTTGTTTGTTTCTGAACGTCTTTGATCCCCTGGTGGCTTTCTGACACCTCTCCTACATTTTCTGCGGAGCCGTCAATAGATGATCCACGACATGTGTGTCTGCCCGGACAGTCTTGAGCAGATGAGCACAATATGTCACTTCATACAGCTGCTCAAAGCGGAAAGATCTCTCGTCAATCACCCCAATAACATCTGGTCGTGTAGTACGAGTGAGAGTACATACCGTACGATCACTGACTATACGTACCTCCACCCATCCGCCCAGCACAACCAAATCGAACCATTGAAACCCCTCCCCAACCAATTAACCGACTTTTCCTCAACTACTCTCTACAAGTAGCCAAGCTGTCACCTTTCTGTCACATTTCTGTCATTTTCTTTTCACGTGCCAAAGCCGTGGAAGAAACTCTCCGACTTTTCATCGTATTGGACTAAAAGGGGAGCCAGAGTGCATCTGTCGGTCACCAAATCCCACCGGATCCGATGACACCCGTCAGAGTTCCTACTTGTAGCGTCCTGTCGCTGTCAATGTGGGTCGAATAGGTGACACTTGATGGCCATGCAATGCACTTGAGATGACTTCCAGACAGAGGAGACTGGGTTTTGTAGTGTATAAACTGCAGGTTCAAGTGGCTCAACGGATCAGCAGATTGTACCACGGGTAGAGTACGAGTGTAGAAGGTACAAGTACGAATACTTACACTCACACTCACACTCACACTCACACTCACACTTTTCCGACCTATTGCTCACCAGATAGCATCTCCGAAAAAGTCTCCTCGTGATGAAACATGAAAGGTTTCATCTCATGACAAACACGGATTCTGTTGCGTATGTACAGTATGTACATTAGTGGTTGTTTCTGCACTAAAATCGATGGCTGCACAAGTGCTGATACATACTGCAGTTGTATCGTACCTGAAACAAAACGACGGTCTTTGTGTGCAAACAAAGACGGTTAAGACGTTTCGGTGGGGATCTGTATTCTTGTCTGTGATGTTTTGTCGCCATTTGATGTGTTTTGGGGGTTTTGGTGATCAAAATAAAATGAAATAGTTAGAATTTCTGGAAAAAGAAAAGAAAAGAAAAAAAAAAAAAAAAAAAAAAAAACAACCAACCAACCATCTTAATCATCTTAACCATCTTAACCATATCTTGTTCGTCAATCATTCACCTTCGATCTTCTGCCAGACCCTCTCCCCCCGCTTCTATCCCGATCCGTGGAGTGGGTCCGAAATGCCAGACCCACGTTCGTCCCGCCTGCATCTTTTAATTAGGGTGCAGCAAAATGCCAAAATGCCAAAATCAAACTTGTCCCAACACGCCTAAAACAAGCTTAATCCATTTTCCCACAAATTTCGAATCGGGTATCGGCAATCTGATAACGGCAAAAGGCGTTGCACAAAAAGAAATGTAGGGTGTGAGTATGAAGACAGTAGTGTACGAGTGCTGTATGGTGATGAGCGGGGTAGCGGAGGGGCGTTGGACATGGAGGAAGGACTGTGGTTGTGATGGAAAAAGACTAGCATGTAATCTCCAGGGTCCCGGAGCTTTGTGCTGTACATACTTGTCGTATCCCCAGTTGTGTGCCAGTTTGTGTGCCGTTTGTGTGCCATTTGTGTCCCTGGTCTGTTTCCAGGTTGGTGTCCTGTTGGTGTCCGATTTGTGTCGCGGTCCACTACAGTACTCCAACTCCATGTCCCGGTCTTCTCTGATCCCGTCTCTGACAGCACTCGTACTCGTACATGTGCTCGCCCAGTTCACCCTCCTTTCCTCCCTCCTTTGTCATCTGTTGAGTGCAACATATCCGAATTCGCACGTACTCGTACTGCAACGCGGTTGGAGCGCTGTGCAGACGTTTCTGGTGGAGATTTTAGTTTTAGCTCCGCTTGTCAAAATGAGACAAAAATAGCCAAAAATGAAATTATGTCATAATTAAAAAGAAAAATTGAAAATTGAAAATTGAAAATTGAAAAATCAGAAAAATCAGAAAAATCAGAAAAAAAACAGAAAAAAACAGGACAAATCATGCAATTGAGAAAAAAATGAGAAAAAACAGTTTGCACCTCAAATGGAACTAAAATGATATTGACATATTTCTCAACCGCCCCCAATCCATCTCACAAAACTGCAATCACATGCCGTACAACCACTTCGTCTCGCTCCCAAACGAACACTTATAAAGTTCCATTTTGCTCATTTGCCCACAATATTCACTGAAAAAGATTGGATTAACTCAAATAAAGTTGCATATTCCTGTTCAGGCCCCCCACATGGATCTGTCACCTGAGTCCCTCTTTCCTGACGACTTTCTCTGGCGTTTTTCGCCCGCTTTTCTCGACTTGCGCAGGCCCAACTTCAGTTAGCCGCGCAGGCCCCATTGCAGTTAGCCGCGGTGGTTTTGGCAGTCACGTGAAATCGTAAAAAATGAGGTGGAAAATTGCAGTGCAAATAAACTTTGGAAATCTTAAATGCCCCGTTCAACTACAAGTCTTCCAACGTGGTCCTCGAATACATTTCACGCCGATTTGGGCACCGCCGGGACACTTGTCGCGCCGTTCTCGTCATTATGGTACCGCCAAAGTGCCATTTTGTCCTCGTGTGGTCTTTTTATTGTGTTGTGTTCCGTGGTTATCCGCTTGGTTGAAATAATATTTGACAGAGTCGTACAGTGACAGAGTCTGCTCCATTTACCAGAAGCAGTTTTGAGTGATTTTGGATGTCATCATTCGGAGATTTCTCTTCTCCAGCCCTGCTTGTGCGCTATTTCTCTCGTACTAATCTTCTCTCGTACTCATCTCCTCTCATCTCCTCTGGAAAAGTGATATATATATATATATATATATATATATAAATATATAGCAAAGTACTTGTAGCTACTTCTAGGATTAGTCGTAAAATTAGAGACAGGGGCTGTGGACCTGAAAGTCTCGACTGGCTGAGGTGATCGGCGAAATGGCTTGACGTGCGGGACCGATCTGCCTGTACTGCCTGTGCTGCACACATGCTGTCGACTGTCTCACTTTTGCGGGCTGTTTGTGGCAACCAGGTGGAGTTGCGGCTAACTGGTTGGGGAGGCAATTCAGGAAGATTTCAGAATTAAAGCAGAATGAAAATTACAATTAATAAATGAAAATTGAAAATTAAAACAGAAAATAGAATTAAAAATTAACAAATGAAAATTAAAAAATAACAAAAACAAAACAAAACATGGAAACGTTGGAGACGTTGAGCAAAAGAAATGACGACGAAACCATCCTTCTTCTCTGGGATGGCGATTCCCTTCTCCGGGATGCTGATCTGGAATGCTTCTCTGGGATGCTTCTCTGGGATGGTGATTTCGCTTCTCTGAATAGCTGATTCGACACAAGACCTGTACTCGACTTCTCCGGAGATTTCACTTATTCTACAAGTACAATACAAGTACTGTACCTGATGATGTGCACTTCTCACCTTACCCAAATTGACGATCGTCGTATGTCGCTTAGCTGACGACTGCAAGTCCGAGAGATCTCCTGTCGATGCGAAAACCGCAAATCCGAAACGACGGAACGGGCCCGCAACAATTGCTGAGCCACGACTGTCCTCCCGCTCCTCTCGTGAGCCCACGACTACTCCCGCTCCTGCCCTCCCCGCGCTCCGCAGAGTTTCACTGAGCTCCGTGGAATCCAACTATGATCGCCATTTTCTGCTATTGGAGAGCGGCCGATACGAGGCGATTATTGATCCGAAAAACGCGCGGAGCGTGGAGCTAGGGCGTTGGAGGAGCAGGAGAACTGTTGAGAGGCTGGGTGGGAAATATAGAGGGGAGAAGGGTCTAGAAGGGGAATTGGCAAACCCTTTGTTTATTGTGATTTTCAATACGACTACTAGGTTTGGCTAGTGAGAGAAGTTGGCAGGATAGATAGTACGAGTACGAGTACAAGTACAAGTGTGATCAAACATGTTTGGTCCACTGTAAAGTCCATTGACCTGGTGCTAAGACCACAAAAGAGGCCCAATAGAGTCCGACAGAGTCCGACAGAGTCCGACAGAGTCCGACAGAGTCCGACAGAGTCCGACAGAGTCCGAAAGAGCGATAGTATCTCTACTTGTAGGGTCCCATTGACCCCGAAAAACTTCCGAACCAAACCGAAAGCCGCCCAGATCCTCATGATCAACTCCCGAACAATGTTTAGTATCTTTTCGACATCTCCTGAGCAAAAATCAACCCACAGATCCTACAGACCCAACAGACCCTCGTACATAGCGAAAGCGAATGATATGACCGCAAATGTCGACATGTGGACTCCAACAGTCGATTCCTCTTTTGTAGTCACGTTTATGTAGCCGTAGAAAATAAAAACACACTTCGAGGCTTTTCCTGGTTGCCCACATTCCAATGTCTCAGTTGCCGAGCTGAACTCACTTGTCAGGAGACAGCCGTAGGATCATTGAGTCGCAGCGAAAGTGAGTTGAGTCGCAGTGAAATCGAGTATCATCCGCCCCTAATCTTACAAGTACTGTTTGTGAGAGTCTTACAAGTATTCGTGTCGGTATTCGTGTTGGTATTCGTGTTCGTATTCGTAGTCGTTGGTCATCACTGGCCAGATCGCTAGCTGTCGCTGTCAGAGCTGCTTCAATGTGCACCATCCCAGAAAAAGCAACGACCTGGAATCAGCCAACGATCCCATCCAACGATCACACCATTTGCCACTTAGTTGCTCCTTACTGTTCCTTGCACTTCCTGAAAATTATAAATTATGCTACTGATTATGTCCCCAGTTAGTATTCATAGTGGCCAGCTCCTGATACAACATGTTGAAATTCTGCTGCTGATTCTGCTGCTGAGGATACTGTTGCATGGGCGGAAACGGCTGCTGTCGAGGCTGGTACTGCTGGGCTTGGGTGGGATGGGCCAAACTAGAGTCCTTGACCTTGGTGATGGAGTAATTGTTGTTGGGGGTCTCCAGAGGAGGCAGGGTGTGCGAAACGGACGCCGGAGTCGACAGAGGAGTCACATGGGCCGACCCCAACGGCTCGGGACTCATCTGACTCTTGACTGAGTCTTTTCCCCGACCCTTGATGCCGCGGTTGGCGTTCTTGTACAACTCTCCAAAGTACTTGATCATGTCGAGCTCCTCGGGCGGGATCATGCCGGGTCCGCCCTCGCGCATTTGTTTGCTGTAGTATTTAAACCGTGATGCCAGTAGCTGAAGAGTGTCTGCGTGGAACTTGTTTTGGTGGGCCTTGAGGTTTCCGAGCTGGGTGAAGGTCTTTCCGCACGAGTCCAGACGACACACAAACGGTCGGTGGTTCTCGTGCACCAGTTTATGGGCGCGGTAGTTGCCTCTCTGGGCAAACTGTTTGCCGCAATTGTAGTGTTCGCAAACAAACGGCTTTTCGCCCGTGTGCGACCGCTTGTGGGTGCGCAGGTTGCCACGCTGGGTGAATCGCTTGCCGCAGCCCGGAACGTCACATTGGTACGGCTTGTCGCCAGTATGGGATCGTTTGTGGATGTTGAGATGTGTTTTCTGGTGGAAGCTCTTGTCGCAGCCCGGGAAGTCGCACTTGTGTTTGAGGTCCGGTCCCCCCTTCTTCTTGCCCACCCCGCCGTTCACCAGCCCCACCGGCGGCAGCAGCGATGCGATTTCGTCCCCGTTGGCGTCCAGCTTCTCGCCCTTAGCAATCTTCTGCTGGTCCAGCTCCTGGGCCTGGATAATGAGCATCAGCGAGTCCACCACCGTGTTTCCAATCGGCAGCAGATGCGACGTGGCCGTCACCGGGCTCTGAGGTATCTGGGGGGGTTGGGGGATATATTCTTGTTTTCGCAGTGGCGGAAGAGATGGTGGAACCTGTTGAGGAGGTATCTGTTGTGGAGGCATCTGTTGTGGTGGCACCTGTTGCTGGCTCATTTGATGTTGCGGAGGCAGTTGATGAGGCACCTGTTGAGAAGGCACTTGTTGAGGAGGAACTTGCTGACTCATTTGCTGCTGCTGCTGCTGCTGCTGCTGACTCATCTGACCCTGTCCCTGATACGGCAAAGGCATATGCTGAACTCCCTGGGTATATCTGTCATAGTAATAGGGCTGTTGATGCTGTTGTTGATGCTGATGATGCTGTTGAGGCATCGCCTGAGAACTGTAGAGAACCATGGGCATTCACTCGAAAGACGATTCAATGGTCGACACTTTGCACGTCCCTCGCCGGGTCGCCGTCGCATATATATGTTTGAGCATATCGGGCTCTCCAGACAGCCACACGAGGGTTTTCCATCCACGACTCCGGTGACTTTGTGTCCCAACTAAGGTTTGAACCTTGCAGTGTTTAGTCCTTTAGAGCTTCGCTAGACGTGCATGGGGATGCATAGTCTCTTTTAGGTTTAGGGTTTTTGTAGTTTTTTGGCTTCTCTTTTGGTTTTAGGCTCGGGGTTTGAGTTTCTCGCTCTTTTGACTTTGGGCTTAAGCTTTAGACTTTTGTCTGGGCTGTCGCTTGAGTTTAAAAAATCGAAAGGTGGTGTGGTTTTGTGCTTGCTTGGCCCGTTTGGACCAAAAGGTCCTTTTCGGCAAACCGCTCGTTTCATCGGATTGTGCCAGAGCCAGCTTGAGCCAGCTTGAGTCTGAGCCTACCTTCGAGCTTTGCCCAGGTGCAAAGTAGGGCTCGGTTAGATCGTGGTTGTCGAAATCAGCTCATTTGTGCTAATGAACCTATCTTATCATAAGTGAGCTAACAGTAGTGCAGTTTGAACGGTGCGTGCGAGTAGAGTGCGAGTAGAGTACGCGTCCGATTACAATACTTGTATTGGTGGTGCCCTACTCCGTGCCGTGGCGTGGTGGCGGTTACACTACTGTCGGTAGCTCTACTGGTGGCGGTATTGGCTCTACTGGTGGTGGTACTGTCCCTATCAACCGTTCCGTATTTGTAGTCCATTCGTATTCAGGGTTGGTACTTGTAGTCCATTCTTACTCGTCCAGTAGAGTCCACTCGTATTCATCCACTAGAACTGACTCTGGTGTAGATCCACGAACTCGTTTAATCCGCCCACTCGTTTAGTCCACTCGTACAAATGAGGCTTAGTCAAATCGCCTGGTATTGTGCCGTATGTACTCTTTGTAATAATACTCGTACGCTGTCGTCATTAGCACTCATCACCTCGGACTGAGCACTGTCGTACTTGTATTACAGCTGTAGTACAGTGTGTACTTGTACGGACAATTGACAGCCGCTCAGTCGGACTCTTGCAAATGTAGTACAAGTACTGTACTCCCATTCGTACTTACTCTTGATGCTCAACGGACTGTCGCTCCTCACTCACCACGCACTCACTCCTTCATACTCGCTTACTCAACACGCTTCTCCGATAACACCGCAACCTCGGATATGGTTAAAAACACGTAAATCGTTGCTTTTGGTTTGTGCAGGTGGGGGTCACAGTAGGGCTCGGGAGCAGCAAAAGCAAACCCATGAGTGTTCGAGAAACAGACCTTGCCACGGGCTAAGTTTGCCTTGTCTGTGTGAAACAGTAAATAATTCTCCAGGGTTACATTGGCGTGGTCAGCGATAATCAGTTGTGGGGAGGCGACTCTTCGATCGAGTGGCCGATGCCTCTGCTACTCCAATGTTTCTGTCTTCGAGGTCTCCAATTCCCCTCCGTGTTTAACGGTTGCAGGCCAGATTTTTCATAACTTTTCGTAACTGTTTATAATAACAGTTTGAAAGAACCTTGCCGGTCCAAAGAGATTAATCAACAAACCTGCACCATCTACTTACCTCTGGAAAGGGCCATACCTGTGGCTCGCTGACCAACACTTTTGTCACGGACTGAGTACAACGGCAAAAACCAATTCTGGTTTGAAAAACGGTCGCTAGCCTCGCGACATCCACCAACGCAAAAGCGAAAAGGGGAGCCGTCATCCTACCATCGATGCCAAAAGCACTGATAAGCGACTCCTAGAACCACAGCTAGTTAATCCGCCCGTACGTGCACAGTAGCAACCCGCCGCAGCTATCATACAACACGTGTATAGTTTGTACTAATTGTTTTAGCGACCGTTTTGCAGTCTACTGCAGCGCGATTTCGCGTTAGTGTCCGGTGCCCTCATTAGTCCGGCATTACATGGTCAGTCCAAGTACTGTTCGAGTACAGTACCGGTACGTACCCCAGCTTGTACCCCAATATGTACCCAGGTACTTGTAGATAACCGCTGTGGAACGCACACTCCCGCACGTGTATTATTGCCTGTTTGGTCCACCGTCCATGGGATACTCTGCCAGGCCATGACACTTTAATCTTGTTTGTTTGGCTGATTGGAGGTCTGATGGAAAAAGAGAACCTGGTGGCGCCTCGATTGGCCAGACGTCGTCTCTGGAAGTCCGGACGGCCCGTAAAGTCGACCTTTGCGCAGATCCCCGACCCTTGGAGCCGCTTTCGACTCGATACGAACCAAACGGTGCTTCGCAGTCCTTCAGGAGTCGGGGCTAGGGCTCAAGTAGCTAATTTCCCGTGGTACATGACGCCGGGGACACAAGTCGGGGTTTGTGACTAATTTCCTGACATTTGCCCATGCCGCCAAGACAGGGTCTCGTGCGGGCGGTGGAGGTAAGCGAGACGACGATGGACGAAGAACCATCCAGCAGGAATGTTGGAGCACTAGCCTCATCGGATCCATGTTCGGACCAATAATTACTTGTGTCAACGGCTGGAAGATCATATGTCTCATAAATAGCAAAAGCGCAAAAGGTATAGGAAAAACAAACGGGGGCCCATGGAATAATGTACGCAGCAGCACTCGTAGCATGTACGAGCTGTACTCGCACCGTTCTAAAGAAAATGGTTAAAGTGCACTGACTGTGCGTGCTCGTACTGGAACCAAGACAAGGTCTAATTCGGTTATAGTGGGTCCTGGATGACGTAGGGCAAGCAGGCGAGGTGGATGGGGACGATCGACACCGCCAAAGAAAACAAGGGTTTGGGAAACGGGAACCTGACAACATGTGGCTGGAATAGAGGCCAATTGGTCGTGTGATACGGCGACACTAACACAATACGACTGATCGCCGCGTGTACCTGACTGTGTGTGCAAGTGGTGCAGAGATGAGCAAGTGCAACCGTGCAAGTGTGGAGGCGTTCAGTGCATGACGTTTGCTGTCCACCACGCTTGTGTTGAACCGAACAAACACCAACAACCCCAGCTCATCGCCAACTCCTGCCTTGCTCACTCGTTTCAAACGCGTTTCAAGTTGGCGGATCATAGGTACAACCACCACGCTAACCAAGGAGCAATAACCCCAACCTCTACGTTCCACGTAAGTTGAGGTCCAGTGGTTCGACGAGAGTTTCTCCTTCAGCTAAGGATCCCACTAGGCTGATTCGACCTGGTTTTGACAAGTCGCCAGTATTTCGAGCCAGGCTTCCATGACATTTCTCTGCACCCTCGACGTATGTACCCGTACCCCACCCGTCTCCCCCCCTTGCCCCTTGCCAATGCCATCTCAACCTTGTCTGGTTTGTGCGGACGCAAACGTCTCTCGGTTGCGTTTTTTACTTCCAGGCCTCCATTTCCAATCTTTACTCTGCATATGACCAAAGCCAAAGCCAAACACAAGGCAACGCTCAGGTTCCAACGGGCTGATCGACACGACAAACTGCCTAAAGTAACCGATTAGGCATGGATCTTCATTCCAGCTACCTTTAAGCAACTGAAGATAGAGAGCCAGGGTTGTCGAGATAGCTGCTGCCGGTTGCCACCACTGAGGAGCCAATCCGCTTGTCCGTTTCAGTTTTCCAATTCCACTTGTCTAGCTCGTACTCGCATGTCTTGTACCCATCAAATGTACATACTCGTACTCGTACCGGTTCGACAAGAGCGACGTTGACGTAGTGGGTTTTCTTTTTTTTCGTCTTTTTCCCATTTTTCCTTGTTATTTCTCTTTTTTTTTTCTTTTTTTTTCTTCTCTTTTTCTTTTTCCTCTTTTTTTTTCAGAGGCAAATGTCATTTCAATTTCCTTGCATGGAGAACAAAAAAAAGCGTAAAATGACGCAGAAACAGACTCGGCAAACTCAAGGTTGTTTGTAAATTGTCGGTCGACCGACTAACCATTGATGCCATAGATATAGGGCCGTCGTCCATTGTCCGTTGTCAGTGTTTGCGTTTGTGTCGATTGTTTGTATTTCGTTTGTGTCGATTGTTTGTGTTCGTTTGTGTCGATTGTTTGCGTTTCGGTGTAAGTCGTTTTGATTTGTTTTTGCGTCTGTTTTCACTTTGGTTTGTGTTTGCATTTGCGTTAGTATTGGACCGGGCTCACTTTTTGTTTCTGAAGAGTCAACTTTTGTTCAACTGGTTCAACTCCTGGATCAACTGGCTCAACTGGCTCAACTCCAGACTCACCTCCCCGCTGACAGCAGATCACGTGAAGCTCGAAGCTCGAGAGTCCACCAGCCACCACCAACTGCCTCCATTTGTAAACACCTTCCACATGACCCCCCACCCTTTAGGATTAGTCTCCACACCCTGCACAGCATTTGAATTGCAAATATCCGAGTGTCTATCTCGGGTACCTCTATGATGATCCTCAATTCTCCGATCGTAGTCAGAGGTTGGATTGACAAAGCGCGTGATTGACTGCGGTGACTGCGGTGACTGGGTGACCGCTGGAAATGACCGGGATTAGCCCGTCGCAAAGTCACCACCTTGTCTTTGTGTCTTTCGCCACCGTGGCTCCTTAGACCCCCGGGTACGCACCAGCGTGTCAGAGACGACACTAGTGGTTGCGGAGAGCGGCGTTAGCCAGGCACGTCGTCGTGGGTGCTGCTGTTGTCGCCGGCCGCTGGCCGGTCGCAGGTCACTCGCTGGTCGCTGGATCGCCACGCGAATCCGCCGTCAAAAGTTGCGTCTTTTGCCACCACCCGCAGTGCGTCGGGGGTTTGGATTCACACGGCTACAAGTAGCCAGAGTTTGGCCCACCTGGTTCAGGTGCACCTGGTTCAGGGTGCAAAGTGGCCTGATTTTTGGAGCCCTCATTGAGTTTGCGAACTGCACGGTTGCGACAGGCTGCAGCGTGGAACGACGATGGAAGCGACATGGAAGGTCTCAAAAGCCATATGAAAACGAAATCCGGGGTGTGAGACATGCACCAGCCTGCTATTTGGCCCCAAAAGACGCCCAGAGGCGTGCGGACGGACACGGGCGACAAACGGGTCCCGTTGGGCCGTCATTCGCCTTTTTTTTCGTCCCCATAATCGACACAAAACACAGTCCAACACCGCCTAGGCTGGAGCGGTCGCAAATAGCTCAGATGGGGACAGGCGGTGAGTTTGAGGTTGGTGCCGTGCTTGTTTTTGCTGCTGCTTCAACCCATTGTTGTCCATTGTACGGACCCAACGTACAGCACGTACCTTTCGTATGTCTGCTGTTGAACAGGCTTTACTGGCTGGTTAAATTTCCACAATGGAACCAAAACCGCAAAGCGCAAAGTGGACGGTCGGCTACAGGAAGGGAAAGAAAGGAAAAAAACAAACAGCCAAATGGACGGAAATGGCCCTTGTTCAACTCTGTCTGGTCAGGGACTTCGGAGACCGGCCATCCACATGAACATGATCCTTGGTGCAGATGGCCTATTCTTGGACATGTTAGACATGGTTTGAGAGGAAATGTGGGCATAAGCGAGAGATTTGAGAGGTTAAAGCGGCGGTCGTAATTGGTCCCTGCTACATTGTTGGGCAGCGCTCGCATTTGGCCGCTCAATGACCGTCGTATCTCGCAGCCATAATCACCCCATTTTTTTTCCATCTCCCTATCAACAGCTTGTTCCTATGATAACTGGTTTCATACTTATGATACAATATGGGCGATAGCAAACCAACCAGCTGGAGATGTTACAATTCGAAACAAACAACCAACCACCTCCCGTCTTGCTGCCTAATCTCATCATCTCACCACAAACAGCCGCCTCCTTCATCATATGAAAGAAAGACAGCCGAGCGATAATAAGCAGGGCATGCACAAACTCTGGGTGTGAGAGAGATGAAAGTCTTGCTCGAGAGGAGAGGTGGATGAAGAGACGTGGGGGGCTGCTTACCAGTACAAGTACCCATACTTATCATAGCACTGATGCGTGGGGGGATACGCCCTCGATCCGTTACGTGCACGGTGCTCGCAATGGTGCTGTTGTAACCACGCGTATAGCCGTCCACGAAAGCGTTTTTATTGCTCGTCGTACCACCAAGTCTAGTGGAAGGGGATAAAAAAAGAAACGACTATCAGTTTGATGGTCTGGGTCGCCTGGAAATATATGCGGAATGCACACCCGGCATGACATGTTAATCTCGTGTTCAAGCACCTTTCCAGCATCGGAAGACCAAATCTAACCAAACAGGGAGCCGTGAGGCTATGCGTTTGCTCCAGCAACAGCAATGGCTGCAAATAGGGTCTCGACTCTCTGAAACACCACCTGGAGCAGCCGGTGGTCAACTCGAAGCAAACTCTCTCGGTTGGAGTAAACAACTTTCGGCTGCTCGATACGCCAAAGAAGGTCTAACCCAAGCCTAGAGACGGGTGGGCTCTATCTGGGGCCACTCCGGTCTGTTTATGACTCAATGTAGCAGTGGGCTCGGTGTGATGCCGGTCTTTCTTTGTACTCGGGCTTGTACTGTAGCTCAGAGGTGTGTTTCCTTGACTCATGACTCGCTCAAACGATAACCCTGGCAGCTGAGAGAGTTGCGACACTTGAGCTCTACTGTCTGGTGAGCTCAGTCAGGTTCTTGGACCGGTTAATTCCGTCGAATACCAATAGATTAATCAACAGTGTAGCTCACGTTGTATGGACCTTGTCCTTCCAAAGTGGCCCGCAACAGTCGTGTTTCTCTCTGCTGATGCTTTCAAATTACCCAATTGAACTCATCCGTTGGACAACAAGAGAGTGGGGTTCTGGAGGAGTTAGGGACTTGATTAATCTGTTCAAAACGCGGTCCCTGGCGAATTTCCACGTTTTTTGTCTGAATATTAACACATCTTTCTGCTCTTGGCCACTCTCTCGGTTGGTAGTTGCCGTAAATGAGCCTTTATGGTGGCTGCTTCACTTTCGACTTTTCTATCCAGCCCAGCCCATCTCATCAACAGGCAGCTCTTGCCGAAGTCATGGATTCAGCTCTTTTAGCCCATCACTCCGCGACTTCAGACCACTTGGACTTTCAGACACTTGGACTTGGACCACCTTTTGGGGTGTCACTTGGTATCCGTCTTCTTCTCTTGACAATGGTATCGAGTCTGTCCTTCTAAATGGGCAGCCATAGTGGATATCTTCTTAGTTGCCTGTCTGCTCATCAACTCATCCGCTCATCAACTCATCCGCTCATCCGCTCATCTGCTCATCCGCTCATCTGCTCATCTGCTCATCTGCTCTTCAGCCCATCAACGGTCTCACAGCTCCAGTAACAAAGCTGAGTCGGTATTTGAATGAACAGAGCGAGTAGTATCAACACTTTCGACAGCTGCCATTCGCTCGGTATTCACCTCGTCACTCAGGCTCACTTGGCCACAGCTTCGAAAACATGATGATCATAACCGCTGGAGACTCTCCTGTCTTCTTCCGTGCGCTTGCCGATTTATGGGCGGTTGCAAACGACCTCCATTGAAGATCAGTGTTGGTGGGAAGTTCTTAAGGGTCTTCCTGGGTGTGTTCTGACCCACCTGGTTCAATTTCTTGGTCCCTGGCTGGAGTCCTGTGAGTATTTCTGATTTTTCTGATTTTCGTGATTTTCCTTTGAATTATCAGAAAGCAGAAAGCAGAAATCAAAAATTTATAATGGCGGTGTTCATTGCCAGGATGCTCTTCAAGACTTTCTCTGGGTACGCTCGGGATACGCTCGGGATACTGCTCTGTTACAGTATGGCAGAGTGATGGACCTGTTGATCTCCTTGCCAATGGTTCCGTCATTGTCCTCAATCGACGTGAGTAAACGACAACAGAATTTGACAGACTCCAACACTCCGACCGACTCCATCACTCCGACAGACTCCAACACTCCGACAGACTCCATCTCTCCAACCGACTCCATCTCTCCAACCGACTCTGACACTCCGACTATTCTCCTGTCTTCTTAGTAGCACCGCTCGTTCCCTGCCCTGGTGAAATGACGCTGAAGGTAAGTGGCTACTACCAGTACCAACACTCTCTGATACAGGTATCGTACTGTACGACAGGAATGCCGCTTCTGACAGCGCGCTTTCGTTGAGTTAGTCTGAAAGCAGCTCCGAGTAATGTCTACCACACTGGTTCTTCCTGAGTGGTATCATCTTCCTGAACAGTCGTCAAGTTCACAGCCAGAAAACGGTCGATTCAAGAGAGTCGTGAACTCGTTACTGTCAAATATCGGTCTGTTGGTCTCGGACTCTCTTCCCATTTCGTCGCCCATTCAGAACTGAGACATGCACCCTGCTGAAGCACTATGCACAATGGACCTGATGCATGATGGTGCTTAAGAGGGACCATCAGAGGAGCCCGGTGGACAGTTGAGGCCGGCGGAGATCGGTATTGTGCTCCTTACTCCGTACTCCTACTCGAAGAATTGATCGTTGGAAGGGGTGGTTCTGGCCAACCAGTCAACTTGCTTCTTCCTGCTACAATACAATTAGTGAGTAGATCTTCTCTCCCGAGATCAGACCGTTGAAGTTGTCACCATGTACTACTCATACTGATACACTGGTTCAACGAACATCTTTGTCCAAAACCAAGCTTTCTTTGTCACGATTAGATCCAATATTGTGGGTCCAAGGAATGACACAATTGTGCATAGAAAGCTATCTAATTTAGAGCGAAACTAAGCACATGGACCCTCCATTAGTTGCATACAAGCAGGTACCGTTTCATTTCTTTTAGATGCTCTATTTTGTGATTTTTCGAAATGGTTCGTTGACGTTTGTCGACAAGTCTTTATATTGTTTACCGCGCAGCAAGAGAGGTCGATATCCACACCTTCCCAGCGGTAAATGAGGTTGATACTGGTATCAAAATACTCGCAGCGTTTCGGTGAATGCATTGAGCACTTCATTTCGTCTTTTGAGTGGACCCTCTGGGTAAAAGAGGGCCTATATGGACGGAGTGACTGGTGGTGCTAATCTGAGAGTATCATGAGAAATGCAGATGAGTTGGGAACTTGAAGACTGAAGTACTGAAGCCCTGCTATGTTGTAGTCCGTTTACATGGTACCCCCTGTATACGATTGAGAGTGCTGCTCGTTCTCCGACCACTCCTAGCATATCCTAGTCGTTATTCATTATCTGTTTATCTACAAAAATGCAAAAAGAAGTAGAGTCGCTGCCATCCACCAGCTGCCGTAAGGGACCTTGGCAGCCTCGGACTTGTGTTCCCGGGTTCGAGACGTGTTGCCCAGACCCATAGGACCCAGATCAACAACGTCCGAGTCGGTCACGTTGAACTTGGCGTTGCCCAGAGAGATCTGCTCGTTGTCAATGTCGTAGACAACATAGGCGGACCGCAGAAACGACGCGCCTAGAATGCTGGGCTGCTTCTTTCCCGCCACCTGCACATTGACCACACACACCAGCGTACCGTCAACATACGTGTCTGGCGAGCCGTCCGAGTAGCTGAGCACGGAGATGAGATCGGTGAGCTGCACGGTGATGGCAGACTTGTCCATAAAGACGAAATCGACGGTGCCCGAGGTCGGGCTGTCCGAGCAGTTGAAAATGTAGCTGCTGACCTCCTGTGAGTAGTTTGCTCCGGTCAGTTGGATGATGGGGTCAATCTGTTCCTTGGGTAGAATGGTCATGGTGGTTCCCGAGTCCAGAACCACATTGCTTCGTTCTCCGTAGTTCTTTCCGTCTACTCTTACCGCCTCCAGCTGCACAGCAAACTCGGTGACGCTCTCCTTGTCGACTGTGGGCACCAGCGGCAGAGTGAAGAGCTTTCCGCCCTGGATTTTCGCCCGGTCGTAGCCTCCAAACATGATTGAGCCCTTGGTCGAGTGCTGATTGTTCAGCCACAGCGAGTAGGCCGTAGACGAGGTGATTCCGGCGCTCTTGAGCTTGTGTGGCAGGTTCTGGTACGTCCAGGGCGGAGTGTCGTCTGTCGAGGCCTCATTTCCGGCCGGTCCGATCCCCAGAACAGCCAGACCCGAGCTCGCGTTCTGGGCGAATCCAAAATCAAACTCCGCGACGCTCTGGCCGCCGATGGAGATCGTGTCTGAGGCCCACAGGCCGTTTGCCGCCGAGGAGTCGCCGTAGGCAATCTGAAACGGCCACGTTTTCTTGTTTCCAGGCTGGTAGCCGGCGTTTGCCGACGCGTTGAGCCTGAACGAAGACGAGGCGGCGGAGTCAAACATTCCTCCGTTGGAACAGTTGACTCCCTTCCACGAGTCTGCTGCGTGGTATCCCTTGGGCAAACAGGACACGTTCTTGCTGAGCACCCACAGGTCGGACGAGCCCGTGTCCAGCAGCACGGTGAGGTTCTGCGGCGGGCTTCCCAGGGCGATTTGCGCCTCGTAGTAGGCTTGCTGACGGTCCACCTGGACCCCCACAACGGTGCGTCTTTGCAGGGAGATTCTGTCGGCTTCCGCCGGCTCGACCGGCCGGATATCGAGCTCCAACGAGGCCGATACCAGCACACACGAGCCCAGCACGCTCAAAACGCTCCACTTCATGTCCTAAAGGCGGGTGGTTCGACTACACTAAGTTTGCAGGCCTGAGCGGTTTTTAGTGTGGATGCGGGAAATCGAAGCGGTGATAGTAGCGCGGTTTTTGCATGCACCTTTGGCGAGAGCAGATTCTGTTGTCGGAAGAAACACGTGTCGCTGCCCGGCTCAGTTTGCGAGTATTAAAACAGGTGGAATCGGAAGTCGAACCGCGAATCGAACCGTGAGTCGACGGGAGAGTTAATTTTCCGAGTGTAAACCTGAGACGGAACTTGGATGGGGTTTTTTCCGAGGAGGGGGTCGGCGGAACGGGCTGATTTTTGGACAGGAAGGTGATACAGTTGGGAGGAGATCATGTTTCGAATTTCAGCCGTTTCTGGTTCTTATTGGACAAATTGGAGTGTGTGTTGTTGTGGTTTCATTTCAGCAACCTTGCATTATCTGAGTTGGTTGATTGACTTTTTAAAGATTTGATTGATAAATTGGCAGGATTTGAAAAATGAAAAATGAAAAATGAAATAAAGAATTCGGGAAAACATGGAACCGGTGAAATTGAAGGACATGAAGGAAATGAAGGAAATGAAGGAAATCAGTCGAACTTGTAGTTGATTGCCATCGTTTCTTTGCAATCATTAATCCAGGAGGAAGTCGTATGGTGAATGGTTGTCAGTATATACAGTATGGCATAATAGTATATACACTATACTTACTGTACCTACTTCTAGATATAACAGTGACTCATGGCAGATGGATCAAAACAAGTTGACGAATGTGAGTACAAGTAGTCTTACTATTAGAACACGTTCTTGTACAAATACAAGTACAATACTCTTTTACTCCTCTCGCCTTGCCGTGTCATCATCTCTCCTGAGACTGTCAAGCCAGCCCAAGAAGTCTCAAATACACTGTCTAAATCAGAGTGTTATATCCAGCCGAATATCAGGGATATTGACACTGTAATTGAGCCGAAAAACAGTCTAGAATTGATCAAATACAAGTCCAGGCGCCACTGAGACAATTTCACCTTCCATTATCACCTCCAACGTCCTTATCACCTCCAACGTCCTTTGCTCACCCTCTCCAAGGTCAACAAACTCCAACTAAATAACCCTATCAAGTCAAGTAATATATCGCACTGTACTGTAGGTTCAGAGACACCTCAGGAACTCGTACAAGTACAGTACTCCATTAAAATTGCTCCATCACTGATAACTGACGATTATTCATTATCACTAGTGTCGAAAAGTACCCCTTTCGACTGTTGGTGCCGCACTTGTAGTCGGATTTTGCTATAAAAAACCCTCATATTTTTGCAATTTTTGAAAAAAAAAAAAGAAAAAAAAAACCTCGCCAAGATTAACAGAGTGTCCATTGCGGGATACTAATTACAACCCAGTAAAGACAGTCACATCTTTCGACCAATGGGAATAAATGATTACGTAAGGGAAAAGTCGAACCTCTCAACCACCGGCCGTTCGCCCCTCAGCCCGGTTCTTCCCCCTAACCCTCCCTTCCTACGCCATCTTACACACACACTCCGTCTGACAACCTGACACCACGTTGCCACTTATTAAAGTTCGCTACACATCTACACTCCGTCCCCACACTGAACATCATCACCACCACTTGTACCGGTAGTTTGACTCGACACAAACAAAACATACAAAGATGGCGGAATACGAGGATCTGGCGGCGTCTCATTGGGACGACGCCCCGTCGTTGTCGACCAACGCGGCACCTGCGCCGTCACGTGATCTGGCCAATCTGACCATCCACAACATCGATGGAGACAAGACCGAGCTCGTTGGCCCCGAGGAGAGTGGGCCGGCGACGGGCGGTACGGGCGGCAGCCATGCGCACGGCCACAAAACCACCGTGGACGACCTGTTTGACCATTCGACCGCGGCGATGCCCGAGCCGCAGCCCAGCCAGGCGTCCGAGTTTGACCACGACCTTCTGGCAGACTCGTCTGTCGACCGGCCGGCGTATCAGGCGGCGGTGTCGTCTCCCAAACGCAAGCCCATTCTCAAGCAGGTGCGACGTGGCAAGGGCAAGGGCAAGGGCAAAAATCTGCTGTCCAGCTCGGTCTTGGTGGTGGAGGACGACGACGATGTGACCAACCCTCTGTTGTTGAACGACGCCACCAAGGTCACCGACCGGGAGGCCGAGTCCAGTCCCGCGTCCGCAGCCCGAAAGAGCCAGCTGGGCGGTCTGCATGTCAAGGCCGAAATTGGAGAGTCGCCCGTTGCCGGCTTCAAGTCCAAACTCGACTCGGACCTGCATGAGTTCCATGACGTGCCTCTGGAGCAGGGCGGAGCTGCATCTGCCGCCGCCGGAGGAGCCGAAGGAGGAGCCGATGCTGCTGACGCCGCGGACTCCGAGACCGTGGCCCAAAACCAGGCGCCTGTGGCTGCCTACACTTTCGAAATTTCCGTGGGTGACCCAATCAAGGTCGGTGACATCACATCCTCCCACACGGTGTACACGGTGTCGACCAAGACCAACCACCCCAACTTTAAGACAGACGCGGGATCGGTGACCCGCCGATACTCTGATTTCCGGTGGCTGTTCCATGCGCTGGAAAACAAGCATCCCGGTATCGTGGTGCCTCCTCCCCCGGACAAGCAGGCCGTGGGACGGTTCAACGAGGACTTTGTGGAGGCCCGACGAGCTGCGCTGGAGACTATGCTTCAAAAGGTTGCCCGCCACCATCTGCTGCAGGACGACCCTGACCTGCAGCTATTTCTGCAGTCCGAGCAGCTGAACCAAGACATTAAGCACTCGCACAGTGCACCTGGAGTTGCTGGAAGCAGCGAGGAGGAGGCGTGGATCGAGGAGGGGTCCGGATCGGGACTCATGTCGTCCCTGTCGTCGTCGTTCTCCTTCTCCAAGTCGTTCATCGAGACCGACCCCTGGTTCTCGGACAAGCGGGGTTACGTGGACGTGCTGGAGTCGCATCTCAAGAGCATGTCGCGCGGGCTGGAGCTGGTGGTGCATCAGCGCAAAGACCTGGCCGAGTCCATGGGTGACGTGGCTGCTGTTTTGTCGTCTCTGGGCACCGTGGAGATCTCCAAGCATCTGTCCAACGTGCTGTACCAGTTCAGTGACGCCGTGGAGCGAATCAAGGAGATTTGTGCCCGTCAGAGCCAGCAGGATATGGTAACGCTGGGCTCTACTATGGATGAGTACCTGCGTGTGATTGGGTCTGTGCGGTCGACTTTTTCTCAGCGGTCCAAGCATTTCCAGGTGATTCAAAACATTGAGTCTGAGCTGACCAAGCGCAAGGCCAACCTCGACAAGCTGTTGCGGCAGGGCAAGACCCAACAGCAGCGGCTCAACGTGCTCAAGGACCAGGTGCAGGAGTACGAAAAGAAGCTGGTCAACGCCAAGGTCAAGTTTGACGACGTGAGCAGCACCATCAAGAAGGAGGTGGATGTGCGGTTTGAGAATGAAAAGTTTGATGACTTCCGAAACGCCATTGAGATTTTCTTGGAAAACGCCGTCGAGACCCAGAAGGAGGCCATTGAGGTCTGGGAAACCTTTTATTCTCGTGCTTTCCCCAACTAGACAAACACACAGCCAAAACGGAGGTATCTACAACGGTAGTATTGATGAAATAATGAATAATGATTAATGATGGAGGATGAGGTGTACGAGTACAGTACAGTGCAGTACAGTACAGTACAGTACCCGTACTTTTAGTAGTTTGGGGGTGATGATTACTTATACATACCCTAACCCCACATCCGCATCAGGCCTGGTCCCAACCCTAACCTCCACCATGCGCCCAAATGCTTCCTGACCAGATCACCACTATCACCACGTCTCAAAGAACAGCAAAAAAACGCCATGGAGACCAGAGAAGATGGATTATTGCCATCTCAGGCCTTCACCACAGCCGCGGCTCTGCTGCCGGTTATTGATCGTGAGTGATTACCCTTGGTTGATAGACAGATGAAAGGCTGGAGTCGAGTTGATACCTTGGTGAACGTGGATGTGTTGCGGGTGGTTGGTGGTGGGGTGTTGCGGTGGTTTGTTGGGATGAACTGCGGTACTTTGATTCAATTCCAACCACTGTCTCACCGCGACGCCACCAAGCACTGGATCTCACCTCGCTACTCACAGACCGAACTAACGCAGGAAAAGTGGTGGTGACTCTACGAGGAGGCCGCAAGTTTTTCGGCATTCTGCGATCGTTCGACCAGTTTGCCAACCTGGTGCTTCAGGACACTTACGAAAAGTACTTTGCCGTGCCCGAAAAGGTGTACGGAGAGGAGTACCGAGGCACGTACATCATTCGAGGAGAGAACGTGGAGCTCATGGGCGAGGTGAACCTGGACGAGGATCTGGCGGCTATTGACTACGAGGAGAAGAATGGCGTCACTGTGAATGGATACAAAAAGGTGGAGTTTGCCGAGGCCAAGAAACTGGCTCTCAAGACAATGCAAAAGGAGGCAAAGGAAATCAAGGCCAAAAACGAGCTTCTCATGGGTATTTAGAAATGTATTGCAATGGAGTGGGAGTTGAGGGGTTGGAGGGGGTAATGAAGAGAGCGGTAGCTGCAAGTTCTTCAGTGTGTATTGTAACACCGGTTTTGTATTTGGTATTGTACGTCGCAGGAAGAGAATGATAACCAGTGTATTGTCTGAAGAGAATGACAACCAGTGTATTGTCGGAAGAGAATGACAACCAGTGTATTGTCGGAAGAGAATGAGAACCAGTGTATTGTCGGAAGAGAATAAGAACCAGTGTGTTGTCGTAAATTGCTACAGCTGAGAGGTGTATTGTTCTCTCGATAACCATGATGAGCAGCTAGGGCGATATAACGGGTAAACCGTTCAGTATGAGATGCTCCGGTGACGGAGAAACCACTTGTTTACATCATCTCCTGGACTTTTCCAATGGGAATCGGCCGTGGACCGACAAAGGCGGTCTGAATGGCGACTTGAATGTCCATCTCAAGGAACTGCTTGTTCCCGAATTCAAAGTACGAGAGTCATGGTGTTCCTCTTTCTCATCAGCAATGCTGCGGAGATACCATCAGCTGGATTGTGCTGAACGTCTCAGACAGAACCCGAAGTTGACCGCGTCTGAACACATTGTGGTTGTTCTGAAGAGTGAGATATGGAGTCTAGTTGAGTCTAGTTGAGTCTAGTTGAGTCTGGCTTGAGAGAATCATCCAACCCTCTGTATAGGCTGACCCGAGCTGATGACGCTTTGGCCAAGAGTTGCAACCTGTAGGGACTGGGCGTCAACGAACTGACATTGGTAGAAATCTGGGATCTCATGGCGTTGACCTCCTGCGCAGGTCCCTAGTCGGAAGAGACATACAGTCTGCTGTTCTTGTTGTAGATGGGAGAGTAGTAGATGTCTCCAGAAGGAGAAATAACTTGGAGAATGATTCCAGAGAATGTTACCGGCAGTTGTGTCGCTCCCCGTTTAGATATAGTCCATGTGAATCTCGCAGGAGGCTTCAATCCCTGGTATATGTAGGAGTTATGGCTTCCTGCCCTTCTGCAGTCTGTCGCTGTTGGACATTTCGCTTTTGCCGCTGGTTGTCCTGGTCTTGCTTCTTCCATCCATGGTAGGAGATCAACTGACAGCGACAAAGCTGGAAGCTGCTGAGCGACGAGGAAACACGGCCTGAATGGAGCAGTGGTAGTTGATCTCCTCTTCTCCATTCGGCAATGACTTCTCTGGTTCCAGTGGAAGACCAGCAACGATTACTTATCATGACTAGGAAGATGCGCAATAACTACCCTGTCCCTAATGTCTAGGAATCTTCACAACGACTACTCCGGTCCCTAATGAATACATCCGAGTCTGGGGTTGGTCGAATGTTCAGGACAGTAACGCTGAACATCCACGCCACACCATCGACCACAAGAAAAACCCAGACAAGCGTATAGACACAGGGTCAATCTACAAGTAGACTCAGCTGGAGTCCGGGACCAGAATTGAACCACCAATTGGGGGTTAGGGATCATTGGTAACTGTCAAACGATTAGTATCATGTTCAACCAAGTATGATTCCACATGGGATGAACAAGACGGCCCTTTCCGGGACACACGCCGTTTTCAACAACCAAATCCTTACATTCGAATCGTTCAACATCCACTCACTCCAACCGCTACGATACCCATCTGAAACTCCCCATTGGACCATAGAGTTGACATGCAGGCGGATAAGAGAACTTGCGTAGATAACGTACATTCTGCAGAACCACCAAGCCGTGGAGATGATACAGTCGATGGAAAATGGGTGCAACTATCTGGCGATATGTCTTTGTTTGCGGCGAGACTCCGTGCGTGTCTGTCATGGCTCCAGTGCGTATCGCACGCACTCCATTATACTTCTCACCAAGTCGCATTCCACCCCATTTTGAATTCTCAGTGAACTTTCCGGCCATGTCACCGTGCTAGTGTGTCTGAAAGTTTCCCGTGAACGGAAGGGTTCAGTTGACGGTCGCGTCCTGAAACGGGCGTAACGCGATAACCACAGCCACGTCCGGAAACACCCCAAAACACCGGTCGAAAACGGATCTTGTATCGATATCCACACTCGTCTACTCGACGTTTGCTACTGAAACACAGTGAGACACCAGCTAGTTTACGGTATCATACTAGAGGTAGTCTAAAGCCTGTTACTGGATCTGAATACGGGTCTGAAACTCTACAACATGGCTGCCAGAGAGCATGATGGGTGGGCGTGGAGGGACCGAGTTAACACTCCATCGATGTTTATAAAACTAGAGAGCTGTCTGTCTAGGGTCAACAGGAAACAAAATGCACCCTTTCTGCTTCAGAAACTTCAACATTATGCTGTCCACAATTATGGCACCGGTCGTTGGCATGGATTTCATGACAGCGGTTCCACCAGACTTGCCTGACACTTTGGAATCGGACATCTCAGACTCCCTGAATCGCCAGACAGTCCTGTGACCCCAGTCAGCTCCTCGACGCCTCTGAATGTGACTTTTGTCGAGTTTGACGTCTCCCACACCCCTTCTGTCCCTGGACCTGAAGCACTCTCAGATACGTCCGTCACAACACGGGCGTCTGGGGAGGAGGTGTCTCTTATGGTGTCTCCTATCACTTCACCAACTTCGACCGTCACAACACAGGCGTCTGAGGAGGAGGTGCCTCCTATCACTTCACCAGCTCCGGCCTATCCCATGTATCTCTGGATGGTCAAGTATTGTAACTATCCAGGGATATATGATAACTACAGAGTGGCTCAGAACCACGCCAACCGACACAGCGACGTCCACCGGTTCGAGTCGCGAGAAGCTGCCGAAGAGTTTATGGGAAGCACCGCGTTCCAGACCTACAACACCTCCGATAACAGCTATCTGTCTGTCTTTGGAGAAAGGATCTACAAGGTGTACACCGACGGGTCGCACACTTATACCAACGGACCGCGGGCAAGGAAGGCTACAGTGGGTACGGAGTTTGGTTCGGAGAGAACCATCCTGACAACGTGGCTGCCTCTCTTCGAGGAGGAAACCAGTGTTCCCAGCAGGCAGAATTACAGGCCCTTGTAGATGCGTATAGAATCACCTGTGACCGCCAGGACGGACGAATCTATGAGATTCACTGCGATTGCCAGACGGCCATCGATCTCGTCAACATCTCGTGTCTCAACTACTGCCGATTCAGGTCTACCGTCGACAAGATTCGCCAGTACAAACAGCGATCCAACGCGACAATCTTTCTTCTGAGGGTTCTGGGACACAATGGGGACCCTGGAAACGAACGTGCCCATTACCTTGCCAACATGGGCCGAAAGAGCTGCTTCAAACAGGACTATCCCTGTGTGAATGGAGCTCTCCGACATTTGATGGGCCAAGGAACCTCCGGGCCTAGAGTCTGGGTTAATTACTAACTGAGTCGTCGTCTTGGTGGTATTTTTGGCTGAATGGTTGCTCATCCCATCTCTCTGGATAGGTTGGATGTTCCTTTGGAGCCAGTCATTCCGCCAAAAATGCTTCCAAGGCGACTTGTTGGTACGTATGTACTGTACTGACAGCGTAAACGTCTACAAAACCTATCAAAGGTATGTATGTTGGGCCCTTAAGAGGCTCCTCTATACATTCCAGTGATAGGTGTGTAGAAATGAACATTGGCACGGTACCCGAGTTTTTTTTGTAGATCGATATAGGTGATAGAATGGTGTGTATGGTGCACATTCGTGACGAGAAGTGTTCTATCTGAGGGAACATTCCTAGGCGAGTTGGACGAGAGGAGCAATGACTGAAGAACCAATGAGTTGTGGTAATTGTATTGAGTAAGAGAAGTTTTGAGGCGTCCACAAACCTGTGTTCACAGGAGAGTTCTTTTTAGTTCTTTTTGGTCTGGCTTCATCACGACGACACCTTGGATTAGTCCCTGCCAGGTCCATATTATGCCTTGAACAGTATGTAGTCGGACGCCCTAAGAAAGGACAGTACGGTCAAGCGCCAACTGATCAAGTACGACTGGTTCATGCGTTCACAACAGATTCAACATGAACGACTTTCTGAAGATATATCTGCTCAACTCGACCCGAATTACCCAAATTACTCACGCTAACGTCACATTACAATCAGCCATCCCCTCTTCACAGTCCGACACTCAATCTACTCTTCGACTGATACCTCACTGTCAGAGGTACAATAGGAGACTCATTATTTATAACGTATGTAATACATTGCATTGAAATCTACAGAATATAAGCAGACTAGAGTACTACCAGATGTCACATTGTAGACTCAGTTATCAGCTCATCTCGAATCATGTCATCGCATTGAAAGGTCCGAGCTACAACCACACATTGCGCCAGAGAAGCAACTGCATTCTATCTTCTTGAAGATCATAAGTATTGTTGATTGGATATAGTTCATGTATAGTTCATGTAACGACTTACAACTCACTTCCAGAGATACCACGTTCCGATAATAGCACAAACTCTTCTGGTGTGTGCTTGCTCTTTCACTTGAAAAAGATAATACCATCCTATCTACAGGATGGACATCTCGTCTACGACCAAGCTGGTTCCTCTCATCACTACGTGACCTCTCATCATTAAATGAGGAAGTGGCCAGGTATTAGCCTACCGGGTATTACCTTCAACATATCTTCCCACATGCTGTCGATCAACCTACTCGTAGTACAGTCATTACCGTACGGCTTTTACTTGGTGACATAGTACCACGTTTGCCCCAGAACGTATCCATCATCTCAGTACATCATCTCAGTCGCTCTACTGACGCAACCACACGGTTAGTTGCTGTTTTTGAGCTCTGTTTTGGGACGGAAATATTTTGAATCTAACGCCAAGACCGTATTCGTATTCGTCTAACCGAAATAAGCGACTTTCTTTGTTTCAAAACGACTATAAAGGGGCTTGATCTTATTTTTGCTTAGTAAGACGACACGTAGTCTACTAAGCCGATGCTTTATGAAGGTCCAGGCCGGTACCCTCCTCCTACTCCTCCTTTTTTTTCTTTCTGTATATACATTCAAAAATTATAACTTTGCTTTGAAAAGAATAGCCTTCGAAATAAATGTACGCTTACACTTTTTCGTATCTACTAATACACTCTGTCTAACAAATACTCAGTGTGGACCTACACTATTACATGGAGATATCTGATTCGAACTCTCGCCTCCGGAGACGACATTTCTTCAATCTACACACGAAAAACATACCAGCCAAAACGACAGAAGCCGCCCAAAACGATCTGAAAAACGACACGGAAACCCAAAACATACAGAAGACGACAGAAAAACGACAGAAAAACGACAGAAAAACGACAGAAAACCCCCCAAACTGACATCTCCTGCTACTCAGCAATGAATTCTGTCGCTGAAAATGCTCCAGAAGACAGCTCTGTTTTCCACGACCCTCCGGAGACAAACATCCACGCAGTTTTGCCAGAACCCGGCTACCGAATCCACACCCTGTACAAGCTCATGGCGGAGATGCTGGTGATGGCCGAAATGCAAAATGTATACAAAGAAACGACCGGTCGGACTGTCTCTGACCGTTGCCACATCCTTCTGACCCGAAGAAACCTCGGGCCGTTCACCCAGGGTATCTATGAGCGGTTTCTCACCTTCCCCGACACCCAGTCTCCAGTGAAACCGGTTCAGAACTGGCTCATCCAGTCGTTTCGAGACCTGAACGATGCTCGCAAGACCCTTCTTCGGCTCAGTTGCGAGGCTGTCGAGCCCGTAATTACCTCTGTTGACGAGATGAAGTCGTTCATCAAGTTTCAATTTGCCGGAGCTGTCTCGGAGTATATCCTGATCGGCCTGCCTGAAGAAAACATCAACTATCCGGCAGATTACGACCTACTGCGACGCTCTCTGGACCGAATCTACAAAACCTTGCCCATTCTAAATGTCATGGCCAAGTTCAGACTATCCATCGTTGACCGAATTGTGCTCTATTTTGGAGCCCAGAACTTGCAGAGTCTGAACCAGGCGCAGTTCTGGGACCAATTTGAAACCGTCGAGAAGCTCCTCGAGTTCATTGACGAGTCGCCCGAGCCCCTGGCCCAGCCTCGAGACCATCCGGGAGCCTCCGACGTTCACCGATGTCTCCTTACCACCTTGATCAAGTGTCTGACTCCCCGGTTCAAGAAGAAGTACAACCTGGAGAAGCGTTCCCTCGATGTTTTCGAGCTGATGAACATCCTGCGGGGTCTCTACATCCACGAAGCTCACACAAAGTCCTCACGGAAGGTGATCAAGCCCACGCAGTCTGTAGCTACTAACTTGTCGGATCTTGGAGTTGGGAGACACGGAGTCAAGCAGCAAGTGTCCACCGCAAAGCGGCGACGATCTCTGGAGGATGAGGAGAAGGAGGAGGAGAAGAAGAAGAAAAAGAAGGAAGAAGAAGAAGAGGAGCAGAAGAAGAAAATTAAGGAAGAAGATTATCTCGAGGAAAATCGACCGTCTCTTGATGAGGTCTACCACAATGAGGATATGTTGGAAGGGAAGAAGCCGAGTGTCCAGTCTAGTTCTCGAAAATCGGAAGACAGTGATGGAAGCATGGCATTTTTCGACAAAGGCAAGGTTCCTGAACGGGCTCCTAAGCAGAGTCTTGAACAGACTGGTTCGTCTAACACCACTATCGAACAAATCAAAAATGCCAAACAAGCCGTGACGGACATCATCAAGAACAATCCCCATTGGTGTCCCCTTTGCGTCTCAATTGGTCACAACCGCGACATGAAGCTGTACACTCACGCCTTTGAAGATTGTCCTCTCAACGAGATGCTGGCAATCACCAAAACCGAGTCCGCCAATCCTACCGAGTGCCTGACCGGTCGTCTGCTCCAAAAGCTCCGCGAGTTCCGCCGGCTCGAGGCCAACTCATACCGTCCTGTCTACACCAATGGAGTCCAGTCAATCAAGGAAGGAAGTAATCATTACAACAGTGGCATCGGTGTTTGGTTTGACGACCAGGACCCCGGGAATGAGGGAATGCCCTGCCACGCCGAAAGCCCCCTCGAGACCAAGCTCATGGCCATTGTAATGGCCCTTCGAAAGCTGCAGCATCGACCTCGCCTTAACTACGAGATCTTCAACGACAGTGTGACCGCCTGCGATCTCGCCAACGGCTACGGTCTTCCTAGTCACTTTGACTCCCCTCCGCGGGAGGTGCAGAGGCTGGTCGACGAGGCCATGTTTCTCAAGGACCGTCTCCTGCCTAAAAAGATCCGAATCACCTACGCCAATCGCCATTCGCCAGCCAAAGGTAGCCATATCGCCGACGATCTGGCCCACGAGGCTAGGTTGAAGATGAAGACCCGGATACTTCGTCACAAGCAGTTTTTCTGGCCCTGGCGATGATAAAAAGAACGGGACCTGAATCCCTTACAACAGATATGGCTTACAACAGACATTGAAACTGAATCGACTTAGCGGGACTTCCTAACGACCTCCAAACACCGCAATTAACCCATTGAACACTAACCCGTTAACCCATTAACTCATTGAACCATTAACTCATTGAACCATTAACTCATTGAACCATTAACCCATTGAACCATTAACCCATTGAACCACCAACCATCAACCATCAACCGTCAATATCAACTCACAGAGTTATTAACACAACCACCAAGCCAGTCTAACATCACTGAGACCTAGAGAAAAAGCTCCAGCAGTCCTTCAATATGTCATATCATTTGCACAAAATCTCTTCTAGGAAACAACACAGATTTGAGACCTTACCCGGCAGGTTTTCAACACATACCACTCACAGTACAGTAGCTGAAAGCACGGTCTATTTATTTCGTTCGACTTACAAGTACATTACCGACCGCACCGCGACTGAAGTACGATATGGCACTACTTCAGCATACATTAACTTCCAATCGCCAATAAGACCGTAAAACCCTTCTATTTATATCCATTCATCTACCACGACCAACGACTATCTCGCAACTTTCATCACCCTCAAGTCCGTTATATCTTTTTGAGAAAAACACTTGGAGAAATGGTGTTTTCATGTACTTGTATTGCCATATTAGTGACCGTAGAATCATAAGGACTGGAAAGTTGGGCAACGACAGCTACTCTCTACTGAGTGTGATCATGGTTCGGGAGCGTCTTCGCGCATTACTGAAAATGTATCATTATGAAAAGACCGTCCATTGACTAGTCTAGTTGGCAGACTTGAACTCCTTGAGGTTGAACTCCCCGCCAGTCTTCTCTGCAACACCCTTCTCCGTGACAATAGCATCAATGAGCTTGTAGGGAGCGTAATCAAAGGCAGGGTTCCAGACCTCGATTCCAGGAGCAGCCACAGACACGGTGAGGGGCTGCTTGTTGGCATCGACGCCCTTGACCTGCGTCAGCTCAATGGCAGGTCGCTCCTCAATCTCAATATCTTCTCCAGACTTGGTCTGAACGTCAATGGAGGTGGTGGGAGCCGCCACGATGAACTTTCGGTCAAAGTGGTTGGCCAGAATCGACAGCTGGAAGGTTCCAATCTTGTTGGCAGTATCTCCGTTGAGGACCACTCGGTCGGCACCAACAATGATGACGCCAATGTCCTTGTTCTTTCGCAACAGAGCCGCAGCCATGGAGTCGGTCACGAGAGTGGCGGGGATACCGTCGTGGACGAGCTCGTAGGCAGTGAGACGACTGCCCTGGTTGTAGGGCCGGGTCTCGAGAGCATAGACTCGTTCCAGCACTCCTGCCTCGTGAAGAGCTCGAATAATACCAAGAGCGGTACCGTAGCCGGCGGTGGCGAGGGAGCCCGTGTTGCAGATGGTCAGGGCGCTGATTTTGTGTCCGTTGGCGGCCTGGGGCACGTTCTTCTGGATCCACTCGAGTCCGTACTTGCCAATGTTCTTGTTGTCCTGCACGTCGTCGAGCAGCATTTTGTGGGAGGCGGACAGGAACGCCTCAATCAGCTCGCTGGCCGAGCCCGTTTGTGTCTGGACGAGCTTTTTGAACGAGCCCACCGCGTCCGACAGATTGACGGCGGTGGGACGGGAGGTGTTGAGGTAGTCGAGACGGTCGGAAATGAAGGAGCCCACCTCGGCGCGGGTCTGGTCCCGTGACACCTTGCCTCCGTGCACAAGCTCGACTGCCAGCGACAGAATCGCCACAATTGCAATTGCGGGCGCTCCTCTCACCACCATGTCTTTGATGGCCTTCCAGCCGTCGTCCGAGTTGTTGATGGGCACGTACTCGGACTCATGCGGCAGCCGGAGCTGGTCCAGAATCGTGAGCGTGTGGTTCTTTTCGTCGTATCGAATCGCCTCAAGAGACATTGTGTGTTGGAGAAGTGATCTACGTGCAATTCTCTACAAATAATTTAGATCATATCCATGCACCTCACTCCACGTGTGAATTTTAATGGGCGGTAGGTTTGCACTAATGTTATATGTAGAAAATATATATATATAACGGAGGGTGATGAAAGGATGATGACGAGTCTGTAGAAGAGCGAAGGTGTCTCGGTCGTGCTCAATTGCAGTTTAAAGGATCGGAGAGGAGCGTTTGACGAGTTTTCTGTCCATTTTGGGGAAAAGGGGAAAAGGTAGACGAGAGAGACGGTAAAGGCGTTCTGTTAACTAAAACGTAAAGTTTTGTCAAGTAATTCCAACTACAGTTTAGAATTGTAACTAAAGAAAAGAGAAAAAGCAACGACAAAGCGACAACGACAACGACAACAACAACAACAACAACAACAACATACCAAAGGGTCATATTATATACCACAATGACAGTCTTAGAAGTTCCCTGTCATCCGACTACAAGTTTGATCAAGTCAATCTTCACCAGAGTGGGTTACTTGCACTTGCACTTGCACTGATCTTTTTTTTTTCTGCATATACATTCATTTAATTATAACTTTGCCGTGAAAGAATAACCTTTGAAATGAATGTACGCTTACACGAATATTACTAATTAAACACGTTTAGTTTCATGGTCCAACTTGGCACGTACCTATTTCCAGTAAAAAAATCATAAAAAAAACCTTTTCTGATCTATTCACCATAACCATAGCACTATAAAAGAAACCTCGACAATATTCGAGATAGAGATGTCCAATTTTCAATCCTCCTCGTCATGGCTATTCTATTCACATTTTTATAATGTGTTTTTGTTTACTTTATTCCAATTTTTTATTCCAATTTTTTATTCCAATATTTTTTATTCTAGGTTTTTTTTTTATTTTTTTTTTATTCTAATGATTCGCATTATTTTGCGTTTTTCACCCGTAAAAGGCTCCAACCACAGGCTGACCTCTATCGGAACGCCTGGTTGGCTCAGTTGGTTAGAGCGTTAGTCTCATAATCTGAAGATCACCAGTTCGACCCTGGTACCGGGCATTCTTTCTTTTTTTGTCTGATTCAATTCTGCTCTGCCAAATGCGATATATTTCCCGTCTTGTGCAGTGTTCCGTTTTTCAGAGCCTGATTAATAGTTGAGCTACAATAGTTGAGCTACAATCAATAGTCTAACAAGCGGCAACTAGTGTAACAAGCAGTCTGTTTGACGCGGATCAATGTTCAATGGGGCGCAGTAAGCGCATTCTATTTTCTCTTTGTAGAAGCTGCATTTACATGATACTTTTATATTAATTATTTCAGGTTTAATTCCAGAGGTGAAATGGAAGGAAATCGATGTTCGACATTTCGACACTTTTCACTGTTCATTGGTTAAATAACAAAGCTTCTCGGTCACAACCCAGTGTCTACGTGAGTAAAAAACAACTCACCGTCACAAGTAAGTGATATGTGGTATGCGCAGAGACAGTGATATGCCAATACATGGTCGTCACTTTTTTCAAAAAATTAGCCCGACGTGGGGCTTGAACCCACAGCCTTGAGATTGCTTTAAATAAGAGTCTCACGCTCTACCGATTGAGCTAGCCAGGCGGTGTTTTTGTTGTAACTATAACTATGTACTGTGATATCATAAACCTGCTGAGTAATCAGATGAAAACAAAAAGGAACATAAAGACCTCTCCGACACAAATGAGGGACAATGGCGTATCATGACAAGCAGGTAGACGCAATCTGGAACCACAGCCTTCCATTCACGACTTGTCTGGTCGGGAGCAACCAGATCTTTGATGTAGAGGTAACTGCTGAGCTGAAAGGCGTGTTCAAGGGGAATCATTGTGGTAGAAGATTGTGGTAGAAGTAGAAGAATTCTCTATGAATGCAGCGTGGACTGTAGAGAACCAATGAAACATCTTCTGGCCGCTTGATTCATTTTTTCGCCCATGTTGAATTTCTAGCGCAAATATTGCATTAGTGGAGACCAAGAGGTGGTTAACCGAAGAGTCTGTATGAATCAAGTGAGTTCCGAGTTCCTCTTCTACTTCAGAACACCTCATGAAACAAGTACATGTACAAGTTCGAGATTCGGCTTATGTATTCTCAAACAAAGATTCCTCGAATGGTTTAGCAATTGATAGGATAATATGAGAAAAACTGCTGAGTAATCGAATATGCTGACTAGAGGAGGAACAAGAGGAAATCCGTGAGCATGGATGTCATTCGCTCTTCTCTACAGACTCAATTGAAGTGCCCATCTTGATCTGTTAATCGATAAAAATACTTATATCAGAGCCTCAGCAGACCTCGTCCTCTGTCATTGCTGTATTCAACCCATGGATATAACAGGTGAATGGTCAAAGAATGAACATCCAAGGACGCAAGGTGAAACTGCTAATACCGTACTCAGACTCGGATAACCTCCCCAAACCCACTTTCCACTTTACCGCTTCACCCACTTGTTCTGTCTCAGTATGGTCCACTAGAATGCATTGCTGCACCACGTGCGTTATCTTCATGCAAGGGGGATGAGCTAGATATAAAATTTCGGGCTGAAGCGAAACGATCCATGTGTCAAGAACAATGCTCAACAAGCTGATACAGGTGGTTTTGGGCACCGTTGGCCTTCAGTCGGCTCTTTTAGGGCCTCCCAGTCTCTCCAACGAGCTGCAACTCGGCTGGGTCGAGTCCCAGGTGGAATCGCTTCTGGGGGCCTCTAACGACGAGTGTAGCCGGTGCAAAAACTTGCTGGTACTCGGAAACAAGCTGGCCAAGCTTAATCCGGCTCTGATTCCGCCGATTCTGATTCGACTGTGCGAAAAATACAACTGGAAAGACGACTGTGAGGTCTATAGAGACGACACTCTTGCGCGGGGAGCCGTGGGACGCCATATCGCTAACGTCCTGTCTCTGATAGACCCCAGGGGCGTTGATGGAACCAATATTTGCTGGCATTTTGGCAACGACGCCTGCGAGTTTGAGATGCCGCAGTTCGAGCCACATCTCAGCTCCTGGTGGGGCCCTCGACCGGAGGAGCCAAAATCCGCCGGGGTGAAAAGCGAAGGTACGACGTTCAACGTGCTTCATCTGAGCGACATTCACATTGATTTGAGATACATGGAGGGGGCAGAGGCCGATTGCAACAGATACATGTGTTGTGTTCCCGAGTCTGTGAACCAGAACAGTCCGGACAAGGTGGTTGAGCCTGCGCAGAAGCTTGGAACGTACCATTGTGACACGCCTCAGATTCTGCTAGAGAAATCGCTGGCGCACGTGTCGTCAATTGCCTCTCGGGTCCCGTTTGACTTTGGAGTTTTCACCGGCGACATGATTTCCCATGATACAGACCGGTTTCTGAGCCTGTCTCTGACGCTGCAGAGTGAACATGAGTGCTACTACCAGATGAAGAAGCATCTTGGAGACCTGCCCATTTACCCGACCTTTGGCAACCACGATTCGTATCCATACGCCCAGATGGCCCAGAACTCTTCGGGCTTTGCACGGGAGTTTGAGTGGAATACAGACCTCAGCTCCCGCATGTGGAGAGACTACAAGTGGATCAACGAGGAGCAGGAGGAGCAGGCCAGACACACGTACGGCAGTTTTGCAGTGACCACAAAGTCCGGCTTGCGCGTCATTTCGCTGGACTCCAACTTTTGGTACGAGGAAAACTACTACAACTACTGGAACATTAGCAACCCGGACCCCAGTGGGATTTTCAGATGGCTCACCAATGAGCTTTTACAGGCCGAAGAAACGGGCACAAAGGTCTGGCTAGTAGCCCATGTACCTACAGGAGGAGATGCAGACGCTGTCCCTTGGGGAACAGAGGTTCTGAGACAAATCATTGTACGGTTCTCCCCCCATGTGATTGCAGCCAACCTGTTTGGACACACCCACGCCGACCAGTTTGGAGTCTACTACGACTCTTCCAACGTGTCTTCCCCAACCGAGGCGGATGCCGTATCTGTCGCCTGGATTGGCCAATCAATCACTCCAATCGACAAGTACAATCCAGCCTGGAGATACTATTCGGTGGACTCCAAGACATTCGAAATTATGGACTCACACAATTACTATTCTCCCTTGAATGAGACTTACAACGTGGCTGAGCCCAAACTCGAGTGGAAGTACCTCTATTCGGCCAGAAAGGCGTATGATCCCGATCGCGAATGGCCCGACGACGCTCCCCTAAACGCCACATTCTGGCACAGAGCCGTGAAGACGTTTGTGGATGATAAGAAACAACGACAGGTGTTTTTTGACAACTTTTCCAGACTCTCGCCATACACCAGAGTTTGCAACACCGACGAGTGTATCAAGCAGATGAGATGTCAAATGGTGGGTGGAACCGTTGACGAAATCAAGTTGTGTTTGAGGAGACCATAAATGGTGATACTTGTACTTGTACTTGTACAAATAATGTCCTGCGAACCTCTCTAAAAGGTACACTACTGTACTGGTAATATAGTCACTTCATATGCCCACTGTAGAAACCAAGAAATGTTTCCTAAGTATCTTCAGGATTTCAGTCGTACTCATCCTCCTATACCCACGTGATCTCAACGTCCTGCGAGTCAGCATCAGCATGATTTGTGGACATGTCTGGATCTGAGCAGATGTCAACTCCAAATGCATGCCCGTGAACTTCTCACAAGCCAATTAAATCTGTTTAGCATGTCGAAGAGAAGTTCGTCTAGTGTCTTCAAACAATCATTTCCTGGACATTGCCTAGCCCTGAACAGACACTAGGAAGATCCAAACAGGTGATCCAGCCACTAGATTGGACAAGTATTTGAAGTGTTCGTAACTGCATCGTAAAAGTCCCTTCTGGTCCACGGACTCAGTGCTTCACCATCATTGGTCTCAATTGTGTACAGTACAGTTTGTACAGTACTTGTAGTTGATATCCTCCAAGTAAGTATGTACAGTACGGTGTGTACAGTATTTGGATCTATTGTAAGTTCTCCATTCAGCCTACCTCCATCATCATATTCGGCCAACTAACTGAACCACACCCGTCCCAGTCAACCCCCTTCGTCTGAGTCAACCACCTCCGCGAGTCACCTACATGGTGACCTTCATCGGCATCAGTTTGGTATTGGTAACTGCGGTCTTGTCAATTCTAAACTGGCCTCTGAAGTTCGTGGGAATGGCCACGACTTGCCCGTTTCCACCCCAGAAGGCATTTACCAACAGTGAGATGCCTTCTGTTCTTCTTGCCGATCAACAGTATGTATCGGGTGACCAATTTGAGCAGCTCGGGAATGCCGTAGATACTAAGAGGAAAGTGTGGATCTGGAACACCTCCGAATTCTCAGACGTGATAGTGAGGTCTTTCTCCTTATCTCGGAGTAAAATCCCAAGAATCTGCGACCGAAATGGTGATAGCAGTAGAGAATTTCCTTTCTTTAAGATGCCTCTGCTCCAAGACGGGCTTCGACTGATAGAAACTATCTTCTCTAGTCTCATGATGGGCCCATTTGTTGTGAGCGAAGTCCGGGATGTAAATAATGACGAAAGTGGCCTTGACTCGAAGAACGATGGTGTTTCCTTTTTTCGTATCCTGAAATTTCATTTTTAGTGAAAGTGAACGCCAGTTTTGGTGATGATCAGTGATAATGAATAAACCTGTACTTTTTCGAAATAGGTGATTGAGCTTAGATATTGTTTTTCAACACCTTGCCAGAGTTGAACAGGAGACCCCTCTGTTGCTGAGTCGTAACCAAGCTGGACAGTCTTGTTTGTTATCGTCATCTTTGTGGGCAGTAGGCTGAGCTGTAGCGAGGGGGAGAGAGCAAACAATGATCCAGTATAATTGTACAGTACAATACCGGAAATGACATCAGACAGCCCATAGAATTCAACAAGATCAACAAATAACCCTGGAGGGACCAAAACTAGTAATGGTAAACGATAAGTTTACTTCTACCTATCACCAGAGCATAACACCGATTGCTATCGGATTGGAGCGGTTTTTGTGCCAGTTTTTTTTACCAGAAAGCAAGTTTCCGACAGATTTAAACACTCCAACGACCATCAGGGCACGGTTGCGGCCATATCCTGGTGAAAATACGGCTTCCCGTCCGATCAGCCATAGTCAAGCACCAGAGAGCCCAGTTAGTATTGTAGTGGGAGACCATACGAGAATCCTAGGTGCTGCAATCTTTTTTGAGATCTAAACTATGGAAACGCGATATTCTTGAGTACTCGTGCCTACATACAAGTATGTACTGAGTTGTGGGAAACCGGGGTGTTGCAGTTGAGAACAGCTTGTCACTAAAAATGAAGCTTACATTCGCTTACTGTATTCGCTTAACCTTAAATAATTATGACAAAAAAAAGAAAAAAGATAAAAATAAAATAAAAAAAAGGGGATCGAGGAAAAGTCGAGGAAGTGAAAGAACGGGCAGATTCTGTTTCAAGTGAAATAGTGTCGAAGATTTCAGATCTATACAAGTCAATGTTGTACATTTTGTTAGTTAGAATTGAGGAGCAATGATGTGTCGAAAAGATCTGGTCGGAATGGTGGGACGCAACATAGAGATGGAGTTTGGGGTAGTGTCGACTTGATCGAAACGACTTGATTGACTCTAGTAAACGTCTTCTGAAGAGTCAATTACACCAGCTAGATTCTCATAGTAAAGTACGCTCCTCGCCAACTTACCTGTATCTATACATTATCACATCGATACATTACTTCAGGTTCGACGACTGCTTCGAGGTTGTACCCTGACGATCTCGACGTCGACTCAGTGACAGCTTCAGATGTGAAGCCCGCACATTGTTCCCGTATAATACCAACATGCAGCATTTTCTCCGTCTGCCGTCTCTCCCAGCTCGTCCAGCTCTTCTTCAGAGATTGGACACCCAGAAGGCGGCCATCAAAGAAAAAACGTAGCGCGAAAATGAGCGGAGCCGAGCTGCTCCAGAGCTTCGTTTTCGGATCTCCTCGACAACGCCAAACGCCTCATTTACGGGGATAGTGACAAAAATGGTGAAAAATGGAGAACAAAAATGGAGCTTCCTCTTTTATCTCTTCTCATAATCTTACTCTTACGCCGAGTGCTGTGACCACAGAGTACAGAACGTCTTCGTAGCATTCGGTGGACAACCCCATGCTACATTCTTGATCTCGCTAGTCGTGTGACAATGAAAGGTGGAGGTTAGTGGACCAGTGGTGAACTCATGTGTACAACCGGAGTGCTTGATTTCACTTCAAGTTTCACGTCTGATTGGTGTCAGTGACGCTGCAGGTATAGTTGGAGGCTGGTACGTTACACTATGAGAATACTCGTTGCTTTACAAAGTGCTAACAAATTTCGCAGTAATGATAACAAACTCTGTTGATATTACTTGGACCAAAAGGGAGAGTTTTACGGGTGGTAACAATGCAGTCCGGTTTGCAAGAGCTGATTTGTTCATACGGTCGAATCACTCTACTGGAACAGAAACGAACGAGATCAGTCCAATGATAGCACTTGTGTCCATATAGCACGTCAATTGGAATCTCTGCAGATATGATGACTAAGCAACAGAAAATACTGAACCAAATCCAACCGTCAAAATGAGAACCATGATCGGATTCTGCTGGTTGAAGAGTGATTTAGAAGATCGTTAATTCATTCTAGGAACATTTAATCTTCAAATACACCAGACACTCTATGATATGACTCCAGGTGGACGGCTTCAGGGTGACGCCAGAGGATTGGCCATATGTTACATGTCGATGGATTGTATTGTCTTTGGGCAATTCTACTGGCTATAGGTATTCTGCTGATATATATATATATATATAACACAGTATTATGATACCATCAATTGGATCACAAATGTCTAGTCGATACCTAAGAGTTGTCTTTAACTAACAATCATCCAATCTTAACACTATTTTGTTGAGAAAAAATTGCCCATGGTTTTTTTTTATTAGTGCAGATAAATATACAAGTATTTTTACTGTTGTCAAAAGTTTCATACAATTACGAATAAGTACAATTAAATGATTATTACCTCTATCCATTTTCTACCATCTATCTACCCATTCGACGTCGCTTCTCTCCCCGAGAGTCGTCCTGGGTAGATGACGAATGCTTTCGAGACGAGAACCGTCCATCACCATTGGAAGAACCCCGACGAGGTTCTCGAGGAGGCTCTCTGTTCCACGAACGGGACGACGAGCCGTTGTCCCTCGACGAGGAGTCTCGAGACCCAGGGTCACGTGAAGATCCGTTGTCCCGCGAAGAACCGTCTCTGGAGGGACCATCTCTGGATGCACTGTCTCTAGATGCAGCATCTCTGGACGAGCCACTTCCACTACCAGCACTTCCTCCGCTTCCACTTACTCCTCCTCTCGTCTCTCGCACAGCACGCCCAATCTGAATCCTGTTGGGATCCTCGGCTCGACGTCGGTCTCGCTCACGGTCATTTTCACGCTCCTTGTTGCGCTGATCACGTTCGCGTTCTCGATCCCGAGCCGGTCGAGAGGGAATAGCTCCGGGGGCTGCATCTCTTTCTCGCTCTCGAGCTCGCGCCTCACGCTCTCGTTCACGTGAGCTTCGAGGACCACTGGGAGGAGGTGGGGGAGGCGGAACAGTGTCAGACTCGCCACCACCTGCTCGCCTGCTCATACGAGATTCAATGGAGAGGTTCTCCGAATCTCCAAATCGCCGAGGCGCATCCCGGACGGGAACGTCACGTGGGGGCTGGTCTCTGGAGCTACCATCACGAGAGCTTCCGTCACGCGAACTACCACCGTCGCCTCGAGGACGAACAGGAGGCTTGGCGGGAAGCGAAGCAGGCTCCTCCTTGCCTCGACGTCGCTTCCGGTCCGACTCTCGCGAATCTCGCGAGTCCCTGGAGTCTCTAGAGTCTCTAGAGTCACGGGAATCGCGACCATCACGGGAATCGCGACCCTCACGGGCATCACGCCCATCTCGGCTTTCACGTCCATCACGTGAATCTCGGGCATCCCGGCTATCACGTCCATCACGTGGATCACGCAGGTCTCTAGAATCTCTAGGATCCCGCTCTCGATCACGGATACGCTCCTTGTTGCGCTGCTCCCGCTCTCGCTCCCGTTCTCGCTCCCGCTCTCGTCGAGGGGAAGTGGCACGAGAAGACCGAGCTGAGGAAACCCGAGACTCCACATCACGGGCCTTGTCCAGGTCACGTGAATCACGTTGAGCGTCACGCGCCTCAGGCTTGGCAGATTCACGTGACTCCTTCTCTCGGCGCTCCACATCAAGTGCAGCCTTCTCCTTGGCATCCTCAATGGCCTTCTTGCGAGCCATAACCCGCTTATTAGCCTTGGCCATTTCGACCTTACGATCCTCCTCTTTCATGGGCTTGAAATCGTAGACCTCGATCCACGACACCTCTGTTCGGGTCACGTGGCCAAGCAAACTTAGCGCAGCCAGCTTGATGTCTTCTCGTGTCTCTGTCTTGGCAATCTTTTCCAATCTCTTGGACACATCAACACCATGGCCCGCCACAAGAGGGAACTCGCCCACAACAGACCGCAAGAAGATGATGGCGTTACGACGGCTCATGTAGTCGTCTCGGGAGAGGCACTCCGCAACAGTGATGTGGATTTTTCGGTGCCACTTTTCCACCACGGTTCTCAGCATGTCATGGTCCAGCATGTTTTCCTTCTTGTTATCTCCAATACCGTAAGCCAGTCGGAAGCCTGGGAATCGGTATGTTCCAGCAGCCTCCCCAGAGGTGCCCGTCAGACCTCCGAGACCCTCAGCCACGTACTCCTCGGGCTTGGCACGCCAGGAGTTGAGAATGGCAAGAATCTCGTGGTAGAATAAGCCCAGGTTTTCGGTCTCGCCAGCTGTGCACGTGTACAATGTTGGGACAAGCAGCTGGGAGTTGAAGATCTGGTCGAGAACGCCCAAAGTCGAAAAGTTGAGGGTTCCAAGCTGATGAAGAGTAATGACAAAGTGAGCAGAGTACAAAGCATCCACAGCTGACAGAATGGCTCGAGGAAGCACACAGGAAGCCAGAAGCTCAGAAATCTGCATCTTACGCAGAATCTTGGCTCCGTCGGATGCGATGTCCATTTCACAGGGGAAATAAGAGTCTTTTTCGGCTGAAAGACGAATCTTGGTCTTCATATTGTGCAGAGTGTGTGTCTTATCTTCGTCAGCCAGTTCTCCAGCATTGCTGCTCTTCTTGGACTTGCTCAGACGAGCAAGCTCAGCTTCATAGACTCCGTGGTCGTAGTAAATGTCGTAGAGTGACAACTGCCAGAAGGTCACATAAAGCGAGGGAGAAATGTGTTCAGGAGATGGAAGGCCGTCTCGGAGACTTTTAAGCACGGAAGGGTCGGACTTGATCTGCTGGCTCAACATTGGCCGCCACAGAGCAAACGCATATGCTGGAGACACGTCGTACTTGGTGACTAGGTCAACCACCGAGGCAAACGTCGCTGCAAACTTTTCTAGCGGCTTTACGAACCATGTAACAGCCTCGATGTACTGGTTCAGCACTCCGGTGACCTCATCGTGACGCAGAGCAAGAACCTTTTGATGAACAGAACTGTTGTCAGGTAAGAATGCGAGTTTCTGCTGGGTCTGGGCAAGAAGAATGAATAGCTCCAGTGCCCGCTGTCCTCCAAGAGTGTTGAAAAGTCGGTTGGCTGGCTTCTCCTTGTCCAGACGACTATCACCAATTACCTTGAAGACTGAGTACTTCAGCTGAGGAGAAAAGCCGAGATTGAGGGCCTGCTCGGGTGAAATGTTCTGCTGCTGAGCTACTCCAGTCATGGAAACCAGAATCTCTCTCAGCACAACCAACATTGATGAATCCTGGCAATGAAGCTGCTTGATGAGCAGATCGAAAATGGGCCAGCAGTCCATCATGACAGAGTATCGACTGCAAAGCCGGCCCGTGAAGTGTGCGAGACTCTGCAACCACTTTCTGTCGTTCAGACCGTCTTTCTGTACAGTATCTCGACCACTAGATGTGAGCTGGAGAATGATCACAAACGGTAGAGCGTCCCATCCAAGATCTGTAAAGTATTTAGCGGCTTCGACCACAAGATCAGACAGATTGTCGTACGATTCAACCTGTGAGACAAAAGCCGTGAATGTGGGCAGAGGGTTCGCGTAGCTGATTTTCGCCAGCTTACGCATCATCTCACGAACATTCTGCTTACTCAGCCGCTTCAGCACCCGTTTCGTCTCTTTTTCCGTGTTCAAAGTTGCAATGCGCAGCTCGGGACAGCTTTTGAGGATGCCAAAGTTCCATTCTCCATAGAGCCGGAACCGCACATCTGCGGGAAACTGTTTCACCACCTTGAATACCTCAGCAAGAGCAAGAGGATTGGTGGAAATGAGGGCTACAGATGGTAAAATGAACAGCCGTAGGTAGTCGTACCACCAGGAGGGGTCCTGTGATAGACAGGCGGTAGCGATTCTGCACAGCTTTGCAAACAGACGAAGATTGTAGCACAAATGCGGTCCTGTCAAGCCGATTAGTCGCTTAGATTGATCCATCAACTCTTCCTTGTTGTTGACGGGAACCACAGCTTCTTTCCAACTGTCGGTAGTGTCGAAAAATCGAGTCTCTCCGCCTTCACTGTCGAAGGGATATATACAGGGTTGCGACATACCCACTCGGGGTCGCGGAGTTGTAAGAACAGAGTCGTTAGACTGAGAGGGAAGCTTTTTGACCTGTGTAAGCTCATTCACTTCTTCAAACGGTCTGTATGCGTCGTAGAGAGGTGACAAGCCGCCCTCAAACAGCCGGTAGATGAGTCTGGACACCAAGGGGAAGGCACCAGGAAGCCACGGGAACTTGGAAAGGATGAAAAAAGAGGGCTCCATGATTCCACGTGTCAAGAGGGCTTGCAGAAGATGTGTGTGAATGGTAGGGTCAAGGGTGACCACCTCTTCTTCTACAGCATCAGTATCTCCTCCTTCTCCATCAAACTGAACCATGGCCAGAGCATTACCAAGCGAAGCCATTCCCGAAACCGAGGGCTTGTTTCTCAGCTCCTCGTAGTAGAGATCCTTCTGGGCAGTGACCTGAGATTCGAGAGGCTCCAGAAAAGGATAAATGGCTTCGAACTTGATGAAGCCCCGCTGGATCAACAGCGCCACCGCAGCACATGTGTTCCCCGACTGCTTTCCATGCTGAGCGGCGTTTGCTCCAACCAGCTTCATACCCAACAGCTGGGCAGCCTCGTAGTTGGGGACACCTTCCTCCCAAAACGGCGTCTGTGCTAGAACCTCAATCATCACCTCCGAGGTGTATGTAATGTCGAGAATGAACACGTTGAGAAAAATGTCCAGCGTACGGATGGGATCGAGGTGAAAGTATCCGATAAGCGAGACGATGTTCGCAGCAGTCTCAGCGGCGAGTTTGGCAGTGTCCCTAATGTGTTTGGATGCCGCAACAACATTGCTTAGCTCCACCATCAGCTTGGAGTATCCCTCTGTCTCCTCTCGAAGCAGGTTGTGTCGTCGCTGTCTGTAGAAGATTGTGGTTCGTTCTCTGATAATTTTCTTTTCAAACATGGGTGAAACTATGCCGATTTGGGTCAACAGGTTGCCGTCGTTGACATAGAGCATCCACGAGGACGTCGATATCGTGTTTTCGAGCAACTTGGGGAGTTTTGACAGCGACTCGTGGTATCCAAAGAAGGAGAACATCATGAGCAGCGTCTGTTCGGCGTTTGGGAAGGGCAAGGTGAGCACTTCCTCGAATACGCTGGCCAGACGTTCATCAAGGGTGAGGGAGCCGTCGATAATGTTGCCGAAGAGCTCTATGAGAATCTTCACGAGGGTGATGCTGTCGCCGTCGACGTTGCGTCGGATCACGTCGAGTCTGTGTTAGTAGATGAATGGCGATGTGTAAGATGGAATGGAGTGGCGGTTGGACGATAGGGGCTGGAGGAATGTTTGCAGTTGGTCTCTGAACGAGCGGGTGAATCGGCAAAATCGTTTGGCGAGTGTATTACCGCACCGCTTCAACCTAGGTATGCAACTAAGACGACACAGTGCGAATGTGGTTGCTTAGTGGTCGATGAAACGGCAGATTGTCACCGCAATTTTGTGACCGCAATTTTGTCAACGCAGTTTTCTTCCCGTTCTTTCATCACATCCAAGTTGCAACCTTCAACTTACACAATCAACCACAGCATAACCGATGACGGCTGATGAATGTCCAACTAACGTCCGATGAGTCCAACACAACTAACAACGTCTGATGAATGTCGGTCTCCATCGATCCACGTGATAATGGGAGCAGATCGCGCTTCTCTGTTGCACTGATATCGTCCAGATCACCTGCCCCTCCCCGGGTCTTCCGTCGTAGATACTCACAATTCATCGCGGCCGCTGGTGTTCCAGTCGTCGATGATCGATTGGGTCACAAACTGGTGGGTGCTCGCAAGCAAAGACGAAGCCAAGTCCGTCATTATAAGCGCCCGAGTCGTGTGTGATGCTGGGTGTTGCAGTGTGTGTGATGATAGAAATGCAAAATAGGCTCGTGGCACCAGCAGTAGCTTTTCAGTGTGCAGCTGCAGTAATTTAAACCACACTATTTTCGACAAAGACGATCGAGCGAGACGAACACCACGAAAGCGACCGACACCGCGAAAGATAATACCGCGAAAGATAATACCGCGAAAGATAATACCGCGACAGACAGCACCGCGACAGACAGCACCGCGACAGACAGCGACAAGCAGGTTCACTAATACTCAATCAACACTCACACAGTCAACAATACAACAATGGTGAGTACGAACAGGAACGGACTTCAGCCGCCGCTATAGACCTAGAAAAACGAGACTGACAGGACACTATCGATTAGTTTCGTTGTGGCTCCCGTCTAAGGAGTGACTTTGTGTTCACTTCATAGACCGTTGTTGCGTTGCAAACGTTACAAATGTTTGGCGGTATTCTTCCCTCACTCCAGACTCCTGAGTCCAGTTCGTGTGAACTTACAAACGTGGATAGATATGTTTGTGTCCAGGCCAATACGGCTGCTGTTTACTGGGCTGATCTGTGACGGTGCAAATGTGCCCTTTTCAATCCGACGATCACACTCGTGCTTGTTGATTCAGTCAGTTTCAGCCAGACAGTTGCCAGCGGATGTAAAGGAACGCATCTCCCACAGAATACATTGCCCACAGAATACATCGCCCACGGAATACATCGCCCACAGAATACATCACCTCTACTTTCCATCACTCATCCTTACTAACACAGGCTGACAAACTCCGAGAACAACAGCTCTTCCAGCTCTCACAGTCCCGGTACCTCGGCGTGGGAAACCCAGATACCACAAAACAAGAATGGCAGACCAACGTAGCCCGTGACTCGTATGCCTCGTACATTGGCCATCCCGGAGTTCTTTCACACATGTCTCTGGCGCTTGGCCAAACCGAAGCTGAAACCCGAATTCAGTTCCTCGACAAGCTGGCCAAGGTTGGAACACAACCGAAGCATGAAAATGGCGACAGATGAGGCAATGCGCTGTCTCGTATGATTATCTCAACTGATACGGTTGTCTGCTCGTCAGTACCATCTTGGGAGCTGTTTCTCTGGCCGAATGCCGCTGGTTGATGCTTGTTATGCCTCTCTCATGCTCATCAACACAACTATCCCTTCTCTTTCGGACCGAAAGCCCTTTGCTCAGTAAGTAAACTGTTGCCAGCAGTCTGGAGAAGCCTGGTTGCAACTGCTGACTACCACACCAACTACGCTGCCCATTAGCCATGCCTCAGTACATGTACTCCCGAGGACGAGAACGGTCTGGCAGGTCACCGGTTGTGAAGAGCGATACTAGCATGTTGTCAACCCTGTCTGCGGTATGACTGTACTTCACTTTGAAAACATATACTCGAATTATATAAATAAAACAATGCCAATGCTGGGGACCAACGCACGACATCTAAGCTCTGGGAGCCACCTGAGGACACAGCATCTGCATGAACAATCTACCCTCCACGAGACCCAAATCCTGCATGAACCGCTCAAAGGTCTCTTGGGTGGAGCTGGTGTCGTCACTGGGAGACTTCATTCGGGTGGCGCAATAGTACGCCACGGTGTCGCTGTACTTCCGGGACCGCTTCCAGTAGGACATGGTCTGTTGGTCGTTCAAGTCGGCAGCAAAAATCGATCGTGACGCCAAGGAAACCAGTCCCGGAATCTTCTGTTGCTTGGCCAGCCCCAGCAAGCCGATGGCAGTTTCCAGATCCAGCTGTTCTCTGCCGCCATAAAAGTACGACACCATGGTCTGGATACAGACTTCGGAGCCGTCCATGACGACTTGGCCAGCTTGGCCTTGAAGAAGTGCCATCGCGAAGCCAGGATCCAGGCATGCACGGGGATCTTCTTGTCGTCCGAGCACTCGATGGTGGTGTCCGCGTTTCCCAAGGCTTCCAAGTTGGGGGGCTGAGTGGCGGCGTTGAAGCCTAGGTAGGTGTTGAGCATGGACTGCTGCTTGCGCAGCTTCTCGGTGATGCTTTTCCATCCATTGCTGGATTTGAGCACGAGCAGGTCGTGGTTGCCTTTGAACTGGACCAATAGGGTGGAAGAGTCGACCGGGAAGAATCGCTTCACCTCATGACCGCCCCCGAAAACGACATCATTCTCGTTGTCGAAAATGGTGGTTTCGGCCTCGGACCGCACCAACAGAAGACAGAAGATGCCTCCTTCGCAGTTGGTCAGGTGGAAGATGCCCACTCCGTCAATGCAACACGAGCTGATGGAGCGCATGTACTCCAGCATCTCCCGTCTAGGCACATTGTGGAACTGGTCGAGCAGAGGGGGCTCGGGGGCCAAGGCGGGGTCTTTTCGTTGTGTTGTGTTCACCTTCTTGGGTGGGATTATGTGGGAGGTGTATGTGTGTGAGACTTGAAAGGGCGACACGCTTCAATATATAGGAGTACAGTGTACTTAATTACTTCTCGTTGGAGTTGATGTGTGAAGACATAAAAAAAGAGAGTAGCGCGAGAGTAGCGCAAGAGTAGCGTCTCACTTGACACGTTGGGGAGGTTTGGAGCAGCTGATTTCTCTCTTTTCAGAAAAAAAAAATGGTACAAAAATGATTCTCTAGGCTTGTAGAATCCCTACATGTAAAAATCGTAGCTCTAGGACAGCTACATCTCCATCCACGATGCACTTGTACTTGTATTGATGAAACCTTGAAGGCCTCATTTACGCCATACTTCACACAGTGGCATATCCTTCCCTCGTGACCTGATCAGTCGTCACAGCTCAAATCTATATTATATAATGGGCTTGTCTTCTTAGATCGCTCCTGGTTGGTTCTTCAATACACTTTTCTAACTCACGATTACTTAAGCCGACTTCCGTGGCTCTTACTATATCTCAGGGTTTTTTTTTTTCAAGCGTGTTTTGAGTTTTTCAATAGGACGCGTTTAATGAAACTCGCGCTTTGAACCTGCGTTAGTGCCAATGGTGCTATAAAACAGGGCTCGAGATAGTACTTATACAATACAAGCATCAGCAAAGCCACGGGAGATAATTCGGTGATGATAATTCGGTGTTGCGATTGGTTACCAAGAGGTTCAGACTCTGTGATCCAACTCCTAATGTGCGCTAAACGGAGTGGTGCTGGACAAGGTGATCGAGATATGACCATTTTGTTGACAAAGAAGCGCTCAATGTCAGGGACATCTCGAGACTTTCCGTCATTAATCTGCCGTGTGACCCCGGAGCGCAACCGGCTCTAGTAATAACACGACCTCGTTCGATGACACTGCACAGAAACACCCTTGTAGTCCTTCTGCTGGTTCTTTTTGGCGGTGTCCCACAGAAAAAAGTCAATCAAAATCGCATTGACCTCCGTCTTGGGGTCCCGCTTCACCATTTCCCGACGAATCAGCTCAACAGCCCAAATACTGCACGCTCTGAGCTCCACCTCCCTTGGATCACCCGAATCGATCATCTTCAGATCCCCAATGTGCTTGTACAACTGCTCCGAGTATGTGAGACAGCCCAGATCGTGCAGAATCTGAGGAACCCGGTAGTCGGCAAACATGGTCACTCTGTCAATGTCCACAAACTCGCCGTATCCCTCTCCATCGAAACACGCCCAGATATCGGCCACCAGAATCTGAGCACGCTTGTAAATGTGAATCTTCTTGTCCTTGTATGTGGCTTCGTCTTTGAATGATGGGAACAGCGTGGCCACAGTCTCTACCAACTCCATGGCTGATTTTCCCTTGTTGTTTTCCAGAATTTGGGCAAAAGACTCCAACTTGTTCTCTTCTAACACCCCTCCAGCCTGTTTCATGATGTCGTATCGAGTCTCCAACAACGGCACAGTTTCCTTCGTGGCAGATCTGAATACGTGGGCGAGTTTCTCGAGACTGAAGTCGTTACTTTTCCAGTATGCGGGGGTGGTGATAGGGATGCCTTCGTCCAAGGCCCGGTTGATGGCAGCACACAGACTCCAGTATCCCGTGTACTCCTTGTCGTTGTAGGCGACGGCAAAACGCTGGGAAGAAGCCAGGCCCGAGTCCTGCAGATCCGTGTCCGACCAGAAGGAGAAGTTGAGCAGGTCCACGAGGAAAATCCAGTCGACGGTGGCCCGATCTTTGGTTTTGGGGGTCAGTTCGGGCTCGTTCCAGGTTTTTGTGGAGTACGATTGGGTCTTCATGTTGGCGAGAATTTCGCCTGCGGCCGATTCGCACGCACTGACCTTCACGGTGACGTCGTCCGCCTTGTTGGCCACATACTCCACTGTTTCCAGCACGTTGATCATGGTCAAAGAGGTGCAGAGGTTCACTAAACTTGGGAACTTTAACAAAAAAAAAAAAAAAAAAAAAAAAAAAGGCAAGTATGTTTTGGTGGGAATTGAACTGGGGGGTGGTGTGCACGGAGGCACTCTCTATTACGTAATCGTAAAAATGTATGATAAATGTATGATTCAAGCGGGATGTTGGGATATGATATTCGTGGTTGATGATGATATTCTACTGCGAGTTGATTTGGTACCAACCACGTGATCGCCAAGCGTCTCTTCCTGCCTCTTTCTCCCCTATTTCCCTCATTTCCCTCTTTGGACCGTGGAATAAACTCGGTTCGACTTTGGGTAAGGGCTGGCTGATTCAGTTTATCAGCCTGCATAGCAACGAAGAATCTAGATCAACCGCTCTCCTAAGAATCTGGATCAACCGCTCCTACCACCAACAAACATGTCTATGCTTCTGGATCAAGCCCTCGTCGAGGATGTGAGTATCAATGAACCGGGAGACCCGCTACTGCGGTCTTTGGACTACTATTTTGCCGCCGACCAACCCCCACAAGAGACCACTAACTCAGGTCGCTCGATACTGCCCCGAGCAGTTTCTCAACTACCACAAATGTCTGGGAGCCGGCGACGTGACCAAGTGTTTCGAGGAGCAGGAAAAGCTGTCGACCTGCGTCAAGACCAGCGTGCCCACCTTTATCAAGATTCTCAAGGACTGCGACTCCCATCTCAAGGCGTACGAAAACTGTCTGCGAGCCAACCAGAACTCGCGATCCGAGTGTTTCGACAAGCTGCAAGCGATGCGAAAGTGTTCGGCCAACGCCATTGATATCGCCAAGTCCGAGGAGAAGGCCAAGGACACCAAGAAGTGACCAAATTGACAACATTGTATATAGTAAACGTGAGCAGAGGCGGAGCATCCAGCCTCCATGCTGTACATTGCGGTAGCATTGGTGAATATCATAAGGCGACGATAAGTGGTTGGATGATCAGTGATAGGATAGTCGAATGGTTATCCATATCTAGTCGAGAAGCTGTACACACACTACCCACCGCACGAGTTCGTCAGGGAGGAGACGTTTTGTCAACCGGTCTTGTATAGTACAGTGTACATCTCCTCAAAATCCAAGTAGTCATTCGTCCGCATGAAAGAAACCAATATAATGCAATCGTTTTCAGAGACACTCGGGAACCTATGAGATAACTCTGTAGCCATATGGACTATGCCAAACTGTGTATGTTTTGCCAGAGCTGTAGAATCTGGACGTGAGACTTCTGGCTGTGATTCCCGCCATCTGTAACTCTCCAGTCATGTCTGCGAAGATGGCAGAAAGTTTCTCGTCAGGCTCGGACTTCGACTAGGAGCTGTGTTGTCGACTATATCTTCCACGCTCCTCACATCAGGTTCAGACAAGTTACTGAACCGGAGTGTCTCCATGTTGGTCTCTTATCTCAATCTCTGGAGTCTGTTTGAAGCAGAAGATCTGACCAGGAACTTCGAGTATGCTTCTGGCGATTCTCCGCGCTAGGCGTATTGATAGACCAGAGACGGGTTCGATTCCCAAACTGGCGGTGAATTGACCAAAAGATAAGTTGTTACTATACTTCTTAACCCACGGTTATGCACCCAGAACTGATTCAACTGGTTCGAATGCAAGTTCGTTTCCGGCTTTTTCCTGACTAGAACATCTAGTGGGTTCCAGGCAGTCAGATATCACTTCATGTCTGGTCAGATTGGATTTTCAACGAACTTGGCAACCTCTTTGCTTGGACTTCGTCAAACCGTCGTCTCCCCGACGCAGCATTCAGTTTAGTCATCAATATGGCTTGTTGAATCGTCTCCATGCTCCTTCAAATGTTTGACCGTTCAGTCGACTTTGGTCTCATCACAGGCAATTGCTTCTGTCGAGGCACTTTCAACCTCTTTTGTTCCAGACCTGCCTCAGTCTTCTCGTCTCTCGACTGTTCAACGGTAGTTGATTTCTCTCGAGAAGATCTCCTCTACCTTTCCCACAGCTTTTCAAGTGGTTGGGGTATCAGCAGGTCGGGGTAGGTGCTCAGTAGATTTGGAGATAGTGCGGAGATCGGAAGATAGTGGTACCTAGAGCTCGGGAGGACGACAAGGCGTTAATTGATAGTGTCTGGCATTTAGTTGGAAGTACGGTATTGCAGTATCAATATTTAGTTGATTCAAACGCAGTACAGATACAACACTGATTGGATCCCGCAGGGTACTCAATCCACTTCAATTATCACTCTGAAACAATCATTTTGTTACGTGCTGTACTTATTGTCTCTGTTGATCACATTCTATATTCTCATTCAAACAATCAATTCATACATTAAATAAAACATTCACAAACTAGATCTTGCAAGATCGACAGTCCTTGACCTCGACGGATCGATTGAAAGTCTGGTTGGACTTGGGCACGTCAACAGAAGGGTTGCCGGTGAAGAAATCGTTGGGCGACAGATGGATCTTCATAATCTCGCAAGGCATGACGGGGAAGTCCTCGACTCGGGGGTGGTGAGTGAGACCAAAGGAGTGCCAGAGAACCACGTCGTCGTTTCGCACGTTCTCGTTTCGGGCAACGGCATCCTGGACTCCGCCGACCTCGTTGGCAGACTGGTTGGTCCACACGCCACCGGCAAACAGCTCCTGGTCCTTGTACTTGGTGACCCAGTAGTGGTGGGTGGCAAAGGCGGCTCGGTTTCGCGAAACGGAGCCGGGCTGAGCGTACAGCATGGCGGTGGCCAGACCTCCAATCTTGTACCCCACGGGGTTGCCGGAGATGGGGTTGATCTTGTTCTCGTTGCAGATCTTGAGGTACCGGTTCTTCTGGATGTCCGAGTCCAGGTAGCACGACTTCTCGATGGGGGTCTTGGTGTTCTCAAAGGCGATTCCATGGGGGTTCTTGGCGTCCCAGGGCAGAGCAACGGTGTCGTTGACCACAACTGTGTTCTGATGGCCGTCAATGGCAGGGTCCATTCGCACGTTGAAAATGTGCTGGTGAGAGGCGGCCATGACTCCGGGAGAGACAATGGTGCCAAACTTGGACTTCTTGCCGGCGTCGATAAGCTGGGTGGAGACGATTCCGGTGGCTCGGATCTCCAGCTGGATTCCGGCAGACTGGTCAAAGTGCCAGGCAAAGATGTACTCGTAGTTGCCCACGGTCAGAATGGTCTGCAGAACCAGAATTCGTCGTCGGGTGATGGCAACCACGTCGGTTCGGTAGTTAGTGTGCTTCCAGCCGATACCGTCATCCTGCTCGTGCATACAGATGACGTTCTTTCGGGTGAACACGTTGCCCTCGGGGTCGCACACGTTGCCGTCAAAGTATCGGATGGTACCAAGACAGTCGCAGCCCAGAGTCAGCTCGTTGGCGCACTTTCCACCTCCACAGTCGCCGAAATCAAACGCCATCTTTCGGTGCAGAGGGGGCCGGGGATCGGCGTAGGGAACCGCCATCTCGGACATGGACAGTCGGTAGAAGGTGGATCGGCCGTCGTAGTGGACATCGTGGATCACCAGACCCTCTCGGGGAGTGAATCCGACCTTGAAGTGCCACTTTTGCCAGTTGATGTAGCCGTCACTGTCAATGTGGTAAGAGGGACCCTCGGGCTGCAACACGTTGTAGGGCTTGAGGTCGGTTCGCATCTTGTCCTGAAGCTCGGGAAGATAGTCGTTGGTGACACAGTGCTCGATGCAGTTCTTTCCCTCGGGTCGGGTGTCGTAGTTGCCAACGCCCTCGACGGCAGCGTCGTCATCGTCTCCACCGGTGGCGCAATAGTCGACTCGAACGAGCTTCTTCTCCAGCACGTCGTAGACAGGAACAAACGGAACGGGGAAGGCGTACATGTTGGAGTCCTGGTGGTTGGTCTTGGGATCTCGGCAGTAGACCAGCATCTGCAGGTACCGGGGCATGTCAATCTCGCTGTCACAGCCGTACATCCAGCCGTCAATTGTGAGGTTGTCGATCAGATGCTCCACGCCGCACTTCTTGATGGCGTCCTTGACCAGAGGATGGTCAAAGGCGGCCTCGAAGGCCTCGTTGGCCTCCCAGGGATCAATGGGAGGATGGATGCCCTTCTTGAGCACCTCGGACTTGACAACCTTGGCGGAAGGAACATCGACCCAGCACTGGTTCACCAACTTGTCCTCCAGAACATAGTAGATGACATGTGCGATTCGAGGGGGGGGAACGGGGTTCTTGCCAGCCCGCTTGGCTGCAAGGAAAGGAGCCATCAGCGCCTTGGGAGGCTCCTCGGTGCCAATGGACTTGAGGTGAAGAGACTTGCCCGAATGGTTGGACTTGACCACTCGCACAACGCTCTCCATCTCCTGAACGGAGAGCTGATCGAAAGGGTGGGGAGTCATGGTGGGAATGGGGATGTAGAGAGAAGCTGGGATGCTATGATGCAGAAATAACAGCGACGATCGACCATCTTATATATCGTCATTTTTTTCGCCTCTTGATTATTCAGTCGTTGTCGATGTGTCTTTTTTTTGCTGGAAAACTCGCCCCACATCGTCACACGTATACCTGCATATATGCATGTTCCGATGCAGATGATGCATAAAAAACGCGATCCCAAACAGGCAACTCTACCCAAAAGAGCGAGGACACGGAATATCCGCGAAATATCTTGAAATTCGAATAATGGGAACAATCTCAAACAAATCAATATAACAACCATCCAAATCCCTTTCCCACAACCCGAAATATCGCCAAAATTCATCAAAAATCCAACTCTTAATCGCAGTCTTGGCATATGCATCTACCCCAGAGTTAGGGTTAGGGTCTCTAGAAGGGGATTGTCAACGCGGACCTAAATCGGTGCATCTCAGGTTCTTTTGAGATTCCATATTTGCTCATTTTTTGTTAGCGAGGTGGTAATTTTTGTGTCCCCGTCGTTTTTGTGTCTTCAAAATAAGCCAGTTTCGGCTCTGGTTTTTCCGTTTCCAAAGCTCAATCAGCAGCTATCACCGCCGGCAATTTCTGATTACACTATCATTAAATGGTGTTTGTAGCTGGAATATAAACTTTTACCATGCATATTTCAAATCTTAAATAAAAAAACCGCCGCATCTAGTTCGGCGGTGTTTGGGGATATACGTGTGTAAAATGCGGGTTTTGACTGTTTTTGACAATTTAAAAACGATAATTCACAATTGAGACCCTCTGAAACGCTATTATAGTGTCATATATCCCAGATATCCTTCCGAACCCCGACTATTACGCTCCCCAATCGCCCCCCTCAAATTTTCACTATCAAAAGTCTAATTTCACCAGTGTACCCCGCACCTGTTCCCCCCACAGTCCACAGTGTCCATCAGATGCATTTCGAGGTGCCTCCAGGGTCCGTAATTCTTCACGCTCATTGTCCGCCCCGCTCCACAGTTCAGAGCAAGCCGGAGCTCCGCAGCCGTGGAACAGAGTTTGAGACCCGTTGAATACTCATCATAATGGCGGTTGTGAACGGCGATTGGTGTGGAGTGCGGGAGTGCGGTCACGTGAAGTCATGTGAGGTGGGGTGTATACACAGTCCGATTGTTTAGCAGAATGGTTAAGTACAACAAGCAGTACATGCTGTCAGTACTGTACTGTACTTACTTGTACTAGAGTCTCTCAGTTGGAGAATGTATCTACAACAAATATATCAACTAATGTATTATATAATACTTATACATTACTTGCTTTGAGACTAGGGCATGGTTCCACCTCGAAACTTTTTACTTGTACTGGAAATCCAACGGTGGAGTTATCGACACTCAGAAAAGTGCACCAGGGACTCTACCGAAGCATCCGGACGGTTACTGGGCTTCTCCAATCAGTGCAAGTATTGTGCGTGTAAAGTACTACTTTGGCTGTACGCTTGTACGAGAGCTGAACAGTCGCCATCCGACCAAACTCCCCATGGTGATCCTCCTGACCTATTTCAATATATTTGACATAATTCCAACCCGGAAACAGTCTATATCGGCTTGGAGAACATTTGCAACAGCTATAGTGGTGTACATACAATGTAGACGATACTCGTACAGTACATACAGTACATACTCGATGTCTACACAAGTGAACTGTTTCAGGACCCTGAAATCCGCAGCGGACTAAAGAGACAGAACTACAAGTAGTGTGTTATGTGAGAGATCAGAGATATGAATCCCAGGCCTAAAAAGTGATCTGCGCGAGTCTCCAGGACATATTTCCCAGGTCTAACTAACAACAACATTGAGAGGGCTAGAGCAAAAGACAGCTGCTAGAAGGAAGACAAAGCGGGTGAAGGCAGATCACAAAAGACTGAAGAGAAAAGGGAACTGGCAGAGACCCCAATCAAGTGGGATATATGATGGCGAGTCACAGTGTACGCCCGTACCGATAGAGATAAAGGTGCAGTTTGTACAGTACAGTATGTACCTTAGATTAGATGAAATGGGGACGAATGAAGGCAACAGGACAAGGGGATGAAAGTGGATGATTCCGTTAGATCACGTTTGTGGAAGAGACACCCTTGTGGTATTGATTGAGGTGGATCCTTTCCAGCAAGTACATACACAGGCTTTGTATGCGAGGTTGAGGGTTATGCAAGGGTCAACCGAAGAGAACGTGGAGACATAACAGTGGGAGAACTGGTGAAGGCCGAGGGTTGGTGGAGGACACCGCTATATCAGTCTATCGTTTATTGTTTCTTTTACTAAAAGCAGCGAGATTGGCACACGAAAGTCCAGTAGTGCCCAGGTGTAGGAAGATACAGAAAATACAGTACATGTTGTAGCTACTGTGTACACTGTAGAGAAAGACGTTTTATTGTCTCGATGGACTATAGCACCAGAGTCACTAGACGATGGAAACGAAGATGTAGGGTACAATCGAAAGGGAACCGCAGATCTCTTCATCAAGAGATTAAAGTAACCAGACGTTAGGCGAGTACAACACTGCTGACTACAGTACCCCTGAATAACCCTGGATGTACAGTAGTGCAAGTTCTAGAGTCACTGGAGATTCGGATCATCGTCGTCACCAGGTGGGGTAACGGTCTGAGACGTAGCAACAGACGCTACACAGCCAACAGTACAGTATGTACTGTAGTACAAACGATATCGTACTGTGACTTGCCAGTAATGAAACAGAGAGAGTAGATACGGTACTAATTTAGTTTTTATATACTATAACATTTGAGCATTATATTTAGATGATGATATTTTAAATGTAAATGTTTCTGTCTTTTATCCTGTACAACTGTGGTCGTATGTACTGCCGTGCAGGATATAGTTTTGGGCCCCTACATGCAGAGTGTGGCAGGGTGGGTATATATATATATATATCTGTAGGTGATCGTAGCTTAGGTTTACACCTCCCTACTCGATAGTCGCGACGTGGCACTCGACAGAAAGATACACAGCCAATTGATTGATGCCTGAAATGATACCTCGTGTCGAGACACCTCACGGTGGTACCCAACACTCACCAAACGGCCCCGGCTGGGCGATACCTACGGCGATACCCACGGCTTTAGCGATGATACCGACAGCGACACCCACATCAGCAGCAGCCCATCATGAATCATCCGATACAGAAATGTGGGATCTTGAAGCTTCAGATAGCGATATTGGTCCCCATGAAGCGCCTGAACGAGCTCCCGACCAGCCCCACTATTTCGTCTCCAATGAGGTGGCACAGCAGGTTCTCCACAGCCATGTGGTTCCAACAAGTCCACTGGCTCGGGTGCCCCAAAAGCGGAAAAGAGAATTTGTAAGAATCTCTGGCAGAATGCATGTCGACAGAGCCAAAGCCGACGCCCTCGGAAATATGCGTGTCCAGCTTGAAAAGAGAGTAAAAAAGCAAGAGATTACCGAGGAGGAAATGTTGCACCAACTCGGCGTTTTCTCCAAAGAGATCAACACTCCTAGGTCGGTCGAGGAACACGACAAACACCTAGAGAAACGCGCCTACCGGACAGCTGGATATGCGATTAAACGAAACTCCAAAACGTTCGACAACAGCCCCAAGGACTGCAGATTCCCATACCTGGAGCAGTTTACTGTTCATGTGCTTGGCACATGTTCTGAGAACGTTCAGTTCGACAATCAGTTTGCGAGCATGGTGGCTGAAAAGTGCTTGTTTCGAATTCTCGAGGTACAGCCTCTGTACCGGGAAATTTACAGGATGAAGGACCTTCCACGCCACGAATGGATCGGAAAAGTACTCTTGCACAGTCAGCACCGACGCCTTAGCCAATATGGCGATCGAGGCTTGGTGGGCGAAACCCATGCCGTAAAAAACTTGGGTTTCTGCTGGAATGGTCTGCAGAATTACCCGCCTGATTGCATCTTCAATGTTAACCAAACCTGCCAATACGCCAATTTTGACAATGTCGGCAGCGTGGTTTGGTCTGCTGGGCCTTACGCTGGACGTATCAAGGGAGACCCCACGTATACCTTGAACTTCTGCATGAACGTGGATGGGTCAAGAAAGATCACAACGTGCATTATCGGCAAGACACACTACCCTGGGTGGGCCTCCTCCTACCAAAACTACCTCAATTTCAACGCTGCACCACGTCCGGCCCATATCGTAGAGGAAATGGAAGCAGCAGCTAAAGAGGAGTGTAAGGAGGAGGAAGCCCGTCTCCTGGAGCTCTTTGTGAAGCACCAAGAAATCGACAAGCTCAGAGACCAGGCCCACGAAGCCCACAAAGATTTACCTAGGGGTTCTGCGGAGAAGAAGGAGCTGTTGGCACGACACCGGACCCTGGAGGCTAAAGCCGATGAGGCCGAGGAGATCTACAATGCAGCCAAGAAATGCCACGCCGACCAGGTTGCTAATCTTATGGCTGTGAAACTCGAGCAGTGGAAACCTGCGTGTCCTTTCGAAGGCGAAGAGATTTTCGAGCCTCCTGGGGGCCGGGAAACCCTGTTCAGCAGTGAGCTTTTGCTTCCGATCATCAAGGAGAGAACGACAAAAGTTCGAGAGCTGGAGGGTTCTGTCGCAACTCTGGAGGTGGTTGCCCAAGGCGCCAACAAGAAGTTCCAAGCGGAGGAGAAGATATTGAAGGGCTACAAGAAGAACATCCAGAAAGTGGGAGCCGAGATTACCGCTCTTGAGGGTGAGCTGAAGGATCTAGAGGCGAAGCTGGCAGATTTTCCTCCAGCAGCTGACACCATCGATGTTCGAAGCGACAGCTTCAATGTTGCCGAGTTCGAGATAGCTCAAGACGAGCTTAGACGTGCTGCTATTGTCACTGAAAGCAATATCGCTAGAAGTAAGCTGGAAAGCAAGCATAAAAGGCTGGAGGCCCTTCAAGCCGATGTTTCCAACGCAGTCAAGGCCCGAGATGATCACAAGCGGGAAATTAGAAGAGCGGAGGATGAGCTGTCCAAAGTGATTCGTCTGCTTGTCCTTGCCGATGATGAGGCCCTTAGCCTTACTGGTCCTGGAAACACGATGGGGATGCGGTACTTTCAGCAAAATAGGGGCTGGATGGACACCGTCACCTTCTGCAAGTACATGCTCATCTTTTCGCGGGAATCAGGCGCAGGAGAAAATCGCAAGATCGCTCTGATCCTCGACAACGTCGGGTTTCACCACAGAGCTTGGTCTCTCTCCAAGAAATGGCCCGAAATGGCACACGTCAAGCTGTTTTTTCTTCCTCCGAACTCCACACCGTTCACGCAGCCACTCGACCTTGGACCGATCTGCCGACTTAAGTCCGAGTCGAAAAAGCTTCAGAACGAGTTTATCAACTTGACTTCACGATTGAACGGAACAGCTGGTAAAGTCACTGTACTGCACAAGTTCAACTACATCAATAAGTCTCTCCTCGCCTTGCCTGCAGATCACATCCACAACTGCTTCCGGTCAAGCCCCGTCTTCGCTGGACACCCTACTGTGAAGCCCACAGAGTCGATATTGAAGCGAATTACGGAACGGGAGAAACAGGGCAATGCTGCACAGACCACGCCTGACACAACTCCGCGGGTGGTTGAGATTGTGGATGATCCAGTGTTTGACGACTGGGAGACCAACGAGGCTGATACTCTTGTCGAAGACATGCAGAATCTCGATATCATCGACCGTGTTGGTGAGGCAAATATTCCCTCTGCTGAGGGTATTCGCATGCAGGCCATTGAAAACGTGCTTGAGTCCATTGATGCTATTCCATGGGAGGCATGGCTGGGTCCTATCGAAATTGTTGACAAGAGCTGTGAACACGGGGCTCGGACTCGCGTCGTCAGCGGGATTGAAAGATTGCTTCACTTTTCAAATGCAAAGCTCGCCCAGAACAACTGCCCGGCGTACCAGAAGGAGAACGAGTATGCCCGTCAGCGCAACGCAAGTGTCCGTAGAAAACGGGCGGAGTATCTGAACAAGACAACCGATGCTCCAAAGGACAACCGAATGAATGGTCGAAGGAGCAGTCCACCTTTAGGGAAACGACCGCCCGCTGCGTCTCCAGAGTCCGTTGCTGTAGATGCCCCCCCGTCTCCGCCCTCTGGCGTCTTTGATACCCCTAGCGAACGGCCTGGCCGCTATCTTGACCCCATTGTCATTTCTGACGATGATTGCGACGGTCCCAGTTGCTTCGACGTCTCTGTTGACACCATTTCACGTTCGCTGTCTGAAAAACAAGATATCCCTGGCTCCGTCAGTACCCTTGGTCTTTTTGATACCCCCGGCTCTGCGTCCTGGATCCAAGATACCCCCTATAATGTGTTTTCACTGGCACAGCAGGATGCCATTACCCCCTACGAGGCACCCACATTACAGACTGGCTTCGTTCTAAAGCTGCCATCAGCAGAAGCGCTCCAGAAAGCCCAAAGGCTTCTGGCTGACCATGGCATGCTTGAGCTAGTTGGAAGAGAGGCTGGCTCCCCCAGCGGCACCCCCACGAGGCTGGGGGGCAGCAGCAAATACGAGTCCTCCATTATTGGCAACCGTCGTCACTAAGTCTCCTCGTATTTTCTACTGTTTTGCTATAGATGCTTTGAATGGAATTGATGTACTGAGCTGGCTTGATGGGCCCTTTGGTTCTAAGTCGCCATTTTTTGCTGAGGAGGAACTTGTAATGATTGAGACAGTCCACCCAAGTGAAGTTTTTATTGAAAGTTCGCGCAGAAAAAGACCAGTCATACGTTGACCCGGATTATATAAGCACAAAGTGCTTATGAGGCCAAGTACAAATTGATGCCAGCATCGAGCTGGAGTAATGAAGATCACGTGATTGAATAACTCGATTGAATAACTTTATTTCATGGGGAGAAGTCTCACAGGTTTGATGGTCCTATGACTCCGAAGACTCACCTGAGGATACCCATTCTTCGAGTGAGGAGAATCTCAGATAAAGGTTAATTAAGGTTAATTAACAAAAAGTTGGTAGTTTGTTGAGTAATATTAAATGATTAAAAATAACTTCAAAACTCCCAATTAATTCTTAACAAACAACATACCATACAAACATGAAAGCATGTACCAAAGTTTTTGAACAAATATTTACGGAGTTAGTTGAAAGCTAGTGGAGATATGTCAATATATGCACAGTTTTGAAGAAAACAGTTGAGAAATTTAAGCTAAAAACAGCTTGTTGAGTAACCTTAAAGAAGGGAGTGCCATAAACTTGCGGTGCCATAAACTTGCCATATAATCAGACCACTTTTAACAGATAATCAGGCCATTTTCACGAAGCTTATTCCTTTCGGGATAAACTAACGTCGAGTTGTATTTCTGGGTTGCGTCGATAATGCAGGGACTAATGAGATGAAAACTTTAATATGCACTACTTCGAACTCAAAAAGTGAACATCGTCAAAGCTGGAGTTGAATGGAGGCGAATTCGCGGTTTTATATAAGAAATCTTGATACGTATCCGCACGGGAAAATCAGGCCATAGTTTGAGGTCGCATATCACCTATAGCTTAATTGTCTGTTTGTGGATATAAATACACCCCCAATTTACAGATTCTCCAGAATCCTCTATTCATGTGAACCTTCATCGCCAAGAACCCGCCCTAGTACGTGATTGGTCTCGAAAACTGAAAAAGACGGCTGCTTTTTGTCACCGGCTAAGAAAGGGGCGGCTTGAGTGAGTATTTATGGTTCCTCCGTTCGATAGGCGCCACTGAGGACTTTTTGGCAGTTGTGACGCAAATCGTGTTTTTATGACACAAAAGGTTCAACACGCAGCATCCAACAACACCATGGAATACCATGAAATACCTGGGTATCGTTACAACAACTGATGACGCTTCAACTTCTGTGACCATCTGTTTCACTGCCAACATTTTTCGAAGAGACGACTGACAACACAAACACGACACAGACATATAACATACTACAGTCGGCTTATTTTTCCCGCAACTTGATCATCTTTCAACCAAGTCTCAGCTGCAAGAAGTGTTACTCCCCAGTTTCCAGTTGAGAGTAAGCTCTTCACCATCTGTATCCGAGCATGTGCGCCAAAAAGGTGATTCCGTGGAATTGGCGATATCTCACATAAGGAGTCTCGAGCAGCTCGAGTATACCCTCATCGGGTGTACCCATGAAATGGTACTGCAGCCCACACTCCCTAAAAGTGGGTCTGTATCCTGCGCTCGTAGCATCGACCATATCACCATTCGAACAATTCCGGTAATATCAAACCGTCCTAGGTCCAACAGCATAGGTTCCAAAGGCTTGTTTTCGAGGAACAGGCTGGAGTGTGTGTTGGGCATATGATTGTGTTCCGAGCAGCCTTCCACGTGTGTGAGACGCCATTCGTCAGCCTCCTTATCATGTTCCACTTTCAAGCAAACTTGCAGTTCTTTCGGACTGTTTGATGCGATCCATCTTCTTCATCAACCTGATCGGGACTCATGCGGTTGCAATACAGGATGTACGAACTGTCTCTGTGTCGAGGCACAAGCGGGTAGTGACGTTTATGGGCGTATAGCATGGGGTAGAGAACAGTAGCCTCCAGCGAGAAGAACGACTCTTCATCGGGAAGCATATCGGCTGGCCATCTGTTGGTGTAGTTTGGGTATGTGACGGCCAGGTTCTTCTGCAGATTTTCCATGGTGTTTCTCTAAGGGATTCTTTTGGAGGATTGCAAATGAGCTTGGCGACCTTGTCCGTGAGAGCTGAAAGGTCTGCGGGAAGTCCAAGAGGTGGGAACGTTAATGGTTCGACCTTCTCTTCTCTTGCCCGTTCCGTTCGATGGCTTTTGTCGCTAGGTGGTCTTTGAGTGGTCTGAGATTGAAAACGACGCGGTGGAAAGTTTACAGCAGCTGGTGTAGTGCTTTCTGCTCTACCTGGTATCTCATCAAGATCGTAAGTTTCGGGTTCGGAACTCAATTGGAAGTCGAGACCCCTTGTTCCGTCAGGGGTAGACATTCCAGTTGGTTGATCCCCAAGCTCCGGCTCAGGTCCAGCACTGGTCAAGTCAATGGTCTCCCTTCTGTCTCTGTGCTCTGTCTCATCAACATGTTCATCAACACGTTCAACTGACTTGTTGGCACTTTGAGGAGGCAGGCAGATACGCTCCTGGGAAGCGTCGGGGATGGGGGTAAGGCAGGGACAGGGTAGGGACCGGTGCCACGAGCATTGACAGCAGAAGGAGGATTAATGATGGACACGGACGAGAAGAAAATGTCGGACATTCAGTCCGCCAGAAGCCGGCCATTTTTCTCCTGTCCTGCGTAGTGAATGAACATCATCTGGTGAGCGCGGGTCAATGTCACGAAAGACCGCATGAACCCGGCCTGAATAACCGCCGTGATACACATGACGTAGTTCAGAAAATGGCCTAAATGTCATGGAGTGCACCCAATTCAAGAGAGGGAACAGAGACTCCCAGACAATCGACTCGGTCATCCCTCCTTGTCGTAGAGATCATGTGTACTGGCCAATTGTTTCTTCCGGCATTCCTGTTCTCTGGACCGTGGTTGAGCGCCAAATTTGGCCAGGTACGTCTGGTGGGCCTCTACAATCGTAGTCATTGGCGGTTCAGACTTGTAATGTGTGGTAGAAAAGGGAGGGCCGGGGGGACTAGAGTTTGGCAACGCGTCCCACGCGATATTCATGTGTTGCACTTATACTTCATGTGAAAAAACGGAAATTTGAGTCTTTGAGAGTACAGGGGAAAGTAGGGTCAAGAGGGATATACGTGGCGTCACCGATGTCGGGGGTTGAGGGGGTTTGATCAGCTGGAGTCAGTGAGTCGGTCATCTTTGTCATCACTTCTCAGCAATGTGGGACATAGATGGTGCGGTTGTGGTATGACTATGAGTAGAGTAAGAGTAAAAGCAATTAGATCATTGGATTGGGGAGTTTAGGGCGGTTCTTTTGATATCCTATTTGGTCGTCAGACTCCATTTATTGTTACTCTGAGCGGTGGATACGGCGTCCAAGCTAGGTATGTATGTCATAATGTAAACGGTGACCTTCTGCTGAGTGAGACAACAACAGACATATGAAGTACAAGTTCAAGTACATACTCGTACGACAGTTCAGTTATCATCACAGAAACGGCAATTCTACAGAGTACTCCTTCTTAGGATCAACTGGTGCTGTACTGGTACGTCTGAACAGAGTAGGTATGAAGAGGACATCAATATGAGAGACGGACTCGTTAGGACTCTTTAATAAGGTGGATAGTAACATTTACTCCATTCACTTGAATATTTTCAACTTTTGAGTCTTCTTGTATCCTTACTCTGCTGTTTGCTTGCTTCTTCTCTGTTTACTATATACCCTTGGAGACATGTTGTTCTATTCGGACCGGAATTACATCCAATTTTACAATGCTGACAGGATCTGTACTGAGAAACACCTTCAACATCTCTTTGGCAAAAGTCCGTCTTAGCCAGAAGAGTCTCTCTCGGGCTGAGTTGTCTCTTCAGTTTCACAGTCCCCTCTGAAGCCGAATCCAGATTCTCTATCAAAATATAGATCTGGCATGTAGCTACTGCACTCGTAGTCTCCTAATAGAAGTCGACAAACAACTTCCTCGATCGTACTCTAAGGAATTGGACTTTCATGATGGAACAACCTCAGTTCATGTCCATTTGGCGAGAGACACTCCGATGACATGTTTGATAGTCTCGCATGTCTTCAGAGAAGTCGCCAGAACACACAGGGATCTTCATTATCATCTTGTAAATGGGCTGAATGACTAGCAGACTGAAGGACTCCTTCATGTCTGCTACTTCAGGTGTACTGTAGCCACCCTGACATTATTTCAAACACACTGGCTGACTTTTCCTTGGCTGCTTAGTCAAACAACGACGCCAAATGAGACTGTTTTTCGCTCACGAGTTTTCCATTGTTCCTCCTCTGTATCGGTATCCCTTCTGACATCATCGAACCATGACTTGTTCGAACCGATACATGCCCGTCAGCTCCATCGACGAGTGTGTGTACACCCATGAGAACAGCGGTAGAAAGTTCCCATGTTGACAGTACCATGCCAACAGTTGATTTTTGTCTGAGGTACCATCGGCTTGTATCAATTGCAAACTATTCAGGTAGCTGGAATTCAGAAAACTCCCCAATCACTGTACCTGTACTCACCCCAACCTCACTCCATTATGTCAACACAGTCGCAGAGAGTGTCACTAAGCACGATCCGGCTTGTACCACAGGCAATCCTCCCTCCATCCGTCCGAATCAGATCGTCTCGTGTCATTCGGGCCTTTCCCCGTTGGCCCTTGTAAGATCACACAACCTCCAAGGTGATAACCCCCAAGGTCGTAGGTGCAGCAGATATCTCAACCTCCAAGGTATTGTACAGTAGTATTCAATTGAACATATAAGGGATGAGGAAGCTCCTTTGGAGTGAAGAAACATTTATTCAGTTGACATTTGACCAATGACGTCTCGGCGATGACATTGTTTGTCGACTGAAATTGTTCCGATCTTCTCCTGGCCAGTTTTCTGGTGCCCGTCAAAACGCTACCTTTCACCCACGTCTGAGATTATACGATATTTCAATGCTGAAATACTGTGATGTCTATAAGATACCCTTGTCTTGCGCTACAAGTATCGCACCATACTTTTGCTGACGGCTTCTTGCAGTGATATAATCGGTTTCTTGGAGCTGATGGGGTGAGCATCATACAAGTATGAGTACGAGAAGTCGCACTTGTACTCCAAGTACAAATGCCCGGAATGGCAGACACACAAGTCCTACGGGTGTTCAGAGACTACTGACTGGAGATTGCAACTACAAGTACTGTACACACAGTACAACACACAAGTTAACTCATCATTCATAATTATCATAAACTAGACGGCCAAAAAGTCGTGGCCGCTCCTCAGCGTCAATAGCCGCGCTTACTTGGAGCAGTCCAGAACGTATCGACCGGCAATCTTGCCCTCCTCCATGAGCTTGTAGACGGATTCGAGCTCGGAGAGACCAACAATAATGATGGGGGACTTGACCAGTCCTCGGGCAAAGAACTCAATGGCCTCCTGGGAGTCGGCTCGGTTTCCGACGTAAGAGCCCTTGATCTGAATAGATCGAGCAACCTGCTGGAAGATGGGCGACTTGCAGACGGCACCGGCGGGCAGACCGACCAGAACAACGGTTCCCAGGGTTCGCACGTACTCAACAGACTGGTTGACGGCAAACTCGGAGACAGACACGTTGATGACGGCGTGGGGTCCGCCCTTGGTGGCCTCCTGGACGTCCTTGACCAGATCCTTGGACTTGGCAAAGTCGATGAAGACCTCGGCGCCGAGCTCCTTGCACATCTTCTCCTTGTCAGCGCCAGTGTCAATGGCCAGCACTCGGTAGCCCATGGCCTTGGCGTACTGGACGGCCAGAGAGCCGAGGCCTCCTCCAGCTCCGGTCACGGCGGCCCACTCACCAGCCTTGAGGCCAGCGGTCTTGAGAGCCTTGTAGACGGTGATACCGGCGCAGAGAATGGGGGCAACCTGGGCGAGGTCACAGTTCTTGGGGATGTGGGCGGCCTGGACAGCGTTGGCGGTGGCGTACTGCTGGAAAGAGCCGTCGTGGGTGTATCCGGACATGGTGGCCTTGGGGCAGTTGGGCTCGGCCGCCACCTGGCAGAACTCGCAGGTGTAGCAGGCCTTGTTGATCCACTTGATACCGGCGTAGTCGCCAATCTCAAAGGTGGTCACGTTCTTGCCCTTGGCAACAACCACGCCGGCGCCCTCGTGGCCGCCAATCAGGGGGAGCTTGGTGTCCAGGGGCCAGTCGCCCTTCCAGGCGTGCAGGTCCGTGTGGCACACGCCGGAGTACTTGACGTTGACCAGAATCTCGTCGTCGGCAGGCACGGGCACAGGCACGTCCTTGTACATGAGGGGGCCGCCGGAGGTCTCGAAGATGACGGCTTTCTGGGTCTTGGGGATGGTGGTCATTGTTGTGGTGGTGGTTGTGGTGGTGGTGAAGAGATGTTGGTTGATGTCGATTTCAACAGCTGGACCACCGCCTTATATACCCATTGCCGGTGTTGTACAACACTTTACACGTCTATGTGAACGACATGGAGTGGGGTGCATGGAATATCGCAGCAAAGAACGCACGGTATCGGAGCATCGGATACCCCACATTGAGCCAACCTACTTTGTAGTGTACATACTGTAGAGAAGAGGGACGCTTCGACATGATTGGCCGATGTGGGCATGTAGAAACACGATATATGGTGCTTACTAATGGACACTTGCACAACCATTTCTCTTCTAGGGTAACCTCGACAGTGACAGCCGTTTTTTCTGCGCTAGCGTGTCGTCGTATTTTTGGTTTCGACATGTTAAGATTTGTGGGGCAATCGAGCGACATTAAGGTGCATCGGATCATCGGCCCAAGGGAGAGTCACTGGAGTCTCGTAGGGTGGAGGAAAAGAGCAATTTGGGACGATTTGGGGCGATTTGAAGACGGATTGGGGCAGGTGTTTGTCACGTGACTGTGGTATTACTATTACTAATCGTCATTGTTCGAAAGTCCTGTCAATTGTATCACTTTGGTGGGTCTACCAAAACACTGGTCAAATCTACGCCACATGAAAATATAAAGTTTCACATTAGCCACATTGAGGGGTACCCTTAGTTGGAATCTACAAGGAGGGATGCAGTGAAAAATGTTCCTTTGATCCTTCAGAGATGAAAATGCCATTGACCAATCACAGCGGGTTTAAAGAGTGGCGAAAAGAGCCCCTTTTTTGCACCGGTTGGCCCAGCAGCCACGTGACTGGCCCCTTCCCCATCCCACTCAACTGTTGAGGAGGTGGGATGCCAAGATGCACCGTCAATGTACTTCCGTGTATCCTTCTGCAATTGATCCGAGATAGGACCGGAGTTGGATAAAAGTGCAGGTAGTTGTAGTATTGTTGTAGGAAAGCAAGATCTTCCTGAACAAGTTTTTTGTTACTGTACCAGTACTTGTAGTGATTTTTCAGTGTCGTTCATCATTGGGTCTGTTGTTTTGGGTATGTATATGAATGGTGCATATTTATGATGATGGTGTATAAGGCTGGAACAATCAAAGGACCAGGACCACAGAGATGTGGGTTTCGCCTGTTGTCAGCTCAATAAGTTCAATGGCAATCAGAATGTGTATTCTACAAGTTCAAGTCTCCCTCCACCGTACAAAACCTGCTGTCTGTCCTTGTACAAGTACAAGCCTCGCTTACATGTACTCCACGACCCGCCATACAGATGTACAGTACTGTGTACTAAACGATCAGCCGCACTAAAACATTTGTACTATCTCGAGCAATTAAAACACCAACCCATAGCCGCTTGTCCATCCAAACGCCCGTCTTGGCAGACGCACGTCACGTACCAGACCCCACCTATTCTGAGACATTCGAAAGGAGATAACAGTCCTTCTGGACAGACTGCGGCTAACAGTACAGACTTGCAACACCTACCTGCTGGTCAAGTCGTTGATAGTTGGTATTGTAGACGCAATAGCACCTCATTCAAGTACTTGTACTGTAAAAAACTGTTCAAGTGCAAGTATTCTCCTGCTATAGTATACCAGACATCGTGCCTAAACTCCACTGAATATACAAAACGATACAGAGGTGCTGGAAAAAATACAATTATACCATCGTACTCTCCAGAAAGACACTGTTCCATCGATATCAGTGTCAGCCCATAATTATTAAATTTGGCCCGAAATCAAAGACAGCTCCACTCTCTTTTACACCCTGTGCATCTCGGAACCCACCGCTTCCGCAATAGTTTAGTGGCTAGAATTTCCGCCTGTCAGGACATTGTTTCAGCACGCGGGGGACCGGAGTTCAATTCTCCGTTGCGGAGTATCTTTTTGCTCAGCAGTCTTTATGTTTCTCCTCAGGGGTATCTTTTGTTTCTCGTCAGGAGCCATTTCTCTTGCTTAGTCAGTACGAGTACAGTACGAGGATGTACAGTACAGTACAGTAGTGGACATGGTGTATTTTTGATTTTTGTCAGTAAAACCATGGTTGAACTTGGCAGGTTTGTGGCCGCCACTTGTGAACTGAGCTTTGGACGTTTACCGTCATGGAGTTGGACGAGGTCACTGAAAGAAGCGTACGGGGAAGGGTCTGCCATGGGCATACAGCTCCAGATAGAATCTGGTTTGGGGGCGTCCTAATTCTGACGGAAACAACCACGGCGGTTACCAGAAGGAGCAGTGGTGGTGCGGTGGTGTCAGACCGAGGACTGGTCTCTCGCCTAGAATTAGTCCCGGCTGTGGAGCCGCGAGTTATCAGTGATGACAGGAATCGTGGGTTCCCGGGGATTCTCGTGTTCCTGAGCCAAAGGGTAGATGGGTTCACGCTGGCGGCAAAAGGCCTCGTAGACAGAAAGCTAGCTCGGGTTCGTACGCCTGGTTGGTCACTTTGAGGGCTCTGGCGACGGCTCGTGAGGAGATAACAGGCTTAGTGTACTGAACGTCGCGGGCCAGAATCTCCAGAGCACCACGGAGGTCGCCAGCACCAGCGTCTTTACTCGGGATACGCCAGCTAGTGAAAAAGTGGTCCGCGTCGTCTGTGGTGGGGGATTGACATTCTCCCGCGGCACGTGCGGCAGCAACAAGGAGGCAGGTTATCCCACGAGGTAGAGACTATGGCATTTAGGCGGAAACCAACAGCTTCAAGCAATAGCTGGGCCAGGAAGTAAGTGGCATGGCGAGGCTGGGCTGGAACAATCCAGCTGCCCATGTAGCCGCAGGCCACGTAGCGGAAACGACCGAACAGGACCCGAAGGGGACACGTGGCAAAGATGCATTTGCCAGAGCGGGAATCCATTTGATATGGGTCACCAGTGGGTGCTTGAGCGTTTTATCGAGAGCTGCCACATGAAACCTGGGGATTTTATCATCATCAGGCGTGATGTGAGCCGTAGGAGTTGGTGTAGAATGTTGCGGCGAATGCGGCAGCAGCAGTTTCTGGAAGGTGGCAGTGGCTGCGGATTGGAGCCCGCGAAGAGGTGGTCATACACTTCGGTGTCTTTGAGGGGTAGCAGTGTCTTTGAGGGGTTGCAGAGCTTCAAAGATGCGACTCAGTTGGGCTACCTGCTCGGTAGGGTTGACAAGGAGGTTAACTCATGTGATATTCTCAACAGCGGCATTGTTTTCGTCGGCAGTGGATGGTCCGGCTCACCTTTATTGGCAGCAGGCGCAGTCGTTCTGCCGGTGTTGGAGCTCCAGTCCAAGTTGTCAAAGCATTCGGTGAGGAACTTGAGGAGTTGGCGGTTGTCCTTGATCAGAGGTCTGGCAGGCTTTCGGGGGGTTTGTGGGTCTACAACGCTTCCCGGCGGAGACAGGCTATGACGCTTCTTGTTGAAAGCCTTTAGCGGACATTTTTGAGACCTTTGAAAGGAGTCCGTGATCGTTGTGGGGGCTTTCTCCACAGCGTCGTCCTCGACCTGAAACGTAGCGGATTTGACATTGCCAATCAACAATTGCAAACAGTCCTTCAGTAAGAAACAGTCGGCCGAAGAAATAGTTTTCCTCTTTATCTCGCTGTAGGACGGAGCACTCAAATTCTGCCCAGGTTCGCGGGGCCAAGGTACAGAAAGCGGTCTTCAATTCCAGGGGCATAAGCTCCAGGAAGTAAGAAACAGCGTAGCAGGGCGCATTACAAGCGTCCGGGATACCAAGGCACGGGGAGGCGAGGCGTCGGAAGCGGCCGAAAAGCACTCAAACCGGATATCGGCATACAAACCTTGGTGAGGCTCGTTGTACTTGATAAGCAGCGGGTTTCAGAGAAGTTGCTGCATTTTGTAATGAACCGTGGCAGGAGTTGTTTCCAGTCGGAGAGAGCAAGGCGGAAGTTGTGGATGTACGCAATGTATCGAGGGTCACTGGCGCCAAAACGCTTCTTCCGCAAACTTGCCTTGGTCCTCAAAGGTGTCGAGTGGGTGGGTCTCGTTCTCCAGCAGGAGAAGTTTGAGCTTCTCAATGAGGGCATCGTCGGCGTGATCCCTGACAGGGTTCGCCCGCGCAGACGCAATACTAGTCCACTGCGACATGGGGATGGAGTTAGGAAACTCGGATATCTCCATGTCTAAGAACACTATTGGTTGATTACTGCACTGTACATTCTGTGGATACATACATGACGTAGGATAGTAAAGGGAGGGTAACACATGTCATAACCTTCAGATGCACCATTCCCAGTTTTTTTGGTGTATGTCGTATCTTGCATTATCGACGCACTAGGTGCATTATCGGAAGCGTATTAGTTTCTGGCAGATGGGTGAAATGGGTGAAATGGCACAAAAACAGTAAAAAACAGCGCTGATAAGGGGATTCAGTACCGACCAGTCTCGAAATATTGCAAATACATACTCCTCCCGTCACCACTCGAGTCAAGAGGGTCCTTACAAGGTATGCTGTACACACTTCCTTCAGTTGTCGGGTCATCTGAACTCGATCTGGTTGTCAAGTACGTACCATGGGGCTCCCTCAACTGACTAACTACTTGTACTGTAGTGGGTGAGGACTCATTATTGTCTCCCACTCAATATTGTGCGTTTTTCACCTGTGCATGGTTCTCTGGCAGACTCGAGGAGCTTGCTACTACAAGTAGGGCGGCCAGGACGGCACAGGAGCAAGGCGCAGGACAGTCACTATTCTGAAAACGGGTTCAATATGAAAGCCGAAGCTGGAGATAGATTGCAGCGGGATTTTCTTTGACAGGTTTTACCAGACTGACGATGTAGGTAGGATCAAGTGCGTCGATAAGGGAGTGTTCCAACTAGACAATGGACGTGGGTGAGGAGGAGGAGGGTGAGGAGGAGGATGAGAAATATATGGGAAGAAGGAGAAGATAACGAGAAGGATATAGTTATACTATTAACAGTTAACACATGTCTGCTAGGCACATAGTCCATTCCCGTGGAGATATTCCTTAGGGAGTTGTTTACACTCTGGGTGGAGAGGAATAGAAGACATCTCAGACCAGGGGATTTCACCTACTCTAGTTGATTTACCTCAGGAACACGGTCTCTCCGTTCATCATTTAGTGATAATGATAACAAAAGTGAAGGTACTGTATGTAATAATAGAGAGAGAAGTTGGATAGGTGACACAATCGTACAAGTACCGGTCGTATTTACTCTGTTTTATGTTGAATGGAAAGCCTTGATTAATCACTTAGTCTCCATTCCGAGGGACTCAGCTGAACCTCAAGACGTGCTCAGTCGAATCCTCCGGACTCTCCTGATGAGTCTCTCTGGGGGAGCGAAGTGCTGGTTTATCGTAACGCCTCCTAGAAAGTGATGTTCAAGTCGTCAATGCATTTGTTATCATACAAAAGTTCTTAATATTCAACAATTAAAACATCAACTGGGCTTGGAAGTGCGAGGAAGAGTGCGAGTACAGTTTATATAATTGTACTCATAGTTATGCCGTTATCTGGGTAGGAAAACTTTCTGGAGGAGATTATCCTGTCATTGTCGCAACGGCTCAGACAAAACCCACGAAAATCCAATGCTCGGAGTTGACTGGAGTCGAAAGCTCCATCTTTGAGCCACCATATCGATGCTCGGAGTTAGACGGAGATATGCTCCCCTTTGAGAGCCAAAAACCACTGCAACTACAAGAACAGTACGAGTACTGGTACAAGCACTCGTAGAGTAGTAGAAGAACTAGTAGAGTAGTACAAGCATTCGCCCACCGACCCTCATGATACCATTATGACGTCTGAAGTCCTCGATCGCTGTCAGCTTCACCCCCGCAACTGTGGATTGCTCATGAAACCTCCTAAAGACTCGTTGAAATTGGAAATGTCTTACGAAATGTTGGTTGCCCTCAATCAACGGTCACGTTTGCCCTGTTCCAGTTCTAGAGTTTCTCGTTGCGCGGCGCTGATGACCTTCTGCAAAGCACTCTGGTACCATGTCTCAGGCACCACCATCGTCTGTTTTAGTCCTACTGTACTCTTCTACTGTACATACTATCACACGGTTGATCTCTGGTAACGCCTGGCGGCCTCTCGTAAATCGCTCATGGTGCTCGATACAGTGCGACCTTGAGTCAAAGGAGCTAAAGGGTGGGCTTGAAAGCCTGTCGACAAGGCTACTCGAGTAGGGAGATCTCAGCGGCGAGTCAGCCGATCGGCTTTTTGGTCGATTTGCCCTTCTTTTCTTTTTCCATTTACCGGAAAAGGCAACCAGTTTTCCTTTTTCTGCGTCACCGTTCAACGTTGCCGATCAGTGCCCACCGTAGACACCGTCTGGACGAGAAAACGCAGACGATAACTGTTTTCCGGATTTATGATAGCTGCTAGTGGAAAAGCACAAATTTGCCGTCTTCAAACCGTCTTGGGCCCTCAACACGTGCTGCAGCTCCCCCAATACACCATTGCTATCATAGCAAGGACCGGTAGTGATAGACAGACGCAGAGAAGCAATAACATACAAGACAGTGGGCGACTTGAGAGCCCGAGATGCGGCTCACGCAGCTGAGCGGTGGTTGTTTTAGTTTGGGTCTTTGGACGTTAACGACGTGGTTATACTGGAGATACGACCATGGCGAGCTAAGCGATCTCATACGACGCCGCAGAACGACATGTTGAGTCGCAAGGAGCCCGCAAGGAGCCCGCAAGGAGCTCCCAAGGAGCCCGCAAGGAGCCCGAAAGGAGTCCGAAAAGCTACCCTGAAGTTCACCGGGGGTCTACGAGGTCTATACGGTGTCTCAGAGCTGCAATCTCCGACAAGTTGCTTTGGCGTATGGGAAAGCAGCCCTTTTCCATTCACATGCAATTGCTGTTACATCTATAGTGATTAGTTGCTGCTTGCACTTGGGCCGGGCAGGGCCGAACTGCGCCAAAGTGGCTTGAATGTGGGACACACAACCCGACGGTCACGGGCCACCAATTGGTCCCCGGGCTTAAGCGTTTTATGTCCAATTATTTCCCTCGAGCAAACTCAACCGCCAACTTTGGAGACCGTTATTTCCGGTCTGGCTAGTGTGTGTCAGCCGACCGGTGGGGGGAAAAGAGGGTGCGGGGCGGTAGCATGAGCCGCTTCGCTGGCGAGCGAGTTAATTGGGCCCTGGGCGGCAATCCATGGGGCGTTTTATGGCTCACACATCCCGCTCCAAATGTTCCATTCAACCTCATCGATGCCTCGCAGACAGATAAACTCGCGATACATTTACAGTGCACGATTACACTTTCGGGGTCGGAAGCAGCGAAGCGGATGGGCAGTAAAATGGCTCATTTAGCAATTGGGGGAGAAGAAGGCGAGCAATTGGCGTCCGCGGGCGTTACTTCTTTTCTCAGGCTGTTCCACCAACCGTTTCTGTCCCAATTACCACCTTCAGTCCCGTGACACCCCGTCCGCCTTTTTTTTTTTTTTTTTTTTTTTTTTTTTGCCCCGCTAATCTACCTTCACACCACAGTGTCTCAACTACAGCACAAGTAGACTTTATCACTGACCTCCACTCCGCATTAACCTTCGCCTTGCTGTTTTCGGTAACGGACTTTTGTACCCCAGCGCCATATCAACGCACGCTCCCCAGTCCCTACGACACTCCAGGCCCGAGTCTCCAGTCTGAGGCCGTTTCTCCGCATCCCGAACGCCCTCGCTCTCGACTGACACAAAAGCCCGCGTGCACACAACCTCTAGAATGGCTACAGCCGCTACTTCAACCCCCAACCCCGAGCCCGCCACCAACCCCAACACCAGCACCACCTACAACAACGCCGAGGACGCGGAGCCGCAAGACTCGTCCTTCTTCTCGTCCGTGTACACCGCGGCCCAGCAAGCAGCCAACAATATCATGAACGGCGCCGAAAGGCAGGACAACCACCCCCGACACGACTCTCCCACCACTATCTCCGACAACGCAAACGTAAACAAATCTTCTTCCTCCTCCCCAGCAGTCGCCCCGTCGCACTCCAACACAAACACACCGCCCATCTCGCCGGCCGCCCCCGCAGCAGCCGCCCCCATCGAAACCCTCGGCCAAGGCGACCTCTCTCTCGCTCAACTCGGACTCTCCCGCTCCCGCGCAAACACCGGCTCGTCGTCCAAACACAAGTCGCCGCTTGCCCAGGGCTCCCACACGTCGGTCAAGTCCACCAAGTCGCCGTCCACACCCAACGGCCGATCCCGCGCAGCCACCGAAACCAGCGAACACCGTCGCTCGCTCTCGCCCCCACTAGCAATTCCCGGCCGTATCATCGACAAGGTCAAGACCGAACTCGCCGACATTGAAGACGACCACCTACCCGTCGTCAAACGCCTGAGATCCCAAAGACTGTCTCGAGGCGGATCATCCCGAAAACGAGCAGACTCCGCTAAAGAGCTCGAGCCCACCCCCACCACTGCAACCGTAGCAAACACCGCAGCCACCCCCGAGGACATCACCCCGGTCACCTCCGCAGCAGCCTCCATCACCGGCTTCGCATACGCATCCAAGAAGCGAAACGAGGAGTTCCACGCACACTTCAAGTCCGTTCCCGAAGACGACTTTCTGCTAGACGACTTTAGCTGCGCATATTCCCGAGAGATCCTGGTCCAGGGTCGTATGTTTGTGTCTGAACGACATATTTGCTTCTTCGCTAACATTCTCGGCTGGCAGACCCACCACGTCATTGCCTTTGACGAAATCGTCTCTCTCGACAAGAAAACCACCGCCGGTCTTTTCCCCAACGGAATCGTTGTACAGACCCTACACTCCACCTACATTTACGCCTCCTTCATTTCGCGAGACGCAACATTTGCCTTTATGAACACAATCTGGAAACAAAACTCTCAGGGCGTCGCTGGCAGCGACGAGTCTGACGGAGACTCTGACGACGGAGAACTCGACTCTGGAATCTCCGACAACGAAGCCGAAACCGCCGCCACCGGGGCTGCCGTCGTGGCTTCCGCGGAAGCGGGTGCCGACGCCAGCAAGTGGAGCGTCCCCAACCTGGGCCCCGAGACCCACGCGCCTACCTCGCCTGGCTACGATCCCGAGGCCAAGGGCGAGAAGCTCCTGTGCAAGGAGATTGTTAAAGCGCCCTTGGGTGTCGTTGCCAATCTCCTGTTTGGTAAGGAGAACGTGCTTGGTGCCTTCCTCAAGGACAACCAAAAGTGCTGGGACGTTACGCCCATCAAGTCGTGCGTTGAGTCCAAGAAACGAGAGTACAGCTACGTCAAGCCGCTCAACAACTCCTTGGGTCCCAAGCAGACCAAGTGTCAGTGTGTCGACAATGTCGAGGCATGGGACGACACAGGGGCCATCAATGTGGTCACCACTACTTCCAACCACGACGTTCCCTCTGGTAACGCTTTCACCACCAAGACCCGAATCATCATGACCTGGGCCGCCAACAACCAGACTCAGGTGATGATGTCGTGCTGGTTCGACTGGACCGGCAAGTCGTGGATCAAGAGTGCCATTGAGAAGGGTGGAAACGACGGTCAAATGGCATTTGCCGCTGATCTGATTCCCTATCTTAACGAGCGGGCCAAGGGCTCTGGCAAGTCGGCCAAGCCTGTTACTGCGACTGCGGTGGCCGTTCCCACCAAGAAGGGCCATGCCAAGCACAAGAGCCATCACCACAAGGTGGAAGCCGCGCACGAAGAGGCGTCGTCTTCTTCCGCCCCCCCTCCTCAGACCGGTGGAGCTCTCCACCAGTTTGCCGAGACCTGGAGCCAGATCCCCATTCTGGGTTCCCTGCCCCTCCCTATTGTGGGGGCTGTTTTGGGAGGCATTTGGGTGTTATGGTTCATCATTGGCCTGTTCCGAGGCCACCACACCACCACGCACAAGTTTGATTTTGCTGGCCTGTCGGACGCTAAGAAGCTGGAGATTTTCGTCATGGAGGAGGAGTACGAGCTGTGGCACTGGATCGACGAGCGGGTTGGCAAGAGTCAACGAACGCCCGGCCGGTTCTTTGTGCCGTTTGAGGGAGCCAATCCCAAGATGGTTGACTTCTCCAAGTCCAAGACCGCCGCTGCCGGCGGAGGCGACAATGCCGAGGACATGACGCAGGCCGATCTCGAGGAGGCCATTCGTGACTCCGAAGCCAATCTCCAGCAGCTGCGTGATATCAAGGCAAGCATGTTGTAGAATAGCCATCCGAACAATGAATATTAGTATGACGGTATTGTAGGTGGCGAGTAGTAGCGTAGGTATGTATATGAATGGTCTAAATGTAGATCTAGAGTTAGAGACCACGAGTACGATAGTGGAAGACGCCTCATCGGTGCTTGTGGCACTATTTTGGTCTCATCTGTGGCATTAGTTGGTGCTACAGGTTTCAGGGCCGATCTACAAGTAGGCAGTTAGCAACAAATCTTGAGTATGGTAAAGCCGGGTAATTGGGAGGAGGGGTGACAGAAAAAGAAAATTGAAAATGGGTTAGGGCAAGGAGAATTGTAATCAGGGCAAAGAGAAGAGAGTTATTAGTAATACATTCACGTGATTCTAATAGGGGAATCACAAAAAACACCATGAGAAGTGGGCTAGGGCACATTGTTTGTACTTTATGGATTTCAGGGTCAGGACAAAATGTTTTTTTGTCATTTTTGGAGTTTTAGTCATGGATATTAGTAATCAACGTTGTGACGCGTCGCGTCGTTGGACGTGCTTTTAATTAGTCTAATTAGGATAATTTCAACGTAAGGGCGACTCACGCGATGGAAATTGCACTCGACGACAAAGTCCAACTTCTGGTTGGCGACAAGTATGAGAGTCTGCTGAGGACTTATCATAAGGTGCACAATCGCCCGCCCCGAGAGACGCAAAAAATGGTGGAAGGGACAGTTGGCAGATGACTACACTTACGCCCAAGATCAAGTGCGCGAGGTTTCTGCAACAAGCTGGAATCGTCGTTGTCCAGATGGAAACCTGTTCTGTTCAGATGTCTCAGGGGAGTCTCTGCGACCGATCTGATTTCTGCAATGTTTTGGAGGCTCTGTCTGTGTTCCAGAATGACTAGATCCACCTGTTGCTCACCATGATGCCCATTTTCTTCCTCGAACATGACCTGGTGTCTTTTCTCGGAATTGCCGCAGGTATATTACCAGCTCATCTGACGGAGCTTGTGAGTTTTCTTACGACTAGGACAGAGATTGAAGATGGGGACCAACTCTGGCGCTACGCGAGATTCGCCTTGGGCTGGTTTCTGTGGAAGGAGTCTCTCTCTGACGATAAGGCGGACAGCGGGTTTGAGCGATTCGTTGAGCACATGGGCAAGGAAGACGGTGACTCAGATGTACACTAGACACGTGAGATGATCTATGACAAGTACCTAAGAGAGATTCCCATGGGTCATTTGGGGATGAGTGACACCGACATCGACGCCGCGGTGCACAATCTCAAGGTCCATTATCCTCCGGTTTCTAATGTGTGGCCAGATGACCTGCTTCCCCCTGAAGGATGGTTTGATTTTCTGGAGGATGCGTATCTGTTTGCAAGAATCCATGCCTACACGAGGCATTACGCGCTTGTTAGAAGTGGAGGCAAGCCTGGCTCGTTTACCTATTTTATTTGTGATGAGACCAGTGGCGGTGAAACACACAAGGAACAGCAGTACAGGTTGTGGAGGCACCAAAGGGCTGAGAAAGCCGCGAAGGAGTCTGTTGAGGTTGAGGACGATTTCGGAGACGGTTGCTTCCTCGTCGATGGAAGAGCGACTCGACGGGCGTTTACTGGCAGAAAGGAGTGCTCGTTTCGTTTCAAGTGTACGCTGGACGAGTCGTCTGGTCTCTGGAAGTTGAGCCACTGCTGGGGCAAGAATGGCGGAGGCTGCAGACACGCACACCTGCCTAGTTGTCATCCTGGAGCTCATTCTTCCGTCCAAAACGTGTCACAAGTCTTTGACACGTTTCGCGAGGAGATGGAGGAAAAGCTGAACGGTAAGCCTGGCCACGAACGGCTGGATCCGATTCAGTTCATGACAGCATCGGAAGAGCGAGAATATATGCGTGCCACCAACCCGCTGGCCGTGAATGCGACGAACTACACCTACTACCAGAGAAGAAAGAAGAGGAGGCTTGAACAACGTGAAAACCTGCCACCTCACGAAGCGGTCTTATCGCTGCTAGGGCGCGTCAAGTACATGCGAGTTCGAACCAACTACTTTCAGCCGCCACCCAAAGAACAAGAAACGTTGGCCGACGAGCCACAAGAGTCGGAGGAGCAGAGCAAGTTCGACTTTGAGAAGGACGATGTGGTTATCGAGCGCGAGGGCGTTGCGGTCCAGGCTGATGCTGACGTGTTTGACCCGATCACTACAGAGAAGGCCGACGACAGCTACGCCAATCCTCTTGGGGGCGACATGAACCAGCCTTGTTCTTTGCAAACACTGATGGTTATCGCTTTTGGAGGGCGTATTCCGAAGTTGTGATGGTAGATGCAACCTACATCACCGGTTTTAACCGGAACAAGTACTGTTTAGTGAACATTAGCGGAGTTTGTGCACTAAACAAGAGTTTCCCGTTCGCATGCTGCTTTGTTGCAGAAGAAACCCAAGTCTCCTACAAATGGGTTTTTACCCAACTGAGGGATATGTTCGACAACTATCGCATTCCGTACCCCAAGGTCGTCGTGACCGACGGCGGCAAACAGGTCATCTCCGCTTCTGAGAGTGTGTTCCTCAATGTGCCCGTCGGAATTAGCAGCTGGCATTGTAACGAGAAGATCAGAGAGCACGCCAACAGGTACTTCAAGGGCAAGAGGAAGGTCGACAAGGTCATGAAGGCTTGGAATGACTTTATCTCTGCTGAGACTGAGGAGGGCATGGAAACTTGCAAGGCTTACTTTTGCAACAACTTTTCTGTGGACCTTACCAAGGTGAACAGGAAGACCAAGAAGAAGACGACGATCAACTTCATTGAGTACGTGGATGCTCAGTGGTTTCCCGACGCCACGTTCCGGAGGCTGGCTCGCTTCTACACTGACCAAAACCCCCACTTTTACCACAACATGGCGTCTCGGGTGGAGAGCATGCACCACCAGTACAAGCTGGTCTTGGGGTCCAAGAAGAAAGACCTCTTCGAGACTACCAAGTTGATTCTCGAGAAAATCAAGCTGATCTACGAGTTCAACAACCTGGAGATGGCCAAGGCACTGAGGGAGGTGTCGTTGCACCAGAGATGCGTTTCGGCGGGTGTTTTTAATGATGTGTTCTACAAGATATCGCCATTCGCGTTGCAGCGTATTCTTGAGATACGCGCGACGCAAGAAGACGGGGACTACCTCGACTGCAAGTGCTCCAATGTCAGGTCGGTCGGTATTCCGTGCCGCCACACTATCCGGCAGGTGAAGGAACTACGACCATCAGGTGGACTTTGTTTTCGCGATTTCTCGCCTCACCGGAGAAACATGTTTACTGATGTGTTTGGCATGGATTGCAAGATGATGGGTGAGTCGGCGGAGGAGGTGGAAGCTTTTCATGAGGGCATGACGACTGGAGAAGTTGGCAGTTCTGGACTCCATTTATACGCACAAGAGTGGCAGAGACTGCTGGAGGCGTCGAAAGCGCATGGTGTTGCTGTTCTCGACGCGCCATACGAAGAGCCGGTCCACGGCAATCTTGCGAAACTCCAGTCCGAGAAGCACCTCAACCGGAAGCCGTACTTGGCAGCCAGGAAGAAGGGCGCGAGGAGCCAGAGAGCGGGTGAGTCGGTGAAGGCGATGGATCTGGAGCCACCCGCAATGTGCCAGACAGCTTCAGCGGCTACGCATCTTTCGAGCGTGCTACCAAGTATATGGCCGAGTTGCAAAAATATAAGGAGGACGCCGCGGTAATGGAGACCATGGTGAAACAGCAGATGTGGCAGGTGGACAAGCTGATGGCAGCTGTTGGTAACGATATGGGCTGTTTCGACTATGAGCCTTTCTCTACCAACACGACAGGCCTGACGAAGCCCCCTGTTCCTCCTCCGAAGTCCCCTGTCCTTCCTCCGAAGTCATGGGTACGCGTCGAGCCAGATGAGTTTCGTCATTGGGCACAATCCTTCAGCACGTTTATCCCTGAACTGGACGAGCCCGACACTCCTCAGATGCTCACTGACATGTCCAACACGATTCAGCGACCGGCTATTTACCAACCGGGCCCCATTCCGTACCAGCCCATGCCTATGATGGAGTCAATGCTGCCTATGGCCCCTATGGTGTCTATGGCCCCTATGATGCCTATGCCGCCCACGTTGCCTGTAGGACCCACGTTTCCTATGACCCCTATGTTTCCTATGGCTCCTATGATGCCAATGGAACCGGTGTTGCCTATGACACCATCATTACCTGCGCCCACGTTACCTGCATCCACGTTGCCTATCCCTGGGTTACTGAGGTCGGACACGGAACAGCTATGATCCTCTTCTGTTGGGGACAAAGGAGAAGAGGAGGATGGGCAGATGGTGTTTAAATACGTAGCGCTCGTACTCTACTTGCAGCTCGACAACAAGTATCACTGATGTACGTGTTTCTTGACTTGTGGAGGTTTGTTAATGGATTCATGGAGATTCTGATGGTAGGAGGACATTTCAGCTACGAGAGAACGTACAATACGATTTTGTACTTGTACTGACTTGTCTTCTCGTCCTGTCAACTCGGTCCAGCAACTCGGTCCAGTCAACTCGAGGTTGGCCAAAGGGACCTGCGTCGACGCCGGGTAACAGTCGGATCTATTTCTGGCTGTTTCAGCGTGTCTTTGTGCGAAACACTAGTTATTATTTGGCGGGTGGAAAAGGCGGCTATTTATATTTTTAGCACCACGACATATTAATCGTGTGATAATAAAAAGTATTAATACAGTACATACTGTCGTGAGAAAGGGCAAGGGGAGGGGAGGTACAGTGTGAGGACATACTGTACGTACAAAACCAAGTCCATACACAATTGCAGGCACAAGTTGCCTTTTACTCCCCTACTCCTCCTGCTCCTCCTACTCCTCCTACTCCTCCTACTCCTCCTACTCCTCCTACTCCTCCTACTCCTCCTACTCCTCCTACTCCTCCTACTCCTCCTACTCCTCCTACTCCTCCTACTCCTCCTACTCCTCCTACTCCTCCTACTCCTCCTACTCCTCCTACTCCTCCTACTCCTCCTACTCCTCCTACTCCTCCTACTCCTCCTACTCCTCCTACTCCTCCTACTCCTCCTACTCCTCCTACTCCTCCTACTCCTCCTACTCCTCCTACTCCTCCTCCTCACCTACTCACCCTTAATCGCCCTACCACTCTACCACCTACCACACCTCCAACCCAACCTCTGCTCCCCTGCAGAGATCTACATAGCGGACGGATCGGGAAGCGTGGTACATTTCTGGAACCTCGACACTGGATTAAGTTGCTAAGAGCAGGTTCTTAGCTAAATAGTGCAGTCGAATGTCCATAGAGTGTCGGAATACAGTACGAGTACGAAGATTGTCGGAATACGGTACAAGTTCCAAGATAGTCGCAATACAGTACCAGTACGAAGACAGTCCAAATACAAGACGCAAAATCAAAATACAGCGAGACAATGCCTCGACCTACTCCCACCAACGCCAACTGGTCGCATCTTGGAAGTGTAGTTGAAACAATGGACGCGCTGTGTGTCTCAAGATACGACTATACACATGCAGTACATAGTCGACATCCTCGACAAGGGTGTCTCGTACTCGTATGTAGCGAAGGTGTGGTCCGATAGATCCGGCACCGACATGGCGTTTTCAATGAATGGAATACGACAAACACCGTCTGAGCAAGTGTCAATGGTTGCCTTACTCGTACTCACCCAACTCATCGTGTCGTCGTGTCGTCGTGTCGTCGTCTCACCCAACTCGCTGTCCGGCAATGTGCCCTACCCAATCTAACCTCCGCGTGCATCCCAAGAATGTGCATGGAAAAGTCCAACCATGTCGAAAACGGTCGTGTTGACAAGCCGCGTAACCACCGCTCCAGGAGCTGTCTCCTCCGTTTATTCTGGTGGATAGTCTACACGACCACCTCAATTGCCAATGCCAATGTCTCATGCCGCCAAAGTGCAGTTCGCAAGTACAAGTGCTGTACTTGTAGTGCGTCGCGTCAAACGGCCTTAGACTTCAACATAGGGAGAGGTTGGGAATGCACTTTTTTTTTTCTCGCCATTTCCCGTTTGGGTTCAGGGGCTCATTTGGAGAATGAGATGAGCTGCAGCGACAGGTGAGGTCGAATGGGGAGTGGGAGGGAGTAAAAGGGCGGGAGGGACAAGGTTGACGAGGTTGGCCAAGTTTGGCATCGTTAGGCAAGGTTGGGGCGTTTAGTCCTCTCCGTCTCGTCTGTTTGGGCTCGGCAATCTTCTCTCCAGCGTGTCCCTATCAGCCATGCTATAAATATCCCACAGCCACAATCTCCATTGTTCGCTGCTCATCCACCTCGCTGATGCAACCGCCGTTTGGGTGGATACTACCACTGGTCCGAGCTTGTTGCACATAGCCCTCGGTAGCCCTACGCTCCAACCTCAAGGTGCGAAGAAGAGGTGCGAAATGCGCCGTCGCGATGGCCAACTTTATGTGAGCAAGCGAGCGGGTGCCCACAGCGAAGCGGGAGGTGGAGCAGCGGGGCCAGACGACGAGCCAAGAGATTGGTGATGACTAAGGCTTGTTTGGCGCTTGCTGACGGGACTGTGGCTTTGCGCGACGGTGACACGTTGACGTGGCCAAGACAATGATGGTGTTCTGATGAGGGCAGATTATCAGCGACAACTCTGAAAATAAAAATATCCAAAGTTAAAGTGGACCAAGACGAGTCGGATCGAGTCAGCAGTGCGAGCACCGCAGTAAAGCGCATCTTGTTGACCCGTCTCCAGCCCGGCTATTTATGTCTTTTGCCCACGACATGGCGGTTGTCGTCGGCCTCCAGTAGCTACAAATACTCGTACCGTGCCACCGCTCGCACATTCAAGTGAAACGCAAAATAGGAAGGTTTTAAGGTTCACCACGCACCTTGTTGAAAGCCCAGCATTCCCCTGCGACCCTCTTCATCCTGACATTCGACTACGCGATAGAGCGCTCTCCAACTATCTGTGTTCCCGACCTCTTCACGCCTCGCCCCTCACGCTCATTGACTCATCGGGACGACCACCACCAAACATTCGTTACACAGACAGAGACAGTCCCCCCCCCCCGAATCCAACACACGCACCACAACTACAAGAGTAGACGACACTCACTTACCCACGCTCCACGACCAAATCTCACATGCGCATCTCGACTCTGTGGCTCATATCGGCGGCCACCGTGGCTCTCGCCGACGGCATTTCGCTGGGCTGCTACGACACGACGGCCACAGACATGGTGAGCGCGTCGCAAGACAACTTCATGTCGTCCAAAGCATGCAACGACGAGTGCCGCAGCCAGGGCAAGGCCGTGTTCATGATCAACGAGAAATCGTGCTGGTGTGGCGGCTCCATCCCGGCGCCGGGCGCAAAGGCATCGCCAGAAATGTGCAACAACCCCTGTCCCGGCTACCCCGCGGAAAACTGTGGAGGCAAGTCCGGCAACACGCTCTTCTTCAACTTTTACCAGGCCACTAACCAGGACGGCTCGCCCGTGGTCAACTCGTACTCCACCCAAAAGGCCCAGAGTACCGCCACCACCCCATCTTCGGCCTCGTCCAGCGCGGCCGCCACCTCATCATCATCATCATCCTCCACCGAGCAGCCCTCGTCCAGCTCCTCCGACGACACCTCATCCAACACGCCATCGTCCACATCGTCGACCCAGCCGCCATCCACGACAACCACGTCGACGTCCTCGTCCGACTCGTCGAGCTCCACCGACTCCACCACCGGCAGCACGTCGTCAGACTCCACCTCCCACACCACGGGCTCGCCCACCACGTCACCCACGCGGACATCGGGCACCAGCATGACGTCAGCGTCTTCGGACGCGCAGAGCTCGGCCTCAGCCACCGCAGGAGCGCTCACGGAGGAGGAGAAGGACAAAAAATCCGGTGGCATTTCCGGTGGCGCCATTGCCGGTATTGTCATTGGCGTGGTGGCCGGCATTGCGCTGGTCGGACTAGCATTCTTCATTCTGCGACGCCGACGCCAGTCGTACGAGTACCAGACACAGGCCTCGGACCGGTACGGCTTCACCGACGACCCGTTCACCACCGCAGCTGAAGACAAGATGAACTTCAGCCACAATGGCACCTCTGCGTTTGTGCCCGTGGACCAGCGGCTCAACCCTGCGCTCATCAACCAGCGGCGAATGAGCGAGGGCTCCATTGCCGACGAGCAGGACTACTCGCGCAAGATTCTGCGGGTGGCCAACCCCGATGCTTAGACTGGCTTCCTATGCTCGTTCAGGCAAAAGACATACTAATATTTATGCAAATGCTAGCTAATGCGCGACCACCGAGGCCTTCTCTGCCGCCTCGACGTTGAGTCCATCTGATGCGATTTGTGACTTGGCTGGCCCTCCACAGAGACAGAACACAGGCTCAATTGATGTAGTGAATGAAGTTTGGATAGAAGCGGGAACGTAGTATTGGCTGGGCTAATGAAGATGGCTCATTTGGGGAGGCTGAAGTTAACGGATCCATGAGTAATGAACTTTCGAGTCGTACATTATCCTTGTACGTACATCGACTCGGGTACATGCTACAGTAGCTATAGTGTATGGGAGTATGTATTGAACGAGTACTTGTAGATCTGTCAAGGAGACATATTCCTGTTCAATTGCTTGTTCAGTTGATTGTTCAAGTCACTTTTCAGTTGACTGTTCAATTGATTGTTCAGTTGACTGTCCAATTGACTGCCCAAATCACCAAAGATTCGCCGTCGATGGAAACAGAAAATACCTCAGATCTGTTGCCTGAGTATTCATCGCCGACTAATAATTCGTGTCAATTCAAGGGCGCTAATTGAGAGACATTAAGACATTGAGACATGGAGACATGGAGACATTGAGAGATTATTTCTAACGTGGGTACGTACAAGTGGACTAGACTTCAACAGAACAGTACATACCGGTAAGAGTACAAGATCTGATTGTTCGTCCAGCAGGTTCAAGATATACAATATTCAATCCGTGGCCTTTAGGTGACAGATAGGTTACGTATCGCACAAGTACAGGTATGGATTCTGTAGCTAGACTTGTAACCACACAATATTGGACTTACCTCAGTCTCCAAAACCTGCTGCTACTGTACCAGAACAGGTACGAGTAAGTACAAGTAAGCACGAGTAAACACGAGTAAGCACGAGTAAACACGAATAACTATTAGTAAGCACGAATAAGTATTAGTAAGCACGAATAAGTATTAATAATCACGCGTAAGTATTCTCACTCCCATATCAACTCCCATCAACCTCAGCCTCCGTGGAAATCACCCCTGTCTACTCTCATGGTCAAGTATCATACCCCGCAATAAAACAGACGCATACAAACACATGTATCAAAGTGTGCATACCTGCGTTAGGAGAAAATGTACATTGAAGCGGGTTCACTTCCCGTCTACACTCCTTAACTTTCATAACTTGCATATTAACCTAAAACTAATGCATCGCTGATGTCTTAAGTATATTGTAAGAAACGTAGTTTAGATTTACTTACGTATGTTTTTAAGTAAACTGCTACCCAAGTCGTTAACTTATTTGTTAAGGAAAGACACTGAGCTGAAAGAAGTAATATCCAGGTGTTTGTGCGGGTTTACTTCTCATTTATGCACTGTTCATAGATAATAATGGCTCATCACGTCGTGGGCCACTTGAAACGTGACACCTAAGTGTGAGCCCATAATTACTGAACTGTAAGCAGTTCGCATAGTTGAACGCGCGATAGCGCGGAAAAAAAATTTTGAGAGCCACTGGTATTTCAGATAGCTTCTCGGGCTTCTAGTTATTGTACAACGGTTCAACTTGTTCATAAATGCACATCAATGTATTGATTACTTGAACTGAGTAGTTTATCCAGCGGCGTATTCTCTGTCCTGATTGTCCGCGGTTGTTGCTGTCATCATGGTTCTTGAATGACGACACAACCGAATTCGCTTTGGACCTCCAACTACATGGCCAGTGAACTGCCTGCGAGGAATCAAGCCGTTCTTCCACTCGCGGTAAGCCTTGTCACCGCCTTTATCCCTGAAACAGTGTGCACTCGTAGCATGCCTTTGGTTCACACAGATCTGACACTTCGGGCCAGCCTTCTTCTCGTTGGAGGCTTTTACGCGTCCCACGCGTCTCCGTCTCGGACCAACAACTTCGTCCTCAACCATGTGTGCCACGCAATCTCCATTACGCGGAACATAAGCATGGACCTCTTTTGCGAGCTCCTCGTCTCTCTTCTTCCACTCTTTCTCGGATTTTCGAAGCGCTTCCCACCGTTCTCTGAACTTGCCATAGTTACAGGCATCATCCCAATCACTTTCATTCATCTGTGCGGTGGTGTGCAAGTATCTCCAACGAGGATCAAAATCTCCCAGCATGAGCCTAGCTCGGCGTTGGTGTATCACGGCTGGACCAAGGTTTTTGTCTCCCAGTTCAGCTCTAGGTCGCATCCTTTCCCTGCCGTCGTCGGACAAAATCAAATGACCAATCATGTGATAACATGGGAGTCCAGTATCCAAAGAATATTGTCCAGTACATTCCGTAGGAACGTAGTCATCGTGAGAAGCAACAGAGATCTGCTCCATACACTTTAATAGTGCTTTGGTGGAAATGAAAGTCCGGATAGATTTGCAGAATTTCTTGTCGATATCTTTGCGATACCTCTCCATCTCCCGTGCATGAGCATGTTCAAGGTCGCATAAAACGTTGACCGAGGTACGCAGAACGACCGTTGCACATTGGAAGAGAGAAATAATTCTTGTCCTCATATTACTCTTCTGAAGAGCATGAATACTCTCTATCCTGGAGGTCGTTGTCTCGAAGAAGTTGCTTTCTCTAGAATAGGCAGCCACAATGTTGTGACGATGTTTCGGGTGTTGGTCGTTTCCAAACCAATATCGTCGAATGTAGTAGTATGCCGAGTTTCTCCTTCCATCAATTGAGCGATCATGCTTGTCAGCGCGGTCCATGCCCTCCTTCTTATAGGTTAGTTTGAAGTCGGTATATAACCTTTCAAACTCGTCCGCTGTGTGAGCATGGCACATCTTTTTGAATTTCGAAACAAGTTGAGCTGTCTCAAGAGATTTCGAACCAAACAAAGCAGAACCTTTTCTCTCGACTGCCTTAGCAGCATGCCACAGACAGAGCTTCAGGTTGCTACCATTGAGTTCACTGTACTTGTGGCCCTTTTTGATGGCTGGTGCACAATCTGATAAGATCACGCCTGGGTCGGGAATTAGGTACTTCTGTAGGAAGACTTTCAGGCGATCGAGGCACCACTTGAAAGTATCAGCATCCTCTCGTGAAATAAGTGCATGGGCAATGTTGAACGACCTACCACAAGAGGCAATGCCAATAACATTGAAAAGCTTGTAGTTGAATTTGTTTGTGTTGTGAGTAACATCGATAGCGATAACACCAGAGAAAGCCCTGAGCATCTTCACTGATTTCAAGACAACGAAGAATATATCCTTGATAACATCGGGTTGTTCAGGCAGGTTAGCCTCTGGCGGCGGTGTGCTTGGCATTGGCTCCGGTGGGACTCGTCGACTAGATTGTCTCGGTCTTTTTCGTAGAAGCGGCTCCACAATCTCCTCATCTTCTGACTCGTCTTCTGATTCGTCCGTCGCCTCGTTTTCGATCCCACCATCTACGTAGTCCGATTCCTCAGTTTCTGACATCAGCTCAGCTTCCACCAGGAGGCCACCGTCCTCGTCTGCGGTCTCAAAGTGGTCCACACCTGGTTCAAGCTCTTCCGCGTCAGACGCGTCATACATATCAGGTTCCCACCTTTCCTGCCGACGATCTTCCTCAAGCAGTTCTTCAGTAATCTCTGCAGGACAACCGACGATCCTATGTTCAACATGGATCTGAGGAGAGAGTTCCAACATGATCAAGAGCGCTTCGACTGGGTCCATATCGCCACAAACCTCCTTATCGAATTTTTGCATGCTATTGGTGATGTCAAGTCGAGTGAGTCGGGATGCAGCAGGAGAAATGAGACGCAGAGCATCCAGAATCTTGCGAGGAAATGTCTGGGTCTTGACCAGAATGTCAAAAAGATCGATGTCCCGGCATCCCTTCCTGATATTGGCCAAATCAAGCTGCCGGTAGGCACCGTTGGTAGAAACTGATGCAGAAGGCTTGTGGTTATGTTTCGCACACAGGGCGTCTCCATTTTCATCCTTTTTCTGCTCATGGCAGTAAACCAGTCCAAAGTCATTCGGGCCGAGCTTGTTTACTCTTATCTGGAAAGGACAATAACATGCCACCCGTCTTGACGCATTGGTTGGTTTCCCAATCTCTCCACTCTCGTCGTCATACTTGCTCTTATGACACTGGAGAATATTCCTAGCTTTTCCACCACCAATGTGTAAGACGAAGCCATGGAGTCGTGCAGTTGTCTGAGCATAAGCGATGGCTTCGGCCTTTTCTTTGAATCTTGGCACAGTGAGATCGGTATGGAGCATTTTATAATCAAATTCAGCTTGAACTTTCTCAAAGTAATAATCGAACTCGCGTCCGTACTCTGCGAGTTTTTTCATGATGTCCATTCTTTTTTGTTCAGCGTTGCTGTCGTCAAATTTGCGAGGTTGCGATTTGACAACTGGAGGGGGAGCCAACTGTGGAGGAGTTTCGATAACAGATCCAGGTGGTGTATATGGGGTAAACTTGACAGTGCTTTCAACAGGGTCTTCTACATCCATTGAGTCCACATCAATTGGTTCGGAAAGAGATGTTTCCGGGGCACTTTGTTGCTGTGGGTGCTGCTGTGGGTGCTGCTGTGGGTGCTGCTGTGGCATACTCGGGGCATGCTCCGGAAAATGTGCACTGCACGCAGACGGTTCCGGAACCGGCGGAAACATGAAAGGGTTCTCCACTGAAAAGTTCAAGTAAGGATTTCTGTCGTCGATATTATCAATTCCGATTTGCACGTGTTTCAGCTCGTCGGGAGTATTCAACTTTTCGTATTTGCCGTCTGCTGTGCGGAGATAGACAAACACTTTATAGTCGAGTCGGAAATGGTAAAAATGCTGGGGTACTGCCGTTGGTTGATACATGAATTGGTGTTCCGTTGGTGGTCGGATGAGGACGTCTCGCTGCATCGGATTATCAGGTATGGGTGGCCTGTTCACCAGGCCAACAGGCGGGTTGCCTGTATGCTGAAATGGCTGGTGTGTCACCGGCGGTCCTAGCTGCCCTGGCATGTTGGCGTTGATCATTGGTATTGTTGAGGGTGTCTTCGTATATTGTTCGCTGTTCGCCTCCAGATCAACTACAATAATGCTGTAGGGCGTAGGGTAAGGTACAGTACTTGTACAGCGCATAGGCGTCCAGGTGCATGGACGCGCATGAAAAATCAATATACGCGAAGGCATATCGCTATCGCTGTACATACTGTTCTCATACGGGACCCAGGGCTATGACACGAATATAATAGTGCAATCTACAGTAAGCAGTCAACCCCCCTGTGGGAATTTACACTTGTACAAGTACTTGTAGTAAGGTACAGTAGATCGTACAAGTACAAGTATGTATAAGTATATGTACAATGTCCCTTATGACTGCTGAATTAGCCCCACATATTGTTCACGAATCCTTGCACAAGTACAAGTACAAGTACTGTACTGTACAATATACCTATAATTATCACGTACAGTACAGTACAAGTACTGTACAGTACTTGCAAATTAATCATCTCCTCATTCTGTGTAAAGTGTTACAATACAAACGCGTTAACGCGTAATTTGACGACGGGACAACTTAAACCTTTAGGCCATTCGAAACGGAATGTAAAGCACGTGTTGTAGACGATAGGGTCCTACAAGTACTCTGATAACCACATGGTGTATCATTGGACACGCCTTACCAAATTGGGAGGGGTCTGTTAATTTTCTGGTATTCTATACAACAAACGAGACTGGGAAACGATCTCACGTGGCTGCGTGAAAACTGAATCGGATACATCCACACTGCGCGACTGATAACATGGCCAACATCGCCACTTGCCACTGTGACAAGGTAGAAGTAGCTTACCACTATGTACAGATGTACTATAAAAGAAGTAGACAGCATCGATAAATCAACATTTTATTTAATTATACAAAAAACAACCCAGTTAATGGTTATGGTCATCCATAGTTCGCGTAAATCTCAGCTCCCATTTACCACAGGGAGTTTCGCCCGCAATGATAGCAAGAGGACAGGGAACTCCGTCTACTGACTTTTTCCTGCAACTGTAGTGAATAGAAGACATTCTCTTAGCAGGAGCCATTTTCTTCGCTTTGACAGGTGTGGAAGGCTTGCCAGTTCTATTGCCATTGCTATCTCTGTTAGATCTCCGTCGTTTGGGCACAGGCTCCTCAGATTCCTCAGCTTCGACCGTAAGACCAAGAGGTGGATACCGATGGGTAGAGGTCCTTTTCCATTTGAAAGGCGAAGGGTTGCCCTGTCTCTTGTACGATGCACTGAAGATATCAATGTAAGCTTCCAATAGCTCCAGGCTATCAAATGTATCCAGCTGAGGTAGATAGCTCGCTGCAACCCCGGCGTCAATACTTGCACGAGCCCGAGCACGAGATATCATATCCTCTTGTCGGAGTTCCGAGTTCACCATTTCTTCGTTGGACATCCCTTCGAAGTTAACATCGTAGCCATCCTCATTGCAGTACGGCTCGACCGCATGCATCTTGTGTCCCTCATGACCACGCAGTTCTTCTGGTGGTCTCACGTACCAAATTTCTCTTTTCCCATCGTGACACACATTGACTCTGTGAGGGCAGCGATCAAATACGCATCGGAAGGTGTAGAGTGTTTTCATATTTGGCCTTGTCCCACCATTTGAGCTCTCAATGTAACCAAACCCACGACGCTCAGCCCAGTCATTCATTCCATCCCAGACCAGCCATTTCATGGATGTGGGGTCAGAGGGAGGCAGTGTCGCGTAATCATGAAACTCCCTCGCTGCCCGTCGTTTCTTCTCACAATTTTCGATCAAACTGAATGTCTCCTCTTCCTCGATGATATCGCGTGGCTTGTGCTGATGTTTGTCCATGGCCTTGAGGATCTTCAACTCATTGTATGCGACCTCTGCCCTGTCTGCACTGTGTTCTAAAATACTCACGCGATACTCACAGCCTGAATGGCAACATGCCAGTGGAATGATCGAGATCTTGCGATCACATACAATAGCAGATGTTACCGGTAGCTTCACGTGCGCAAAGAACTGCCTTCGCGCTGCAACGTCTAGCCATTTCCAGACATCATCTGCGGATGCTTCACTAGTGTAGCCTTTAACCACGGGTGGGTAGGGTGAGTTGTTGATGTAAGCTGGATGGTCGAAAATAGGGTGTTTAGGCTCAGGGCACGCCAACTCATCATCATCATGACCCGAGTCATCTTCAGTGCTGTTGGTGCGGGAAACCGTAGTCATGTCTCTGCTGGCAAGTTCCTCTGTCATGCGGTCAGCGTTATCTGTTGCACGTGGAAGTTCTTCCATTGTGTTCGGGATGGACCCTCTGCTTGTTGGTCAGGAGGAAATGTTTTAAAATGTTACTATCGTGCTGCGCGGACAGCTGTTCATATATATATATATATACATGTAATAGACTTTCAGTCCCTGTATGGAGGTCACACGCGACTAAAACAGCTCGTTCCACCAAAGGACAGTCTCCAAAATTCTCAAAAGACGCGACAAACTTATGTGAAGCCCTGCATCAGGGACCAGAATTTTTGATATACGAGGTGACTGAAAGAAGATGTTAATCAGACATGCTTATGAGACTACTAGTACTATTTATGAGATTTGTTATACATGGATGTGGAATTCCTTGATTGAGGGATTTGCCAATCGTTTACTGTGCTAGCTTTACTGCTAGGTCATTTGTTCTTCTTAATGGAATTATGTTCCTAAACACGTTTGATTATCCCAACTGCTAACGGTAGACCTTCATCAAGGAATTCTGCCACTAGTGTCTACCTTTTTTCTTTTATCTTTGAGGTATTACGCCATATAAATTAGTATCGTCAGATATAGTTTTAAATTATTATTGTTGGGAGTAATACTACCTGAAGGTCCCAAAACAATAAAAATGAAGTTTCATATACAATGTTGGGAGGAATACTATACAAAGGATCCAAACCAATAAAAATGAAGTTCATTACACAATGAACTTCTTGACCTTCATATCGGTCTGTGAACAACATTTTTTCATAAAATCAAGATATGGTTGTATAAAACCTATATTATAGGACTTCTCAAAACATATGGCTCTATAATAGTATACCCTTTGGACAAGTCCTATAAATATGAATTCATCCCTCACCAAGAACAAAAGTAAGGAAGTGGTTGTAAAGATGAAAATGATGGTATGAGCATCATGAGAGGGATTGTGCCTTTCAATCCAGTCAGCATCAATCATCTCTTCATGGATTCGACCACTGAATATAGCGTGATTATGTCAAGAGGACCATAGGCAACTTTCTCCTTTCACGACTCCAGTTGCAGAGTTTCCCCTGCAATGAAGGTGCATATCTTGCGGAAATCCAGCAAAAGTGAGAAAAAACGTGTATAATCTCCTTAAATTCAGCTCAAAATTTGGATGTTACTATATTATTGGATACAATCAGCCATGAAGAATTTTATGATAATTTGTTTTCTTCTCTCTGTTCACAATAATGTGTGGTTTCAAATTTTTCCCCTTTTTTTTCATTATTATAATAAGGTTTTTGGTTGGTTAGGGGTTAGTCAGGGTTAGAAAATAAGGTTAGATGTGGTATAAGGTATGTAGACTTGAAGTGTGTCCTACATTGAAGTGGGGTGGTACAAGTAGTGCGAGTATAGTACAGTACATTGAGTGAGGGATTTTGTCACGTGACGAGGCAGCGACGAGGCGGGTCTATATAGTCGTTCTCTACGCTGGTCTTCTTTTGGTCTCGTCTCTCTTGTCACTGCGCCTACACTACTGTAATATCTCACGCTGCCTTTTTCTTCCTTTTTTTACCCACAATTTACACTCACCGAGATAAGCTCCATTGCTGTGTCGTAATTAGCTTAAAGTGGTGTGCTGTTTTATGTACGATTACGATACCAGCGCTTGCACCATCAGCAACACCGGTTGACGAGAAACCAGACAGTATCATACACAGCAGCAGTAGGCCGATATCGACACAAGAATGAACCGAGCCCAAAGCAGTGCGTCGCTCAAGGGCAAAGACACGCCAGAGAAGCCGCGGCGGTCGGTGTCCATTCTGCACCTGCCCGACCGCGAAAACGAACATCTGCACAGACACACGTCGGTGGAAACACTGCCGGACCTGCTGCGAACGGGCATTCGAACCGGCCAGAAAATGTCGCGCGAGTACTCGGAGGGCGTGGAGGGCGGTCTGTGGCGGGTGGCCAGTGGAGACGACATGGGTCTGAGTCTGGATCTGTCGGCGGCCCAGCTGCCTGCGGCGGTGCGATCTCGAAGCCGAGGCTCGCGGCCCGGCAGTCATGGCGACTCTCGATCCGGCAGCCGAACCAACTCGCGGGCGCCCAACTCGCGGATCCACTCGCGGTCGCGCCTGGCGCTCAATCTCGACCATAACGTGCTCGACCACTACCCCAACCAGCACAATGTCTTTCTCCGAACCCCCGGCGTGGACGAGGCCGGTGCCCAGGGCGTCAAGGGTAACGAGAACTCTACCTTCTTCATCGACGGCACCGACAATTACGACAGTGAAGACGAGGAGTACGACTACGTCTTCAACCCCAACAACGACGATGAGATTCTGCTGAGAACCCACATTGACCGGTACGACGAAGACGACGACTCCGCCAACTTCTCCACCGGCTTGTACCGCACATTTGCCAAGATTATGGACAAGATTGCCGGCATTGACGACAAGAGCTACGATCTGCACGAGGCGGTCATGTCGCGAAGTGACCACACAAAGATCAAGGTGGCGCCAAAACGCAAGAGCAGCACCAGCACCATCTCGGCCACAAAGCCACAGACCATTTCGTCGCGCCAGGCCCGGTTTCTGGTGCGGGACGAGGCCCAGAAGCAAAAGGGAGACGTGGTCATGGTGCTGGGTGCCATTGAACACGTATTTGGTTAACCAGAGAAGAGTCAAACGTGGGACGCCGTAGACATGTGCATGGAGTGCAGACAGAATGATTCTGCCTACTAATCATACAAATACATTCATTAGGATGGTGATTTAGAGGGTGAGGACGGTGGCGGGGTCTATGTTGATCAAGACGTAGGGAGGTGTATCTATTTGGCCTGTTGTACTAGAAGTATGAGACATGTGTTTTTCTTCTACAGAACCAGTACAGTATATACTGTAGTTTCCTAAGCTGCTCTTTGCTGCCCTCATCATCTTCAGTATCTACTTGACCTTCTTGTCAGTTTACTTAAAAACTTACTTGAACTTTGGGCGGATCAAACCACTGACAACGGTCCCTTAGATGCCACCGTTGTTATGAAACGTCGATACAATTATACTATTCCATCTAGGACTCGCAGTCATTTCCTCTCCATTTGAACCAGTATCGTAGCGGCACATTCACACGAACACTTCCCATGTTTGACATCTCCAACTTTATGGTGCCACTACTATGTACTTGTACATCAACCACACTACAAGGTCCAACCAGGGCTTATGCGAATACGGTGGGCATGACAGCGACAATTGGCTTGTTAACGACACTTGTATTGTTCCTTTGTTCCAATGAAAAACTACTACTCTGTCAGAGTGGGCCACAACCCCGATATCTATGAACACCTGGATGTGACTCAGTACCAGATCACGGAGTATCCAAACGCCCAATGGAAGGGGTTCAATGTCTACCAGCATGCCGAGGCATATCTGGGAGGCTCACAAATGAATATCGAGCCTCGAGTCAAATTTGAATCAGACCTGTCCTCCAAGCATCACCACGCTTCCTCACGGCGCGGAATCCACTAGGTGATCAAAGACATGATTTTCGACGACCTAGTGGTGGCGGGAATCTATGCTACGGGATCCCTCATCCAGGAGTGTCTCTCAATGCAGCAGGCCATCAACCAGGTGGGACTCAACGGATACGCAACTACATTAAGGGGTTCGTACAGGATCCCAGCTACGTGAACGACCGGGGAGACCGCATCTGTCTGGTTTACACTGACGGTGCGTGCCCTCGAAACGGCCAATTTGATGCTGCAGCTGGAATTGGTGTGTTTTTTTGGAAACAACAACCCTTTGAATGTCTCCGCTCGTCTCCGAGGAGATCTTCAAACCAACCAGAGAGCCGAGCGGGCTGCTGTTCAGAGAGCCTTGGAAATACTCAGCACCCAGACAGATAATCGCATGTATCAGATCTGCACGGATTCTGAGTATGTCATCAACTGTCTGTCCAAGTGGGTCACAACATGGCAAAAAAACGGATGGATAAATGCCAGGGGCTTGCCCGTGTGCAATAGAGACTTGATCCAGGACATTACCAATCTTAACGCCTCTTGCACTAATGTTATTGGATTGAAGAAGGTGCGAGCTCACAGTGATGATAACGCCAATAATCAGGCGGACAGACTTGCAGGAGAAGGAGTGTTCTGGGAAGAGTACTGATCTCGGTGGAAGGTGTGATGGACAATTGCCTGTGGAATCGAATTTCTTGGAAAGATTGAATGCTTCTTGAGAGGGAGTGTACAAACTGAACGTGAGTTTTCTTGCCTTTCTGTTGCCTTTCTTTGATTCTTGTGAACTGCACTTCCCCTATTAGTCAATTCAGCTAGTCATACGAACCAACCCCCCAGACTTTTGATTTTTTTGGCCATAATCTTCATATTTTTTCTTTTCACGTGACTTCTTTGGCCTGTCGAAACCTCTCAGACACTGTTTCCGACAGTTGCGGCCATATCCTGGTGAAAATACGGCTTCCCGTCCGATCAGCCATAGTCAAGCACCAGAGAGCCCAGTTAGTATTGTAGTGGGAGACCATACGAGAATCCTGGGTGCTGCAATTCTTCTTTTTCCCTCGCGAATGGCTTTTCTTTTGCCTGCCACGTCTCCAACCTATGTGTGACAACGAATCAACAGTCCTACTTTGATCTTTTGCAGTGTAACACTGTGATTCAACCATGTTTAGTCAATCTTCAGATCTGACAGTCGCTTTCAGTGGAACTCTCGCATACTTGCTGGACAAGTTGGACACCAGCAGTCGACCTTCACTTTTCCTGACCTCGGTTTCATTCGAAGGTGGTGTATTCCGGTATGTACTTGTACCAATCTCCTACAGCTCGACTGCAAGTGATAGCTTGGGTGGGACTCATCGGTTCATTCGTTGTATTGTTCTCAGCGGAATCATATGCTCTTTCCTTTGTAAATTACCAGCCTACTTTCTTTCTTTCGAATGAGATTGTTGCATCTCCGACTGACAGCTTGTATCTTGCTCGTATACGGGGACTCCAATGCTCTTATCAGAGACAGACTCGGCTCTCGTCGGTCGTTGGCTGAAAAACTGTTCAGATCCTCGATGGCTTGGAACACTTTGCAGTTGCTGGCTCGTTAGACATGTCATGGTACTGTGTGTCGCTGACCAAGTATCGCTTTCGAGCTGGAATGCGCCCACTGTTCACAGTGCCACTGGATGCGTTCAAGTTGCTCGTTTGCTGGTAGTTCTGGTCTACAGTTCCCGGCGGTTCTCAGACAAGGTCGCTGAATCACAGCAACCAACCTGCTGCTAAGTACAATACTGTCCATTGCTGCTCGTACTGGCTCTCTGTTACCCAGAATAGTAATTTCACCCGTGTGAGCTACCAATGTCGAAGGGTGCTCTACACTCACCTAGGTGTTACTCCTGTGGTACCACCTGAGAAGAGTACAATTCTTGCAAATAGTTTCGTGTGGAACTCAGTCATTGCGTCATTTTAAGAGGTGTACGGCTCCATTTGGCAACTACTTGTCCTGGACGAGTGTTGGCTGAGTCTCATTCGATAGCACAGCATCTTTCAGGTGATCGAATCCTTAGCGTAAAGCTCAGATTGATTACTGTACTGTAGCTTTCGGTGAGGGAGAAAGTAGGGTTCAGCGGAGGTATATATCATGCTGAGAAATGGAAATTTCGAATGGGTAATAATGGTGGTATCTTCCACAGAGGTATCCTCCTTGAAGGTGTCGTCATTGAAGGTATGGTGGTGTCAATCGCTGCTACAAGAACTAGACGCCCAAGATGGACGGTCGAAAACAACAGTCATATGTTAGCAAGAATGGAACGAAACTCGAAAAATTAGATAAGTACGACAATACCAACGCTCCTCTGTCACGTTATAGTATCATAAAGGGGACTGGTTTACATAACAACAAAGTATTCGTATTCGTATTCGTATTCATGGTAAACGGAACTCTAAAATTCACACAACGGATTTATCCGCCGATAGCAGACTCCTTGTTAACCAGTTATGATAATCCCATGGATCCGCCAGATACTACAAGCACAGTACTGTATCCGTTAGTGCGGTATCACAAAAGCATTATTGGATATTCTTTAAAAACGAGCACATGTAAAAAGAGAAAAAGTAAAGCCCGACGTGGGGCTTGAACCCACAGCCTTGAGATGACCTTGGAATAAGAGTCTCACGCTCTACCGATTGAGCTAGCCAGGCGATATTTGATTTTGTTAGGGTTCGGTAGCTAATCGGCCGCGGCTAAACCTGATACTGGAGGTTAGTGATACTCGATCCGTCACCGCGGCTATTCGTGCTCTTGTGTGTCTGTTGTTTCCTTGTGAGTGTCCAATAGTCTGAACTCTCTGTTCTACTTGTCCATGGTTGTCTGCCTTTGTACTTGACCGTTTAACAAAGGTTAGTGGATATTGGTCCAATATTGGTCCAATATGATCTAGCGGATAACCTACGCACTACGCCGCTTGGAGAGCACTGCCCGTCCGGAACTGGAGGAGTTCCGGAAGTTGCGGACGCCGATCCTGAGATTATATAACTTGCCCTATTTCCTATATTGTAATGCACCAACAATTGTTCTGACACTTCGACTACTAACTACCGAGCTTCTCCAGTAAGTACTGGTTGGGAGCCCAAGTCCTGAGGCCCTGGGTTCTAACAGATTTCCTGCTAATAGTTTCCACTGCCTTGTAAATTGTGATTACGTAATACATTTTCTGAGGAAAATGTATCTACGAGTTGGAAACGTGTTCATATGTGGACCACATGCCATATATAACTGTTTTGAGGAAACCATTCTTTACTGTTGATTATAGGCGAGCTTTACATTCGGTAACTGTCAACACCACCTACATACTGGTACAGTATGTTCACACTCCTTCGATAAACTGACAATAATTGCAGAAGACATAATTATGATAATCATGTTTCATGTTACAATACTGTGGCCAGAGCTTCTACAAATTTCTTTTTTAATAGTGCCATAAATGTATTTTTCTAGTCGGAGCTGTTTTTACGGAGGGTATGGAGGTGGTATGGAGGTGTAGCTGGAGCAAGCAAGTAGGGGTGACTGGGAAGACGTCTCGGTTGATTCTGACCATTGATGCTGATGTCACCTTCGGATCTGGACGGTATATATCATATCGTAGTTGGGTTTTGGTACTTGGAGAAGGTCGTAAAGAAAAAACTGTGTGGCTGTGACTTGTACAAGTATGTGCTGTACTGTACCATACTGTAATCTGTCTCCATGTTCTCCTATTTTTCTTCACATCATTGTGGCATTTACATTATTACCACATCTCTAGCAATAGATCTGCTGACTTGACTACAGACACAGTAATATTGGATATTTCTGATTCCGTTTGGGTGTTCGCTGATTATTATGTTTTGGCTATTCTCTCAAGAATGAGGGTAATGGACTTTTTTGTTGATGAATTCGGATGTCTCGGTCTGTCTTGGTCTGTATTGGTATGTATTGATGTCTGTATTATTATCTATATCGCGTCGCAAACAGTTGTATTTCGAGACAGCTGCCGTGTTTCCACCAAGATTTTTTCACCTAAATCATATAAAATTTAAGCAGCATAGATTATGCATGATAACAGGAACTTTCGGTAGATGAGATGAGCTTGAGGCTTAATGAAGAGGTCATACTTAGGTTGATCTGCTGGATTGCAAGTGATGCTTGTAATATGATTCTGTTATTGAGCGTAATATCAATCATCGTACAATGAGATGAGCGTTATTGTTAGAACTCGTGTATACTGACGGTGGCATTGAATGAGACTCCAAACAGGACAGATCATTCGGTCCAGTACATTCACGACCTTGCGCAAGTCTAGCATTGTATGCAATCTCTTTTGAAGAACTCCCTTTTATTCCAACTCGGTCGGGTTTACTCAAAAACAACATATATTCCATCCTCAAATCCGATGTGGGCGACATAGGACATGGCTACGCATTGGAGTTGTCTCGTCCAAAGTCTGCGGCTTGAGTTCTGTTGTCCTGTCCGAACATTCTTTCTGCAAACTGTCTACAATAGACAATCTTGTTGGAGGATCGGTGCCATTTCCCCATTTCGTGTCAAGTCCTCCCGCCGCCATTTCCCGAGTTCGGTCGCTCCAAGGCTGTGAGCTTCTGCACATGTAATTAATTATGGCCATAGACAGCGTCAATGGATGTGGCTAAACCCCCGATGAAGAAGTACAGCATGTATTGTACTCTGAAATAACTTCCTGCCCATCCGACTGTAGCGCGCTAACATTGTCGAAGACGAAGGTTGCTTCCTCAGTAACGATGTCATACACGGAGACCCCCACTCTCGGGTGTCACAATCTGACCAAGGGGAAACACACTCAGAAATAGGTGCTGGGTTGCCGAGGACCTATAAAGCTCTTCTCAAGAGTTATAGTACAGTATCCAAGGTTAGGCGCGCTGTTGAAAGAGTGCACCTGTCGCTAGGTTGATATCGTATACTGTAGCTTTCAGAGGATAGACTCTATGCAGTATATTGCAAGTATGTACTGTATGTACTGTAGTATATACTAGTACAGTATATACTATAGGGGAGTTCTCTAGATATATATAGAAGAGGAGCTTAGAGGCTGTGGCTACAAGTACCGGGTAACACCCAATTGGGTAAAAATATCCATGAGTGAGAAGTCAGGACATAGGGAACATCGTCGTGTAGAAACTTGTGGAAACTTGTGGAAACTTGTTGCCCAAGGTGGCGACTATGATGAGGGAAACACCCACAGATGTCTCGTAAGTGGATGTTAAATTAACATAAGTCTGCACACTCCCCTCGTGCAAAGGTCATATGGTATGGTCCGTATTATGCAGCGTAGATTCGAGAAAATTACTGCTAGAGACCATTGCAATGTGCTCAATTGATTTGGCGGGCTCAATTGTTCGTTTTTACGACCCACCTATTGGCTATATCTCGTCAAATGTCTCTGGAGACTACAGCGGATCTAGTAGCCACAGATCTTACTCGTCCCCCTCGTCCTCCTCCTCCAACCGCGTGAGCAAGAGCAGCAGCTCCCGCAGCTCCTACAGCTCCAGCAGTCGACTGACTGTGTACACTGACGGAGCCTGCAGCAACAACCAGTCGTCCAACGCCAGGGCTAGCGTCGGGGTGTACTTCAGCGCCGGAAAATCCGATGACGTCAGCCGACCTGTTGCCGGAAGCCAACAATCAACTAACGGGCTGAACTGGAGGCCGTCCACGACAGTTTCCAAGGTGCACAGCCGAAACGACAGCAAGAACTACGATATCAAGACGGGCTCGCAGTACACCGTCAACTCTCTCAACAATTGGGGAGACAAATGGCAGAGCAACGGCTCGGTAACGTCCAATAACGAGCCTGTCAAAACTCAGAGACATCATCATTGAGCCCACTCTCAACAAGTTGAACAGGCTGGGAGACCGAGTCGACATCATCAAGGTCAAGGGTCACTCTGGAAACCCCGGAAACGATGCTGCCGACAGGTTGGCCGTCGCGGGAGCTAAGAAATAGCACTACCGAGACCAAAAGCACCTTCTGGCAAGGTTGTTTTGGTCAGGGGTATCTTATTTGAAGCCATAAATGTACCTGTAGGCAAGGACGGTAACCATACATATTCTCATGAAACATAGAGTAATTGCACCTACTCATAATTGTAACAGCTTCACGTCGACTCACACTTCCCTTGTGACAGTCCATTGTGCTGGTAATTACTGTGAGCCATCCCTTCAACAATGCATATGAATATAAGTTACATGTGAATTCCTCGCTTCTTCCACATGAAGACCCAAATGAAAAAGACAGCAGCAGCAGCGAAAGCGAGACCGGTGCCGGTGATGACAAATGTCAGGCCGTAGCAATGCACGCCTGAACAAACCTGTGACATGGAGCCCACCCCCACCTCGCTGGCAGCGTCATAAACCTTGGCAAATAGCAGCCCGTAGCCAAGAGACCCCACAGCCAAAGCCAGAATGAAGGAGCCCCAGATAGTACCGAGATTGGCGATACCCCACACTTTGGTGACAATGGTGGGCACAAGGGTGAACGACGAGCCATACGAAAAGCCGTTAACGATGGTCACAACCGAAAAGTACTTGGCGTTGTCAAACACGGTGAAGATTCCAGAAGGCACCATCAGATGGATGCATGCTGCAACCAGGGCAATCACACTGAGAAGCACGGGTCGTGACACGTGAGATTCCATTGCCTCTGACGAGAATCCCACCACCAGACGCGAAACCGTGGAGAAGGTTGCAAACAGAGACACGTGGGTGGAGAAAGAGGGCGAGTCCGCGTTCTCCACCGTCACAGTGTCCAGAATAGCCCCCATGTTGTTCTGAAACATCTCAAACGGGCCTCCGATGAACACAAAGCAGAGCAGAAACAGCCAGGCGGTCTTGTCGGTGAAGAACTCCTTGAGAGTGGCTCCTTCGTGTCCGGGTCCGTCGCAGTTGCAGTCGGTGGACGCTTCGGCTTTCTTTCGCAACTCTGAAGCCATAGACTCGGCCGTTCGACATGAAAAGAAGATGATTCCACAGATGACCGCATAGAGGCCTGCGAAAAAGAGAAAGATACCGGCAACGTTGACGTTCTTGCCAGTGATGAAAACAGCTCGAAGCAACTGAGATTGCCACAAGGACGACAGCCCAAAGGCCGCAACGGGGCCCCAGATGGCGTATCCAGGTGTGTAGGTTTGTAGCTTGCCGTCCTCCGCAAAGTAGACGGACATGGAGTGGGCACTTGCTTTGAGAGAGGCGTAGTACATGCAAGAGGTGCTGGCACCGATGAAGAAGAAGCACAGGGCCATTTCGGGGGCAGCTCTAGGGAGGGCCTCTCCGGTTTCTCTGTGCCAGTCTGCGGCGGTGGAGAAAATGCCACTGGCGATGGAGTAGCTTGCGGGGAAGGTGATCCAGGAAAAGAGGGCCAAGTAGTTGGATCCGTATGTGTCTCCCAGGTATCCGATCACAGGCATCAGCAGATACATGCCCAGTAACGACGAGATGGACACGGAGTTGACCTGGACCTGTGTGAAACCCAGTTTATGCTGTAGGGTCTGTCCGTACATGGAGAACAGGGAGATGGATGCCGCTGAGAGCGTGCCCAAAATGGACAGTGCAAAGATCGACTTTCCGACCGGTTTCGGACGCATCACCGCCGTGGGCGCGTCTTCGCGCGTTGTCACCGCCTTGAGGGGTGTTCTTTCGTCTACCATGCGTGTATCTGGAGGTGTTTGTGTCGTGTTGTGATTTGGTTGAGGCAGGAGTGCAGATATATATATCTTGTTGGATCAGTCATGCACTTGGTCGGAAATAGAGTTGAAATGACTCTGATAAGGCGCACGTGACTTGGGCGGTCATGGGGTGTTTGATGGGGCTTTGGAGGGGGCAAAAGCGGCCGAAAAAGTAGGAAATAGGGACGGTTGCCGGCGGAGAAGCCCATCACATGACCCAACTGGAGCTGTCCCGTCCCCTTTGGTTTCTCCAAGCGGTCTCTGGATGATCATCACTTTTAGCGGGATCTTTTTGGTTTTGCCCCACCAGGTCCGAGTCTAATTTAAACAGCGCCGTGTGTTGTAAAAACCGCAAAAATGGATAAAAATGGATTAAAATGGATCGAAAGTAGAAAACAAACAGATAGACGGATATTGGTGATGGTGGGGAAGTAGAGATAATATAAGGAGGGGATAGAAGGAAATTTCTGATCCACGTGGAGCGGAGGTTGCTCCCTGATCATTTTGACTCAACTGGCAACTGAGAGATTTGAGTCTACAGTGAGTAACAATATAGTCTAATATATAGAATAAAAAAAATTAAATAAATTAAATAAAAAAACAATAGGTACAAATACCATAGCTATTGTAGTGAGTACGAAAGTGCGATATTGGACATGTACTAAACTCCTGTTGACTCAAAAGGGTTTCTGTATTGAGATTGTTGTCGCCATTAGTCAGCTGCTATCTCCAGCTGTACAAGTACAAGTACAGTAGCAGACTGGCTTGGGCTGGCGATGAGGTTGATACAAGTATGTACTTACTTATGCGAATACGAGAAAGAAAACATATACTTATTGTACTCGTTAATCTCTGAACACTACGTGATAAGTCTTCCAACAATAAGTCTTCCAACAACGCAACAACTGCAGCCAAAAATGCAGCCAAAAGTGCGGTCACCTACTCCAAAAAGCTCTACTACTTGTAGTCATCCTGATAGTTCCCACAACTGTCTCCAGATCGTCGCTGGCCCCTCGATCAAGATCTTCTTAGACTCATTCACTACCAGCCCTCCAGACCTTGTATGTTGGAGATGAATATGCCAAGGAAACCACCAGACCAATGATCTCGAGCTCTAAATCACCGCGCCCGAGCTTCCTGTCTTTGCTCCTCCCATTCACGATTACCTGAAGATTTCAGAGATCGTCAACAAGTGATGTTTCGATCCGTCCCCAACTTTCACTCACAAAGGTGTTAGGGCAATAATGATTGTATGTATCGTAAAGAAAATGTGTACAGTAGGGAGTATATTGATAGTTAAAATATGTATAGAAACTATCATGATAGTTACAAGATATATAAACTAATATATGTCACTGGATCTGTGTTCTATCATCTGTTTTATTACCCCTTGGTAGTCTTGTTGGGTTAGGGTTTACCGCGAAAGTGGAAGGTACAAATAACACTTGGTAGGGCAATAGCTGGCCAATTTCTCACATCCTGAGAGGAACCAGCCCGTAGACGAGATGTCCATCCTGTATATTGTGTATCTGCTTATCTAGAATCTCATTCTGGGGTGTGCTACTACCGGATCATGGTGCCACCAAGTTGTAAGTCGTTACATTAACTAAATCTAATAAATTATACTTAGGTTCTCCAATAACTGTATTAGGCTGTGAGTGAAACTAAATATCGACGCGTAAACCACAGTGCTGTCTCGAGCACCACCATGACCAAAGAGTACACGGCAATTTACTCGCCAGAGGCCAGATCGACGCCCAAGAACACGAAGAAGGATGCGGTTCACGCGATCAGAGACCAGAACAACGTGGAGATATCTGCTGGAGATGTGGTTCTTCTAAGAGACGATCCGGACGTGGAAGGCAAGGAGTTTGCATTGATCCAGGGTCTCAAGCACGGAGATGAGGGACTGCAGGCCAGGTGTGTCTTGATGAAACTGTTTAACGACGCTGAGTCTCTCACTCCTACGCATGTGATCCCCAATACCAACAAGAACAGGTACTCCGAGGGTCAAGAGTTGGTCATGATGAACTCCATTGTGGATATTCTTGTGGTGGAGCTGCATCTCCCTGTCCTGTGTTATTCGTTTGCTGCATTCGAGGCTCTCTCGCAGGAAGACAAAAAGGGAGACAATGTCTATTTTTGCAGATATGTGTTTGATCACGATGCCAACAAGACGTCTGCGGCGTTTGACTGGCAAGATATCACCAAGGACATGGGTAGATTTATTGACGTTCTCTACAAACTCCTCACAGACAAGCCTCGAAGAGCAGCAGTTGAGGCTTCCAGACAGAGCAGACATGTCCGAGACGAAGACGAGAAAGAGAAGGACATGGATACTATGGACGAGGACACTCCTGCAGAGCAGATCGAAAAGCAGAAAGAGGACGACACTGAGATTATTAATGAGGACGACGAATACGACACTCATGTAGAGCAGATCGAAAAGGCACCAGCAATTACACCCCGAAAACGAGCACTGGAGGAGCTCGATCTACCACAACCCGACCATAACTCGACTCCAACGGCCACGCCAGAGAAGAAACGAAAGACGGAAAATGGCCATGAAGTGGCCCCCTCCAAACGGTGAGTACTAGCCATCAACGACCCAATGAACCCCAACTTCGAGCACAAAACTAAAACAGAACCGCCTGTGTCATCTCCTAACATTATTATCCCGTATGAACATCTAGAATGTTTTATAAACTGGCACTGTCCGACCCTATAAAACTGCAGATCTGTCGCCTTCAAAATTGTCGCCCCTTCAGGCAGCAAGAGCCAGACTCCACAGATTCGCAGCACCCGGCACGCTCCCTATCGAGAAACGGAGCTCTCCAATGTCTATCTCGGTATTGAAAGTGCCATCAGATCAGGCTCGGGAACCTGTATCTTTGTGTCTGCAAATCTGGGATCGTTTGGACGCAGTTTTCAAGTGAAACAGATCCGCTATGAATCAGTTTCAACTGTCTTTGGTGGCGAAAAAAGAAAATGTCAAAAAAGAGGGAAAAAAAAGAAAATGTGCTTAAAAAGAAAAAAGAAAGTATCCATATGCCGTCGTTGTACTTCAGGCGGCATAATAATACAAAAAAGGTACATGCTTTATCCGTATTCTTTATATCAACTCTTGCCTCTTGCAGCTTCTATTGTTTTTGACTCCAATATGATTGACTCCAAGAGTCAACTAGCAAGTACATACGGTGTTGGTAACTACAAGTACACTACACTATACCAAGCAATTCCTGCCGCATTCATTTATTTCTTCTAATCAAAGCCAAGAAATTACTGTCTGTTATTTGTTCTTTCTTCACTATGACTTTCCAAGTCGGAGTGTTTTTTACATTTTTTTTATTTATATATTTTCTTATTATTTGCACTTTCTTTAATTACGATACCATATTTAGATGATTCCCCCTGATCCTGAAAAAAAGGAAAGAGAAAAAAAAGCGTCTGAATTATCTCATCGATTATTTCCCTGGCCGGTCTCTTCTCTTTGTCTGTTTATTTTGGTCTAAACATAGCTCTCCTTTTACTCAGAACATTAAGAGAATTGCCAACCGGTTATTAAATAAGAGTCTCAACTACAGTATGTGCAATACTGTATTGATTGTTCAACAAAAACGCCATCAACGAGCAGTTTAGGTCCGTGACTTCTTCACGACCTTGCTCGAGAGACCATCTTGGAGATTGCCAACAAGCTCAAGTCTCACCCCATCGATACAAGAAGATTCTTAGCAGCATTGGTGCTAGTTTCACTGATCTCAGATTGGTATTGGAGGAAAAGGGAATGGAAGACGAACTTCAATGCTTTCAAACACGCTCTCTTCCGTTGCTTCAAGAAGGCTTCCATTCTCGGCGCTATGGAAAAACTCGCTGCAAACATCACCAACTACGACACCATCTCGGGGTACTTTGGATTCTGCAGTATTCCTGGCCATTCGGCTGCAAACTATTGCGATAACATTGTTAACATGAAGGAGATACTTGACTACATTATTCGGAGATGATCGACCACTTCTCCAATATGATAAGCTGTCCTCAAGCCTTACATGATCATGCAAGTCCGTCATCAGCATCCAATCTGATCAACTTTTTTGAGGAGAAACGGCTATGACAACTCCAAGATCAAGTATACACCTCAGAATGTTCGTTTTGGAAATTTTCTCTTTTTCAAACATCTCAGAGCTCTTGATTCAAACAAGCAGGACATTACCTCTCATAGAAGAGTCCTCCCCATTACAAGTAGGCGCGTTCTCTACCGAGCGAAGTGTGGGTTCAACAACGATGAATTCTTCAAATATTTGAACTACAAAGTCCGATCAGACCATTTTGTTCTTGATGGGAAACCTCCCTACTTTAGAGATATCTACAAGACAATGAAGGTGAATTTTGCCGAGGATATGAGCATGTCCAACCAATGCAACATCCACCCAATTGGGACCTGCTACTCTGGAGAACTTTCTCGTCAGCTATTGAGTGGGGTGATAGCATTCAAAGTGATTCTGATGTCAATTCCTTCTTCGTCATCTAGGAACACCACGAGGCAGAAATTCAGGAACAAGAAAGCTCATTGCGCAAGGAACATGCTGGTGGACTACGCTAAACACATGAAATACTGTTCAGTATGCTACATGTTTGGATTCGAAGATCCCGAAAGTGATGTTGTCCATACACCCGATAAATGTGTCATTTTTGCTCGTTTCAGGACTGACAAGAACGCTGGTCCTAACGCTGACTGGTACCAAGAATTCAACAAGGTGGAGATCTACTCTCGTTCATCTCAATGGTCTTATCAGGAAGTTTAACAATCCAGAGAAACGACCAACAATGTTCGAAACTATCGAAAAGAACAAAAAAGAAGAAGGCTAAGCCCTATTATTCCAATCACAATAATAGACTTGTCATCTGGTCAACTCCTATAGACTCCTCGATGAGTGCTATCACCCAGAGTCATCCTCGGGCCCCCACGGCAAAGTGGGGGTGGAAGAACTACCTGGCAAAAATACTGGATAGTGCGGGGACGCAGCAAAAAGTGATTTCTGGCAGGATCGAACTGCCGACGTTCTGCGTGTTAAGCAGATGCCATGACCAACTAGACCAAGAAACCGCCTGTGATGTCTCCGGGTGGGTTACACACATTTCCACGCGAAAAAAACGGCCTTTAAAAAAAATTGACGGAAGATAACCAAGAGATGAATTGAAACAATTCGATATTGGGCCTATTCCTGACACTTGTTGAAGTCATTGGGTCTCCTTGATCCAAAACCATAAGCCAGACTGTCCCGTTGTGGTGTAGATGAACAAGTGTGAAGAAACTGAAAGAAGAGAGCTCTATTTGTGGGTTCTTCTAACAAATGACGTGATTAGGATGCCATTTGTTACCGTAAATCATCACTACTCTACGTTACTGACGTGTTTTACTGTCGTCAATGACACCCTGGAGATAAAGCCGAGCGCAAATCAGGAATCTACAATATGGATGTAGCACGAACATATGAGAGCTGTTCTCTCGGCCAACACCAATTCACACATTCCATTTGATTAACGGTCATCCGATGAACTTCTCAAACTGCTATCTACTTTACCTGATTACTATGCCTTCACTCTTTAACACTCACGAGCCTGATCTGTGGGTATTGTATTGTCTTATGGAGATACAGCCGACTTTCGTTTCATCAACAGGCACATGGCGTAGCTCATGAGAAAACACTAGATTGTATCATTTGGGGATAAATCTCGGTCCCTCTGTTGGACTCAACCTCTCTCTTCTTTATTGTAGTGTCTGACTATTGTCGAATTCAAACTGTCCCCTCTATGATTTCTAATCATGACGATAGGATCAAGTTCTAAGAATCCGATAATTCAGTCAAGAGTAAGAGAGTCTCAAACAGTATACGTGGTTTTATACAATACTGTATCTGGTAGACACTCTTGTGAGCACCCAAACCTGCGAAACATGCGATTCGTTTCTTCATACATATACTACAAGACAGAATTCGCTCTTGAGGAACCTCATGACTTACCCGATCCAAGACAAAGATCCAGAGCCAGATGTTTAACGAGTAGTAATCCCGGCAGATAGTTCTCAGGTGTACCTGCCAGTGTAAACGAGATATCTGTCCTCACTCTGACTTCAACTGACATGACAGGACTGATTGCAGTCTCAGTAACGTCTCACTGCCCATTGTGGGCAAATATCTTGTCATAAGAACTCGTCATAGAACTCTCCACAGGAATTCTTCACGAAACTTAGCACACTTTTCATCTTGCAATCTCGTCCAAAAAGCGTTGGTAATCACCACCACCCAAATGGTCATTTGAAAGGATTCAGCACTACTACAGCACGACTAAGCTGTCCCTGGAAACAATTGACAACAAAAACGAGAACCCATGTCTCGTGTCTTGACATACAACAGCCATTGTAGCAACACTCCTACAACTCACACTACAACCCTACAAGTACATTGCAACCCCCACTAGTCCCATACGGCCAAATACCACTGCAACATGATCCGCAAACAACCCATACCCTGACCCCTTCTCCAAACTAACGCCTGCCTTGTAGATCTCCAATTCTGCTCCAAACACTCCCACCGTTCCTCGCCTTAGTAAGCTCAGAAAAACTCGCTCCCCGTTTCAACCCTAACCCTGACCCAGCAATCCAACAACATGGTCCCGTCCGTACCCCTCTTAACAATAAGGTATAGCCGCATTCTTGCGGTGGGGGGCTGATTTTAGGGTTTGGCGTTGTTAGGGTTAGGGTATGACGTGTAGCCGCGAGTTGAACCTAATCACTCTCGGTGGTGAAAAAATAATAGAAAATAATTAAAAAATACAGAAAATATTCAAAACAGTATTAAATACATACTGGGGAAAGAGACTCAAAAGGTCTCGTACATCTTGCATCCACTATTCGACCTTTCGTCTCTTGGCCTCTGGTTCTCATTTCAGAAGGTACTTCTTGGCCTTCTCAATCTCGCCCTTGGAGCCCAGCCAGACGCCGGATCGCTCGTGGATCTCGGTGGGGACCAGATCGAGGATTCGCTCGCCGTTGTCGTTGATGGCAAGACCGCCGGCCTGCTCAATGATGTAGGCCATGGGGAAACCCTCGTACAAAAGTCGGAGCTTGCCCTTCTTGGACTTGGAGTCGGCGGGGTAGGCAAACATACCTCCGTAGAGAATGGTTCGGTGCACGTCGGCGACCATGGAGCCAATGTATCGGGCCGAGTAGGGCTTGGAGCCGTCCTCGGGGAACTTGAGGGCCTTGAAGTAGTCCTTGACGTTGTCGGACCACAGGGAGGAGTTACCCTCGTTGACGGAGTAGATGGATCGCAGATCGGGGAGCTTGAGATCGGGGTGGGTCAGGATGAACTCTCCCAGAGGGTCATCGAGAGTGAAGCCGTTGCAGCCGTTTCCGGTGGACAGCACCAGGTTGGCGGAGGCACCGTACATGGTGTAGCCGGCGGCAACCATCTCCTTTCCGGGTCGGAGCACGTCCTTGATGGATCCGGAGGAGCCCTCGGGGAGCTTGTAGACGCCGAAAATGGTGCCGACGGAGACGCCGGCGTCGAGGTTGGAGGATCCGTCGATGGGGTCGCAGACCACGGCGTATCGGCCGTCGCCCTCAAACACAATGAGGTCCTCCTGCTCCTCGGACACCACCAGCTTGACCTTACCGGAGGCCTTCATGGCGTTGATGAAGATCTCGTCTCCGATCACGTCCAGCTTCTTCTGGTCGTCGCCGGTGGAGTTGGCGGTTCCCGACAGGCCAATCAGGTTGACCAGGGTCGATCGTCGGATGTTGTGGGCAATGAACTTGAAGGCAAACTGCAGCGAGTTGAGCAGCAGAGTGAAGTCTCCGGTGGGGATTGCGGACGACGCGCCCACCTTGTTCTGTTCCTGCAGAATGAACCGGGTCAGCGTGATGATATCGGTCTGGACTTCGGGGTTGGCTTCCATTGTGAAATGTGATGGACTTGTTGAGAGAGGGGGGGATTGGGGCAGAAGGGGAGATGACGACACGCTCCAAGTGTCTTGTACCCCCGTGCCGAAGGTTTAAGTGGTTAAGGTTGGCCGGGAAATTGCCGTGGTTCGGAACCGTCCGGAACACCACATATTGTGGGGTTTGTGTGGGGAAATAAGCCGGCGGTAGCAGAGATATTTATACCATTTTCTAGCTGGTCGTTTGTACAATACACTGAGCCCCGCCACACGGCCCATGTGACCCCCAAACACCTCCATCGAGCCACATTTAACGCCCCTCTCGCAAAGCTAAAAATCTCCGAGTCGGCCTGCGACATGTATGTCCAAAATGTAAAGCTCGGCTGTGATGGTTGTAGCAACGTGTTTTGCGAGAAAACGGCGGGAGTGAGGGGGTCACGTGACTGTGTACGTGACGTAGCATGTGGTCTGTGGCAACCGGGGTTTTGCGATTGTTTTCCGTCGCCGCATTGGCTCACCAGATCACACGACACCTAAGCTCAATTACCTCAGTTGTCTGTTTTTTCAACCTTTACTATTTCACGCGGTTTTGGATTATCACGTGGCGGGGGTGGAGTGGAGGTGGTGGTGATGGAGCGGTGGAGGCGATGGAGGTGGCGATGGAGGTGGCGATAGAGGCGGTTTGAGAGTGCTTGGATTGCTACTGCTGTGTTGACTACTGAAGGATCTTTAAGTATCGTACACATCTTAGTTCATACCTTTACTTGCACTTACTTGACCATGTGCTACTTGTAGATTGCTCCAACTCGCTCCCCACTCACACTCCATACAACCACATAACCACGTGTACACTCGACTTCAATACTGGGCTGAAATGACGCCATTACCCCGCCCGTATGCTCCAGACACCTGATTTGGTCTCACTTGAATGGATGGTCTGACCTGGTTCATAGTCTATCCCCGCAAAAGCAACCTCCAGTGAGTATTGTAGCACCGAACGCGACTTTTTGTAGGGTGAGACGGGGTTTTATGGTATCAATGGGCTTGTTGTGTCCGGGTCTTTCGAATCGTGCCTTTTTATTGTCAGTTTTCTCAGTAGTTTCCGATATCGTGTGGTAGTTGCGCCTGACTATGAGTACGAGTACAGTATGTACAGTACGATAGTCTTGCGATTTTGAATGTAGAACTGATTATGTAATACGATACCGGCACTTGTACTTGAATACCCATTCGTGGCTCAGTCGTCACTGTACCAATTGGCCCTCGGCACTGTACCATTATGCACCAGCAACCAAAACTTGAAAATTGAAAATTGAAAATTGAAAATTGAAAATTGAAAATTGAAAATTGAAAATTGAAAACTGAATTTTAAAAATCAAAAATTAAAAAATTAAAAAACTAAAAATACTGACAAATTACCAGTGCCAGTACCCACTTGTACAGAATTCACTCAAGTGTGTACAAGTACCAATAAAGCCAATGATACTGTTACAAATGGCCATTTCCGCCATCTACCTGTCGTTTTCCTTTCAATGATGCAACTCTTGTGTTAGTCGATTCGCATACACATAGTTTTCACACCAGCATGATACACGGATCGCTCGATTTCGGATGAGAAAGAAAGAGTCTTGGTGGAAGTGACATACTACAGTCTGAATACTTGTACAAGCCCAATAACCTCAACTTCTTCCCCTTGTAGACGTCTCTATGCCTTCAATATCCGCGTATCGTACAATCCACTGCTCTGAATAGTTAAGAGATTAGTTGAAAAGTCAACTAGGGTACCACAAGTTCTGCGTTCCAAGATGGCTAAAACACAAAGTTGAAGTATTCCATAAAAAAATGTACCCACTCAATCTATACACTTGATCGCATGCAGCCGTTATCCCATGGCTCTACTACGATGCACCCACAAGACACCACTCTCTGTTCTCAATTCATTTGTTAATCTATAATTTTACATCCAATCATACCCTACCCCTTATTCCTTCTTCATGGCGTCGAGTCGGACCTTGACGGCCATTCGGTGGGCGTCCAGACCCTCGGTGGCAGCAAGTGTCATAACGGCGGGACCAATGATCTCCAGACCCTCCCGGGTCAGCTGCTGCGACGTAATGTGCTTGGTGAAGGTGCCGGTGTTCACGCCAGAGTACATTCGGGCGTATCCGTAGGTGGGCAGAGTGTGGTTGGTTCCGGAAGAGTAGTCTCCACAAGACTCGGGAGAGTAAGCTCCGACGAAAATGGAACCAGCGTGGTCCACCAGAGGCACGTACTTGTCGGCATCCTCAATCTGCAGAATCAGATGCTCGGGGGCGTACTGGTTGGACAGCTTGAAGGCCTCGTCCATGGTCTTGACGCTAAGAGCAGAAGAGTGGGCAATACACTTTCGGATAATGTCGACTCGAGGAAGAGCAAGAGCCTGAGCATGCAGCTCCTCATCAATGGCATCAAGGTGCTTCTGGTCGCAGTCCACAGCCAGCAGAATGACCTGGGAATCAACGCCGTGCTCGGCCTGAGAAAGCAGATCGGAGGCAACAAAGGCAGGGTTGGCGTGCTTGTCGCAGATCACAAGCACCTCAGAGGGGCCGGCGGGCATGTCGATAGCCACCTTGGCAGTGGTGTCGTTGGACACGTACATCTTGGCGGCGGTGACAAACTGGTTTCCAGGACCCATGATCTTGTCAACCTTGGGCACGGACTCGGTTCCGTAAGCCATAGCAGCGACGGCCTGGGCGCCTCCAGCAAGAACAACGGCCTTGGCGCCAATCTGGTGAGCAACGTAGACAACCTCGGGGGAAAGAGTGCCGTCTTTTCGGGGAGGGGAGGCCAGAACAATATTCTTGCATCCAGCAACCATGGCAGGGACACCGAGATGCAGAGAGGTGGAAGGAAGAACTGCAGTTCCACCAGGAATGTACAGACCGACACTCTCAATGGGTCGAGAAAATCGCTTGCAGACCACACCGGGCTGGGTCTCAACCACAAGCTCGGTGGTGTCAAGCTGGGCAGCGTGGAACTTCTTGACGTTCGCAATGGACATGTCAATGGAAGCCTTAACATCATCGGAAATCTTCATCAGGTCCTCGGAGAAAGGAGCAGTGAGAATAGGAGACTCGAGCTTGACACCGTCAAACTTCTCGGTCAGCTCCAGCAGCTTCTTGTCGCCTCCAGTCTTGACTCCCTCAACAATGGGAAGCACAAGCTTCATGATATCAGAGGTCTTCTGAGCAGGTCGGGCCAGAACAGTCTCAATCTCGGCCTTGGAGGCGGTATCAGCATTGATGTGGTTGAGCTGGATCTTTCCGTCCTCCTTGATCTCCTCCTTCTTCTCTTCCTTCTTCTCCTCCTTGGGCTTCTCGTCCACCTTCTGTCGCTTGATGCCCAGAGCGTCGACCCACTTTTGCTTGGCGTCGCCCTTTCGTCGCGAAATCTTCATATGCTTGCTGTCGAGGTTGTTCATCACCTGGGCCCAGCTCACGCCTTCCTTGACAACCTTGACCATGGCAAAGTAGATGAGGTCGGCAGCCTCCCAAGACACCTCCTCGGCGTCCTTGGCCTCCACGAGCTCCTCAGCCTCCTCCATGATCTTGGCTCGCAGCAGATCCGAGTCGTCAAAAAGTCGCTTTGTGTACGAACCTGCGGGGGCATTTTGCAGCCGCTGCTGAAGGGTCTTCTCCAGACAAGAAATGCCCTGGGCAGCGGAGAAACAGCTCTCGGTGTTGAAGTGGCAGAAGCCCGCGCCGGTCTGCTCAACGATGAACTTGAGACAGTCTCCATCGCAGTCAGTCTCAATTCGGATCAGCTTCTGGGTGTTTCCAGACTCCTTACCCTTGTACCACAGACCGTGTCGTCGGGACTGATAAACACCAGTGCCGGTTCGAATGGCCTCCTTGATGGACTCAGCCGACGAGTAGACGAGGCCGAGCGACTGGTTGAGCACATCGGTCACCAGAGTAGTGTACAGGCCGTCCTGTCGGTCGGTGGACAGAGACGCCAACAGCAGATCGGCAATGGGGAACTTGTCGTCCAGCTTGTCGGCCTGGTGTTCGGTGGTCAGCTTAGCGGAGCTCACCACCACAGTGGCGCCGGTTGCAGCCAGATCAGCCGCGGCCTTGGGATCCTCCACGTTGACGTACACAACCGGGGCTCCTCCCGAGGGCAGCAGCTGCTTGGCGAAGGTCGAGGCCAGCGTCGCCACATCCTCCAGAGCGGGGGTGTCCTTGAGGAAGACGCCGCCGACGTCCAGGTTGTCGGGCTTGGAGCCAATCACTGTCAGACGGCCAGCAGGCACGCCGGAGGCAGCCAGATCAACAGCGGACTCTCCAGACACAAACACAGACGAGGCGCCGGCGTCCAGCAGGTGGATGTACTCGTCGGTCGACAGGTCTGTGTCGGCCATGATGTGAAATTGGGCCTGTCCAAACGCCTTTTTGAGCTCCTTGGCGATCTCGGGGACGTCGGACTGGAGAATGGACACCAGCACCTTGCCGGGCGCCACAGCCACAGCCGGAACAGTCACGCTGCTCACTTGGGGCAGCAGGGGGAACATTTTGTAGTTGGGTCGATAGTCGGATCAAAAGGTGAAGAGATTTTGACACAGTCTAGCGCTTTTTTGTAGTAACCAACCGTTAAGTTTAGAAGCGTTTAGGCGCACTGCAAAATGAGTCAGTTACCAACTTTTGCAGATACTGGCTTAAAGTTTGGCATCCAGACCAGACGCACCCAATCATCGCACCGCAGTTTCGGAAAGGCGCAATATCGACAGAGGAGGCTTTGGAACACGAGGAGAGATATTGTGAGCGTGGTGTGGGTCGATTGCTCAAGTCCGCGAAAAAAAGTTAAAATTAGGATCTTAGTGTTATTATTTTTACTTTTTGGCAGATTCGCCTGGTTGGCTCAGTTGGTTAGAGCGTTAGTCTCATAATCTGAAGATCACCAGTTCGACCCTGGTACCGGGCATTTCTTTTTTCACCTAAATGTCTTTTTTTTCTTCTTTGGACCTCGATAACCAATAGCTGTACAGGTGATGAGTTACTTGATCATCGTACTCACTCGCTCGGTTGTTCTCGTACTCTCATACTCGTACTCGTACTCTCATACTCGTACTCTCATAATCATACACACTCTCATCCTGTAATCAAAGTACTTGTATTCTATGTCTATGTCTATAAATATGGCTTGACCTTTTAGCAAAAGTCAAAGTCGGGGAAACCGAGATCAACTCCCCACTTGGGCTTGGAGGTTCGGTGGATACCCTCGGTCTTGTGCAGATCGTTGAGAGCCTGCAGGTCCTCCTTGGACAGGTTGACGGCAGACTTACCGTTCTCGATGATTCGAGAGTTGGTGACGGACTTGGGAATGACAACAGTGCCGTTGCCAATGTGGTAGGAGGTGAGAATGCCGCCGGGAGAGGTCTCGTACTTGTCGGCGAGCTTGAGAACCAGCTCGTTCTTGAGCAGAGGGCCTCCGACAGATCCGAAAGGAGAGAAGGCGGTCATGATGATGTTGTTCTTCTTGCAGAACTCCATGAGCTCCAGCTGGGGCAGCAGAGGGTGCAGCTCGACCTGGTTGACGGCGGGCACAACAGTGGCCTCCTTGAGCAGCTCCTGCAGGTAGGGGATGGAGAAGTTGGAGACACCGATAGACTTGGTCTTGCCAGTCTTCAGAACAGCCTCCATCTGCTTCCAGGTCTTGGGCTGGGAGCCGGACTCGTCAATGTCTCGAGATCCGTCGGGTCGCAGAGGGTAGACGGGGTCGTTACCGTTGGGGTTGAGGGGAACGGGCCAGTGGATCAGCAGCATGTCGACGTAGTCAAGACCCAGTCGCTCCAGAGACATGTTCAGGTTCTCCTCGACTCGGTCGTGATAGGTGACCCAGATCTTGGTGGTGACAAAGATGTCCTCTCGCTTGACGCCCTTCTCCATGGCTCGCTTGATACCGAGACCAACAGCGTCCTCGTTTCGGTAGTTGAATGCGGTGTCAATGTGTCGGTAACCTCCCTCGGTGAGAGCACACTCGACGGCGCCGGCAACCTCCTCGGTGGTGGACTTCCAAGTTCCCAGACCGATGGCAGGGATGGTCTTGCCGTTGTTCATGGTAAAGTCGATGGAAGTCATTGTGAAGTGTGTCTTGTTGTGGTTGTGATTGCAATAATGAGGAGAGAAGGACAGCGAAACGAGGCCCTATATATACTGATAAAAAAGGGATCCGGCGCGAAAATCGACCCCTATGGAAGTCTACCATTCTCGGTAGGCATGTCCGGCTCTCAGAGATCCTGACGTCATCCGCATCTGGGACGCAGGTGTAAACCGAAAGAGTGACGAAGACTTTTGTCGCAACGTGAAAAATGGCGCACATTTCTGTCCACACCCAGTGCAGAGATAACTTCTGACGTCATAGCAACAGACGGTGCAGGATGCACTTCTTCAGGTGCTCCTGGGCCTCTCCAGCGGCCTTTGGTGCTCACCTAGCTCATCTTGTCAACTAGTGCGTCGACTGCAGCGGGTCTTAGGTGACAGCTCGCGCTCTGACAGCGTCAGAGCCTTGTCCGCTTTGAGTGTCAGACAACGTTGGGCTTGCCTCCCTTCCTCCTCGGAGCTGTCTTCTTTCAACTTTGCCGTTGCTATCTTTCTCTATCTTCCAATCTGAGCTTAACGATAATAAATATTGTAGTCGTGTTTACATGTGCGAGAGTGGAAGGACCAGAGGTGGAAAGACCAGTGGAAGGACCAGAAGTGAAAGGGGCCAGAGGCGGAAGGGTGGGAAGGGGACGAATGATCTCCGACTCCCATGTACCTCCAGTTCATTGCGGTGATGATTGAATGCTGATTGAGAACTCGCCTGCACGTCCAGCTTCGACAGCAACTGAATGCCATCCCGAGTGGAAACATTTTGTAATGGTACTGCGTACTGTACCGGTAAAAACCCGAAACAACATCATGCGACTGCAACACATTAACTCTGCTGGTTTCAGGCAGTGCGGACATGTCCCATACACCTGGAAGGGGTGATTCGGACCCCGAACGCCGAACGTACTGTGTGGAATCTTCTGGAACTCCCCAACCCACCAACGCCGAGCTGCCCATAGGTTGCAAGCGTGATTACTCCATAATGGCGTCCTTGAAAGCCTGACGGATCTCCTTGAGAAACTGCGGAAAGTTGCGCGAGGAGTTGAGCTTGCCAACAACTCTATCCACCACGGACAAATCCAGAGTAGGCTCCAGCTGCTCCACGCGGTAGTTGACGTCGGCCATGTCGAGCACAAACGCAAACTCGCGGGCGTAGTCGTTGGGATCCAGCTTGACAAACACAAACCGCAGCTGGTCGTCCTGGACCGCCTCAATCTTCATTCCCAGAAGATCCTCCATGTACATGAGCTCGGGCACGTTGCGCACGCTCTGCTCCATCACGTGCTGTACCTGGCGCCTCCGTAACGACTGCTGCTCTTCCAGCCGCTGTCGCCCCTCGTCACACGCCCTCTGAGCAGCCTCCACCTTGCTTTCCAGCTCAGACCGTCGACGGCTGTATTCCACAATCGTGCCCTTGCTGTCCTCGATCTGCTTGTCCAGCTCGGAGATCTGGAGCCGCAAGTCGTGCTGGCGAGCCATGTGGCTTTCAATCTCCAGAGACACGCCCTTGGACTCCTCCTCTAGCTCCTTGAGAACCCGGTTCACGTCCTGCCGAGACTGCACCAGCTGCGATCGTTGGCGCTCCAGAGCCGCGCTCATGACGATTTTCAGCTCCTCCATCCCCGTGACAATGTCCTCAGGAAGCGGCGGCAACGTGGGTAATGTCGTCATTGTGTGATTGTGTTTGGCAAACGGTTTGACGGAAAATTCGAGAGTGTTTTTCTTAGTTAGACTGCGTTGGAGAAATGTCGTGAACGCGATAAATTAAGGTTGACATAGATATAAAAATATATAAATATTAGCGTCGTTCCACTGGTCTTTTTTAGGAGGAAATGTGGACCGTGTCGGTTTCAGTGATACCATTCGAGGACAGTCGCGAAATGATTGGTTTGGTGATTTGCCAAAAAAATTAGCTGAGCAAAAAAGAGGTCCCACCGAGATTCGAACTCGGGACCTTAAGATTTGCAATCTCACGCGCTACCGCTGTGCCATAGGACCTGGAATATGGAAAAGGTTGTTCCATAGAGATGCCACTGTTGATTCGAATGACTAATACGTCGCATTTGATGTGCGGATATACCTTTGTTTATGGGCCTCTGATAGCTGAAATGTATTCAGAATAACAAAAACAACGTGTTTAACCAAGAATATTCCAATGTACACTTCTATTCTGGGTTCTATAGCGACTATGAGGATAGTCACCCTAGTGATGTACAGTAGTACCGACCCGAAACTGTTGGTCAGAAACAGTTGATGTTCAGAAACTGCTGTTGGTAAACTATGCTGTCTTCTTGACCCTTTAAGAAGGGAATGGTCGACAAAAAACAAGGAATTCGCTCTTCAGATCAGTCTGCTTCTGTGATTCGAAGGCCACCGTGATATTGGAAGAGATTTGCACTCATACCTGGAACTTATATGCTCTCTTTGCCGTGCCTCCTGCCGGCAGAAGTGGTGAAGGGACGAGACAAGTACGAGTACGAACAGTACAGCAACAGCGACTTACACTACGACTAAGAAAGAAACTGCAAGTACTGTACATACTGTACTCGTACATTGCACAAGTTTTGTCTGTAACATTGGTTTCCTATGCTTGCACTCGTTCGCGTACTTGTAGAGCCCGATGTTCAAGCACATACTGTACTCGTACTTCTATATCGATCATATTCAAGCACAGTCTAGGAACAACATGTAAAGCACCATCAAATGGGCATACAAGTCGTTTTAAACCACAAGCAAGGTAAAATCACGCCATGATAGGACCATTATTCATGTCAAGTTCGCAAAGACAATCTCGGAAAACCATCCCGGTCCCTTGGCCCAGTTGGTTAAGGCGTCGTGCTAATAAGAAATAGCAGCTTTGCAACGCGAAGATCAGCAGTTCGATCCTGCTAGGGACCATTCTTTTTGCTTCAAGTCGCCGTGAAGACGCAGAACAAATCTGATACAGATTTCCGACGCTGTGGGTGTGGGGTTGTCTCAGGATCTGTCGTTGAAGAGATGACATTTATATTTCTGGGTAGTTCATCGAGAAAGGCCAGTCGTTTAGGAATGTCCGTATCAACAAGCGGAGGAAAAGAAAAAAGAAACCAACAGCGACTGTCTCAGTAATGGCAAGTGAAGCGGCAAAGCTCATTTTTGAAACCCCGTCTTTACTACACTGTTCTCCATGTATTGCCTTATCAAAGAGTTGAAAAGTCCACGCTCTGGCTCCTGAGATTGCTGCTAAGAGAGAGAAGAAGGGCAGAATACCACCAAGAAGGCTGACCATTGTTCCTCTCAAGTGCTGGACTTTGGTGTGTTTGCCCGCATCCAAAAGACCAGTGTCGAGATTGCTAAGCTAGTCATTGTCTAAATGAATGGGGAGAGCTCCACGACATAATTATGCAAAGGTTCGCATCCTACCTCTTCAATAGTCCATTTACGAGGGCTATAGGTTCCGAAAATGGCAGACAATCTGTTGTTTTGAGCATAGATCGGGTCAGTTTACCAACCAGTGCCACAAGTCGTCGGCCTAGTCGCCCACCAAGTCGTCGGAATCAGCTTGTTATGGCCCGTTATGGCCGCTGCTTGCTCCAGATCTACCACCGCTAAACACTTCCACAATGGAAAGCGTGCATGAGGCTGAATCCTGGAGGGCGCGGGGTGAGGTAATGGAGCCTTCTGGGAGTCTTTATGAATCGCTGTTACTCGGAATGATCAACCTTGGAATTCTCCAACCGACAATCGACCAAAAATTCGGCCAAGCTGCCATCCAGAGCACTTGGAAGATCTATCAGAGATCGACAGACCGATGAGCAAATGGATCGGACCAGGGTTCGTGCTATTTGTGTTGCAGGGAAAGCTGCAAGTTTCAGATTGGCTTTTCCACCGTTGTTTCTGTTAATCGAGAACGTAGCCAACATCCGAGCGACGGTAATAGGTATTAGATAGTTGGTCGAAATAACTGAAACGCACGATCTCTGGCAAGTGTGACTATTAATTCACTTGTTTTGTCCCTCCGCAGCTCCCTGGCGTCTGGATAGCTTCCAAGTATCTAGAGAAATCTACTGACAACCAATTTGGTTCCCTTTTTCCTCTTTTTTCCCTTTTTCCTCTTTTTCCTCTTTTTCCCCTTTTTTTCCCTTTTTCCTTTTTTTCCCTTTTTCCTTTTTTCCCTGTTTCCTTTATCTCTTAGATGACCCATGCATGTCAGCTGCAAGATGGTCATCTATTGACCTGTCCTAATCGGGGGGGTCAGAAACCTAAACGAGATGGACAGGCCGTCTTCAGGTACAATTGGCATCCAATCACGTGAGAATATATCTGCTAATTCGGCTCCCTTTGGGCTCCTCTTCAGCCCCTTTCAACTCCATTTCGCTCTGTCTGAAAATAACAGTGCCAACATTGCCCCGATTATTTTCGCTACTTTTTGTCTCAATTTAAACTCGCACAATGCAACCTAAATATTAGACTGTTCGGGCCAGCTCAATATCAGATCACCGTCTTTGTTATCTCACACTCGCGATGAACCACCAAAAACAAAAGCAAATGGCATCAGAGCAATGGGCGCAGTCGACCAAATGGACAGCTTTGCTGACTAAGAGAACCAGTCGATGAGATGCTCCAAAAAGCGCTTATATATTCGTCACACAATGTCGGTGTTTTCGACTGATCTTCAACTATAGAATCGCAGTGAAACATCGCCACGAATCAGATATCCATTCACGACAACCTCACTGACACCACAATGCGTTCAACAATGCCGTCCACAATGCAAGAACACAATGCCGTCCACAATGCAAGCACACATTGTCGCCCACAAGCACACAATGCAAGCACGGCACCTCGACCACAACGCATCTCAACCACAAGGACCCGGGACCCACAGGTTTGTGGCAGACACGTTTCGACTAATAATAAGACAGAATGGGGTCTTGAGAGCAAAAATCCGATTATTTAAAGAGACCCGTTTCTTCGCTTGAAAGTCACACCAACATGAAACTCTCATCTGCCGCCTTGGTGGCCTTCGCAGCTCCTGTGATTGCCCAGCAGACCACCAACACGTATGCAACTACAACTATCACTAGCATGCACACGGTCACGGCTACACTGACCTGTGAGCCCTCCGACTACGTCACCAGTACCCGAACCCTTATTGAGTATGAAGATGATAGATGCATCGTCAACAACTTTGTCTACTCACACTGCAAGTTCCTCCCCCCTTCTACCACCTGTCCCCCCGAGTTCCAGACTTGGGTCACAAAGACCACGGAAACGGAGTCGGGGTTTTCTATTTGGACCACTGAAGTCGTGGTGATGGAGTGCTTATCTACACCTGTCAGTGTCCCCATCACAACCACCGATCCTGCCACCATTCCTGAGTCCACCGAGCCTGCAACTTCCACCGAGTCCACCACTAGTCCAGAGACTTCTCCACCAATCTCAGAGGAGCCCAGCACTTCGGAGGAGCCCACTACTTCGGAGAAGCCCATTACTTCGGAGGAGCCCACTACATCCCCTGAGACCTCTAAGCAGCCCACGACCTCTGAGCAGCCCACCACTTCGGAGGATCCCACTACTTCGGAGGAGCCCACTACATCGGAGGAGCCCACGACTACATCGGAGGGGCCCACTACATCGGAAGAGCCTACTACATCCCCTGAGACCTCTGAGCAGCCCACGACCTCTGAGCAGCCCACGACCTCTGAGCAGCCCACGGCTACATCGGAGGAGCCCACTACATCGGAAGAGCCTACTACATCCCATGAGACGTCTGAGCAGCCCACGACGTCTGAGCAACCAACTACATCCCCTGAAACTTCTGCTCCTACCACTAATGAGGAGCCGACATCTTCAAGTCCTGTTACAGACCCTTGCACCACTGTCACCACCATCGTGACCACACCCCCAGGGGAAGAACCTACAACCTACACAACAACTGTTGACACCTGTTCCAGTGATCCTACTCCTCAGCCACAAACTTCCGGATCTACCACCACAGATCCTTGCTTGGAGACCACCACTATTGTTTCTACTCCCATCACCGGCGAGCCCAGCACTTTCACCATCACTACAGACGTGTGCTCGTCGTCCGTTCCCATCACAGAGTGTGTGACGACCATTGTCTCAAATCCTCCAGGTGAAGTGCCTACTACCCTGACGGTTACGACCGACGTTTGCACTCCCGAGCCAACTACAGAGATAACCAGTGCTCCAGTTACCGAGTGCACCACTACAGTGGTTTCTACACCTCCAGGTGGTGATCCTACCACCATGACCGTTACCACTGACGTTTGCACTCCCGAACCAGTGACCTCCGAGCCAGTGACCTCCGAGCCAGTGACCTCCGAGCCAGTGACCTCCGAGCCAGTGACCTCCGAGCCAGTGACCTCCGAGCCAGTGACCTCCGAGCCAGTGACCTCCGAACCAGTGACCTCCGAACCAGTGACCTCCGAACCAGTGACCTCCGAACCAGTGACTCCTACAGAGTGCATTACAACCGTGGTCTCGACTCCTCCAGGTGAAGAGCCTACTACCCTGACGATTACGACTGACATTTGCACTACCGAGCCCCCTACTCAGACAACCAGTGCCCCCGTTACGGAGTGCACAACTACAGTGGTTTCTACTCCCCCAGGAGGCGACCCTACTACCCTGACGATTACCACTGACGTTTGTACTCCTGAGCCAGTGACTTCGGAGCCAGTGTCCCCCACAGAGTGTATCACGACCGTGGTTTCAACCCCTCCCAATGGTGAGCCCACCACACTGACGGTCACAACAGATTACTGCCCTCCTGTGAGCACTCCTGTGGTCCCTACCGACTGTGTCACAACCACAACTGTCACCACCACTGATCCTGCTGGCGAGCCTTCCACTGTGACCACCACAATCGATAACTGCCCTACACCTGAACCCGTTACCACCACCGACTGCATCACCACTACAGTTGTGACCACCGTAACTGTTTGTGAAGACGAGTGCACTACCATCCCCGTGACTATTACTACAGAAGTTCCTTCCCTGCACTCTTCCACCACCATTGTCACCACTATCGAAAACAAGACCGTGACTCTGACTGTTCCTTGTGATCCCGAAGAGACCCCCTCCATCACCGAGCCCGTCGAGGTGCCTTCTGTCCCCACCACTGTCACCGAGATCCTTACTGAGACCACTTCAATATGTGATAACGAGGAGTGTTATGAGACCACTACAGTGGTAACCAAGACAGTTGTCCATTCTGTGCCTGTCGAGGAGATCAAGCCCACTCCTGAGGTTGAGAAGCCTACTCCTGAGGTTGAGAAGCCTACTCCTGAGGTTGAGAAGCCTACGCCCGAGAAGCCTACTCCCGAGGTTCCTGAGAAGCCTACTCCCGAGGTTCCTGAGAAGCCTACTCCTGAGGTTGAGAAGCCTACGCCCGAGAAGCCTACTCCTGAGGTTCCTGAGAAGCCTACGCCCGAGAAGCCTACTCCCGAGGTTCCTGAGAAGCCTACTCCTGAGGTTGAGAAGCCTACGCCCGAGAAGCCTACTCCTGAGGTTCCTGAGAAGCCTACTCCTGAGGTTGAGAAGCCTACGCCCGAGAAGCCTACTCCTGAGGTTCCTGAGAAGCCTACTCCTGAGGTTGAGAAGCCTACGCCCGAGAAGCCTACTCCTGAGGTTCCCCAGAGTGAGAAGCCTACGCCCGAGAAGCCTACGCCCGAGAAACCCACACCTGAGGTTCCCGAGCCCGAACAGCCCTCTCCTTCTCCCGAGAATTCCTCTCCTCATCCCCAGCATCCCTCTTCTCCTGAGACTTCCACTCCTAGTCAGCCAGGCGAGCAACCCGTCCCCGAGCAGTCTGTCCCTGAAACTCCTGGATCTGGCCCAGAACAGGCCAACCTGGCTGTTACTCTCAAGGCCACGACTCTAGCTTCACTGTTTCCGCTGATGGCTCTTCTCATCTAGACAAAATGGCCAATTACATGTATTGATTGAATGTATTGTAGTATTTCTTATTTTTTTTATCAATTTTGTACAATGTATAATTAATTACTTGATTTCTAGTAGAATTAGTTAAGACAATTAATTGGACCTAAATAGCCGCCCAAATAACCGCCCGAAATCAAGGTTCGGATTCCGCATATATAAAAGCAACCCGGTTGGCAGCAACCTTCCTCTCCAACAATACAATACAATACACTGCCAATATCAATGTCTCGAGGTCCTGAATTGCCGGAGCCCGCGTTCAAGCGGTTCACGAAGGAGATTGGGTGGAGTTCGCTGGTGCATTCGTCACGTGACATCAAGATTCTGATTGCGCAAAAGGTGTTGCGAATGATTGCCTATGGTCAGAGCACTTTGATTCTGGTGCAGTTTTTCCGGGCGATTCACGTGTCGGATGTTAGTCTGGGGTACTTTATGACGCTGACGTTGCTCGGGGACGTAATTATTAGCTACTTTTTGACGCTTTACGCCGACCAGATTGGGCGCCGACATGTGCTGTTGCTGGGATCTTTCCTGATGATGGTCAGTGGGATTGTTTTTGTCTTTTCCGATCACTTTGTTGTACTGTTGATAGCCGCAATTGTTGGCGTGATTAGTCCGTCGGGCGACGAGACCGGGCCCTTCAAGTCCATTGAGGAGTCTGTAGTTGCTCATTTGACTCCTACCAAGGAGTTGTCGGACATTTACGCGTGGTACGGGCTGTTTGGCACTGTTGGCAGTGCGGTGGGAAGTGTGTCTGCGGGACTCATGATCGATGGGCTGGTTGACCATTATGGCTGGACCAAGCTCAAGGTCTACCGGTTCATGTTTGCCCAATATGCCTTTTTTGCGTTCCTCAAGCTGCTGCTCAATTGGGGTCTAAGCGACAAGTGCGAGCTGCGAAAACGATCGGAGGAGGAGGAGCGACGGGACGAGGCCATTGCCACTGGTGACGAGTCTGATCCTTTGTTGCGTCCCACCGACCACCACGACCCCACTCCGTCCCAGTCCCCCAAGTTCTCAGTCTGGGGCACTCCTCTCAGCCGTAGAAGTCGACAGGTGGTGTGGAAGCTGTGCATTCTGTTTGCTCTGGACTCCATGGGCTATGGCTTCATGCCAATCTCCTGGGTCGTCACCTACTTTCTGGACCGATGGAAGGCCAGTGAAAGCACCGTGGGCACTCTGTTCTTCTTCACCAACGTGCTCAACGCCCTGTCGTCGCTGGCCTCTTCGTCCATGTACAAGCGTCTGGGCCCCATCATTGCCATTGTCGCTGCACACTTCCCCTCAGCCATGGCCATGTCCTTCATTCCACTGGCTCCAAACATGCCCATTGCCATGGCTCTGCTGCTGTTCCGAGCGTCCACAGCCGTCATGGACGTGGTACCGCGACAGGCCTTCTTGTCGCACGTGGTGTCTGCCGAGGAGCGAACCAAGGTCATGGGCATCGTCAACGTGGTCAAGACGCTGGCTCGATCTGTGGGTCCCATTTTCACCGGCATGTTTGCCGAAAAGAACATGCTGGGCTTTGCTTTCCTCATCACCGGTCTTCTCGAGGCCGCCCACGATATGGGCATGTTGACTCTCTTCTGGAAGTACAACCGGATCATCAAGCACTGATCCAACTACAGATTCTGTACATACGCGCATACAGTACTGTAATATTTCAAACAAATAAATTACGCTGTTTTTCACTAATCAAATCTGCAACATTTCATTGAGCATGCGAGTGAACTGGACCTCATCGTCGCCCTCTCGAACCAGAGGAAGTTCCAATGGAGGAGCATAGTCCAACACAGACAAATGAAGTGTCCAAAGCCGCAGCTTGAGCTCTAGAATGCCAGCCTTCTCATACTCGTGACCCTCGACGTAGTTTTGAAACTCTCGACAAATGTTCATCACTCGGGGCGAAAGGGCAATGTTTTCGTGGTTCTCGACGGACATGTCGTGACTAGCAAACAAAATGGGCGTGTAGGGTAGAATTGGTTCCAAAAAGTTCTTTGTATCTGGCCCGGCTTCCTCCAGAATGTGCTGGATATCGTCGAGGGCGTCCAGAAGTATATCATCCATGATTTGGGGGTGATGGGGGCTCGACAGGGGCAATGTTAGGGATGATGGCGAAAAGAACTGTTCATGGAGAGCTCATGGAATGGGGAGTTATTGCTCTTAACCCCTTAGGTCCCCCACACAGATACTACACTGGCTAGTCTTCTGTAAAAGTCACTATCTATGGTTTCCGCCGTGTGTTATGAATTCTCCACATGATCGGACACCGAAGAGGAACTTAATAACCACTTTAATGTCGACAATCCCATGCTTTCAAGACCAGTGTACTTTCTAAAGGCCATTATGCCGTTGCTTGGGAGGTCAGGATATCGATTTAGAACTCCTTGGGGGAACATCAATGGTCACTTATTGTTCGAACAGCTCATCCCCATACCGACCAGTAAGTGCCGTCACGTTCTCTAAAAGTTGGTGTCTTTTTTAGTGGCCTTTTAGATCAGTTTTTCTCAGTTTTGTATGGTACTTCTCGTACCTTTGCACGCTTGGGGACTCTGTGAAAGATTTCCCTCCAAATGATGATGATGAGAACAGGACTTCCAGATACAACGTGTAAACACGCTGAATAAGTACTGCATGTTCCGTGTGTAGCATAGAACACCCAAAGTGACTGCAAGTAGTATCGACTGGGATGCGAATAATTGGCGCCACACTACTGTACTGTTCTACAGGTACTCCCCTTTGAGAAGCACATCGTACACTACACTGTACCTGCTATGTCGACCTGTTGAACTGATCAGCTACGAATAAATGAACGATATACATTGACGACCATCAATTGAAGCTGCAATTGATCCAAGATGTTCTGATTCGATCTGATCTGTTCACGACGAGAACATCGATCAGCAACAGTCCAACACTGTGCCGTCTAACAGCGGCAGGGAGGACCTACCTGCAGAAGACCCGGTACTTTGCTGCACATGTGTTTTAGTCAGTTTTAGTAGTACAATAACAGATATTGTACATGATGAGCTTTACATATTATTACATACTGGATTGTGTTTTGCCACCGTCAGACTGCAACCTCGAGGAATGGTGGTTCTGTTCATCGAGGTAGACTAGTCAGAATCATGGAAATGGGTTTAGTAATCAATAGAAATGAGTATATTGAACAATTGGCACAGGAGAAAAGATGAAGAAGATCTGCTCTTTCAGTAGAGTAGAGAACTGCACAGATCACGACTCTCTGTTTCATCATTAAGCGACGACTTGTACAAGCACTCAAGTCACTCCAGAAGAGCCCTGGACCGCCAGCTGACACCCAAATCACCGAGGGGTACATGTACGTACGATTTCAATCATTTCTCTTGTAGAGATGGTGTTTCTTCGTGTGTTTCACCTGTCTCATCAAAAATTGCCATATTCAAAGTTCTCGGTTATGCGAGGTTTGCATTATATGAAACTTTAGATGACGATACTGAACCGGGTCTGTAGAAACACATTTACTGACGTCGTTAGGGGATATTTCAGCCAAAAACTGCCATTTTGTGTGATGAAATGTTGGTGTCTACTTTGGGATTAATTTCTTGGGAACGAGAACTCCGCGGAACAAAAAGCCCATGTTCTACAAGTACAAGTAGACTTGACTGGTGATGCGCCTTATAGACAAGTGGCTATCTGGATATGCTGAACGGGGAAGACTTGTTCCGGAGACGGTAAATCCCCCTAATGATATGGGAGTCCTGGCCTGTGGTTACGCCCGATCCACCTTCTGCAAGAATGGGACAATCGTTTGGGAATCTCTCCGACTGGAGAGCAGTCGGGAACAACCTTGCAAATGATGTGCGAGTAGTTCATCGGAGACAGTCAATCGGTTGTCAGACATTAACGGAGCTATTCTGACAAATTTCAGAGCCTGTCAACACCCAGTCTCTCCAATTCCAGAGTCTGTCCAATTCAACCAAACACCGTCAGATTGGCATTGCCGTCGGTAGACTGGCAGTGAGTATATGGGAATAGCGAGTTTTAAAAACCCTCGAATTCAGGACCAATGAAGCGACCTGACATCTTCACGAGTCATCGCTTTCTAGTCACCAAAACTGGACTAGATATCACTATGTACATATTGTATGTAATCACTACTTCCAACACGACTCCAAACTCTGTGTTCTGCTCACCCCCAGTACAGTACACACTGTAGCTGGCTTCTTCAACGCATACCTGCTTCCCAAAGAGCTCTGCGGATACACAGAAGATCAACAGAAAGAATCAAGGTCATTACTTCTTCCGGCCATGTCTACAATCACATTCCGGGACTGATTAGACTGGACATTGTTCTCCAGCAGGTTGAAGGAGAATCAACACTTGTTGAAAGAGGCACTAACTGGATCTGAGCATTCAGAAAACAAATTCAGTTACTATCACTCCACACTTCCCAGCTTACTACAACTGGAGACCTTCTCGTATCCCTCCACGAACGTGAAGAACCCGTCTTTGACCATTCACCTAACAAAATGAACAGCTGTTACTCTAATTTATGATGCATTATAACACATGAATTCAACCTCAAGCTCAATGGCACCAATTTTTTCGAGTTTTTCCTTCTTTACCAGATTAGTCAGCGTATTTCTGGGCCCGTGATTCAGAATCTAGAATTTAAAAAAGCCGCCTTCGTGGCCAAGTGGTAAGGCGCAGCACTAGTAATGCTGAGATCATCAGTTCAAATCTGGTCGAAGGCACTTATTTTTTGAATTTTTAAATCATCAATATAAAAGCGATTTTATATATTTCAATTGTACGTGTGATTCACGATCATTTTCTTCGCACATTTTTTGTTTATGTTAAACAATGCATTATCCTATATTACAAACGGTATCCTACTTTCTGATGTCCTTGTTGGTCTTTCGCTGGAAGTCGCGCTTTCGCGATCGTGCGTCGTCCTTGATATCGCCTCGCTCCTCCCAGAACTCGGCCTCCCAATTGTCGCTGTCAATGGGCTTCTTGTTGAGCTGGGCAATCTGGGACTGTGTCGACAGGAAAGGGGAGTCTGAGTGGGGGAAAAACAGTCCGGTTGAGGCGGTGGCTCTGGGGGCTGTGGACTCCGTCTCTTGCTGGGGTTTGTCGTCCTCTTCAACCTGCTCTTCATCGACCTCCATCTCGTCGTTGTCGTCGTCGCCTCCAAATAGTGTGAACTTGGACTCTTTTTCGGGGTTGAACAGGTTTCGCAGGGTTCCGGTATCGGCTGTGTTTTCGAATTGCAGAATGGGCGGGTCAGTCTCCTCCTCGGCATCCATTTTGTCGTCGGAGTCATCATCATCAGAATCATTATCAGAATCATCAGAATCATCATCAGAATCATCAGAATCATCATCAGAATCCGAGTCATCATCAGAATCCGATTCATCATCAGAATCACCATCAGAACCGTCATCAGAATCATCAGAGCCGTCATCATCATTCTCCTTACCCTTCTCACCACTTCCGGACTTGGAAGCTCCCTTGCCATTACCCTTGCCATGATCCTTTCCATGATCCTTTCCACCCTGCTTCTTGTCCTCGTCGTCGTCGCTCTCCTCATCACTGGAGTCAGAAGAGTCGTCGTCACTGGACATGTCGGTTCGACGTTTGTCTCGGTCCATGGGAGGCTCATCAAAAATAGGGTCCTTCTTCACGTACGGATCTGTCTTGACATATTCGGGCTCGTCGTAGTTTCCCCCGGTGAATGCAGCGGACACACGCTCCTCAGCCTGAGGAATGTCGTCGTCGGAGACAATAAAGTCCCCGCCTCCAGACAACAGCGACTCCAGCAGCCGGGTGTGCATGTCCTTCTCCTCGCCCTTCTCTTCTTCCTCCTCCTCAAACAGACCCGGCTCGTCGGCCTGGAACTTGACCGTCTCAATGAGATCGTCGTTTCCACTCCACCACTGGCCATTTCGGTAAGTGTATGTCAGCTGATCCAGAGGCTTGTCTCGCTGGTATCCCCACAGCTTGGACTGCTTGCATTTGACGGGCACGACCTTACCGTCCTTGATCATGCGGCACCACTGGCCCCGCAGCTTTTGTGCGCTTCGAGCCGTCTTTCGGATTCTACCGGGGATGATGTTAATCTCCCGTTTCTTTGCATGTCGCGTGGCATCATGGTCTTGTCTGCATCGGCGGTTCTTGTCGTCCTTCCACCGGGCCATAAAGTTGGGCTTTGCCTGCGAAATGCCAATCACGTTGCCCTTGTACCGCACGTTGTTGAGGGCCTTTTTGAGCTGCCCAAGCTGCTTGTCCTCGAGATCAATGTCGATGAACCCGTAGGCGGTTTCCATCGTGGGTTTCTGCCGGACTTCAAGCTCAGACGTGGTCGACCCGAATCTGTTGAGTCGCTTGACCAGGTCAGACGAGTCTTCCTTCAGCGACGGGTTGAGATTCGAAATGTGGAGTCTCATTGTGTGACGGGCGAAAAATGTCGGTCATAAAAAGGGATATGCTTCTCAATATTTATTTCTTTGCATATGCACGAGCCGCATATGATCCGGCGTTCGATTCCCCAGGGGGCCACATTAAACGGAAATATTCCCAACCTAAAATCGACAAAACCAAAACCCCGACGCTGACGACAGGTGCATCAACACGACTACACCATCATGTCGGAAAACATCATCGAAATCCCGTGTGCGGACGCAGATGGCGACTTCATCTCGCTGGACCTCGACAAAGATATCCAAGAGGACCCCGAGGAGATCTGCGTGCTGCTGGAAAACGAGCGATGTGACAAGGCCTTCTGGCTCGCCATTGGTCTGGCATACTCGTCCAAGGGCCTGACCAACGAGGCGATCGAGGTGGTGACGCGGGCTCTCAAGTCGCCGTCAATGAAGGAGTCGGGAGATCGGCTGCCTCTGTACAACTGCCTGGTGTGGCTGTTTCTCAAGCAGTACCGGGCTGCCCCTGTGGATCAACGATCGGCCGTGCTGGAAAAGGCCACCGAGTACGCCAACAAGGCCTTCTCCATCGACAAAACGTGGCGAGTCAATGTGCTGACCGAGGCCGTGTTCAAGATCCAGACCGGCGGCTGGGATGGCGCTCTCACCAACTTCAACACCGTGCTCCAGACCCAAAACACAAACCTGCTGGCGCTCATGGGTAAAGCCCGTGTGCTATACGAGAAGAAAAACTACCGCGAGGCGCTCAAACTGTACCAGTCCGTGCTGAGTCAGCGCCCCTCGATGAAGCCCGATCCGCGAATCGGCATTGGACTCTGTTTCTGGAGCCTGGGCTCCAAGGAGGAGGCTCTTGCTGCGTTTGAGCGGGCCAATGAGTTGGCTAAAGACAAGAACGCCTTTGTCAAGGTGATGCTAGCCACCTGTCTGTTCGACAAGGCGCTGCAGAACGTGGCCACCGACGACTTTGAAAAGTACTACGCGCTGGGCATGCTGCACGTCAAGGACTCATTTGAACTTGACCCTAAGCACGCGCCCACGTTGGTGCAGCTGCAAAAATTCTTCTTCACCAAGCGAAACACAGACGCCATCGTCAAGCTGGGAGACACTGCCATCAACCAGTCTGAAAACCCCAAGGTGCTGGGTCAAATTCACTTCTGGATGGGCCGGGCTCATCAGCTGGCCGGCCATGTGCAGCAGGCTCTTGAGAGCTTCCGTCAGGCCGAAAAATTTGACCGGGACAATGTCGGTTACAAGCTTGGCCGTGCGCTGGTGCTGTGGCGTTCCAACGTTCAGGAGGCCACACTGTTGCTGGACGGCATTCTCAACTCCAACCCCAAGTGTCTGGAGGCCAAGGTTATGCTCGGGCTCATCTACGCCGAGCAGGAGTCACCCAAGGCGCTGCCATTGCTGCAGCACTGGGTGGCTTCAAAGGGAGACGGAGCCGTGGACGAGGAGATCTTTCTCCTGCTGAGCAAGCTGGAGAGCAACCCCAAGGCTGCTGTTGAGCACCTCAAGCGAGTGAGCAGCGAGGACGATCCCGCCACTCTCAACAACATTGCTATTTACCAGTACTCCGCTCACGACTACGATGCCGCCCAGGCCTCGTTTGAAAAGGCCAAGGAGGTGGCTGACGAAGACCAGAGCGTGACCATCACTTACAACATTGGTCGAACTCTGGAGGCCAAGGGCAAGACGGAGGAGGCCCGCAAGATTTACGAGTCCATGCAGTACCCCGACGCTGATATTCGACTGGCATTTTTGGACATTGTTGAGAGCAACGACGGTGGTCGGCTGGACGCTCTGATGGAGCGCATGGTGACCAACCTCGAGGTACGAGCTCTGCAGGGCTGGTATCTGCGTCGAACTCGAAAGGCCGAAGAGACGCATCTCATCAAGACCCTGACGGACTTTGACAAGCATGATGTCTACGCTCTAGTGTCGTTTGGCAACTGGTACCTTACCAAAGCACGAAGCATCAAGCCTAAAAACAACTCAGACGTGGAGAAGAAAAACAAAAACTACTTCAAGGCAGCCGAGTTCTTCAGCAAGGCGTTGGCTCTTGATCCCAAGTGCGCTTATGCTGCCCAGGGTGTTGCAGTTATTTTTGCTGAGACCAACCGAGCGGACCTGGCCATCAACATTTTCAAGCGTGTGAGAGAAACCATCACCGACGACATTTCCGTGTTTGTCAATCTGGGTCACTGTTTTTTCGATCTCAAGCAATATGACAAGGCGATCCAGTCTTACGAGGTTGCCTTGGACCGCTTCAAGGGCGGCTCAGACGTGACTCTGTTGTCTCTTTTGGGACGAGCCTGGTACGCCCGAGGCATCTCTGCCAAGCAGCTCAAGTACCTGGATACGGCATTGGAGCTCTGTCGAAAGGCCGTGGAGCTGCAGGCCGATCCCAGCACGACCTTCAACGTGGCCTTCATCCAATTCCAGGTGGCAGAGGTGCTGCGAAAGACCGAGGCCAGCAAACGACAGCTGAGCGAAATCGAGGCTGCGATCAAGGGAATGACCGAGGCCATTGCGTCGCTCAAGGAGCTGGCTTCCTCCGACACGCCTCCTTTCCCCAAGGAGGAGCTGGAGCAGCGAGCGTCAATGGGTAACACTGTAGTGAAGCAGCTGGAGCGTGCACTGGCGGAACAGAAGGAGTACGACGAGGCCAACAACGCCAAGCTCGAGGAGGCCCGGCAATATGTCCTGCAGCGGGAGGAGAAGGCTGCCGCCGAAAAGGCAGCTGCCGAACAGGCCGCCGCCGAGAAGGCCGCCAAGCTCGAGGAGGAGCGAAAGCAGCAGCAGCAGCAGGCGCTGGAGTGGGCCGAGCGAATGCGGGAGTTCAACGAGGCCGACGAAAAGGTGGAAAAGACGTCCAAGAAGTCCAAGAAGGCCCTGGACGAGTTTGTGGAGGACGACGACAATGTTCCCATGGACGACGTGTCGGATAGTGATGACGGCGACTCTGTGCCCAGCAAGCGCAAGTCCAAGAAGGAGGGAGGAGCACCCAAGAAGCGAAGATTGATGAAGAAGTCGCAGCTTGAGGACAAGCCTGAGGGTGAGGAGGAGGCCGAGGCCAACGGAGGAGATGCAGATGGAGATGCAGATGGTGACGACGACATGGACGATCTGTTTGGAGATGACGACGAGTAAGCATAAGGAGCTGGCTGCGTTGGTTTGTAATTATATGTATTATGTATTGAAGTGGGATTGTAGGTAGGAGTTTGAAGGTATCAGAAAAGCAATCATGAGTACTAGCAGATTGAATGGGACTCAATGGCTTTCTTAGGTCATTTCAAGGGAGGTGGTGATCTTCCAATGGCTGGCTTCTTGATCCAATCTGATGTGCATCGCGTTTGAAAGTGTCACAGGCACCAGATCCTTCGGCCACGATTCTTCACAACTGAATTGAAAACAGCCATGGTGTTACTAAGTGAGCATATGCCACTTGATTCAGTTCTTTGTACCGCTGGCCTAACGATGGTCATCTGCCCGTTGAGAGGTCTGGAAGTGACTTCTCCTGCGGTAGTACTTGTACAAGACTTGGACTGAATGGGGATTGTCAAAGAAGTAGACACAACTATTCTTACATCGTAACACAACCACTTGTACATTGTAAATCAACTACTTGTACATTTTACTCGTATTCGCTACGTACTCGTTATACCTTTATATATCGTTCTCCACATCTCCACATACAATCACCAACCTGAAGGATCTCAAACACGCAGATCGACAATCAGGAGATCGACAATCACGAGCTTCGAAATTGATTCAGACGGTTTTGCTGCCCCAGAAAGATGACAAGATACTTTCAGAAGCTCTATTCCATGTTTGGGGGTTGAAATTGGCGAATTTTTTTATACCAATGATTCATTTTTTTTATATTTTTTATTTTAATGATTCATGTTTTTTTTATTATTCTAATGATTCATTACAGCTATATACCTAGTAAGCCGGGGTTTTTTTTTTTTTCATGTTAAAAAATATCATAATTCATCTACCAACGTTTCAACACTGTATTTATTTCAGTTGTAGGCATCCTGGCCGAGCGGTTAAGGCGAGAGATTAGAAATCTCTTGGGGTTTCCCCGCGTAGGTTCGAATCCTGCGGATGTCGCCATATTTTTGTCCGCCATCTGACTTTTTTATCTTGTAGTTTCCACCAATTTCAAAGAACCGGATCCGCTTAGTCCCCCATTCGACTGTTTTCCAAGTCTCCCGATTTTAGACGAAAATATGTTGATCCGGGACGGTGTATGTTGATACGGAACTTTCACAGCACAGCACAGTTCAGTATGTTGTTGTAGTATGTGGCGATTTCTTCTTTAGTTGTTCGCCAAAACGCTCAAAGAAGACGTCTTCCGCTTGGTATTCCGGGAGTGCAATCTGGACACAGTCGTGGCTCTGTCGGAGACAACACAAGCTGTGCCTCGAGGTTTTCAAGACGCTGGAAGGCTCGTGGTCCGGCTGGTGAGGAGGTCGCGAAAGACCCTGAGCCATGACCACGACAACCTGCTGCTCATCAAGGACCTCAGTGCCGCCATGTCTAGGTGTCGCAACGACGTGGACGCGATTGCCACATGGGATATTGCCAAAGATTCCAGTGTGCGGCGTGGGATGAAGGCGCTGTTTGAAGAAAAGCTGGACACGGGGGTCCTTGAAGACTACCAGCTGAAGCGAACCAGCTGGAGCGAACCAGCTGGAGCGAACCAGTTGGAGCGAACCAGTTGGAGCGAACACATCTGGTGGGTATGCATACGAATGTGGATCTGAGAACATTGTTCAGAGAGAGAGATCATCACCAAGCGAGGAACAAAGGTCTGGCACGCACACGTCGATGGTTGGGTCCAGCTGGTGGACGACAAACGACCACCTGATCTAGGCGCGCTGGACCGTTTTGCACCAGGTGGTGGACAAGATGCTGCACAAGGCACCGCATACCAAGGCCCCTGATGGCGCCATTCTCGTGTGTCCCGGGCTGTGGTAATGGAGTACAAACCAGAGGACCCGCCAACATCTTACCTGGCATGTATTGAGCCGAACGCCGAGCTCTTGAGACGTATTTTGTGTACAATTCCGTCGCATTGAGTACGTGTACTTTTTCATTCACGGCCGGTTTCTGCAACTGCGGGTCGATTTGGGCTATAGAATACCGCTCGACAACTGTCTGGGAGACGACGAGGACTGGAAGCAGGACCGGAGGACGAGATGGCGTGCTCTGAGGGTGTGGGACAAAAATCTAGCTGCCATCGGCACCATGAACCACTCGCAGTACGACAACCTCAATTGGGCCACTGTTCGTGGCCGCAATGACGGTGTTCTGAATCGGTTTGTTGCCCTACATGGAATTGTGGGTGCGTTGTGGGTGAACTGCTCACCGGAAAGACTTTTCTGGCCATCGAAATCCTGCAATACAAGCAGGCGGCCCCCCAAATAGCAATACCATATGCTGCCGGGTAAAAGGAGAGACCCGTGGGCTTGTACACTGGATTCCATGGTGTGTGCGTGTCTCGACCAGGGGCTGGGGATATCTCACATGACGGGAAGCACGCGTAATCAGAGCTGCTCTGTGGATATGACTAGTGTGTTCAACGATTGGTGTGCTGCTCAGCGGGATCGATGGGACACCGAGCGTCATTGGTAACACGACTCTCAATATACGAAGACGTGGTTGGTGATGGTATCTATCTTTTCACTCGATGATAAAATCCGCTGAACGAAATCTATCCAGAAACATCAATACCCGCTAGCAATTCAGAAGGATTGACGACCCCAAACCTCTCCGACGAATCATCAACTCCCAGACTGGTAAATGTACTCTTGGAACCTGTAAAGGATACATGGGTTAGTCAGGGTATCAAACGCGATGAACCACCACGGCTGGCGAGAATGGTCGTGGGCCAGTAATCTCACTTGAACATCATCCGATTGTCAGGTGCTATTACTGCCAACCTATGCAAATCCACTACAAATACATGTACCCCTTCGATAGTCCCGCCGGGTATCGTGATTCACGTGTCTTCCGAGCCAACTACAGATACCTACAAGTGTGAGTATCTGGGAGGTGTGGACTATGGATTTCCGATGGTATGACGACCAGGGGTGCTAGGATCAACACCAACCTTGTACAAGCACAAGGTAGACTTCTACTACGAGTATTAAGTGCCAGGACATCTTCAACACTCTATGTCTTCGATCAGGATATCATCGACAGTATGTACTGTACTTGTCTCTTGTACGATTATACTACGAGTACATACCATCACCGAAGTTGTACCTGAATGATCGTCTAATAATTGACGAAAATACTGGTAATACTGTCAGATCTCTGATGATGGCAAAACCAAGACAACTAGTTCACCAGGACATTACTCACGATCGAAACCCGACAACAGTTCAGAATTGTTATTTTGTCAGTTCTAAACCTGACACCAGTTCAGACTTGTATTTCGTCAAACAATGCCCACAATGTACGCAAGTATCTGCGGATATTTCCGTCGGATTTGGACTTTACCCAACTCTCCATGATGTTGGTACCCAGTCAAAGTAAAACCCCAAGTATGGTGTTCATATTACTAACATCTTACTTAACTCTACAACAAAAACTCCAACAAAGAACAACCCAACTGAACTAGAAGTTGAAAAACCGTGACCAGCGCCACTTCCACTGTTCAATCACGTGACCAGCCCTTCTTCCCCCGCTCACTCACCGCTCAAACGCGTGACCCCGTGTGCACTGGACAACTTCTGCCCATATCGCCACACATTTCACATCAACTATTAAAATTAAATAAACCGCCGCAAACTTCCATGTTAACCCTAACCCTGATCGTTTTGGCCTAAAAAATAAAATAAAAATAAACTTGGGTTTTCGGAAGCGGCTGATCCGCCGGAATACTAGGAAAATTTGGGTTTCTGAGCACATCTCGGCGAGATCTCGGGGCGGGGAAAAAGCTGCCGCGGTGATATTTGATCACATGACCGACGCCGGGGTTGGGTTTTCCCGGTCTCTGGGTGCCTGCCAAGTTTTTTTTCACATGAAATATGCATCCAGAAGAGGCCGTTTGAGAACAACGGTTTTTTATTAGAATTTGCAGTAAGGTTTGCACTTCGGGTATTGAAAGTGGATTTCTTAAAAGTCGGTTGAAGAGGAATAATGAGGTATATAATCCGTTTTATGGGGATCGAGGAGTGAATATCGGAAGTAAGATGTTGAAAAAGTCGTATGGGGTATTTTAAAGACCCTTTTTAGACATTTTATGATGTTTTCTATTCGGTTTAATGAATGCAAGATGCACATGTCTGCAGACGACACGAAGTACAGATGAACGCCGTGTATTGAATACGAGGGAGTTCATTGTCTATCGAGAGCTTGTGGGTCAGTCGGTACTGAGATACTTGTACAATGGTACTTTTTTTTAGTAATTTTGAGATCATTGGGGGCTTTTTGGGGAATTTTTGGGGGATTTTTGGTGGTATGTGAAGAATTATCCGAGGTTTTTTGGTCAAACAACGCTTAGCTGATTTAACGAGTCCGGGAGATGTACAGTTGAAATGTGGAGACCCAAGTAGGATATGGTGTTGTATCAGCGCCGTGCAAAGCCCACCACGATTTCGTTTACGTGAGTTCTACCGACTCCGGCTCCTAATCGGGTGGAGACCTATGTACAATATGTAGTGTACTTGGACAGCTGCCTGGATGGGTTGTGTGCGGGATGGTGGGCGTCTATTTGGAATATCAGCGGTGAATTGTGGGGTTTTCAGGGGTTTTCAGTTTATTTTTTCTTTACTATTCTGTTTTTCTCTATATTTCGGCGATTTTTTCCGACGATAGATAAACGAGTTTTTGGTGCATAAACCTACCATATGCAACGGCTATCGAATAAAATTAAATAAAAGAACAAAAAATTAAAACAAAAAAATTAAAACAAAAAATTAAAACAAAAAAATTAAAACAAAAAAATTAAAACAAAAAAATTAAAACAAAAAAATTAAAACGGCCTGTTATGAATGTCAAATTTGAGTTTGACTGTTCGGGGTCCGAAATCAGGGGCGTGTGTACCAATTTTGGAAGGAATATTTTTGGTGACTCGGATTTTAAACGACACCAATCAAATTGTGAAGACTCCTGCTTCACATTGGTGCTGAGAAATTCAATTCCGATCAAAATTGCGTGTTTAATGAGCTGTCCTTGAAAGCCGTTTGAAGCCCGACTAGCCCTGGCACGGTACACGATGTGAAGGTATAGGTGTTTGAAATGCACGGTTTAGCGGACACTAACCACAACAGCTGTTTAGTATACAACAAGAGTCCTCGATCTGGATGTTTAGGTCCAGAGTCATCTTTACACCGGATTCGGATCATCTCAAATCACCGATCCCGAAGCCGACAACCTCAGAGACCGACTGCAACACGACGGATAACTTTAGATAAGAGAGGGATATTGTATTGCCCCCGCAGGGATACGCGTTGGTGGTGTTCCTATCGTACAGTAAGAGTCGAGTGCTGTACACTGTACGATACTGTACGATACCGTGCGAGTATAGTACTCCCAGTTCGTTCGCCCTTGGAGATATACGGTCTATAGTGGTGTAGTTACCGGAACGTATTGGAATCACATGGAGACTACGAAGATGGACGCTCACTTGTTCCTGGATCCGTACGGCGTGTTCTAAATGCTGAAGTCCCAGTTGATATTGGAGCGCGCTCTTTGTATACTCGTACTGTGCGAACACTGATCTGCACTCGTTTACAGTAAATCACTCGCATAGGGACACACTGATATTATAAAGCACACTGACGGACTCAAACATCTCCATGCATTTGCGCTATTCACATCACATCCACAGTTGCTTTGCTACGTACACTACATACAGTGCACTTGCTCAAAGTTTGCACCATTTAGTCCAACTTTAATGACTCCAATAGCAGGCCGTTTAGTGGGTCAAAACAGCAGATTGCAACTGGAAAACTGGCTAGAGAATCCTTGTAATGGGTATAATTCACATGTCCAAATTACAGCTTGCTCAGATCCTCATTACCCTTACGAAGACACTTGTTCTACTCACTGCCCTGCGAAACCCTAACGCCCCTTCGGCAGCTCCAACAAGACGCATTACTCGGATTTATGTAGATGGAAACCCTTGGCGGTGTACCCCGAGGTCTGGTGGACACTCCTGTGCAGTTTCCATCTCCGCAGCGTCTTTTTCACCGGGAATAACTGCTCTCTGGTTGATTTCACAACAACTTGACCTCTACTACAACCAGACTGTCCAAAGACCTAATTGCAAAGTGGATTTCGTGTCGTCTCAAAGTTTGGACGTCCCGCCCTGGCTCCGTGAGGCTTGTGCCAATCCTCGCAACTGCACCTTGAGCTTTCGGCCGTTTTGGTTCCCACATAAAAGAAATGTCACATCTGCCATAGAGTTCTGGCTGTGTAGTAGTGGCGCGGAACTTTTAGCACCACCAGGGCGGTAAAGGAGACGTAAGAGCCGAAAAAGATAGTCATGTGATGAAGCAAACGGTCTAGTATACCCAAAAATGCCATTTCCCCGTCTATTTACAACCAACAGGGCCCGTCAACCACAGGACAAGATGCAAAATAAGGTTGCAACTTTTTAATATACTTTTTCGGCTCGGTTATTGACCGCAACATGTCGTCTAGAAACCGCACAAATACTCGGCCAAAACAGCTCGGAGTTTGCCAGGAGTTTTTCTAGCAGTTAACGCGTTGATCTCCGTTGTCTTTTTTCCATTAAAACCGTCCCCAAGCTCGCAAAATTGATCCGGAGCCAAACTCTATTCTGCATAACCTCGCATCGCTTGTCAACCTCATATATATCTCTTTGCACCCTCCGACTGCTGGTTCCGCAAAGAAAATGACCCATTCGTCAGGAACATCCGAAGAAGAGTACGAGCCTCAGGCCTACTACACACACCAATCGGCTATTGATGACACCGACGGCGAGGCCCAGGAGAAGCCCCCTCATCATGCCCGAGCAGGATCTATGACCACTACTCACTCCATTTCGTCTCAGCATCTCTACCGACGAAACTCACACGGCCAGGTCCAGACTCTATATGTGTCTGACGCGTTGGTCGACAACCCCGATGATCCGGATGTGATTCAGCAGGAAGAAGACGGTCTTCGGCTTCACCGAGAGGTGTCTGGCATGTCTGGTAGACCTCCCAGTGCACTGAATGAAGATCAGGTGGATACCCAGAGTCTTTACACCGTGTCCGAGCCCTCCAGACACACCATGCGTCGCCGAATGGGCTCGGTGGTCTCTCAACTTGCATCTGGATCGATTCTTAACGGCGAGACACCCGACGATAGTGACACGGATATCATTCTACCCCCCTTTGGAGGAGGAAAACAGTACCCCAAGGCCCTGCCTCCTATTGAAGATTATACCGTGCAGTTTGACGGTCCCAAAGACCCACTGTCTCCTCTCAACTGGACCATGAAGAGAAAATGCATTTCGGCAGTGATTCTGGCACTCGACACCTTTGCCGTCTCCTGGTGTTCTTCGGTATACTCGGCGGGTATGCCACAGTTGATTGCCGAGTTCAAGGTCGGTCAGGTTGTGCTTCTTCTTGGAGTTTCGCTCTTCATTATGGGATTTGCCTCTGGTCCCATTGTTTGGGCTCCTATGAGTGAGCTGATGGGCCGACGACCTCCCATTTTGATCGGCATGCTTGGTTTTACTCTCTTCACCTTTGCCACTGCCACCGCAAAGGATCTTCAGACCGTCATGTTGACGCGGTTCTTCTCCGGTTTCTTCGGAGCCTCCCCTCTGGCCATTGTGGCTGCTTCTTACTCAGACATGTTCCCCGCTAACCAGCGAGGCTATGCCCTGGCCGCCTTCACCATGTGTGTGTTTGTGGCCCCCAGTTTGGCTCCCATGGTTGGCGGATTCATCGCCAAGAACCCCAGCACGGGATGGAGATGGGACGAGTACATGACCGGTATTCTGGGCGCTCTTGTGACCGTGTTGACTCTCTTTTTCTGCGAGGAGACCTTTGCTCCGGTCCTGCTCGCCAACAAGGCCAAGAAGCTGCGGAAAATCACCGGAAACTGGGGAATCACCTCTCTTCACGATCAAAGAGAGCTGGATGTGGGCGAGATCATCAACCGAAACGTTCTGCGACCAGTCAAGATGCTTTTCACCGAACCCACTCTCTTCTTGGTGACTCTGTTTGTCGCCTTCCTCTACGGAATCATGTACATGGCTCTGGGAGTGTATCCCATCATCTTTGCCGAGGGCTACGGAATGCATCAGGGAGTGGCTATGCTCACCTATCTGGGTCTTATTATCGGCGAGGCCATTGGTTGCATCGTCTCCATGGCGTTTGAGCCCGTCTACACCCGAAATGGATGCACTCCTGAGGGTCGACTTCCTCCCATGATTGTTGGAGGCTGCTGTCTGCCTCTGGGACTCTTCTGGCTCACTTGGACCGGTCATTATCACGAACATATCCATTGGATGGTTCCCACCGCCTCTGGTCTTCTCACCGGAGTCGGATTCATCACCATTTTCCTCGCCTCCATCAACTACATTGTCGATTGCTACACTCTGTTTGCCGCCTCGGCCATGGCTGCCAACACCATGATGCGATCGTCCTTTGGAGCCGCCTTTCCTCTCTTTACCCCCGCTCTGTTCCACAATCTCGGCGTCAACTGGGCCGGCACTCTTGTTGGAGGTATCGCCGTTCTCATGTTGCCCGTCCCCATTCTCTTTTACATTTTCGGCAAGAGAATCCGGTCCAAGAGCAAGTACAATGTGAGACCCAACTAATCTCCTTCTTCCAGTCCATTGGCTCCTTCATTCAGTCCATCGGGCTCCTTTTTATTCACAGTGGTATTTTGCATGAAGCTGTGTCATAGATAGATAGAATCATTAATTTAATCGACTTACCAGTACGTATGGCTGAGTCCATACATTGTAATCTCGCTATCGAGAGATTCAGGATCGGATACGGCGCAACTATGAGTAGAAGTTCCAGTCAATACGAGTCCGAGTCCAGTCAACACGAGTCCGAGTCCGAGTCCGAGTCCAAGTACAATCACGTACAGTACGAGAATAACTGCAAGTACATGTGCAAGTATGAGAACAAGTACGAGACTGATCAATGTATTTTCGAGTAGCTCTTGAATGTCTTGAGTAAGGCGTTCAAGCCAAAACATGGCCAGACTAGCGGACAAGACTGAAAAAGTACAAGTACGCGACTGTACAGTACATACTCTACTTCAAGGAGTCCATCGGATTGTGCGGATTGGCCAGTTTGACATTACGACACTATCAGCCACTTTGTCCATGCTTCGTCCCTCGACAACTCCGCCAACATTTGTGCTGGCAGAGATGAGTGCGATTCGTCATACTTGTACAAGTAGCGACATTTTTAGTACATAGTGTACTTCGCGAGTAGCAGATATCAACTGGAATACCCATTTGAACGTTTCAGCGAGACCAATCAAGCCCTACATCTACCAGCCAAAGGCAGAATGAACATATTTGCTACATTCATTAGGGAACATTTCAAGCACGAAAACAGCTTTTTTTTTTCTTTCCTTGTGGTTTCAACTCCATCCGTTCCGATTCCAATTGCTCTTGAAAGAGGTAATTTATATAATGTATATCCTCTGTTGACCTTTTCGATTGTTGACGGTGTTCTGTCGTTGTCTCGTCGTCCGTACTCTTCTCTACCAGGCTGTAGTCGCCGGTCTTGTCAACAGCGTCTTTATAGCAACCAATAAGATCAGACCAAGCTCGGTGTTGATCTCCTCGGGATTTCGACAGGTTTTTGAGCCTGTGCCGTGCGATATTACTATCTCATCTCTAGTACTCTAGAGGATATTGAAGATCACTTCTAGGGACTTCAGGCTCCGATAGCAGCACACCAGAAAGAGATTAGATCAGTAGTCTACAGTATGGACATCTCTCTACCACCCAGCGGTCCCTCTCGTGACTGTGGGGAATTGGCCAGGTAGTGTACCTGTGTGTGTATCGGTCTCTCTTCATAACATCTTCTATCAACCCTGCTTCTCTATCAGCGAGTAGCTGCGTCATGGTGTTGCTATGTCGGACCTCTATGGCTAGAGTATTGAAGGTCCAGCTACCTCCTAAATCACGTAATCAGAGACGGCCACAAAGTTCCCTCAAGTGGATGTCATAATCTCCAATGTGTACTTGGAGTTGATGTGATCTCCGGTAAGTGCAAGTCTCTACGGTAACTACTGCCCTAGGATGCGGAGACTCTCCGAATGAGTCTCTCTGATAGAGAGAAGGGTCTGGTTATCGAGACGCCTTCAGCAAGTGATACGTTGTGTACTTTTAAGTCGTTATTTATTACATAAATAAATATCTTTATTCCACACGGGTACAATATTTACACAGTATTCGATGCTGAAGCTCGATATATTGTCAAATCAACACTGGAGTATTTCCAACAGCTTCTCCATTATTATTATTTCGTGGAACGAGTAGCTAAATCAAAGAACTCGTAGTTGAATCAAGTGATGATTCCGTATGTTTATTATAATTATTTCTATTTTGTATATATTTTATATTTTATATATATTTTATACTTTATATATAAATTTTATACTTTATATATATATATTATAGTTTATATATATTATAGTTTATATATACATATTTTATAATTTATATATTTTTTTCTTTTCGATCAACGTCAATTTATATGTATCGAATACAAGCAAAATGGAGTTTTCTGAACACGAAAAACACGATAATTCAGAATTCCGGTAACAACTGGCGGTCCAACCAGTATACATCTCAGTCCGGGGAAGAGGAGGAGGCACATTTCACGGTAGGCCATTCCATCGTCCCCTAAACAAATCCCAACTATTATCCCAACTAAATACTCAAACCCAACACAGTAAAGTTTATGCACCCTGCATCTCACGATGTCACCACTTTACAACTACACAACACTCGCACCATGAACGCGGCAGCCGAGCTGAGCCATGAGGGACGCGACCTGCTGATCTACACAGCGCACGAGATTCTGTGGACCGCCTCGTCGCTGGCGTCGCAGGTCAAAACGACCGAACAACTGCAACAATACCGACACCTGCTGACGGTGGGCATCACGTCACTCGAAACGGTCATCAACGACCGTAACTGTCCACAGATCACACGCTGCTACACAATGTACATTCTGGCGCAGGTTCTGTACTGCGAGACGGCATGTCTGGACCGAGTTGAGTCGCTACTCAGCAAGGGCATTGGAATGGCGAGCCAAAGCGGACTGTGGGACCTGGTTCTGCAGATGGAATGTCTCAATGTACGCGTCCTCAGTAGCACCAACAGAAAGGCCGCGTTGTACCACTGCACCAAATGTCTCGAAAAGTTCAGCAACATGCACGAAAACTACTCCTACTACACTCTGCAGATGTACCAGTTCGACCTGACACTGGACACGAGCCCCCAACAGGCGTTTGAAATCTCACAGCAGTGGCAAAACCTGCCGGACGGACCACCCAAGTCGTTTCTCGTCCTCTACGGCTTCATCAAAGCCCTCGATCTGAACAGACACAACACAGAGAGCAACATGGCTGTATTGCAACAACTCAGGCAAGTCGAACAACAAGCCAACCTGTCTTTCTATGTTCCCCAGGTGACAATGTTGCGTCTCATGGTCACTCTCATGATCACACTTCAACGAGACCACTTTCAACCTGTCAAGGAGGCCTCCAACGCTCTGGAAGCGTTTTTGGGCCACCTCAACCAACAGGCAGCCAACAAGCCGGACAAGAGCTGGGACAACTGGTACATTGATGGTAGTATTAAGCTGACGGGAGGACACGGAAGCACATTCAACATTCAATGGTTGACACAACAGCAATGCGTTCAGCTCTCCTATCTGCTCATAGCGCTGTCGCGTCTTCGATACTACAAGACAAAATCTGCAGCTCGCGAGCTTCTCAAAACGTGCATTCGACTTACCGAGAGAGACAACGATACGCAAGCTCCTCTGCAAGCATCATCCTTCTCTCACGTATCCGATGCATTGACCCAGCAGCTCAAGCTGCAGTGCACAGCATACTTGTATCTGTCGTTGATCGAGTTCTGCAGCTTGGCATTCAAGAAGGGCCGTCGAGCGCTCGACAAGTTTGTGTCCCTGTCGAAGAAGCTGCCTGAAAAGGAAGCTGAAGAGCTACAGTCATTATCCTGGCTCGTTGCAGGACTAGGCGCACATGCAGGAGGTCGACCTGAAAACGCTCTCGGGTACTACCGTCGTATCTCGCCGCAAGACGGAATCTACTGGGCAGCTATTGGTAATATTTGCAGCCTGGATCCGTCGGAAGAGAACCTTAATGCTCTGCGACAGACCATGGGCGAACTGCCGGACGAACATCATGTGGTCAAGAATGCCATGAGCGAAATCATCCAGCTGGTGCAAAACTCACCAGACACGACGCTTCTTCAGCGCCAAGAGAGCATGCAGAAGGCTTGGAGAGCCCTCAACATGGGAATGACCCAGCAGCTGTCGTACGTGTGTTCGTTGGTATGCGTGGACCGTTTCGACACCATTGCCGAAAAGACTGCAGCCATGGAGTCGTCTCTTCAAGCTGCTGTTGCTGCTTCAGACTGTGTGTGGGCCTATGTCATTGGTCTGAAGAATGAGGAGCTTCTACACCAGCTGGGTCAGCAGGACAAGTTAGACGGCCTGCATAGAAACATGGACAAGGTCAAAGGCTACGTCTCCATGTTGATAGAAGGTAAGTATTAGTATTTATAGTGTATTTTATCGTGCCATTGAATTGGCATCTTATTTGTTATAAAAATGCGTCTTCGTTTCGTAGTTTTGTATTTCGGGTTGCGACTATGACTAAGCAGAAATATAAACATAGTGACCAAGAAAACAAATTTTTCACAAAATGGTATCCTGGCCGAGCGGTCTAAGGCGCCAGGTTAAGGCTAATACCTTAACGAATTTCCTGGTCTCTTCGGAGGCGTGAGTTCGAATCTCACGGATATCATCTTTTTGTTACGAGTGCTGACTAAGCGCGATTTTCGCAAAAACTATTGAAAGTCGCTTTTTTGTACTATAATTATTGAGTCATGTTTGGTTTGAAGATGTGCACTTCTTGCAACCATCATTAATCCGCCCAGCCACCGTCAGCAAGCAATTGTCACGATTTGTATCAACCGGTATAAAAAGTGAGAATAATTGATTCAGAGATTACAGATAAATCGTGCATTGACATGTAGTTGACATTCTGGTCGCAAACAGTCACGCCTCACTCCGTCTTAATCCAAACGCCCTCCTGGTGACACAGAGTCAAGGCATGGTTGTAGAGCGGAGGCAAGGGCTTGGTGTCTCCACTTTCCAGCGTCTCGTAGGTCTGTACCATCCGACTCAACACGTATCCCACCTCAGTCAAGGCAAACTGTTGACCTAAACAAATTCGAGGACCTCCATTGAACGGCAGGTACTCCCATCCTCGTCCAATACTGCCGTTCTTGGTGTCCCATCGCTCGGGAATGAACTCCTCAGCGTCCTGTCCCCAGAATTCGGGGTCTCGGTGGGTCCACCAGACTGAGTATGACACGGTTTGCCCCTTGGGCACAAAGATGGGCTGTGATCCATCAGGCCCTCCTCCTCGAGGTAGAGTGGTGTCGCGAGAAGCGGTTCGAGCATTGATGGGTACCACAGGATACACTCGGAGGGACTCGTTCAACACGTATCGCAGGTAGTCGCATTTCTTGAGCGACTCAAACGTAATATTCTCGGGGCCCGGTCCAAAGTCAGCCAGAACTGCCGCTCGGAGCTTGGCATATCGCTTAGGGTCACGGGCAAGCCTGAAATATATCCATGAGAGCATCGAGGCGGTGGTGTCTCTTCCAGCCAGCAAAATGTTGAGCATCTGGTCTCTCAGGGTGATGGGATTGGAGGTCTCTTTGACCAGCTCATACATGAAGATGTACTTGTCGTTATCGAGCAGATCGGTGTTCTTTTCGTTGCGGGCTTTAATCGCCTTGGCTGCGTAATGGTCCACAAACGTCTTGACTTCTCTATTGTATCGGTGGTATGGTTCCCTGACAGCCAGGGTTCCAATCACCCAATACAGCTTGTGAAGACGAGTTCTGAGAGAGCTCAGCTCCTGAGCACGGTTGAATGCGTTGCTGAAGCCCTTTCTTGCGGCCTCGTCAATCCCTCCGTGGTCTCCAGTCTGAATAGAAGGATCGTCGAGAAAGTCCACCAGAGAATCGACCGACGAGCCAAACAGAAACTCGGTGGCAGTGTCCAGGGTCATGAGAAAGAAGAGGTTTTGGATGTCAAAGCCTCTTTGTGTGTCTCTCTTGTCGCTCATTTCCTTGGAAATGCACTTTTTGAGAATCTGAAAGTGATGTTCGATGGAATCGAGTCGAGAGACCTGCTCTCTTGCAAACTGAGGACGCAACAGAGCCCGAGAATGGGTCCAGCCGTGTCCATCGAGGGTGAAAATGCCGTCTCCAAGCATGGGTCCCAGGGCTTTGTATCTGGCAATGAGACAAAAGTCCTTGAACTGGGTGGCCAACATGGCCTTGATGTTCTCCGGATCCATGGTAGTGATGAGAGGAGACGGACCGACGTGGAACACATGCGTCTTGCCGTACTTTTCAAACCGGTCCTTCAAGGCAGCAGGACCCAACTTGTACTTGTTGATACGGAGCACTTCTCGCAGGCCTTTCCAGCCAAACAGTCCGTTTTCAGCCACACGGAGCTGGCCACATCCAAACTTCTTGACCTTGCGTTGATAGTCGTACTGGTTATACGCCAGCTGGGCGACCAGGGCAGTTGTGAAAGCCAGCACCAGTATCGAGAATAGCTGGAACATGTCAAATCGGTTGTCGTCATGAGCAACAACACCGGCTACCCTATATATACCCCATGGTGGGCCAGAACAAAGGAGTTGCGACTTGAGTCAGAGGACAAGGAGCGTGATCAAGACAGGCAAGGCGGTATCGCCGTTTAGGCTAGTGAAACAGAGTTGTCGATCACACCCCATTGGACAGAAATGTAATGTCTCAGCAGTGTCTCCTTGTGCTGGATACTTGTAGTTTCTTTTTTCCTCTTCTCTCCACCGCCATGGTCACATTTCTCGTCTCCTCCTTCTCCTCTATCTCTCATTTCTCCACCCTGTCTCACTCACTCTTGTCTCATGTTCTGGGTTTGCGTTTAGTGCCGTTTTGTGCGTGTAATTGGGCTGGCCTCGGTCCGACAGACAGCGCTAGTTGGTTATCTGAGGCGGCTCTCCACGTGTGGCGTGCCAATTGATGTTATCAGTCCATCTCGAACCGGTGTCGTTCCAGGGATATCATGTCGAGTGTCTCATGCCCACCTTTTGTCAACGCAACATGGCATTGGAGCTAATCAAAGCGTCCCTGCAGACGTGTGACATCAAAGAGACATGGTTCGACTCCGATCAGCGGGTAATGCGGAAGATCCCATTAGTCAGATCCGTTTTTAGGTGCACTGGACATTGACACTTGTAGTGTCCCTGATGTGAGTCGATGGGGAATTCGAAAGGCTCAGAACAGAGCAAAACTGTGTGAAATTTCGACATTTGCGGTAAATATCACCCGCTGATTTTCATGGTGATGTTCATTCGTCAATGGCTCCATTTTTTGTCGATCCTATGAATCGAGAGACCTGCAAATGTTGCACCAGTGCATACGCACGAAGGGAGGTAGCAGTGCGAGTATGAGTACAGTACGAGTACGAGTAATTGTGCTTGTGTGTTGTTAAGAGATTGCTTAGTTACTTGTACTCATGCTTGTGCCGGAAATGTCGTTCTCGTGCTCGTACTGTACGGTAGAACTTCTGGTAAGAGATTGCAGTTACTTCTACTCACACCGTTGATTCCTGGCATCATCAGAATCAACTTCCAATTGACATTTCTCCAATCCGCCCCACAGTTACAAATCCTTCTGAGTATGAACCAAGACAATCTCTACAATGTTCTTGCCTCCAACTTCCGGACTACCAACGTCCAACCGCTCGTGTCTCACGGACTTGTATCCTCGTCGCTCGTAGAAGCCCAACAAATCTCCATGTTCCTTGACCACCACAGCGTTGATCTTTGTGAATCCCTGGTCACGTGCCAGATTCTCAATGTACGTGTTCATATACGTGCCGATGCCTGTTCCCTCCAGATGCTCGGCTGTGCTGAGACACTTGAGGTCGACCGATCCGTCGTCATTCGGCTTGTATCCTCCTGCGGCGACAATCTCGCCAGCTTTGGGGTCACGTGCGACCGCCAGAACGCACCCTGGGTGGCTGAACTCGCTGCGGAAGCTGTCTAGATCCACGAATCGAGCCGCTCCGAAGCAATGGAATCGTTTGTGTCCCGTGCCGAAACACGCGTTGATGAAATCGACGTAGGTAGAGAGCTGGGGGCTGGCGACGAGCTGCGCCGACGGAATCACCGTTATCGACAGATTGGCCATGTGAGTGAGTGTGATTGAATGTGAAGTGAAGTACCGGTTCAGCCATGCATCAACCTTATCAGAATCGTTATCGGAACGGAAGAGCCGTGATTGGGGGATTTTTGGAGACGATGACTCGAAAAAAACTGATGGACCGATTATTTACTGGGAATTGGATTGATTGACGGAAAAAAACATATCAATTTCTGTCTCAACTCTGCTTCTGACATGACTTTGTCAACAGCGTAGTGAAGCCATCGCCAACAGGATACTTTAAGACGAACGGAACAAGATCGAACATGCGATTTGATCTGGAGCTTCAAAGTGGATCAAGATCGAACATGTGTCATCATTTCGTCACAGCTACAAATTGGATCTACTTGATATTATTTCAGTTAAGAATCAGACCATCATGGGTGACAGCTCTGATCACAATCGATGGCCAGAAGGGTGTCTCATTGAAACGGTATCAGTAGCTATCATTGAGGTGTACTCGGACGGTGACAGTAATTGATGAGATGTACTCGTATGATGACAGTACATACAGCTGATCCACTCGACATTGACCCGGCTATCCAGATGAAGCTCGTCAAAACCATAGCCTACCAAAGACGTAGAGGAGTTGGAAGAAGAGATGGGAAGATCAGCAAATCAAGTACTGCAGTTGGGAAGATCAGCAAATCAAGTACTGCAGTTGGTTTCGTCACATGATGCAATTGGTTGTATCACATGTCTCATATGTGCCACCTCTTCAAGTAGTCGTACTCGTACCATACTCATACCAATACCATCTCCGAAATACAGCTGTAGTGATACAACTGCTCGGTAGAGGTCCGTTGGAATCACGCAGTAATATCCTTCTGCATAAACCAAATGGAAATATCAATGACATTGCCAAACCCCATATCATCTCCTCCAGCCACCAACAACCTCTCCTCCAATTTCTTGTACCCCAACTTTTGATAAAACTCCACCAGATTGCCATGCTGGCGGACCACAACGGAGTTCATCTTTCGAAACCCCTTGTCATGCGCCAGTTTCTCAACATACCCGTTCATGAAACCTCCATAGCCCTCACCCGCTCGCTGCTGATTGACACACAGACACTTGAGCTCAGCAGTCTCGTGGTCGTCCAGAGGTCGATACCCGCCCATGGCAACGATATCACATGATCCAGGCTCTCGTGCAACGGCCAGAACTGATCCCGGGTGTTTGAAGTCGTCGTAGAACTCGTCCATGTTGCTGAAACGGGGCGTGTCGAAGCAATGGTATTTCGTGTGCATTGTTCCGAAGCACGTGTTGATGAACGTCATGTAGTTTTCCGAATCACGTGATTCCCGCAGTTGTTCCGAGGAGTACACGGACACATCGAGGTCCGTCATTTTGAGAGTTGGTGCGGATGAGAAGGAGTTGGGGATCGACTGTTATCGTGTTAATCGACTTCCAGGGTTTTGGTGCCGTGCATGCCGCGGTGTTTGGCATTTGTGGGCGGCTAATTGATGGGTTTGTGAGTGTCAGGAGCCAGAAAATGACAAATGATGTGATATTGGATGGATTTGGGTCGATTAACACCAAAATTGGCTCATTTTTACCATCTCCAGGTGGTTTTAGATGACATGAAATTTCCTCTCCCGGAGTTTGATAAGCATAGAGTTGGGAGATGAGTCGCATGGATTTAACAATATTAAATATTGAAGTAAAATGAAATCAAATAATAATGAAGACATTTGCGCACTAAAATTGCGCACAAAGGAGTGATGATTGATTTATTTATTTATTTCTTTTAATTCTTGGAGTAGGATATCTCCTTGTTTTAATCTTTATGTAATCAATTTTATTAGTAATTATTTATTTGTTTAAAGTTTTATTCCTTTATTTTTTTATTTTTTTTATTTTTTTATTCTTCTATTCAATTTATTAGTAATTTATTCCCATTGTTAACCCTATCCCCAAATCAACATGCATCTGATATGCACAACTACATCCCGCCCGCCAGATCCCCGGATTGCTCTCTGCAACACCCCTCAACAGCCCAGCACCTCGAAACAGCAGCAAAATAACAACAATTGTCTGAGTAATCAACTTTCAGCATTACAAATCGAATTGAAAATCACATTACTAATCACAATCGCCAACAATGTCAGCAAAACAGGCCCTCAAACCCCAGGTCACACAACTGTACAAAGAACTGCTATGGATGGGACGAGATTATCCCCAAGGATACAAATACTTCCGAGACCGATGTCATAAGGTGTTTAAGGCTAAGAGCGGTTTGACGGATCCCAAGGAGATTGAAAACGCCATCAAACTCGGAGAATATGTCAAGAAGGAGCTCGAGGCACTCTACTTTCTGAAACGATACAGAGCCATGAAACGGGCTTATTATGACTAACAGTAGTGCGAATTGTTCTTCAGACGGCCAGTTACCCTTCATGACTTTTGTAAACTCATAAGGTGTATCTGATTTCGCCGAATGTGATACGAGTACGAGTATGTTCTGTAAGTACTTGTACTTGTACTTCCCCTACAGATTCATTTCAGAACGACTCAAATAATTATCTGACTCAGATATATATTACTTAACGAAATATTACTAATGTATCAGCCGTTGTGTATTACGTAATGTCTTTCACCCGTCGCTTTGCTGGTATATGGCGAATTATTAGGTTTCGCAGGCCTCGGTAAATCACGTGACTTTGTATGCTTATGTAATTGCGCCTCCCGTCGAGCCAGCGGTGGAGTTGTTACCAGGTCACATGACTGTAGTATATTCTTGTCGCCTTCTTCAGCCATTTGCTTTGCCCTTTTTTGTCCTTTTCCAGTCACGTGCTGGTCACGTGCCAGCCTCGGATCTCTATCCAACTGGGGTAAGTTCTTTCATGTTCATGCATACCCCGCCGAACCTCCCCGTTAACAGATCACCAAGTGCGATACGAACATAACAGCGTGACCGATTACGACACCAGATCACGCGACCACCACGACAAGCGACCACGTGACCATTACGACAAGCAAACGCCCTGTTGACTACGACGCCACCGACAAAACTTCACTGCGCATCTTAGCAGTGACACAAACTAGACCCCCACAGTTACTAGACATACACACACACAACGATGAGCGCCTTTCCGGAGCCTTCGTCCTTCGAAATCGAGTTTGCCAAGCAGATGAACCGGCCTCGGACCGTCCAGTTCAAGCAGCTGGTGGCGGTTCTGTACATTTTTGGCGGCACCTCGGCCCTTATTTATATCATCAGCAAGACCATTTTGAACCCGCTTTTCGAAGAGCTCACGTTTGCGCGAAGTGAGTACGCCATACATGCCCGTCGGCTGATGGAGCAGCTCAACGCCAAATTGTCATCTATGGCTAGCTATATTCCGCCTGTGCGGGCTTTGCAGGGCCAACGATTTGTGGATGCTCAGACACAGACCGAGGATGAGGAGGGCGAGGATATCCCCAACCCCAGCCTCGGCAAGAGCAGCCACGTGTCGTTTGGCGAGTCGCCCATGCAGCTCAAGTTGGCCGAGAAGGAAAAGCAGCAGAAGTTGATTGATGATAGCGTGGACAATCTGGAGCGACTGGCCGACTCACTCAAGCACGCCGGAGAGGTGAGTGATCTGTCGGCGCTGTCGGGCTTCAAGTACCAGGTTGAGGAGCTGACCAATTACTCGGATCAGCTGGCCATGTCGGGATACTCGATGATGAAGAGTGGATTGCCAGGCCATGAAACCGCCATGAGCGAGACCAAGAAGGAAATCAGAAGCTTGAAGGGCTCTGTTCTCAGTGTCAGATAGTGACACGTGTCTCGAGGATATTCAGCAAGCTGGTTGGTGACCGAGTGGCAACGGTCAAGCATAGGTATTTGGAGAAGGTTGGATGATGTGCAGGGACGGAACCGGTGACCTCAACTATTGGTGGTTCGTGTCCATATTGTCTTCCATGGATGTACAGTTGCTGTGTGCATGTGGTTGATCGACGGTTGTCTGTATTTAGTACGGGATATAAGAGTAAAAATTTAGTCGAGTACAGATAGATTCGGTGGTCTGTAGATTATATAGGATGCTGTGTAAGTCGCAAAAGAGTAGGGTTATTATACTGTACCGGCTCCAGATTTTCTTGATTGGATCCAGAGAGAAGTTGCCGTGTTTCCAGTTGTAGACCACGTGATTTGATCCTGACTCCATATCATCACGGTCATTCAAATGTGTGACTCAAACAGCTGGTTTCGGTTCTAGACGAGATCGGGGCTGATTGGCCTTGTCACTTGTAACAAGGATGAGACACGAGATCATTGTTCTGTTTGCTAAAACGTACAGTTTGTTGCTTAAGACCATTCATTGCTAGCGACCAATTTGTTTTGACTACCTCTCCGCGTGTCCCATTATTTTGTGTATTTTAATAATTATTTCCATTTTTAATTTTTGAAAAATGCCAAGAACAACCGGCATATTTCATAATGAGGTAAATGTTGTCTGAAGGGAGGAATTTCGATAATTTTTGGAGATTTTCTTGAAAACTCACAATTCCACAGCATCAAACAGTCCATGACTCAGTCTGTAACCCCTCGATATATCCCTTTCACACGATATCGCGTGACTCTTCAGCCGCTTGTAACCGCTTATGCACAAGCCTGCAGCCAGATGCATGATCTTGAAATAAAACTGAATTTCAATTATAATTGTGCCGTGCCATTTTTCGACACAGCAGCAAATGAGAGACACAATCGAAACTGACAGGCTGATTCTAAGCCGACACACGGTGGCGGACTTTGAAGATTCGGTGGCTCTGTGGAACGACGAGGAGACGGTCAAGTTCTGCGGAGGAGCCCGACCTCGAGCCACCGTCTGGACCAAACTCTTGTACCATCGAGGACACTGGGATCACTACGGATACGGCTGTTACGTGGTCCGGCTTAAAGAGATGGGCGAGTATCTCGGAGAGATTGGCACCAACCATTTCATGCGAGACTCGGACCCGGCCTACTCGCCCCTCATGCCGGAAGCGGGCTGGGTCGTGAACCCCAAGTACCACGGCAAGGGTATTGCCACAGAGGCGCTGACGGCCATTTTCAAGGAGGCCGATGCGTCTGAAAAGATTACCCACCCCATCTGCTGCATCATCGACCACGGGGAAAACGAGCCCTCTAGAGCCATTGCCCGAAAGTTTGGTTTCAAGCAACAGCCGGGAACCGTCAAGCTGGGGGATGAGGAGGTGGACCTGTGGATTCGGGAGAAACGGAACTAGAAGTTCATTTTCTGATTACGATTGTGGCTTAGTATGATTACCTGAACTTGTCTCATAACTGGAGTTGGCTACAGGAGCCATATCGACAGATGTTTGAAGCTACCGAAAGTACTCTTGCCGTGCCCACTCTCTGTAGCGTCATAGCAGCACGTCAACAGACACGTGTTGCCTTAAAAGTAAAAGTTTTGTGACTCAACTTCAACTATCTCTGTTTGAATACATTGACATTGTACAGTTCAGCTTAGATGTCTAGCCAGCCGCGGCTCTTATACCAACTCGATTGTACTGTAATTATCATTCCAGGGTCTCGTTCAACTACAATAGCGAGATTGTAGCTCATAGGTAGACATGCTGCATTCCGGAATTATGTAAGATACAAACTAATGGCCTCCATTCTCTCTGCGGAATGGACACAGGCCACTGCATGACGATGTTATTACATAACCCTGACTCCAAGGTTTCCTGTGGTTTCTCTTCTCTTTCAGGTAACTCTTAGACTGTCTCCTAGACTCTCGCTTAGACCGTCTAGAGAAGTACAGTAGTTCAGAATGTACAATTTCACCGTATGTGTCCCTTTCTGCCGCGGTGCCAGACAGGCTCCATTCTGATTCTCTGATTCTCTGATCGCCTACTCAATCACATGTCTTCCTCCCCTCTATTTCTCCTAGAGAGATTCCGAGACCCGCCAACGAGCTCTGGTAAATTCCTGGCCATGGTTTAGTGCAGGGACTAGAGGGCTCTGTATCAATCGATCTCACTTTCAGGTCTTAGACGAATTTAGTTGAAATTACGAGATATAAACTGCAACCTGGAAGGTGTTCCAACAGCCCGGATGCTCCAGTTAAGCGTGCCATATCCTGACAAGCGTAAATGTGGTTCAGGAACCGTAGACAGGGGTCGGAGATCAGTCAAAGAAGAGTCCTCTTCGACTTCTTTCGTTGAATCATCCATAACTTTGCTGTCTTGTTTCATGAACGAGATCCAGATGCCACCCTTATCTTGGTGGTAGATGATCTTCAACATGGCTACATTCCCACTTCGGCAATGTTTCTCTCGACGAAAACTGGTCCAACAAGTGGCTCCACAATTAGCACCACTACGACGTGTTTTGCAGATGACGCTAAGTCGTGTTTTGCATTAGTCCCCTAAACTCTCCAGCAACGGCTTTTTCGCTCTATTGTAATAGACGATAACTGGTTTTTATGAACCTGGCGCAACGGTCTGTCAGACATCTAAATGTTTTCTGAAAAAAACCTGTACTTGAATCAGCTTCTGTAAACTTGTCTAATACGTATAAGTAGATGATCCCCAGCTGTAGCACATTTCAACTTCTCTAGTGAACAAACGCACCAACCCAGCTAATCAACACGCACATCTCCAAGTGACTAACCGCACTGTACAGGAAACGCATCTGCGTGTTTTTCGCGCCGTGGTCTGCATTCCACCGTGCTTCATGCCCTCACAGACTAGACATATGGTATATATACACCTTCTTGTACGATATCGACACATCCAGACCTCTCAACCAGTATCATCATGCAGTTCTCCATTGCCGCTATCGCCGCTATTGCCACCATCGCCGCCGCAACTCTTCCTGTTGCCAATGGCACTCTCGCAGACTCTCCCTCCGTTGCTCGTGTCGGAATCAACGGCACTAACCCCGATGACAACTATGTCACTGTTTACGTGACCAACTGCCCTGTCACCAGCACCGACGCAGCTGGAGCCACCGTCACCACCCACATCAAGTCCACTGTCACTTCGACCGTCTGCCCCAAGTGCACTAAGACCGCTGAGCCCAAGCCCTCCGCTATCCAGTCCACTCCTGCCAAGGGTAATGGTACCGAGACCGGCCCCAAGTCTGTCCAGAACCCCAAAACCAACAACAACGGCACTGTGACCCCTACTCGGGCCCCTCTTCAGCAGCCCAAGGCCAACATTCCCAAGCAGGCCAACGGTGCTTCCAAGGCTGTTGTTGGAGCTGCTGCTCTGGCTCTTCCAGTGGTTGTGGCCCTTATGTAAGTTGAGGAGCAGACTGAACCCTTTCTTTTTGTACTTATATAAATGATAATGAATGATTCCCCGGAACCATCCCCTTTGGTAGACAGATCTACTTCTTGCGTTGGTGAAACGCGTACTTTCTGTAGAGAGCGTATCAGTATGGTTCACAACGCGGTGAATTGAGAAGAAATCGAGCAGATATTGTGTAGCCTAGTTATATAGGCGGTAGAATTTGACTGGACTGTAGTCAAGTTTTTTCACAGTATATACTGTAGGCTGTAGATTGATGCTTGTCTACAAGTCCATGTCAATGAGACCGGGTCTGATGATATCAATGGTTCTTGAAGATGAACCGTAATTGGTTCCGTTTAGCGATTCCAGCTCTTATTTTCTGGGGTTGTTTCGGTATCTCTCAGATTATATTCATTTCCCTAACATCTGGAGTCGAATTACAATTTAATATAAATATTAATTTAAGTCAAAGTAAACATTATTAAAATATTTTATTACTGGCTGTATGAAATCATCAAATAAATCAAGCTCGATTGAATCACGTCATAGAAAATCAGATTATTTTATAGCCCCCCTCCCCTTAAAAGTCATAGACATATGTAAGATACATTTTCTTGAACGCGCGAATTTAATATACCCTCAACAGCTCAGGACGTGTTTGTAATCGTTGATATACTATCAGAGTTTCGATAATGCACCTCATCGACACAATTTCAACCTTAATGTTTCATCTGTCTGTGTGTATATATAGTATAATATATGTATACTATACATAGAAATAAGAATTTATAATTTCGTTTACTGGGTTTGTATATTTTAAATGTTTTTTTCCGTTTACAGTAATTTGGCACATGCACATAAGGTGATTGTATAACTGTGTACACTCATCTTATTAAGAAGATGCTATCTAGCCTCCTCTTCCTTCCCACGACTCCATTCTTTACGACACTCATCTACAAATCATCTGCGACACGTCTACAACACATCTACAACACATCTACGACACATCCACAACACATCTACAACACATCTACGACAGCCACGGAGATATTCTTCTCCCGCTACATTTCTTTATAAGCAAAGAGCTTTACGGACGGTGAGTTCTCCAGCCTCTTTGCTCGCTCCTTGAGTTGGTGTCACTTGGAGCCGGCAGCCAAAAAAAATACAACAGCTACAGCTCTAAAAATCTTAACAGCCTCGCCGTTGCATCGAAACTAACCCAGCCAGGGGTAGTCTTGAGTCCTCTCCACTTGCTCCTAAGTGGAGGACTCTCTGCAACTGTTCGCAGTCCAGCCCAGGGTCGATGGGCGGTGATTCAGTCTTGGAGTGTCGAAAAGTTGACTCCGAGTCCCTATAGAACAGCCACCTCATCGTCTCCTACTTGTAGTAAGCCGGGTTATTGGCGTTCAATAAATTATACACACGACTATTCATCGCGATGTGCGTTTCGGTGTGTGTCAGTGGGTTCGTTGTCGCTTCATCTTGTTTTTTTCGCGGTCTCGTGGTGGTGAATCAAGACTTGTTGAATAAAATGAATTACAAATACATTAACGACTTATATATCACTTGTTGTGAATGCGTTCCGATGCACCAGACTCTTCTCTCTAACATAGAGACTCATCTGGACAGTCTCCACACCCTAGTGGAGGATTCGACTGAGCACACACGCGCCATCAGGTTGACAAATTCGGCTGAGTGAATTTGCCCCTCAGAATGGAAACTACAGTATGTACGCTGTACTTGTAGTGGTTTGTTACCCACGTCAAGGTTTTCCATTCAACAAGACTACTTCTGGTAAAATCAGTCAATCTTATCATAACAAATCAAATCATATCCAAAAGTTGGCTTAGTTTGTTGTGAGGATCGTAAAGGGTGTCATTAGCAAGAGGGTCGTTAATAAGCGTCATGTGTATCATGATTGAGTCGTTGCGGCATCAGGGAGTGGACGTAGGAGTATCGTGGTCTATGGGTGTTGGTTTTGTTTGTTGGTTGTTGTTTTTTTTTTCCAATCAGAGTCGGCAGCATGATTCTGTAACGTGAGCAGACCTCACAGGTACATACTGTACTGTACGTAATGTGTACCAGCCATCGAGATAATCCTCCTAAAAAGAAAAGACGCTCGGCACGACCAACATGTCACGACGATATGCTGCAGATGCTCGGGTGAACAAGTGAGCGAAACTTCGCTGGGCCACGGGGTCAGTACCCACCAGGCCAGTGCTTCGCATGGTTCGCTCAAACTGCCACAATGCATGGGCGAGCTCTCGAGTGCAGTTCAACGGGCTTCCCCAGATCATCGCGATATGGGATCCCAAGGATATGCCTCCTTGTCGAATAACCGCTGGTAAAGATTCGGGTATCTGCATGCCTCAGTTTTGTGCATGATAGCAAACCCTCCTCCGGCGTCTCGGTCGTGAAACAGACAGTTGTTACAACTGTCTGTGGGCATCTGGGTACCCATCTCTTCAAACGCACGTCGTTCCTTCTCCGAGGCACGAAGCCAGTCCTGTCTTATCTTGTCCATCTGGTATAGACTCTTCTTGTTCAAGCTCTCTGATGGTGTCAAATCAAAGTCTACCGAATCCAGCCCCGAGTCTCTCATGGCGAACCAGAGGTTCGGGAACGAGCATTTCGCCGTATCGTGAGCAATACGGCCAACATTGAAGTGGAATCGGCGACTAAACAGACAATTACGACACAGCTTTGTGTCTCGCAACATCTCAAAGGTTTTGAGATAGTCTGTTACTGCGTTAGTTGATGCCACTATCCACTTTTGGGCATTTCTTTTGGCAATCTCGTGCGATTTCGACGAGTTGTCTTCGTATTGAATAAGGGCTGGGGGAAGGGGAGGAGGAGCTAGGTCCTGCTCGTTTTCGGAATCAATTTCGATTGGGTCCCCTGTATTAGGCACAATAAAGACGCAGGAGAGATCAGGCTTGGTGACGACTTCCCCGTCGGTGGTACGACTTTGCCAGAACTCCAAACGGACTTCCACGTATCTCAAATGCCCCATGACTACTCGAGTCAGGTGTGATAAGGAGAATACACGGGCACTCTTCATTAATTTGAGTGAGAATGTCAAGTGCGGGTGACACTCAAGATCTTGCAGCATCATTTCGACTGCTTCTTCAACTTGGTCTTCTCGAAGATGGTGTAGAACATAATTCGATGTTGCTCTGACGTATTCATGGAGTGCTTCCAATTGCTCTGCGGTGTAGTAGTCGTTCAGAACACCGTATTTTTCTAGACATTGCGGTAACGACAAGTCCCGGTCATGCACATAGGCTTTCTGTCCCATGAAGGCTGCTGTGAGACCGTTAAATGTGGTGGCAATGTCGTGAGGCATCATGTTTTTTGGGATTGACCTCGCTCGTCCTCGAGGACATAAAACCCCCTGCTCCATGTTGATCCACTTTGTAAGCTCAGATTCACGGTCTCGGAACACTTCGAAGAACCACCTTAAATCCAGACACGACGTGAATCCAAAATACTCCAGAATGACTCTCACTAAATTTGGCTGGAACAGAGTATGCAAATACCCATTGGGTACCTTCTTTTCCAAGACCTGTAGAAGGGAGTTGACAAACTTTTCAGTCGATCTATCCGTGGGAGTGATGGGCGGAGACGAGTCAATCTCGGACGCCAGCTCCACCAAGTCGCATTTTGCGATGGAATCCAAATGGTTCTCTTCCTGAATGCCATTGCGAGGCCCAATACATGTATACAGCCAAATGAGACGCACATGGTTGATCTTGGCGCCCGGTGAGATCTCAAAAATGTTGTGCTTGTAGTAAAACCACCAGGGAATCACCCTTGACAGAGTCTGGTATATTGCGTCCAGCCACTCGTCCATGGTGTAATCCAAGATTGCTGTTTGCAGATTTTTGTAGCGCCCATTGAGCAGCAGAGTCTCGCAGATCATCGGTGCGCAGATGAACTTGAATTCCTTCACGAGCTGCTCCTGCTGGTTGTCGAGAGGTCGCGACGAATCTTTGTTGTTCCAAGCCAGTCGCTGGGCCTCATTCAGTCTCGCTGGAATGTCTCTGAAGCTGGGTGGTCCCTCCACAAGATTACTGCGGCTCTGTAGGCGTTCCAAATGACAGAACATGGCATATCGGGCTATCGTATGTGTTTTTCCATGGGTCGTGTATGTTCCATCGTTCTTTATCGATAACATGATGGTGTGTGTTTGTGTCGCGAATTCAGTGTTCTTCTTGCGCGGTACAATACTGTACTGTACTTGTTGGATCGGGTGTCGACTGTTGTCGCGATCTTTTGGCTGACATAATGAACTTACCCAGGACTCATTTTTCGATGTTAGAGTTGGGCAACCGCTGCACGCGCGCGCTTGTAGTGAGCGACCGCACGTGTCCATGTGGATGTCAATAGTCGTTTTATATGGTGTATCGATCCTAATACCGATACAATACGACCCGCTTATGGGTTGGTCGAAATGCCCATTTTTTTTATCTCTAGCTTGGAAGTGCTGTACCGTATAATACTGTAGTTACCTTACCTAACAAGGCAGTACGACAGAGAGACGAAAGTCGGTGCTTACTGGAATGGGAAACGGTCAGCGTGACGTATTGTCCATGTTGTATGTCTGTTGAATACTTTCGAACTTCATTTTCCCTCCTTCTGCTTGTTTTTGCCGCTTTTGCTTGCACCTTTACGGATCAATCCTTCCTGGATTATGTAATCATATGTAAACAAATATAAAATATATAAAATAAAAAAAAAACATAAACAAAAAAAAAAAAAAAAAAAAAAAAAAAGTCAGACCCTGACGACTTGTCATCGAATCAACAAGAATGATTGAGTCTGAAAATGTCTGTTATTTCCCTTGGCTCGGTTTAGACAAACAAATCGCCTGTCAAAAACTACTACGTCGAAGATTGCAAAATATGGTCTTAATGTCTGTTCAAATTGCAATTTCACCAAGTAATATTTAGTTGGATATAGTTGATAGTTTAGTTGGATTTTTGGGACCGGGAGACAGATAAATAAGACTTTTGTTATTGTTTATACCAATCAATAAACTTGTACCACAAGTACAAGGGCATGTCAAAATGATTATTTCCCTTCACAAAATCAGTAATAAAACCCCCTTATCGTCCATTTTTATCGAAAATCGCTATTTTTGGTCACTTTTCATTTATTCCTTAAAGCCGGGTAACCCCTATTTTGGAACGCTCTATCTGAATCACCAATTACCGTATATATAAAATAAATGTTCCGAGGGGCTTCTGATGGTCTGGAGTATCCTCCCTGACTAATTTCTAATCAATTCAGTAGGTTTGACCTTTTTTCCAGTGCAATACATTTCAGCTACAGTATGTACATACTGTAGCTGAGGTTAGGACGGGTGACTTGGAGTAGCACCCAGTAGTACTCAACTTCCAGCCCTGAGATGTTCCCCAGCGTGGTCCATCGTTGTAACCGATAGGCCGGGTCGGTTCATAAAGATCACCTGAGAGGCTCCTATGTAGTTTTTGTTTCAAAGTCGCAATCATACTGTACATACGGTGCAAGTTCTGTATTGAAAAGATGATAGAACGGGATAGCCAGAAATAAGGACTACAAAAAGTGTCTCATTTGATTTTAAAGAGCTTTTCCATCTGTTAATTGAAGTCCCCCCGTCTTCTGTCAGAGCACTACAATCTCTACAACTGCATTTAACCGCCGTTCTCCAGAATCATCCATACAATCGTTTTGACTGTTAAAGGAGACCGAACCATGGTGGTAGTCTGAGGGGTTTTTTTATTCTAATGATTCATTAGGGTCACTTGACTCGAACTACGCCTTGCTACGGATCTCTCCCTTCTCTTGTCAGTTGCGGCCATATCCTGGTGAAAATACGGCTTCCCGTCCGATCAGCCATAGTCAAGCACCAGAGAGCCCAGTTAGTATTGTAGTGGGAGACCATACGAGAATCCTGGGTGCTGCAATTGTCTTTTTGCAGTTTATGGATGCGAAGATCCATTCCCATCATTCTATCTTTTTTCTTGCATCACTGGTGTCTCTTTATGTTGTGCTACTCACCCATGTTTTGTATGCCATGTTAAGCCTATATTGTATCGAAAGACAGACGTATGTACATATTGTATTGTTTGAAGGTTCATGATCCAGTACACCTTTGATTATCTATCGATATTTCAAGACTTTTTCATGAAATCTGGTATCTTTCAATTCGGAACAACTCATCAAGATTCGTGCTGCTTGAGCCTCTTCTCTTGTTACAGTATGGACAGTACAGAATAAAGTACTGGAAACTCAATCACACGACTCTACCCCATAGATAGCTTGGTTTATAAGTATCATAGATCGGATCTGACTTGCTCTGACTACCGACGGAACGTTTTTAACCGATATTTGTGCGCGGATTAGTAATCACGTGATCGATACCCCCTTTCCAATCCGGGCTTGATTTTGTAGTTTGGGCGTGTAGCACAGTGGTAGCGCGTGGGCTTTGCATGCTTGAGGTCACCGGTTCGAACCCGGTCTCGTCCACTCTATTTTTTTGCTCGAAAACGAAGTGATACATTGCTCTTTTTGATTGTAGCGACATGAAATTGTTTCTTTTTTGTTTTTCAATCAACATTGCTCTTTTGGGCTCGATTCAGTCGCATTTTCGGTGTGAAAACCTTTCTGACAGAGGATCATTGCGCAAGTAAAATTGCAGGTCTATGTCTATGGAGAATTGAATGGTCAGTTGTGGGAAAATGAAATATCAAAAATAGAAAATAATGCTATGAAATGAAATCTGAGGTTGGCGTCACGTGAACCTGGAGGTGTTTGTACAAGTACGACTTTTATTTCGCAGAGAGTAACACCTGTAAAGGTACTTTCACATATCGTACTTGCACAGCATCAGCTATCTTCGGCTTCAACAGGTTTTCCAGAGGATATTGGAGAAGGGAAAAGAGCCGTAATGTACGTCCAGACAATGGGAATTTCCTCAATAAGTCACCAAAGTGGTTGAGCTTTGCAATGGGTCACAGCTGCGGCGGTGACTGTATATGCCACTGTATATACACTGCTATAAACGGAGGACCTTGGTTTGAACAGATATGACGTTCGTGCGAGTACCAATATAGTATGTACAGTATAGTACAGTGTGGTGCTACAATAAGAGAATCATCACCAGCCTGTACAAATATCTGCAGTCAAAGCTGCTCAGAATAGCTCTCAACTCTTGGAAGGTGGGTACCTATACTGATGTGAAGACATGATGGTTGACAAAAAAGAGACACTGCTCGTGTGCTTCTCCCGGGGGCGAGTCGAACGCCCGATCTCAAGATTACAAATGCTTCCATTACAGTCTCGCGCCTTAAACCAGCTTGGCCACCGGGAGATGGATTGTGGGGCGGTTGGAAGTATAGACCGTGGTGTTTGAGGAATGTAGTGCGAGCAGAAGGCGTGCAACCAACATTCGAGAGATGTAGCCCTTTCTCAACGTACAGTAAACTGAACGGTAACGAAATTGTAAGTCACGCAAAGGATCCCGTACTTGTACAGACAAACTCGCACCTCCTCCACTGAAACCAGAGACAGTTGTACTACTGTAGTGTGTGTTACCTGCCAACCGTTGACAAAACACTTTCAGACTCGACACTTCATACCCGAAGCATCGGGTTGGGCACCCCAGACTGCCTATTGTAGATTATTACAGTCTAAGACGCTCGACTTTCTGGTCTAATGGCCACAATAGGGAGAGGAGGTCGTTCTCCAAGAGGAGATCAAGATAGATTATGGGTATTGTACAAGTACTGTACTCGCATGCATCGTATGTACAGGTAGCCTACAAACCAGCTTTTGATAGCCATAAGACGCTGAGGACTTGTCCTTGCCTGTGTACACTTGCTCTTTTACGATACAACCTGAACGATACAACCTGAACATGTATCGTATGTACTACTGTACAGCGTCTGCGTCGACAGTACAGTATCTCAGAGACCTGGTGAGACCCCATGGCAGGCATGGGCAGACAAACCACTATATTGTATGTACTGCCCTGCTGGATGTATGTATAGTGCGCACTCGTACATTCAGTACATACTACAAGGGGCACCGTACTCACACTCGCACTCGAACACTACCACCAGACTGAACCTCTCACTTGATCCATCCCCACTCCAACTCCCCCACATCTACAGCGTGTGGCGCTACTGCACCTCTAGACGACAATGTCGTCCAATGTAGCCGGACTAAGCGTCTAAGATAGCGCCGACGAGCGTCCAGTCACACGACTGTTGCATGAGACGGACACCGTGGCCGACGACACCATGACCGACGACACCATGACCGACGACACCGTGACTAACGCCAGTGTATGTCCGTTTGTGCAAAACAATCAATCATGGTAATACTTGTATGATACAAGGACCCCCATAACTGCCCCTCATAACTGCATGTGGATCCTCCTCAAAACCAAAAAAAAAAGACGCCGCAAACGAAAAACAGACATCACGTGACTGTTTCACAAGAACAAGACCGCCCACACTTCCAAACGTCGCGTGATTCCAGCGGTACGTCACGTGATCGCCGGCTCCCGCGCTGGAAACGACGCTTATATAATTTTTTTTTTTTTTTGGCGGTGTTCGCTCTTGGAATTAACGTTTAGTGTATTGGAGCGTTTAGCACGTACCAAATAGGGTGGATGCGACATTTGGGGGCTTGGAAATGGTCGTCTGGAGTCGGTTGATTTTCGTGAGGTTTTGGATGGGTATTCTGGCAGCTTGAACATGTGAATATATCCTGTTTGGGCCCCGAATCTCTCGTGTTTACGCCGGTTGGAGACCTCCTGGCGAGGCTCTACGACGGTCCGCAACTTGACCCAAAGAAGCAAGCGCCAGCCGAAAATAAGGTTTCGGACAAGACGCGTGGGTCCCATCTTTTTCTGGGTTTCTGAAACAGTAGTGACGGGTGTTTGGAGCCGGTCGGCCATGACAGAAGTGGGCGGATCACGCGCGGGCGCGGGCGCGGGCGCTTGCGGGAGGGGGGGGTGGTCACGTGACGTATATCCGGTCCCTGTTGGCGGTGTTTTTTGCAAATTTTGTCGTCTCTCTTAGTTGCTCGACACACGTACGATGCATACGACAAAAGCCGCAATGAATATTACCCGTTGAGCTGCGCTGCTTGGTGATACTGTATTAGCGCGTGCAGCACATATTGGTTTTAGAGTCCCGGCCAAGGTGGAGTTGGGCAGGAGTAGGGTGCAAACATAAAGCGTGTAAAAGAGCGAGACAAAAGAGTGATATAAGAGTGAGACAAAAAAGAGGGAGTTCCAGGGCGCCCAGGGCCCCTTATATACTTAGGCAAGTGCGAGCCCGGTGTGCCTGTGCCAGTTGGAACACGCTAATTACCAAGGCGAGACACGAGCGGTTGTGTGGTACAGTACGGTACCTGGGCAGTACCTGTAGTACTTGTACGCAATTAATCACAGAAACTACACAATATACTACAACTATGTGCAAGCAAGTACAATGACACAGCCGTACTTGTACACAAGCAGATCATCTTGCGGAGTGGCACCAGACACACGTCTGAAGTCCCTGTGCAGCAAGACGTGCAGGTACCATATCGTACTTGTACATATGTCGACGGTTATAATATGTTTTTATATGGTACAGTACGTGCAGCGAAGGTGTGTTCAAGCACATTACTACCAACGCCCGACTTGCGCTACAAAGTACTTGCAACTGCAACTGCGACTGCGACTGCTGTATCCTGGCACTCACAGCTATACCGATTCAGCTCTGCCCACTAGACAAACTCAAAACGCGTCACATCACCCTTACCCACATCCCTTGATTCCCAATTAGTCAATGGGCTGGACAATTTTTTTGCACGACTTTTTGGAGCCTTTGAAACGGGGCTTCCCGACGAGCTCCAGGCCCGCAAGATATACGTATGGCATCGGCTCGACGCGGAGAGACCCGTCGTGGGCTCGGCGGGTTCATAACCCGGATATATTCATGCCAGCGGCCCGCAAGGCACCGACAATAGGGTTTGGCGGAGGGGCCGGACTTGAGACAACGAGAAGCAGTGTTTTTGAAGGGCTTTGGTGGTGCTGGAGTGGAGGTCTGGGTCCGTGTGGCAGTCGGGGGCTCCGAAACGGGTCACTGGTGCGTGTATGCTGCACCGGTCACGTTTTCGATGGCGGGTGTAGATTTGGAGCTGGGCATTAGGTTAAGCCAGGGATGGGGGGAGGAGGGAGTGAAAAGTTGTTTTTTGAAGCGGGCAAAAATGGGAAAAATATGAAAAAATGGCACTTTTTTCAGACAATTGGCGACCGTCGCGAGCGGCATATTTGCAAAATACCGCTCGCGCGCATCTCGGTCAAAGGTGCGGGACAAACGATGGTCTTGAGTCCTCCATGTGCATGTTGCTATGTAGACCACCGACGACCGGGTAAAGATAGAGCGCAGTGATGTAGACGGCGTTTGTGGGGGCGATGGAGAAGATAAGGAGTGGTCTTAGAGCAGTAGAGTCGACGGAAACAGCCAGAACCGCCGCGGAATCGCTTTTCAGACTCCCCTCTCCACTGCTATAACTTGCTCCAACCGCCTCAGTTTAGGTTGGACACTCCCTGTCGCGTTCAATAAACTCTTTAGTCGTCACACTACCCACCGCACCATCTCTCTGGCCACGCATTCACCGTCGACAACACCTCGTCTCTAGTCTCGCGCTCGCCATGAACGCCGTCCACCACCATCCCCATCCTCACCACGGGGCCCACCACTCGCATCCACACACAGACATGCCTCCTCCCTCGTCCGCGCCCTCCACACATACGGTCACCGACTCGCACCTGTACACGCCTGCAAACATGGCGCACTCCAAGGCCCAGGTCCATGCTCAGCAGCAGGCTCTTGCCCAGGCACAGGCCGCCGCCCAGGTGGTGGCCAACGCCATGCGGGGCGATAAGCCGTTTCCGCCGCAACAGCAGCATGGACAGCATGGACAGCATGGACAGCATGGACAGCAGCAACTTCACCATCACATGAGTGGCCAGCATGGCATGAACGGACAACCTGGCATGAACGGACAGCCTGGAATGAACGGACAGACGGCGATGAACGGACAGCCTGGCTTGGGCGGACAAAACACATCCATGCAAATGTCTCCACCCCCTCCCCCCCACAACCACAGCGTCTCGGCCACGCCCACCAACACCGCGGGGTCTGCGGCAGCCACACCGACCCAAAACGACATTTCGCACGCGGCAGAAAAGGTGCTGCAACGGGCAGAAATCTCCCGCATGACCCGCAACCTCAAGTCGCGCCTGAAGCTCGCCACCTACAAAACCAAACGAGGCTGGGACAACCTCACCTTTGATACCATCGAGCAGCGGGTCGACGAGGAAATCAAGCCGCTGTCGCCATCGTCAACCTCCACCGCAAACACAAACAACTCCGCAACCTCCACAACCACCTCTACACACACAAACTCCACTGCAGGCAGTGACTCCAACAACACCTCTAACGCCACTCGGTCAATGTACATGACCACTTCCGACCAAATGTCATCTCCTCCTTTGCAGCAGCCCTTCCACCCGCTCTCCACACCCCGTTTCGCTCCCGGAAACTACCCCGGAAGCGTCCATGGACCTGGTGGTCCCCAGTCGCCTGCCACTCTCTACGATCTGGGATCCCCCAAGGCCAAACTCGACCACTACCCCATGTTGTCGCCTGCCAAGATCCCCGAGACGCGGAAACGGGCCCGAACTATCACCAGTGCGCCCGGCGGATCTAGTGCATCGCCGCGACTGCATTACTCAAAGTCGTACCAACAGCTACCATTTGCCATGTCGCAGCAGCAACAGCAACAGCAGCATATGCACATGCAGCAGCAGCAGCAGCACATGTTCCAGCAGCAGTTTGCCCAGGCACAGCCCATGGCGAAGTCGCAGTCCATGGGTGCCCTGAGCCAAATGAAGCTGTCCCGTGACGAAATCATGGACATTGACAGCGAGCTGGACGCCCGAGAGAGACGCGAGCGTGAGCGTGAGCAGGAGCAGCTACAGCATCAGGAGCGACATCATCAGGAGCAGCAGCGACAGCAGCATGAACGTGAGCAGCAGCAACAACAGCAGCAACATTCGAGCGAAGAGCATCCTTCCCATGCTACCCACACTCATTCTATTGGAGCAGCTCTGGCAAACCGATCGCTGGAACCCCCCAGAACTCCCCCTCAGAAGCCCCGAAAGCTCGGGGCTCCCCACTCTCGAGACGACAACCGAGACGAGGGCGCAGATCTGCTCATGTATCTCGCCACCTCTCCGTCCCCTGCCCAGCGACCATCTTCTTCGTCACACGGCTGGGGAACGGGAGGCACCCCTGTGCAGCCCACCTCTGCCGCTGCTCCTCAAACGCCCTCGCAGAACTTCAACTTTAATGACTATCTTCACATGATGACGCCTTCTCCGGCACAGGTGTCGCATTCGCCGTACCACACGGAGCGAACTCCGTCGACGCCCAACCGACTGCGACTGGGCCAGATTCCCCGATCTGCTAGACGGAGACTGAACTTTGACAAGATCCCTGCCTCTCCCACCTCTAGTGAGAGAGATAGTCGGTGAAGTAAAGGACCACCGACCATTGAAAAGCCGGAATGTAACATTTAGCCTAGGACTTCAGTGAGACGCACTTGCACGCAAGCGGCGCTCCCACACTTATATATTAATGACATTAGATTAACCAGAGTCACGAGTAGTGGGACAAGTGTAATGTGGTTCCACTACAGTGTAGCAGAAGCAGATGTAATGGGCCTGTAGCCGACAAAGCAAGTCTGACAAAAACTTGTGCAATGTGTCAGAGTGCAGGCTTATGACTCGACTGTTTCTCGTAATAGCGACTTAAATGAAGAGCACACGAACGAAGCTAGCTATATATCACAGTACAGTACATACAGTAGTGGAAGTGGGTCTACCGTAATAAGACCAAGGGGTGAGTTCAGAACTTGTGCGACTGCTGTCGAAGGATCAAAGTCTCTGGTATCGGGGAACAAGAACAGCATGTTGGTACAGACCTTTATTCCTGAGTTGTGTTAAAAGATCTGGAGTCTCAGTGAGGCTTCGGAAAGGACGGAAGTTCATGATAATGTTTCCAGTCCAACCCTTTCAATTTGGCGATGTTGCTGATTCAATTATTAGGAATATGAGCGTGGATACGGCCGGGAAGCACTGCAAGCACTCTATGGAAGGTCATGGACGTGTTACTCCACTGGTGACGAAGAAAAATCAACTAGTACTCGTCGGGTTAGTGTAAGAGATGGTCTATTGTGGATGGTTTTGGGTACAGTACTTGATGATTGTTTTCCCCAACAAGGACTTCTCACACACATCTCCAAGCGGTATTCATTGACACCGATCATAACACATGTTTCCCGACAGACAACCTACAATTTCATGTACAGTACAGTACTGTACTATACAGTAGAGAGTATGTTGATGGCACAGTGGCACAATTCCCCCATGGGTTTTGTTGCGGTAAACACCCAGTAGTTATTATAGATGACAACTGTCAGCTCTCACCATCTCGCGAATATCGTGTGGGATTACGTTGAACTTTTTTCTAGTTTTGAAATGTCAGATGTCGCTAAGGAATGCCGAAACGCGACTCTCGTATACTACAATACAGTATTGTACAGTACCAAGTGGTTTTGGAAACCGGACTCAACGAACGCATCACACATGTGCACGAGATGGATGTTCTCTGACTCTGTACAGCAGGAGTCTGCCAGGAATAATACAGATCACACTTGATCTATAGGGACCAACTCCAGATAGGACGGCACTAGTGCAGTTTTATCCACCACGTGGGCTTTCAAGTTCTAGTAAAAGTTCTCGTCATCTCGGTTGAGATATTAAAGTTCGAGATAGTCGTACTTTAAAAATGACAGTAACCTTAATTACGAAGAATAAACGAATCAGTTAGACCCTCAAACGAAATGAGAGGTGGGAAAAAACATTGTAACGAATAAAAAATCCAATTATACAAATATTTATTGTTACCTTTCTCCTTATCCGACTTTTCATCAAGTTCGCCGAGCGCCATCCAAATGTAGTAAAACTCAAAATCTACTATCTACAAACCTTGAATACGTGCACATGTAGGTAACTGCACGGAGCTTCCATTTGATGTAGTTGCTTCCATTAACTTGTACACAATTCAGCGTAGATATTTCGTCCACGGATTTTCTACAGATTGTTTGTCATTGTCGTTCCAACACTCCAAGTGCTGTTGTGAAGTTTTGTTGACATTTTGGTCATTCAAAATGTCAAGATATACCGAATATACTGGTAGATAGATGTAACGTACAATATATACCATTGTGTTTATTTAAAACTTATGGTGACAAGTTATTATTTAAAGTGCAATCAATGTACATGAGCTATAGTGTGGACTCTAGCAATCTCCATTCTGAGTTCGAACGACTCAACAAAAATACACTCTTTACGACACACAAAACAACATGAGTTCCCCAGTTGTTGAAACGTCTCTTTGCAACTCGTCAGAAAGTCAGGATGATCTCAGCGTGGACGCGTACCTGCGCTCGCTCGAGAGTCGCGTCCGAAATCTGGATGGCTCTGTTCTCTTGGCGAGAACCGAGTCGTTTGGAGAAGAAGTGGCACAGATGTCAGCAGAAGATGAAGATTACAAGGTGAAGTATGCGGTACTCAAGACAATGCAGTATTTGCTGCTTCCCGCATCCAACCAACTTCCCCACCAAACACAATCGCCTGAAGTACGTCAGAAACAGAAGCTGCAAAACAGCAGTGACAAGCGCAAAGTCAAGTATGCCAAAGTAAAGCGCAACTGGCGTAAGAAAAGAATCCCGAGCAAGGGTCCTGACAACTCCTCACTCTCTGATGGATCTTCCTTCTGGGCTGACCAGAAGAGCGAGCGCGAGGAGCAGCAAAAAGAGCAACGAAACCAGCGTCATAGACGACGAGTTCCCGACCTGGAGTTGTAGGAAGTTGGCTCATGAGTTTGCATTAGATGCCGTACACTGGGAGGGGGATAGTGGCTGGAGTTGGGGGGGTTAATCGGCTTGGAAAAGAATCAGTAATATTGTAAGTAGAGTAAATCATAGAGTAATCAAATGTTCCCACATTATATAACTCAAGCAAAATAACAAGATATTTTACTACCGGAGTCGTACAACATCTTCGAGTTTTCTTTTTCGAGCGTATTACTCAGCAGATCTCATCATTGGACAACTACTTTTTTGGGAAACTTCAAGTGTTGATGTGGTGGCTCAATGGTAGAGCTTTCGACTCCAGTCAACTTGGTTGTAATCGAAGGGTTGCAGGTTCAATTCCTGTCCATGTCAAATTCTCAAGGATTGACGATGGCTTAACAAGGAATATATGGGAGTTCAATTCTCCTAGCTTCTGAAGCTGATCAACACATTTTTTGCAAAAAAGTTAAAAAAATTACAAAAAGCAAAGATCAAGTGTGATTGTAAGTGTATTCTTCATTATTATAGATGCCTCCACTTGAAACATATATATATTTTTAGACCCTTTGCATGTTACTCGAATTGTCGGATTCATCTTAGATAGAAATATACTGAGACTTCGAGACTGCATGTTCAACAGAGTTTGTTAGAAGTAAATATATAAATATATATATAAGCAGAAAAAAAAAATAAGTGTAAGCGTACATTCATTTCAAAGGTTATTCTTTCAAAGCAAAGTTGTAATTAAATGAATTTATATGCAGATATAAAAAAAAAAAAAGACGATGCAGTCCAGGTGACGAGACAAGAGCTGGTAAAAGACAGAATACAAAAAATGGCGACATCCGCAGGATTCGAACCTACGCGGGGAAACCCCAAGAGATTTCTAATCTCTCGCCTTAACCGCTCGGCCAGGATGCCTACAACGAAAATGAAAAGATCAGATCGAGACTATATCCGAAATAAAAAATAGAATAAAAAAAATTGAGAATCTCGAGTCTTGATATGTTAGCCATGTTTCACTACCACGAGACCACGACAAAGAAAAGAACGAGACGAAGCGTCGACAAACCAACTTACATGCGCCTCACAGCGCACACCGCTATGATTCAGAAGTGTATGATTTATTGAACGCCAATAATCCGGCTATATAGCTGTAATGAATCATTAGAATAAAAAATTATTAAAAAAATTATTAAAAAAAGTTTCTCAGCAGCCAAAAAGACAGTGTCTGATACGACTACCGATTATTTGTTTTGTTTGATTGTTAATATATTTATCATCCAAGAGAAGGACCAGGAGGAATACGCGAACACGCGAGCACGATTGTCTTGCGCTCTTCTGAACAACTGAATCCGACTCCGATGTGAAGGTGTAACTTGCTTTTTTTATTATTTTTTATACGCCTCTAGCGGCTGAAATGTATTTCCCTAGAAGAAATAAATAAAAAACACCGCGCCCAGTGATCTGCCCAGTGCAAAGCTGGGGGAGTCGGTGAGCGCTAGACCATGTGTACGTAGCCAGTCCGTCCTATCTTACAATATCTATAGGCGATTTGCGACCTAGATGCAAAGCAGTCTCAGTATATACCTGACAAATAATTTTACAATTGTTAGATAGTTAAGAGTCCACTCAATGGTTGAACATCTGATCAAAATACACAGTGTACAAGATATGTTCAGTACATACTGTACCTCTTCAAGGCTGCCACAGAAAAAATACTTATTCAGTGTACTGTATGTACTTCAATAAATAAAAATAAATAAAATAAATAACGTCTCTAAAAGTTGTAGTCTCCAAAAAGACCGTCGTAATTGTCAAACTGTCCTTCGAAAGGGTTGTACTTGAAGTCACCGTTTTCTTCAGGACTAGTGTAGGTATCCTCGGTGTCTTCCTGCTCGGTGTTTCCACTGTACTCGGAATCGCCGGTATCTTCTTCAGTATTGTCGTTAACGATATCGTGTTCATTCTTGGTCTCCTCTTTTCGAGCTAGCTCCACGTTGATGTTCATCTCCTGTTCAATGATGTCCATCATGTTCTGGACTTCTCCAATGGAGTAATTGGCCTCAGAAGTAAGGCCAATCAACTGAACGGGCTCGACAAAGTCCGTCTGAATGCATCCAGGTTCAAAAGCAGGCAACTCGTAAACCTCTATCTCAAAGCGCTGTTTCTTGTGCAAGAACTCGAAGTTGATCACGTCGTTTGAAGCGGAAACGTCAACGGAAGACGAAGGAAGAGGTTTTTCAACTTCAGCGGCCTCAACTTCAACTGCCTCAACCGCCTCAAAGGATCGCTTCTTGGAGTTCCGGCGGTTGTTGGGGGTGCAGATCTTGCCTCCCCGACGGTCCTGCATCTCCTTCCGAATGTGAGCGTCCTGATGTCGGAACCAGGTGGTCCACACCGTTCCCACCTTCTTGATGTATAGATGCACAAACTCCTGGCACTTGGGACACCATCCCTTGAGCTTGTTGGACTTGCCGAGAATGACACCCGAGGGGAAAGGATAGATGGTTTTGGTGACGGCGGAAATACCGTGAACCGAAGTCATGTGGTTGGCCCAGGCATGGTTTCGAGTGTTGTACCATTGGTTGCAAGGGGAACAGTACCGCTCTCCACCATCCCGCTCGTTGCCGTCAATGAGATTTCGATACCACACAGAGGAGTAGATGTCGTCTTTTCGGCCACAGGTGTACCGATACAGATGCTTGTCATCGTCATCGTGAGACTGCTCCTGAACCGCAACATCAAAGAGATTGGTGTAGGGGTTGGCATAGGTGGAGAGAAGAATGCCCCGAACAGACTCAGACTCGCATTGAATGTTAGCATAGTCTCGCGCGATTCGAGACAGGAGCTCATGTGCCAGTTGGGTATCGTGGGCAGCATAAGGCATGGTGCAAGAGAGATCGGTCTCGTGATTGAAGTCCTGGAACTCCGATCTGCCACAGATGGGGTTAGTCGAGTGGACAATGAGCTGGGAACCGTTCTCCGGAACATAGGGAATGGGCTCAATGGAGGAGTAGTCAATAGGGGACTCCTTAGGAAGGGGAAGAAACTCCGTCAGACTGTCTGGGCCAAACAGAAGCTCCTCAAAAGAGACTGAAACAACCGGGACAGACATTGTCAGAAAATCATACTCCTGGGAATCTTCGTTGGTATCGACAATGTACTTGGAAGGAGACATGGCTGAAACGGATGCTGGGGAAATTGAAGGGGGAATCACTTGTATATATACCGGTTTTTTTGTACCCTGGACAACTGTGGTAATACTCCCATACAACATAGCAGGGCCCAAAGAGTACTTTTATGCCCCTGTTGACCAATCATGGGTGTTATCGTGTCTATACTTTATGGTGTTGTGCATAGATGTGCTTAAGATGAATCGGAAATGAAACCTACCCAGGTGGACTGGTTTTCAAAAGAATGGGGCAATTTGATATCAAGGAGTTTGTGAGGAGTCGTCAATCATCACTGAGAAGTTGTAATTGCTCATATTTACGAGCCATTTTTTCAGCTACAGCTACAGCGACAGTACAAACACCAACAGTCGTATTCACTCAGCGCAGTATTCTATGCAGAATGATATATTACTAATATATGGCACAATATGAAACAGGGGACTATATATTCTATGTCAGATTTCATTTGAGATGTTTAATTGGTTAATTGCACGCAGGAACCAAGTATTATGGATTCTTGACACTGTATGATATATGCTATGGTGATATGAAACACATTGACATAGAATATCGTCGTACATCGTCAGTATATTTATGCCTCTTAATATTAGACAAGGATGTTGTTTATATGAATTGACCCATACTACTGACCCCCCATGTCTATGATATAGCAACTTTCCAATCCATGAGTTGGTTATACAGTCAGTCAATCCCGTACCAAAAAAGCTGTACTCGTAATATCCCGTTCAGTACTCGAACATTCAAAATATATAGACTGAAGATTTTTATTAGACACCAATAAAAGGTCAATTATCATCGTTGATTTCAACATATGAAGTTTATGAGAGGTTCCTCTTTCATATCTCATATGACCACTATTGCTGTTCCCATAAATCTCCACATCTCATCCATCTCTGCCATAAACATTGGTGAAACAATACATTGAGTAATCTATGGCAATATTAAACCTGAAAGTGATTTCTCCCTTGTAAACAACTCCGAAAGTCCACTACAACAATCTTCAACTCAGTGTAAATGTACTACATTGGTAGATAGGGCAGGGTGTCAGACCCTGGCAAGGACGTGAATTCCATGTGAAGTTGATTGTAGATGTAGAATCATCGACAACTTTCTGTTTATTGTCATTGCGTCCATACACATGTTTCCTAAAGCTCTTGTTCAGCATGCCATAGACTGTGAAGTGTGTATATATAGAAGACATTGCACAGTTCAACCACACCTCACATTTCTACAACTCTTTGGTAGTAATTTTCGCAAAATGGAGTCCAAAACTGACTATTTCAAGTCTTCTCGACAGAGCAACAAAAACAGCGCCTTCTACAAGCTCATGAATGTCTTGTGTCATGCGGTGTCAGCTGTTGTAGCTGGTTATCTGAGCCTCCTCTGTTCCAGTTCCCCTTCATTCTACGACTCGGACACTTCTCCAGGCAGCTGGCTCCAAACAGCGCTGTTGCTGACCTACTGGCTTTGGTTCTTTGCAATTGGCAGGTTGTTTTGGGGTCCCTTCTTTGCCGTCATCAGGTTGTCCCAACAGGAGCAGCCTTTCGATGAGGAGTCCGCCTATCGGGAGTCCATTGATCACGATTCCTTCGACGTGGACTCTATGCTTGAGATGGATGAGAGATGTACCGAGTAAAAGCCAGAGAAGTCGTCGTCTGGTCAGTTCATAGAGTAAGCAAGTCTATACATCGTAAAGTGAGCGTTTGAATGTAGATGGTCAGAAGTAGATGTCACATTCTTGAAGACCCTGACTAATACTAGACTTCAAGAGTGAGACATTTGTTCTCCCTCCAAGTCAGTTACAGTTCAAGGCATGGGCGTGATATATGGCTAGATCTTGCCTTAGTCAAGTCTCAACGTTGCACCAACGGCGCCAAACCGAAACGCAGTTTGAAACAGAATCATATCCCTCAGAAAAAAGCAAAGATAGGGAAAAGCAAAGATAACGAAAAGGGACCCATCCTGTTCCCGAAAGACTTTTTTGATAAAGTCCTTGTGCCTTATCCCAGTACACCCATGTACTTGGATAAAGGTGGTGCGGTTCTGCCGTGTAGGTTGCAGGACAAGGACTCTGTTGAATGGACTAATTGGCCCTGGAACTGGATGGCCCTTGAGCGTGCTACCTATACTCTACCGAGAGTAGTGTCACCCGAGTAGACAGAAGTGGGAGTTGTTGGGCAGGACGAATAGTTTTCACGTCCCATCACCGCACTACGACTACATTTACTTGTAGTAGAGATATACAAAAGCAAAGTGGCTGCCAATCAAGAGGGTTTGGAACGTCCAAAGTCCATGGAGAAGCGGTGAAGCTACCAATTGGAACAGTTTGGGGTTAATACGAAGTGCCATTATTATAGCTCACCAATATCAATATAAAACATGTGATTGATCTAAAGCCAGCACAGCCACACCCATCTTCTGGGCCTCTGAACGTGTAATACTGGCGTTCTTTGGATGGTCTGGCGTTCTTTGGATGGTCCTTCCTGACAATGGAGTTGGAATGACTGTTTTTCAAACTCGAAAGGAGGCGTTGATGGTGTCTTAGTCTCATTTGGAGCTGAATCTTTCGCCAGAGAGACAAGGGCTGAAAAGAAGTGGCTGAGAGTTTTACGATGGTGCTGGTGAAAGCGAGAGGTTATACGGAAGTTGAAGTGAAACGGCAACTTTGACGAACAGTAAAGCTATATTGCCCAGGATGAGATTGGATGAAGATACAGGCGTCACGTCGTAACCCCTCTACGTCTCGCCGCAGAGGGGCTCTGTAACAGGAACCAACCCAAACGGCCACAAGAGAGCTCCAAAAGGGAAATAAACGATGATGACCGGATGGTTGTTGCGCAGGGTTTTTATTTTCCGAGTCTCAGTGTTTAATTGATTGAATAATCTGATATTTTAACGAGTACTGGTATGTACTAAACGCCTGGTTATTACTGATGGACCTACGCTTGTGAGTCATACGGCAGAATCTCTGACGATGACAAGAAATAATCTCGTGGTTGTCAGTTATTATTAAATGATACAAGTACAACCTCAGTTTCTCAGTATTTTAACACCTGTAGCTCTCCAGCAGTTCTCTACTTCCACAGTCTTGTGCCTACCGTAAAGACGCTAACAAAATCTGCTGAAAACCATGAGAGATGGAGCCAGTTCACTGGAACTCCCCTAAAAAGTTTGCAAAAGTCATGCAACCGCAAATTATCTCCAAAAAACGAAAATATGGTCGATTTTTCTTAGAAGTAGATCTCTGATCATTGGTTACCCATTTTGTAAGAGCTCCCATCAGGGTCAATAAACATAAGACTTGATACAGCGATTACAAACAGTGCTGAAGGCTTTATGGATCGTTAAGTACCATTCATCGTTCCACAATCAGTTATATCTATCACATCTAGCAGCGATAATGCAAGTTTTCATGCACGATAAACCTTCTCTGAACTGGACTAGAGAGTAATTTTGGTCCTCTCTCAGAATATATCCCAGTTCACAATTGTGAAGGTAATCATAGTATGAAACGATGACTTCAAAAAGGTCCATACACCAAACACTACGTCAACGTTCGAGTACACTCGATAAATGAATAAAAATGTCAATTCACATTGTACCAAACTCGATGTCACGCCATGTTACTTGCTGGTATCGACAACATACCGACCCGCAATCTTTCCCTCCTCCATCAAGGTAAACACCTTCTGCAGCTCAGACAGTCCGACCACATGAATAGGCGAGTGAACCAATCCTCGGGTAAAGAATGACAGAGCCTCCTGGGTGTCGGCTCGGTTACCCACAGGAGAGCCCTTGATGGTAATAGCCCGGGCCACCTGCGAGAAGATGGGCGACTTGCACACAGCTCCAGCAGGCAGACCCACCAGAACAACAGTTCCAACGGACCGAACGTACTCGAGAGACTGGTTGATGGCAAACTCGGACACAGAAACGTTGATGACTCCATGAGGGCCACCTCCAGTAATCTCCTGAACTCGTGCCACCAGATTGTCAGTCTTGGCAAAGTCCACAAAGACCTCTGCTCCCAGTTCCAGACACATCTTCTCCTTCTCCTCGGTGGTGTCGATGGCCAGCACTCGGAAACCCATGGCCTTGGCGTACTGCACCGCCAGCGATCCGAGTCCTCCTCCTGCACCTGTCACGGCCAACCATTCTCCTGCCTTTCGTCCAGAGGTCTTGATGGCCTTGTAAACAGTCACTCCGGCACACAGAATAGGAGCCACCTGAGAAAGGTCTGTGCCCTGGGGAATGTGGGCTGCCTGCACAGCATCTGCAAGTGCATACTGCTGGAAGGTTCCGTCCATTGTGTATCCCGAGATCTGGGCCTTGGGACAGTTGGGCTCGTAGGCCTCCTGGCAGAACTCGCACGTGTAGCACGCCTGGTTGATCCACTTGATTCCGGCGTAGTCTCCAATTTCGAACGTGGTCACGTTTTTTCCCTTGGCCACCACGACGCCGGCTCCTTCGTGGCCGCCGATAAGAGGGAGCTTGGTGGGTAGAGGCCAGTCTCCCATCCAGGCGTGGAGGTCAGAGTGGCAAACTCCCGAGTACTTGACGTTGACGAGAATCTGATGGTCGCCGGGCACGGGCACAGGCACGTCCTTGTACTCCAGGGGACCTCCAGAGGTTTCGAACACAATGGCTTTCTGGGTCTTGGGGATTGTCATGTTTGATGCTGGTGTAGAAGTAGGGATTGGAAGTGGGGACCATGATAAGAGGGCGCTCTGACCGACCTTTATATAAGGCAAGAGGCAGAAATAATAGGGTTCAAAAACGATAGAAAGTCTGTCTCCTTGTCTCCTGTCATCTTTGAGATGGTGGGGGTTCGACGTCTGTTGAACAGCTGCAGTTGACGTGCTGGGTAGGGTGGTACAGGCGATACTGTATGTGTACGTGCGTCACCCGACAATCTCCACGGTCTCCGATTGTGCAATTGCAGTTTAATCGATTCAATCGCACAATTGGAGTTCTCCATGCTCACCGTGTTCCCCTCTCGGTCCCCTCAAACTAACTTGAGCGATACAGTAGTGGCAAATGCAGTATCGGCCGAAGCGAGTTGCTGCGATTCGGTGATGCGGATGATGCGGATAATGCGGCTCCAAATTGCCTCCGTCCTGGCGTTCCGAACCCTCACCTCTGCTATCGCCGCAGTTAGCGGTCTTAGCGATGCATGATTGTGTGTCGCGTTTGTTGGACTTGTACTGTGGCCGGGTATGAACGAGGCTGTTTCGTTATGCTTTTGAGCTGCATCCCGACCCCGCATTTTGTCAAGGTTGGGCAGACAGATAGCTGAATCCGAGGGCTGAATCCGAGGGCTGAATCCGAGGGCTGAATCCGAGGGCTGAATCCGAAGGGGACTCCAAGGCTGCGGATTATCGATTCTTTACGATTCTTCTATGGACTCATACACACGAGCCATCGCTATGGGTTGTCGCGCAAGACTGTCGACATGTGAATCGAACGCCGTGGGTCGTCTCGTTAAAAGCACACCATCTCCAGAAATGCGACGTACTGTACTGTACCCCACTCACTCCTGCAGGCGGTATCGCACATACACTATCTGATTTCCGATATGGGCTTGTAGATGTTAAAAAAGTCATAATAATATATACATTGAAAAACAAAACATTGGCATGTCGAGCGCCGAAAGCTGAATAAACACAGACAAGTGGTGCTCAGAAGATACGAGAGGCTTATCAGTCGCAGTCGCAGTCGTAGTCGTAATCGCAGTCGCAGTCGTAGTCATAATCGTTATAATCGTCGTCATAATCATACCCTACTCCCTACTCGCTCAGCTTGCTCCAGAACAATAGGCTTTATGTCAGCTGACAGACGACTGGTGAAGTCCACTGCTAGGGTTTCGGTTGTCGGGACCATATATGGATCCGTTCCAGGATGAGAGCTGAGTGGAATACACAGCGAGTTTCGATCCGACAGCGCGTGTTTCTAACATGGGTTTTGTTGAGTACATACTGTACAAGTCGGTAGTTGTGAGAATCCATAAGTATGTACAGTAGCTACTGTAGTTGAATCGAGAGGATATCAGATACCGAACGGTGAAGAGCTTCAGGGCTGTATGATGGTACTATTGAAGTTGGTTCGGGCTCTGTTACAAAATTACTACAAATATTCACCTACAATGGTCCGCAAATGCGCCATCATGAACCAAGTCCATGATTTTTTAAATAATCTAATATTAATTTTAATTTTTCATCTTTTGTATTGATTTTTTTTCTGCATATAGCTACAGTACATTCATTTAATTATAACTTTTTTTTTTTCTGCATATACATTCATTTAATTATAACTTTGCTGTGAAAGAATAACCTTTTGTATAACTTTGCTTTGATCTTTCTATTGAAAATATTAATAATATATAATATTCTCTGAGTTGGTTAGACTTTTAGTTGACCTTTTGCCAGTCTCTGGGTTCCACACATCATATTAAATGAATGTATATACTGTTAAAAAATCAAAAAAAAATCGGAAATCTAGCCGCCTACACACACATTGTAAGCACATAAGTTCAACCGATTGCACACCTCCAGGATATCCGCGACAACGGCATCCTATTTTCCACCTTGTAAAGTTTGGAAGCTCACCTCCTGAAAAACATCGCCAATTAGAATTCAGGACGCTAAAGGATGGAACAGGGCAGGATAGAGATGACCCAGAATTATGCAAACGAGGAGAAGAAAACGTCCATTACATTGTCTTCAGACCTGTTAAAAACCATTGATTTCATTTAGAAGCAACTATATGACGGTTGATACACCGAAATGAGCATGTTTGATCTAAAACAGACAGTCTTCAGACATGATACACTGAGACCTGTGAAGCTTCTTGAAACACCAAAAGTGCAGGGCCTCCGATAAGACATAATCTGCAAGAGCATCAGTCAAGTAAGCTCACGTGAGAATTCTATCCTCACTTGGGTACAGTTGCCGGAAGTAAGAAGTAACTCCAGTTTCAACCTCAACACGTTGAAACTGGAGTGTAATGTCTAGCACGCCAACGACGGATACGTTTGACTTGTCATAATGATACCACTATTATATCCAGTTCCTGTTCTTTGGTCTTAGAACCGGCCAGTCCCCTCAATAATAGGGTCATGGTTAAAGCTACCATGGTGGGTCCATAAATCGCTCAATATCGAGCGAGTCGAACTGGCGACTTGAGAAGTTGCTTCTACAAACCCCATACTATCACAGCTCTGTCCCATACTATCACAGCTCTGTCCCATACTAGCACAGCTCTTCTCTCAATCTTCCTATACAAACACCTCTTTTGACCCTGGCAGACTTCTTGGACAAGTTTGGCGTTGATGCCCTGTTATTGATGCTTACCCCATTATCGCACTATTGACCACAAGAAAGGTCTTGCACAGGAACCATGGATCCCACGGCTAGACCCTTCCGTAGACTTGCCATAGGGCCCCTCAAACACAGAATCCAGAAACCAAGTATCCAAGGACACACCCAAAATCGGACCGAAGATTGCTCGCACGATTCAATACGTGACTCTATCCAGCAGAGGTTGTGTGGCCCTTTGTTTCTGCAACTATCCTGTTATCATAGTTCTGTCTCACCCTAATTAAAGGTGGCTTGAGACCCTTCTAGTAAGAGCTCTGCGTCGTCGCTGCGACCCAAGTGCTGGCTGCGTTGAATCTGTGAGCTCAAGTTGGTATTCATCAATCGTCCGCCCCCTTGAATATCCTCTCGTCATTTCTCTCCAGTCACACACCATCTAGATTAGATCGATAAGAGGCTTTATCAGCCACCTGTGAGACATTAGAATAGACGGCACACGACCAAACCAGACTAACGACAAGTCCAACTCTGAATGGCGCCAAACTTGTACCGTCGCATCGGTGAATACGCCGTAGATCTTGTCCTCTATTGCAGCTATTGCTGACGCAAGATATGTATAGGTAGAAGGTATAGCTAGCCAGACCAGGGTCTTGGCCAGTACCAAATTATCATAACCAACTCATATCTGAGACATGTCCATCAGAGTGAGTCCTCAGACCTCTCACACGGCATCGCACATGGAACATGTAGCTCTCCCTCTGCACGTAATCGCAGCCGACGTCGTATCCAAGGTCGTATCCAAGGTCGTATCCAAGGTCGTATCCAAGGCCGTATCCAAAGTCATTTCCATACATGAACCTGTTTGAATACGGCATCCGTCCAGGCCCTGGCGAAAGGTTTGGAGCACAAAGAAAGAGAAGACAATGACGGGCAGCGGAAAAACAAAAGCTGAAGAACCCAAGAACCGAACAAGACTCTAACCTAACGGCCAACTGTGGGGGTTATCTCGTTTAGGCTGGTTCGGGTGAGTATGAATGCCTCGGTCGATTAGTCTGTTAGGTTATATCTGATCACCAAGTGGTTGTACAAGTACAGTACGCCAAGGTACAGATGATCATGTCCGACGGTACAAACCACCTTGTACAAACCACCTTGTCGTACACCGATACTCGTACGGCAGCACTCCACAAGTCTGCGCGGCCCTTTGCACATGCTCCTTCACACGCCAGCCCCATGCCAACATGCAAAAAATGCAAGGATACGTCGCACTCGGCCGATATGGTTTGATCGTCAAGCTCGTGTGCCGGCTGTCCGAAAAAAGGAAAAGAGTATGGTTCCTGCATCACACTGGCAAAGCGGGTCCCTTGTCGCAGTCTGTTGTGTCCACAAGCTCTGCCGTTTCCTGGTAGGGCTGTGCAGTTGGTTGGTCTCGTCTGGTCCGTGTGTTGGTGGGTGTTACTTGTATTGCATGTACTGCTTGCACTGTTACTGAGAGGTCTAGTCCTCTCCCTCCATCCCCCAATATCTTCCATCCCCCAATATCCTCCATCACCACTGCTTAGCACTGCACTGTGGGGTAATTCCAGCCCAGATGCACCTACGGCCAGTTGATCGATGCCCACCGCCCACCGTGTCCGTATCGCATGTTGCACTTTTGCCAGAGTTTGGCTGCGGTGTTTTGATGGAGATTGGGTTGATATGGGAATCTGCACAGTCGGAAATAATGGAGAGTGGGGTATTTTTGGGATAATAAAAAAAAAACGACAAAAAACGGGAAAAAACGGAAAAATCAGGAAAAATCAGGAAAAATCAGGAAAAATCAGAAACTTGGGGAAAACGGATCGAGCAAACACATATCCGTTGTAAAAGCGTTTGGAGACACCTAATCGCCTCTTACCGGGTCTGAAAACGCCCATCAACCGCCCTCCTCAACCCCCCATGTCTACATCCACCATGCACCGTTCAGACTCTAAAGGGTAAAAAAAATATAAAAAAAGGCACACGACTTTGGCACACGACTTTTGGCACACGACACTGCACACGACTCTTAGCAACTCTAACCTACTGACAAGACGGAAACACTCACCCATGTCCAAAACAGGCGAGGTGAAAGTGCAGACATACCAAGAGCGACAAAAGCACGTGGAAGAAAGACGAGAGAAATGCAGAATACGCCCTGCTGCGGGTCACTGGAATGAGCAGATGCGGTTCTAGCACAAGTACCAATCCCCATCGTACGAGTCCAGTGCCAGTACATACAGTAGCCACATCACGAACACGTTGAGCTACTGTACGAGCACGGCATCGGCAGCTACCTACAAGTGCAGTAGTCGCTCTGTGCGTCTTCTGTAGCTAGAGTCCGTTGTTGGTTCATGCCGTCCGTTGTTGGTTCATGCCGTCCGTTGTTGGTTCATGCCGCCCGTGCTTGGTTCATGCCGTCCGTGCTTGGTTCGTACCGTCCGTGCTTGTTGATACCGTCCATGCACAGGGACAAATTCCAGACAGGATACAGCTCATCGGCATGAGGTCTTGGGCTGGTGTTGGCTGGTGTTGGACTGTTCTTCGGCATGTTCTAGGAGCAATGTCGGATTCTGGACAAGTGGGTGGGCCGATTGAACATTCACTAGTGCAATAACCACAATTGTCCGTCTAATTGCGCCCTTGCTCGTCACACCATCGAATCTAGATGACAAAATTTTTCAAATCCAACCCAATCCAGCCTACAAGTTGGAACGTCGGGGATGGCGACGGACAGACAGGGAGAGAGTTGAGGTTCGAGGTTTGGTTTGGTTTTAGTTTGGAACCGTCGCTATTATCAAACTGTAGTTGGCGCCTGGAGCTAATCTACTTATTATAAAACACCTCATCCACCATCCCAGCTCCCAATCACAGGCCGGTATCCCGCACGTGGGCGAACTAGAGGTGAAAGAGAGCTCCTGGGAGAGGAACATTGATTCGCAATTAAAAGAACGATTAAATTCGATTAATGAAAATGCGAAACCCCAGGCAATGGTAATACAAGACCCCCAATGTCGTTCATATAGAGTCGAGCCGTCAGTCCTGGAGGGGGTCCCCGACCCGAAAAAACACAGCCCAAAAGAAAATCCCCATTGCCTATCAAACCTGTATCAATAATCATGACCGAGTCTGGAACAGTTGTCAACTCGCCTAATCTGGACCCTGCAAGCCCACTCAAGCTACTCTCTGACAGCCCTAAACTCGCTGAGAGATACTACTATACTGGCAACAAGCTGCCGCTAGCATGGGGGTCGTCGGAGCCCGACTTGGAGCCCAATGCAACCTATCATGGTCACCACGATCGAATGGAGATAACCGACAGAGGCTCATTTGTCCGACTGTTCGGCCGACCTCAGAGAGACGGCCAAACCTACACTACCTACCTCCTAAGCGGCCGGTGCACCCCTAAATCTACCTCCATATAAACATTCCACCAAGAGCCAAACGGACATATAACAGAGTTTAGCACCAGAGCAGCACAGTGGATATTTCCCGGAATACCGTATATGCCTCGATCGACATTTTGTTCGCGAGATCATGTCTGAGCGGGGCCGGCGGAGCTCCAACTCATCTAGCGTGGACGAGTGTCGTGTGCCCCGAGTACGCCAAGAGTCTGACGTGACCTAGTGGCGATGGCCAAGACCGGCTAAAGGGCGAGATTACGTAGCCAAGACGTGTGCCAAGAGACGATATCCAGGCACGTGTTTGCAGACCACACCATCCTGGCCTTCTTTGGACTAGCGCCAACCCTGTGGAAAAAGCAAAGCGAGGCTTGATGCTAGCTTGTCAAAAGTTAGTTTGGCGGGTACGCATTGTACCGGCGAGATATGGCTCTTGGCAGGGCTCTTTGTTGCGTGTAAACAACGGCGCCCCCACAGGGGTCTGCGTGCCTCGCTCGGTGCGCAAAACCGCCTCTGTAGACTGGCGAATACGGCCGTCAAGCCCCAGACCATGGCGGTGGGGTATATTGGAATAATCGAAATCAGTCTTTTTTACAAAAAGTGTGCCCAACGTTTATCGGGTGTAAAGCAATGCTAGCGGAGTGCGGCTATAAGCGAGCTCAGAGACGACGTTGTCTCGACTTGTAATCCCTCAAAGACGCAATTGCGTTGAACCCCGGTCATATGGTGTCTGCTCTCCGCCAAAGACTATATATCGCGCTTTTTGGGCTGCCACGAAGGGGGCCAAGCACACATGTTTGGACATGTCAGCATACCACAAGGTTGAGCCAGCCGAAAAGACTCTGCAAAACGAATGCGCTAGTGTAGCTCTAAAGCAAGCTGAGCTGTTAGCTCAAGGTAGTCCAATTTGCGCGGCACAGCCCTATGGTTTAAACGCTGACTCGGTACGATGCGTGGTCCTTTGCCATTGTCGATGGCAAGTGTCTTACCACGGAGCATTGCCGTTTGCAGTAGGTGGGCTCCAACGAATCCTGTGGAGCAGATCACAGTTGCTCTCCAATTGGTCGTGTGACCGGCGGCACGACTAGCGGGATCTCCAGCAGGTTTGGCCGTTAGTGCGAAAATAATAATAATAACAGTGATGGTGGCTCTCCGCATCTCAATACGGTCGCACATCTGGGCTAACAAAGAAACACTATTGCTACTGATAGGTTTATGATAACGCCATATCGATGCATATACAATGAATCTGGGTTTCACTCTGATACTATCATGCGTGGTGGGCGTCTCAGCGGGGTGTATACTGGTTGGGCGTTGGAGTAGGACAAGTGTTTTTTTCTGTCTCTTGGTGTGTTTCTTGATCCGTCTCCTTGACCCCGAATCTCGACTAAAAAACTTGGTCGCCTACAAGTGAAAATTTTCACACTTTCAGTCTTGGTGACGAGCCGTATGGGGCTTTCGCAATAATTAGATACATGAAAAAAGGAGAGAGTTGCACCAAAACGTTTGGCTTTCCGAGACCGAAGAACCACAGCCAATGGATTACGCACGTTGTGGCCGTTTTGGGTTATGCGATAAATACTTTTAAGCGAATACGGTTGCATCATATGTAGGTTAGAAGACTTTACATTAAACTCAAATAAAAACTGATAATTTGGCGGTGAGAAGCAAAAGAGCGGAGCTGAAGAAAAGAGGGTCGAAATTAGACCGACTTCTCCTCCTCATTGAAGTCATGAGAAGAGTGCTCCATCTCGTGGGGGGGTCGCCACTGGATCTCACCATGCAGCTCCTCGGACAGCTGTTCGAGGGTCTTTCGCTTGGTCTCGGGAATGAGGAAGGAGACGAAGAATCCACAGAGCATGAAGAGGGCGAAAATCTCCATGACGTGGTTAAGCCAACATCCGGCGGGCTTACCGTCTCGAGCACAGTTGTGGTCAATCAGAGTACCAATAACGACCTGGGCGATAATAGCTCCGATCTTACCAGCAGCGGCAGAGATACCGTGGGCCGAAGATCGGTATCGGGTGGGGAACACCTCTCCGGGAACAATGAAGGTGGTGGTGTTGGGGCCAAAGTTTTCAAAGAGCTGACACAGAATGTAGCATGCAAGCAGACCTCCATCGTGGATCTTGTAGTATCCGAAACCGATAATACAGAAGAGAGCAACCAGAATGAGGAAACCTCCAATCTGAATGGGCTTTCGGCCAATGGTATCGATGGTGACCACAGAAATCCAGTATCCGGGAATGGCTCCGGCACAGACAAGAATCAGGTTACCGATGGAGTTCTTCATCAGAGTAGAGTACAGGTTGTCTCCCTTATCGAAATGGATAGCCTTAAGAATCTGGGAGTTGTTCAGACCAAGACCGTAGAAGGCAATATCCAGGAAGAACCACGAGCCGGCGGTACCAATGAGAATCTTTCCGTGCTTCCACTGTCCGAAATGTCGGCAGAAATCCTTGAAGGAAGCCTTGGGGGGAGCGTAAGAAGCCTGCTGGGTGGCCAGGGCCTCGGCCTTGGCTCGCAGAGCCTCAATCTCATCGTTCTTGTCGGAGTTATCGCCGCTGGTGTCACCGTTGGTGTACTTTTCAATGTCCTTCTGGGCCTTTTCAATGTCTCGAGACACATCAAAGGTGTATCGGGGGGTCTCGGGAATGGTCAGTCGGAAGTAGAGAGCGGCCATGGCAGGGACACAACCCCATCCGACCAGAATTCGCCAGGACATGTCCAGGGCCTGTCGACAGACCTTGCCACAGTCCTTGGCGCTGTGAGAGGGCTCGAGCTGGTTCTTGAAACCAGCCATGCAAACAATGGAGACGATGGCACCCATGAGCTGACCCCAGCCCTGGTTGGCGAAGACAGCAGCCATCATGGCACCTCGCCATCGGGTGGTGGCGAACTCGGAAGTGATAATGGAAGACAGAGGGTAGTCACCTCCGATACCGATACCCATGACAATTCGCCAGAAGGTAAGAACGGCAACAAAGTTGATAGCCTCGGAATGGCCGGCCATACACTGGGAGATGGTGGCTCCAATCATGAGCATGAGCTCGGAGCCGTAGATTCGCTTTCGGCCAACGATATCGGCAAGAATACCGAAACCAAACTGTCCAATGACGGTACCAACTGAGGTGGACACCTTGAGCAGAGTGGCAGTGGAGGTGGGGGGCTTACCGGGACCGTTGATGGTCTGACCCCAGTAGACGTATCCCATCATGGTGATACCCAGGTTAATGGCGAAGATATCGTAGGCATCAGTCATGAAACCAACACCGGCGACGGTGATGGCTCGAATGTGCTCCCAGCCGAAGCTGGCGTTGTCAATCTTCTCCAGGGCGAGTCGTCGTCGCTCGTTGGGGTCCTCAATGTGAGCAAAGTCGTTGACATAGTTGTGGAAGGCGGCGTTTCCACCTTCGGTCACGTTGTTATCGGCCATTGAAGAGTTGGAGTGGTTGTGCTTGACTGCTCAACTCGGTCCGGGACCCCCCCAGGTTATATACACCTCCATCCTCGTCCACCGCGCTGAGTTTGCCAGTGGCCTTGTCAGCGTTAGTCTTTGGAGTTGCAAACTACTGTGAAGCTAACCACCGCCGAGAGTTGAGCTCCAAACGAAAAGTGGATAAAAGCAAAGTCAACCCAAACCAAGTCTACTATCGTCGTACAAGAGGTTGAATTTGGGTCCTTCTTCTGCGAAAAGAGGCAAATTGAAAAGTACCTTACACTATTGAAATTACCTTGGGAAAAAAATTTCACCAGTCGATCCATCGGGACCATGTGGGTGGGGGGCTTGAGGCACTCCTCTCCGGCCCCGGGGGCGCTTTTTGGGCCTCCCCTTTGGGTCACGTGAAGTCCCAACGGCGCCAAGAAAAAATGACGCATTGGCACCACTCCCTTCTTTCATATCACCACCTCACGCACGTGGACTCCCAGGCTGCTCGACTCCACGCTCGCTTTTTGGGCAAATTTTACACCTTGGCCCCATTTAGCGCCCCACGTGGGGTGCACAAGCCAAAATCCGGCCTCCCACACCTTGCTTGTGCGCACACTCTACCCAGGAGTCAAATCCATTCGAAGCCCCCCTCGCCCCCCTCCTCCTCCCTCTTTAGGCTTTTAGACTATCGATAGTGTGAGATTCATGAGAGGATATATTCGGATTTAGAAGTGCCTAACTGCAAACCCAAAAGAGTGGGAGGTGATACTTACTCCCTACTGTAGCTCATAGGCTCCAGGCGCACGTTTAGAGAGATTTTAACACGGAAAAGTGAAAAGTGGAATCTTTTTTTTTTTTCTAGATGAAACTTCTACAGGCAAAAACTATCGAGCACGTTGCACAAAGTTCACGGAAAAACGGGCGCGAGCTACCGAGTCACTGTACCAGCAGCTGCAAACAGACCCTGACAAACCGGCACCCTCTTACAGCTTAGCTCGCTCAGGGAACACCACCTCATCTCCCTTTCGCTGACGTAAGAGCCGACGGAGAATCTTTCCAGAGGCATTTTTGGGAATTACCTCACCCCGGAAAACAACCACACCCCCATGTAGACGCTTGTAGGAAGGCACCTGGTCGTTGAGCCACGCGGCCACGTCGCGGGCCACACTGGCCTGCGCGTCCCGTAGCACCAGGAATGCACGTGCGGCCTCGGTGCCCTTTTCAGGCACATGCACGCCAATAACGGCGCAATCCATCACCTGAGGGTGGGAAAGTAGCAGAGCTTCAATCTCCGCGGGCGCCACGGCCCTGCCCATGGACTTGATCATCTCCTTGGTCCGGTCAACAATCACAATTCGGCCCTTGACGTCGATAACGGCCACATCGCCCGTTCGCAGCCACTTGCGGTGGTAATGGGGCACCGTGGCCGCGTCCGAGGCGTCCACAAACGACTCCTCGTTGGCAAGACAATTGCCGTGGTAACCAGCCATGATGGCGGGACCTCGCAGCCACAGCTCGCCGCTGGGCAGAGCATCGCCCCGCTTGAAAGCAGCGTCAATCTTGTCGGGGTCGGTCTCGTTGTATGCAGGCTGGTCCACGCCGTCATGTCCAACGATACGGGCCTCAATGTTACCGCACAGCTTGCCCACAGACCGGGAGGCCACGTCGGCGTCCGAGGGGTTGAAGCAGGTGGACAGAATGCTCTCGGTCATGCCGTACATCTGGGTGACGGCGATATGGGATCCCAGCCGTCGCTTGACGTCCTCGATGACGTTTCCACCGAGAGGAGCCGCTCCGGATGTGATGAAACGCAGCTTTTGCAGCGACGGGATGTATTCGTCCACAATGGGCGACTTGGCGAGCGCAATGATGATGGGGGGCACCATGAAGAAGGAGGTGATGCCGTACTTTTGCTGGGCGTCGAGAACAGCCTTGAGATCAAACGACTGGTGCACGACACAGGTCTCGCCGGTGTAGAAGCACGCAAACAAAAACTTGAAGTAGCCGTAAATGTGGGACATGGGGAGCACGGCGGAGATGACGTTGGTGGGGTCGTCGAAGAGATCGGGAGCCACAATTGCCGAGCACTGCGCGTTGGAGGTGACCACATGATGGGTGACACGCACGGCCTTGGGCAGACCGCCAGAGGTGCCCGACGACATGACCAGGGCTGCCACTCGCTTGGCGGCCTCGGGTCGCGACAGTCGGAACCGCTGGCGCTGCTTGAGCTTCTTGACGGGCTGTCGCAGCTCCTCCATTGTGACGATGGGCATCTTCTTGGACAGAATCTTGAGCGCCTCCACAGCCTCGCTCTTGAGGTCTGCGTCACAAACAATCAGCTTGGGCTTGACCAGCTCGATCTGGTGCACAAGATCCCGGGCCTTGTAGACAGCGGCTGCGGGGGCCACGGTGGCGCCCAGATCCAGAAGCGCCCAGTGGGCTGCAGGGATGTAGATGCTGTTCTTGACGTAGAGCAACACCACGTCTCCCAAGTGGGCGTCGCTGTTGGGGCGCAGAGAGTGGCCAATTCCCAGCTGGTAGAGCTTGGAGGCAAACAGCTCCACGGTGGCCCACTGCTGGGCGGTTGTAAGCGACTCGCCGGTCTCCGCCGAAATGAACATCTTCTTGTCGCCCTGGGAGGGAGCCATTCTCATAAAGTCGGAGACATTTCCGTAGAAGAGCTGGGCCACGTCTTTGGGCGCCTTGTGGATAATGTGTTGGGTGGCTGGCAGTTCTGTGGTGGCCATGACGACTGTATGTGTTGGTGTTTAGCAATGCGTGATTAGTCTCCCATGGCGTCCTCCGTCTCTTTATATATAGATAGATAGATAGTATATAACAAGGAGTCCAGTGATTTAGAGACCTGCACCATCTACCCCACATTTTATGCACGATAGTAAATAGCGTTGGCCCAACCTCCAGGGATGACGGTTTTAAGACATTTTCGGGAGGTTTTCGGGGGCGCTCAGACCGGGAAAATAATGTGTTTTTTCGGCCATATGTGGCGGTTGTGATCCCTCTCGTGCCTCAAATTGCTTATCTGGGCAAAAAAATGCCCAAAATATCCGCGTTTTGCCCACTGATAAGCCCCTTCAAGACACAGTCTAATTTGCTGCACAACCGGCCCGTCTTGCCCTAAGTGGTCCAGCCGAGTCGGACAACCTCATGAAATAGGTCCAAGCCTGCCTAGTCGGCTTTTTGCACTCTTGGCCTTTGTGCTGTTGTTGTTGCGGCGCGTCCAGTCGCTCTTTGTGTCCAGTTGTACCCCCCTTGTCTGTCTCCGCTCGTCCTCCGCGATGCTCCCTGGACGCATGCAATTGTGTGACTATGTTGAGGTGGATATGCAGGCATCAAGATGTTTTTCCGGGGAGCTGACAGTGGCGTGCGCAAAGGGCCGTTTTTTGCTCTTGAAAGCGGCGGGGGCAGCCATGTTTGGGGTCATAGATGGTGCTCTAGGGCGCTACCCCACACTTTTGAGTTGCTGGGTTTAGTATGCGCAATAGTCAGTAGCCGTGCCTATCAGCGAAGTAAGAGAAAGACAGAACATTTAGTAATTACGTCAGATGAAGACGTTGGAAAAAGGGAAAAGACAAAAAAAAAGGGGGGGGGGGGGGGGAAGAACTTTCAGTCTGTCCTGTCGACGCTGGTGGTTGGACTTTTTCGCTCTTATCGGTTGCTCTCCAGCACATTCACGGGTTCTACCATTCATGCCACATCTTTGATATATAACATAATCAGATATTAGGCGGGTTGGGCCGATTTCTGCACCTGTCCAGAATATATGAAGGTTGTGTTTATGGTCGTAGATTTTTGGTGAAGTACAAGTACAAGTAGACAAGTATATACAGTACAAGATACAGTACATACAATATATACAGTACAGTATATACAATATATACGAGTAAAAGTACAAGCACTCATAATCTCTCGTGTCGAGTACAACTACTTGTAGTACTTGTAGCATAGTGTGGACTTGGAAAATCAGAGCATCATTTTTCAATACTTTTACTGTACCGGCGGCCAAAAGCTGCTTGAACCCTCGCAAGTGATAGGTGAAACCCCCAGTTGAGACATTGAAACTTTCAAAGCAGTTTTATATACTCGTTCCATTTTGATAGCACAACAGATGAGTAAGGAAATTGGCGAAATGACGAAATTGACGAAATGACGAAATTGACGAAAAAAGCGATTAACTCTCCAAATTCTGTGAATACAATACAAGCCCTTTTAATGTCCAATTCTCACTCTGCTACTATACATGTATTGTATTGTACTTGGATGTATGTATGTATGTATGTACATACTGTCCAGTACATACATACTGTAATATCATATCATACCATCTATAATACTTGGAGAAATAACGCAATTGATTGCAAAACCCATACAAATAATGATAGCAATCCGTGAAAACCGACGATACTACTCACAGGTACATCCACAACCACCACAGATCGATACATCCCAGAGTGTTTTTAGCAGTGGGGCCTTAGCATGCAGACCTTTACAAGCCTACACACACCACAAACAACTTTTCAGGCGCCTCACGTTAGCCACTTATCGTAGCTACCCCGCTGGTTTCAATGATCGACACTTCTGACCGCTCACTTTTCCGCGTCAGGATCCTCCAGGGTCTTGATCACTCGGGCCGGAGCTCCGACCGCCACGGAGTACGGAGGAATGTCCTTGGTGACCACCGAGTTGGCTCCAATGGTGCATCCCTTGCCAATGTTGACGCCGGGCATGACCTGGACCCCCGATCCGAGCCAACAGTCGTCTCCAACGGTAATAGGCGCCGCGTACTCCACATGATCTCGTCTTGACTGCACGTCCACGTCGTGGGTGGCGGTGATGAGATTGACGTTGGGTCCCAGCAGCACACGGTCGCCAATGGTGATGAGAGCGCAGTCCAGAAACGTGCAGTTGTAGTTGGAGTAGAACCGCTCGCCCACAGACATGTTGTATCCGTAGTCGAAAAACACCGGGGGCTCGATGTAGGCTCCCTTTCCGACTCGACCCAGCATCTTTTCCAGCATGGCTGTTCGCGCCTCAGCCAGCTCATCGGGCGTAGCGCCCTCCGGGAAGTAGTCGTTGTACTTCTTTTGGGCCATTCGGATCCTGTGGCGTCCCTGGATCAGTTCGGGTCCCGAGTCCTGGTATCCCATGGTTGAGATCATCTTGTCGTACTCGTCGCCGTGCAGCACATTGTTGAGTTTCTTGGAGAGCGCAATCTGCTCTGCATCGAGCTCGAATTTCCGCGACAGAGGCATGATGATGGGCAGTATTGATGACGTGGAAGACGCTGATCCGTGTGCTGTACTGTACCTGCTTTTTTGGCTCTAGCCGCATGCGGGAGGCGGATACCGATGTGGGGTTGATAAGATGACTGATAGCGATAAGCGAGATGCATGTGGGGACAAAGGAGCGATATTAGGAGTCGTTTCGATCACTAGTTGTCGTCTTTGCTTGGGTCTTTTTTGCGTCTGTTGTGCGAATCATCGAGAAACACTGAGATGGATCATCGAGATGAAACATTGGTGCATACTGTACCTACAGTACATACTGTACTGTACAAGTAGTCATAATCTGTTTCCACTGTCTCATCAACAAACATCCAATATATATAGATATATATTTTGCTTGGTCGTAATATCTAATACCTTTGAGATAGATGGTACTTGTCACTTCTACTGCTGCCCTACGGAATCACTGCATCACTTCATTTCCCCACTACTTCCCAAATTCATCTCTGAAGAATCGAACTCACTCAGCTCAACGAGGTCGTGTGCCGCCAAAACACGTCACCGACTGTAACCCGCGATTGCGTCGTCGAGTGGAAACAGCCGAGGATCAAACTGCGGATCCAAAGGTTCCAACAATACCGACATTGCTCACACTTGACTCTAGCCACGCCCACAATGAAGAACTTTTACGCCGTGAGAGTGGGCTACACCACAGGCATCTACGAGGACGTGGAGGATGCGAAGGACGAGATCAGAGGATACTCTTGCGCCGAGTGGAAGGGATTCCCACCGCTACGCCGACGCCCTGGAGTACATGTATGAGAACCCGAACGTGACGAAATATTATGTGTGGGAGGATCTGGTTTTCGATGAGATCGACATAGCCCACCAGTACTCAGGGGGAGAATCCTGTAAAGTGTTCTTCAACTTGGAAGATGCTCGCGGAGAGGCGATCTGCGAATATGGTAACTGCAACGAGCGTCTGAGTGAAGATCTTCTTTTCGTCGACGCTGAAGGCGATACAGTCTATGAAGTGTACACAGACGGGGCATGTATTCGAAACGGCAAACGAGATGCAAGGGCCGGGTGTGGCGTCTATTTCGGAGCCAATAATCCCTTCAACGAGTCCAAGATTCTGGGCGGAACTCTCCAAACCAACCAGAGAGCTGAACTTGTGGCTATCAAGCGAGCCCTACAGCTCATTCAAGAGTGGGTCAATGGCGAGTACTACGAGATTTACACAGACTCGGATTATGCCTTGAAATGCGTCACAGAATGGTGCGATAAGTGGGAGCGAAACGGATGGGTTAACTGCAAGGGTTATCCTGTGTCTAACCAGGACACAATCAAAGACATTTTGAAGCTCCTCAATAGTGTCGGTTGTCGAAATGTTCTTGGAATTGAAAAAGTACTAGCCCATAGTGACTGCGAAGGAAATAATGGCGCAGACGAGCTGGCTCGTGATGCTGCCGAAAGACATTATTATGGTTGATGCTGCCTTTACATGTACAAAACATAAGTTAGCATCATTGCAAATAAATACCATACCATTTACTACCACCCATCATCATCATCATCATCATCATCTTCTTCTTCTTCTTCATTGTATCGCAGCTCCTCCTGACTGATAATTCCCCACCGGCCCCATCTATCGGTACCTCAAACGACTTCCTCCCCCCCCTCCTCCTCTTCTTCTTCTTCTTCGTCGTCTTCTTCATGTCGTTCCTCCACAACCTCCTCGTCCTGTTCTTCATGCTCTTCTTCATAGTCCAGCTCCTCCTCAGTAAGAGCAACCCACTGGCCGGATCGGTTGTATCCCCATTCCTCCTCGTCTTGGGTCGAGATCTGACTAAAATCGTACCCTAGTCGATGAGGGTTCAGTCTTCTGAACCGCTTGAAGAACTTTCGGAACCGATCAAACGCCTTGTTGCTGTAACTCCACGCCTCGAATCTCCCATCAGTGAAGCCTGGGAAGACCTCTCCGGCGCCAGCTACAAGTGTAACAGTACCGGTAGCTAAATCAACAATGTCCACCTGGTTGGAGTCTCGACACAGAGTCACATATCTATGAGAGTTGTTCAATCTCGAGGTTCCAGGTACCTGACGACGGCCCTTGAGCCCCACAATCGCACGGGACTTGCGCCAGTACACCTTGGACAGGGAAACTGTACCATCAGCCTCCTCAGAAGAGCCCTTCAGGTCAATGAGAATGGGAACGAGAGATATCGACTGAGATGGACGGTGAACAGCAACCCAAAGCAGCCCGTTGTAAACGACGACAGGCGTAGATCGCGCGTCAGCCTCGTACAATGTCACAAAACGTTTGCCAGGCATGTCTGAAAGAAGGAAGGCGCCCTTGGTATCAGGTTCCTCATTACTCAGACGCAAGGCGTGCGCAGAGGAAAGAAAGTAATTCGTCACATCACGACCCATGTCGGCCGTGTAAGTGAATCCGTGACCGTAGTAATAGTTAGGGAAGTCACGGGGCATGACGTAGACCATCTCTTCAGGCCCCGAAAAGGTGGCAACAATGTGCTGATCACCAACAGACACAGAAAGGGAGCTCTTGGCTACACTGGCGGGCAAACCAAAGAAGCTAGGGGGAGGGAGCTTGATTTGGGGGATGCGTGGGTCCGCAAAAAAGGCTACCACCATCTGGTCTTCACAAACAGCGTACGTTTGCTTGGATAAAGTGACCTCGTCCCTCTTGGTGGCTAGAAGAGTGCGCATTTCCAGGTCGTAGGTATCAAGCAGATTCACCAAAGTAGGTTCCCGGAGACAATTGAATAGGCTGCCCAGCTCCCTTTCGGTATCTGTAAAGAATGACATTGGAAGCTGCTTTACCAACCGAGGACAGATCGATATCATCCACAGTCTTCACGGCCTGCCACTGACGGCTATTCAACCGACCCACAAACACCAAAGCACAATCTCCCCAGGTGTCCAGTTCCGTGCCATTCTCTCCAAGCTCCATCCAGGGGTTCCGGCTCTGGACCTTCGTCTTGAGCACATTGTCCAACGACCGGTAAGCCGAGTACCAGTATGAACTGACTTGTTGTAACTGCACAATTGATTCCAGATCACAGTGCTCGAAGATAATACCCGCAACTTCGAGCGGAATATCTGCGTCTTTAGTAAAGGGCTGCTTTTTGCTCAGTTTGGGGCGAGAAGGTCGCGTGTTACGAGCAAAGTCCAACGATCTGTGAGCAACTGTGTCCTGCAGAATCTGCTGTTGAATCTGCTGTGACTGGCCCATGAGCACTTGGACAATATGCTCCTGTAGCGCAAGAGAAATCACCTCTTGGATATCAAAATTCTCGTACCTGCTCACCAAGTTGTTCGATTGCAGGTTCGAACTGGGTTACGACTCCATCAACAGCCTCCTGAAGCTTTCGGATGGCCTCTCGACACTGTTCCAGGGTGGCTCGTAAGGAATACCGGGCTTGCAGGCGTCCCAGGCCGAGTTGATGCTCTGACGAACGTCACCATTGACTTTCTCAAGCAGCTCGTCCGTTTACACGGCGTTCCTTGCAGCTCCGACGCCTTTTGCTGCAGATTTTTGATCGATTGTGACGGTGACGGCGACTTGGCGATGGATTTCTGCACCCGTGTCGTAGTACAAGTGCGATGCCGTCTTGTGTTTGCGTCTTGTCTGATGCAACGAAACTCTCGTATCGGACGTGTATCTGCACTTGCCCTTGACAGAACTGTATATATATAACTCAAAGTACCCCCTCCACAATCGGACACGCAAGCCGTGACGTCGAGGGCAGCCGTAGCGATTATCCACAGATGTAGTCCGTTATAATACCGTCCAATACGCGTATTTTCGCACAGAGATTACAATAAAGCACTCAATACAGTACAACAAACGTACGATAACGGTATCTACGCGTCTCGCTTAAATTGATTTTTCATGCGCGTCTATGCATGCATCTGGCATGCATCTCCATCCCTGTACACCACACCTCCAGAATACGACTCCTTCAGCAGTACAAAACCACGAAAAGTCCAACATGTCAGGGCAGCCAGAATCGCCGGTGCCCCACCAGCCATTTCAACATACCAACAACACGTCTGTTGACCAGATGAACGGACCGCCCATGCCTGGCGTCGATCCAGCGGATATGGGACCCATGGCACCAATGAACATGATGCCTGACCACCCGATTCAGCAAAATGACTCCCTCCAACCACCAATGGAACCCCAATTCGCGTACCATCCCCCTGCGATGCCGTTACCGCAGTACAAGAACCCAAGACCTCTGTTGAACCAGCCGGCAGCACCCCAGCCTATATATTTCCGACTCGACTATGAAGTGTTTGTCTATCTCCGCACAGCAGACGGCACATACGAACAGTTGAGTACTACCGACGAGCTGAAACACGTGCAAATCGGGGTTGACAATATCGACGACAAAGATCCTTACTTGAACTTTTCCGTGGAGAACCCTTTCATGTTTCCGCGGGTCCCGGCACCGTCTGCGTGCAGTGCGGATTTTCCGGAACATGTCCCGAGGAGGTCACAGCAGAATCCACAGCCACAGCAGCAACGACGGCAAAAACGACAGCAGCAACGACAGCAGCAACGACAGCAGCAACGACAGCAGCAACGGCAACAGCTCCCACAGCAACCATTGCAACCATTGCAACGTGTTCCTGAGACTCCTCCTGAACCGATTGATGTGAACTCACCGGAGGTAGAAAATCGTGTTGAAAGAACTGTGGAATTAATCCCATATACCCCACCTGATTCTGTTGTCGAAACTCCTTTGCAGTTGGCTCTTCCTCCAGTTGTCGATACGCAACCTCTCAAATTTGAGGACAGAAACGCTGAACAGAGAATGGACATCATGAAAAAACTCGCAGACACTGGGCGCGATTTCGACTATCACTTTGAGAAAGTTCAAGCTGAATTTGATTATAAAATGCTCCACACCGATCTCAGTGTGCCAAGATTCAAGGAAAAGGCCGAAGCCATCGCCTATGCTCAGACAACTGCACGACTCCTGGCTTCGTCTTGCAATTGGGTGGTGGCAAAGGCAGAAACATTCTCCAGTGTCATAAGTACAAGCATGACCATGAGAGTGAAGAGATTGGGCAGCCAACCAAAGGGTCGAGACAGGTGGCATGTTCTTGCCCTTTCCAGATAAGAGTAAACAAGCACGGTCCGAATGAATTTGGACTGGTTTACTGCCATGAGCAGAAAAAGGATGAGAATGGAGACGCCCTGTGTGGGAAACATAATCACAAGCCCTCTGCATCAGTTTCAACCAATGGTGCCCACCGACAGCTTGATTTGGCCAATATCAGGAAGGGATGCCGGGACATTGATCTTTTTGACATTCTGGTCAAGATCCAGACATTTCCTCGCAAGATTCTGGATGCTCTACGTCTCCTTTCTCCTGCTGCCTCCAGACTCACTCGACTTGGACCCCGTCGAAGCGCTCTTGATCATGTTGGAACTCTCACCTCAGTTCCATGTTGAACATAGGGTCGTCGGTTGTCCCCCAGAGATCACGGAAGAGCAGCAGCTTGAGGAAGATCGACGGGAGGAAAGATGGGAACCTGATATGTATGATGGGTCTGACGCGGAAGGGCCTGAACCAGGTGAAAATCAGGGAGATGACCTCCTGGTGGAAGCTGAGCTGATATCAGAAACTGAAGAATTGGACTACGAAAATGATGAGATCGAAGTCGTGGCGGACGAATCAGAAGATGAGGCGATTGCCGAACCGCTTCCACGAAAGAGACCGAGACTATCTACTCGACGAGCCCCGCCAAGCACGCCGTCGCCAGACACTGACCTGCCAGAACAACCGGACGTGATCAAGGATATGTTTTTCGTTCTCTTGAAGTCAGTGAAGATGCTCAGGGCCTTTTCTGGTGTTATCGCTATCGACGTTACTCACGAGACAAACAAATTCAACTACAAGCTCGTCAATGTTATTGGCATTGCCTCCTGTGGCAGGTCGTTCTATATTGCCCATGCCCTTATTTCGCAAGAGGATGCAGATACTTTCAAGTGGTGCTTCGATCGCCTGAGTCTTCCTACAAAAGTACCTAATTCCCGACCCCGGTGTGATCTTATCAGATTGTGCACCGGCCATCAAAAATGGCCACAAGTAAAGCAAACTCAATGGTAGTAACCTGAAGCTCTCTTTGTGGCATGCTGCCAAAGCAGTCGAGAAAAGAGGTACTGCTTTGTTTGGTTTGAAATCTCTTGAGACATCTCTACTTGTTTCGAGGTTCAAAAAGATGTGTTATGCTGACACTGTGGACGAGTTTGAAAAGCTATACACCGACTTCGAACTAACCTATAAGCAGGAGGGCATGGACCGCGCCGACAGGAACGATCGTTCAATCAATGGAAAGAGAAACTCGGCATACTACTACCTTCAAAGACATTGGTTTGGAAACGACCAACATCCAGAACTTCGCCACAGCATTGTGGCTGCCTATACTAGAGAAAGCGACTTTTTCGAGACGACGACCTCCTCCAGGATAGAGAGTATTCATTCTCTTCAGAAGAGTAATATGAAGACAAGAATTATTTCTCTCTTCCAAAGTGCAACGGCTGTTCTGCGTACCTCGGTCAACGTGCTATGCGACCTAGAACATGCCCATGCACGGGAGATGGAGAGGTATCGCAAAGATATCAACAAGAGGTTCTGCAAATCTGTCCGGAGTTTTATTTCCACCAAGGCATTATTGAGGTGCATCGAGCAGATATCTGTTGCTTCTCACGACGACTACGTTCCCAGTGCGTGTACAGGGAACTATTCTCGGGGTAGTGGACTCCCATGTTATCACATGATTGGTGATTTGATCTTGTCCGAGGACGGCAGGGAAAGGATGCGACCTAGAGCTGAACTGGGAGACAAAGACCTTGGTACGGCCGAGATACACACACGTCGAGCTATGCTCATGCTGGGAGACTTTGATCCCCGCTGGAGATACTTGCACACAACCACACAGATGAGTGAAAGTGAATGGGACGAGGCTTGTAATTATGGCAAGTTCAGAGAACGGTGGGAAGCGCTTCGAAGATCGGAGAAAGCGTGGAAAAAGAGAGACGAGGAGCTCGCAAAAGAGGTCCATGCTCATGTTCCGCGTAATGGGGATCTTGTGGCACACATGATTGAGGGCGAAGTTGTTGGTCCGAGACGGAAACGCGTGGGGTCATTACAAGCCTCCAAGAAGAGGAAGGCTGGCCCCGAGTGTCAGGTCTGTGTGAACCAAAGACATGTTACGAGTGAGCGATGTTTCAGGGATAAAGGAGGTGGCAAGGCTTACCGCGAGTGGAAGAACGGTTTGATTCCTCGCAGGCAGTTCACTGGCCATGTGGTTGGAGGTCCAAAGCGAATTCGGTTGTGTCGTCACTCGCGAACCATGATGACAGCAACAATCGCGGAAGACCAGGACAGAGAATATGCTGCTGGATAACTGATGTGTAATTGAAAATGAGCTGTTGTACATACATACAAGTAAATGGAAGCCCAGAAATCTCGAGTCTGGAATACATAACTGAACTCGTACATGCTTACAGTTGGTATGGGTACATACTTGGGTCTCGAGTTCAATTGATCCACGACGTAATGGGCCATTATTTCCTACTGTACAAACCAAAAACGGGGTTAACCATCATTAGCAGTGCGCACCAGGAAGTAAACAGAAACAAACACCAGTTTTACTGCATAATACATTCAGTACACCTGTATATAACTTCTTTCAACTGAGGGTCCATAACTAAACAAATCATTAACTACTTGGTTAGCTGTTTACTAAAACTGGGAAGTGCTTCGTTATAGTCCGACGGATAATGCTTCGATATAGCAGGGGAAATATATGTGGAAGTGACTGGCATGAGTTTCGATCAATAAGGCAGCGAGACGACACGTTTGGAACCGGCATCTCAACTACTTTACACAGAGAAACTCCGCGAAGATCTGTCCTTCACCTGGTCTAGGGCAATGCGTATACCAAGTGTATACTGATGGGACGTATGGCAATGGCAAGCCAGGATCCATGGCTGCAATTGGCGCATATGTTGGAGCAAACAACTCTGGAATGTGTCAAAATCTCTAAAGGGAACCATACAGACCAACAAGAGCGTCGAGCTGGCAGCCATCAGCGAGGAAAATCTCAAAATCTACAGTCTAAACGACGGAGGCTACAACATTTACACCGACTCGGCCTACGGTCTCAACTTCGTCAAAAGGGGTGTGTACAGTACCTGAACTGGCAAAGGAATGGATGGACCAACAGCAGGGGTCTACATGTTGCAAACCAAGACCTGATCCAGTCCATTTTGACGCTGAGAAGAAGAAATGCTGTCGAGATGTTTGCATCCTGAAGGTGGCTCATAGTAGGTGCGAGGGCAACCGCGAAGCTGATCCATTGGCTAGACCATGGATTCGGCGACTCCAGCAGATTATCAATAAAATAAATATACTGTCTTCGACTGTACAGTACGAGTACACACTACGGCACAGCTCTGGTACAGACCACTTATCCAACACCCGTGTCCCTAGACGTACTTGATATACTGAGCTAGAAGATCACTAACGCCAACAATGTCATGTTGGATACAACTGAGACAACTGTTGGTTTTGTTGTACAATTATATATTATATATAAAAGAGAACTAGATAGTACATACATACACTACATGTAACTACATTGCTACAACAGCACATGCACTCCATACTGTGACTTCATCTACCATTCAACAGAACTACTCGTGCAAACAAAAACTACTCGTGCAAGTCTAACGACAGGTGACGATGTGGGTGGGACTCTATGGTCCATAATGTATTATCCTCAGAGGTTCAGCTCAGTGCTTACATCCTCTTGTTCTGTAATCTAAAGGCTCGGCTGGTGTACATCCTCATAGGGAGGTTCCACGCCTACATCCTTTCTGAATGCGAATCTGGTGGTTGGATCTCCGACTTCTCGAGTGGCTCTCACTTGCTTTGAAGCACTTACTGGCTTTTGGATCAACTTATGGCGGAGTGGCTCTCATCACATCTTCTTGTTGCTCTTTGGCTCTGGCTCTGGCTCTGGCTCTGGCTCTGGCTCTTATCGTGATGGCTCCGGACCATGTCCTCAGATGGTGCTGAAATTCTGCTCTTGCAGTTCACAGTTTCTCCTTTGCGCTGTCGTCATACTTGACGTGTTTCAGGCGCTGCAACATCTCCTGCTCTGGTGGCTGGTGGAGTTTCACCTTCGTGCAGCTCCAGGCGGCTTTTCAGCGTTGTTTCAGTGTTGTGTTGTCGGCCGGTGGCTCTCAGGCTCGTTGCGGCTCGGACTGGTTCTTTGCTCTGGCGGTTTGGCCGGTTGGGCACAAACGCTTTGCTCAATGGCGGTCTTCGTAGACAGTAATGCGAAACAAGCTGGATCAGGTTTGGTTCGTGTGCCCGCTGTTCTCTTAACCGTGATTGCTGGTGTGCTGATACTAAGTCAACAGCAGATGGAGGGGACATATGACTGTTCAAACGACAGTCCATCCCTCCAAAGCATTCAGGAGTTGTTATCCATGCAGGGAGTTGCACCCAAGGGAGCTACCCATACTGTAGGAGAGCTCCTGGACAATGTTTCCTGCCCGTCATTGCTCCATATCCATGGAGACAGGATTCATGAGGGGCTTGCTAAGCCTCCAACTCGTCATCACCCTGCGTCCTCTTAGCGCATGTACTGAGGGGTTTCTTTTCACTCGGCAGCTTCGTAGCTTGTGCTGAACTTCACGTCTTAGCTACTCGCTCATGCGTTCTTCACGCACGGTTTTAATCAGTCTCAACAGTTGCGGCGTCGCTGAGGCTTTACAGCTTCCGCTCAGCAACTTCTGGAATACTGTCTTGAGACAGGACCAGTAGAGCTGACCCCAAAGTGTTGCTCATGCTAGGAATTTCACCTGTGGTTGCGAACCATCTGAGAGAAGGAGCTCCCGAGTAGATTGTGAACCTTTGCCCCTCACAGCTCCATCCTTAGATGCATGAAGAGAGGTGTGCTGACTCTCCAACTCGGCAACATAAGAGAACTCAAGTTGCGTCCTGAGAGGAGTAAAGTGAATGTCCGCTCAAGCAAGACAAGTACTGCTTCCTTGCTTTCGGTCGGCAATGTCAGCATCTCTCAAAGTGACCGAATCCTCTGCGAAAGCTGTGAGACTGACGGACTTGTGATACAGGAAAAACAGGGCGATTGCGGGGCCATTTATATTGTTGACTAGGCCGAATTGGATTTCACTTTGTGATTTCAGAGCTGCATTAGTGGCAAAATTAGTGGCGATCATTGCATAAATGAAAGAGAGAGAGCTCTGTCGAAGAATCGAGAAACGTCTCATCATCATGGGGTTGGAAATTGGGATGATTACATAATAATTTGGGGAGTATATATTAGATAATCAAAGTGGTTTACATAAATCAGCATTTTTTCAATGTCTTTTAATCCATGATTCTTCCGAGCTATCGAAGGTGGGCTCGCTTGTGGATAAGGTTCGTCGTATCGAGTGGCTATATAACTCTAAATCTCTTTGTTCAATCAGAATATGGGACAACTTTTCACCGGGCACAATAGCGGATCTAATGGTTTTGCTTGGTTGATTTCTCCTTTGGTGACAAGTAAAAGTATTGTACAGTACGCGCAGTCACAGATCTATCGCTTCAGATCCATAATGGAGCAATTGACCACAGTAGCGACGGAACTTCGTACTGCCAGTACAAGAACAGTACACACTTGTAAACAATGTGATGCAAGTACAGGACGGATAGCTCAGCTCCATTTAACGCTTAATAATCAACTTACTTAGGTAGTTGCACATTGAAATCCACCTCGTAATGACTAAAAACTGACCCCCGCCGCCAACAAGGTCGTCTGAGATGGTCCATAACGAGATCGAAGTTCAACGCCATCAAGAGATTAATTCTGCTGCAGCAGATCCAAGATATTGACCCTCCATCGGAGCTCACTTCCTCGCACTGATCGATGTGTGAACTGGCACCAAGCCCAGATGTACGAGTTGTCGTGTTATGACTGTCGGTGGTGTAGAGGTCTGGAAGTAATTACTTCCTGTTTCCAAGTATCAGACAGGAGACAAAGGTGTCGGTTGGCGTGAGGATCTGAGAGTACTCATTATCCGATGCCACTGCCCGCTCTGGACGTTGCTCCATAAACGATCTCACCGAATTCGATCCCACAAATATAACTCAGACAAATAAGGGATTCGAAGAGTTCAATACGTCTTAAAGGTGGATCGTAGATGACCGTGAGAATGGATCGTAATTGATTTGTCCCATGTCGAAGACCATTACGAACCTCTTTCTCCGTTCTGATACTTGAAAGCAAGATACAGTCGCATTTATACAATACAAGGTAATGCTTCGGGTTATGTCGAAGTTGTTAACATACAGCTCATACGCTTCAAGAAAATCAATACATTAAATTATATATCCCACCCACACAATCCCAACTCCATAGAATGTCGCATCCCTCTCCCGACACTCCTTCCACTGTCCGGGGAGGATGGGATTGAGAAGACCACAACCCGAAAGTCTGACCTTTTTCTCCCTTGGACACAGAGGTGATTGAGAACGAGGGATCCCGGACATACATCCAGAGGGCTCAAGTGCTTTCTCCCTCACACGCCCAACCATCCATAATCCACAGCCTACGGCCTCCCACCACCCCTCATTTGCCATCCACCACCCCTTCCACCATCCCTCATCTACCATCCAACACCCACCGCCCCTCACTATTCCCCCCGCCTCCTGTCTTGCAAACAAGCCCCCGAATCCACTCCTCCCTTCCTCCACCAAGAGCATCATCTCCTATGCTCCAACGTCACCAGTGCCAAAATTATCATCGATAGCAAGTAAAAAAGTAAATCTCACGAACCGGTTCCGCCGAGAACGTGAGTGACGCTAGTCTGGTTTCGTCTCTGTGCAATCAGAATCCCCTCTTGGGACGCGAAGGGTGATTGCAAGTTGGTTTGAAACTGACTGGGTTGTAGCGTCGTGTCTAAAGACGAAAATCGCCAGTAGACACGGGTTTTCCGGGGCACTCCCTATGAGACTCTGTCCCTGAGTCCATAGCATGCTTGGAACCTGGGCATGGTTGACGCACACCCTCCCTGTAAACAAAATAAATTCCTCCTTGGGATTGAGATGCCCCCCTGGAGACTCTGGCCTGACCGTGCCTATCCGACACCCTCGGAAGACACAGTCGTATGGCTCATAGCTCTTCGGGAAGCACCCGTCTATGACTAGCCCTACCTATGGTAGTAACTAGATCCTAGGACGCCCATCTGAGTTAGTATGTTGAAGATTGTGGAGGAGAAGACGTGGCACTGGCAACTGGGGAGGAACACTTCTTGCAGCCGAAACTCGGTTGAAAAATGATCAAGGTGCGGGAAACACAAGACAACCCGTAGTAAGTTGTATGCCTGTGTCGTGTTTGTGTTGTTTTTGTCTCAGTCGGTGCCGGGTTTGTGTCACAAGGCTTGGTTGTGAGTATCAGTCCTCGAAAAAAGTTGGCAGTGAGGCAGATGGCCACTGTAGTTGAAACGTCATCGGTTGTAGTAACGAACCGAGATAATCCACGGTGTTGTTTGAGGTAGCTCAATGATGTGTGTTGAACTGTTTGTGTCACAAACACCCGATTTGCGTCACAACGGTTGCAAAAAGTCCGCAGTAGTGCCAGTCGAACGGAAGAAAGCATAAATACTCACTCAAGCCGCCTCTTTCTTAGCCGGCGATAAAAAGAACCCGTCTTTTTCAGTGTTTGAGACGAAACACGTACTTGGCGGATTCTTGGCGATGATGGTTAACATGAATAGAGGATTCGGGAGAATCTGGAAATTGGGGGTATATTTATATTACACAAACAGACAATTAAGCTATAGGTGATATGCGACCTTAAATTATGGTCTGATTTTCTCGTGCGGGGTTCGTATCAAGATGGATTATATAAAACCGCGAATCCGACTCCATTCAACTCCGGCTTTGACGATGTCCATTTTTTGGGTTCGAAGTAGTGCATACTAAGGTTTTCGTCTCATTGGTCCCTGCATTATCAACGCTAACACCAGAAATACATCTCGACGTTAGTTTATGCCCAAAGAAATAAGCTTCGTGAAAGTGGTCTGATTGTCTCTTAAAGTGGCCTGATAATATGGCAAGTTTATGGTACCGTACTGCAAGTTTATGCCACTTTATTTTAGGTTACTCAACAATTTCTTTATAGCTTAAATATACTCAACAGGTTTCTTGAAAATTGTGCATAAAACGACATATATCCACTAGCCCTCAACTAACTCTATGCATTTTTGTTTCACCCTATGGAGCATGCTCCCCAGTTTGAGTTTCATATCGTTTGTGGAGAATTAATTGGGTATTTTAACGTTCTTGTCTAAATCCCAAACATTACTCAACATATTAACGACATTTTATTGAGTAACCTTAATCTAGGGTTCCCCTCACTTGAAGAATGGTATCCTCAGGTGATTTTTTGGAGTCACATGACCATCCAATCACCTGAAATTCTTGCTTACTAAGACTACCTTCACAGACAAGAAAAATGCGATTGATTACCTCTTTATTTGGAAGAAAGAAATTACGAAAGAAAACCTACAAGTTTCTCACTACAAGTGAGTTACCGACGTGACATTATTCACACGAGATGCCCAATCTCTCGACGTCTCTGCCAACGCCAGGTCCCCCTCTCCAACCCCCAGATCACCTGTGCATTATGTACTGTACCCCCGTTCACCGCTTCTTTTACCGTATCTGGTGGATGAGGAAGCTGGAAAACCTCATCCTTGACAATGATGGTACAGTACTGACATTGGCACAGCTACGAATCTCCCCTTACGAATATCCCCTTATTATTTCGCCAATCTTAAGAAGATATGGAGAGACGTCTGGAAAACCAACGTCTGGAGAACTAGAAGGACCGCCAGACACTACGAACACTGATGTTCCGCATTAGAAAAGGATTTGACGAAGTACACACCAAGTTTGACCTCATGAATGCTAAAATCGATAAACAGCCACCAGTCATCGCCAACCGCGTCGCTGCTCTTAAATGGCAGAAAAATCCGTCTCTCAGTGCCGACCCTCCTTCCGCTCGCTCTGAAGATACTCTCACCAACCCTGCTAAGAGAGACTATATCAACCCAGACATATACCACAGCATGACTATTATCGCATCTGGTGATCGTGTGGGTGGCTCCTACAGTCGCTCTAACTACAATGAAGATCAAGCTGCCTGTTCAAGAATCTCATCCTTGAATAGAAGCAGCGAGATCTGGATCAGTGAATTATTTGTCAAATTGATGATTTCAACTGGCCAGCTGAGTTCATGCTTGTGCGGCTTCGACTTCATCTTAACCCTAGGGATCAGCAATTGCTAGGCATCTGTATGATGGAGATGACAACACTTACACTATGACACTGTCGAGACACTATGACACACAAACAAGACAAGCTGTGCCCAGCCCTATGGCTACTGGTTCAGTCTTCGTACAACGCTCGACCTGACCAGCTCGTCATCAAGATTTCTCCTGAAGAACGTGACAAGTCTCTCAAGATGAAATGGACTACTGTTGCTGGCAGATGCAACTTTCATGTGGTCCTTTACATCTACAACATCTCGGATGGTATCAAGAACTCGCGGCTCATTGCTTCGGAGATCTGTAGTAGCCTCTTCCACCTGCTTCCAAATGGCATCGTTTCACGTTACAAGGACATTGACAGTAACAGCTGGAACGCCCTCTGTCGTCAGGCGAATCTCGGCTACGGATATGACAGCTCCTGGTCCAGCGCCGGCTTTTCGTCTCATAAAGGCTATTCCTCCGGTTAAACGTGCTGTTCTTTCGACCTTCATCTGATAGAAGAGCACCTTTTGCTCGTCATTCCATCCAAGTCCTTACAACTATTGACACTTGCCCAAGAGGAGATACTTCCAAATTCAACTCACTCTTGAAGGGACACAATGACTCTCGCACAAGTTTGAAGAGATGAGCGTGGGTGAACAAGAAAGGCAACAAGTTTCACGCTATTTCGCCACGTCTACTTCAGGACATGGGTGGTGTACAGTGAACATGACAAAGGCATCGAGAATGTTCTTCTTGGTGCTCTTGATTCGCTTGGTTGGCAGTTTTCCATTCTCGTCCTAGCCCTTGAGGATGGCGACGTCAAATTCTCGATGGTGGGCACACTGACAGGTTTTCTTGGCTGAGTCTCAAAGCTGGACGTCTTCACTGATATAGCCTCCTCTGTGGCTTTACGTAAGTTCGGTGGCTTGTATACGAGATATTGAAGGGTAATTGTTTGAGAGATGTGTGAAAACATTTTGACACCACAGCGCTAGTTAATCGTCAGTTCTACGAAACCCCATGTTATCTTCACCAATTCCAATTGATTACATGCGGGCTTTTTCTTGATCTCTAGAGAGCTTAGAGCACGCTATTTATGTCCAATGTGGACGAGCTGAAACCGCCGCGCGAGTGCACCAGCCAGGATAACAGTGATGCCACTTCGACTTCAAGCACTCTTCAATGGAATAATATGGGGTGGATATTCGTCCATCTATAGCTCGGTATTTTACAGTGATTATTTGTCACTTTAACTGTAAAATACCCAAAAAAATCCATATCAATTCATAAATCTTCACAACTTAACCACTCAGACATCTCTCCATCTCCATCAACCATTAAAAACCCGTCTTGAGACACGCATCCTTTCTACACAGCTTCAATTCAGAGTTACACTCTGAGTTCAGCTACTGGTACAAGATAGCTTTCACTCTGGTTTCAGATAAAGTCGGGTCTAGTCTATCAGTGGCGACCGCCAATCTCGACGATACTCCCCCTTTCTGCCATGTAATCAACATGTTGCCGTGGGAGCTGCTTTCCCGTCTTGGTCTGGATGTGCAATCGCTAGTGAGCTTGTCTCAAACTTGTCGTGCGTGGTTCTACGCCATCTCGGACCAGGACTGGGAACAGCTTCTCACAAAAGAGTGCCCCAATCCGTGGATGTACTACACGTACTCTCCACGGGCCAGCTGGAGAGCCTGTGCCGTGGCCTATGTGAAAGGAAGACGAGGAAAGCTGCCTCCGAGACACTTTTCCAAACACACTTGGCCCGTGTACGTCGACACTCCGCTGCCCACAGATTTCTACAGTCTGTGCAAACAAACAGGAACGATGCAGGAGGAAGCTCCTCTTGTATTCTGTGATAACGGCTTCTTCAGCAACTCGGGCTTTGTGAACCTCTCTGAAGACCAGGAGTCGTTCTACGAGCCTCACATCTGGTACGAGGACGGGATTCTGTCCAATGCTCACGGAATCGAAATGGAAATCGGTCCGAAACGCCCCTGTGTCATCAGATCATCGCCACACGCACTTGTCGTTCTGTTTGAACACAATATCCACACAGGTTTGTACGTCAAGTTCAGAGACACCCCAGGACGAGCTCCGGACGTCAAACTCGACAAGACTGTCTCGTTCCTCTACTCAAGCTGCACCATCTACCTCTTTTACAATTTTGTGCTCATTGTCAAGCGTGAAAGCTACGGAACCAAGTTCTACACTGTGTGGCACGGCGTGTTCACGAAGATAACTCCGCCAATGGACCAGGTCTGGAGAAGAGACGGAGTGCTACTGTGCTGGGACGGTAACATTTGGGCAACAGATTCCACTGTATGGGGTGCAAATGTGGGGTTTGGCACGTCAGTCAAGGTCGTCCAAGATGAGGAATTCGGCCAGTACGCAGCCTTGTACAACCAAGAAGGATTATGTCAACGCCTGATAGACCTCAAGAACAAGTTTTACATGGATGTGGGTGACATGCACGCAAACACACTCATCACCTTGATAGGGGTATCTTATGAAGAGGTGGGAATCTACACCTTTACAAAGTCTTATCTAGCCAACACCATCATGGGCTACCAGGGAGACTCGGACCTGTTCACTATTTAACCCAGGAACTATGTAACCAGATATAACAACTTATATAAATGCATGTGCCTGTCTATCACCATTCCTTCCACTATCGTCTATCACCATAGCTCCAAGGGAATGTCTCTTCTTCGGCCCTTGGTAACATTGGCATTGGGCGCGTCCCGGCAGTTTTTCTAATACCTCCTTGGTAGGAGCCACCTCCTTTGCAACCTCCTTTGCAACCTCCTCGGCAGTTTCCTAGGCCGTATCTACAGGTTTAGGATCAGTGACACTTCACCTCCTTGACAGTCTAGACTTCGTCGCTCTCATTCACATACTGCGGGCTCAGGGTTTGGACAGCAGAGAGGCTCGGCCTTGTGAGAATGACAATGGTGATCAAAAAAGAATTGCAGCACCCAGGATTCTCGTATGGTCTCCCACTACAATACTAACTGGGCTCTCTGGTGCTTGACTATGGCTGATCGGACGGGAAGCCGTACTTTCACCAGGATATGGCCGCAACTGGTGCAAAAGGTGAGTGGACCTGTTTGACGGGAAGAATATGTCACGTGACCGCGAAAAACAGCTCCATAAAACAATAGTGCTTGAGAGTCTGCGGCCTATTATGAATATACAAGTCCTGCTCCTTTGATTGTTGGATTTTGTTGCAAGTTTACAAAGTTCTGAAATCGATAACTATCTTTCTAAGTAAATGTTACTAATTAAAGGGATTTAACCCTCTTTTAACAAATAATATCAATGAATTTATTATGCAGAAGAATCATTGAATTTTTTTATCGTACAAGTATAAAGAATATATACACAGATACATTGTCGTAAAAGTCATTAAAAAGGAGCTTGGACTTACACTCGTCGCTCATGCTCCTCCACAGAAAGGTCTGCGGATCGTGGTCCCGAAGAGACGGTATGAGAGGAAGAAACCTCGGGCAGTTTCTTCTCGGTCTCGGACTCGGAGGTCTCCGAGGGCTGCTGCTGCTTCTTTTCGTTGACAACAGCGGTGGCGGGCATGTCTTCCTCGGTCTCTTCGACCACGAATCCGTTGTCCACCTCGCTCATGTTGATGTTGGGGAAGGTCAGGGCAATGAGAATGCCAACGGCGGCAATGATCATAGGGCCGTACAGCATCTTACGGTAGACGTGGTTGAAGGCCTCGATTACGGCGACTCGCTCCTCGGAGCCCCAGGCAAACTTGAGAGGGGAATTGACGTCGTTGACCATTCGCTGCACGGTTTTCTCGTCCATGAAGGGCGCAAACTCGGCCAGTCTCTTGGGGTACTGCTGTCGGTACAGGGAGCCAGAGATGGCGTCGCCCACAACTCGACCAATGGAGTTGATGGTGTAGTAGATGGCAGTGGCTGAGATGACGAGATGCTTAGGCATGGAGGACTGGGTCAGGACCAGAGCGGGGGACTGAAGAAGACCGTTACCAACTCCCTCGACGGCCTGGGTGACAATGAACTTGGCCAGAGGCACGTCGGGCTGTCGGTAGTGGTAGGTGAGACCCAGACCGAGGGTGTAGATACAGGAGCCGGCCACAATGCAGGGCTTGACTCTTCGGGTGTATCTGATGATGAAGGCCGCGATGATGGTGGTGACAATGTAGGAGACCGAGAGGGTGGCCGAGGCGTTGGTGGCGGCGGTAACGGACAGGCCCTTGCAGACCAGCAGCCAGGGCATGTAGTAGGGGTTGTAGAGAGAGGTGGCCATGGCGTGGATGCCGGCAAACACGCAGCCGGTGATGAGGGTTCGGTTCTTCATGTTCTTCATGGGCAGGAAGGGGTACTTGGGGAACTTTTCCCAGATGGGGAACAGAACCAGCAGAATGGGGCCTATGATGACCATGACCAGCACGTGGGGTTCTGTCCAGGACTTGGAGGTCTTGACGAGAGTGACGGCCAGGAACAGCAGGGCGAGGCCGGCGGTCAGAAGGGTGAGTCCGATGAAGTCAAACTGTCGCAGTGTCTCCTTGGCGTCTCGCACCTGCAGCGACTTTCCGCCGGCCATGTTGAGCGACTTGGCCTTCATTTTGAGCCGGAACAGAATGGTGAGGACGGGGATGGAGACAATGGGCACAATGATACACCACATGCCGTAGCCCCATCTCCAGGTGGAGTGCTTGATGATGGCGTTGGTGATGGGGGCGGCGCACCAGGGCACGAAGATGTAGCACACGTTGGGCAGCACCACAAAGAAGAGTCGGTTTCGCAGAGAGGAGGTGTCTGCGGCAAACACCTGCTGGAGGAAGGTGATACCCTGGGAGCCGGAGACGTAGAAAATGTGGGCAGCAAAGTAGGTGCCAATGTTAGGCGAGACTGCCAACATGATGAAGCCAATGGTGAAGAAGACCACGGAGAGCAGGAAGGACTCGAATCGGCCCAGCACGTCGGCCAGCTTGGCAAACACGGTGGTGGCGGCCACGTTGATGACGGCCTGGGTCACTGCCAGCGACGACAGCAGCGACAGTTCCTCAAACTCGGAGGTTGCAAAGGTGGAGTAGACCTTGAAGGTTCGGCCCTGGAGAGCCAGAGCCACCGCGATCAGCAGCATGGAGCCCCACGCCATCCACAGGTCGTGTCGGTTCCAGAGACTGGTGATTTTGGCCATTTCCTGGGATCCATTGGGCGCGGCGTTTTCGTCAATGGCGTTCTCGTCCTTCTTGACCGGCGGGTTGAAGATTTTCTGGAAGGTGGAGGGGTTTTCCACAACTGTGGGCGAGCTGCCGGGCTCGGGCTTGGGCGCGTACAGGGCGTGTTTGATTGGGGCCCACATGGTCGACGTTGGCAGGGAGAATGGGTCTGGGGAATCTGGGAATCTGGGACGGAGAAAAGACGCTTCTGGGCGGGCCACCCCCTTTATTTATACCTCCATCTTATCTAATCCATCGTGATTGAGATTCGGAGACTAGAGTTCTCGTTTAAGTTGTTCAGATGCGGATGCGTCTTTGTATAACGCTGTTCCGGCGGGGCAGACACGGGACAGAGATGGGGAGCAATTGAGGCCCAAAAGAGGGGGGAAACGGCAGAAAAACAGCAGAAAAATCACGTGGATTTGGTTTCCCGTTGATGTATCATTCCCTTGAGAAATCGTCCCACAACCCCTATCTGCTCCACTGCTCCGTCTGTCCAGAAGCTCTCGTAAAGTTAACCTCCCGATTTGACGTACAGTACATACTGTATAACGATTTAGCGTTCCGAAGGTGAAAAAGTTGTGGGAGCGAATACGCATGATTTTATTGCTTGTTTTTCGCCGGGGTGCTTCTGACCACGGCCCATTGTTGCCAGTTGTCCTTCGAGCTGGTTGCGTAACTCGTTTCAATCATTTCAGAAGATTGCCGTAGAGCAACAGATCCCAGTTGGTACGGTACAATGCATGTATCATCAGATTATCAGATCGCTTGTCCTCCACATTGCTGAAACTTTGCTGTAATAGGTTTGTTCAAGCGGATGAAGAGAATTCTTCTACTCGTACATACGGTGGTTGTAGATGTCACTCATTGAAAAAGTTCTGCAAGGTGAGAATGGAACGGAGTTCGACGCTGGAACGTAGATCAAGAGGTCCATGTAGACACAACGACGGTACAGTAGTACAAGTACATACAGTAGTGTGAGATAGACAACCCCGATGATACATCGTGATTCCAGAATCAGTCCATTCTCCCCTTCTGTCTTCCTCCTGCCAAGAAATAACCTGTGCCAAGATCAAGAGTGCCAAGGACTCACGCAGCCAATATACCGGCATTTGCAGTGCCGTGCACCCGAACACAACCCATCTGATCTGATAACGGCCCATTGACTCTAGAATTGCTTTCAGAGCTCCGGGTCCGACTCGATCTGGCTGGGGAGACTCGCGTTTCCAACACCTGCAACTGAAGATTCGGTACAGTGCGCTCTATACAAGAGTTGATCTTCCCGACAAGAACCCGAAGCATCAGATAAGCGCGTACTGTACCGTGCAGTCAGTCTTGCCAAGTCTTTATTAGGCCAGCCAGAAGGAGAAGTACGAGGTTATAGAAGCGAATAATCAATCCATTCTGGTGACCTGCCTAGCGCGGTTCTTGTTTCATCGCTGGCTAGTTTACCCTTCACTTTCCACCGGATCTTTTTTCCCGGGACAGTAAGACTGAGAAAGGCGAAGTAGAACAGGTACAGTACGGAAGTGTTGAACGTACAAGCCCGCTACAAGCCGCTATTGATCTATTCATGAACCTATTACTAGCTACGCTTACAATCCATGGGAATACATATCGTATTTCCATGTCTTACTCTATCATACCGTACATAATCATATCGTACTCACCATATCGTACTCTACCACACAACCGGAGACCTCCAATCCCGAATTGCTCTCGATTACCAACCTCAGAGTTCACACTCCGATTTATACCTCTTTCAAGCAATCAATACAGCCTCGGCATCACCCATGTGCATTGTCTTAGGTAGGGTCTCCTGTACGTAGAGAACGGTGATCGGACCGACTTTTTCGGTAATGGAAGGGTCTATTTTCGTACAGTACTTGATTAACATGATCTAATCACCGCAAGAATCACAAAAACCGATGACAAAGGCGAAATACAACAAGTTCTAGCCGATTGTCTACAATATGAAACTTGTACGCTTGGTTGTATTCGTACATTTGAAATTTCACTGCTCCGGCTCCGCCTTCCCAAAGCGGTAACATACTTCATTATGAAAAAAGAAAATAAAACTATGTGATGTGGTCTATTTTTCGCATGGAAATTCGAGTCACGTGATTTCAGCAACTTCCAACCAAGACAGCATCGCTCAAGAACCATTTTGGGTCTTTTTTTGTCTAATTATGTTCTATATATAACCAGGGTGAGACTACAGTGACAGTAGAACATAGGAATCAGTGCATAGCAGTATATCGTTGATATAATTACAGCATTGGTAATGCTACAGTCGTAGTTGTACGGTAGGTACTAGTACGAACGAGTTGGAGTACCTCTATCAATGCCATACTGGCACTGTACATGTACTCCTCGTACTGATACACTACTCCAAGTAACAGCATGTCCATAGTATACTGTACATCCCAGTATTAACAATGTATTCTCTATAAATAAATATTTTAGTCAAGTATGCCAATAGACGCTAGAAGCGGATCGACTACCTCATCAAACCACCTCATCGTCGCGATAGTAGTCTGCATTCACAAACTGCTCTCCAACAAGAGTCTTGACCTGGAACATGAGTCGATCCATTCGGTCAAAGATACAGTTGGAAAGCACAATGCTGGCTGAAAAGTAGAGTCCGTCAGTCGTCTTCAATCGCTGCAAAGAGATTTGTTCGAGACCCGGAGTTCCGTCATCGCTAGCCATGTCTGAGGTGTCTCCCATGGCTTCTCTGGCAGTCGTATCGTAGGTGTTCTTGAACTGTCGCTCCAGAATCTCCAAATGCTCTACCATAAGCATAGCTGGAGTGACCTGGGGAAGTGGTGAGCCGTCGTAGAGAGCTCCCTGGGCCATGTACAGAACGGCAAAGTAGTGCGACATGAGCGGCTGGTTCTTCCATCCCACGAGCTTCAGGAGATGGGGCAGCCAGTATCTGGGCTCTCCAATCTGCTGTAGAACAACGTAGAGATGGTGGTGCAGCTCCACTAGTTCAGATACAATGTTGGTGACTTCTCTGTATGTCTTGGATGGCCATCTTCCTTGCAGCGATGGTTCAAACTGGATCATGGAAGCCAGGAACCGAGTGCCCGCAATTCGGCTCTGGCCGTTGGAAATAGCGCCGAAAATGGGATCATTGATAGACGAGCTATTGACTTCAATATCGGGGTTGGCGAGTCGAGTAGCTCCAAAGTCGCTGATTCGACAAAACAATGTGCCGGTGTCCTTGATGATACTGGCGAGCGTCTTTCGAATGAGCCGCTTTCCCGTCACGGGACGAGGCACGCACGAACACACAAATCCCACCGTAAGACCCATGACCACGGTCACAAACCGTTTCCATGCAACCGCATAACCGACACCGATAGTGGGGGTAGTGATGCCCATTCCGTCTGTCCAAGACAGGCCCAGAATGATCACCGTAGTGACCACCAGGACAATGGTGGGCATGGGGGTGGTGTGCTGGGCAAACTCCCGGTAGTAAGACAAAGCAAAGTACAGAATGCAAATAACCACCATGAATCCAGCTCGGTTGCCGTTGCCGTTGCCTGTACTAATGTACCAAGCCACCATGGCAATGACTCCGGCGTAGAAGGAGTACAAGATACGAGCAATGAAGCCGTAGAGATTGTCAGCCATGTTCTCCGAGATGGACAGACCCGTCATAATCACCATCCACATGATTTTGTTCTTGTAGAACCAGGGGGCTGAGGCCGTGAAGAAACACGGAGAGGCCGACAGCACGGTGAAAACGGCTCCCTTGAGAGGAACAAACAGACTAGGCGATCCTAGTTTGATAATCTCCTTGCGAAATCGTGCTCCAAACTTGTGTAGAGGCGTCGAGGGCGGCATTGCATCGGGGTTTCGTCGTCGGTCGGTGGCATAATGGATTGTCTGGTTGAACAGGTCGTCCAAGTCTTCGTTGTGGGTTGTTTTCAGATGATTCTCGTCGGCTCGTGCGTAATGGTTCATAATGTAAAGAGCGGCCTTGTTGTCCTTGGCTTTTTTGATGCCCTTTCCAAATCTCCACGAGGGCGTGGCGTGCTTTTCGTCGATATCCAGCAGGATCTTGTATAAAAAGTCCAGACTGTCAGACAGATTCTTCATGTATCCACAGTACAGAGCGCCCTGGAAGAAGAAGGTGACAAACTTGGTGTTTTCCTCGTGTTCTCCAAACAGAGCAAACCGTTTCGATTCCAGCAGGTCCTTGGATTCACGCTGAAAGTCCGCATACCGTTCGCGGAGCTCTTCGGAGAGCTGCTTCTGCTGCTGTTTGAAGCTCTTGGACATCCAGAAGAAGAAGAGCGAGTTGCCTCGGTACACGTTGGCGGCCTCGAGCCACCGCTTTATCACATCCAGCGACTTGCAGACCTCCTGAATGAACGGAGTTGACATTTGTCGCAGCTGTAGAATGAGCAGGTCCAGGTCTTGCATGGTGAGCTCTCTGAGGGTGGCCTTTTGTTGCAGGGCGGTTCGATTTCGTAGACCACTCTTCATTTCGTACACGCCCACCGGCGGCACCGTCTCAGACTCTTCCTGCGAGGGAACTGCTCGGATCGCCTCGTCTGCCTCTGCACTGATGATGATGGCTCGTCGGATGTTTTCAATGTTGTCGTAAAAGTAGACCAGGCCCGCCATGGAAGAGGTAAGCCGTCCTACTGCCACCTTGAGACCTTCGTAGTGGTGGTGACAGAAGCGTGCAAAGGAGAGCTCCAGATGCAACATTGCGCTCTCGGACTGCATTTTCGGATACAGCTGGCGGGCCTTGGTCACGTCGGCCTCAATCTCGGAGAACTTGAGCCACTCGGACTCGTTGGACGGAAGACTGGAGCCGAGAAACTGCTGGTGGAAGTCGACGAGACCGGAAAGAACGGAGATTTCGCCAATCACCGTCTTGGTGAACTGAAACCCTGTGGTGAAGGGGAAAATCAGCACCGAAAGACTGAAGTTGATGGCACATTGAAGACCCACGGGTTTCAGGAGGACCACTCCTAGAGTGATGGGTTGGTAATAAGGCACCATGGGACCCACAGTCAGAAGAACAGACATGGCGATGATGCCGCAAACGTAGCCCGGAATGATGATTCGCGACTTGTTCTTGACCCACAGCAGAAAGAAGGCAAAGCAGCCCATGAGCACGGCGTAGACGATACTTCCCTTTGCTGTCATGAACTGCGCGTCAAATACGGCTCCCTGGGCACAGGTTTGGAGAGCTGCCATGGCCTTGGGGTCGGTGGGATCGGTGGGGGCCTTACAGATGCCTCTTTCGATCAGAATCTGGGTCATTTGCTTGGGTGTCATGCTGTCATGGAAGTACTTGTTGTTGATGTACATGGCCACGATCATGACGATCCAGCCAAAGACGGTGAAGAGCATCATTCCCGCGTTGACTATGAAGCACACCGTCACCGACATGTCTCCAGACGGCACAATGACGCCGATAATGGCCGTCAGGTACGGCGCTCGACCCAGCCACTTGACGTAGCCCGGAATCATCATCAGCATGAGTCCGAACCAGATTCCCACCCACGTTCGCGACGCGACTTTGAAGCTGGCAAAGTCCAGGTGGTCCACGACCCAGCTAGGGCGGAAGTAGTGGCGCAGAAACGGCTGTTTGGCTCGGCCCTCAGGACGGTTCGGGTACGCCCGGTTGTATGGCAAGGCGTGGCCCGTCAACGTGCGCTTGTAGGGGTGTTCGCGCACCTTTTCATCGCCGCCGGAGGACGTCGACGTGTCTATCGAGGCCATAGCGAAGCGATATCTCGAAGATCTGGAAGATGGTCCTCCCTTACGGTTGCGCCAAGAGAATGTATATCGATGTGTTTATGCAGCTTAGAGTTGCTGTGGGGGGGAGAAGGGGGCATTTTTCGGGACCCAGGAGAGACAAAAAGTAGCGGAGACTTGAAAATATCAATCTGAATCCTGATTGGATCGGTCTGTCAAATTTTCAGCCAAATCAATCCACTTCCTCACGCCCTAAAGACGACCCGTGGTACTGTCGTTTATTTAACACAATGCTTTAGAGTTGTGCAGAAAGTTGTGGTTGAGAGATTTAGCGAGGGGAAACAGTATCATCTTGGGTTGGTACTAGCAATACAGGCAAGGCTGGGTCAGGAGTATGAAAGGGATTTTGTTGGTATAAAAGAAGTCCACTTCTTTTGTTCTGGTACACTTTTACTGTTTTGGTACACTTCAACTGTTACTAGTATCTACTTAACCCAGCTTTTCTTCTACTTCTTTCTCTAACTAGTACCAAGTAAAGAACTACAAGTCGTATCTACTAGACTGATTCTTCAACAGAATGCTACAATATGTCAAGAGTGATACAGTGTAGTGTACTGTACTGTAGCCCCATCTCCATACTCTACTCTACTCACTATAACTTATTTTCATGCTATATAATGCGCGTGGACATCCACCGCAAATGCTAATCCCCTCCGTCTCCCTAATGATCCTCAAAAAACCGCTCAAACGCGTGCTCGTGACGCAGATTGTCCTTGACAACGTAGTAGATACTCATCAACAGGTTAGGGAACCGGCTGGTAAAGTACTCCATGTACCCCTTGGGCAGCGGAGACATGAGCTTCTGCAGCTCCGGCGGCATGTCGTTGAAATGGTGGTACTTGTTTCGGAACGCCCGCAACAGATCCATGACCCGGTCGCCATGGTACTTTCGGTACTTGCCAAGATTTTCGAGCAGCAGAGGATCCAGCTGCTCCTGCCAGTTGGAGCCCACGACTGACGGCGCGTCCCGCTCTAGCTGCATCAGCAGTTCCGACGGAGGATCCCGCGGCTCGATTTCAAACCGATCAGACACCTCCAGCAGAAAATCCAGCTGCTCCTTGTGGTTCCAAAACAGCGGGTGTCGACACACCTCCTCGGCTGAGGGGCGCTTGGACGGGTCTCTGCAGATCATATGGGTGATGAGGTCGCGAGCCTCAACTGCCAAGTGAGGAATGGCCTCGTCCAAAGCGTCCAGATTGTAAATGCCCCGGATAATGTTGCTCTCCTTGAGGTACCGGTCTCCAAACGGATGACTACCGCCTGTAAGTACGTAGAAGAACACACATCCGAGAGAGAAAATGTCAAGTGCCCGCGTGGCTCGTCGGTTGGAATCGTCATTGAGCACCTCGGGAGCCCGCCAGCCAGAAGTGCCTGCTCCTCCGTTGGCGGTAGTGGCGCGGAAACTCGACTGGTCGTTCTCCAGCCGCTTGCACAGGCCAAAGTCCGAAATTAGCATGCGCACAGCATACTTGTCGTCCGGGTTGGCCTTCTTTGCACGCCGCTTCTTCACAGGGGCTACCAGAATATTCTGAGGCTTGATATCTCTATGCACAATCTTGAGAGAGTGCAGGTACTTGACGCCCTCGGCAATCTGCTCCAACACCGTCACGTGGTTCATATTCTCCTTGACGCCAGGGAACTTGTCGCTCGAGTCTTCAAACACATCCTCCAGAGTGCCGGGACACCACTCCAACGCAATGTACAGAAAATGATTGTTTTGCTGTTTGCAGTAGTAGCGGATCACGTTGGGATGGTCGTCCGATTCTTGTAGGAGAGAAACCTCATGAGATGCCACGTCGTAATTGTCCACCAGCATTCTCTTGACCGCAACCTCCCGATTCTCAAACGTACCCTTGTACACAATTGTTCCATGACTACCCTTGCCAATAATCTCCTTGGAGACCACTAGCACTGAGCTCTGGAACTGAATGTCGTCGGCCTGCTCGGAGACTGGCTGCGAGAGCGTCTGGATTGAGTTGTCAATGACAATGGGCCCGGACTTTTCTGCTGCAACCTGTGTGAGGTCGGCGGCAGAGTTTGGCGAAGTGATGACTCCATCCGCAGCCGTAGAAGGTACTTCCTTGTTCTTCTGGTTTCGTCGGCCTCCACGACTGCCTCTCTTCCGCTTCTTGGGCGTCATGCCTGTGATTGACGCGGTGGAAGACGACTTGGAGAGACTAGAGCCGTTGAGAGAGGTTATGGACTCGGCCAGATTCGACTCCTCCGATTCGCTATCGCTGTTGTTCTTGTCAGCAACCACAGACACGTCCCCAAACTTGACCTTGGGGGTCGAAGGGGTCGACAGAGTGTCAGCGGAAGGGGTGTCGTCAGAGGTTAGAGGTTGTAGATCGCTACTGTCGTTTTCTGCTGAGTTGTTTTCAACAGCATTGACTTCGCTCACGACCTCCTTGGAAAACTTTTCTTCTGTTTTCTCCACGTCGACACCATTGACGTCCTTTGTCTCGTCCTTCGTCTCTTCCTTCGTTTCGTCCTTCGTTTCGTCCTTCGTTTCGTCCTTTGTTTCGTCCTTCGTTGCTTCCTTCGTCTCCTCCATCGTCTCGTCCACCTTTGTCTCGTCCACGGCCCCTTCCTTCAGTTCTTCTCTCACATCCATCTTGTCCACCACAATTTCATCCACCTTGTCCTTCACATCTACCTTGTCTAACACAATCGTAGCGTTATCTTTCTTTTGTTCCTTCTCCTCCCTCTCCACCTTCTCCACCTTATCCTCCTTCTCCACTGAGTCTTTCTCCCCCACTTCCCTTGCAGCACCCTTTCTAAGAGCTGAAATAGCGTCAATAATCTCCTTCACCTGAGGAGGCACAAAATCAAACCGGATCGCAGCATAGACAATGCCCAGAATGACCACCACGGTGAGAATGTTCTCCACTATCCGCAGCAAGAGAGCGGTAATGGGACTCTCGAGAAGCGGCAGCAAAAGCGACAACAAGGTGAAACCCGCAGTAGTAGAATCGCCGCTGTCTCCACGTTTGTCTCCCTGCTGCTGGCCCTCCTTGCCGTACCGAGGAGACATGCCGTCCCTCACACCGTCATATCGTTGACCCTCAATCAGCGCCTGACTACCTGCGGGGTTCAACAGCAGCATTTCGTCCTTGTCGGGACTCACTCGTCGCACCATGTAGTACGAGTCGTGCACGCCACAAATGATATCCGCGAGGTTTTGTGCAAACCGATCCTTGGGATATGAACTGTACGACGACGTGGACCACTTTGACAAAGGAGCAGACTTGACGAGATACGGGAAGTAGTGCTCGGAGATGGCAAAGAAGCCGCCATCCGCTGCTTGGTGCACGTAGATGGCAGGAACATGGCCGTTTTGAGGAGCCTCGACCCGTGGCTGGGGGAGCAGCACGTTGGAAACGTCTTGTCCATGTCCATCGTCACTTGCACCCCGCTTGTCCTTTAGAATGTCAAAGACGTTGATGACACAGCTCGGGATGTACGTCTCCCAATGAGGTCTGTATCCCAGAGTGGTTTCCACGCCAACAAGCAGCTTTTCGTGAAACGGCGTCACATACAAGTTGTCCATTGATACCGAGTGTTGTCGGGCCAGATCAATGTCTCTGTTGTTGGGCCCCCATGTAGAATATGTCACATTCCACACTGACGCACCCTGACGATAGATGGACAGATCGTACTGTGTTCGTCCGATCATGATGACTCCGGACGCATTGGAGCCGTACTCGGGCTCGTCTTCCCGCTCCGTTCGGACCCCCGACAGGTCGCCTCCAAAGCTCTGTACGATTTCGCCTGTCTGTGTGTCGATGGCAAACAGAGTGGTTTTGCGGGTGCCTGTGTACACCTTGCCGTCGAGCGCAAAGGGCGACTCCTGGACCAGCTTTTCGATCGAAAGCGGCAGCTGGGCGCATGCCGTCTGTCTGTGTGAAGTAGAAGAGAGTGCCCTCTCCCAGTGGCTCCACCACCCAAGTGACATTCTCCTCGTACTCGTCCTGGTGCTCAAACACCTTGACCAACGGGCCGTTTCCCGTCACGCTCCACACCTCTGTTCCCGTGGCTCTATCCCGCGCATAGAGTCCGCCGTCTATCGTTGCAACGAGGATGATGTCGCTGAGCTCCCATTCCTTCAATGCGCGAGCGGTGTGTATTGCGTCTGTGCTCTGTTCGACCACGTGACTGGGGTCCGCGTGGGCCGTCACCTCGTACGCCACATTGGGCGCCACGTTGGCGACGATGCCCACATTGTTCATGTTGTTGTGATGGTTGTGGTGGTTGTTGTTGTCCGAAGCGCCCAACGACGCTCCCCAGCCCAACAAGGCAATCAGTCCATACAGCCGGTTTTTCATTCTGAGTCAGCAGCAGCTCCGGAAGTCGTTCCGCGTGTCCCTACTCACCTGTCATGGGCTCAGCCTGTAGAGCAATCTGTGTAGCTAGTTAGTTGTGGTAGTGTGTTGTGTGAGGGAGGTTGAGATCAGACAAAAATGTTCAACCCACTTTGCACACTAACTTTGGTGTGCAGATTGCCGATTATGTGGGGTATGTGATGCTGGAAGTGGCAACCACAGACCACGGCGCAGCGGCAGAAGAGATGCACCGTCTGCAGTCGGTCTTGCGCGGCGGTATTTCTGGCCTTTACTACGTTTGCGTCCCGGACTCATAATCTGTTTCAACAAACCACTTTGAAGGCACCATGAAGCACGATACGAGAGGGCTCATGTACAGTGGAACAAAGACGCCAAAACACCTATCCAAAAAACATTAAAATAAAAAATAAAAATTACTCTCAAAAAAACATCACAAAAACACCACAAAAACACCACAAAAACACCACAAAAACACCACAAAAACCCCCTCAAAACACCACAAAAACACCATCGCAAAAACACCATATCAAAAGAAACCCTCCGATTGGTCGAGCGGCCGTCCCTTGTCCAGCTCCTCTGTCTCTGGTTGGTTTGTTTGTTGACGCCACAGCTAAACTAGTGCAGTCAAGCCAGGCGGTGCAGATGGCGTCACGTGACTCGAGCAGAGTGGGAGCAGACGGGCAGTTGATTAGCTGATGGACAGTCTCCTCTGAACGACAAAGTGTGAGTCGTTGTACAGTACTAGTTGTATGAGTAGGTACGAGTAGATACAGTATGGACAGTATTTGCACTACAGTATGTTGCACCATAGTTATAGACAAGTGATACTGATACAGTATGTACTCGCCCATGACTAAGACATTCATCATGCGACGTTTGGGTTTGACGGATATGGCAATGGTGACAGGAGAGACAGATTCAGGGGACGCCAAACCGCCGGGGACATGTGTATATCTGTTCAATTGGGTTGTTTTTGTCGTTCTTGTGTGGTATCTTGGGATGTTCGGGATTTCAGTCTTACAGTACATACTAAATTTTGCTCGGTTCTGCTTTTCGGAGATTATCGTGCGTTTTTATATATTTATATATATTATGGAACCTTAGTGAAAGCATTGTGACGATATTCCGTGGCAAAGCAATGGGAAATTGGTTGATTCATTGATTTACTTGTAACTGTGGGACGACGGGTGTTGGCAATATATATCCAATGGGTTTTTTTGTCCTAGTTTGCGTCGTCAAGTTGACGAATGGCCAATGTAGAGTATTCTTAGATCTGTTGAGATTTTTATTTTAAAAAAATAATTTTTGTACATACAAAAAAATCTAGACAAAACAAAACAAAACAGAATAATGAACAACAAACCAGAATAATGATCTAGACAAAACAAAAGAAACCAGAATAATGAACAACAAACCAGAATAATGAACAAAAACAAGTACATACTGTTCAGTACATATAACATATCTTATACCGAGGATCAAATCACGCCAATATCACCCTGTATGAATAATTCCGATACAGCATATTTGTATAGTATATTTGTGAATACTGTGAATATCAATATGCCAAACCGCCATAATGCCGTTATACTGTCATGCTGTATTACTGTAGTCTTCTTGATCCCTTCTGAAGATGTTTTTTGTTGGATGTCTGTTGAGGACTGAATCAGCGATACACTCGCCGTTGCTTGTTTGCACGGGTACTTTTCACACCATTTACAACTCCTTCCTGGTTTCAGGAACATCAATTGTTGGAGGTGGTCTTGGATATTGAAGATCATAAGTATTGATGTGATATACTGTAGTTGTGCTGACCTCAATGGCACTTTACTTTAGTCAAGTATTAGTTAAGCGGAAAGATACTGTAGATCCGTAAGAGATGATCTAGAGATCAAAACTTTGAAATAAATGTTTACAAAATATCTTACAGGGACAGAGAAAGTAAAGGTGGCGATATAGTACAACACCTACGATTTTTGTACATAACAAATGTCGTTCCATGTCCTGTCAGGCGTTGAGTGTGTTCCAGCATTAGTTGGTTTTAGTTAAGAGCATTGTCAAACTGTTGAGATAAGTTACTGTTGTAGAAAAGCAAAAGTTGGGGTGGAGGGATAGTTGGTTGTTGATGACGGTCTTTTACCTCCTCGACTGTATCTATCATTAAAAACGCCATCTCTCCCGGACTTATACAACCCTCTGCTTGATCTACAAATGCTTCCATCAGAGGTCCACCTGTGGAAGAAGCTGAACGGAAACATAAAATGAGCCCAAAACGGAATAAAAGAGCTCATTAAATCAAATTACTCATCCTTCCTATTCATAAATCGAGTTTATTTGTATAAAACGATCCACAAGCGTATTTTCAGACCTTTTTGTAGAATAATGACTATCATCGAGATCAGCTTGGCCATTGTTCGTTCTGTAGCACTCTACAAGAACATGTACTTGCTTCAACCCAACATAATCCAGCTCAATCAGCAATTGAGACTTGGATATGAAGACATATGAAGACATTTTTTTAAAGACATTTCCTGGTTGATTTTTTGATATAATGTACATGTTCAACTTCTTCTGTCGCCTTGAAACCTTTCTTGTCTGTTCTATATCATTTCTCAAATTTGGTATAAACCGACCTTGGGTTAGCCACTCTACCATTGTGGATGGTAATAGTACACCATTCGCTGTGAACATCTTCTCTGATTCCAATGATACTCCCTTTACAATGTTTTTCTCATTATTTCTCAACTGTCCGAGATCGGCCCACCCCGTCTACTTGTTCAACGTGCCCAAAGCTGATCAGTTTGTTCAATATTTCTAGAATTTGTAGTATTTAATAAATAAAAACCTTTCTTGTTGACTTGGATAAAGGAAGTATCAGCGTTGGTATGTTCTCCTTTCAAATACTGGAGCCATAACGCCTTTGAAGCCAGAATGTACCCAGAAACAACTTCTACTTGCACCTGCTTGTACTCACGATCTTGTAGACCTCCAGCATATACATTGGTATGTAATTATGCCGTAGCTAACTGCGCCAAACAGGCAATCACCTGTACTTCGTAGAAGACTCCAGTCTAACTAGATATGGTCCTGGAGACGGTAACCGACGTACCCCTACTCACAAAGTCCACTACACTCCAATATCCTGATGGTGCTTCACAACCCATGCTACATTCTTCCTGATCGGTGACAGTCGTTCTGCGACAATGTCCTCCAAGTCTTTCTGACTATTTTATTACGCCTCCAGGCTATATGCAAAGACGGGAACAATTACCATCTCATCATGCTCATGTCGTTTCGGATTCGGTTGTAATCGTAGAGACCCTCGATAGGACCCAGTCCGACCAGAGCAATATCCTTGTCGTAGAGAGTCTTCTGGGCCCAGGCTCGGACGTCGTGCTCGGTGACGGCCTCGAGCTTGGCCTCGACCTCAGCGGGGGTGACTCGTCGGCCCAGGGTGGTGAGCTGTCGTCCAATGTCCTCGGCAACGTAGGTGGTGCCGTCCAGAGACAGAAGGAGACCGGCCTTGAGCTGGGACTTGGCTCGCTCAACCTGCAGGTTGGACACAGAGGTGGACAGTCGGTTCCACTCCTTGAGAGTAAAGTGGACGAGATCGTCAATCTGAGTGGTGTTCTCGGAGGTCAGGTAGATACCCCACAGACCGGTGTCGGAGTAAGAAGTGGAGAAGGACTGGAAAGAGTTGGCCAGGTTGTTCTCAGACACAATGTTGGAGAGACGAGAGCCCTGGTGTCGGGAGGTGCCGACGGCTCGGTCGTAGTTGCCGATGATGGCCTGGGCGACCAGGGCAGTGTAGTAGTCCTCGGAGGTCCAAGAGACACCCTCGACGGCAATGGCAATGTGGGCCACGGGCATGGTGTCGTCTCGGAGTCGGACCTCGGATCCCACAAAGTTGGGGATGGGGTTCTGGTTGGCGTCCTCACCAGAAGATCGGGGGGTACCGAGGGGAACGGGAGACTGGGAAGAGGGCAGGTGGGAGAAGTACTTCTCGGCGAGCTCGACGAGGGCGTCGTGGTCGACGGCTCCGGCTCCGACCAGGACCATTCGGTCGGCGGTGTAGTTCTCGGTGATGAACTTTCGCAGCTCGGTGTTGGTGATGGTCTGGATGTTCTCTCGGGGGCCCAGGATGGTTCGGCCCAGGGGCTGGTTCATGAAGGCGGTGGCGTGCAGGTGGTCGAAGACAACCTCCTCGTACTGCTTGTTGACCTCCTCGAGCTCCCGGGTGATGACCTCTCGTTCTCGGTCAATGGCAGACTCGGCCAGCTTGGAGTGCTGCAGAATGTCGGCGAGGATCTCCACCGACTTGGGCACGTCGTCCTTGAACGACTTGGCGTAGTAGACGGTGGACTCTCGCGAGGTGTAGGCGTTGAGGTGGCCGCCCATGTTCTCAATGTCGAGCTCGAGCTGGTGCTGGGATCGCTTGTCGGTGCCCTTGAAGGCCAGATGCTCGAAGAAATGGGCGGTTCCGTTGTTGTAGGCGTTCTCGTTTCGCGAGCCGGCGTCGATCCACACGCCCACGGTGGCGGTCTGCACCAGAGGGTTGGACTCGGAGGCAATGGTCAGTCCGTTCTTGAGGTTGGAGGTTCGAGTCTTGGGGGAAACCGTGGTGGCAAGACCTCGCTTGGACATGGTGAAGACACCTCGCTTGAGGGCGGGCAGTCGCAGAAGAGAGTTCATGGTGTCGGTTGGATCTGTGGTCTTTCAATTGCTACGCCGTGTTGTGCGACAAGTAGAGAAAAGGGGGTCGTTCGATCGATGCGAGAGAGAGACTACTCGGACGGGTGCAATAGAGAGTGCGTGTTAAGGTGAAGCCACTTTCCCTCAGACATGATGCACATTTTTCCCGCCCTGTGAGTGGTCAGATTGCTCCCAACCAACCCTATTTTGCTTTCCCGCGTTTCTCATTGGCGGCGGACGAGGTGGGTAGCACTGGCTACAAATCGCCGAATCCTGGCCCTGGCCCCTCCATTCCGCCCCACGACCACCCTGCTCTATATATACCGCTTCTCCCGGCCCCGCAATGTCAAAAAACCCGCTCTACACCGCCCCACACAACCCTCGTCTGCTGTACCGCACGTCAAATCACTTTTCCTTGGAAGCTTATTTACTGTATAGTAGGCACTTGGTAGTGACAAATTATTGTCAGTAGAAGACTGGTACAAGCAGAGTCGCGCTTAAGCCAATTGAACAGCAATTGCGCACAATAAACACATACCGGGGGGAGCGAGGGGGGGCGAGGGGGGGCTAGGCGCCGTTAGGGAAACGTTAAATAATGGAACGCCTCCTATTGGCTGCTGGGACGGGACCAGGGACTTTTCCGGTTGGACGAATGACAAAGCTTGTTTAGTGAGATGAATGAAGGATGAAGGCACGTACAAGCTGGATCAGGTGAGAGACGAGAGCGGGGGGAGGGATGGGGGGTTGGTCACGTGACCCCTCGCCCCCCCTCGCCCCCCCCGGCTCGCGTTGGTTGGGGGCGATTGCGGGTCATTGGGGTTAAGTTCGACTCTGCACGAACCAGCAAGAACCAGAAAGNNNAGGG